CCCCCCCAAAACCACCCATCTGTTTTGTAAATTATCAAATCTTATATGTTCAATATATACGGCATTATTTGATCCCGGGCATAGGTCTGCTGGCATTCCATCAATCGCCGCGTTTGGCTTTTTCTACCATACACGAGTCCATACCAGTGTGGTGGCGTGGGTTGAGTTTGGGCTGCTGAGTTGAGCTCCCCTGGCACTAAAGTAATTAACCATTAATACATCCCTATTTTCATCTTCAGTTCTTCCGTCTGTGCTCGGCTGAGCCCGTTCAATTTTCCCTTCTCGAGCTGGATGAGCACTGGGGGTTCCAGTGACATCATGATGTTGAGGAGCGCACCAAAGAGCCCTTCCGTGGTACCCTTATCGCGCTCTGATTGGCCAGACGCTTCCAGATACTTCTTGGTCGAGACACTGTCATGGACGCATATGGGATTGTTCTCTGGGCCATCATCTCTTTGTCTTTCTGTCTTTCGGTTTCCCGGTGAGTCGTGGTTTGTGTCATGGCGCGCTTGCAACGCCGCGTGTGCGCAGATTTGTACCGCAGCGTCGACAGCGTGCTGTATAGTTGTTGTTCGATTCTCGATCTTGCAGGTGGCCACGAGGGCGGTCGCCATGTCCGCTAATGTTGTTGGCTCAGTACGAGACATGTCTCCAGTCTGTATGAACAACCTAATTATGTCGAATACTTGTGTTTTGATACGTAGGTCTGGTGTGAGAGTTTCAACTGGCGGGAGCACTAGTTTCAGCACTATATCTCAGCAGCATCAGCCATCTAGGTCACCATTCGCTCTAGACATGACGATGTCTGCACTGCAACGTACTTCTTTGCGTGTCTTCAAGCCATATCGCCCAGTCTTGTACTTGGCCGCTTGTAGCCTCGTGTATGGCCATACACAGCATGTAGTCAAGTATCAGGGTATTGACCTCGACTATGGTATCATCGCCCGCCTTTTCGTGGTTGTTTTCGCTGTCCATCCTGCCTTTCCTCTACTGGTCGATCTTGGTGGACGTGGAGAGGTTCCGCAAATGTTAGTTGGAGGTGACCGGCTCGGTGGCAGTTGCTGTAAATTCAGCGCTTCTGCATGCGCGTTTTTTCCCGCGCTGTCGTGATTGAACTGTCGATGTCGGCTATGTGAGCAGATGTTGGTGTCCCCCTGTCGATCAATGGTGGGTTGTCGATGGCCTTGGGTGTCCGTCTGTGGTGGGTAGTCATTTCTGGCTGCGATGCAGTATTATGCGGCACCGTATGGGTGTATGTGATTATTCTATGTTAAAAATGTGCGGGTTCATGCAGGACTGTGGGAAGCGGCTGGCCCCGCATCAATATATATATATTAGCCAGCGACTCCACACCGCACCCCGATTGCAACTCCCACCATTATAGGTACGAATACCCGGAGTATGTAGAGGTATGAGGCGAGGCCATCTACGAGGTTACTTAGGCTGGCCACAAAAACCAAGCGAGTCTAGTAGGCATCCCAACCACACCACGCCACATAGTGGGTATCGACAATCTTATATACTGCCCCGCGACGCTCTGAGGGGCCCCCATTTAGACACGTGATATATCCGTAGATGCACGAATGTCGTCATGTGCAAACCACCACACTGTACCATAGAATAAGCCATGATGCTACATGTCCTTAAACTCCCACCCATCCATCGCGCTTCGTTTCAAAAACCCGTCTCTGCATGCTCATGCGATTAAGGACCGCTCTTGCAGCACTATCCGCGGAAACCCAGATCAATAGACGGCTCAACGCAATGGCGTGGTACTGTTCTGGGGCAACCAACAATGAGCTGATCGAGAACCTATCTAACGAGGGATTGATCAAAAATGAGAGGGTGAGAAGGGCTATGATGGCAGTGAGCAAAAACTCTTCCACCCAGCCACCCCATAACCACACACTACACCCAAGTATCTCAGTTACGCACCAAAATTCAATAACCTGACAGCAGCAATAGCTACATGCAGTCCATGCATATCTAACTAAGGATTAAGGTTGATCGCGGCCACTACGCCCCATCCAGACCATACTCAGACTCACCCCAGCCTATTGGTCATGGAGCGACAATTTCCGCCCCTCACATGCACGGCCATGCTTGCGAGTACCTTATTAATCACCTCAAGCCCGGCGCGCGTGTCCTGGACATTGGATCCGGCTCTGGATATTTGACCCATGTCATGGCTAGACTCGTCGTGGACCCATCTAGCAATGGCCCAAAGGGACAAGTCATTGGGGTCGACCATATCCAAGAACTGGTGGACCTCGCAACTAATAACATGAGAAAGTCCGAAGACGGCAGGAGATTGCTAGAGTCAGAGAGTGTGAAATTTATCAAGGCAGATGGTAGACGGGGATGGCCGGAGGGTGCACCATACGATGTCATCCATGTCGGTGCCGCCGCGCAAGAGCTCCACCCTCTTCTTGTCGAACAGCTTCGGGCACCCGGGAGGATGTTCATCCCCGTCAATGCGGAAACTGGCCAAGGATCACTGACAAGTGTGTTTGGTGGCGGCCAGTACATTTGGGTGGTGGACAAGAAGGAAGACGGATCCATCCACAAGGACAAAGTGTTTCAAGTTAGCTACGTGCCTCTCACGGATGAGCCCAAATAGTTATGGAATGTCGCAACATGCATGCGATTTGAATTGAGCCCGATGTCCCAGCCAGATAAGCTAATACTTAGTTAATGATGACAATGACATATGAAGCTCAAGTGGCCTGAAGTTCTAAGATAACATATAGGCAAGACTGATGATCTTGCGGTTAACGCACTAGATCCCAGTAAGCACGGAAAAAAAAGCGGATATTGAGCAGAAGAACCCCGACAATGCAGATAGTATGCTGGTAGTTTGAATTTGATAGTACCTAGGGCTAGAATGGAAATCCACCAGGAAAGTTGAAACCACCACCAGATGAGAATTTAAACTGTGGACCACCGCCACCGCCCTGTTGAAAGAAGAACTGCTGACCACCCCCGTGTCCAAACGGACTGCCATGGAAGGGGTTCTGACGTTGGGTCTCCGGGTCGTTGGGATCGACACCGTTGTCATAACCTCGCCGAAGCTCGGGATCAGAAAGAACCTCGTAGGCCTCGTTGATGGCGGCCATATTTTTCTCGGCCTCCTCCTTCGTAACGCCCTGCGACAAGGCCTTATCTGGGTGGTGCTTCTTAACCAGCTGTCGGTAAGCGCGTTTAATTTCCTTTTCGTCGGCATCCTTGCTGACACCGAGAACCTTGTAGTAATCCTTCTGCCTTGAACGCTTCTCCAGCATCGCGGCCTTTCTCAATAGCTCCTGAACCTCTCTTGATTGAGGATGGTGATCCTTGGCCGTGTTAAGAATGCGTAAGGCCTCATCGTACCTTTCATCATCTAGAGCAACCTGGCTCTTGAAGAGGAGGGCCGGTAGAGATTGAGGATTCAGCTCCAATGCCTCAGAGCAAAAAGGAGTTGCGCGTTTAGGCATATGTACCTAAAGTGAAAACAGGGTCAGTGAGACTTCTCTGAGGCAAATTGCTGTAGCGAACATACCTCATTATATGCTTCGCAGGTTCGCTCAACCAGCGAGGCGTAGAGCTGACCCTGAGAGTCTGAGAAAATATGGCCTGCTTCCCTAGCTTGCTTTACATCACCCTTTACATCGTCAATGAGGCCGCCCTCCCCGCTAGTACCGACCAGGAGATTTATCGCATTGTTGAATTTGCGCGCAGAGACAGCATCCTGTAGCTTCTGAAGTCGTTTGATAATCTGTTTCTCCCTTCTGTAGAGTCGATTGCACGGTTTAGAGTCCGGATCCGAATGAAGACATTTGCGAATCTGCGCTACGCCACGTTCACTATCCCCAAGGGTATAGAACAGCATAGAAGAGATTTGTAGATGTGGATCTATTAAACCGGGAGAAATCTGCAACGCGTGAACCAAATCACTGATGCCTTCCTCCAACTCTCCCTTCTCGAAACGACAATGCGCCCGAGTTCGCCGTAGGTTGAGAGATGCACTTGCTTTCGATATCGCAGTGCTCGCCTCACTTACGCAGGTTTCCCAGTCGCCCTTGGTTTCGGCATCCAGTGCTCGAGATGCAGCATCCCGTGCACTCTGAAGTTCTTTGTACTCGGCGGACGATTGTTTCCCAGCCTTCTCAAGGTCGCTGAATGCGCCTGTCCAGTCGGCGATGTTAGATCGTAAACGAGCTCTCTGTAGAAGTGCGCTTTCGAAGTCTGGCTTGAGTAGGAGAACGCGGTCGAAGTCATCTAGGGCTTGCGATCGCCTGCCCAGAGAGAGATATGCGGCGCCGCGCTGAAAGACGGTAAGGTAGTTCTCCGGGTCTCTGGAGATCGCGGCATCGAGGTAGGCGAGTGCCTCACGAGGCGTGCCACTGGAGAGATGCGTCTTTGCGGAAGCTATCAAGGAAGATAGAGGTGTATCAGGGGAGATAGGTGATTGTGATCCATAACTGCCGGGCATACAGGCGAGGAAAGCCGTTACTACTGTAAGCAGAGAAAGCATCATTGAGTAGGGTGGCGGAAATAGAACGAGTGGATTTGAAGGGATATCGCATGCGGATGCGGTCCGGTTTATAGAAGGCAATGGATAAAGAAACAAAGGAGTGTGTGTCGAGGTATACGCTGGGTATACGCTGGCTATGACTCGCGATAGGCCAGAAATCAAGTTACATGTTCAGGACTGAGTGGCCTTTTTCTCCCGGTACCTTGGCTTGAAGACTTGAGGTTGCCCTCCATATACTTCGCATTCGTCCAGTCTGGCCTTTACCGGTTGTTACATTCCGTAAATTACCGCACGTGATTCTATCGGTGGTGCCTCGGACAATGCCGGCCCATACTTTTCACAGCTTAAGCTTGCAAGCCAACTCGTACAAACACACCATGTTCTCTGCCCCATGGGTATGTTCACGATGTCTTGCGCGGTCTGCCCGACTCCTACGAAACCATCGGCCAATCTTCCAGCGGAGAGGCTTGCAAACTGGTAAGCGCTATTATGGGAGCGAGTTACACGCCTAAAAACTGACGATCTACTTTGATGATAAGACAGCGATCTCTCACCAGCATTATTAACACGCGCTCGCTCTATGGCAGCCGAACATGCGTCACTTTCAGACCAGCTCGCCACGTCCTTCGACCCTAAGATCGCAAAGCGCATCGGCGAACTCGGACAAGTCGCGAAGGCACTAGCAGAATGGAACGACGCGAACAAGGTCCGTCATCATTCTCCCAGAACCAATTGATCTCTGTTGACGGTCTAGCATAGTCCATATCAGAGCTCAAGTCCATTCTCGACGATCCCGAAGCGGAAGCGGATTTAAGGCCCCTTGCAGTTGAAGAGTTGGAAAGTACACAAGCTAGCCTGACATCAATATCAGGCAACCTAAAGCGCGCTCTTGTTCCTCGGCATCCCTTCGCAGATCTTCCATGTATGATTGAAATTCGGCCAGGGGCGGGCGGTGATGAAGCTGGGCTTTTTGCTTTCGAATTGCTGAGGATGTACATTGCATTCTGTGCTCGGCGGGGGTACAAATCATCCGTGATTAAGCGGGAACTAGGAGCTGGTACAGACGATTGCCTGAGTGAAGCAGTCTTAGAAATCGAGGCGGACGGAGCCTATGACGTGCTTAGGACCGAGTCGGGTGTGCATCGAGTCCAGAGGGTTCCGGCAACAGAGTCAAAAGGCCGTACACACACTAGTGCCGTCAGTGTCATGGTGCTCCCCAGTTTTCCGGAGAATGGTGTTAGTGCAGACGGTGCTCTTAATTTTGATGACCCAAACAGCGACTACTACATTGATCCACAGGATGTTCGCTCAGAGAAAATGCGAGCTAGCGGTGCAGGCGGCCAGCATGTGAACAAGACTGAATCGGCGATTCGTCTCACTCATGTACCAACCGGAATTGTGGTCTCGATGCAGGACTCAAGGTCACAGCATGCAAACCGCAAAAAGGCGTGGCAGATTTTGCGGGCGAAATTGGCCGAAGCTCGACAAGAGGCGCGAGAGCAGGAAGTGGTTGAACTACGAAGAGGAGTATTGGGGGGTGTTGCGCGCATGGGTCGCGGCGATAAAATTCGCACCTATAATTATGGCCAGAGTCGCTGCACAGATCACCGAAGCGGCATCACCGTCCACAACCTGGACGATGTCCTTGAGGGTGGTGATAGCCTGGAATCTGTGATGGACAGTGTACGGTCCTGGCTTAGTGACCGCGAGATTTTGGAAATGGTATCTGTTTCTGAGGTAACAGAGAAGAGCCAGTAATAGTAAATCAGTTTCTGGAAACTTGCATTAGATGTGTTTCTAAGATTCTTTGGCTATTTGCACTCTATTTTGTGATAGCACAGCTGCCGGCACTTCATTCATCACAGGCCGGTGTAGATCATTTCATATATACTTCCTCTCCGGGTCTAGAGAGTCCATGAGATCCATAGATTTTTCGTACCTATTATTGTGTAGCAAGTTAGCACATTAACCGCCAATGGAAGCCTCGGATCGGAACGAACATGGTAAAGACAATTCCACCGCTCATAATCAGTCTAGCTAATCTGGGAACGGCTCCAGACCAGAATGTGAGAAGGCCCTCATCCCTGAAAATCCGCGCAGCGCAGACGAAGCTGTTCTTATAATTCCGACTCGCCTCGAGGGATTGCATTCTAAAATGCGGTTAGAAGGTACCTCTAGAAATCGCTTCTCCTGAACATGGGGACACAAACCTGGTTTTGACTGTGTCAAGAGGTTGAGTAACGTATCTAGTTTGCGCCATAATTAGCAACTCCGAAAGTACTGGCAAATTGGATACAGATCCAGCATACACAGTAATGATACCCGCAATTCCGCCAAGAGCGAATGTGCTGGCTGTGCCTAGTTTCTCACCAGGCGCAACATAGCCTTCTGCCATTTGCTTTAACATTGTGTAACTCGAGAACCGAGTCGCCGAGTTCGCCGCTTGCCTTGCTGTAGTCGGGACAAACCCTTGAAAAAAGCCTGCAATACCTCGCTCTCGGAATATCACCTTGCTACCGTGAATGAACCCCCGCATACGTGGTTTGGCCGATTTGCGGTCATCGATTCTGCAAGATTTGGCAAAGTCGTCTTATTAGCTTCTGGAAGAGGTGCGCGGAGGGATATACCATTGAGACACTGGGGCAGAACCGACAATTGCGTTTTGATGCTTTCGAATGGGGTGACTGCTAATAATGACTCTGTAACCCCGGCTCCAAAGCCAGCAATGACAGTTTTTGGCCCCGTCATCTTTCCATTTTCATCTTGCAGAAGCGATTTGTATGTGTCGAAGGCAACGAATCCTGACAAAGGATAGAACTATCAGCACAAGCACCGGCTGACTGAAAACGGCGTCAAGACTTACGAATCCCAGCCTTCAGGGAGTTTCCGATTATCAATGTTGTACATCCGGCATACCACTGTTTCCCAAACGGCGGCCATGGGAGCTTCTGTGAGTCCGCTAATCGGCGGTTGAGTTGGGACCGAGTCTTCGCGACTGATTATCACTTAGTTTCGCGGGAATGGTAAAAGAACGATATGCCCAAACATACACTCAGCTGGATAAGTAATTGCTGTAAAGTGTTAGTGCTGCATAAGTAAGTGTTAATGGAATGCGCAACGCTACCAATCTCAATCGCGCCAGCAGTCGAGCCCGCGAGAATGGACCTTAAACTGCTCGCCTAGAAAGCAGTTGCTGGTGGTTAGCCCTGTGTCGGACGAGCGCAGACGTCAAGACAACAAACCTTGCGCTTCTGGTCGCCTGTTGCGGCAGCCATGACTCGTTCGGTATGGCAATTGATTCAGTCAAGTCGTTGCACTCAAGAGGTTCCGGGTCGAAAAAGCTCCCAGCCTCGGACTTCGGCTCCTCCTGTCCTGATAGGCCGACCTCGCACCGCGATCGGACCAAACTCTTAGCACACGCAGAGTGGAGTGTATGATTAACTTAAAGCAGAGTACATATATGCACAGGTTCTACAGTAGTTTTGGAGGAATTGATTGGCATTTGCTAGACGCTGGACCGATACACAGTACCCAAGCACCTGATCGCATCTAGATCCTCCGGGTTTTTTTTGTAATTTTTTTCTCGTCCCCTTCTCTTCGGTAAAAGGGAGTGTGGTGTAGTATCGTTTGCTGTGTCTTCGAATCCGTAACACACCACGGTGACTGCAGCCAACTTTCTTTCCCCGCGCTCAAGGTGAATTGCTGGCGAGCCCAAACGTGGTGCATGAAGACAGAAATCAGCCTGGAAGTGGCCAAGAATTGACTCCATCGAGAGGACTGATGGTTGAAACGTAAATAACGAAATAAGAGCGGCACAAGAAAATATACGAATGAGAGGCAGCCGAATAGGCCACCCCGCTGCCCCCGAGGACCTGCGCCGAACGCGATGACGCCTGGGCCCAAAGTGCGCAGTAGAAAGGGTAGTGCAGAGAAGAAGAAGAAGAAGAGGCCAAACCACACCTGAAACTCCAGGGAAATGGTGCGATCAGTGGCCGAACCGCAGACTTGGCCCATCCCCGATCAGTCAAAAGACCAGTGTATCGACAACCGTCCAATCAACATTTGACCAAATGACAAGGCCGAAAACTCCGGATCATGCATGGTGAAACTCCGTACCAAATCACAAGAAGGGTGTATTTACAAGAGTGGAAGATGAAAGAACGAGTACAGCTTGCTTGCCATATTAATGTGCCGCATGCTCCTGACTTGAAAAACCGATGGCGAACAACGATGGCGTGGAGGCATAATGTGGAGTATGTATGCAACAGGGGCCCTAGTAATTCAAGAGAGGAACATGGAAGCGAAGTTGCTGCCGTGGTTTGTTGAAACATTGAAACACAGGTGTATAAAAATGGTGGATAGAAAACGCGATTGGAGAATGGTTGAGGTCAAATATGGTGAGAGGAAGGTGACCCCCAACCGGTATTTTCGTGAAGAAGGTATTTCGAGAATGAAGAAGTTATGAGAGGCAGGGGCTCGGACCTTAAAGCCACATACTAAGACGCCTGCGGCGTGGATTGCGACTTTCCGCCGGGATGACCTTGGGAGGCGTTGAACCTGCCGGTGGACTGGTCATTTTGTATGTGGCGGCGTTGTCCTTGTCCGCGGCCTCCACGGTATGAGCCTCGCCCTCTTCCGGACTGATACTGTCCGCCATTCAAATGATGATGGCCATGACGGCGATCGCCGGTATTCGTGTGCGAAGCTGCTGTAGGTTGTTGATGCTGCTGCTGGGGATTCGAGATTGGCCGCGGGATGGTGTCTGGTGAGTCGTATACGTAAAGCTTCTTGTCAATGTTTTGCGGAATCGGTTGTATTTCCGTACCCAACTCCTGTTCGATTTTATAGAGATTGAAGCGATCATCCCAGTTGATGAGGTTGATTGCGAGACCCAGATGTCCAAATCGACCTGAACGGCCGATACGGTGAAGGTAAGTTTCGGCGTTCTTGGGGAAATCAAAGTTTATGACCACGTTCACTGCTTGGATATCGATACCTCGAGTCAACAAATCCGAGCATACGAGGTTGCGGCAAACGCCGTTTCGGAAATCATGGAAAACGCGATTGCGGTGCTGTTGGAGCATGCGAGCATGCGAATAGAAGCATGAATAACCTAATTCTGTGATCTTCTTCGCCAATAGCTCGACTCGGTTGGTCGAATTGCAGAAGATAATTGACTGGTTGATCTGTAGTTTGGAGAAGAGTGTGTTGAGACAGTGGACTTTCTGTTTTTCCTCAACAAAGGCATAGTATTGTGTGATACCGCGCAGTGTAAGCTCGTCCATAAGATTGATCTCGTAGGGGTTGCGCATATGCTTATCCTGTATCCGATGTTAAGTTGGGGGCAACGAGCTGCATTGGTAATAGTTTGACACACCTTGAAAGATTTCACAATCATTGGAAATGTAGCGCTGAAGAGCATGACCTGCCGGTCTTTGGGGTGGAATGAAAGAAGTTGCTCGATGACCGGCGTGAATTCGGGCGACAACAACTTGTCCGCTTCGTCCATGACAAATGTAGGACATTCGGACAAGTCCGCGACACCCTTACTAGCAAGATCCAGCACTCTTCCAGGAGTTCCCACAAGGATATGGACGGCATCGTTCAATCTGATGATGTCATCCATCAGACCGGTGCCTCCAGTAGTAACCATAACATTAATTCCCAGATGTTTTCCAAGCGTTTTGCAGACGTGGGATGTTTGGAGAGCGAGTTCTCGTGTCGGGACAAGGATTAGTGCTTGCGTCTTCGTGCTTTTGGGATTGATGCGTTCAAGTGTAGGAATGACAAAAGCGGCCGTTTTTCCAGTGCCGTTCTTTGCTCTGGCGAGGATATCTCTGCCCGTGAGAGCTACTGGAATTGTTTCTTCTTGAATGGGAGAGGGCTTTTCGAACCCGGCTTCGAAGATGCCCATCATGAGTTCGCGTTTAATATAGAAGTCTTCGAACTCTAGACCCTTGGTAGCGGTCACGTCCTAGAGCCGTGTTAGACAAGACAACTAATAAAGAAGTATCGGTCTGCTGTCAACCAACCTCTGTTTGTGGTCGGGCATCTTTGGCAGGGAGTTTTAATTGATCCTTCCATTTGTCTGAGTTATCTCCCAAGCTTGTGTTATTCAACTGTGTCGCGAGCGCGTCGGCCATTGTGTCTTAAGAGGTTGTAGAGCGGGGTGAGGTGAGGTGGTTTTGAGGCGTTCGAAGGGTATTTCGGTCCCTGTCGCAGGTGGTGATTGGTGTCTTGTGAGAAAGCTGTGTTTGTGCTTGAGTCAGAGAGCTGCAGTAGCGGCGTATGTAGTGTCGGTGACCAGAGGGGTCCTGATGGTAGGGCGAGGGGAGTACTTGTAGCGTTTGAGGTAGTCTGACAATAATCGCGGTAGTAGATAGATGAGGTTGGTGGAGGCGGTAAAAAAAATAGAGATGAGATTGTGTTCCGTTGTCTCTTTTGGCGAGTTGAGTGGCCTACGCCAGTGCGGTGAAAGCTCCCCCCATCCTTTCCGCCCCGCCTTCCCAAGACTCCTTGCCGGCTTTCCAACCTGTGAGATTTCGTTTCTGCTTTTTCGTCATGACCTCAACTTCTTCATTCGTTTCTTGTACTAAGGGCTTGGTCGGCCAGATCGAACTAGTTTATACCAGCGTCCGCTTCCCCGTCTTTCGATATAAACATTCTAGACGCAGATCCGCAGCATCTGAACTATCAGAAGCCTAAAGGCGGGGGTTCCAGTCGCACCACTGCTTGAGGACTGGTCCAAGTTGGTTCGTAAGCAGGCACTTGAGTAGCCACCCGAGAAGCTACTCGACGGAGACAAGACGCGTCTGGAAGGTTACTCAAGCAGCAGGCTCCTGGATGGTACTTGAAGGGGCATTCTGGAGGCATACGAAAGACACTCAAGCAGGCGCTCATGATACCCGGTAGGGGACCGAGGGCCTCTAAACAGACGTATACAGCATTACAGAGACATCACGGACTGTCATGGTCTTCAGGAAGTCTCTCATGAATTGGGAGGATAACAGAGAAAAGTAACCAGGTTCGTAGGCAAAATTGGGTATTAAACGGGAAGAGTAAAGTTTGTGAAGCAAAAGTAGGCCTTTAGCGGAATGACAGCCTTGCCTGACCTCGTTCTGGTTCAGCTAATCTAGAAGATAGTTAGATTTCGTCCGGTATGAGGCCCATATATAACTTACTCTTTGACTCTTACATCGGGCGCAAGAGTAATCTCAGCCCTCGAACCTGGTGTGATGAGGATAAATTGTCGTCCGATCGACCGTCTGGCGGCATGCATCTATTGATAGCGGCTTAGTATAGGTACTTCTTTGATCAAAGGCGTAAGGGACGATCACATACAAGCATGTCAATTGCCATCTTTCTATTTATATGGTCCATGTATACGTCGCTTGATTCCAATATTAGAAATAGACTTGACGGAGGTTTGACAGGCCGATACTCACAATTCATCCAGACAACGGATGGGCGATCCCATGGCCTCCCAGAGAGCCAGCAAAAGACAAACTTGAGAGAAGGATTTCTCGCCGCCGGACAGTGTTTTGGCGCCACGTCCTTCGCTGCTGTCCTTTGTTATGTCGGGTTCGACCTGTGGGGTAAGCATGTGCTGTGGAAATGAGGGATGGTGTCATGAGCACAAACCTGTAGGTCCAGAAGTTTATTGTCATGGTCTGCCAAAAGTCGCCCCCGGAAGCTCCGCTCACTTAGAAGATATGTGAATTGGGCTTTGGCACGGGAAGAGATGTGTGACCTGAAAACTCTCCAGCGGTCCTTGCGATGTTTGAGGGTGTCCTTGAGGGCCTGAATAGTGGCTTGTTAGCAACGATATCTAGCGACCGAGAAAGGGAGCGTGGTAGTACCTGAGCAAGAGACTGAAATTCGTGAACTTGGTCTAACGCCTGTTGGTAATCTTTATCTGCCTTCGCTACTTCGGCAGCGATTTCATTCCTTGTGCCTCCCAGCCTGGATGGGTATTCATTAGCCGGTGTATAAACAGGGAATACCAGTTGACGTACTCTCTGCTGTATCGATCCTGATCTTTCCGTAGCTTGTCGTATTTTTTCTCCAGGCTAGCTTTAGTTTCACCTTGGGCGACTTCAACTCGCTGTGAGACCATATTGGCTTTCTCAGAGAACTCAAGTATCCGAGCCACAATCTCCTCTTTTTTCCGCCCAAGTTTTTCTGTGGCTCGTTTGATACCTTGAATGTGTTCAACTGCGGCATTCTTTTCGCTAATCCTCTTTCGTCGTTTGTCAGTGATAAGATGCTGCTCACTTTCAGCAACCTTGAGCTCTTCCTTTAAGCGAGCCATATCGGCTTCTTTCGCCGCGAGCTCCTGCCTGATCGCTTTTAAGTTTTGCATCATTTCATTCATGGCGGTAGCGCTATCAGTTAGTTGACCTTCGTTGAGTTCCTTGTCCTCTTCAGCCTCGCGGAGAGTGGTTTGGAGTACTTCGAGTTCTCCATCTTCCCCGCTCTCTTTCTGGAGAGCTTCTTCAAGTTCTTCGACACGGTCATCTTTTCTTTGACATTCGAGACGAAGCTCGTTCCACTTCCTCTCGAAACGCTCGCGAGCCTGCCTGCAGCGCAACAAATGAGACTGGGCGGAGCGAGCTTCTTCTTGTCGACCGTTTAACTGACGCTTGAGATTCTCGACTGCATCGCGTTGGACTCTAGAGACACGGATGCTGGTGAGTACATTTTTGTGGTAGGCAAAAAGCGAAATACTTACTTGATCTGGGAGTCCCGGTCAGATTTCATCCGCGGGTTACCGTTATACACGGAAACAGGTGCCTGGCTTGGTTCGCCATTACGGCTGTAGGACAAGTGTATTCCCCGGCGCCTGTCGGTCTTATTGATACAGTAGCAACGCTTGACGTTCCTTGGCCTATCGCCATCGAATAGTATAGAGGATGCCTCTTCTAGGTTCTCAATAAGAAGATTTTGCTCAATGCCATGGTTGATAACCAATTGCCGGCGTACTAGGTCATTGTCGATCTGGGATTTCGAGGTTAGCCACATAATCGCTTCTTCAAAGGGGGTGTGTCTTACTTGAAGAACTCGCAGTACAGTGTCAAAACGGCCATCTGGCTCGTGCTGGGACGTGTCTAGACGGCCATTGCTGCCAATGAAGATTGGAACCAAACTAATAACATGGTTAGCAGCTAGAAGATGCTAAATAAACCGATGGGGTCGCATGTTACCAATTGACTCGGTGCATGAGTTTTGATAGAATACTTTGATCCCCTTTTGAGGTAACGATGAAACTATTCAACGTCGCCCCAAACGAGCTTTCCAGAACGGACGACCATTCTGGCTTGAGCAAGGTCACAAAGTTACCAATAGGCCCAATAGGCCTTTCGGTAAAAGACTGCTCTTGTTGGATTGCCCTAAGAAGAGCCGGCATTCCATCAGGGAACCCAGAAGGTCTGCTCCCACCTTCTCGGCTGAGATTGCGTAACAGTAACTCGGCTTCCCGATGATCACGCTTGGCCTGTTCAAGAGGTGAGTTTGCCGCCTTTTCTTGAATTTCCGCCCTTTTCACATCCTCAGAAACACGCTCCTCTTGTCGTCCATGCTCATTGTATTGTTCACGTGTGTTCGCAGCATCCTGTTTCGCCTGCTCAAGTTCATCCTGCCTCCGGGAGTAACCGCCACCGTTAAGATCAGCTAGGCGTTGAGTTTCCTGACGAATTTTTTGCTGTAACTCGTCAACCCTCTCCTCGGCCCCTTTTAAATGCTCTCTTATACGGCGTTGCTGAGCCTAAATTGATTGGTTAGAGAAAGCCATAGATAGAGGAAGGGTTCGTTATACTTGAAGGTCATGTCTTTCAGCCATGCTCTCGTCCAGCCTGGACTTGACCTGTTCGGTCTCATTGTGGGCATCCTCAACTTTGCTTGTTGCTACTCTGACGTACTCGGCTGCTGTTTCAGATTCGGCCTCAGCTGCGCGGATCGCGGCATCGTATCCCTCGAGCTGAGCTTCAGCCTCCGTTATTTTGTCGTGCATGATAGCAATTTCCGCTTCCACATCGTCCCTTTCCTGTAAGGATTAGCCTCGAGTTCGAGTATTGTTAGAGTTCCTACCTTCTCTTGTTCTTCAACCTGCATCCAAGCCAGCTGGTTCCGAACGTTTTCGATCCGGGTCCTGAGGGACGCGTGTTGGTCTGATATCTCAAGCTTTTTGTGTGCATCAGCTTTGCGATTTTTCAGAACAGAAATGTCCTGCTCTTTATTGCGCAACTTCTCCATAATTTGATCGAGGGATTCTTCCATCAATCGATAATCTTGGTCAAGCTGCTCCAGCTGAACACCCTTCACGAAGAACTTGTACTTATCGGAGGGGCTTGAGGAGCTGAGAAACTGGCGGGCCATATCTTGTGATAGAACGTTCATAGGATTCTCGAATTGCAGAGTAAAGTGATCAATGATGGAATCAAGCTCGGCCCTCTTGCTGGAGACAATACGTCCGCTCTCCGACTTGATCTTGAAGCTGCTGGCACCGGTTTTGGTGAAATGTCGCTCCACGATGATAGATTTCCCGTAGTCATCTGGCAAATAAGCGCCATCGCCCTGATTTTTGATTCGAACAACAATCGTAGCGGCACTAAGACGAAAGTCAACAAGGCCCTTGATGAGGAGTTCTCCGACTTACTCTTTGCCCTCCTTGATGAAGCTTTTGAGGCTTTGACCCCGATTGGTCGCCGAGGCTTTGCCGCCGAGACAGAGGGTTATAGCTGTAAGAACCGCACTTTTGCCGCTACCGTTTTTACCCACAATGAAATTGATCAACGGACCGAGCTCAACTTGGAAGTGATCATGGCACATGAAGTTATAGCACTCAACCCGTTCAAGAATCCCGTGTTCGGAAGGCACATTGGGCTCATCACTGTAAAAGGCGTATTTCTCTTGTATCATTTGGGTCGCCAGTAGTTCCAGCTCCTCCTCGTCCTGCTCAAGAGCGGCGGTAACTGATCTAAAACCCCGATTTCCCTCATTTTCGCTCGCTTCGTCGCTTTCTTCGGAATACGGCGACCTGGATACGCGGAGACGTTTTCTCTGCTTTTAGTGTTAGTCGGTGTGCTTACAGTTAGACCCGAGACACACACCGATTGAGGGGTTATAGAAGAGCGCTTCGAACCATCATTCTCGCTTTCCGACTCCGAGGCTTCTTGTGACACTTGCGAGCGCTTTCGATTCGACATGATGAGGGAAGAGAATTGAGACCAAACGGCTCAACCAAAGTATGGCATGCTATCCGGGGCAGGTAGCATGGGTTTGAAGGAAGCAGAGGTTTGGAGGGCTATTGACCGGATTTTTATTATGTCTCAGGCATTGACAAAGCCCCTCAAAAGGCCCCTCGGAAAGGTGCTGGTGCTTAGTATGGGCTTTGTCTTTCGTCTCCAGGCTTTGTTCCTACCCATGTCGCGTCGGCGCGTCTCCGTGGCGCCTGACCACGTGAGCTCCGCCTTTTCTACATTGAGTCTAATTGGCTTGAGTTGCAATTCCTGCAGTACTTAGGTTGTCTTTCAGCTAACTAGTAAGCGCAAGGAGTTACTTGGTAATTGTATACATTCTTCCGCTAGTATTTGAGAGATTTATCGCCCTTCGAGGGCGCAAGTTACTTATGTGGCTGTAGTAGGCTCTTCTGCGACGTAATGCAGATAAGCACCAAGCAACTTGGTGCCTTCGATGTAGTTTCTCTTGTCCAACTTCTCGTTGACAGAATGGGCAGCATCGGTTGAGCTGCCCATGGGCAGAAGTAGGACATTCTTACCGGTCGCCTCCTCAAAGGTCAATGTGATCGGGATACTAATTCTAGTTTAGCAACGGTGTAAGGTAAGAGATGGATGAATCAACTTACCTGCCGCCCTCACGAGTCATATCGGGTTCCACGCCAAACACTTGATTCACAGCTTTGCTTGCAGCCGAGAAGTTCCAATGCTTGGGGCTAGCAACCCACCATTTGCCATCATGCTGAAGCCATACATCCAGGGTGTTCTTGCTGTTTAGCTTAGCAAATTCTGATTTTACATGGTCGAAAACAAGCTTGTTCACATCCGCGCTCTCCATGTTGGGAACGGTACGAATGGAGAATTTGCCGATAACCTTTGCTGGAATCACGGTTTTCGCCCCCGGAGCGGAGTATGCTCCTTCAATGCCGTGGATTGACAAAGATGGGAACCTCCAACGCGCCATAAGGGTCCTTTCCTTGGTCGGATGGATGCCAGTCTGGCTGCCTAATGACTCGTACAGGTTCTCCATGGTGTAGCTGATGTTGGTGTACAGCGATTTCTCGTCCTCCGAGACGGGCTCAACAAGATCCATGATTCCAGGAATCAGTATGTTGCCCTGAGGGTCCACAAGTTTGGACAGGACGTTGACAAGATCTGTCATCGGCTCATGCGCGGAACCACCAAAAACACCACTGTGAAGATCCTGAGCAGGACCAGAGATGCTGACGGAGTAATAGTTGCATCCTCTAAGCCCATAGGTAAGGCAAGGCTTCTCAGTTCCGAGCCAATAGTTGTCCGAAATGCACACAGCATCTGCATCTTTGAAGAAGCCCTTGGCTTCGGAATGGATGAATTCCTCCAAACCCTCTGAGCCGTACTCTTCCATACCCTCAAAGCAGCAGAGAAGATTGACCGGGAAGTCAATTCCAGCTTTTTTATGCGCTTCAATCACGTTCAGCCAGCCCAAAACCGGACCTTTGTCGTCGGTACTTCCGCGTCCGAACATTCTACCCTGGTCGTCAACGGTAAGTTCAAACGGCTCTGTCGCCCAGCCATCTTCCTTCAAGGCCGGTTGCACATCGTAATGACCATAAACTAGAATTGTTCGCTTGTTCTTGTCATTGCCATAGCGCGCAATCACGACCGGAGGAAGGTCAAGATGCTCTTTTCCAGGTTGTTTGCCCAGAGGTCTTTTGTGTACTTCGGCGCCTAGGGCTTCAAGTTCCGAGGCAAGGAAGTCCGCCATCTAGAAAGGTAGATGTCAGCCTGGGTACCGCCTTCGAGTATATCAGTATCGTTTGGTACCTTGAACACATCCGTCCTGTTCTCATCCTGAGCAGAGATGGAGGGAATCGCAACGGCATCGCGCAAACCTTTTAAAGCTAATCAGTACGGGGGAGGCAGGCATAAGCTATAGTTACTTACGGTTGATGAACGCGTCAGACAAGTCATCAACTCTATAAAAGGTCAGAGTCCCAGCACTTTTTCTTCCTTTGAGGAAGAAACGCACTGCTTGAAAAAAGGCTCGAGTTGTGGCGCCATTTTGTGGTCGCTGATATGTCCGTAGTATGAACGGCGAGGCGATAGCGGATATGTCGGTAGGTTCAAACAAGTGCCGGTAGAGTTGAATGCCTGGTGACCCCTGGCAAAGACTGAAGATGATGGTAGATATGAATTGCGTCCTATGAGGGTTGTGATGCGGCGGAGGGGGATGAGGGGCATTCTGACTGCCGTGATTGCATGCAACCTGGGTGGGTTTACCTAACGGTAACCTCCGAAAGAGTTGTCAACCGCGAAATTTTGCCGTTGCTAAGCGCTCTGGAGCTCGGTTGCGAGGGAGGGCGCTCGAATTAGGATAGTAGCCTGATAACACTGATTCAAATAACGATAATTGGCAGATTAGAAATACCGTAATTGCATTGAAGAACTTGGAAGTTGGCAAAATTGGTTAAAAACTTGCAAATCTAAAATACATAGACTTTCATATGGCCCTGGCTATTGTACACAATGAAAGCGCCACTACGAGCAAATATAGAGAACGCTGGGGAGAAGTCGAATGACAGAAGTGAGGTGTGAAATAAAGTGCCCGCCACGCTTATTCGTCTCGGCCCCAGCTCTCTTTCCGCAGCTGGCGATCCTCTCTAGCCATCCGACGCGCCTTACCCCATCTCGATTGCACCGCCTCCAAGACTTGCCTCTGGATTTCCTTCTTTTGAGGGCTTGCTTCGCATGCCTGAGCAATGAAAATCGGAGAGCAGTTGAAGCGCTTCGCTAGCTTCCAGCGACTCCACAGGATTGGATCGCTTGAGCGGAGTTTGCGAATTTCTGCAACGTCTTCTCGGGTCAAATGGTACTTTCTCTCTGGCGCCGTCTTAAAGACGGAAGGAAGCGCTTCCGGATTTTGTGATTTGGAAGATGCATCGCTGTAGAGCGCTCTGCGCACATCGTTGGGGGGGAGGAACTTCAATGGCGTATGATAAGCGGATGGAGCGCTCGACGGAGGGTTGTGGATAATATGAGCTTGGGTATTGTTCGATGATGAGCCGAATGAAGCATCTGGCTTGATACGTAGTCGTTGTTTTGTACGTCTGTAGGTGGATTGAGCACGTCGCAGCTCCAGAGTCGCAGGCTCACAGGACGGCAAGAGGAATGGCAGACCTAGGATCGGTCTTTTCGATATAGTAACAAAAGCCGCCATCTCAATATTTCTGCTGCGGGCGCGCGGACGAGATGCAGTAAAGGAGTGGAAAAGTTGCTCGATTGGATCAAGCGTAGGAATCACCTGAGTCTTTCCGATCAACACTTCGGACGGACACGAGGGAATAATAAGAGCAATAAGACAGGGAAATGGATTAATACTGACAAGTAAAATTGAATTTGTGGTCGTATGCTCTTGATATGGAGCGTGCAGATTCCTGTCCTGGAATGGCGATTGATCCAGGCGGAGAGGTCCCTGAACTTTTTTGCTGAGGCCTTTCGAGCGAGGGAAGGAGTTAGAACTTATGGCATAATTAGTAAGGTATGTATAAGTGGGTAATTATTATAAGCACAAATGCTCGAGTCTCTTGGCATTTCGTCATGTGTCCAGAAGCTCATCAACGCATCCCAACACATCATGATTATTAGATGTTCTGACCCTTTCTGCTTTGTCGCAAATGATGCGCCACTTACTATCTACATGATATATGCGCCTAGTTAGTTTTCGCTACTTTAACTCGATTCTCTTTTCCCATCCGCTCTGTGTACCCTGTATCCAACTCTATCCTTTGGGGGTCTGATGATACCTAGCGTTAACTTAACTCTCATCATCTCTAGTGGCTCAGGATACCAGAGACTTGAGCCTTCAAATGTGAGCCTTGTGCTTTTCTCTTTCACGAGCTACTTGCAAAATGCAGACGTATACTGTGGACAGTTCATGACTCGATACTAGGCCAATTTTCCGAGTTATTACCTGCCCTAACTCACCGTTGGAAAGCATCTGAAACCCAAGATTGAGCGGATTGAACAGTTGAGACATTGGCACAATATTGCCCCGGGTTCGTTCACGCTCATTCCCGCGAAAGCTGGGATAGACATTTGGCTGCCAAAGCGCCTTCGCCGAATCCGTCATCAAAACTAGGGCAGGCTGGATTTGATAATCCAAGCGTCTAAAGTGTCATGGACTCTGAGCGCCATACCACACCCTCCGGGGACTCTCTCGATAAGCACGCATCTATGCAAGAAACCTTGAGCGACGTGACACATCATGACGGGGATAATGAAGACCAGCGGCGGATTCGGGATCTACGAAGTTGCAATTGCGTGAAAGAAAATGATGATGCTCAGGAAGAAGCCATTCATCAACCTGTGGACATAACAGGTGCTCCGGGCTCGACTGTACACGCTAGTATTGTTCGACCAAAGCCATTGTCACTCTCCCCTGATATTATGTCGCAACGAGGACGACCGGCTCAAAGAACCCCATCGTCGCCGGAATATTCAGCTCAACGATCCCCCCTGCAAGCCCATTCGCCCGCATCCCTGATATTCGAGCGTAATGTGCAAGAAGATATTCTGCTACCTCAGACGTCGCCCTCAATTCCTGCGCATATCCGGACAGAGAATTATATACCACCGGTTCTGGAAGCCTCATCTGCCGCGATCACTGACGATGCGCTTGACCCAGATTCGGTGGAAATTGTCACTCATAATATGCATCAACCCGCCGTGGGTTGCGCAGCTTCTACAGAGCAGCCACCGCAGTCACCTTGTTCTGACGGTCTTAATACCCGAAATACCGAAGAACTTCCGCCAACAATCCAGAATCCGGATCCAAATGACATCCGACGGTTGAGTTTCATCTCGTTTGCTGATGTTGTAAATGCTGAAAATGCCGAGACAAATGACCATCTGCCAAGCAATGACAATCACCAGAAGCGCACGACTAGTCCCAACCCAACAAGCGCAGGGTATCGCAATATGTCGCCATCGCCGCTGCATTCTCCGGTATCCTCCCACGGTTTCGGCACATCCCCGCCAACCAGCATATCGACATCATTCAAGGGCTTGGAACTTTCCCCAAACCGTGGGGCTCGTGGCGCTGATAGCCCATTGCTCGCTATTCAGAGACCAGTCTCCCCGAGCGTCAATGGTGAGCTTAACATAGAGACGATGAGACAAGCTTTAAGGCGAACGGGCAGTAGGGATTTGGGCGCAACTCGGAACCAAGTTTCAAACACACTGGCCAACGAAGATTGAACCATTCAGTTATTTCATTACTACGTCCTTGGGCTCTAATGCCACCTAGGCAGCCTCTCATGAAGCACTTCTTTGTTCATATGATTGCCTTGTATCTGTACCATCGTATCTACATACTCCCTACGTTTCGTCTTTTCGCGCCCTCTTTCTGGTTTCTTTTTGTGTACAGGACTACTCAGCCTCGTTCGACTATGCATTCGAACATCTAAGCAGCTTTTGTATCCCATTCGTTTGGCACTAGCTGGTAGCGGACGAGTATATGTTTGAAGCCAGTAAATGATACTTTATTATTGATGTAGTTCCGGGAACGGACTTTGAACTGTTGAAAAGTTCTATACATTCGTTTATTCAGTATCATCTTCTATGCTTTATGGACTTTTGCAACTGCGTCTAGTGCTTGTTCCACCAGACCGCGAAGAACTGGAATATCCTCCAAGCCAACACTTATCCGTACCAAGTCGAACTCGACTCCAAACGAGTTTGCCTGGACGAAAGTTAGCGGGCTAGGGGAATATACAAACGTTGAGGATTTTGGAATAGAGCTTGGTACGTACCCACTCGAGTTCACCATAATGAGCGAGCAGTGTGTATGGACAACTGGTGCATCCAGTCAGTCAGTTCAGAGACTTTGTTGGCTCACGACCAAGATTCTCGAGGTAAACTTACCTCAATGTGAAATTAGTCCCGAGACTAGGACCTTTGAGAACCTCGAGATTATCGAAGAAGGCGACTGCCTCTGCTGTGGAGTGGAAAGTGACTGAGAATAGCCCACCATAGCCACCGTTTGGAGTACGGAACGCCTCATATAAAGGTAGCGAGGGGCTATACTTAGGGTAGTATACGTTTTTGACTAAAGATTGGTTAGCATGAGGCTGAGCAAGATTATACCTAGGGCACTGACCAAGTGGAGATTCTTTGAGCATTGCTGTTATCTCTTCGGTGGTATGATTGATTTGCTCAATGCGCGAAATGAAATTACGGCTGTTCCTCTCGAGGAAGACTGCATCTTCTACCCAGACGTTGTCTTCGTATTCCCGGGCAAAAGTGTCCTTCAGTAACCGATAGTACGGCCCATGTGGGTTGAGTACAGCACTTCCCCCCATGACATTACTGTCTCCGCTGAAGATCTTTGTCAGACTACTGACCACAATATCCGCATGGGAGAGCACGTTGATATTGAGGAAGTTCCCAACTGTTTCGTCCACAACCACAGCGAAGTCGTATTTGTCGGCCAGAGAGCGTATTCGCTTGAGATCGGGCGCTTTGAGCAGGGGATTACCGGGGAACTCTGTGAAGAGAGCCAGAAACCTCTCTCCACTGACTAAACGCGACTCTAGGTCGTCCAAGTCCTCAGAGCTCCCGCGCCCGTAGAAAAGACAGCCTGGACCCCATTTCTCAAGGATCTTTAATGTATCGATATAAGGGAATCCGAAACATATGCTTTTCAAGTCGCCTCTACCTTTGAGCAGGATTCGATGAGAATTGAAGATCGAGCTCATGCCGGTAGGGAAAAGCGAGACATCAGATTCGTCAAGCCCAGCTATTCTTCCTTGCTCTGATGTCTTCTCTAGGGCCTCACTAAGTTCGACATCTTCGGTCAAGACACCTGCTATCCGCCTGCGGACAGCAATCTTTGCTTGACTGGCTAGCGAGGTACTCAGGTTGCGTCCAAAGCGTTCTTCAATAAATTGGACGGATTCACGGCCGTCCTGGGGTTGCGTGGCCGACGTTCCTTTTCCAATCCCATTTGTGGAGCCTCGCCCTTGGTATCTACGAGGTCCTTTGTAGAACTTCTGCGAAGTTGCGTCTGCTGCTGCAGACTTCTTTTCCACGATGAGGCCGTCCCTCAGGGCAGAGAGGCAGAATTCGCCTCGTCGGCTAGATATACCGTCGCCGGAATGCTGCCACACCTGCTTGGCTACTGACGCATGATCTTTGGGGTATATCACACAAGAAAGAATTGAAGTAACGGTCGGTAACTCGGTTTCCAGCTGCTGGGTAGGAACGAAATCCAGGACGCGGACCTTTTGAAAATCCTCGGACGGTATCTTCGACGAAAGGAAGGCCAGACACACTCGCGCGGTGTTGGGCGAGGGGAAAAGAGTCGCAGCATCAACTTCTGGGTTTCCGTATCGAGAGATTACTTCTTGGGCAAGCTCTTGAATGATGGGATGGACGAAGAACCGAGGATAACCGCATTGCATCTTATTTACAAGCCACAGTTCTCCTTCTTCATATGCCACATTGTCTTTCCATGTCGGGAGAGATACGCTGACTGCCTATAGATACTGTAAGCGAACTGAACTGGCGCTTGATTCCACTGTCGTTGAACCCGGTACTAAAGTGACTGTATACAGAACGGGCTCGCGGGGTACGCGGGGTTGAGACATACATGGTCAGTGTTGGGAGGGACTGAGCCTCCGGTCTCTTGGATCATGACGGCAAGATTGAATATCACAAAATACTAAAGAAAGTGAAGAAGATTCAATTGAGAGTCTCACGGGGAGTGGGATTATTTGGAAGAGGGATCAAGTTGTGACAGAATAATTAGAGAAAGCGGACAGCGATCTCGGCGATGAGCTGGGGGAGTTCCAGCCAATCATAGCCATCGAGTTTCTGCAAGATGAATACTTGGGACTACCTACGGAGTAAACTCTGGTGTACTAAGCAGCTGGCTTCGGGCTGATCAATGTGTCGTACTTACCCAAGTGCGAAATGATACTTATAGCCATCTCGTGGAAGCAAGTATCGCGCTCGTTCGCCCTCCACGGTGGAGGGCGTTCTGCTCCGATCTGGGAAAGTATGGGTCGTGCAATAACTTGACTTATCAGCACGTGATCTTATCGGAGGTCATTCGAGGTCGCCGCAAAAAAAAGTTTTAGAGCTTTCGTCGTGAAGAGAGCAGCCGCCGACTTGAGCTTATTCTGCCCGAAGCCACAGTCTATTCCGCATGATGTCCAGCCATACGGTGAAGAGAAGGAGATTGAGCCCCTCTCCAGATGGAAATGCCCATAATGAAAAATCAAAAGCGCCAGAAACGAGTGCTAGCGCAAACCGAATACCGAGAACGAATGCAATGAAATCAGCAAATTCACTCAGCCAAACCGGGCGTTCTGCGGATATGGCACTCGCTAGCGGACTCTACAAGTCTAGCTTTTTCAAGTTACAGTTAGACGAATTGACTGCGGGGTCAAGGCCGAACTATGATAAACAGCTTGCGACACTCAAAGACACCCTCCATGGCTTGAAGGAGTTAATTGAGCGCCTTCCTGAGCGACCCGCGAAGTCGCTATTGGAAGCCGACAAGGAAATGCGAACCGTTCACGGTCTAAATATCCCATATCCTGAACCGCGCCCAGGCAAGGATACGAAGTACTCAGTTGCGTACAGTCGGCCCTCGAACGTCAATGTGGTTGGGAGTTTTGCACTTCGGACAGGCTTGAAGTCGCCGGGGTCATATGTTGTCGACATGGCAGTGACGATGCCAAATTCTGTCTTCCAGGAGAAAGATTACACCAACTATCGCTACTTTCACAAACGTGCATATTACGTTGCCTGCATTGCTGCTGGCATCAAAGACGATAAGAAGGCCGCCCTGGACGTCAAATTCGACCTCCAAGATGGAGACGATCTCCGTCCAGTCATCCTTGTACAACCTAGAGCTTCTTCCAAAGCAGATAACGGGCTTTCAAAGTTCCTCATCCGCATCTTTACGGCAATTGACGATACATTGTTCCCAGTCTCGCGTACGCTGCCAATGAAGAACAATATACGCAATGGATCTAAGAGTGATAATGATGGGCAAGAATCCACTCCGGTATACAACTCTTGCCTTCGCTCGGAAGCCACCGTTGCGCTTTATAACAAGCTTCTGTCCTCAGCTGCTCAAAGCTGTGAGTCTTTCAAGGATGCGTGCCTCCTTGGCCGGATATGGCTCCGGCAGCGCGGGTTTGGTTCATCGTTCCATAAGGGGGGCTTTGGGGGATTTGAATGGTCTGTGCTTATGTCCCTTTTACTGGAAGGTGGGGGTCCGGCTGGGAAACCAATCCTCCTTCGATCTTATAGCAGTTATCAGTTGTTCAAAGCTACGGTACAGTTTCTCGCCGCGAAAGACTTGACAGACCCTTTACTGTTATCTGCGTCTGATATTCACTTTCCAAGCGGTGCGCCCGTCGTTTATGACGGCAAGAGAGGACTGAATGTTCTCTACAAAATGAGCCCGTGGTCATACTCTTTCCTCCGCCGTGAAGCAAACACCACTCTCAAAATGTTAAACGAATCGCGAGACGATAACTTTCAGCGAGTTTTTATCTTCAGGATAGATGAACCTCTGCTTAGGTTTGATCGACTTGTCACACTTCCGATGACCGGGCTCAGTGATGCTCATGCAGCGTTTCGCAAACAGAACGCGATTTATGAGGTGCTTATGAAAGCGCTTGGGGATAGGGCGAATTTGATATACATTTTTAGCTCCCCTACCAACCCTTGGTCACTGGAATCAAAATCTAATCGAAAACAGGGGATCCGCAGCCTGTCGGTGGGCCTGCTGTTGGATTCTGAGAACTCTACCCGCGTCGTTGATCACGGCCCGTCTGCAGAGGAGAAAGAGGCAGCTGCGGCCTTTCGGTCATTTTGGGGCGAAAAGGCAGAGCTTAGGCGCTTCAAAGATGGCAGCATCCGCGAGAGTTTGGTTTGGTCCGAAGACCCATCGTCGTCAATCGTGCATCAAATCCTGGTCCATGTCTTGAAGCGTCACTTCGATTACAGTGAGACAGTTATACGATTTATCGGGGACGAGTTCGATACTGAGCTTCGGAACAACGGTGACGGCGTTTTGTCGTATTCCAGTCCTGCATTCCAGCAAATTATTGATGGCTTTAGCTCCCTGGAGAAATCAATCCAAACTATGGAAGGCGTCCCACTGACCGTTAGGCATCTCGCGTCAGCTAGCCCACTACTTCGATACACCGCACTACATGTCGATCGAAGCACTGGCGCGGTTCCTGCTCCGGCCGACGTTGTCCTCCAATTCGAAAGTTCAGCACGATGGCCAGACGATCTTGTAGCCATTCAAATGACCAAGGTGGCTTTTCTTGTAAAGATCGGAGATGCCTTAACCGAAACTGGTGAATTTTCTTCATGTCTAGTCGGACTGGAGAATGAGCAAAGCAAAATACTCAACAATGCATTCCTGGATGTTACTCATGTCTCTGGAATCGTGTATCGCCTCAGAATCCATCACGATAGGGAGCAAACGTTGTTGGAACGCCGACTCAAGGACCAGGCCGCTAGCCCGCAAACTAAGCAGGAGGTAGCATATGCACTCGCTGCCTACAAACGACAGTTTGTCCAGTCACCCCGTCTCTCGCAAGCTATGCGAACCCTATGTACCCGCTTTCCACTTCTGTCTCCTACGATTCGTCTAGTCAAATACTGGTTCAGCTGCCATCTATTCGATGCCCACATCAACGAGGAACTCGTTGAGCTAATGGTGGTACGGACATTTACCCAACCACACCCCTGGGAGGCTCCCTCGAGCGTCATGGCCGGCTTCCTGCGGACACTCCATTTTCTTTCACGATGGGATTGGCAAGAAGAGCCGATGCTTATCGACGTTGGCGGAGAACTCAACCAAAGTGCCATGGAAGCAATTCGGACGCGGTTCGCCGCCTGGCGAAGCATTGACCCAGCAATGAACAGTGTTTCCATGTTTGTCGGATCCGATATCGACCCGGACGGTGTGACATGGACACAGTACGAGATGCCCGCGAAGGTGGTTGCGGCAAGAATATGTACTCTCGCAAAAGCAGTTACGAAGCTTGTACAAGAACAGGGACCCGAACTTGATGTCTCCCAACTCTTCATCCCCGCCCTGGAACCTTACGACTTCCTCATCCATCTGAGCCCGAAATTGCAGCAAACTCGCTCAACAGCTGCCGCCAAGTTCAAGAACCTGAAACCCTCGAATGACCCAACGAGGGCCGACAAGGACGCAATAGTCAAGGCCTTTGTCCGTGACTTGCAGGCTTGCTTTAGCCCTAACATTATCTTCTTCTCCGGAAATGAACAGTCTGATTTCATTGGCGGCCTTTGGAACCCAGTGACCTTGAAACCAAAGACCTGGAGTCTGGGCCTAGCCTATTCAACTGTGCCCGCGGACGCAACTGTCTCTATCAACCGTGGTGCCATGTTGAATGAGATTTCCCGCTTAGGCTTGGGTGTGGTTAGCAGCATCGAAGTCCAAAACGAGTGAAAGTGAAAGATGTTTAGATATGTAAATAGTTACAGTTGTGCATTGTCATGTGAAATGATACCTCGAAGCGCCGTTGCGATGCTATATACTGAGCAGTGAAAAGAGCAGAAAAGCAAATGATTCAAATCTAGTCCACGTTATTTCCATACCCACAGCTATTATACCGTCAAGAGCTTCTCATTCCTCTCCAATGACGGCTGAGCAGAAAAGGAGCAGTATTTGTCCTTGATTGCCACTACCTCGTAAGTACCCTCGTCAGATGTCTTGATAATCTTCTGATGTTCGTAAGAGATGTCGTGCTTGATATCGAGTATTTCAGGCTTCTTTCCTTTTCGAGCGTTTGTGCTTCGGATGTAACTAGAAGGTCAGGTTAGTCTTAGAATTAGGACGAGGGGATGTGCTGCGTACGTAAATTCGAACGGTGGTGTTCCCCAGAACTTGAACTCGAGCTCTGCCTCACCACCTTCATGGATATCCACAATGGAAATCTGACCATTACTGATTCTGACGCTCGGCATCTGGTGGATAGTCTTGGTAATGTCCTTGTGGGCCTTGCACTTCCCACTTGCGCCATCACTGACGGCAGTAATGGTAAAAACGCCAGGTCTCTCCGCAATGCGGCGGAAGTGGTTAGTAGCCGAACCGGCCTTTCTGGCAACACCGTCGAAGGTATAGAAGACTTCAAACGGAGCATGGCCTGAGAGCGAGAATGAAAGACGCTCGCCGACACAATAGTCAGTTTTCGACTCGAGAGGAATGATTGTGGGGACATCCGATACCGCGACCCTCACAGAAGAGATGTCCGTGTGGTAGGTCTGCTCGCAACCTCGCGAGTCGCGCACTTTGTGGATGCTGACAACGTGTTGGCCGAGATCGAGATGACGTCGAGGGATTGGAAGACTGTGCTTGTTCGATTTGATGTTGGGTACCGTGACGATTTCGGGCTTCGCTTTGGCGTAGTGTTTGATCGAGATCTCGAGAGAGAACGGGGCCACACCCTCCAGTGTAAGAGGAATCAGCTCCTCGCCACTATTGTCTTCCTTGCAGAAACCATAAATACGACCTGGCGCATCAAACTTGGCAGAGGGGAGCGGGTTTACTCTCTGGGTCACAACGACCTGATTGCTCCTTGGGTCTGTATTGTAGAGGTTATCCCCGACTTCCTTGAAACGGTATGTGTAATCACCCGGCTCTGAGGTCTCTAGTTCCATAGAGAGAGCATGCAGGGCGGTCTTCAGGCTTCGTACGCGTACTGAACTAGAGCCACGAGATGCTTTTCTCTGCTGTTCACACTGGATCGTGTAGGGCGGATGTCCAGTTAACCGAAGCTCAAGACTATCGCCCTGCCCCTGGCAAACTTCATTCCTCACAATATGGCCATCAGGCCCCACCGGGGTATCGTCCACAGCTGTAATCTGGGGTCGCGGTATCCAAGTGATGTCAAATATCCTCGCTGATTGGTCAACAGAACCGGGACAAGAACTATCTGTTACTCCCAGAAGCTCATAGCGTCCTTCGTGACTCACAGTCAAAAAGCTATTCTCTTGCCAGAAAGTCTTTGATACCTCAGAAGAATCTGAATCCAAATTTCTGTACCGAACAGACCATGGCCGCTCACCACTTAGCCTGAGCGGTATATCAATTCTGGCACCATGAAGGGCCGAGTAAATTCTACTCTTTTCAATGAGACCGAAGGCAACATGAGGCGGCTTGGATCGGGCGTCAATATTGAGAATCTCATTCAATGTTCGCTTGCATTTGGAGCGATCTTTCACACTTGTCAGTACGAGGTTGTACTCTCCACCGCTGACAAGCTTCTCTGTCACAATGGTGGATGTTGCATTGTTAGACTCCAGAACATGCCTCGTCTTCTTTCCATTGTGGATAAGTTCATACTGCAACGTCCAGGGCGCCTCTCCCAAGAAACCGACATCCACGGATACGGGCTCGCCGAAACAAGCTTTGCGTACTTCCTTGGCTCCAACGAAATGTGCTGAGGCAGGGGGCTTGACGTCTTGTTCCAAAATTGGTATTTTATCTTCCAGCGGTCGTGGTGCGTAGACGCTGTCGGAAATATCTAGGAAGCGATACCGGTAGTGCCCGGCCTCCAAGGGGGTGAAGTCCAATTGCGAGCGTAATCCCTCAATAACCTGATACTTGGTCTCAACACCCTTGGAGTGCTCGATAGCATATCGCAGGCGGAACGGTGGCGAGCCTGTGAGGTCCAAATCCACAAGCAGCCCCACTGGACTATTCGCACATTTATCGAAGATTTTCTCTGAGCGAATGGACAGCTCAGGCTCCGGCGGGTTCCGCAGGTAACACGATGACGGTTCCAAAACTTCTCCAGAGCAGAATTGGCTAGAGACATGCTTGATACTATACCAGCCCGGCTCTTTGATTAAAGGCTTCTGGTCCACAGTTTTGAGCGAAAGCTGACGAATTGTGCGCGAAGAATCATCCGCATTCGCTTGACTGTCGGTGCCATAAGAATAGATAACGGAAAATGGTCCATCTTCACCATACCCACGGTCTGCGTTGTGAAATGTGATGGGAAGAGCAAGACTTTCGCCACGTGCTACCTCTAGGAATTGCCGATCGTTGCAGCCAGACAAAGACATCTTAGGAATTTCGTGAACAGAGAATCGATGCCACTGAGGCAAAGTTTTCGCTGCATGTTGGTCTCCATCCTCCAAGAGCATTGAGTAATTTGCAACATTCCCGGCGCCATCGTGCACCTCCTCGATCATGTATAGCCAATCGCCGCCGATGTTCAACGACTCATTGAGAGGGATTTCGATGATTTGATTTCGAGCCCAAGCAACATCAGGCTCCTGAGCATTGAACAATCGGCCGAGTGACCTATGACCTAGAAGTGGGGTGCGCAGATGGTCCGGCTGGATGTTTTGGAAAGAAAAGCCTCGGTCGTGGTGGTTGACCTGCCTGCTGTACTTTATTTTTAGTGGCGGAGTCCCTTCAACCGCTAGCATAAAATTCGATAGCTCGCCGCGACATTTTTGTGAGTGCGAGTGTTTGATCAATGCGCGAGGGCAAGAGACGACGATTGCATCGGAGGACCGCACACGAACCTCGAGCTTGGACTCATCTACGACTCGCTGGAGGCGATATATACCGTGCCGACGAATCGGAAAAAGGAGATCACGATGGAGGTCAGGGCTCTGGGAGTGTCTTTTGTCTGCTTGTCGTTTAAGCTGTTTGAGTTGTTTGGCGGGAATTGAGATAATTTCGCTGTCGCCGTTGTCGTAGTCGTAACGTAGCAGTTCAATGACTATCGGGTCGGTCTGATTTACTCGTATTGGCAACTCAACTGCGATTTTATGAGAATCGAGACAAAGAGGTGTCAACTCTGGATTCAGAACGGCAGATCTGTTTTCGATATTAGCAACCAAACGGTGACAAACCGAGTGGAGGAATTTCTTACCCTTCAGGTAGGATATTGACTATTTGCTTTCCAAGAATCAAGGAAGCATTATTGATAATATCGCCGGGCTTTATGCTTTGTCCAGATATTGACAGTTCGCGGTCGTAGGCTATTTTCACCATTCCAGAAAACCACAAACCGATTGGAATCTGACGGCAGTTCAGTTAGGGTTGCTCGTGAAAGTCTAAGATTGAACATACTGGGATGCGAAACATCAGGAAGATGTTAAAAACAACGTGCAGTAGGAATAATGCCAGTGTTGTGGGAAAGGCCCATTCCAGCCAGGGAATGCGCAGCGCCTGGAGGCCAAACAGACAGACACCGTCAATAGAGGCCCATTTTAGAAATAGCCAGGTAGAATCCAGCTCATCAGAAGCCCTCCACGACTCGTACGCCCGCCAAGCATTGAGGGCGACATAGATGGCTGCTACATATAGCCGTTGTGTTGGGGGGTCGAGTATTCGTGACGGAATCAGTGGTGAGCCTTCATCCTGCTCAGCCGCTGGAGCTTTCGTCAAGACCCTTGAAGGCGGGGCATCTCGTGGTCCGGGCCGCGTCGGAGAGATATTGAAGTTCCTCGATTTCTGCGTAGTTCGAGGCGTCGTAGGAAACGCGGAGCGGAGACGCGGAGTTTCGCTCATGGCATGCTGTGGTCGCAGGGTTCCCGCGGGCGATGATGTAGTGTGTACCCCGGATCAAGGGAGCGGCTGCCCAAAATCACCTTGGCGGCGTCGGAGCGAGCGAGAAGACCAAATCGAGTTTCAATTGGCCGCAGGTTATTCGGTGTGTGGGAAGTGGATTTGGCGTCGAGGGCAGCTGTTGTAGTTGATGAAGGAAGAGGCTCGCAGCTTTATCGTGGATATTTTTCTTTGACGCGCGCATTCCAAATCGGGACTAGTCTCCCAAAGCTTACCACTTCCTCTGCACGATCAAGAAGTCATTGAATGGTGCCCCCCTGAGAGCAGGCGGAACAAGAACTGATATACTCTCGCTCCTGCATCTCAGCATCAGCCTGCCCGACCTGAGATGGCCGCAACTACGCACGATCGTGCGAGGACTTGATTAGTGCAGCCATCGAAGAGCTAAAGAGCTTGGATGAAGCTCCCAAACTTGCTGCGGAGGACTTGCTTTGGCCACTCTTCTTTTGATTTTTTCACAAACAAATCTCTGGTGATCTCAATAGTATCTTGCTGAACCCTCATAATAGATTGATCTTCCTACCTCTGCAATACCAAACGGCACGTCTCACCATAATTCTGAGCTGAGACCATGAGTGAGGGTGTGAAACGAAGGCGTCTGAATGGCTCAACGGACAATGTAACTGAGAATGATCTCTATCGTCTGACATCTGAAGCGGAGAAAACATCGTGGAACGGCTTCTGCGAGCTCGAATCGGAACCAGTATGTTTTGCCCTATGAAGAGACCACCTACCCTTGCAACTGGGTTTGTACTCATATCTTCAAAAGGCGATCTTCAATGTAATGCTCCGCGAATTTGGGGTAACAGGTGTCAAAGTTCAAGAAGTCTTTTCCTTAGACGATGAGTGCCTGGCTTGTTTGAAGTACGGACCTCCGGCACCCTGGATCATTTGCCTATATACTTACAACCGCAGTAAACCTGTCTACGGCTTGATCTTTTTGTTTCGCTGGCGAGAAGATGACCCCGAAAAGCAGGAAGCAACCTGCCCCGAAGGGCTTTGGTTTGCGAATCAGGTTCGTCCGACTTAGCTTTAAGTTTCGGGAGACCCGTAGCTGATTTTGCGCTGCGTTTTCGTGGAATAGACGACGAGCAATGCATGTGCAAGTGTCGCTCTTTTGAACATCGTCAATAATGTTGAAGGCATTGATCTCGGAGAGAATCTCCGCCACTTCAAAGAGTTCACTATGCCATTTACACCTGCGCTAAGAGGAGATGCGATCAATAATTTTGAGTTCGTCAAAAGAATACATAACTCATTTGCAAGGTACGTTCTGAAAAGCCTGCTTGACCCTCAATCTTGATGGCTATTGCTTACACCAACGACAGGAAGATGGACATGCTCAACTCAGATCTCCACCTTAAAAATGAGGCAACATCCAGACGCAACCGGTCAAAAAAAGGCAGCCGCGGGGAAAATGACGATGACGCAGGATTTCACTTTATCGCGTTTGTTCCTGCCTTGGGTAAAGTCTGGAAGTTTGATGGCTTAGAACGCCAGCCTCAGGCCCTCGGTCCGTGGTACAACCTGATGAAGGCATGAAGACAGTATGGCTGACTCAGAGCAGGCAAATTCGAGCCAGACAGTGATTGGCTAACATTGGTCAAGCCAAATATAGAGGCCAGGATGGCTGAGTACGCAGAAGACCAGATCGAATTCTCAGTCCTAAGTATTGTTCGACATCCGCTACCCGAATTTGTCGAAAAGTTGACTATGAACATAAAACACCTGCAAGCTATTGAGAAGGTGATAACTTCACTCGAAGGGGATAAAACCGACGTCGGCCCGTGGGACATTCTTCCTGAGAATACACTCTTAGGTCCTGACCCATCCTACGGCGTGACGGAGAATGCTCTCGAGCGGACAAACATTTCTGCAGAGGAAGCGAATGAATATCTACAGTGTACTATGGAGGACTTAGCGCGTCACCGAGCAGAGCGGAGTAGAGCCCAATTGGAGCTTCGGCGGACGGTTCGAGAGGAACAGCAGACCCAGCAGAAAGATGATGACTATGCAGCAGGGCGGAGGTTCGATTATGGACCAGCCATCAGGACTTGGCTGCGCTTCTTGGCGCGCAAGCGGGTCCTCGAAGACCTTCTTCCCAAGACCGAGGGTGTGCAGTGAGCTTGCTCAGAGCGGAGCGAACGACCATCAAGTATGTAGGATACGTATCATGGCGGTGGATGTCCAATATGAGATCTCGACAAAGACCAAACCTCCCTCTTCTCCGCACCATAGAGAACGTAGATGTGCCTCTGGCCAGGGAGGACGGAAGGCGGTCCCTCGTGGTATGCCGATTGGATGAGCGCTCCTGCGCCATTCACATGGATTTCCATAGAAAGGTAGAAAGTAGTAGCCTGCTAAAGGAAGCTCAGAGCGCCTGGTCCTCGTAGGCTCGTCGCCCCTCCTTTTCTCCTGCTCGCCCGCTTAGCCGCTCGATCATCCCAGCATGATCCTATACATCTTCCTGTGATCCGTGTCGGTGGCGCTGAAGCCATCGGAGTATTGACCGACCCAAGACGTCACCGCCTGCTTTCAAACCGACCGCTTTGTCTCAGGACATCTCCAACATTGGCCTTTTTCTTTTCATGGCCTTAATTTGTGAGAGCTGGTGATTTATTGGACTCTCTCTACCAGCTGTGCTATCTGCATCTTTGTGATTAGTATACTATAGCGCGTCCTATTGTTTGCGCTGCTCCTTGCCACAACTTTTGCGTCCAGACGCCAAAGTACTAGGCCTGGCGAGTCCCACCCTCTCTTTCCCGTGCTGTCGGTCTTCCGCAACAGCTGGTCTACTCCCAGATCATTGGCATCTTCCTTTTCCGAAGTCCTCAATAGACCGCAGACTCGCCATGTCTTCCTCATCAACGCCCGACCTGCCTGAGAAGGCTCCCGATGAATCCTCAAAGTTGAAGACGTTTCTGTCTATTCTTCGAAAGTATGTGCTTCTGAACGTGCTGTCACGCTTGGCCGTCTCTCGTCTATTCTTACTAACCGGTGCTCCGTTCCTGTTAGATTTGTCGGTGTGAGCGATATCGCCTCTGTGAGGTTCTCGCTCCCTGCGCAACTTCTCGAACCAACTCCCAACTTAGGTGGGTGCTCGACCCCTCCATACCGCATAACTGCCCTGCCGCATTGTCTGACTCGAAATACTAGAATATTGGAATTATTTGGATAGACCGGAGACCTTCGCGAGGTTAGCTACATTGCTTGTCCCTCAAGTATGTGGTCTCTTTCTCTAACTGGGAGTTTCACAGCATTGGGAAATCAGAAGACCCGCTCGGACGCATGTTGGAGGTGCTGAGATTTTGGTTTACAAAGGATTTGGTATGTGATTTCACGTATTATTCTACCTTTGGCACCCTTGCTAAAACGCATCTAGAAATACATCAAGGGCAAGCCGTGCAAGCCCTATAATTCCACACTTGGCGAATTCTTTAGGGTGAGCCTGGATCTCTGCGTATTGTATGTCCTCGACGACTGATCGCACTCGAAATTACAGTGCAGTTGGGAAGTTCATTCCACTCTTCCCAAGTTACCATTGCTGGCCAACAGTCATACAGCCAATGGTGTTTCAAGCGTGACGGACGACACTGGAAAACCGGTCAAGGTTTGCTTCTTGACGGAGCAAACATCTCACCATCCGCCAGTGTCTGCATTTTACATCGACTGTCCCGAAACAGGGGTTAGCGCTCGTGGCTTTGATCAGATCAGTGCTAAGTTCACAGGCACTAGCATCCGTGTGTCGCCTGGCCAACACAATCTTGGAATATTCCTCAATATAAGCCAGAGGGACGATGAGGAGTATCAATTGACGCACCCGGCTGCTCATCTTGGGGGTCTTTTGCGAGGAGCACTCTCCATAAGTGTCTCAGACACATGCTATATTGTTTGTGCCAAGACGGGCATTAAAGTGATTCTGCAGTATTTGGAAGAGGGTTGGATCAGTCGTGCTCAAAACAAGGTTGAAGGAGTGATTTTCCGATACAACCCCGACGAGGATACGATCACTAGGGTCAAAGACGTACCTGAGAGTGATGTTCTTGCAAAAGTCTCAGGATCGTGGCACGGTCAGTTGTACTATACCCTGGCTGGGTCATCCGAACCTCAACTTTTGATTGACATTGCGCCCCTTTTCCCTGTCGCAAAGAGCCTGCCACCGGAAGAGACTCAGCTATCAAATGAGTCACGAAAGTTTTGGTCCGGAGTTACGGAAGCGATTTTAGAGAAAAGATATAGCCAAGCTACCAAGCTGAAGCAAGAAATTGAAGAGCGTCAGCGTGAAAAGGCCGCCGAGCGACAAGCAAAGAATGAGGAATGGAAACCTCGCTTCTTCACGGGTGCCGTTACCCCTATGGGTAAACCAACATTAAGCGAGGAAGGCTTGAAAGCTCTCGAGGGTCTCCGTAACGCAGACTACGAGTTGAAAGAGAGTGAAGTCAAGGGAGCCTAGTGTGCATTCTGAACAGAACCGAAGTATACCCCCTCATCCTGCATGGGCTGATTTTGGCGTACATTACAAAGTGCTAGATGTGATAGGATACATACTAATTGGTTTTTTTCCCGAGTGGACTGCCTTCGCGGTGGCATGCCTGTCTTTCTCTTCTCCTCTTGGTTCTCTTTTCGCTCTCCTTTTCTTGAGCGTTTCTACGGTAGACTTCCGCTTGTATCTCTTACACCGGACATGAGCGTCTTTTAATATATTCAGACTCCATGGTTGTTGCCACGAGTACAAATGGCAGGACCTTTTCTCGAAATGCAAATCCAAGAATACTGTGCCTCATCATATCCGCGTTCGGTCGCCCATGTACAATATTAGAGGTCGACTACACCGAAGATTCTACCAACTGCTGGACGCAGTGAGAGCAATGAAATATATCTGACCCATGGCATCAGAATTGAAGAGCTAGAAGAACGAAAAACCCCATCCCAGTGCTATCATCAAGTCATACATGTCCAATTGTGCTCCCAAACCGCAACCTCAACCATTCTGCGCCGTCCGTGGCCGTCCATATATAAGCAGTAGGACCCCTTGAAACAAGAAACAAGAAACAAAGCCATATATAATCCAGTGTATGTACAGTTCCCGCAGAGAGAGGCGAAAGGAGCAGGGAGACTATGCGGCGGTTGTGACAACCTTGTTGAACCCTCCGGCCACTGTCTTGGTGATTTCTTCATTCTTGTGAGGAAGGAGGGAGAGGGCGTACGCGACGTCGTTCCACTGCCGCTCAGTCTCGCACCTTGGTAAACGGGCAGCAAGTTTCTCTGCCAATTGGCGGGCGTGCTTCTCCTGTACAGCGAATATAGGTTAGTAAGGGTGGGGAGATACTCAGGATTCTAAGTTTGAACTGACCTTCTCAATAAAGCCAATGAGGAACTTAACGATGCGGCGGAGAGAGCCCTCCTCGACATTACGTTCTGCACTCAGAAGACTGAACATATCGACAAAGTGGTTGTAGACGGCATTGTCCTTTCCGGCAAGTTCTGTAAAGAACATGCGGGCCAGGTCGGCAATTCGCTTATCGTCGTCTTCCAGGCATTTGGCCATTTCGCCGAGTTGTCCCTTGACTTTGACTTGGCCAGCGAGGATGAGAAAGGTGAGGGTCATGAGGCAAGTACGCTTAACGGAGGCATCGTCATCGTTGAGCCGGCGGTAGAGGAAGTCTGTGTTCTCGTCGATGAGATGGTTGAAGCACACTGCCATGTCACCAAGAGCAATGACTGCGTTACTTCGCACAATGGGATCTTCGGAACGTTCCATGATCGTGATGAGGAGCGGAAGGTTCTTCTCACAGTACTCGGCCGAGACGCACATAAGCTTAGCCATACAAATAGTTGCTGCAGCTTGAAGGCTGCGATCGGAGTACGTGATGTTGTTTGCACAGATTTCTGCAACCAGCGGTCCGAAATTGGATAAGAGCGAGTTCGCCCCATACAACAGTTCCCGTTCACGAATATGTGCCATTGCTTCTGTGAAGTCATCCTCAGTCGTACCTCCGATCAGGTCTAACTCGTCAGCTTCAGCTGCTTCGTCATCATTCTGAGCTGCGGAAGCAGGTTTGTTCTTTTCCTGTTCAGCCTTTCGACGCTTGAAGTCAAGCTCGCACAATTCTAAATGAACGATCTGCTTGATTGCAATATGGCCAACAACAAAGAGTAGTTGAGAGAGTGCGGCCGAGGAAGTCTTTTGACCGGTGGTCGATTTTTCAGTTGAAGCTGTCCCAGGTCGCTGGTCTTCATCCATGGCAGAGCTACTTGAAGATGGGCGTTGAACCTGGGGTTGGAAGACAGACCTGGTCTTTCGCTTAACAATATCGGAGCAAAGAACATCCGGATGCTTTGACAGAGCGTAAATCGCGCCAATGGCTTGCTCCGCGACGCCGTACCATTCTTTACTATCCGAGACCGTTTCGACCATGGCGGCGAGCTTTGTCAGGACAGGATGGCCGTTCGTAAGCTTAGAGATGCTGGACTCTTTTGACTTGGCCTGACGTCCTGGTACCATGCGTCTCAGTGCAATGCACGTGTACTTTGCAAGGATGAGATCGGATCTCCCAAAGCTTCCAAGGCCGATTCGAAGCATGACCTCAATCTCTTTGATCACGACTTCGGGATCAGCAAGGGCGATCATGCCGAGCACGATAATTGAACCACGTCGCTGGGTCCTTGAAATCTCCTTCTTCTGCACGCCGTAAACCTGCCAAAGCTTGGCAATAACGGCCTCGGATATATGGCCAGCCTTCATCATAGTACTGAGTAGTTGTTCCAAACATGTGATTTCGGCAGGTGTCGAGCCAAATGTAAGACTGATCATGTTCCGAGCAATGTAGTTCGCCGCATCGTTGGGGCTGAAGGAGTCTGGTGCATCGAAGAAGAGTCCCTTGTAGCAGTCAATCAAATGGGTCTGAACTCCCTTTCCTTCGTCACTGTTCCCCTTGGTCCAGATAAGCCTCAGCATACGCCGAATCCCACTGCGAGCAGTTTCCACTTTGTACGCGTCCAGCATGACAAAGAAATCCATCGCCTCAATGACTTCACTTTTGTTCCTCGATGAGAGCAGCTGAGCAACAATGGTGGATGCCGAATGTAGGACTTCGATGAAGCGAATCGCCTCGTTGTAGTACTTCCTGGTTAGCTGGAGTCGCGCAAGCAGTTCGGAGGTGGCTGCTTGCTCGGCCGCCTTCTTCATCGCCATAGACTTCTCCTCTTCGGTCATGCGCGGTGCCTTGGACGGCGAATCATCGGGTAGCTGTGTCGCATCGTCCAAAAGTTCACTATCAATATGCGAAACATCTCCAGCATCGAATCCAGGCGTCTCAGGAGGCCGCAAAGCGTTGAGCTCGGCGTCAACGGCGTCGAGACGATCCGTCCATTCCTTTAATGACAGTTGTCCACCGTGCATGACACTGAACGGATGCGTCGACACCAACTTGGCAAGCAATTTGATGGCATTCCGCCGCACATTGCTGCTCTTGTCCTCAAGGCTCCTTGCCGCTAGTTCTGCCGCTGCTTGTCGACGTTTGGGAAATTTCTGCTCCAGGTCACAGATCCTCATGTACACCTGGATAGCTCGACATCGGCAGTAGGGATTGATATCAAGGAAGCGCTCTTCCAGCACATCAAAGAAGGCGTTAATCTGCGTTTTGCAGTTATCGGTTCGCTCTTCTTGTTTGCTGAGATCACCTATTAGGTTTCCACACACTTCCACGACGGCACACCGCAGCGTATATGACTATTACAAGGTTAGCGGTTCACATCACTGAGCTGACGACTGATAGACACGGCTTACTTCGCTATCAAGCTGCTTCGCTAGAAGGGTCATTTGCTTGATGATTAGTCTTGGAGCTAGCTCTGAAAGTTTGATGATGAATGCAGACACTGATTTCGGTCCCCGGGTATCGTTTGAGTTGAACTCTTTATTTCCAAGTTCCCTAAGCCATTGATTAACAGACGCCCAAAAAAATGTGGCACAGTTGTAAATACTTTAGAATCTCGTCGGATAGTTGCGGGTAGTCGTATTGCTCTGCGAGAATATGTAAGAACTCTGCCATGGGTTCTGACAAATGCTCGAAGTAGGTTAAACTCTGGACGATAGACGTTTGTGCCCCTATACTTTAGGTTAATCCCATAATATACCGCCGCAGGATTACAGACTGACCGAATCCGTGACCATGGTGCTTTACTGCGATACACAGGACTTTAAACGCGTGCATCCGGATCGTCATGCTCTTGACACGCTGCTCGCTCTCAAGAATGAGATAAATGGAGCGAGTAAACAGGTTGATAAAGGTATCGCGGTCTGATGTCGTCAAGAATATTTTGCTGAGTTTAAGTTTCATGACCTTGCACATGGTCTCCATCGATACCTGAATCTGGGCGGTGCCATCCCAGTTGCTGTCCTTGGGAGCCCGCGATCTCCCTGACTTCCCTGTTCCTCGACGGACTGGCGCAGATTCGGCAGGTTTCTCTGCGGCCTTCAACTCGACTGCAGAGAGAGCCCATTGGAGAAGGAAACCGTACATCTCCAAGAGCTCCTTGTGGTGCTGAATGCTGTCCTGCTCGTCGGATTCCAGGTCTCCATGGATGATATCAGCTTCAACGGACAGACCGGAGACTACTAAGTCGAGAAGTTTGCTCAGCGATTTTGTCGGAAGGAAAGTGGAATATCTGTAGAAATTCAAGAGTTCAGAATTGGGACCAAAGGGGCCAACATGGGGCTCAGGGTTAGGGGCGAATGCGCACTTTAGAAGAAACTGCAACGAGTCGAAGAAGGATGCTCTGGCGAGCCCTTCCGGATTCTCAGCAACTGCATCCACGATTGGATTCAATACATTGTCGACGACCGTGCTTGAGAGCTGCTCTGGCTCTGATTCAAAATCCAGCAGCTCCGGGTCAACGTCAGATGTCGGAACGGAGGTTGGGTCGCTCAAGTAGTACTTGAGCGAGTCGTTAATGTCGAAATGGATCCTGTCCTCCATTATGGAGACAGCGAGGGAGGGCCTCGTAAGGTTGTCGGCGAGAGTTATGCTGCTTTGGTTAGAAGGTCGCGGGGTCGTTGATGGAGAGTCGAAAATCAAGCCTGATGTTGGTGCGGGCGGCTTTTGTTTGTATCTTTCCCGTTCAGTCCTTATTTTCCTGGCAACCATCGGTGGGCGGAGAGGTAACTTGCTTACGGCAAATTACGCTGCTCTCGTATTAACGCTACATACCCGTAGCTCTACTATTGGCTGTAGTGTACTCAAAATGGCTAAATAGCGCTTGGCCTTACCAAACATAACGCCACTTTTCAATCAGCAGATGGAGATAAACAAACAACACTATACTATATCTGGTGAATTTGCACGCTGCTTTTGAAGAATTAGTATCAAGCCTCGCTTTCACGTCACCCACCCACCGCGACGAAGTCCACAGCGAAGCTCTTCTATACGTGACTCGAGATACACCTCCGTGCCACAAGCTGCCAGTAGCAGCCACGCCAACTTCCGTTCTTTCCCTCACCGCGCGAACCCAGGCGAGCGCGAGAACATTCATCCCCTCATTCGTTCATCTTTGGGTCAATCAATGTCAATGTTCCGCACAGCCTCCGCGCGCGTCCCCGACTTACAGCGCGCCGGCGCAATGGCACCAACACCCAAATATATTCTTGATATCGACTCAGGGGACGATAGCGACTATCGACGAGAAGAGCCCATAGACGGGCATGACCCAGAAGGGGAGGACCCCATTGAGGAAGAAGAAGTCGATGAGATTGTCAAGGAGGACATGAAGAGGCTTGAAGATACTTTCCCGGGCATATCAAGTCAGTTTCGATTGGTGAATAGGATCGGTGAAGGTATGGCATGAACGGACCATTTTCAGCATGACCCACGCTTGAGACGCTTGGATTTGCACCACTGACCCAGATTTTTGGTGATAGGTACTTTCTCCACCGTGTATAAAGCGGAAGACCTCAAGTACGATCAGTACAGAAATGAGTGGGATGTGTTTCAAGACGACCAAAGCGACGGATGGACGAACCCTCCTCCTAAACGGCGCCGAGTGGAAGGGGAAAAGGGCAACTCCGTGCCAGTCGGCCGAGGGAAAACACGATATGTTGCGCTGAAGAAGATCTACGTCACGAGCAGCCCGCTGCGCATACAGAACGAATTGGAACTACTACATGACCTTCGAGGATGTCGGTCTGTGTGTCCGCTGATTACTGCGTTCCGTCACCAAGATCAGGTCGTCGCGGTCCTACCATATTTTCCCCATACAGACTTTCGGCTTCAATACCGCACGTTCATGGTAGCGGATATGCGCCATTATTTCCGGTCATTATTTACAGCACTAAACTCGGTTCATAAGCATGAGATTCTTCATCGAGATATTAAACCAACGTAAGAGGGGCCTGGCTTATAGCGCCCATTGCGTGGCGGAAGACCTATGGATGCTAACTCTCGAGTCTAGCAATTTCTTGTACAATCCAGACCTGCGAGAGGGCGTCTTGGTCGACTTCGGTTTAGCCGAGCGAGAGGGCTCTGAATATACCGGCACATGTCTGTGCACAAGCACAGGCTCCATGCGTCGCACGCGATACACTCAGAGCTACTACTACACCAACTGCTCCACATCCGGCCCGTCAGTCGGCTATCCGAAAAGCGACTCACGGCCATCACGCCGCGCCAATCGAGCCGGAACGCGAGGTTTCCGAGCCCCCGAAGTCCTTTTCAAATGTACATCCCAAACAACCAAAATCGACATGTGGTCGGTGGGCGTGATCCTCCTCACATTGCTCGGCCGCCGATTTCCATTCTTCAACTCGGCCGACGATGTCGATGCTCTAATAGAAATGGCGAGCATCTTCGGGACGCGGCGCATGAAAAACGCCGCGGCTATGCATGGACAGATCTTCGAGACTAATATTCCGACGATTGGTGAAAAAGGGTATAGCTGGGAGAAATTGGTGAAGTGGTCTAGTTGTGTAGAGGAGTTGACAGAGAGCGAGAAGCAAGCAACGCGTCTTTTGGCTGGATTGATGGAGTTAGACCCGTCTAAGCGGCTAAGCGCCAAAGAGGCTCTGCAACATGAATTCTTCACTAACCCTATTGACCATGATGTCGAATGGGGTGGACCGGAGGATAGCGCCGACAGCGGGAGGGAAGACGAAGGCGAGAAAGCAGCAGATGAGGAAGAGGAGGATGAGGATGAAGTGGACATGGTATAAATCTTTTGTAATGATAACAATGATACCTAATGTCAGCTTGGCTTCAAGCCCTACCCATGTCTATGCCCCCCCTGTTAGCGACCAACATCCCCGCGCTTCTAGGAACGGTAATGCGTGATTATATACAAAGAATATACGAAATGCCTATGAGTTTCAGAGTATTTGCAGTGCTGTGTAATATAACGTAAGACCTCTCCTAGGCTGCCTCTTGGAAATCAGTGTGCCCGGTCTGCTCCGCATGCTGGGTTGCACCCTGTTCTCCGGTGAATGTACCTCCGCACTGGCGGCATTTGATGCGAAAATTTGCCGTATCTGTATAATAATGCTGTCCCTGTAGCAGTTTGCAAAGCGCTAGCGATCTTTCCTCCACCAACGGGTCCGCCGCATCGAAGACCTTTGTATCAAAGTCTGGAGGTGCAGTAACAGCTGGTGTCAATGCAATGGTATCGTAGTGAATGCCCGAGTAGACCAAAATACATCGCTGACTTTGACCCTCATTAAATCGGACCGGAGCGAGCGATTGGACGTCAATCGTCCATATCTCGACGCCGAAATGTTTGCTTAAAATGCTCAGCTCGATCGCTCCGCCCCATGAATTCTCATTCTTAATCCAGCGGCAATAGTCGTCAGGATCTTTCTCCAGGACCACCTTGGGGTACTCATTCGGATTGTTCTGGATTTCCTCGGCAACAATCGATCGGAGCTCGGTCATCGCATCCTCGCCTCCTAGAAGCGCGGTGCTAACTGCACGGAACAAACACGAGTTGTCATCGGGCATGACCCTTAAGACGAACGTACCGTTGTGCTCCGGCGACGGAACTTCCGGAGGATCGCCGGCACTTTTCCTGTTGCTGCGCGATAGAGAGAGTTTCGGAGAAGGGGGTCGACCGGTGGAAGGAACAGGCGCTTCATTTTTGGTTACCAGCGGTGTTGATGGTGCTGGTGTTGGTGCTTCCTTGGCGGTGATTATAAGACTTTCCCCATGGAGTTTGATCCCTAACTCAGCCAATTTCTGGTTTTCGTCGAATGTCTCCAGAGATAGCGGCTTCACTGGGTAGCCATATTTCACGTCATATGCGTATGCGGGGAGTCCCGTTTTCTCGGTGATCTGAGCTCGGAGGTCCTTCACGGTTGCGCTTTCGCCTAACGTGGCGGTTGAGAGGCCAGCAGGCCCGCGTATTCGTACCTTGATATCAGACATGATATAGCGATCGAGGTATATGGGTGAAGGAAAGCGAGCGGGGAAGCCAGAGAAAGCCGTTGAGACCGGTGACGCAGCGTCAACTGTGGGGCGGCAGGTGTGAGGTCCCAGATTCCAGAGCAACGACTACGGTTGGGGCCAGCCTGTACTTGCTGCACATATTCTTCGGCGATAGAATATGCGCTCTCCTGGAGCGAAATAAATCTGGCCAAGAGACCTGCAGAAGCCTGAAGGAAGGGGTGTTCTCTGAAATGTGGGGAGGGATAGGAGGGGTCCAACCAACGGACGGACCTTCAAGAGACGACAGTCTCTGAGGCAGCCAATTCTCGAAGACGGCGGGGACAACAGGTCGATCCAAGAAACTCGAATGGTTCTTGCTCAATCCTTTGGCTGACTTCTGTTGACATCTGTGTACTAGATGGCTCAAGTGCCTGCCTCAAGGCTTGCTTGCTTCTTGATAAGTTCGACAACTCACCAAGCATCTCAGCGAGCCTCTCACTATTCATTTCGCCGAGCTCCTCATTATTCCTCTATCAATTGCCTTGTTGCGCGGTTTGAATGAGGTACTGGCTACGTGAAATTAACCCATAACACAGACCAGTTCCAAATGGGCGTCATTCTCATGTAAATACTCTCTACGAAGAGAAATCCACTCCCAAGAGGCTATACTTCGGCCTACGGCAGCAATCACATTCACAGAGCTAAGTAACCAAACGCATCAAGAAAGTGGGCATCAAACCAGTGCAAGACCTTTGCCCTGAAATCATCATTTTCGATGAATGACCCGTTTACGTGAAACACCAGATTCTGGCCTACGTTACCACCGATAGAGGTGTTATAGACAAGCCAGAAACCCTCCTCGCAAGTGAACCTGCGCAGCTAGCGCCTCAGCACCACAGCGCTCGCGCCCATGCCTACGATTGTCACCTTGGTGGGATCGCCTCCAAAAGCAACATTATTCTCGTTCATCCATCGCAGGGACTGACGCATACCATGGTGGCCGAAGTTTACGGCACCTGCTTCCAACTCTCGTTAACCATCAGCCATCCTCATACAGACAGGCGACAGTTGATAGTGACGCCAATAGAAGGCTTCCCCATGTTGACAGAATCTTGGGCGGCATAGCTATAATTGTATCGCTTGTCTGAACCACCACCCTTGTTGAACCTGCCCCCATGAATCCATACCACAACTCGGAGTCCGAAGATCTTGGTCAGGCCAGAATTACGGACAATGTTGAGTGGAATCGCAGAAATATGACTTAACTCTTTACTCACCTGCGCGTATCTGATTCCCAGAAAGGCGTCCTGATTATCCATGGGCAGGTGGACACCGCCATACGTCCCGTTCTTTGCATCAACGGTGAACCAGGGTATGGGTTACGGGGCACGGGGCACGGCTGGCGAACGCTGCACCAACGAAGATAACTCTGCTTGAAAAGGCAAAAAGGTGCATAAAATTAATTCAAGGAAAATAGCTAGGCTTGCTAATACACTAAGACGCATTCAAGGCTTGATTCAATGCTTGACGGGAATCCCGAATTGGTCGCCCGCGGAATTTGACTTCTACCTTTGCCTTGGAGCTTGTGTTGAAAAGCCACCCAGACCAACCGGAAAGCGGGTTGGTTGCCGCAAGGACATGGTGAGTAGTGTGTCTCCTGAAGAAAACAATCCGCCAGATTGCCATTCTGAATTAGCCAACTGACGCTACCATGGTGATATCCCCCGTCCCTTCTAACTCTTACAAGCCTTCAATCACAATACCCTCGACTAGCTCTGATGCTGGCAGTGAGATTTCTCCATCCTTTACCTCCAACTTTCTATCACTCTGCAGTGTATGCGCCTTGACCTCTTCTCCCCGTAGCTCGTTCCCCAGAGACGGGCATATGAGGGTCTTCTGCCTTCTGGCACCTGGCATATTGATGATATGGCCAATCACCTTGGACCCTGTCCTGTGGATAGTCATTTCTACCTGCTCTGCGATGCTACAGCAAGGACTTTCTTTGCGCCACTTTTCTCAGCTAGAACCCTGGTGAAAAAAGTCCCGGCAGTAAAAGGGATAAAAACACCCTTGCAGCGGTCAAAGCTACCTGTGCCGTACCCACGTTGCTCTACCTGAATGTTGCCGTAGGCTTTCTCAGGAGGGCCAAAGAATGCATGAGCAAGCAACTTGTACCCGACCCGCCTCCACTGCCAACCTTCCATTCGAAACATGTGGCGTGCACCGTAAAGAGGAACTAACATACGGTTATGAACGCTTGGTTGGGGCAAGGCGGAGTATGATAACCAGAGCTGGTCAAGCTTATCGTCCAATGCGAGGCGACGCGAGGCTGGCAACGAGTTCAGCTGGATAGACCCGTCCTCTTTGACGCCACTAGATCTTCTTGTGACTAAGTGACCACCGCTAAATACCCAGCTATCGAGAACAACCACTGTGTCGGATTGGATCATGCCTATATTTGGGAAAATTACAACATTTCCCCCCCTACAGCTTGATTTTCGGTCATTGTGGCAATGCTCTTGTGCAATGAGGGATAGCCGCCTCGCGAAATACATGGGAGTGGATACTGTGCAATGTGTGCAGGTTCCACGCTCGCCATGCGGTACGGCGTAGCTAGGAAACATGTCGAGTTAGCGAGAACAGGCACCTCTGGTCGAAAAGAGATCCACGAGCTGATCATTTCGGAGGTGGGGTGATACCAGTGCTCCTGCCCGACAGAATTATTCGCCTCATGAAACATGATGTCCGCTGCTTTTCCGAGATTCAAGTAGGCTGACGAAAGCCTCTGTGATGTGGCTGCATACCTGATCCGTGATTCCATCGAGCACTTCTCGGCTGAAGGTAGCAAGGTTGGTATCCTGGGGTCCTGAGAAGTTCCGATCACCAGAATACCTGTGCCAACGGGCCTGGCGCTCATCGCGAAGGCAGACCCTATGGTGTCGCTTCTAGTAATCTTCCTTGTTTGCAGCCGTCCAGTTGATGAAGAAGCCATCGAACGGATACCGCATCACAGATTCATCCAAAATACCAAACATCCGTTCCCAATAATACCCTGCGCTCGGACACACCGAGATCAGTTCCACAGTATGCCTCTGTGACTATGACTCCGCGACTGGCGAGACATAACACCACTCCGGATGCTCCTCCGCAACCTCCTTGGAGACCTCTTGGAAAATCCATCCCCGTCAACAGACGCACCCCCCGCGCGCTCGAAGCGGCAAAGGCATCCGCAATAAGGTCGCCACTGGACCGCTCTTTGAGAGTGTAATGGTGCTAGTAGTGCCGTTGGGTATGGCGCCTGGATCCCGCCCACGCCAATCAGCCACGCGTCGGCGCCGTGCTGTGAGATGTAGCTGGCGACTTTTTCCACATTCATTTTTATGTCGACTTCCCGCAAGTTGGTCTCGAGCATGCTAAAGGACTTGTGCCACCATTTTTCGGTCTGGAAGTTGCCGGTGTCGCCCATCGATGCCTTGCGCTGCGTTGCGGTTCAGTTCGCTTAGGGCTGGACAAGTGGGTGGCATATGAAGAATCAGAAAGATAAGTTGACTACCATAAATCATGGTGGGGTCCGGGCAATTGAACCTTGCCGTCGGCGTTAATTTAGGTATTCTTCTGGACACCGACTGACTTCGCTTCTATTAGCCGGGCGCGGCATATAGAAAATCGAAACCCTGTGATAGCTACATCAAGTACATGATGGATCCCTCTCGTGCTTCATGTTTTTATTGCTTATGCAGCAGCTTTCATTCTCTCACTATGACCACCGTGTCTCAATCCGTGGGTGATAAGCCCGCTACAGGCACATCGAACGTTCAGAACCTGCTGTGGGCGACTCCAGTACAGGTGCGGACGTTACGAAGTCGGATACCAACAACCCTAACAATGCGGCTTCACCAACCAAGCAGTTGGTCATTGTTCAGTCTCTTCGAATTTACAAGTGGACGACTCTTGTCTGTATGATTTGCTGCGGTCGGGACTCTTTCGGACGGATATCTGGTCCAGATGTCTGGCAGCATTGTTGCGCTACCTGGGTCTGTTCGTACGTTTGGAGACCTTCAGCCGGATGGGTCTTACAACATCGATCCCCAATATATCTCTCTCGAGCTGTAGGTCTTCCTGGCCAGCAATTTTCTTATCGGAATGATATCTGACCTACGCAATTTGGTCCTTCGCTCTCAAGATGTTCTGGCCATGCTCGGTGCTGGGATTGGCTCCTATGGTAGTGGCCCCTATCCAGCAGATAAATTTGGTCGTCGGTGAGAGATCTGTAGCGTTCAGATGATCATGGTTGCTGGTTGTATCTTGGAACAGCTTGTCACGCATTGGACACATTGGCTCGGTGCCCGGTTTCTAGATGTGAGCCTTGACAGGGCTACATTCCTCTGGCGGATGTCTTGTGCTAATCTGCAATCTGCCAGGGATTCTTAATCGGTCTCGACCAATGTTGCATCAATGTCTATATTTCCGAGATGGCACCAACACCTTGCCGTGGAGCGCTAACAAGTCTTGTCTAGCTATTTATAAGTTGCATCTTACAGCGGCTTTAGAACAAAGTATCGAGATGCTGATGCATACGCTACTTTTCAATTGGCTCGTTCCTGTCCGCGATCTCACTCAACGTCGTCTCGCAAGACAAGCCCTCCAACTGGCGACATGCGGTTCTCACCCAGTTTGTCTTTTGTGGAGTCGCACTCATTGCGTGAGTCTTTCTACCAGAGTCTATCCGCCGGCACTGCCTTACCGGCCGTGAATCCTAAGCGGAAAAGGTGATGAAGAAGATGTATCATGAGGTCGAGGGCTACGACGTCCAACATGAATACAATCAACTCATGTTCGAGATTAGGAATCGCGTGCCATGTCCTCAGTCCAAGGTGAAGGCTCATACATAGGTGTGTTCCGCGGCAGGAATAGAATGGTGGCATCCCGCCATCGTTTTCGTTGTTGACATCAGCTTACCACTCGGCTCCTAGCATCGCCTGCAGGTGATATTCCCTCTTTAACATGGCATTGTCAGGTCGCAATTGATGTTTTAATTATTTCCACCTATTCGAGCTACTTCTTTGACATGGCGGGGCATGCTAACCCTTTCAAGGGACTGTGGCTACCAAGTGAGTATTCATACTAGGAGAGTGTCAATCACTGCTAAAGTATTCCGGGGTGCCACGATTGTTATAACCTCGTAGCGTTTCGTCTAATTGAGCATCTCGGTCGCCGTAGACTCCTTCTTTGCTTTGCGCCCAATTGCATATGCCCCCACTTAATCATTGGTGGTGTCCTTAGAGCCAACGGGTCAGCAGTTGGGCCAGTCTTGATCACCTTTGCGTCAGCAAACCTACCACTCCCTTCTACTTAATCCAGATACACTAGCTGACCAGATAAATCTGCACCTGTAGCATTGGCTACAATCTTTCGCGGGCCCAATGGGATACATCTACGTTTCAGAGACAGGAACCATAAGTTCCGTGCGAAAACAACCGGCGTCGCCATCATCTTTATTCGACGAATGGCCACTGTCTATGTCTACATCGCTGCCATCATGCTTGACAACCCCAAGTTAGGCATGAGTGAACTGGGTATGTGTCTACTACTCATAAAATAATGTGTTGATTAGCCGTTGACATTTGAGATTAGTTTTCTTCTGGGTTGAAACTGGCACTCTCATTCACATCCTGATCTGGTTTCAGGTTCCCGAGACGAAGGGCCGCTCCTATGCTGAACTTAATGGGCTCTTTGCTCGCAAGGTTCCTGCCTGGCGATTTTCTGACTCTACCTGCTCATAAATCGAGGCTTCAAAAACTTCATGTCGGGTCATATGACCTAAATGGACGAAAAGTGGCTGAGCTTTGGGATGGGAGTAATAACCAGGAAACCTCGGGCATGCAAACAGGCCCACGAACCTAGATCTCCCTAGGCTTCACTCATCATCCTGAGAGGGAGAGAGTATCATGTTGTAGGGGGGTTTGGAGGTCCATACAGCCAGTTCTAGCCCTACCACTAAGCAACAATCAACATGATCATCATCCGAATCCAGACACCTCTAGTAGTCATCATTTCAAACACATTGTAGTATAAGTGCTAATTCCTGCCTTCGACTATTCATCCAGAGGCTATATCGTAATAAAACAGTACTGGAGCAGTCGAGATACTCGTAACTTACCGTATCAATGAAGTTGTAAGAAACTCTTAGTCAGCACACTCGCTGCTTGAACCTCTCGTCTGCTGCTCTTGCGCGCCTCTGGAGGTCCGGTTTCATTCTCAGTGAATTAATTCGATTGACGCGACACCTCCAGTAGCTCCAGCGAAGCTTTTCTGACCTGTAGCGTCGCTACCGTGATCGTGGTTGTCAACATCATGGACAAGGACTCGGAGCCGTCGCAAGCGCAACCAACGCCTGAGGACCCCGTCCAGTCCATCGAGGAGGACATCAAGGGTGACGGCGTCCCCAGCAACATCAGCGAGGAACTATGGAAGGCCATGATGGACGTTGTGCTGGCCATCTACGACGTTAGAGAAGCAGAGTAAGTGATTGTTTGCCCGGGTTTAGTTGAAAGCGCGACGATCGAGCGAGGAACCCTTCCCGTTCCAATTCGTGTCGTGTGTCGCAAAAAAGGGAACATGCAGCTCACATCCGGCTTTCCATTTTTTTCTTCGCAAATTACAGTGGCCACGATCCCTCGAGACTCTTTCATCGCAGCGTCAATAAGCGCAATGTGCCCGACTACTATGATATCATCAAGGAGCCAATGGCTCTTAGTATCCTGAAACAGAGGATCAACAAGCGAGAGTACAAAAAGTTTACAGACTTTGTCCGCGATTGTGCGCTGGTACGTTTGGCTGTCGTCTAATTTGTCGCGTCAAATCTAACATTATTGCGCGACACAGATTCCTCATAATGCGCAAACGTACAACCGTCCCAAGTCCCAAGCATACGAAGATTCGCTGGTGATCAAGGTTCGTGCAAGCAACTCGGATTCCCCCTCACGCGCAGCGAACTAGGGTTGATGATTGGTTTGATGTATAGGATGCGTTTATCTCCGAATTCGAGAAACTGGTCAAGACGGGAATTGTAACCGCGGAGGAGGCTGAACTTCCCGATCTGGGGGAGATTCCAGAGGCTGATCCTTTGCCGGATGAGGAAGAGGAAGAAGACGAAGATGATGAAGACGATGAGGATGACGATGACTCTGACGATGAAGGCCGACGCAAGAAGAAGCGGGGACCACGGCCCGGCTCGAAGCGAGATGGCGCAAAGGACGATGGAAATAAGTCTGCCGATCCCGAACAAAGGAAAAAGCGAGGCCGCCCCCCGCGAGTTGATACACCAATGGAAGCGAGAATCAAGGCGGTCCTAAAGGGCATCCGGAAGCTGAAAGGTCCTGGGAACCAATTGAAGGTTCGACATTTTGAGCGTCTTCCTGACAAGAATGTTTATCCGGACTACTACATCGAGATCAAAGATCCCATCGCCATCGATCTTATCAAGCGCAAGTCGAAGCGGAAGAAGTACAACTCGGTGGATCATTTCATGAAGGACATGGACCTCATGTTTAACAACGCGAAGGCTTACAACCAGTCCGAAAGTCAAATCTATAAGGATGCCGTTGAACTCCAGGTCGAAGCACGAAGGCTTGCTGAGATCGAAAAAAAGAAGCCTGATAGCGAGTACTTAATGGAGGACGGGCGTCTACCGTTACCGGATGGCATTCTTCACAAGGGCGAGCTATGGAAAGTTGGGGATTGGGTGCATATCCAGAACCCTAACGACGTGACCAAGCCTGTGGTGGCGCAAATCTACCGTACTTGGCAGGACTCTGAAGGCGAAAAGTGGATCAATGCGTGCTGGTACTACCGACCAGAGCAGACCGTCCATCATTTCGAAAAGCACTTTTATCCTAACGAGGTAGTCAAGACAGGCCAGTACCGCGATCATCGAGTTGAGGAGATCGTTGATCGATGCTTCGTGATGTTCTTTACTCGGTACAACCGTGGGCGGCCCCGGGACTTTCCCCTCGATAAGGAAGTTTATGTGTGTGAGGCTCGCTACAACGAAGAGAAGCACAAACTTAACAAGATCAAAACATGGGCCAGCTGTCTTCCCGATGAAGTGCGAGAGAAGGACTACGAGATGGACTTGTATGATGTGCCTAGGAAGATCAAAAAGATTCCCAGCCCAATCAAGCATCTGCTTAAGGATGATGCAAAGGAGACAGACGATCTCCCTAAGCCGACATGGGGAGCAGAGAACGCGCCACCAGTGGTGGGAGCTGTTCATTGCCGCCCTCGAGATGAAAATGTAAGTGCCTTTGCTTTGTTTGCTATATGATGCAATCTAACGGTAACTCTTTCCTTAGGAATCACCACCACCAGAGCCAACCCCGTCACCGCCCCCTCCTACCATACCGCAACCTGCTCTACCCTCTGTGCCTCGACAGGCTTCGATGAGCCAGCCTCCCACGCAAGCCGCTGTGAATAGCCCCGCAGGTGCCCTCTTGGCCGCTGCAAGTCCTATCCCCGCGCGCTCCCCGGCTGTTCCCCTCGCGCAACACTCACCAGTTCCGGTTCCTCCCATACCTTACCATCAACCTCAGCTTCAACCCGGCCAGGTCTATCAGCCCGGTTTACAAAGACGTCCCAGTGGCTATGCCTCCCAGAGCCCGATGCCAGGCGCTTACCAAGGACCAGCCACGCCACAAGCCTACGCTGTGCCTCAAGCTCCGCAGTACGCTCCATATCAAGGGGGCCGCGTGCAAGCGCCGCCCGCCGTGTACAATCCAAATGCCCCGCGTCCTGTCGAAGTCTTCCACCTAAGTGACACTGCGAATGCTGCTATTCCCGAGGAGATCCGTGATCAGTTCCACTGTGACGATCAAGGTCATGTGCTTTTCTTCTCTAGCGCACCACTAGACATTGGCCCAACAGTCCAGCAAAGGCTGGGTCATTCACTAAAGTATCTCGCTGCGAAAGAGGAGCGACGGAAACTAGTTGACGCCAAGAAGCGCAAGGAGACCGCGGACCGCGAGGAACGCGACAGAGCCGCCAAACGCCAACGGGCAGATGCGCAGACGGCTCTTGCCGCTCGTGTGAACGTCGCGGCAGAGAAAGCGGTTGAGGTCATGACGAAGGGTATTTTAAATGGCACAGATGAGATCTACAAGACTCTTTATCAGCAGCAGGCCGAGACCGCTCGACAAGCAGACGCAAAGGCGCGCGAACAACGAATTCTTGCCGATCGTGCAACTCAGACGAGGACTGCCCAGATCCAAGCGAACTCGACTAAAACAACCTTTGTCAGCCTCAAAGGTAGGGGTATCTACATGGATGAGCTCGACTCTGTCCTTTGAAAAGAAGCAATTTAGCGTTATTTCTAATGCTTCTAAGTCTCGACAAAGAGCAGAGGACGCAAACAACGATACTAGATTGAGAATAATAATCACGAGCCGGGGTAGCATGTACGATTGAAGACGGATCGCTCGCTAAGGGCCAGCCACTGGGGATCAATTTCAGCATTACGAAGGGTGTTCGCCTGTATATTAGCGCTAATCTAGTTCAAATGGATGCATTCACAGCGCCCCCTACGCCCCTCAAAGACCACTCCAGTATATCGGAGATCGGCGATTCATCGATTGTCCAATTGGTACACAGTCTGGGGTACTAGGTAGACGAGGGGTAGTAGGTAGTACTAACCCGACACACTGCAGATTGGTGGCTCGAACTTTTGCAATTGATCTGGTGAACATGATCAGACACGATTTGCGAAAGCTAGAGACTAACGAAGTCCGTATCCAGCCAACTTCATCCATCCCGCCCTCCGCGACCCTCTGCCGGGTACAAGCAAGCCTGAAGCTGCCCGGACATCCTTGAACACAGAGCCGTCGAACGAGCCCCTTCGCCCGGATCCTCAAACGCCCATGAACCACGAAGCAGTGAACGAACAGCCCGCCGGATTCCCAACTGATTCAGCGCCTGTGGCCACCAAGTCTGATACAAAGGATGGTGAACACACGGACAGTCAAGACAAGGTCGGGGACCACGATGTCCGCACAAGCGCTCAGAACTGTTCAGTGCAGGACGACCATCCAATGGAAACCAAGACAGAGGGGGCAGCATGCAGACCTATCTGGGATGAGGTTTGCGATCGATTGAAAGAAGACCGCCGTGGAAACAACGGAATCTCTATTCGCATGGTTCTAGGGCTTCCGACAGTCTCATCGATCAGAATATCCATCGGAAATGTGTTTATTTGGTGTCCGGAAAAAGCGAGAGTTTTAAGATCTAAAGCAACGCAGCGTACTGCAAATATTTTCAAGCAGATGACTGTGGTGAAGCACTCGATACCAGTCTAGTAGATCAAGAAAGAGAGTCAACACGCGGCTGAATAATTTGGTGAATGTACCTCGCCTTCAATCCACAGTCACTACAGGGGACACGATATTCCGCTCCGTGGTCGCACTGATTCTCCAGGAAATTGCCACGCCATCTGGAGGCGGCAGGGAGTGAGCAACTCACCTCACTCCACTTGCTCACCCATCTATTGCGCACCCAGTGAATTGGCGCCGGCCCGCGCGACTCGATCACACACCCCACCCCCACCGCCCCCGCAGTGAGCGGCTCACGCAGCGGGCACCCACCCGACTCCTATCCGCGTTTAAGCCACACGCCGGTAGGCTCGTAGTATGGTGGGTGATCACTGTTTATTTTTGGCCTTGTAGGTGTAGCCCCGCGCCGCCCTGTCTTCAGTCTTTCACCTGAAGCCGCCCTCTATTCTTTACCCAACTATTCTGAATGCCAAGTCTGCTGACGGCCTCTCCCTTGCACCTTGCTGCCCCACTCCAGGTAGACAAGATTATTTATATAAACAACGTTGTGTGCCATTTAGCCTGGTCTTATTATTATTGCCCAATGTCCACGGGTGTGGGGTCACTACCAATTTATCACCCCCCATGTCCACACTGTCAACCTGCGCACCCCACCATGTAGTGCTTTGATTTCTTCTCATCAAGTAAGCTTTGTCGTTTTCCCCAAACAGTGGCTGCGTTTAATTTACTGAGGGTCGATTTCAGGTTGCGCTTCTAACCTGTTCAAGGCTGATTTCAGGTTGCACTTCTAGCCCATTTATTGTTGGTTATAGGTTGCGCTGATCAAGGATTTAATTAGTCTAGTACTATAGAGATTGTCTCCTCGTTCTCAGACGTGGGACGTACCAAAGTACGTGCCCCTTTTGGAGCGAATGATATCTCACTTATTAAAGCTTCCTTTAACACAGTCCCTTCTCTCACGTTTAGCACCAACACCATGTCTGACCAAGACGCCCTAACACCTCGTGTGTTCCTTGTTCGCCATGGTAAGTTCCGTGTCTGACCACGCTAAGGATAATTATGACCTTCAACCTCTAAATAAACCGCTCGTTGACAACACGCATAGGAGAGACTGAATGGGCCAAGTCAGGCCGCTTCACGGGTATCACAGACATCCAGCTAACCGAGACGGGTGCTACGCAAGTCTCCTCGGCGGCAACCACACTCGTAGGCCCTCGCAAACTCCTCGACCCATTCCGCCTCGTGCACGTCTTCGTCAGCCCGAGGACAAGGGCTATAACGACTTTTAAGCTCTTGATGGGGCCGTTCTCCAGCGTCATTGTAGGGAAGGTTACCCGTACTGAGGACATTGCAGAGTGGAATTATGGTGATTACGAGGGGTACACTGACCAGGAGATCAGGAGCTTGAGGAAGGAGAAGGGTCTGGACCTGGAGAAAGAGTGGAATATCTGGAGAGATGGGTGTGAGGGTGGAGAGTATGTTGGGCCCTGGTCTATTTGTTGCTGATAGGCTGTTGCTAATACCTTAAAGATCGAGCAAGCAAGTTACTGACCGGCTGGACAGGCTCATCTCGCAGATCAAAGTTATCCAGAGACCTTACATGAAGGGGGATGAGCCTGCCGATGTCCTTCTTGTACGCATTTTCGCTTTCTCCCTTCTCTATATCTCTGTTTTGTTGCCCCAGCTTCACCCATAGATGCTGAGAGATGAGAACTGCAGGTCGCCCATGGTCTCATCCATCGCTGCTTTGTAAAGCGCTGGCTAGGCTTCCCTATCGACTTCGATCTCCAGATGATGTTCGCTCCAGGGGCGATTGCGGTTTTGAGGTACGTGTAATATAAATCGCCTATGATAAGCCGTTTCATTAACTCTGAATTTCCGCGCCGGAAAGCTACAAAAATAATGACATTGACAAGCCTGCCCTCCACGTAGGTGTCGCGCTTCCGCCTAGCGATGAAGACACTGTCAAGGAATGGTATGCGGTATCGTTTGGGGCAGGTGCGCTGGCCGTTGTTACTGCTGCAGTGTTGGTGTTGGTGTTGGCGTTGGTGCTGGTATAGGGTGGAGGGACCCCATCTCCTTGTTGTGTTCTGTCTGTTACTGGGTTTGGAGACTTTCACGGTTTTTGGGGAAGAATGGGACCAACATGGAGGGCGGAGTACAGCAACGTACATGCCTGAGGCCACTCGCCTACCTTTTTTGATTCTAGGCGATCTCCTACAATAAGAGGAGGTGGTAAGGTTGAGAACTGTGGCCTCCTCTGATATAGGGTGTTTGGCGGCAAAGTGTGGACGTGCCCAGGCCGGCATTACGGCATCTAGCAGTCAATGAAATTGCGATTGCCCTCGCCCTCATGGTTCGCAGATTTGGCTTGGTGCACCTCGCGAAAGAGGGTTGGAAGATGCTGGAGTGCCGACCGCACACATATTGGCTTCGATTCCATCGCCTGTTGGTAATTTGGCTTTGGAGATTGTGCAGAGCCGGGTGCAGATATGGAGCGGGGCTTCTCTTGAAAGACATAGTGCCTCATAGCACGTGGGGATTTGATCAAGTCTTTCTAGCTCTCTGTCTTAGCGCTCTTGATTATCTGCTACTGAGTACTCCAGCCGCACGATATGGTGTTTGACCAATATTTTTAGGCTAGCCCACGACGTACAACGGTGTTATCAATGAGTCAACTCAGTGGGACCAGGACCACCAGGAGAGGCAAGATACTGAGGGCAAATGGGATGAGGTGTCAAGGAAGTAATTTTGTTATGAGATCTCACTCTTTATGCTGTGTTCGGATGAAGTCTACGCCATGGCATCGATGATTGGCTGACGGCAAACTATATATACCTAGTTATACCTAGTAGGTTTACTACTCTTTACCCCGCAGATTGAGGAGGCATAACCAACTCACAGCACAATGGACTTCAATCTGGCAAACAACCGCGCCTACCCCCTCGCCCGCACCACCGCGGCATCTACCCGCCTAAACTACCAATTCTACCTGTGGAAAGACTCCCTCGGCTTCAACCTGCATCCAACCATCGCCGCCTCCCTCGAAACCCAAACACAAAGCCCACTATGTATCGCCGATATCTGCACCGGAACCGCGATCTGGCTCCTCGACCTCCTCCCCTCCCTGCCCCCTACTGCAACACTCGAGGGCCTCGACATGAGCCTATCCCTCACCCCACCAGCCCCCTGGCTCCCCGCAAACCTCACTCTCCGCGAATGGAATCTCAATGACGACATCCCTGAAGACCTACTAGAGAAATACGACGTCATCCACCTCCGCCTCCTGGTCCTCGTCGTGCAGAATAGCGATCCCTGCCCGATAATCCGAAAGGTTACGCGGATGCTCAAACCAGGGGGCTGGATCCAGTGGGACGACTACAACTACCAGGGTACACACGTGGTCAAAGTGGATGAAGGTCTGGAAACACCCGCGCTCGATCGCCTCTGCGCATTCTTGTACGCAAGCGGGCGACAGGATTGGGTCGTCGAGCTTCCGGGGATTCTGGAAGCGGAGGGGTTATTCGAGCACACGCAGATCTTCCATTATCGGCCAAGACGGGAGATGGCTAGGACAAATGGGGAGTTGCATCTTGCGACGATTGAGGAGTTTGCGAGGAGGTTGGGGGAGGATGGGAAAGGGAGCGAAGGGGAGGAGTTGCTGGGGCTTGTCAGACAGGGTGCAGAGGAGGTTGAGCTGGGGGCTGCCATGTCGACGCCGAGGGCTGTTACTATTGGGCGGAAGTTAAGGGTGTGAGCTGGATGGAGTGTTTTCTTACCTGGCGGCATTGCTCTGGCAGACTGTAGGGCTATATACATCAGAAGATACTTGGTGATGGAGTATGATTCTTGGGAGTCCAAAAGGCTCCAAGCACCGTCACATTCGATGAGCGGGGCTTCCAACAGCAAATACCTTTAAGCCCTTAGCCGTGGCCCTCTTGATCCTGCTCAGTACTCTCCACCAATGGTTCACTGAGAAGGACGCCAGCAATGTTGTGAATAACACCCTCGTCGGTCGGCTGGATTATGTGACATGCCGACATTCTGATGGAAAGCCTCATGCCATCCATGCAGGCATAAATAACCCTTACGTGCTGGGGCCCAACGAGAGAGACCATGACAACCTAGTTCAGCAAGATGATTAGGTCAGTACAGATTCATGAGCGACAAGTAGATGGTCTCAGAGCAAAAAACAGATCCCAACATACCGGGAACCTCTTCTCGCCCTTAAAGGCTAATTTGTCTTCGCGATCCGGCTCAGGGTTACTATCTTCCGACTGTGTTACGCCACCCACCAGTACGGCGTCTTCGTCAAACAGAGCGGGCTGATGCGCTCGGCAGCGCATGGCGGTGACGATGGGTGTCAGCTCGTCCAGACTGATAGTGTTTGCGATACCCTTGCAGGACTGTACGCCTAGCAGAATCATATGGGGTAAAAGAGGTCTACCATCAGACCTCTTGTCGCTATACTCGTAGATGCCCCGTACCTCCAGAACCCGCGTGTTTCCACGTTCAACGCGTGTGGGTTTCTAGAGCGCATTTCAGAAAAGAGTCACAAAACAATGCCACATATACAAGCGGCTCTCCCAGTTAGAGATATATAACATACGCAACGCAATGAATACCGCATAGTGTGGCAAGATTCGGATAGCCACTTGGGAGGCGACGAGGGTACCAGTCCATTGCCCAATTCTCAATGTAATGGGCGAGAGAGCTTCCGCGGTAAAAGGGCATCGGCTCGTGAATGAAAATTTTCGGCACCTGAGTCGCTGGCCAGGGATCTTCTTCAAGGAACCACTCGTCCTTTGCCATCGTGAAAAACTCGTCATTAAAATCGATGGGGTGCTCGATAATGATGTTTCGTGTGCGGAGGAGGAAAAGAAGGGGCGGTTTAGTGTTCAGGTTCCCCTCTGGGGTATTCGAGAATCGGAAGTCATGGAAGGTTAAAATAATATTGTTATCGGTGAGAAACTTCGACGGTACGACGTTTTCGCTCTCAAGACATTGATCCATACGAGGATCGGTCAGGGAAGCCCAGAGGCTACGCAGCCTGCCACGAAGAGCCGCGCTAGACATATTGATCACCGGCGGAAAGGCTGTCAGGGAAGAGGAAGTTAGCGTAGCTATGGGGAGGATGAATAGGGAGGTGCAATGTAGAGAAGCAAGTGAAGACCTTTATAGGTGGCAAGGAGAGATTGATGGGGCGGTCAAGATCACATAAACTTCACGTAGTTTTGGGAGGACAGTTGAGTAAGATGGGAGCAGGAGAGCATGAGGAAACCTTACGATAGGGTTAGCCACAGGCGGTTCTTGGCCAGGCCATCTCCTATTGTTGCTAATATATTACCCTCCCTATTCAGGTAGTCTTTTGAATGATATGTAACAATCGTGATGAAGGTGCATGGTTTTTGAATGAAGTTTCATATTATCTGATAGTCTGTACGTGAATGAAATAGACCTCTATGTAAGCAGTGGAATACGCAGACTAGACTCTGAAACCAAGAGAAACTTGACTCTCAATTCCTCTTCAGTTGCTTGGTGTTTCACAGTGGTGCGGATGCTATTGGACGATAATGTAAATAAATCGACAATACCGAGTTAGGTACGCTGCCTTGAAAGACATCTTTCAAGCATGGGGGTAAAAATACCAATCAACAACCATAGCTGCAGCTCTATATTACCTTCGCTCGGACACCACTTAACTGGCGGGTGTTCCTCCTGCGTAATAGTAGAATGTCCACTCCCCGATCATTCATACGTACGTGTACACCGTTTTGGCCCCTGGGACCTGACGAACGCCGACGAGGTCAAGCAGGCTGCGGCGATTCTTCTTGCTATCGCAAATTAATGGAAAAAGGTTGTTCTATGGACCGGATCTCAGGTGGCTGGATGTATTGGTGGTGGCGACCAGTCAGAGCATGGGAGCAATTAGGGCTTCGAGCATCTACGACCGTCAAACTCAATCACTTTTGCACCCTGCGAGCGCCAGCAAATCACCAAGCTGGATAGAAAGCAACTTGTCTCCATCTTCAATAAATTAGTTACGTACTACTAACAGCAGTCAACTATCGCTGATGCTTTGGGTCTTGCTTTACTTCAGGTATCTTTTCGGAGTATCCGGCATCACGTCGGATACATCCGAGCCCAGTAAGGACCTCTCGGATTTAAAGAATGAGAAAGACAGGAACCATGAGCCTCTAGGGAAATTGAGAACCAGGTAACTGTCAATATGCTTATCACGCACTCCTCGAGGTATCTGCGACGTTCGACGCCGAAAGTCCGTCGCGGTGTGGCTACGGCTGCGCTGAGCAGATTTGAGCCGGCCACACGAGTTGACTTTAGCAAATTCAGCAGCAAGATTGGCTCTCTACGAGAACGGTAACTTTGTTCGTTCGTTAGATAAGTTGCTCAAGACTGATGGTATGGTAGGTTGAAGCGGCCATTGACCTACGCGGAAAAGGTCCTCTACAGCCACCTCGACGACGAGTTTGATGAACACATCGCCCGTGGCCAGACGCAGCTACGGCTCAGACCCGTCCGCGTCGCTTGTCAAGACGCGACTGCCCAGATGGGGCTTATCCAATTCATGTCTGCAGGTTTAGATACAGCCGCTGTCCCCACGACCGTCCACTGCGACCATCTAATTGTGAGTCGGGACGGGGAAGAAGCAGATCTTCCCCGGGCCTTGGAAACCCATCGAGAAGTCTACGACTTTATGGAAAGTGCATGCCAGAAGTACAAGATGGGGTTTTGGAGGCCAGGAGCAGGAATAATCCACCAGATTGTGCTGGAGAACTACGCTTATCCTGCTGGAATGATGGTGGGTACGGATTCGCATACACCAAATGCAGGTGGAATGGGCATGATCGCTATAGGAGTTGGAGGAGCTGATGCTGTCGATGTCATGGCTGGTCTACCGCTGGAGTTGACTGCGCCTAGGATACTGGGTGTGCGACTTCACGGCGCCCTGTCGGGCTGGGCATCACCAAAAGACATTATCAACAAGATTACAGGGATGATTTCAGTAAAGGGGGGTACGGGATCAATCATTGAATATTTTGGTCCTGGAACGCAGACGCTTTCGGCGACTGGGATGGCTACAGTGTGCAATATGGGGGCTGAGACCGGCGCTACGACATCCATATTTCCCTATACGGCCTCGATGACTGAGTATCTGAGAGCAAACCGGCGCCCGGACATGGCTGCTGCGGTTGAGACAATTGCACACGAGCTCCAACACGATGAGGGCGCTGAATACGATCAGATCATTGACATTGATCTCGCATCACTGGAGCCACATATCAACGGGCCTTTCACGCCTGACCTGTCCACGCCCATCTCTAGATTTGGATCGGCAGTCAAAGAGAACGAGTGGCCGTCAACCCTGACTGCGGGCCTTATTGGGTCTTGCACAAACTCTTCATTTCAGGATCTTAGCCGCGCTGCGAGCCTCGCTCAGCAGGCATTGGATGCTGGCATGGAGCCGAAAATGCCGTTGTTGTTGTCCCCCGGGAGCTTGCAGACCCGCAAGACGTTGGAAGAGGCCGGGATAATGCAAGTGTTCGAAGAGGCCGGTGCCACCATGCTACCTAGTGCTTGTGGGCCGTGCTGTGGGTCGTGGGATCGTGCCGATATGCAGAAAGTGAGTTCCCACGCAGAGTCTGAAAGCATATGCTGGTAACTGACACGCGCAGGGAACGAAGAACTCGATTATCACCTCATATAACCGAAATTTCTCTGGCCGTCTCGACTCGAATCCGGCCACGAACATCTTCCTCGCCTCGCCCGAAGTGGTTATGGCCAAAGTGTTCTCTCCAGATCTGGCCTTTGATCCTATACATGACACTCTCACAACGCCATCTGGAGAGGAGTTCAGGTTTCAGCCTCCAACCGGCGATGCTCTCCCCAGTCGAGGCTACAAGGGCTCTGACCAAGCATATGTCCCCCCTCCAGCAGACGACAGCGAACGCTCCAAGCTCGACGTCAGCATCAGCGCTCAGTCCCAAAGGCTTCAGAAACTATCGCCATTTCCGCCCTGGAACGGTCGTGACTTGGAAGACTGCCTCATTCTTATCAAAACAACAGGCAAATGCACAACCGATCACATTACACCCGCCGGGCCCTGGTTCCGTTTCCGAGGGCACCTAGAGAACATCTCTAACAACACACTAATCGGCGCTGTGAACGCAGAAACAGGAAACGTCAATAAAGTGCGCAACCAACTCAGCCAACAAGATGGCAATGTCCCAGGCACCGCACGCTACTATCAGTCACAAGGCCGGCCGTGGGTGGTTGTTGCCGATCACAACTACGGCGAGGGGTCGTCGCGCGAACACGCAGCATTGCAACCGCGATATCTCGGCGGCGTAGCGATTATAGCTAAGAGTTTTGCACGTATCCACGAGGCAAACTTGAAAAAGCAGGGGATGTTGGCTGTGACGTTTGCAGAGGAGGCAGATTATGATCAGATCAGGGCTTCGGATCGAATTAGTATTATGGACTTGACGGCTTTTGCACCGGGTAAGCCCCTGACGATGAGGATACAGACGGATTCTGGGGAGGACTGGGAGGCGCCTTTGATGCATACGTTTACTCAGGAGCAGATCGAGTATTTCAAGGCGGGGAGTGCGTTGAATGTGATGGCCAAGCGCCGGATCGAGGCGTAACAACTTTGACAGTCTATGTAGCAAGGTTGATAATACCCACGTTGGCGTCCTGACAGAATCTACTCAACGGACCATTACGGAAGAAAACTCCAAGCATCAGTAGAGCCCATTCCAACCCCTTCAACAAAAAGGTCTGTCCAGGGAATGTCGACGTCTGGAAATTGACCGGACAGCTCTTCCATCGGGTCCTCGGGTCTGGGCGTTGGAAACGTATGTGTTTGTAAACCAAACCAGGACTGGAATTCGGTATCCAAGTCGGCGCCAGCTGGGTCAGGCTCGTCGAACAGAGTAAGGATAGAGTTGCCTAGGCGCTCGATGATTGATGAACACTTCTCACCTACTGCGCGACCATTAGAGATACCACGGAAGAGTGTTAGAAAGGTAAGGATATTCGTCTGCACGACTGGCTTGCTTAATTCATGGCGGAGTGGGGGTGAAGACCGCAAGGCATAAAGCATGGTGACGGCAGCCATAAAGAGTGAGTGGATGGCAACAAATGTGTACTTTATCCGGTTACGCGCGTACAGCGAGCTATATGAGTTGATTAAACCAATAGCAGACTCCATGCACAGTCGAAGATCTTCGGACAAGGGCATTGGCACCGCTCGGGACGGGCGGTAAAGTGACAGCATGGCATGATGGAAGGCAATCTGGAACCACTCCTGAGACTGAAAAGTGGAGGATGTCCGCACGTATCTTGGGGCCATCATTAGCCAGTAATTCAGCTCTGAACAGAAAGCGCTTCGAGCCGTCTCCAGCTCGTTTGGATTGGTTGGCGTTTGGCCGATGGAATGGAAGGAAGTGTAGACCCTGGCGTTGATCTTCCGGAGCTGAATAATATGGATGAAGGTCGATGTGTCTTTGATTCGTGGCAGCAGCGGCGCGTCTGCTGCGGGAAATGACTCGTTGAGTTGCTCATCTGTCAAAGGGAGTGGGAGTGGCACAGTGATGTCGTTTTCATGGATACCCAGCGGCCGACCCATGTTGATTGCCATGCTACAGCTCATGACATATGCACACCAAAACACCCGTTTGAGCATTTCCGAACGAAGAAGATTATGGCCAGCTAGGCTCTCTTTGCGATGCAAGTCAATCCCCAAGGCTAACTGCAGGGCGAGGCCGGTAGTATACCACATATTGACTGACTGTGGTTCGTTATGCCCATACATACACAGCAGTAAGAGACACTGTATGCATTCAAAGTCGTCTGCCTGTATGACGATATGCAGATCTTGCACTGCCCGATTGAAGAACAGTCGATGCAGTTGATTGTTCTCGTCCTGCGTCGGAGACCTTTCTGTAGCTGTGATGGCGCAGATCATGTTCACTAAGAAATTGGAGATAGGGCTCGTTACAGATCTTGCAAGATAAGGATTAAGATGATCGTTGACAAATGTAGGCTGGTGCAGGACAGGCAAGTACGGCCATCGCCGCTCAAAGAACGCCTCCACTAGGTTCTCAAAACTAGCGTTATCGAAACCAGCAAGGTCTGCATTACTTTGAGAAGTAATCACATTGGGATTTGCTGCATCGTCGCCCCACAAATACCAGGCGCTACTCAGGGCGCTCCGGAATGAATCTCGGAAGTTTAGCTGGTGTGTGAACGTGGGTCGCAGGATCCGGCCAGTGTACGACAAATCGAGATTCTGGATCAAAGGGTCGCTCGGTGTTGCTAGGCCATGTCCAGCTTCAGGTGTGTTATGGCCGCCAGAAGTCCGCAGGGCGCCGGGAGAAGATAAATCCCCCGCGGTCGTATCGAACCGCACAGACACAGAACGTCTTCGCGATCGTAATCGATCAACCTCGAGAAGTAGCGCATCATACTCCTTCCGCAGGGAGAGAAGTCGGGCCCTCAACGAGTCGCATTCGCAGTCAGAATGTGGCTGAACCACCAACCGACGCGAAGGGACGCATAGCGCTCCGACAGATTCGCATGGGCCACACGTTGGGGTCCTCCCATCACACTAGGACTAGCGATTAAAAGCCATCCTCATATATCCTGAGAGGGACCTCTGTACCTTTTGCTTCCGTCGTCTGCATCTCTCGCACGCGGCAACACTGCGACTCAGCCCCGGACGGTGTCGGCGCACAGCAGGAAGGCGTGATTTGGCAACGCTGGCTTCTGTCATGTCACTTGATCTAAAATGGACAGGGAGCGAGTTTCATCGCATTGCGGGATGGTAAAGGCACTACTTAAGCAGTCGCCAAGTATCTATTCAGTAACGCAAGCTATCCGGCGAATCATGACGAGCATGAGGAGACGTGAAAGCAACTTTGGAAGAGGGAGAGCCGAAAAGGTTGCGAAAAATCTGGGGAAGATGAAGGGCATGGTCCAGCTGCTGACAAATATGGATACCTCAGGCTGCTAGGGCTGATCTATTACTCCCTCCGCTCCACAGCGAGCGTGTTACTCCTGTCGTTCTTAGAATTAAAGCTAAAGCTCTGGTCATACTTTGATTGAGCAAACCTCTACTCCCCATTACGGCTGGAGGTGGCATATTACTGAAATATCCTAGCTGGGTTCTCCCTCATCATCTTTCCTCATACCTCACTCCCAACCCATTTCCTCAAATTCTCCAGCAGAGCTTGATTATCAATGACTCGAAATGGTTCCATGGTAGATAAGCTACGCTGTTTTGTTCGATCCTTACCTTCCCCTGTGTGGGGCCAATCACTTCCCCAAATGCACTGGTCTGGTATCTCCTTCGCGAAGGCTTCAATGATCTCCCGAGTGTCATCGAAACGGGCGGTCGTCCGATCAGACGCTCGATACAGACCCGAAATCTTGACGATCACCTTGGACAGCTTGGCAAGTGTGAGGAGGGAGATAAGTCCCATCTGTGATAGGACTCCATCTTTTGCCACATGGGACAGGAGTTTCGAAGCACCCTGCATGCCTCCGAGGTGGTCTGCGATGATAGGCGCAGGAAGCTTGGAGACAACATCAAAGAGTGCTGCACAAGCTTATTAGTGAGAAAATTGGATAAAAGAAGGATCCAACATCGTACTGTTCCATGCCCATCCAGGGACAAACAGCTGGATCATCCAACCCCGCAAGTGACATATTCGGTCTGCTGCTTTCTGCAGTGTATCCAGCAGGCGAGAGACATCCAGACCTTTGCCGTCCGCTTGGAAGTTCAACCGGATACCCCGTACTCCCAGTTCATGCATTCGTTCAAGCTCGCGGTCCGTTATACTCTCCAGCTCAATCACTGCGATTGCGTATACTGACTTTTGCCGGGCACGCAGCTCTTGGAGACATTTCATCATTACCCTGCAGTCTGTTCCGTAAGGTGATGGTTGGACAAGCACGATACCGCTACCTGTGCCATCTCGGGAGATGCTTTTATTGAACTCGATCAGTCTATGCAGAGGTGCGTCATCTGGTGTATAGGCACGATCTGCGGCATATGGACCTATCGTGGGATCGAACACGTGAACGTGAGTGTCGAAGGCACCGGGTGGTGGGAGAAACCTGCAACCAAAGATATATAAGCGAAGCAATTCCGAGCGTAGCACGCTAATGCGATTTGCTACTCACTTTCCCTTCCAGCTAATCGCAGATGCTTCAATATGGGCTCTCGGCTTCATCAGCCGTGTCGTGACGGCCATTTGGAGGTATCTTCGCGTTGGGCTTTGAATGTGCTCGAATGCTCGAGATTGCAAGGCAAACTCCACGATATTAATCACTCACGTCTAGCGTCAACTTACCTATTCATTCTTCGTTGCCCGTGATTTTTGTTGTGCGCTATTCCTCCATCGGATCGTGCCGATCACCTGCGAAGACCATACGGATGGATCCGATAACCTACTCAGAGCAGCTATCCATATCAACCGCGAATATATAACTTCTTCTGGTTCCAATTAGAGCAGAAGCACAATAGACTAACGACAATGGGGCTGCAGTGCATAGCGGCAAACCAGCTCACCACTGGGGGACTCAATGTCGCCGAGGAGAGGAGGCCGATTCCATACCGTAATTTGGCCGTTGGAGCGGTGATGAACGTCTTTCAAGGTAGGCCAGATCATGCCTAGATTTGCATACAGAATATTACTGACTGGATCTGCAGTTACAACATTGGGCCAGCCAATGGAGGTGCTCAAGACACATGTATGTGCGAATATATCTTGGAAATCTTCTTCTAGACCTAACTAAACAACTGCAAAAGCTAGCTGCGAACAGGCACGACTCACTGAAAGACGCAGTCCAAAAAACATGGGCTCGTGGGAAATGGTCAGCCTTCTACCAAGGCTTGATACCGTGGGTATGCGATACCTAATACATCCAACCCTGAAACCCTCACGAACACGCGGAATAGCCCTAACCTGTGCTAATCGAGCGGAATGGTACAGGCATGGTTGGAAGCCTGCACAAAAGGAGCAATCCTTGTTCTCACAGCAAGCGAAATCGAATATCACGTCCGAAATAAGCTACCAAATGCATCGCCGACGTTGGGTGGGATACTGGGCGGGATTGGCGGTGGATTTGCGCAAGCCTATCTGACGATGGGCATGACAACGTGCATGAAAACAGTCGAGGTCACCCGATCCAAGGTTTCTGGACAGGGGGTAAAACCTCCGGGGCCACTAAAAGTATTCTTCGAGATTTTTCGGGAGAAAGGGATTCGCGGGATTAATAAGGGCGTCAACGCTGTCGCGCTGCGGCAGGTAACGGGCTGGTCGTCGCGGATCGGCATCTCGAGGTTTGCAGAAGAGAGTATTCGGTCTGCAACGGGCAAGGCGAGGGATGAGAAGTTGAGATTCGGTGATAAGATCTTAGCGTCGACTATTGGGGGCGCATTGAGCTGTTGGAATCAGCCATTCGAGGTACGTTTAGCACAGTTGTGGTCCCAGAAGAAACCACGCTAACATTGACCGGTAGGTCCTCCGGGTTGAAATGCAGTCAATGAAGAGCGATCCAGGACGGCCGGCAAAGGCAACAATTGTGTCGACTTTCAAGCACATTCTCGACACTTCCGGGTTTAGAGGATTCTTTCGTGGGGTAGTTCCTCGGATTGGGGTTGCCAGCTGGGCAACAATCTGCATGGTGGGATTTGGCGATACTGTCAAGGCCTGGGTGGCTACAAAACAATAACTGACATGCAAATTTGGGGGCATATAAGGATCGGTCTGCGCTTGGTTCGGTATCCAGATGGCATATAGTATACAAATTATGGAGCGCAAGGCCGCTCCTCGTTAAATAATTGCCCTGTCATATAAGTTTGCCTTGTATCCCCATCGAAGAAATATACCGCTAAGCTAGCAAAATAGGCCGTGATGGTCACCAGATTACTCTTAGACAGTCATATTTCCAAGGAGTTCTGCGAACGAAGCCCAAGCCCTGTGCTGGTCATTCAGAGGTGTACGTCTGACCTCCGCCTTGGAGCGTCTGCGGGGGAAAAACTGCCTATTGCGAGCAAGATGCGGTAGACGTTTGGCATGGAAAGAAATACCGTTGGCCTGAATGTCGGGAGACACTTGCTCTGTACCCGAAAGTGAGGCGGAAATCATTTCCGTGTTATTCACCTGGCCCCAAGCCACACCGAGTGGTTTAAGTCACAGTACCAAGATTTGTCAAGTAAAGTTCTCGAGCGAAGCTCATCTATTCTTCACTACTTGGTCCCGCCAAAAATGCAAGAATCCGATCAAACGCCTCCGGCTCCTTGATCCAGTGCCCTTCATTATCCGCCCCCGAGTATCCCATCCACTCAATATTGCCCGAATCCAGGACTTCTTTCAGAACCCGTGATGCTTGCTGACCTAATTCGACAGACACGAAGGCGTCATCAGTGCCATGGCCCAGGAGAACCGGCGTAGTCAGGATTGGGAAGCCACTGAAAGTATCTGAGGCTTCTTCTTCCCGACAAGGTTTCAAGCCGATCGTTTCGACGGAGAACCGAGAAACCAGGCGCTGTAATTGAACCTTAGACTTAGATTTAGCCTGGTGGACCCGAATCAACTCCTCTGCATTATCAGCAAATGGCAGCCAGCCACAGAAACCCAGAATTCCTCCAAGCTGCCGCTGGATTCTCCCAGTCCCAGACGCACAAAAGACAGTCCACAACGCCGTCGCCATCCCCTGGCTAATGCCTCCCAGATACACGTGGCTTGTGTCGCCATTCAGCTGTGTGATCTCAGCCTCGAGGATACCGACGATATGCGCAACGGACTCCCGTAGACCCTCAACCTGCGACTCCTGCCGCTCTTGGATGTTGGTTAGAGAGTATGCATCAAACCACGCGCATATGTCTTCTTCGAATGCAACGGCCCAGCGGTCACGCGCGGTGGGGAACACCCACCGCCAGGAGGGGAGGCAGTCGTGTAGGTTATTTTTCTTGGAGGTCAGGGAGGAGAATAGCTCCTCAGCAAATTCGGGGCCATTGCTGCCGCGGCCGTGTAGGAGGATCGCGGTGTGAGTGTGGATGGACTTGGGAGGATGGATGTATAGTGGTGGGAAGTCCGTAATGGGCTTGGTTTGGTTGATGTCTTTGCGTTAACGTTGGTCCGAGTACTTGGGCTAAGCTTTGGAGGCAAGTAGCCGGTCACCTAAACAAACTCAGTGCATCGTGCGACTGTACGACGTGGGGTAAGCATTTAGAGTGCTGATTATATTCAGGTTGGCAGTATGGACAGCTGGGACTTTGAAATGGCTGCCCAGGCGCCCAATATTTCCTTTGCTCCATCAGCCAATCAGTTTCTTAAGACATGCAGTCGAAGGCAACATCATGATACGCATAGTACCTAATTACCTAGGCTTGGACTGAAACTGAGAGCATATTCCGAGATGTGCTTGAGTTGCACTACTATCATTTTCATTTATTTCCTGACCTTGACTAGAAACACCCCTTAATGATGCTTGATTGACGCTTGGAAGAAGCCAAAAATGAAAGGATCATGAATTAGAATATGAGGGTGCATGCCAAGATGAACCCCCGAGCTCGAGCCCGAGCCTCAGCGGAGTGTACGACCAGGGTATGCAAGGTCGAGTTCTACATGTACTAGTCCGCAAGTACGAAAGCCTTCAAGCAATGAAGAGTCGAACACGTAATTAGTGAAGATTTAGATCATTGACTCGTGAGTTGCGTATACCAAAGAAACCCAAAGTGAGAGAGCATAGAATGTACAGAGTTGGTTCGCGGCCGAAGCAGAGAAAAGGGGAGAATGGAGAGGTAAAATAGGTATAGGGATAGTGAAAGAAGAGACAGGCAAGGATTTCAGGCCGTGATAACTAAACAGGTGGCCTTGATGGAAAGAGATAGGACAGCCAAAAGAGAAAGGGAAAAACACCGGTAGGATAAGGAAAGATGCTCTGGTCAAATGCAATGACAACCCAGCCATGTTTTTGGAGACACCCGCATCGCATCTCTTTTCTCATCCTGTTTGGAACGCCCCTCAAAAACACCAAGATTGTCTAAATCGGCGAACGGCAAATGCGAGGCCACTGAGATGGTGACCGTGACGACAAAGAACGGAAAAGAATGGAGAAAGGATGGTTGGTAACGGAGAATTTGCGCGTAAATCCTGAATATCAATCCCAAGATAGATAGATCGCTGGAACCGTTCTATGCAAAATTCCCTCCGGCGGCAAATAAAGCGGATGGATTGATGGCTTTTATGGCGAGATTAATTATGACCACGTCAGGGACTGGTACCGAATAATGGCCGTCTTTCTTTTTCTTCGTGTATTCGTTTACTGCTTATGTTCACTTTTCTCCGCGACAGAGACATTCGATCGCAATGATCATGACTGCTACTCAGATGCCTTTGTCGACGTTGAGACCTCCTCGCTCGCAACCGCCTTTGGAGCAGCCCATGACGCGCTGTTCCGCTTGTTGTTCTCCTCTTCTTCCATTGAGAACACAAGATCGCCTTCACCCTGCTCTTCATCAATCTTACTCGTGCCGACGGGTGACGAGACGGTACGATCTAAGCGGCTATTGGCGCCAAGAGAGGGCGTATGACGGGCAGAAGAAGGATGTAGAGATAGGCCGCTGAGTTGCTGAGAAATCATCGAGGCGGAGGAAGCCCGAGGTGGGCTGCCAATAGGGCCAAGGCTAGGACTGCCAAAGCCCCCCATTGAAGATTCCCGCAGAGGAGAGCCCAGATGTGGGAGAGATCCAGCAGCCTCTTCCTCCTTCTTCTGACGCTGCTTCGCGAACAGGGCACCAAATCGAGAAGGACTGGACGCGAGTGGAGAGTTGACTTTGGTGAAGCTGGTGCCGCTCATGCCGAGCCCGCTGAGCTCGCGGTGGCTAGAGCTGAGTTCATGATCCGTACGAGAAAGGCGGCGAAGCCGTTCCTGAGGAGTGAGAACATCATCATGAAGGTTAATAGGAAGATAGTCCTCCTCCATCGGGAAATTGCTGTCCTCCCAGTCATCCAGGGCTGTAGGTCGAGGTACGCTTGCGGAGAGCATTCGGGGCTTTACAGGTCGGGAGGAGTGTAGAAATCGGGAGCCAATGCCATCTTCGAGCATACCGGGTGGTGATGAGCCAATGAAGGAGGAGGACGGCTTCTTCAAATCCGAGCCATAGGCAGCGTCGCGAAGATTCCGGAGCGCATCCGAAGGGGGGTTCCTCTGTGCAGGGGGAGAGGATAGCTCTAGGCCGAACCTGGACGGTACAGAAGCAGCCACCGGGCCATAACGAGCGGCATGTGAAATTCCTTGACTATCGAATGATGCGGGAAGCGGCGCATCAAGAGCGGTGAGGTATTGTTTGTGGCTCGGAGACATGGGGAATCGCAGCTCTTCGACGGGCGAGCCATACTTTGACCCAGCATCTGAGGCCAATCCGGTATCGATCGAAGGGATAGTGTCATACGGCGGCGGCTGCTGCGACTGTAGTGCGGCGAATTCTTCTTGCGTAGGGAGCTGGGATACATAGCGACTATCGTGGCCGTTCATGCGTTGCTGCGAGAGCACCGAGTTCGTCAATGCCGAATCTTGATTGATATACGCCTGTGGATTGACCCGGCCGCCTAGGTTGAGATGGCCACTACCCATTCCCATGCCTCCGCCGGTAGGCCGGTTGACTCGTCGTCCATCGGGCAGAATGTGGGCCAGCGCACACTTCGCTCCGAACTTGCAGTTACCCTAGATTCGCACTACGTCAGCACTCGTCTATGATTTTGGCGCGAAATCCAGCGAGATATATGTACCTTTGTGAAATATTTGCAGGGAGCGTACTCGATCGCGGCATCAGTGGAATGGAGGAATGGACAAGCAGGTCCTGCCTGACAGGCGCCTTGCCGGAAGAATTTGCAGGGCACATGTTTCGTGTCTGGACGGTCGCGATGACATTAGCTTTTGACCATGACCGAATACATAATGTAATATCACAGAGATATAAAACCGAAGCCCGCATGACTTCGGGTCTTGGAATGACGGGTGGTGGCTTACTGCTCTGGTTCGGGGGACTGCGGGCAGCGACGTCGAAGCCCGACGGATTGCGCGAGTGCCCGCCGCCGTTTTGGAGATGCTGTGGCCCGGATGGCACCGGGAGAGGGGCGCGGCTTTTCATATCGGAGGATGGGCGAGTCTGGGAGCGGGAAGGCTGAGCAGACGGTTGAGAGGACGAGTTGCGAGAAGCCGACGCCTGCATCTCTCGAGACAAGGAGCAAAGAGGAGCAAAAATCTGGAGGGGTTTATCGGACGGAGGCGACTTGGAGTGGGGGGCCGTTGGCGGTGTAGACCAAATGGCCGAGAACAATCTATTGAGCTCAACGATAAGCTGCTGCGAGGAACAATACAAAGATATTCATGAAGATAATTGAAGGAGAATGACGAGGCTATTCAATGGATCGTGGGGAGATTCGGTGGTGGTGGCCAGGCCCTCACTTCCCCGAGAAAGTACCGCCTTCTGCGTCGCTTATTCTTCCTTCACCACTGTTGGGACCGACGAGGGAGTTTTCTAAGACAGGCGTTTCTTCTCTGTCTAGGGAAATCGTCGTTGGCGTCCATGTGGCATACGTGTGCTATATATACCAATAGCCCCAGCCATATATCTGCTTACCAGACACCATGCGAATGGGCTCCGCGCTTTACCCCTCCCAAACCTACTACATAAGGCATCGTTCAAAAAACTTGATTCCATGGACTTTTATCTAAGAAGTTCATCGTGTGCTGGCTTCGGCACTACCTGATATTCATCTGATGACGATCTAGACCCAAGCGAGCAAAAGGTACCGATACACGCGAGCTGCACGATCTGATATACCAGAGCGCTGTCTATATTTGGCTGGGGTACAAAAGCGCGCGCACGGATCTCTGGCTGAACAGCGGCGCATGATCTCGCCAGATGAAAACGAGAAGACGAAATAGCCGTCGGGTGGCGTCACCCGATGGCTCTGATGATACTGTCGCCTGGCATTTGCCCATGTTCGTCTGACGACAAGTCCTGTATTTCGTGGGGATGACCTCCGCTTTGGGCTTGGCCTTGATTCGAGCCTCGAATAATCTAATCCTCCTTAAGCGCACAAAGAGAACCCTAAAAAAGAAAGAAAGAACGGGAATATCGACAAGGGCACGATTCGAGTCGCGCATTTTTCGAATTAGTGAAACATAGATGTGCATTGCCTCAGATGTAGACGAACAGTCTAAACCCAGATACGCATCTGGAATGCCTTGCTAGCAGCTTTTCACTGATAGCATCCATTTACGAAAAGCACAGAAGATAAGAACTGGTAGAACCGCAGTAACCCCATACTAGAAAACCATGCCTTCAATCTGCGGCGCAACAGGATACAGAAACAACGTATAGCAGACCTCCTGTCCCGACATCGCGTGATATCCTAAAGCGGACTGCCCTCGAGACCCAACCGCTCCTAAAGAGTCTATTAGGCTGTAGCTTGGAGGGAGATGCTGATACACAAACCCATAGCTCCTCCCGAGTCGTGCCCTCCGGCAAGGTCTCAGAACACTTTAGCCAAAGATCCCGGCAGATCCTCTCACGAACCCTTGCCTGAACCTGCCAGAGCTTCCAGTCTTTTCTCACGGCCTCCGTCTCCTGTGGGGAGCCATTGGCTTCGCCATCTCCATGAACTTTGGCCAAACTCGCAGCAAGTGATTCCTTTTCACTCTCGAGCTTCTCGAGCTCGGTACGGAGCTCAGAGAGCAGGGGCACAGCGTTGAGAGAGCTCAACTCTGCCTGCACTTTCTTTTCCTCCTCTTTGAGTCCGGGGAGTTCTTCCTGGAGTCTCTGGATCTCTTCGTCCATGGCGGCTATTGCGTCGGCGCTGGTCTCGTCGGATTCTTCTTGCGTCGCGTGGTAGACGGTTTGTTTCCCTAGTATGCAAGAAGGATCAGCTTCCACTCAGCGAATTCTAGGGTGGCGGGGTGAGCTCACCAGCTACGCGACACTCAATCTCCTTTTTCTGGTGTAGGTCTCGGAGAGCCTTGACGGCGTATGCTGGAGACTCCCGCGTCAGAAGCGTGAGTGGCCACTAATTGACCAAGGACTTGCCCTTCGTGACCTTATTGTGCAGGTTCGTCGAGACATCAATAGCCTTTGCGCCCAAGGTATGAATTAGCATTTCATATTCGAGAGGGTACACGGAGAACGAACCGAGTATGGTCGACTGATTCCACAAAGCGAGACGATTAGCTGAAGAGCAAGAGACAGAGGAACGAGGACTACTTCTGTCTACCTTTGAATTTGAGTGGATACGGTCAGTTATAGCTCTGGGCTTGATGAAGAATGAATTCGTCGATGTAGAGAGAGACTCACGAAGATAATCAAGGATCATTGCTGTGCCGTCAGAAGCCGCTTCGAAAGTTGTCAGCTCCGTATATACAGTCTCTGCAGAGTGTCGATAGCAGCAGCTCACCATCATTAGCAGCCTCTTTTTTAGTCTTTCCTTTTTTGGGAGCCATGATAGCTGTCTAGGTGTTATATTTGGGGTTGCGGATGACGTGGAGGGTGGAGAAGTGAAAGATAAATGTGATGGAGTAGAGTTAAGATGCGGACTCAGAAGCAGATATTAGTATCAGAGTATGGCTGCGGAGATTGAGAGAGTTTTCATCATAAACGATTCAATTTAGTCATCAAGTGGAATAATGACAGGACAAGAATAGGTTGTAGAAAAAGATGCTGCGTCTATGCGAAGGGAGAATATGGAAATTAAAAAAAAAAAAAAAACAGGCTTGCAGTCAGAGAAGAAGCGCTTAATTGGCAGTTGCTATTAATCCACCCCATATCAGAATTCAATCCATGAAAGCAATGGTGCTAGAACGAACATAACGAGGCCAGATCCATTATTTTCCAAATTTTTACAAGAAACGAATAAATAGAAGCCTAGATGCAGGTGAAGTAAAATGCGGGTATCACATGACAATCTATACAAGTGGTTAGCTCGCAGTTGCAACTTTGGGATAGCTTGAATAACATACGCAATCGCTCTCTTTCGGGGCGTTTGGAACGCCCATCTCCTCAAATGTCTTTGGGCCTTTGCCGGGAAGGTTTCCTGTTTTGGCAGGTTTCTGCTGGGCAGGCGGAGCAGCCGCTTGGGGAGCAGGGCCAGGTTTGGGCGTTGCTGAGGGGGATTGCGATTGCATTGATTCGGCGCGTGGGGGGAAGTTAGCGGAGGAGGGAGAGGGGCGTGGAGAAGGCATGCCGCCGGAGGAGTAGCCAGAAACGGGAGTCCGCGCCGGCTTCCGATCAGGGACATTGTCCAGGCGTTGCGGGCGTCTCCGCATATCCTTTTGGGGCTCTAGAGGTGCCTGATAGCCGATATCAAGCCTGGGCTCTCCCGAGCCCGGGGTGTGTGGGCCACTCGGGGGAGTTGCGTTGCCAGGTCCGCGGTAACCCATTGGTCCTGGTCCGTACGAAGCGGCACGGTTGTATTGTTGAGGATTAGGACGGATGTTCGGGTTGATTCCAAAGGCAGAGCTGGGGCGATTATCAGCCGGGTAGCCGGGGCGGGCATGAGGCATGGGGCGGTCGGGATAAGGAACCGCGGATTGCGGGTTGTCCGAGAGGCTCATTCGAGATGGGTCAGGCATTTCAAGGTTCTCCGCAACCGGTTGCATTGGCTGTTGCATTGACTGTTGCGATGCCCCACGTTGGTGACCATAACGAGTCGACTTGATGCGTGCAATCGCAACTTGTTCGTGGTCCCTACGGGATAGGGTCTTTGACCGCGAGATGCTGTCAATCCGGCCAGTTGCATCCTTGTTTCCGCTCGCTGAAGCTTTCGCGTACCAGCTCTTCGCTTCCTTGATATCGACTGGCACATAGATGCCGACTTCGTAGAAGTACCCCAGGGCGAACTCGGCGGTGGGAAGGCCGCTTTGAGCTGCCCTCTGGGCGTACGTGAACGCCAGCTCATCATTCTTCTCGAATACACCTTCGTGGCCGCAGAGGAACCATTTGCTGATAGCCATCTCTGCCTCAGGCTCACCCTGGCGCGCAGCAAGCGCGTTGTAATGCAGGGATAGTGCGGGGTTGAAATCGCAGCCAAGCTGGCACAGTTCATATGCGGCTCCCATCTTGACCTGCGCTTTGGCAAACCCGTGATATGCGGCCTTTTCGATGTTGACGCGAGAGGCATTAAGGTCGAGCGGGAGGTAAGTTTCGGGAACATTCACCTGAGGAAGCTCTCGAGCTAGAAGCATGCCATAAACCTGCCGCGACAGTTAGTTACTGAAAGATGAAAGTGAGAGCGCGGCGTACATAGGCTCCCTGAGGCGCATTCTCGTCGCAGGATTCCGCGGCGCGACTAATATAATCAAGACCCATTTGGTAATCCTGGCGCTGACCATGCTGGCCAAGCAGAATCATCATACCCAAGCGCTGGAATAAACCATTAGCCTTAATACCATCACCAACTTTGGGCGCAGAGGCGAAACTCACATAGTATGAAGCCGAGTCTTGGAAATGGACACCCTTCTCGTAGTGCCTGATGGCCTTCTCGGGCTCACCGGAACTTTCAAACTGCATTCCAATGCGGTACTCCGCCCTTGCATATCCTTTCTCCGCTGCCCTTGAATAGCAGCGGAAAGCCTCCTTCTTGTCCACTCGGAATCCAAACTTGCCGAATTCAAGCCACATACCCTTTATGAATTCCGCCTTGGGATGGTACTGCTCAGCCAAGAAATTGACGATGTTCATGGCGTCTTCTCGCAGCCGGCGCTCAACCGGAGGGGTCTGCGAACGCGGAGGTTGGATCACGGACAGGCGAGCCTCGTTTTGCATCGCAACCTCTACATAGGCCAGGACGTCCTGAGCCCAGTTCAGCTGCATCTCGGGGTCATTGGAGGACAGCACAGGCACCCGCGCCTTCTCTAAGTTTGCTTCCTTCTGCTCATCGGTGGGAGGTACATTGGGAGGAGGGTTCCGTAAGACGGGGAAGGGTGAGAAGTTGGGGGTGTCCATCACGTCGTACACGTCGGCGGACTGCTCGTAGTGTGTCGCCTCGTAGCCAGAGTGAAGAGGTTGGCCCTGGACGACAGCGGCGGATGAGCTTCGTTCGGGGAAACGCGAGCGATCGAACTGGGCGGGAGCGTGTCCGTACTGCGGCATGCGATGGGGGCTGCGGGCTTGGTGTTCGAACTGAGCAATATTGTCCTGCATGTTCTCGGGGACTTCTGGCATGACCCTGCTAGTCGATAAATTATTGCCCTGCAATTAGCAACGCATCCCAGAAAGGAAGAACTAGTGGAAATGAAGGCGCTTGGTGGACAGAGGGGGATTGTTTGGGACAGATGAGGGGCGGCTCTTTTGAATCAAGGATAGTGCGGTCGCACCTTTGAGGAGCAGGAGACACGAGTTCAGGCATGATATAGTGGTCCTCGCCCCCTGGATACCATGTCGCGCCCGTTGAACCCAGGCCAGCTTGGCCACGGCCCTGTGGTGGTGGACGATTCATTGTTCGCGAGAATAAGCCGCTTCGGGACTATGACTCGTCTTTGCTTTTCTCTCCTTTTTTCGCCCGCGGATTCCACCCCTGCCAATAATTCGCTGGGGCTCTCGGTGTCAGACAAGAGCTATCGTTTAGGATCTTGGAGCTGGCGGGTGCATCGGCGCCTTCCCATGCGAAGAGAAAAAAAGAAGCGGGAGAAAAAAACGGACGTGATGGAGACGCGCTCTGTAAGGCTCAAGGACAAGCGACTGGAGGAGTAAAGGGAAGGGATTGGCAGCGTCTCCAGCAAGAGAGGGGAAAGGGAGAGCGTCTCGGAAGACCCCGCTATAACAAACAACCGCCAGCACTGAGCAATGACACTGCGCGCGATGGAGCCGGTGGGCCAGACTAATGGCAGTTCGGAGATGAAAATGAACACTTCTATCAAAAAGGAGATGAACTTCAAATGAAGTTGTCAAATACGTATGTGCGAGTATACGAGTACTACTATACTCCGTACAACGTTGTAGACAAATCTGCGCAGCAGAAGTGGGATTGGCAGGCTTTCTATCACCACGGCAGCGCAGCGCCGCTTGCTCAGGCTTCGGGCATTCTTCGACTCGCTCTGTAAGGAGGCGGCAGGCCTCTATTTTCTCACCTCATCCTCATCGCATCCTCTGTCAAGCACTCTGTGACTTTGCCGTCCAAAGGAGCCTCGGAGGGTCCACTCAGCAGGAGTGGTGATTATTAATAGAAACCTGACCCTTTTGAAGAGCCAGGCAACCAGTCGTATCCGCTTGCTCTTCAGCTCCTCGACCGGGGCTATTTTTATCAGGTTTAGTCGCAGAGCAAACCCAAAAGCCTGCCCTCGCTAGTGTGTCTTGCTGTGTCTTCCAGAAACCAACGCGCTCTCACGGAGTCTTTTCTCGCTTTCCTCCGAAGTGGCTGAGGTCCATAATTCATGCAGGTTCTATGTCAGCCTCCTGATTTCTTTTTTTTTATCTTGGTCGGTGGAGATTGACATGATTATATCGCCTAAGATGATGAGCCTTGAGCCCTTTCTCACTGCTCTCCAAGGTATGCTCTCACTCCATGTCCTTAAAACGTCACTCTGTGCCTACCAGCGATATCGCGTCACAGCAGCCGCTCCCGGTTCTCGAGTCTAAAGACATTGTATATAGATTCCAGTCCTTAGGCAATAATGTCACACAATTAAAGCCAGTCAGCTTTGAACTGAAACCGCAATCATGGAGCCGTCAAAGGAGGACTTTTACCATCCTTACTCACCTTATGACATTCAGCTTCAATTCATGCGCTCTTTATACACATGTCTTGAAGAAGGTAAGGTGGCCATCTTCGAGTCTCCGACTGGTAAGCCATCTGGCATTCTTCGAATCTTCACCACATGACTAATTATCGATTCAGGTACTGTAAGAAGCTCTGATGTACCCTGATGCGACTCAGCTTTCGTTGCTAAGCTCTCCAAGGGAAAATCGTTGAGCCTAATATGTGGCTCTCTGACTTGGCTCCGTGATCACAAGCGCAAGTCTTTCACTGAAACGGTGCAAGACGCTGCTGGTAAAGGTTTCCTTCGATATGTGGATTACTACAGAGCTAACTACAGGCGTCAGTGGACGACGATGAGCCTGAATGGATGCTGGAGTTCGCAAGACGCGAAGCCAGTCGCGCAATCACTGAAAAGAGAAAAGATTTTGAATCGCGGCTCGCAAGGATAAAGCGGGAAGAAGAGCAGCAGAGAGCGGCTTTGGAGATGGGGCCTAGGAAGCGGCAGGTATGGTCTTTCTCTCTTCTAGATAAATGCCCAAACTAATGTCGTTCGCACATAGAAAGTAGCTACAACTACTACAGGTGAGGATAGTGAAGACGATAACCAGTTCGCGCTCGATGATTATGAGAGTGAAGGTGACGAACCCGGCGCGTCGCTGAAGCAATCCGCTACTACCGGCGGGGTCTCTTCAAGCACCATGGAGCTACTAGAGCGCTTGAGGGGGCAAGGGCCAAAAAGACCGGAAGAAGAGGACGAAGCAAATGACATCAAGATCTTTTATTGCTCAAGGACACACTCGCAACTAATGCAATTTGCGAATGAGTTGAGGCGTGTTACATTGCCTTCCAGCCTGCCGGAAGACTTGCAAGGTCTTTCTGGGGAAGAAGAGCTAGGAGAGCGAATCAAGCACCTCTCCCTAGGGTCACGGAAGAATCTATGTATCAATCCCCGAGTAGCTGCTTTGGGGAATCCAACAGCCATCAATGAACGCTGTTTGGAACTACAGCAACCTAGCACTGCTGCGCAGCATCGATGTTCTTTCCTGCCATCGAAAGAGGATGAAATTAAAGTCTCATCGTTCCGTGACCATGCCTTAGCAACAGTAAAAGATATCGAGGACCTTGGCAAACTTGGCACGAAGATGGGCCTATGTCCTTATTATGCATCGCGTCCGGTCATCAATCACAGCGAAGTAGGTTCAACTCAGCCTTCTATCTCGCCGCAGACTAATGTTAGGTGCAGATTGTAACCCTTCCGTACCCTCTGCTCCTCCAAAAATCGGCTCGGGAGGCCCTGAATCTATCCATAAAAGACCATGTTATCATTATCGACGAAGCACATAACCTTATGGATGCAATATCCGGTATCCATTCAGTCACCGTGACGCTTTCTCAGCTAAAGACCTCGATTTTCCAACTGACAACGTACGCCCGGAAATTCAAGACCCGCCTGAAAGGGAAAAACCGAAGCTATATTGCGCAGGTCATTCGCCTGGTCAGCTCTATAGCAGACCATCTCCAATCTATTTTTGACAGCAAACAACCCACTGAGGGTTCAGTCCTCCCTGCAGACTTGATGTCAGGAAAGGGTGTCGATCAAATCAACCTATACAAGCTATGTCGATACTTGCAAGAGAGTAAACTAGCAAGGAAGGTTGATGGTTATGTGGAGTTTTCTCAGAAGACAGTGGACCAGCAGTCGAAGCCTAAAACTACAGTACCTGTCCTGTTTCATATCTCAAGTTTCCTGCTTCCGTTGATGAATGTCTCCGCCGAAGGACGGTTGTTCTATACGAAAACCAGCGGAGATATTCAGCTAAACTATATGCTTCTCGACCCGACTAACCACTTTCGCGAGATTGTCGAAGATGCAAGGGCAGTCATATTAGCTGGAGGAACCATGTCTCCGGTGAGAACCTCACTTATTAATGCTGCTCTAAGAATCCTAACTTACGATGCAGATGTCGGACTATATGAACCATTTGTTCTCCTACGTCCCAAGAGATCGTCTTAATACATTCAGCTATGGTCATGTCATTCCGTCGGAGAACCTTACTGCAAATATACTAGCTCGAGGAGTGTCTGGAGCTGAATTCGATTTCACGTATGACGGTCGTGATTCGGAAAAAACAGTATGCTTGCCAGCTTGGCCCTCTATGCCCGATTACTCACATTTTTTTAAAGATAGTTGACCTTGGCCGAACCATTACCAGCTTATGCCGCACTATCCCAGACGGAGTCGTCGCCTTCTTCCCCAGCTATGATTATCTGAGCCGTGTGTTGAACATATGGAAACGACCGACTGCCGGTGGAAACAACCAAACACTATATGATATGATCGAAAGCGTGAAGCCTATTTTGTACGAGTCGCGGGAAATGACAACAACAATAGACGAACTCCTTCACCAGTACTCTAGCACCATCGAAGCGGGCAAGGGAGCGCTGCTGCTGTCCGTCGTGGGCGGGAAGCTATCGGAGGGTATCAATTTTTCGGACAAGCTGGGAAGAGGCGTGCTAATTGTCGGCCTCCCGTTCCCCAACATACGCAGTCCAGTCTGGCAGGCCAAAATCCAGTATATTGAACAAAAGGCCGACCAGAATGGGAGCTCGGCCTCCGAAGAGAGTCGGCGATCGTCTGCCAAGGCTGCCGGGCGCGATTTCTACGAGAATGCTTGCATGCGCGCAGTGAACCAGTGTATTGGTCGGGCCATCAGGCATCGCAACGATTACGCTGCTATAGTCTTGATTGACAAGCGGTATGGGAGGCCGAACATACAGGCAAAACTGCCTGCATGGATCAAGCAAAGTATGGAAGGCAGTTGTACTCCTCTGCCGGCAGGAGCTGCACTCGAGCGGCTTTCCAGGTTTTTCACAAACAAAAAGTAGAGCAATGGAACATGAACGCAGTTTCGTTACAATCAGTGTAAAAACCAGCCATTCAGCAACCATTTAAAACTATGTAGAGGACCATGCGATGGACTAGATCGCACGGCAACACGTGATGTAAGTGTAAGTGCCAAGGAAATATAGGGCTGACCCTGTTTTAGGGCAACTAACCCACAACCTAGCCGGGGACCAGCCTTGAATTCAACCTCCGAGCGCCCAGCACACTCCGACCACATCCCAACGCCAACCACACTTGTCGAACACAGCACCGTCGACAAGATGCCTACCCGTTTGTCGAAGACAAGGAAGCAGTGAGTCGCCAGCTCCCTATTTCCTTTTTCCCCTACCCTCGAGAATTCGTCAGACAATTCGGTTGGAAACAAGTCGACCGAGCAAAAAAAAAGTTGCGACGACGAGCCACGGCCGGGAACGCCCACGAGAAAAAACATCATCGCCATAATGCCAGATTGAGCCACAGAAAGACTAACGTTCTGTTTTTCATCTAGCCGCGGTCATGTGTCCGCCGGTTACGGTCGTATCGGAAAGCACCGTAAGCACCCCGGTGGTCGTGGTATGGCCGGTGGTCAGCACCACCACCGTACCAATCTCGACAAGTACCATCCCGGTTACTTCGGTAAGGTCGGTATGAGGTACTACCACAAGACCCCGCAGCAGTTCTGGAAGCCCATAATCAACCTCGACAAGGTACGTTTTGGAATCGCACATTGGTGGAGTTCGGGGCTACGTCTCGCCTTTTTGAATCTGGGGACGGGTTGTGATTGAGAATGCATTGCGACATGGAAGAAGAATTGGAAACAGGACGAAGTCTGGCATATATGGAATGAAAGCTGATGGTGTACCTCAATAGCTGTGGTCCCTTGTTCCCACCGAGCAGCGTGACGCCTACGTTAGCGGCCAGAAGACCGACACTGCCCCCGTCATCGACCTCCTCTCTCTCGGTTACTCCAAGGTCCTGGGCAAGGGCCGTCTCCCCGAAATTCCCCTCGTCGTCCGCGCCAGATACGTCAGCCGTGAGGCTGAGCAGAAGATCAAGGAGGCTGGTGGTGTTGTGGAGCTCGTTGCTTAGATGAACGGTGTTAGGGAAAATGTCATTTATGTCTTGGAGGCGCAATGCAAAAGCAGGTGCTGCGCTGACTACGAGCCGGCGTGAATAGACGAGCGTCATACGAGACCTCGACTATGGGAGCCGCGGATCGGTCGCATGGATCCGTGTATCTACAAAACAAGGGTTCAATTTTCTTCTTTGTGTTTGTGATGAGCATACTATGTATGGCCTCCGGACGCCCTTAACGATCACACTCAACCAATAAAATACCATAAGGAGGAACTGTTTTGCTTACCGTCTTTTGAGGTGTTTCTTACATGCATCAGGCCCCGTTCTGGATAGATTTCTTGCCAGAATGAAGTAGATCGGCGGGCCGTACGGTTTCTATGGTCTCATTGGCCTCTGTAGGCATGGATTTTATCAGAGAAATCATTCTGCTTAGTTCTGTAGCAAGTCGCCGTTACGGCTGATAAACGCAGTGGATCTCTTCTCCAATTTTCCAATGGCGACTGTTATCCTCGGCAGACGCCGTCGAGCTCGGTCCAGCATCCGCACTCTCGGAAGAGCATAAAGATGACGGGTAAGTTGCAGTACGATCTACTTTGTTCCGTTTTTCCTCTTCCGTCCTTTGTCTTCCGATATCCATGTGTTAGCCCTTCATACGAACAATGACCGATCCACTAAAGCCCCTAGACATCGAACCCCGCTATCGCGAGGCCAACCTCCCCTCCATCTCCCGCAAGACGTTCCCCGTAGCGGGGATCCAGACCACAGTCTTCGGCCTCGATGAACTGCCTCCTCAGGCTTCGGAGATTGCATGTCTCTGGCTCCTGCATCCGCGACTCGCGACACAGGAGCGCATGGTCCCAATTGCCTCCGCCGTCATCACAGACTGGAATAAGCGGATTCAAGAAGGCTGGGCGGGCTCCAGCAAGTCGGTCAAGGGACTGATTGCCGTGGCCTTCGATCAGAGGAACCATGGCACGAGGCTGGTAGACGCTCTCTGCAACGAGTCTTGGAAACAGGGCAATCCGCGTCATGCTCAAGATATGTTTTCCGTTTTCCGTGAGTGACTCTCCTAACCTAATCCCCTCGAGTTATTGGAAGGGCCTGACGAACGGGATTGATCGCCAGAGGGCACTGCTCGAGATACCTCCTTGTTGATTGACTACCTCCCCGCCTTCATCTTCCCCAAATCAGACCGCCGAATCGTCGAGAATCTTGTCCTGGGTGTCTCACTCGGCGGCCATGCAGCCTGGAGCTGTATCCTCCACGAACCTCGCATCTCCACCGGCGTCGTCATAATCGGCTGCCCTGACTACGCAAACGTCATGGCTGATCGCGCTCGTCTCTCCAAGCTTCCCTCGTGGAAAAGCACAACCCCTCCTGGTGCAAACTTCCTAGGCTCGGAAGACTTCCCCGTGGCCCTCGTGGACGCCGTGCACAAGTGGGATCCAGCCGGTCTATACCTCAGCCATTTAGACCTCAGCCCAGAGGCACAACCTATCCGCAGCGCACCACTTCCGGAACCCACAGAGAGTCAAAAGGCTGCTCTGCGGCCATTGCTCACTAAGACCATTGCGGGAAAGAAGATCCTCAATCTTTCTGGAGGAGTGGACAAATTGGTACCATATCACAAGAGCGAGACGTTTCTAGCTTGGCTCAAGCAGGCAATTGGGCCTGAGGGGTGGTTCGCCGATGGCGCGGTTACGTTTGAGGATATCATCGATCAGAACGCGGGTCATGAGGTTACGCCGAAGATGGTTGATGAGGCGGTTAGGTTTATCGGGGATGCGCTTGCGTCTGGGAAGGATGATGCGAAGAGGGCTTCTGTAAGGGAGTCCAAGATATAGATGGTTTCGCCGTTTGTGGTTATACATCGATGTCTTTGATTTGAATTACTGAACATATTATTATTGGCATTAGCTCTATATATTGAAGCTCCCCTTTGTGGGCATTCTAAAACGTCCCACTTCCAGTGGAGGATTGTGTAGTAATTATATATTGGGGCGGGTAGACAAGAATATCGGAGCATTTGGAAACAAGTTATAGGCGACTACACGATGATAAGGAATGCCATTGATAGCAATTGAATATCTACAGAAACAGTCATGGTCACGAAGCAAATTTCCTGATACAGAAAAGCAGACATGGTTGAATCTTACTTTTGAGAGGTCAAGTTGCATGCCCCTTTCCCAGGATGTGCCTGTGAACCAACGGTACAGCGTTTTGATGGGGCCGGCTCCACTGCGGCTCGGCATCGTTCCCTTAAGTTGGGTATCTTCAGGAATCCTCATCCCTCAAACTGTCAACGGTCATCGTCGCGGCTGTTCGATTGATCAATCGATCTTCTGGGGATTTTGAAGATTGAGGGTGCGCTTTTCTGAATGGGTTTGAGAAGAATGAACGCATTGGAAGTCTCCGATTGACCACGTACGACGGGATTTCTTCTGACCCGCTCGCTCACTCCCTGCTGCACTCACCAGCCAGCTCCCCGGCCGCCCTCATCGTCCCCAAGCTACTACCCTACCATGGCAGAAACCATAGTCAATGCCTCAGAGACGAGGGATTACGAGTACGCCCCGGATCGATTCTACTCCAAACGACCCGAACCCATCCCCGTTTCCAACGCGCAGAGACTGTCATCCCCTTTCCCGTCACCAACCGAGGCCAAGCACCCTACGACGGAAGAACCCGCGACCAACGGAGCGGGCACACACGACGAGGAGAACTCTGACTATAACAAGGGGAAATCTCGTGGTGGAATTGTGAGTGGGACATCAGATGCATGGGATCCGGAGAACCCGGCGACGACATTGAGCCTTCGACGGCCGAACGAATCGAACGAGAGTACTGCCAAGCAACGCGCTCCGAATTCTGTACCGGCGTCGACTGCCTCTCCTCCTCGTCCGAGCGTGCAATTCTCCAGAGAGACCTCGGAAATTGAACCTACAGCCGAGACTACGCAGTCCAGACCCCCTTCCAGACCTCAATCCAGACCCCCATCCGTCGCGGGCGACGATACAGACACGGGTCCAAGGGGAAGGCAGTCGCTTTTCAACAAACTAAAAGCTTTCGCGGCTGGACCCTCGTTTACCTCTCATTCTCGATCACTTAGCAATAATACGATCGGAGAAAATAGATACGGGAACCATGACTTGTCTACTCCAGGGTCGGAAAGAGGGGAATTCCGATTTCCGAATACGCTGGAAGAAGAGGGAAGCGATATAGATGCCGATGCGGAAGAGAGTGGAGGGGAACAGCGTCCTCGCGAGCCGCGCAGGAAGCGTCGGTTTCGTCGAGGACACGAGGATGAATCCGCTCCGCAAACTGAACCAAATACACCCAAGACCAGCCGACCTTCGTTTCATTTGCCGGGCTCGTTTGCCCAATTCGACGGGTACAGGCAAGCCTTCTTCCAACGGAGAGAGAGTGCCGGTGATCTAGCTTTGGCACAACAGCGCGAGGGAGTCTCCGAGGACGAGGGTCGTGATCGGCTGAATCGGGATACTGCTTGGAGGCGGCGAAGTGCCTGGCTCACCAATGGCCGTAACATGACCTATAGTGGGCAGCACCCAGAAGGTCAAACCGCACAGGGTCAAACCGCACAGGACGATAAGCAAAATAAACGACCGAGTAATCTGAGGCGCATAACCGGACTAGGAGGCCCGTCGGAAAATGGAGAAGGGCCGTCCTGGAGGCGCCACCGTGCTGACCGTGGCTCAAGCCTAAGTGCTCAAAAATGGAGACAAATCAAGGCTGGCCTGAAGCTCATCGGGCAGCGACGCAAGGTAGACCACACTGTTGATCACGCCAAGTCTGCCGAGCTATTGGCAGAGCTTGCATCTGGAATTCCGGCAGCCCTGATCCTGGCCAGTATGTTCCAACGGGATGAACATGGCAGCAAACGTATTCCTATTCTGCTTGAACAACTCAAGGTCAAAGTGACAGACAGCAGGATTGATTCACACTCGGGAGATCGCCATCTCGTTTTTCGCATTGAACTAGAATACGGAAGTGGTATGACGCGCATGAAATGGATTATCCACCGGACACTGCGAGATTTCGCCAACCTCCATCTGAAATACAAGCTCCACTTTGGAACACAAAGGTACATCCAGCTCCGCAATACAGAGGGTGGTCAAAACCTACCGCGCTTCCCTCGGAGTGCGTTTCCATACTTGCGAGGTGTTCGAGGATTGGATAGTGAAGGAGAAGATGAGGAGGAGGAAGTTGGATACGAGACCGCAGCCGAAGCTACAAGCGGAAATGAAAGAGCTGGAAGAAGACAACAGATGCAACACGGGCGGCGACGCTCTTCTGTCGGCATAACTCGAAGATTGTCGAGTCTGACAGGTGCTGAGGGGGATACGGCCGCCGAGGCTGGACCAGCGAAGAAGGACAGTTACCCAGAGAGGCAACGGAGAAAGCTGGAACTCTATTTGCAGAAGTTGATCCGGTTCCTTATATTCAAGCCTGACAGTAATCGACTATGCAAGTTTTTGGAGCTGTCGGCCCTGGGTGTCCGTCTTGCAGCCGAAGCCAGCTACCATGGCAAGGAGGGTTACTTGATGATCCAGTCTTCAAAAGGTCTGGACTTCCGGAGGGCCTTCACTCCTGGTATGATGAAGAGGCGACATTCGCCTAAATGGTTCCTCGTACGGCACAGCTATGTTGTTTGCGTCGACTCGCCTGAAGAAATGAACATCTATGATGTGTTCCTGGTCGATCCATTCTTCAAGCTCCAGACGCAAAAGGTTAGCTTGCGGCATCAGAAGGCAAAGGAGTTTGCCAAATCTGCCACAGAATCCGCAAGACATCCTCAACACCACACACTGAGATTGGAAAATTCTGAGCGGAAGCTGAGACTGCTAGCAAGAAATGAGCGTCAACTTCACCAATTCGAGGACTCTATCCGGTTCATGGCTAGCAACACCCCGTGGGCAAAGCCCAATCGTTTCGAGAGTTTCGCTCCGGTCCGCCAGCGATGTTTCGCTCAGTGGTTGGTTGACGGGCGTGACCATATGTGGGTTGTGTCTCGAGCGATCAACCAGGCCAAAGACGTCATTTATATCCATGACTGGTGGCTCAGCCCAGAGCTCTATATGCGGAGGCCTGCCGCAATCAGCCAAAAATGGCGACTGGATCGTCTCCTCCAGAGAAAAGCCCGCGAGGGAGTGAAAATCTTCGTCATTATGTACCGAAACATCAACTCTGCCATCCCCATTGACTCGGAATATTCCAAGTTCTCTCTCCTCGACCTGCACCCGAACATCTTCGTTCAACGATCACCTAACCAGTTCCGACAGAACACTTTCTTCTGGGCACACCACGAGAAGCTTTGCATTATTGACCATACGCTGGCTTTTGTGGGTGGAATTGATTTGTGCTTTGGACGATGGGACACGCCGCAGCATCTTCTGACTGATGATAAGCCGACTGGTTTTGAGACCCCTGGCGGCCCGAAAGATACTGATAGCTGCCAACTCTGGCCTGGAAAGGACTACTCGAACCCGCGTATCCAGGACTTTTACGACCTGGACAAGCCGTACGAGGAGATGTATGATCGTAACGTTGTGCCTAGAATGCCGTGGCACGATATCTCGATGCACGTCGTCGGCCAGCCAGCAAGAGACCTTACTCGTCACTTTGTCCAGCGTTGGAATTACATTTTGCGCCAACGGAAGCCAACTCGCCCGACACCGTTCCTGTTGCCGCCGCCTGATTTCGAACCCGCGGACCTGGAAGCCCTAGGTCTTGATGGCACTTGCGAGGTCCAGATATTACGCTCGAGCAGCGTGTGGTCGACGGGTACTCCCGAAGTCACGGAGCACAGTATCATGAATGCCTATGTCAAGCTGATCGAAGAGTCTGAGCATTTTGTCTACATCGAGAACCAGTTCTTCATCAGTACTTGCGAGATCGATGGCCGGAAGATTGAGAACCTGATCGGAGATGCACTCGTGGAGCGAATAACAAGAGCTGCGAAGAACAAGGAGGCATGGCGAGCAGTGATTGTCATTCCCCTGATTCCTGGGTTCCAAAACACAGTCGACAGCGAAGGTGGCACGAGTGTCCGTCTGATCATGATGTGCCAGTACCGCAGTATCTGCCGTGGCGAGACGTCCATTTTCGGCCGGCTGCGAGCTCTCGGAATCGAGCCCGAGGACTACATTCAATTCTTCAGTCTGCGATCCTGGGGCAAGATTGGTCCCCAGAAGCAGCTCGTCACGGAGCAGCTCTACATCCATGCTAAATGTATGGTTGTGGATGACCGAGCAGCTATTATTGGTTCCGCCAACATCAACGAAAGATCCATGTTGGGATCGCGAGACTCTGAGGTCGCTGCGGTGGTACGTGACACGGATATGATCTGGTCTACGATGAATGGCCGTCCGTATCTGGTTGGACGATTCCCACACACACTTCGTATGCGGCTTATGAGAGAGCATCTTGGAATTGACGTTGACTGCTTGATGGAGCATTCGTTGGCGACCGAGGAAGAGCTGCGGAAGATCCAGATCGAGGAAGAAGAACCCAAACCGCTCAGAAAGGCCAAACTCGATTCGGAGTCGTTGATGATGGAGAAGCAAGATGAGAGGGATATGATCGAGCGTCGGCATCGAATCCAGGACGAATTTCTGTCACGATCCGAAGAACTGCACAGCTTCAACCATGACGTCGATTGGGAACAGGGCAACAACCCGAACCTTAAGTCGAATCGGAAGCTCACCGCAGACACCAGAGTAACATCCAACCTAGAGCATAGGAAGGACGTTGACGGGTTCGGCGCCGATAACCTACGCTTAGCTGAGCATCATGGACTGGGCGAGGCGCGCGACTCCGAAATCCTCAATCATAGGCGAGAGGTCTTGCTTTCTCCTCTTGCTAGTGAAGGAAAGGGCACAGTTCAACAGCCAAAGGGGACGCCAAGGAAGAACTCGCAGCAGAATGGATCAAGCGGCCAAGAAGCTACGGCGACGTCTCCCACTATCTCTTCTCAGGACGGGTCCGCAAACCATGTGGTGGAAGGGCTGCCAACAGCGCAGAACCCATCACTGGTGATTCCGGCTGACGGTGGAGGTACCTCAGTGCCCACTAAGGACAGATTCGACTCGATCAAATTCTCTCCTACTATCGGGCCAGAAGCTAAGCACATTTTCGTCGATAAGGACTGCATGAGAGACCCTGTCGTCGATGTGTTCTACCTGGACACCTGGCAAGCTGTTGCGGAAAAGAACACCAAGATTTTCCGGAATGTTTTCCGTTGCATGCCTGACAGTGAGGTTAAATCCTGGAAGGAATACAAGGAATACAATACGTACCAGGAGAAGTTTGCCGAGATGCAAAGTCACCACTCCGCAAAGGCGTTCAACCCACACCATCAGCGGCAGACAGGGCCTCCCGGAGCAGGCGCTACCTGGGCCACCAACCTCAAGCCAAACATCTTGCACCGTACAGGGAGTCACTGCACTGACCGGAAGAGCCACACGCCGACAGACGAAAAATCGGAGAGACCGAATTCCAATGATCGACCGCAGTCCGAGCAAGCCAATGCCCAACTCACATCGCTAGTGGACGAGAAGGCTTCTCTGAGACCGACTGATGTCCCCGGGACGAGTAGCTCGCGACAAGATGACGGCCCCTCGTCTGGAGACGATCTTGAAAGACAACGCTCGGAAACTCCTCAAGTCGACTACTCTGAGGCTCTGAACCGCAACGCTACAAACCGTTCGCGGCGCCGCAGACGGAGAACTACGACGCTTGGCTCGAAACGGGATTTCACAACCGATGAAGTTTTGGACAAACAAAGGGCCGAAGATCTCTTGAATCAGGTCCAGGGACATCTCATCATGTGGCCTTATGATTGGTATGTGCCTTCGCTCTCCATACAATGGTTGTATACTGATGACTGCCCTAGGCTCGAGAAAGAAGAACAGGGTGGAAACTGGCTTTACACCCTCGACCAAATTTCTCCTCTGGAAATATAGTAAGTCGCATCTATCCGCAGGACACATTGAGCGCGTGAGACTAACAACTCTCTAGCAACTAATATACTCCTGCACCATCCATCTATTTTATTCCATTCACCGTTTGTATAAGTTTGCTATTGCAAACCTTCCTTCCGTGTTCTCCAGAATAAACAATTCCCTATGTCTTTCTCCCCTCGATCTCCTACCCTAGTCACACCCCAATCCTCTCTTTATCTCATCTCTTTCCACTTGAGAGAAAGTTTTGGAGCGAATTATCCGAGTTCTCCCGCTACCAACTGCAAATCCTTTCTTTGCCTTTTGCCTTGCTGATTCGCTTCTTACTTGTGTTTATTGTGTCTCTTCTTGCTTGTATCACCTGTATATTTGTCCCCCACATACGCAGGCGTGTTTGTGACTGTGACTGCATTTGTAGCCTGAAAGCATGGCATCGCATCGCGAGCGGGCGTTTTTCGTTGATTTTTCTTCTTGTTTTCTACAACAAACACACTCCAGCCTTATCTTCTACATGGGTTAGAGGTGTTCAATAATATTTTGAATATGCAATACAGTCATTTCTTCACTTTGAATCCTGGACGGTAAAAGAAATTTTCACTATTTTCTAGTACCTAGTGGCTGGTCAGATGGTTCCCCGTTACCAACGATTTTGGTCCTTCGAGCCTCGAAATCCTCAAAGTTCGCGCGCAGAGCACTGCTCAAAATGCTACGGGACAGGGGACCGCCATCACGCGGATCAGACGGTTCCCAGTTATCAATTGCAGCTGACAGACGGGTATAGGCATTCTCGAAAGCAGATTGAATTTCCACCGTCCGCATACAAGAGCCCCCTAAATCTCTTAGATAATTCGCCGGGTCCTGCACACATAGACGCTCAGCAAGAGCCTTGTTGCCTTGGACTGCGGCGTTCTTCTTCGCAGTTATGAGTGCCCGTTGCCCACGAATATGAGCGGGGAGATCGTCTTCCGCGTCGTACTCAGTGCTCGGCGTTGTAGGTGTAGCTGCCGCTGCTTTCACGGAGTCAGCGTTAAAGAAACCCGGAGGATCAACAGCGACACCAGTGGTTGTTAGATCAATCCCGGAGCCGAAAGTGTGGAGGAAAGCGAGAAGGGGTTCGGCGTAGCTGGCACCTGCTGTGGAGCGTGGAAAGCGGCCGTGATTAATTTTGAGAAAGGCGGCAAGGATGGTCTGGAGTGCAACAGGGTCGATTGAGAATTTGGCAGAGCCGAAGAGACCGCGTGTCTCGAGTATCAGGCGGGTCGTAATGTAGAGGGGCCGCAGGGAGGGATACTCTGCGAGGAAGTCCTGAGTATATTCGATGTAGGCGGGGAGCTCCTCGCCGCAGCTGAGGTGAATTTGGAGACCCGTGGGCCGGTGAATCGCCGTTGAGCCTGGTTTGGGGGCCTCGTCAATGTTCACGGTGTAGTTTGGGTCCTGTTTGAGGGCGGAGGAGACTGCGACTAATAGCTTGCGGTAGTGACGAAGGTTCTTCAGACGCGTTGCACTTGGCTTCCTGATGCTGTTCGGCGAGCGTGCTGGATCCGTCACATGGAGCATAAGATCGAGGGTTGAATGGCTCATTTGAAATCCTGTACGGCGAGACCCGATGATCTGTAGCGGACATCGCACGGATTTATCGACGATCTGGGTAATTTCAGACACGACTTGGTGTATGGCCTCCGTTTCCAGGGAAGTTGGTGTCATGTATCTTTCGAGGGCGCGAATCTCGGCATCAAGCTGCGAAAAGCCGCTTGGGAAAGCATGCGGGCCGACATGGACCAGCCATGGACGTTGTTCTCCTTTACACCGAGGCCTCCATTTTATCCTTTGATAGGCAGAGCCGTTTCGACCGTCGGAGAGTCGTGTAGAAGATTTCCCAGTCTCAGAACTCCGCTTTCTCGTCGAGTCTTGGTGTGAATATTTCGGTTTCGGAGGCTCTTCGACTGAGGGCTCTGGAGGAACGGGTGAAGGATCCGAAGGCTCTGGTGTCGGGGCGACACGGGGCCCAACCTTGACCTTGCGTATCAAGCTCTGCCGGTTTGCGGATCGGTGTTCCTCGAGCGTCTTTTCAAGACTGTTTTCGAAAATGGGATGGTTGGGGATCCTTGCCCGAGGAAAGGCATGGTAAAAACCGCGACGGCAAGAGCTGGTGGGAGAGGAGAGTAGTGGACGGCTGGGAAAGCGAATGCGCATGGCTCCGCAGGTTGGAGCGCTATTGCATTGTGAGTGGTTGGGCAATTGCACCGCAACGCGAAGCCTCCGTCAACGAAAAGAAGCGCAAGACTATTGTAGTCACATGACTCAGCACCGTAGTATGTAATCAAAGACATGTCATTATCACATGATTAGGTCAGCCCTAAACCGTGATCAGGTGGCACATCTTTGCAGCTGGAGAATCTGCAGAATAATGAAGTCAAGGATGAGCTCTGTACTCCTAGAAAATGTGAGCGGAAAAGTAAGTCCTCACTAGGAGGGTTCGCAGCTTGCGTGTACCGAATTGCTGGAGCCATGTGGTCGCCGCTGAAAGCGTCCAGACTCCTTTCCAGGGCAGGTTCGGGCTGATGACGTCGATCGTCGTCGTCGCAGAGGCCAGGATCCGTCCTGACAGTTTTCGAGGCTTCCAGAACCACGTCTGGCCATCACCAATTCCTCCGTCATCTCTGACAGATTGCCTTTTTTCTATATCTGAACTGTCGTGGATGATGCTTTGAATAACTGCTATTTGAGATCATATATCCCACGACGCTGCTTGAATGTCGTTGAGGCCAATTCACTTGCTCGCCTGCTCTCTTGCCGATCTCCCCTCGCCGAACCCCCGCTCTACTTGCTTAGATACTTGCGTCGAAGCCGACAGCGAAGTGGATCTCAGGTCCGAGCTATCGCAAATATAACATCATTCTTGCTCGTTGAGAACATCTCTCCTCTATCGCTTCGTTTAACCTGTCTTTCTCACCGCCCCATCGCCCCTCCGATAGCCTGCTATCGTGCCCCTCTCCTTCTTAATCTCCTCAAGCCCAACCCCCAATCACGACTTTCCTCCTCGAATCCCACTTCTTGACAGCTGTGTATGCTCTCCATGGCATAGCCGGTTGACTCTGCAGACAATTCGTGCCCTCGACCCTGTTTACTCCGAAAACAGCCATTTAACAGGTATGATTGACTGGCGTGATAGTTGAGGTGAACGGAGCGCTAATAGTCGTCGTGAATTACAGAGACATTCCGCCATTGCCCGTAATTACATTCTTCTTGGTGCACCTACTCATCGACCCGCGTATCCACCATGTCTTCAGAGCAAGGGGCTCCCGGCTCCAATGGAAGGCAGGGCGAACTGGGCTTTGATTCGGCCCCAGATACACCCCAGCATCTTCCTGCAGGATCCGAATCTGTCTCCGGAACCACCACGCCTCATAACCCCTCACAAGCAGCGAAGCATGCGAATTCGAGCAGTGAATTGCTGCGTCGGCTGAGTTTGAAGGAGGTGCTCACCATGCAACAAGCCGACCTCCAAAAGCAATATCCAAGCCTCAACCTCACGGGTCGAATCATAAGCGCTACCTTTTGTATTCCGTACAGGCTTTACTTCCAGCCAGGTCGCGACTGGGTATGTTGTCTTATTCTAGATTTGCAGATCGGAGTACTGATTGCTAACTCCATCTTAAGGAACTGAAACCTCGCCCCGGGTCCTCCGCCTTATTTGACTCATTTGCATATATAGCTTCTGAAAAGTCAAGTTGGTCTCACACGCTTGTTGGTTGGACTGGGGAAGTGGAACCCATACAGGAAACAGTCTCGCCTCTACAGCAACTCCGGACGAATCCTGATGCAAAGATACGCACCTCGATTGATGCCACAGCGGGTGCGCTAAACATGGGATCAGCACCTCTGGTCCCTGATACTAGCAAACTACACCCCCAAAACGCTGCCCCAGAGCCCTTTGCGGTGAGCCCCAATGATCGGGAGAAGCTAGAGGGACAATTGAGTTCAAGTCGCTACGGCAAAATCGTGCCCGTTTGGCTCACCGAGGAGTCCGAAGCCCCGCAGGAAACGGTACCCCTAGAAAACCAGAGCAGGTGGAGACGATATGCTGAGAAGCAACTATATGCTCTGCTACATTATAAGCAGAACGGTCCCACAGATGGTAGATTCGAGCGCGAGGCGTGGGCGGATTATGTCCGGCTGAATCGGCTTTTCGCAGAGCGAATAATCCAAGAATACAAGGAAGGGGACATCGTTTGGATACACGATTATCACTTGTTCTTGTTGCCGAGCATATTGCGGCAGCATATCCCAAATGTCCACATTGGATTTTACTTGCACTCACCGTTCCCTAGCAGTGAATTCATGCGGTGTCTCGCCAAGCGAAAAGAGGTTCTGACAGGCGTTCTCGGAGCAAACATGATCGGGTTTCAGACATTTTCCTATTCTCGCCACTTTTCATCCTGCTGTACCCGTGTTCTAGGATTCGAGTCCAACTCTGCTGGCGTGGATGCCTATGGAGCGCATGTTGCTGTGGATGTATTCCCTATTGGGATCGATGCCGAAGCAATACAAAAGGCGGCCTTCGAGAATGAAGACACCGAACGGGCTGTCGAAGCACTGCGGGAGCTGTACGCAGGAAAGAAGATTATTGTGGGCCGTGATCGTTTGGACAGTGCTCGTGGTGTAGCCCAGAAGCTGCAGGCATTTGAGATGTTCCTCGAACGATTTCCTGAGTGGCGCGACAAGGTTGTGCTCATTCAAGTCACCAGCCCCACCAGTCTTGAGGAAGAAAAAGAGGAGAGCAAGATTGCAAGCCGGGTCTCTGGCTTAGTGTCTACTATCAACGGCCGCTTCGGATCGTTAAGCTTCTCTCCCGTCAAGTACTACCCCCAATATCTATCTCAGAGCGAGTACTTTGCCCTACTGCGGGTAGCCGATGTCGGTCTGATTACGACGGTTCGAGATGGCATGAACACGACAAGTCTGGAATACATCATTTGCCAACAAAACAACCATAGTCCTCTTATTCTCTCTGAATTCTCCGGCACAGCAGGAGCTCTGTCAAGCGCAATCCATATCAATCCGTGGGACACCATTGGTGTTGCAGAGACGATAAACAAAGCATTGACAGTATCGTTGGAGGAGAAGAAGGACCAGCACTTGAAGCTTTACAAACATGTCACGACAAATACAGTTTCGGCCTGGGCTAAACAATTCATCTCTCGCCTGCTCACCAATCTGTCCTCGTTCGATCAATCAGTGGCAACACCGGCTCTTGATAGGATCAAGGTGCTAAAGCAATACCGTAAATCTCGGAAGAGGCTTTTCATGTTCGACTACGATGGCACGCTCACACCGATTGTCAAGGACCCCCAATCTGCGATTCCATCGGATCGTGTTTTGCGATCGCTCAAAAGCTTGGCCGCCGATCCACGAAACGCGGTCTGGATTATTAGCGGGCGTGACCAGGCCTTTTTGGACGAATGGATGGGTCATATTCCTGAATTGGGGTTGAGCGCAGAGCATGGTTGTTTCATTCGGATGCCGCACTCCGACACGTGGCAGAATCTAGCTGAAACGACTGATATGGGGTGGCAAAGGGAGGTCATGGAAATCTACCAACACTTCACTGAGCGCACACAGGGCTCGTTTATCGAAAGAAAAAAGGTAGCTTTGACTTGGCATTACCGGCGAGCCGATCCTGAGTATGGGGCCTTCCAGGCGCGAGAGTGCCGAAAGAAGCTGGAAGAGGACGTATCCAAGACCTGGGACGTCGAAGTTATGGCTGGAAAGGCCAACTTGGAGGTCCGACCGAGATTTGTGAACAAAGGCTTCATTGCAAAGAGACTCGTGGACGCGTATGGAACTGGACCGGGAAAGGTCCCCGAGTTCATTTTCTGCTCTGGAGATGACTTTACAGATGAAGGTATGCTCTCTGGCTTCGTATCTTCTTAAAGCAGCTAACATTGTTAGATATGTTCCGTGCCTTGAAGAAATTTGATCTCCCGGCAGATCATGTGTACACGGTCACTGTTGGTGCAAGCTCGAAACAAACAGAGGCAGGCTGGCACCTCCTGGAGCCTTCTGATGTCATCGAGACGATCACGATGCTCAATAATAGCAGCTCTTCCACTCCGGAGTATTAATGTCCTGCTGTCAGTACCTGGGAAAGAGATAAATTTTGATTGCGTTCTGGCAAGGGAGGTTCTTTTCTTCTCACCACATTATAAACGAGTTTTATAGAGTTGTCGATAAATATTCTTAGAGAGCATAGACGGCTGATAATTTGAGTTTGTCGGGGGATATTTGCGTCGGAGAATTTCAGCCCACGTGGCACCGTTTTTTTTGCTTCCCATTCTCGCGCAAAATCCATCTCTCATGCTTATCCGTGGTTTCGTGATAGTGACAATGGGAGCAGCACTCCTGGGGGCAGTGGATGGCCTTGACCAGATCCACGGCCCCAGACTGGAGAATCTTCTCTGCGGATGAACGGGAACGATTTCAAGAGCTCCAGCAGCAATTTGCGCCTGCGCAAGCAGGGCGAATAATGACTGTTAGTGGAGTATGCACCAACCTCCGCGCACGCCCTTTAAAGATCAGAGAAAATGGAGATCGAGCCGACAAGGCCATTTACTAGCGGATTTTCACCCTAGCGGTGCCGTCCCGACTTCCCAGCCCATACTCGGTCTTCTGTGCGAGGCAAGCTTGACTTTCTCCAACTCGGGTCCTGCTCGTTTCGCTTTACTAATTTTTTTTTAGTCGCCGCATCCCCGCGTTCTCTGCTTCGGGATTTGAGCAAGAAGGCGTTTCCGTCGAGTCCCACTGTTGCCTTGGCTGTGATAATTCAGGACCTTTAGCTAGGCGAACCGGATAATCTTCTGACTCACACATTCGACCTGGGACTGTCTGAATTCTTCGGTGCTGAAGCTTGACGGCCTGAGTCTTCTATATCAATTCTCCTAGCCAAGACGGCTAGAAGGGGAAACCCTCTTTACACTGTTCAACGTTTACGCTGTGGTGGACGGCATAATTTATCTTGCCGGTTATATAATTGCAGCTTATTCAGATAAGAGGGCCCTCGCGTCTTCGCTCTGACTCTCTCGTTCAGTGTCTGATCTGATCCCCTTTCCTTTTGGGACGACTTGACGCATTCACAACGTTGCTGCAATAGTCGGCACTTACCCCAGAATGACGGCGGAGAAGCATATTGAGAGTTACCCGGGCTATACAGAACCCGGGGTCAATGAAAAAGATCGCACCTCTGCACCGGAAGATGACAGCTCGAGTGACGATGTTCAATCCCTCAGAGACTCCGCTGGCGACGAAGAGTCTGGGTTTGATCAAATTAAGGACCTCGCGAAGACATCTACGAATGTGAGCCACGTTGGCGCGTTAGCAGCTAGAACGCTATCAATCGTGCGCACCAGAGAGTCAGGCAAAGATATTGGCCCGCCTCCAGACGGGGGCTTCCTGGCGTGGTCGCAGGTGCTCATGGCACACTTTGTCATCTTCAACACATGGGGTTACATCAACAGCTTCGGTGTGTTCCAGACGTACTACACCGAGACTTTGGGCCGGTCTCCATCAGATATCTCCTGGGTGGGAAGCATTCAGATCTTCCTGCTTTTCTTCATTGGCACGTTCTCCGGCCGCGCCACGGATGCTGGCTACTTCAAGCTCATTCTGACGCTAGGAGCCACTCTGCTCTTATTCTGCATTTTTATGACCTCTCTCTGCACTCAGTACTGGCAACTTTTCCTCGCGCAAGGTGTTGGACAGGGAATCGGATGCGGCCTCATGTTTTGCCCCACAATCGCACTCACACCTACATACTTTAGCAAGAATCGGTCCCTCGCCATTGGAATTGTGGCCTCCGGGTCTGCAACTGGTGGCTTGGTCTTCCCTGCTGTCGTCATGCGCCTGCTGCCGCGCGTGGGGTATGGATGGACTATGAGGACACTGGGTTTCATCTCCTTGGCAACCCTAACCCCCTGCCTGGTCTTCCTGAGACAGCGTCTTCCACCGCGCCGAAGTGGACCAATCGTCGAATGGAGTGCCTTCAAGGAACCATCTTACTTGTTCTTCGCCATCGGCATGTTCCTGAATTTCTGGGGCCTATACATCGGGTTCTTTTACATCGGCAGCTTCAGCCGCGACATCATCGGCGTACCCTCATCTACATCAATCGACGTCCTCCTACTAATGAACGGCATTGGCCTCCTCGGCCGACTCATCCCGAACCTTATGGCCGACCGATCCACCGGCCCGCTGAACATGCTGATCCCATTCAGTTTTTCGACCGGACTTATCGCCTTCACCTGGGCAGCAGTCCACAATTTGAGGAGCGTCTACGCCTTCAGCGCCTTCTACGGTCTGGCCGCAGCCGGCATTCAATCTCTCTTCCCGGCAACACTGAGCACGCTGACGACGGATCTGAAGAAAATGGGCGCGCGAATGGGCATGGTGATGAGCGTCGTTGGCATCGCGGCCCTCATCGGGTCCCCCATTGCTGGAGCTCTAGTTCAGCGCGGGGACGGTGATTACCTGTACGCGCAGATGTTCATGGGGAGTGTGATTCTTGCGGGAACGATGTTCTTGATAGCGGCGCGGGTGGCTAAGATTGGCCTTGTATGGGCGCGTGCATGAGTTTCTTTTTTGGCATTGCTGCATTATTCGAAGAGCATTTCCGGCGTTGAGCGGAAACGGCATATTGCATGATATCTGCTTGACTGAGTATATCCTAATTATAATCCGATGCGGTGTTTCCCTGAGGATCATACCGTAGTAATAGGTTTCTCATGATTGATCGCCAGGCCATCAGTAAGAATAGCGGATGCGGTACTGTAAATAAACTGGAGTACTTTTCCCCGCCTCAACCTTGACGACACCGCCAACTGACAGCACCAAATCACTTTTGCGAAGTTTATCACTTGAACCAGTTCTTCAATCTTCTTGGATATTATCTCAACGCCACTGTCTTTATCCTCACTGTCACTGTCGGAACACCCAGCTTTTGTCCAGACACTGACTGCACCAAGAAGCAGGCAAGTCCGGCCTTTTCACCCCACTTTACTTACCCCTCGAACAAAACAGGCAGACGGACACATGCTCATGCTCCGCTTGCTGGTCTTTATTTGACGCCGACAGCAACAAAGCTAACAGGATTTCTTATCCATCTAGACAAAATATAGGCTGAGCTATAGATTTCTCCTATCGACCTAGCCTTTCGTTCTCGGAGCGATTTCTTCCCTGCGGATCCATTTCGACTCGAACAATTAGCGCGTTTTCCTGCTCGAGAGAACTCCGACATTCCTTACAAGAACTAGAAAAGGAAGCACATAGAGACCATGGCGCCTCGCGGTCGTGGAGGAAAGTTTTCGAAGCCTAGTCGCGGAGGTACGTTTTCTCTTGAGCTCATAGCACGTCCGGGAAAACAGAAGGGTCGATCGCTAATGGAAACGCTTGTGCCAGGTGGAAAGCGCTTCAGCCGCGACGTACAACCCGTTGATAAGGATGGAAATGCTGTTGGATTGTGGCGGGTGCGTCTCTCCTTCCCCTCACTCCTTCTTTACAGGAGAAATTCGAGACCGGCGCTTAACCACAAAACCCCTTTAGGAACCCGACGACGACATCCCCACCTCCTCTGAAGAAGAAGAAGACTCCGAAGAAGCCTCCAGCGAAGAAGACGAAGCCGGCCCCAGCAGCAGCAGCAGCGCTGTCCCTCGCAACATCAGCACGATCCCCGAAGGATCAGCAACACAAGAACTCACCCGCGAGGAACGGCGCGCGCTCGCAAAAGCCAAAAAGGCCGCTGCGGCCGCACGCAGGAACCAGGGTCCCGCGCAGCCGGGCGATCTCCCGCCTAGCGACTCGGAGGATGACGATATCGCGCCGAATCGGAATGGATTAGGGGACTCGGATGATGAGGATCTTCCTGCCAACCCGAATCATACGTCCAAGTCGAGGTCGCAGACGAAGGCCCGCGATGGCGATGATGAGGAGGAGGCTGTGGGTGCTGCTGCTGGTGGAGAGGCACAGCTGTCTCGCCGGGAGCGGGAGGCGATTGAGGCTCAGCAGGCGAGGGAGCGGTATATGAAGCTTCATGCGGAGGGGAAGACAGACGAGGCGAGGGCGGATCTGGCGCGGCTCGCTCTTGTTAAGGAGCGGAGAGAGGCAGAGCGGCTGAGAAAGGAGGCTGAGAAGGAGGAGAAGGCGGAGCTTGCGAGGCAGAGGGCGGAAGAGCGCGAGAAGAAGCTTGCCAAAGGCCCGACCAAGAAGAAGGGGAAGAAATAGATAATATTTCGGCTCATTGCTTGGTTTTTTGCTATATAGGGCTGGATGTGTGTGCTTGGTTGTTGGCCTTTTGGCTATATGTGGTACATAGGTTGGGTATCTGGCCAAGAACGCGAGCGGATTTTAGCTTCTCTCTCAACTCTGCATGAGTACCAGCTGCATATTCTCTTTATATTGGTATCATGACTCACCTTTACCCGTCTTCATATTCGTCTGGAGCTTGACGAGTCTCTTGAATGTCTGGGGACTCCATCCGTGACCGTTGTTATTACTTTCCAAAGTATTTAGGTGAGATTCAATTGCTGTACCTTTCAACTCTGCAATACTATACCATGCACCTGATATACCCTGCTCGAAGTCAACCACATAAAACGGAGAAAATAAGAAAATAGAAGCGGAAAACAAAGAAACCCTTTTCACAGCCAATGCACCAGCGCCTATAATAGCATCAGAAACATATAAGCTATACGCACAAAAGTAGCGAATAGCAAGGCATAAGAACAGAACAAGCAGAAGTCGCAAGTCAAAACGAAATCTTGGAATCAGTTTATACACCCCAAAATAACCCCACCACGCTCCGACCATGCATGACAATGCCCCAACCAGCAATAAGAGAAACAAGCCACAGAATGGCGAAGACGAGAATCGGAAGGAGCAGAAGTTCCGTGTTATGTAGGAACGGGAGCGCGTTGTACCCGAGAAAGGTGATGTATGTGTAATAAATTAATGCGGAGAGGTAGAGCGTGTTGCCCAGGAAGGTTGCGAGGAAGTTACTTGGGCTGCGGGTTAAGAGGGGAAGGAGGAGGAATTGCACGACATAGAGGTGGAGGTAGAGGGGGAAGAAGGCGCGGTTGGAGACCTGTTCGTTGTCAAGGGTTTGTTAGTTTGATGAAGGATGCGCGCGGAGCAACTTGGAAATGGAGAAAGCGTACGTCAAAGCAGTAGCCGAATTCTAATTGATCCTTCTCGCCGGGTTGCGTGAAGAGGCCCTGTGCTGCACCGCGTCGGCGGCCGCGGATGCGTAGACCTGTGATGGATGCTGCAGCACCGTTGGGGCCGAACAGGCGGCCGACGACAAAGTAGCCTATTGTCGATACGAGCAGGGAGGAGCCGAGGAAGTGGAGAAAAATGAAGAGGAGGGAGAGGCGGACAATTGAGCCGAATGACGGGGCGTATGCGAGACCCCAGGCGAGGGCTGTGAGGAGGAGGAAGAACGAGAGGAGGTATGTGAAGGATGGATCGGGGCGGTGCCATGTGTTTTTCGTTTCTAGAGTTCCGATTGGTTTGGAGTTCGCTAGAGAAGAGGAGGACTGTTGTCATTATAGGGACTCACGTTTCTATTCAAGCTTCTGTTAGCAGCTGCCTATCGCACTTCGGGCCTTGAGGGGAAAGCTTACATGGTAGTATATTGACTTGAATACCTTCTTTGGCGCGATTAGAAGCGACGTCATCTCCCAGATGGCCATCTCAAAGTCCATCTGCGGGAACTTGAACATTCTGCACCAAGAAAAGTCAGCAAGGCCCCTGAATAGCTCCAGACTAGTGGTACCTCTTGAAGAAACGCGACATCCGTATACTCGACCCGCGGTTTGCGGGCATGCCGCCGAAGTTGGGAGAGCTGCCATGTTGACGGGGGACGGATATGTGCGGGTTCATCTCGTGGCAGCCGTGGCTAAGTTGCAAAAAAGAAGGATATCATGCACAACAGGACGTAACAATTGGAGAGAGTATTGTCTGTATAGAGTGGCCTAGGTGGTTGTCTGTTGTTAGAGTTGGTTATGTCATCCGCCAGTTGTGATCGGATTATTATCACACCGATCCGTAAGCATAATAATTTGTGCACATAGGACTTGTGCATCCATTGTCTACGGAGTACAACCTATCTATGGAGGACGCAGAGATGGAAGGATCCTTGAAAGTTTGATGAGCGAATTTCGGAGGTGCCATATGTTTGACGTAGCAATTTGCATACTTTGAATAGTATGAGACAACGGTGTATCTCCTGCAGCCTGTACATACAATGTGTGATCTCTCCGGTTGATCCATCCCAAGGGTGGTGTCCTGCAGGCTGCTGGGGTTGAGGGGAGAAAAGGATAACTAAACGGATCTTGGTTCCCCAGATTCCTACCTCATGCTTGCCGGTAACAGCGCGGCGTTGGCACATCTCCTCGCCAGGCGGACGAAGGATTTAGGACTCGATAGATCTTGATGGCCCGACTGGTGACGATAGTGAGCACTGGGTCGGGCATCGACTGACCCTGAGTGATCGAGGATCTCCGAAAGCTGAATGGAGGAAACTAAAAGTTGAGGCTAAGACACGTCGATAAACGGTGGGCACCGATGGCCAGACTCCAGCTGTCAGGTTGCATGACTGGAACTCGACGGCAATTCTCCGTGTCTGCCGTCCTCTTGGAGCTGCGATATCACAGGTTAAATTTCCCTGATGAAACAAGCCGGAAATCTCCAACCGTAGCCATGCAGATTCTCGAACACTGAGCGCCAGACGATGCATTCTTTGAAGTCGCCAGAAGCCACCAAGCGTGCCTTTGCCCCTGACCGGCGGGGGTCTAAGCCGGGGATGGTCTAGCTGTGCCAGCTGGTCGAGACGCTAGTAGGAACTATCGTCTCTTGCATTGGATTTCCATCCGGAAATCGACCACTTCTTTCAACATTTATATTAATTCTTATGCACGTCGGGTCAATCTGCCCTGACCACAGTGACCAGACTCCTCTTCGAAGTTCGTACCTGGACTGACTCCGTTTGAGAAAGTCCATCAGACATCCTGCAAATATCCACCTCGAATCCCGATCGCTCTTCTCTCCACCCTCGCCCTCTATGGTCTCGTCATCATCACGATCGCTTCTTTTATTTAGTTGAATAGTTCCCACATTCCACTCGTTGAGACTTTTCGCTCTGACACCACCTGTTCCTGGCGGAACCGCCCGTTCTCCCGTGGTCGCTCCGGTTCCTGGTTCCTGACCGGTTGACAAGCCCTTCCCTGGTTCGTCCTCCGTCCTTCCACTCTGTGTTGCGGCTGTGACTTTTTTTGCTTTGACTGCTAACCACCAAAAAAGCACTTTCAAGCACAGAAAAAGGAAAGTGATGACCAATTGATTTCAACCTTGCCCACGTTCCGTCTGCTGTGGTAGCCTCGAGCAGCTCCCCCTTGCGCATTACACTGCGGTGCATCGTGGACCTTCCCTCGCGCCCCCTCACATCATGCCCAGGTGATACAAAGACTGCGCCCTTGAAGACGACCTTGTCTTGAAACCGGACTATAACTCAACCTTGACCCTGAACACCGCATATACTGTCCAAGTCCTGGCGACGGACAAACCCCCCTCGGAAAAGCACATTTCCTTTCCGTGTTCAATGCCGCGGTTTACCACGTTATAATCCTCACTAGCCATGAGTCGAACAATGCGATCTGGCAGTGTCCGAGCGACCTCCCAGCATGCCGACCGAGACGCCACCAATTCCCCTCCCCGCACACCCCCGGGACCTTCTAGCTACAAAATCAAGCGAGGACGTCACCCTCGACCGTCGGTGCGCGAGACTTTCCTCGACGATTACAACCCCGCGGATACAAACGACAGCTATGAATCTGGGGATGAGCGCGATCCCCATGACTTGTCATTGTCCCCGAATCATGCCGCTCGCACTTCGATAGTCGATAACATGCTCCTCTCCCTAGATCAGTTCTCGTCTGGCAACTCGGTCCTAGATGACTACCGGCTGTTCAATTCTGCCTTCGAAAACGATCGATTTACCCACACCTCTCAGGATTCCATTTCGCAACGCAGATACCGCGGTCATACCTTCTCTTCATCTTTGTCGTCGGACGTGGAATATGGTTATGATGAAGGTGCTAGCCGGTACGCCGCACAACAAGCGAGGGAACGCCGGAGTAATAGTAGTTCGAACTATCAGTCTGGTCTCAGACGATATGAGAGCGCTCGGAGTCGAGATGGCACGGGCTCTCGCGGCCAACCTTTTGATTACCGAACAACTGCTACTGCCCCTGCTACCCGCGCTGGTAGGAAAAGTAGCAAGGGAAGCACGAGTTCCAATCTGGATTTCGGACCTCCCATTTCGAAACGTCAGGCCGAGCTGTCGAGTGACAGACGGTCCGCAAGCTTTGATCTCGGGACGAGGAAGCCATTTATGACATTTTCTGGTTCGACCCCTGACTACGATCCACTTGCGTATGATGGATTGGATGCGGCGCCTACCCCCAGCGTTCCTGCTGGCCCAAGGAAATACCAAACAGTTTCCCAGGCGGATTTTGGTCTCAAGGCCCAGTCATCGCGCACGCCAGTGGCATCCCGAAGGAATAGCGTTAAGTCCTCGCGAACTACTCAGACCAGAAAATCTCGCCCCGAAAATCTTGGCACCGCAGCCATTAGGTCTCGCGACCATGAATTCGCACTCATGACCGACTCGGACCTCGAAGCTCCCCCCAATATTTCGGCGTCTCTGGACCCGCCTGCCCCGAGCCCAACAATCTCATTTAACAAGCCCGCCTTCCCCATCCCGCCTCCCGAGCCGACCCCTGTCAAGGAACGTCCAGGTTTCTTTCGCCGGGTTTTCGGATCTTCAAAAAGCCCAGCTGCTATGCCGTCCGAGAGTAGCCCATCTGATACCGCAACCTCAAAAGACGCCGAGACCAGGGATGCAAACGGAGTGAGTCCCAGTATGAAAGTACGACGACAACAACAACAACAACAACAACCACAGAAGCTCACTGCAGGTGGCACCCATCCACCTCGTGAGGGTGCACAAGTGGTGAACAAGAAATCGTCTTTCTTCCGCCGGCGGAAGAAGTCGGTGGCGGAGAATGTCCCGCCTCCAATTACTCTCCCCCAGAACCTTAAACCTGGCGGACTGATGAAACCGGAACCTAGCCCCGTAAGCAGCTTGCGGAAGGTTATGAACCCTTACTTGGCAGACGCTACTCCCAATAACAGCACGCCAGCTGTCGATTATTCCACTGAATCCTCTGACTGGAGTACCGCGGCAAATGACCCTGATAATAGGAAACCGGACGACGTACCACGGAAGGCGAAAAGCAATTCCGTGAACCTTGTGAATGGACCGAAAGCTAAATATACTCTTTATCCTGCAAGTTCGACGAATCATGCACATGACACCTCATTTTTGGGAGCCAGCAGCGGCGACGATGATTCTATTGTCAAACCGAACGATTCGGACTCTACTCCGCTCGCCCGTCGCCGACAGGACCGTGTTGGAACCAGAGAAGGCGTGGACGCTGATGAAGGCGACGTAAAGACGGTGGAAGCACAACAAGACGTTGATTCGTCGCGAAATACATTAGCAGCCATAGAGAATATGCGCCCTACTTCCTTATCTCCTGTTGCCGAACGGACCTCCCAAATATCCTCCTCGCTCGTCATCGAAACCCCCGAAGAGAAGCCGGCTACCTCCCCAACAGCAGAATCGAAAGACAAGGACATGTATGATACGACTATCTGGAATGATGATTCCGATGCGCCCAGCAAGTTGTCTACTCCAGTCATAGGCAGAGACTCTCCTCGAGCCTCGGTATCCGAAGCTTCCAACTACCAAACTGCAGCCAATACCCCTATCGTACCACAAGGCGCCGAGTGGAACGCAGCAGAAGGCAACAAGGAGGCCGCTGAAGACCATTCCGCAGAATCGCCCAGCAGTGAAGACAAACAACAGGCACAGAAGCTATACGATGGGCAAGATGAGTTTGTGGGCAACTTGCCAGCAGCCGCCTGGCTTGGTGGCCCTGACCGTGTCAACATCCGGGCGGCCTATATGGACTTGTTCGATTGGTCTAACATGAATATCCTTGCTGCCCTCCGTAGCCTATGCATGCGGTTGGTACTGAAAGGAGAGACCCAGCAGGTCGATCGCGTTTTAGATGCTTTCTCAACAAGATGGTGTCAATGTAACCCTCGTCATGGTTTCAAGGCATCAGGTGAGTCGATTTCGCTTTTCTATCTCTCTCTCACAATGATAACTGACGCAAATAGATGTCGTTCACACTATCTGTTATTCTCTTCTGCTCTTAAATACCGATCTGCACCTCGCAGATATCGAGCAAAAGATGACGAAAGCTCAATTTGTTCGCAACACGATGCCCACAATCCAGCGCGTGGCTGTTGATGCAGCCCCAGACGAATTTGGAAACAAGGCAAAGGCTTCCAACGCCGATTTTGGACTACCGTCTTCTCGATCAGCAACATTCCCCACTGACGAGTCCAACTCTCATAATACTAATCCGGACAAGCCAGACAAATCCACAAACATCCCAGGCAAGTTGGCAAATCGACTGTCTCGACAGGACTTATCTTCAAAGATGACCTGCGATGCTGACAATGAGGTTGGCCCACTGGTCAATACCCCTTTCTCTGGTACTGCCAAAGCATGGGAGCAGCAGGTCGAGACAGTTCTTCGAGATTTTTACAGCTCCATTCAGAAGCAGAGACTCCCGCTACATGGCGCTCAGCCGGAAAGAGAAGCCCCGCGGACGGCATCCAGCGCGATGCTTGGCCCGGCGCCGCATGGTCTTCGCAGAAGTCCCAGTACTGTCAGCAAGAGTGGTTCCGACATTTTCCCTCGAGGCCGTTCGGCAGACTCGCGCTATGGTACGGCGCGCTGGTCTTCTAAACCTCGTTCCCGCGCTAGGTTGTATCCTCCTTCGACAATGGGATCTAGCCGCACAAGCCTCGATGACCAGTCATCCTTGTGGAGTCCATCTGGCTCGAGTACCTGGAGCAAATATTCTCTGGGTAAATTTACATCAGCGTCTGTCGACTCCTTTGGGTCGGGTTATCCCCATGCAGACTATCAACAGTCTATTGGGTTCGCGAATGCTCTTAGCCAGGCTATTATCCGTGAGGACTCTGCACATTCCATTGCTAGCACTGAGGATTATGAGAGGACCGGCCAACTTCTCGAAGATGAGACCCTAGAACTCGCTGGAGCGCCCTGGGCGAAGGAAGGCAGCTTGAAACACAAGCATCACCTGGACTCGGTCGACAAACGTGCGAAGGATCGGAACTGGAATGAATGCTTTGCTGTCATTCAACAAGGTTGGATGCGTCTTTTCTCCTTCAAGCCATCCAAGTCCATGCGGCAAAAATCCAAGCAACGCCATCCAGGAGGCGTTGTAGTGGGAGGTGGCAATTGGACTGAGAATGCCGAAGAAATTTGGAAGTTCCTTTTACGCCAATCCATTGCCAGTGCCCTTCCGCCTCCTGGTTACTCGAAATCTCGCCCCCATGTCTGGGCGTTGAGTCTCCCCACTGGTGCAGTGCATCTCTTCCAAGCTGGTACCCCTGAGATCGTTCGCGAGTTCGTTTCCAGCGCGAACTACTGGAGTGCCAGGCTATCAAAGGAGCCTCTCATTGGCGGTATTAGTAACATTGAATATGGTTGGAGCGATGCGATCATTAACAGCGCATTGATAAACCCTGAGGTCAATCGATCACCTCCATCCTCGTCTGGCGCAAGGCCCAGCATACAGAGCTCAATTAGGAGTTCCATCGATCAGCAAGTCGTCCGGCCTAAACTGCCTGCTGACCGTGTGCACATCAGCGATTGGTCACCGCCACAACAAAGCATGATGGCCGCCAACCTCCCAGAAGCCGATCAACTGAAGGGCTTGCAAACATATGTGAAGAACGTCGAGGCCGAGTTGCAACGACACAATGAACTCCGATCCGCGATGGTTCTCGCATTCTCGCCACGCCATCCGAATGCCGGGAAAGCGATGGCCAACTGGGAGCGCAAGTCGTCATATCTGTTGCGCGAGATTGTCAAATTCCGCACCTACATCGACTCCCTGCAAAACGCAATTGACGCGAAGAACAAAATATACGCGGCTCGCGAAGAGTACAATCAACCTTCGGAGTCGTGATTTACGGACGATTTTCTTCAAGATTTTCTCCTTCTTTCCCTCTTATATGGGCCCGCTTAGACATGACCTTTATTGTACTATACCCTTCATGTGCTTCTGACACCGGAGCGCTCCCTTACGATTCTATGCGTTGTCTTTTTCTCTAGAGCTGATTTATCTCTCGCCTTTCCTTTGTATCTTTTTAGGCTCTGACGAGATATGTTGATAATAAGAGGTATGATGACTGTTCCATTGTGAACCAGATAAAATTGTGATTTGTATAATTAGACGCAATTCATATGCAATCTATATGAATCTCCTATTGATCATGTGGACTTGTGTACGTATCAACTTGACAAGTCTGCAGCACAAGCGAGAGGCGAGTGCAGTCGTGGAGCAGATTTTGTGGATGAGAAATCGGCAGCCGTGCCTGAAAGTTGCAACAACAAAAATAACAACAAACAACTCCCACTTACCTCGACCCTTACTCGCCCTCTCCTGTTTTCATTGTTGTGAGTCCATTCCTCTCTTGGCCTTCTCAGCATCAACAAGCCGTTGCACTAGCCTGCCCCTCGCCAATAAGCGCTATCCCGTGCTGGCCGCCAAGTGGATAAGACAAGCAACCGTCTCGCCCATTCAGGCATTCGCACCCTTCAAAATGTGGAGAGATCAGAAAAAGCTAGGCTAACTGTTTCAAGACTAGATAGATAGGCTCTCCAAGCGGTGCTTTCTCCGTCACCATGTCGACGGCTCCCGCGGCCCAAACGTCTCGCAACGCGATCGACGATAACGCGGCCGACGAGGTTTCGCACAAAGCAAGGCGCACTTCATTCTTTTCGTATTCCGGTACAGTATACTCAGATGCAGACCTAACGACTTTCGACGAAGAATTCTGCGATCCATTGGATTACATGCTGGTACCCTTTGAGGATACGCAGTCGCAGCGGGTGCCGACCCCAAACACAACAATCAGCATGACCAACGAAACTGCCGCGACCGCCCTTGAAGAGCACGACCGCGACGACAACGATCCTAGTTTTGACCTTTTACCTCCCTTGCCCGATCATGATGACAGTAGTCTCGAAGAGAATAGCGATCGCGACCATGAGCGCACGGAGAATCAGACCTTCTTCGAAGAGGCCGAAATGAGGAGGAGACTGGCGGACGTGGAGTCCAGCTTCTTACCGGAGCCCTCAACAATCGAGGTCGCTGCCGCGAATCGCCCTACCGGTGTGGACGATACATATGTGGTTGGTATGGCGGGACAAAATGAGCAGGGGCATGAGCATGACTCTGAACTTGAACAAGCGCATGAAAGTGAGCATGAGAATGAGCATGGGCCCGTGCCGGATTTTACAGAGCCTTCATGGGCGGCACAAGAGGAGTCGAGTCATGACCTTGCATCGACGAATGAGGGCGTCCCCATCCCGCACAGTCCTAGCCTAGGACCCGAAGATAGCACGCTTAACTTGGAGTCCACAATCGCAGATTCAATCGCCTCAACAGAACCCTATGAAGAAGATCACACCACGATGCTTGAGGCAATGCCGTCGTCGCCCGCGGCTGCGGCAGCCGCACGGATAGACAGTCGAAATCAATCACTCATGCTCGATGACGCGAGCCGGGATCTGTCCTTGTTGCCCGAGAGCGCCGATGAGATCAGTCAATTCTCCCAAGACTACTCTGTCGACCAGTCAGCACAAAGCGCAAATCAATCGCTACGGTCAGCGAGCCAGGATTTCCGCAACCCTTCCATTACGCATCCCCGGCTATTCAGCAGTGAAGGCGCCGCCCCCGACCTAGATACTGCGTCTCGTGCAAGCAGCCGAAGAAGTAGTCGCCCCAAATACCTCACCAGCCGCCACTCCTCACAACGACTCTCCTACTCCTCCGCGGCGAGCGGTGCAACCGAAATCACAAATAGCGATGCTACAGTGGGTGCCGACTACGCCCTGCAGTCAGGCGGCGCGGTACCGGAAAACTCAGACCTGAATGTCGGATCGCAACGTAACAACCTCGCCAGATCAGTCAGTTTAGGAAGCATGGCATCAGGAATTTCAGGGTACAGCGACGACAACGTCATTGAGAAGCGAACGATGAGTGGGACTACAGACAGCGGCCTTCAGACGTTGGACGAAGAAGATGCTCCACAACCAGAAGCTGCGGAGGATAATGGGCCGATGACCCCAAAAGCAGCGCCGCGCGACCAGGGCTTTCCAACGGATACAGTCATTGCAGAAAGGGTCAAAGACGTTCAGGTTCCAAGTGCATTCGTTAAACAATTCCGTGAGGACCATGGGATGTCGCCTGAGAAACGAGCTGGCATGACTCCAGGATTCACACGGAGCGGCCGTTCCATGACCCTGAAAGAGCAAAGCAGCACGATAGATCGTCTATCAAAGGAAAACTTTGACCTGAAAATGCGGATCCACTTTCTGAACGAAGCGCTCAACCGACGTTCCGAAGAAGGTATCAAGGAGATGATATCTGAAAATGTTGAGCTCAAATCGGACAAGTTGAAGCTGCAGAAAGAGAACCAGGGTTTAAAGCGGAAGATTCGCGATTTAGAAAAGCAGGTGAAGGACCAACAGTCAGATAAGGAATCCATGCTCAATCATGACCCCGAGGGCTCTGATGAAGACGACCGAGGCTCCGCTCAGGATGAAGAATTACTCTTCTTACGGGAGCGAGTGGAGATCTATGAACTTGAGATCGAGCGAATGAGGTCGGAGAGTATGGCACGGGAAAGCGAGAAACGAAGACTAGCAGAGATGGTCAAATCCCTCAGCGAGGGCAGGCCAACTGGGTCGGATTCCGGGGCTAGGGAGGAAAGAGTAAGTGAACCCGATGACATCGCCTACCTCTTACTCATGTGCTATAGGATATGTGGAAGGATATGCTCGAGGCTGAAACTGCTGCTCGCGAACAAGCCGATGATGAAAACAAGAGGCTACGGGAAGAACTTATGCGTGTCAAGAGCGAGATGAGCTTCGCCATGGCTCCTGTAGCACCATTAAGACCAGGACAACGTGACCGTGGGAATTCCATGGTGTCCTATTCTGCCGCTTCTGACAAGGAATTCCATCGCCATACTGGCACCGGCAGTTCTTCCAGTTCCACACTTGTAATGGAACTAGAGCTGCTGAAACAGGAGAACGCAGAGCTCCGCAAAGAAGTCAGTGCCCAGACTTCAATGCTGACGTCGCGAAATAGAGAAAAGGAACGACTGTACCAGGAAATCGAGGAGCTCAAACTCGGTCAACGCCGCGAGCGATCCATTGCTGGTGACAGCATCCTCGATCGATCCGCTTCCAGAGCTCACGGGCGATCTTCTTCACGGACCAGCGACCGCACGGGACAGTCTCCGATTGATGATGCGGAACGGGAAGACCTAGAAGTTCGGAACGGGCAGCTGCGTGACCAGGTGTCCACGTTGAAGCTCGAGAATCAAGCGATCCGACAACAACTTGACGTTCTTGAGAAAGATCTAGAAGCTATGGACAAGGCTTACCAGGCTGATGTTGATCAAGCTAATGAGGAAATTCAGAGCCTACAACAGGAACGGGACCAGGCGTTGCAGATGGCTGACGAGCGGGACGCAGCATTCCAAGACCTGAGAGCTGAAGCACAGGAAGAACTTGACGCTATGGGAGACGAGCTAGAGCAGAAGATCGAAGATTGCCAACAATTAACTGAAGAGCTGCGGACTCAGGACGAGAATCTCAGAGCGCTCCAGGCAGAGATGCGATCGGCGGGTGAAGGTATTATTAGGCTTGAGGAAGATGCGCAGAATAACCTGCAACGGTACAAGGCCGTGCAGCAGGAGCTGGAAGAATGCAACCATGAGATGGAATCGCTAGAGAAGAGCCTATATGAGGCAAATGCCAAGGTGCAACGTCTCACAGTCCAGATAGAGTCGAGCCATAACGAAATTGCATTCCTACGGGAGGAGCAAGATGGCGACAAGATCAAGATTGGCGACCTGGAATCAGAGCTCAAGACTTACCAGGTGAGCCTGCACAGCGAACGCGAAAAGACACGAGAGTTGGAGGAACGCCTCGCCGAGGAGAGGCATCAACGCGAAGTCGTTGGCAGCAAGGAGAAGCAAGAGGTGCAGCGAATTATGAACGAGCTGAACCGTGAGGCATCTGCGGCCAAGGAAGATGTTCGCAGGCTGAAGAAGAGCCTCTCGGCGCAGGAGATTGAAACGGCCACTTGGAAGGAACGGCTCACAGACCTGGAGAACAACCTTCGTGAAACTCTCGGCGATCTTACAGGCAGCCGGTCCAGCTTGATCTCCAACATTATGAAGTTGCAGAAGGAGCTGGAGAGCACTGCACTGGAGTTGGAAAGCACGCGGTCCACGCTAGATGAGAAGGAGTCGCTTCTACGGAACCGCGACGCGCTGCTCGAAAGTCATGGCTTGGAGTCTAGGAAACTGTCTGAGCTTCTTGACCGCGAGCGGCAAGCTCGCCGTGCAGATAAGCAATCCTTCGAGCAGGCCCTCAGATCCCACCACCAGGCTTCCCGGACCATCTCACAAAACAACTCTCGCATCTCCGAACTCGAAAGCGCGCGCAGTCAAGACCGCAAGCGCTTCGGCGGCCTTGAGCAGCAGTTCCGGGAGCAACTCAATGAGCGGAATGCAATGCTGTTGACGATCTGGAAGCGGCTATCCACTATGTGTGGACCGGACTGGGCGCACTCAAACAGCTTGATCAATGGCAACCTACCTAGTCAAGAGGTCATTGGCAACATCTTGTTCTGGCCAGGATTTAGCCGCAATCTTCTTCTGGCGGTCAAGACTCTGGAGAACGTGCTATCAGGCTTTAAGGGCCGCATTAAGGATGTAGAACGAGGCCTGACGAAGCAGTACCAGACTCTTGAGCACGCCTTTAGCTTACGGATAAAGAAGCTCGACCGACTGGAGGAATCAGCAATCAACATGCGCGCTCAGCTCCAGACACGAAATCAGACCGGAATGTCCCCCGAGATATCCAAGCTGCGCGGCGAAAACCGTCTATTGAAGGCCGAACTCAACCTCCTCCAGTCGCACTCGCGCAGTCGCAGTGGAGTTGTCGTGGATGGGACAGGGTCTCCTCGTAACTCGACTATCGATGCTGATCGCGGTCCTTTGGTTCGCGCTCACTCTGCCATTGAACCATCCAAAGCGGTCGCACGGTCTGGTATCCCCCAACCCTCGCACATCTCCTCAGCGACAACACTAGTTGAAAAAACCGGACCCATGGCCCACCCCAGACACAAATCCGGCGACCCCGGCAACCAGGAAGTTTGGATCAAGCGTCTCCATGAGCTCGAGAAGCGGCTCAAAGCCGAACGCGAAGCACGTCTGCTCGACCGCAACGGAGCCCGCAGACGCCTCGAGGAGCGTGACGCTGAGAACAAGAGACTCCGCGCGCAGCTAGAGCGACAGCGCATCCGCAAGGGCGTTTCGACGGAGACGTCCACCGATGATGGCGGTCATGAACCGGGGTCTGATCTTACAACTGGTGACGAGGGTTATCGAACTCATCACGATGACCATAGTTCAAGCGAGGGGGAGGGCATCACGGTCGATATCGAAGTTTGATTTCCTTCTTCGCTTCTCTTCTCTTCTCTCTTGTCTCCTGTTCTTCAATCGTCTATTCTTATGCATCTTTAGCGAGCCGGTGTTGGATTTGGACATCTCTATTCTTCCTGCCTATATACCCCGGATGCCTTAATGGTTAATGCTGATGCCGAATGATGTACCTACTCTACTTACTTTTACGCGCATTCATAACGAGGGTGATGATCATTTCAAGTTGACTTACAAGTAGTGTACAGTCGTTTTTTGTTTTCTAATCTCTATCTGGGGCAAAGTCCTTCTACCCCCGTAGGGAAACCTTCAATGAGAAATCTACAATCCCGACGCCCTGATGGATCGAGCTCGTCGACAAGATATCCACATCCTCACATGCATACCCAGCCGCATTCTCCTCATTCAACCCTCCACTTACCTCAATCAAAAACGCCGCCTTTCCAACCCACCGCTCCTTCAACTCCCTCGCAGCCTCACGCACCCCCTCGGGCGTAAAGTTATCCAGCATAACCACATCCGCGCCAGCCCCAATCGCCGCATTCGCCTCCTCGACACTCCTAACCTCAACCTCAACTTTGGTAGAAAACCCCCCAACAGCCTTCGCCGCCGCAACAGCCTTCGGAATCGCCGCAGCAATATCCCCCTCCTCCAACGCCTTCCGCTCCCCCTCCCCCGCAGCCCCCGCCGCATTATTCGCACACGCCCAAACATGGTTATCCTTGAGCATTGTCATACTACTCAAATCATGACGATGCGGATCCGCACCCCCAACGAGGATCCCATATTTCTCGACGACGCGGAACCCCGGCGTCGTCTTGCGCGTCCCCGCGAGCGTACCCTTCCAGCCGTGCGAGCGGAGGATGGAGTTTAGTTTTGAGGTCTTGGATGCGATTCCGGAGCACCGCGCGAGGATGTTTAGGGCGACGCGCTCGCCGAGGAGGATTTTGCGAACTGGGCCGCGGACGGTTGCGACGTGGGTTTTTTGGGAAGGGGGAAGGGGAGCGCCTTCGGGGTGGTGCCATTCGACTCTGTTTGTGACGGCTTGTTAGTATTGTGTTTTGGGGAGAAAATGAGTGAGGGGACGTACGAGCAGCCGAGTTGCGAGAATACCTCGTCGAAGAAGGGGACGCCGGCGATTATACCCTGGTCATTCGCACACCAATCAGCCATTCCGTTCGCAACCACTCACTACGCAGCGCTGAAAAGCAAAGCAAGTAGTTGGAGCATACCTCGCTCTTCCCAAGTAGTTTCGCCTCACCCTCCGACTCGCCGACGACGAAGCCGCCATAGTCGAAGCTGGGGCAGTCCTCCTCAAGCCATTCGGAGATGAGTCGCTTGTAGGAGGTCGGGAGGAGGTGCCGGGGGTCGCCGTGCGATGAGGCCATCTTTTTCAGTTGTTGCGATATGATTTCTAGGGATCAACGAGGGGAGAAGACTTGGAGGAGAAATTGTGACTCTTCCTTAGACTCCCCGCGTTAAAGTGGGGAGGGGCTGGCCGCTCGGGAAGTTCCGGGGTGCTGGGCTTTTTGACATGTCACGTGGTCGAGTATAGATATCGATTGCAAGAAGTACTTGGAGAGAGTACAGAATATCAAGTAGGAAGCAGAGAGGAGTATCAATAGATCAATCAGACTGTTTACCCTCGGTAGTATTTGCAAAATGCGCTTTACAGCACTCGCGTCACGTACGGTACAGACAAGCCAAGAAATTCGAGAAGCATAACGTAACGAGCATAACTATCCAGTCCAAACTTGGAAGCCAGCTCGTTTGTTCTCCACGGACTGGGGCACGCCCGACGGACAAGGAAACGACATGGTCCCAGGTCGAAAACGTATGTAGCGAATACGAAACCGAGCAGTCGCGCACAAGTCTGGAGGCACTGGGACTCGCCAAGAGCAAACCGAATACGAGTAGCGAGAGTACGGAGTATGGTGAATGATCTGAGCTCAGGGATGCGACGCCAGCTGCTGCCAACGTCAGTACAAGACAGGCTAGAGCGTCGCGAGACCTCTGGACTCTCGGCGCTACCTAGGCGCCGTTCTCTGGCAGTGAAGGCCAACAGATTGGTCCGTATCTCTACGAAGTCCACTAGGACGGGGGAACGAGCATGCACAGCCTCGAACAGGGCGAGGGTGAAAGGGCCGTTTGGCTGTTTGAACCTTGATGAAGCATATGGAGTCGTGGGACTCGTGGCGGCTGCACTGCCTCAGGAGTTGCGTGGGCTTTCGCAGGCAGCATCGTTTCGTTCGGTGCCAAGGCCTGAGATATGATGCATTCTGGAGACCGTGGGGACGGAGTTATGATCGGGACAGAACTGGAGCAAACGGAGGCTGGATTGTGTAGCAATGAGAGACTTGGAAGTTGGAGGTCCTTGGATTCTCTGTATGGCGGAGCAAGGCATGTGATGGTCTCCTCTGCAAATGTCAAGGCCACTGCCAATCTCGGCTGACTTACCTTGCTTGATTCCTTGTAAGTTATCAAATCCAAGAACCAAGACTTCAAGAGTCGGACTTGATGCGGGGTAGACGCAGAACAGGATAAACAAACAATGCGGAATCAGGATTCCAAATACAACCTAACAATCAATCGGAATCAAACTGCAATGCGGCAATATTCTCCGGATGTATTAATGCCTCATCCGCCGGAGGCTGGAGCTTGCTGCTTGCCTGATCTTGTGATGTGGCTGGATCACCCCTTTATCTCTGCCGGTCAACTACCCCCGCACGCCAACAGCTTCATCACGGCATAGTAACTTGACGCATCCCTGCGCGGGTAGGATTTAAGCCGGACATATGCCTGTGTCCGATTTAGGCTGCGGTATCACGGCAACCGAAGAGAAATAGCTTGTGGAGGTGCAGAGTTCCTTGCGCCTTGCAAATCCCACTTTGGCGGCCAAAGTCACTGCCCCAGCGTCCATCTCACAACGTTGAACGGAGAAACCATCGCAAACGCATCGCCAAGAACTTTCTCTTGGCTCGACAAAGAAACAACTCCCGGGCCTGAAACTGATCATCTCAGTTTGCCAACAGCCAAGTCTTCGACTAGCGCAGCCTAACAGCGACTAGTCACAGCGAAGGCTGGGCGACAAATGGACGGACCCTGGATGCTCCATGTCTCCGTTCCGAAGCTGCAACACCGAGAGATCGCCGTAATGCGTACATTACCGTACAGATGTTGCGAACAGGGATATCCCGGCTGCGAGAGATCCGAACTTGTATTTTACAATTCTCGACTTCGTCCGAGGCTAGAATGGTTGCTGGGCTTCGAGAAGCCTTGGCGCTCAGGAACCGGTGCCACATACGTATTACGTAGCTGGCACCTGAGTTACTGTATGTCCGTGTCCACTTCATATGTGGCCGAGGCTACCCTGATTCGGTTTCAGATGAGTGATTGTATCGAGGGTGGATATGCTGACTCTAAAGAATTTTCGCGGTGGAGCTGGCCCGCTCTGAGTTAACGGATCATGACAGCAGTCAACCTCGGTTTTGATGAAGTCGGTAGAAACGGCACAGCTTGAAACTACGAGAAGCTCAAGCGCCTAGCAGCTTAGGCGATATGTGCTACTACAAGCATACAGTGTACTGGCTGAGATACTGCAAGGTATGGTAGACTTCACTTGAACATACTTTGCACTAAAACTCGAGTATAGCACACAGCCTAAGCTTCAATCCAGCTAATCCCTCCAGCCCTTGTACTGGACCTTGCTTCCATACTTCTCCCCTTTCTTCAGGACCACCGTGTGTCGCCACTCAGGCTCGTTGATCGCGTTGACATACCGACTCGGCTCGATACAGAACCCGGAGAACGGACCGCGAGCAGGGTTCTCCGCGTCCGCCTCGGGCACATCGATGAACGCGCCCGTGTAGAACTGGAAAGCCGGGTCGGTGCTGGACACCTGCAGGTTGATGCCGGATTCCGAGTGTCGGAACTCGGCGAGCAGCTTCAGAGGTCGGCTGCGTGTGTCGATCTTCACGTCTGTCTGGTCGCGGTCGATGACGAAGCAGTCGTCGAAGGCGGTGTTGGGCCCGAACTCGAAGGGCTGCGTCGTGTCGATTGGGTGCTGCTCAATTGGGCCGAGAGGGATGCCGTTGTCGAGGGGGAGGTAGTCTCGTGTTGCGAGCTTCGCGATGGTTCCTTCTGCGGCGCTGGGGCTGCCGCTGAGGTTGAAGTAGCTGCGCAGCTGCTTGTTAGCATTGTCTTTATCATGAAAGGTGGACAAAAAGACATACCTGTGGTTTGTGATATTGACAACAGTCTCCTCAACGTCACCTCCGACAAGCTCAGCCTCATACTCGATATCTAAGATCGACCGCGAGATTCCGTCCTCCACCACCTCACTAACAACGTAGTAGACCCTCAGTTCCACAGCGCCAGGATACCCCTGGTCACCATCAGGACTCAAAAGAGTATACTTCAACGCAGTTCTCCCATCGCGCTTCACAACCGTCGGCCCGTCAAACTCCAGTCTTCCGAATCCCTGACTCCCACCATGCAGCGCATTCGCGCCATTGTTCGTCTCGAGCTTATACTCGCGACCGTTGAGGTTGCTGATGACACCGCCCTTGATACGGTTCGCAACGCGGCCAATCGTCGCACCGAACCAGGGCTTGTTGTGTGCCTCATAGTGTTCCTTCTTCGTGAATCCCTGGACGATGTTCTGCCCATCCACGTTGAATTCCTGGATGATGGCGGCGAGGTTGAGGAACTTGACGGATGTGTGGTCGCCCATTTTGCTTTCTCTTTTCTTATTCTCTCTTTTGTTGGAATAAAGCGGCGCGGAAGACAAGGTAAGATGGTCGATTGTTGAAGGAGAGTTGCAGTGTTTCGCAGGAGCTTGAGCTTCATATACGTAAGTCAGTCAGTGGAGGGGTTCAATTGCTACCCCGCAATCAAAATACCCGCAACAGTCGCAAGCACCACCATGGCCCCCTTGACGACACTTATTTACCCTACGATAGGTGGCTTTTTCTCGCGCGGTTAAATTGTCAAAAATCTGGATGGAGTTCGCGGAGTCGCGGGATCGGCTTATTAGGCTAAATCAATGTCGGATAATCTCACTGAAATCATCAACAATATTTAGGATGAAGAGTGCTGCAGGCGAGTCCTCTCAGTCTGAGACTTTGAGCATCTAAAGTAACGCTGAAAGGTTAAACTACGCCCTATTAGTAGTCTCGGTTCTTGGTGCGTGGGGAGCCGTCGGAATATAAATCGCTGGACACGAGCTTTAAATAGCCGTCATATACTCCACGGAGAATTGTCTGTTGCCTTGGTTCGTAACACATGATGGATTTATCTGTCTCTTGAACACCAACTTCTTCCATAGTCTTCAGGCCTCAAAAGTTGTCATAACGACTAGACTTGGCTAAGCAATCTATCGAGTCGCCTCGCCTGACTACTCCGTATCTCGACCAGCAACGTTTCCAACTCCCCAGACTTCGACGCAACTCGCCGATCGACGCCCGCACTCTCAGCCTCAAAGCGCCCTTCTGCACCTGCAATGGATGTCCAATGTCCAGTATCAATCTTACTTACGGCCAATAATAGATACTCTCCTCAACTAATGACACAAAAAAGTCCAAAATCCTGCCAATTGTCTAGTCAGCACAACAAACACCTCAGACACCGCTGTAATTTGCAAGTCGGTCGAAACATGACCTTGATCATTAGGTATCTGAGTCATGACCCCTAAACTAAGTCCGTTGATCTCTGGCATCAACCTCTCCACAAAGTTCGACTGCGCCCGCATCGCCCGCACATCGCATGGCATCGCGCCCGGCATCAGTTCGGCGCCCGCGGAGATTCCGGAGAGGTTGGCTTCCGAATTCCGTGCCGATGGTGCATCGAGGCGGGTGAACCCCGCTTACAAAGACCGATCTTCTTCAGGATACACGGCAAGCACATGCTTAACCCCTATGGTAGTAAGGCTCTGGGTGTCTGGACTCAAAATGAGGGAATAGGACAGGGACGGGGACGGGAAGTACTTTCCTCAAGATGGAATGATCTACAGGTCTGACACAGGGGCCCCCGGACACCTACATTTATTACCTACGGGACAAGGTGTTCATTCCACTGTGTCTCGTGCTTGTGATTTATACGCTGAGGGAGATAGGTACAGGTACCTGGGTCGATGTCATTTTTGTGGCTATAGCTAATTCATGTTTCCGAGCTTGACATGAGAACCTGTCAGAAGATCATGCACCCATGACTGTTCGGAAGCATTATGCTCCCGTCTATCGGAGTAATTGGGCAGTGCAGTGGGCATCTCAAAAAAGAAAAAAGATTTATGCGTAGACAAATGTTGTTGTTGTAATGGGACAATTTAGCCACTTAGCCTCTTAGTATGTTACCATACGTACTTATAGAGCTCAATGGATTTCAAGTCCTAGAGGTCAGGCCTTATTCTCTAAGTCCGTGCAGGAAGTCCATGTTATCCTCAACCCGAAATCTAGCTATTCGATGAGGGATAGACAGATTTTATGTCGATATCAGCAAAGCCTATGCCCTAGCTTGTACGAATCCACCAACTCTCCCGTCATAACCTGGCTCTGGACGGAGAAGAGTATTTAAGGTACATTTTGCCGCCTTACCCTGTCGATTCTCTGTAGCGTCCGCCGTGGCAGAGTGCAGTCTGAGGCCTCTTTCTTAAGGTTAAGTATGGCATACCCCAGCCGGCTGGTTCGTTCTTATATACGGAGTGCCCGTCGCTGATCTAAACTAGTGCTCTGGGAGAGTGCGGACAGTTAGGTTTTAGGGTGCTTATGTACAGGGATAGCCTTGGAGGGCACATGCTGGCTTGGAGCAGTGGCACATACAGGGGGATACAGGTTGGTTGTGCTCTTGATTAGAAGAGGGCGAAGGAAGACCATAGTCTAGCAGAGAATTGTTTTGAAGATTCAACTATATAACAGCCAAAGTAAGCTCTAATATAGTGTCTCTGTAGCAATAAAGATAGACTATGTTAGTGGTTAACAAGAACTAAGAGACATATGAGGCCTTTCTTCCTCTATATGATTTATCCTTCAGCAGGCTTTACTAGCACTTATGAAGTGTAGTACAAGCACAGGTCTTTTCTCAACATAGTGCTGCATATCGAGCCTAATCGGGTACTTCTAGTCTTTTAGACATCAACAAGAAAGTCAAGCACTCTACACATATACAAGAACGGTCAAGACTTAAATTTTGCAAACTTCGAACCAACAGATACTTGGGGCTATGGCGAGACCTATAGTTACGACCCCTTTTGCCAAACACAAACTCACCTCCTTATTCCCTTTCTAAGTATGAGAGGTCTGTCGCAAGCTGAACAACCCCAGCCCAGCCCCAGAACCCCTTATGGCGGCAGCATGCATCCATCATTGCGCACCAGCTGTCAGCCATGGGCGACGCGATGCGCGGATAATACACGATGGCTGCGTAAGCCATTGCTCTGCTCGTCTAATCACCGCATCCTGATCCTCCCTCAGGCCGACAGCGTCCCATGATCATCGTCCAGCTGGAATGACAGTCGCATGGGCATTATTGGGCATTGGCGTCGAAATCAACAATCGCAACGGGAACTTTCTCCGATCCTATTCCGTGCAACTGTACAGCGCTGTAATTTTCCAAGACCTGGGCACGGTCATAATAGTCATATAGTGGACAGTGCACCCCGCGGCGCCCGGCTCGGCGACGTTGGCGAGGTGCGCGAAGAGATGCGAGGCGCGGAGTAGGAGTGAGCGAGCGCATCCTGGCAGCTGGAGGGGTCGGTATACTACCCTCTTAGGTAAAAGCCGCGGACGGACTCATATGTGCCCGACGCCGACACCGTTGTCCGCTGGCACTTGTCAATCATCAAACATAATCATAATCAACTTGTCTTGTCTCGACTCTAATTTCTTCGTTAGGATGAGTCATCCTCGCATTTACCTGCCAATGTCAACGGACCTCGTATTTATGGATTGAGGTACCTATAGCCTATTGGGGAATGATGCAGAAGGCTGGGAGTGGGAGGCGGGCAGCCAGCCTGCAGGCGACCGTTGGAGCAGAAAAGCCAAAGTCCAGGCTAGCCCTAATCAGCACCTTGCAAATTTCAAAAGTGGCTGGAAGTCTGAAGAAGGATTTGTCGGCATTAGAAATCAGCACGAGCGATTAGTAACTTGCCCAAATCCTGAATGATAATCACTGATCAGTCATGGGACAAGTCACAAAAGGTAGATAGATACATGTATGGTAAACTCTACTTGTAACCTTTCCAAGTTGAAATCTTGCGTTTCTAGGTAAAGTCGCCTTCGTATCGAGTTCACAGTTATACTTTTGCTAAGCGAAGTCGACCATCAAGGTCCTTCCTTTCCTTCCCTCATCTCGATCATTACCTTATTGTAGTGGTGTTCAACATATGTTGGATTGACGCCAGACTTACCACATCATGAATTCATGATGCTTACTCCTGGCCCCACACCTCGCGAAACTGAACCGAGCCTAGATCTATACGTCTTATCCAATCAATGGCGTAGATTCCATAATCTAGGGTTTGCAAGTCAAAAAGTCGGTCACTGTGGCTTTCTCTTTGATCTTTGGGTAATCATCTTGCGCGATGAGATGGCTTGATTAAGTTGATTACTAGTAGCTACGAAATGTACAGTCAAAGGGCGTAGACGACATGTCAGTTCTTCTAAGAAGTTTCGTCGGTAATCCGGATACACAAATGCAAAATCATCCGACTTTCGCTACTTCTCCAAGCACCTGTTTGGAAGTACGAGGTAGTCTCCGAGTCCTGTAAACCCTGACACCAGACTCCGCTTGTTCCAACGCTAGGCAGTTCCATCGATTTTCGACGACCCAAACCCGCCGTAGAACCCGCTGCCCTAGACTCCTCCGTCGCTGCCTAGCACTAATTCGCTGGGCTGCAAGCTGGATCATCCGCCATTGCGATCGAATTCGGGGGTCGGAACATCGGTTTCTCGGACATAGAGCTCGCCGAACAAAACACCAGAGAGCTGAGGCTAGAGCTCGGCTCGACACCTGACTTCGAGTCTCAAGAGTCTTGGAATTATATTTCCTGTTTTCTTCGTTGCTCCGGTTCCTGGGCTAGTTTCAAAGCTACAGGCATTGGAGTTGGGGTCTTGAGAAAAATACGAGCGTCCTTTCGTCTCAGCCCCAGCTGAACCTGACTAGATATGATTGATGATGATTACGGCCGTTAGCGACTTCTAGTACTGCTACTATTATGTTATCTGAGATGATCTACTCTACTCCGTATGTATGGTGCAAAAACAGCCAAAATCAAACAGAACAAACCACCATCCCAGATTTTCGACTTTTGCCTCCCCGTACCGGACTCGGTAAGACGATTACAGTCCGGACCCAGAATTGTGCGCTGTACCGGAACTGCTGACAACAAGTCGGAGATAAGAATTCAGCAAGAGAACGACTTGGCCTGACTCGTGACGTGCTGGATCCTGCCCTGTCCAATACTACATTCCCCCTCACCCCCCTCTTGAACCTGCTACGACAAGGTCCGATTAGTCAGAGGCGTTGGTTGCATTCTGCAAAGCGACGTCATTTCGATGTGGATGTTTGATTTTTTTTTATTTTTTTTCTGATTTTCTTCAGGGTGAGCTTGCCAAGGATTATAAGGGGATTATTGTGTAACTGGACCAGCTATGGAGGTATTCAGGAGGTGCTTTGTGAATAGGTGAATCATTAAGTTTCCATTCAGGGCTAATATTGGGTAGTATCAAGTCAAGTTCGTTCGTCTATCGCGTCACGTTGAACTCAAGGAAAGGGTACTAAAGAGAAAAAAAACACGACAATAAGAGGGAGTAGAGAGAATAGGTCCAGGTGGTAGTAGAAAGAAAGCAACAAACTGTGCCCAATATTCAAACTCCGTATCTTTTAGCTCAACACCAAACACCGTTCTCAAAAAGACCAGACCTCCAGCCGAACCCAAGCGCGCACACACCAGGTGCACAAGATGATGAAACCATGAAACCGAAACAGAACCGAGGCAATGCGATTAATGTACAGTGGCGAAGCAATTGAACCAGACGGTTATGCAATCTCCAACTGCGTATTCAGATACTGATTCATCTCCTCGTAGTCGTTTTTGCTATCCAGAAAGGGCGCCGTCAAGACCTGTCTGCTGAACATTGGTGACGCCATCGGGTCTTCAAAGTTGACAAACTGCGCGGAGAAGTCCATCTCGTCGTACCCGTACCCAGAGTTCCATTGGCCATGCATCTGGTTGCTCTGGAGCTGTAGCGGGTTGATAACCCCAGGCATCGGCTGCGACTGTTGCATCCCCGTGGTGTATGGATTGCTCGGGGGGAGATGCGGCTCCGTCTTGATGGTGGACTGTGGGACGTCTATTCGCAGGGACGTCGTGGGCGTCTGGGGGAGTGCCGTGCGAGACGCAAAGGGGTCTGAGAACTGCGGCGGCACAATGGGCGAGTGTGCGCTCTCGGACGAGGTATCTGACGAGTCCTGGCGCTGCATGTGGCCCGCGCTATGCCTCCATAGTTCCGACTGTAGCGCGTCTGCACTCTCTTCGAACCGCTCGTGCTTTCTCGAGTCCAATGCTCCAAGTTGCATGAGAAGGTCGTGTGTCAATGGGTGGCCGTTTGGTTCGCATTTCAGCGGTTCGCCCTGCCAGCCTTCGCCGTCGAGGAGTCGTCGATATAGTTCTTGCAGGCCGTTGACAAGCCATGTTTGTTGTTGCTCTAGCATCTCAACGTATCTATGCGGGATCCGTTAGTCTACTTTGTCCACTTCATTAACTCAAAGCAAGCCAGGCTGCTCACCCCTTAGGGTACACTTTGTCATGAGCCTTCTTTCTCTCGCCAAAGACACAGAGGGTGTTGTCTGCTCGACAGCGACCGCATGGTTTGGCTCCGTCACACTGCCGCCGGGTCAGTGCATCAGTTTTGACTTGCTGATGCGGATTGTCCAGGGCCGGGAGAGTTAGGGGACCGGCCCTGAGGAGCTTGTGCTTACCTTGGATTTCTTCAGTCTACAGCGATCGCAGGCCTTACATACTCGCTTGCGGACGCCGCTATCTGAATGCGAGTTCTCGGACGATGGCGTTGATTGGCGCGCTGTCATTGTGTTGTGTGTATATGGGCATATATAAATGGGAAAACCGAATATATGTGGACAGGGATTCCCGGGGCATAAGAATCAGTGTCAAGGTTCCCCAATTTGCGTTTTTCTGTAGCTTATTTTGCCTCCAACGAGAGTTTTTCTTCTCCAGAATTGTGCAATACTTTGGTAATGTCGGTGTTGCCAATCCAATACGTCAAGCGCCGCGAGTCGATGATACAAAGAGACGGTCGGGAGGAACCGAGTTTATTCAGACCAATGCGGGATGCGAGTGCGCGCTCGGAACCAAGGTGTCGAGAGAGTATATGACCGGATTGAGGGGGATGGTTGCAGTGCCGGAGCGTAGTAGAGTTGTAGTGTAGTTCGTAGTTGTTCGGTCACACCCCAAAGTCAAAGTAACTGAAGCCAGGGAAAAGCTGCGAAGCTGCGAAGGAGGAGGGCTGCTTTCTTTTATTATAGTTCAAATCCAGAGAACTAGTATCGATTCTGAATAATGCTGACTTGATTTATTTAAAGCTAAGGAGGGAAATATTAAATAATTTGAATAAAAAAAAAAGTAATCATTCTTGGAAAATAACCTCAGGCATTATTCAGATGCACTGAGCATTACGGAGATTGTAATCCGTTCTCCGGTGTATATAAATTACGGCCGTGTAAGTTCGACTTGAATTATTTGTATTTGCAGGGCGTACTTGGCCGCGGACTGGCTTTCCAAGCTCGATTGATTAGGCTATCCGCGCTGGAGTAAGCACAAAGTGCGCATGGAGTATACAAAAGTCCAGACTCCGAACACAGCCTCAATATAGGATTGAGGCCAGCTTCTCTCGTATCAGATATGAGCATAAGCACTGCGCATGAAGCAATTGATCAAAACAGAATCGTAAATTGCATTACAAATGACCTGCAACTTGGATGCTCTGCAACGGATCGCGGAAACATCTCAGTTTGGAACTAGTCCCGTCCCGGTCTAGACTCGGACCTCGGAGACATTTGCATTTCCGTATGGAGCTATTCGCTCGCGCGCTGATTATATGATCATCCGTTCTTCGTGCTTCGACATCCAGAAACCGGGGCGAAAGTGCCTCATGAAAATCTCGACCCGTATATCCGAGTAACCCTGGGGTTGAAAGCTGAAAGGCTCTGGACATCGCATGTACTATGGGGGTGGACACGTTTCTCAGGACACGCGCGTGACATGACGGCAAGCATTTTATGCTCAGTCCACGATGGATAGTCAGTCCCCGGCGAAGTGAACTTAGTGAAGCTAGCAAGGTGCATAAGCAATCCCCGAATCGGCGAGCACTCGCCGAGTAGTATGAAGTTTGAACCCCTCTGAGAAGTCTGAGTGTGAATCACTGGAGACCTGGCACCATAGTTCCAGATAATTACTGGATTTGGCTATGCTCTCCATCCAGTGCATAAACGGGTTTACGGCACCACGCTCGGGTTCCAAGTGTCTATCGGCACATCGATGCCGAGTGGGCAACGATGAACGATGTAATTCCCGCAAGCTTCCACCTCTCAGATTCAAGGTTCTGACACTGGCTTGCTGGGTTCTGGATTCGAATCTGCAGGGCTGGCCCCGTGGGCACCAAACAAGACCAGGTCCAGGGCGGTTATCGGAAGTTTTCGATGGCCATGATGCTGATCCGTCATATCGGTTGATGTCGATGATGGACGGGTTGATCCACTCCGCTTACTGGTGGCTAGAAAGTTATACTCGGAGATTCCTGAGTCCTGGGTAATCGGCCGACTCTCCTGAAGCTTGGCCTGTTTCTTTCCCGAGACGATCATCTCAGACCGAGGCACTTTGCTGAGTTTGAAGGTGTCCAGTCAAACTCATACTCAGCATGGCTCATGACGTGGAGCTTTGTCTGATCGCATGGTGTGCTTGTGATAAAGGCTAATACACTATCAATTGGCTGAAGGGCTGACTTCATGTCTACGCCACTAATACTAAGCTTGAAGCTAGTATAGTTCAAAGTTCTCATCATGACTATACCTCGCCTGTATCATTATGAGACGAGAGATATGGTCACCACGCGGGTAAAACTCAGGTTACAACCTGGTCTCGACTTACATCATGATTCGCCCTTGATTTGATGGTGCTCTGAGGGTAGGACAGATATTGAGACTCGACTCAAAGGTTGCAAGTGATGTGATTATTGCTGCCGATGGACTTGTTGAGGAAGAGATCATTGAACGCTTCCGTAAATCTTGGCAGCGGAACTATCTACAACGTTGTAGACTGCGGTTCATTGCGCCTTCCTCAACTGGGGCCAAGCTCTCCTCCAACTTTGCTTTCTATACTAGAATATCTCTTTCGGTCCATGTCCCGTCACAAAGAAGAACAACACGCGCCGCGTTTCTTGACCCGTATATTTCGCTTGCGTGGTCAAAAACCTCCCTGCAGCCATAGTTACCGGTTACTTGAGTCTAACTCGCTAGCCATCTCGAAGCACACAAGCAATTGGATGCAGTCTGGACTATCCCCGGTGGGACTGGTATGTTGCCATTTCGGTTTTAGGGAACTTGTTTCCTGGATTTTCTAGATCCCGAGTCGCTGCGCGATGGTCGAGATGCGTCGCAGTGGGTAATCCCGCATCGGTGGTGTTGATCCACTTCGGGCTCAAAGCAGCCACCACGTCATTTGATATGACAACTACATCGTGCGATCCCCGATAATCTTGTCGGAATCTAGTTTAACGTGCATCGCCAATGCCACTTCAGCAATAGCGCAAAGCTACCGCCATCGCCGAGGCTTAGTCTTCATCGCTCCGAGGCCTGAATGACTTCACTATGGACTCGATTCCAAGTCTCGAATCCAGTTCGACCGTGGGGATCCAATTTGTCCAATCTTGTGAATTACCGATAACTCGGCCTCGAGATAACAATACATGTGACAAGAAAAGGAATATTCGAAATATGATACATACATGCTCACGAAATGGTACGTAAATGGGTGATGGGTATATGGGCGGCGAAATATCCCCTTAATACTTTTGATTTCAACACAGACAGAGCTCAACAGCACAATCGTTTCCATCGGCTCGGTGTCTCACCTTCTGACGTATCCTTGTCCTGTTCCGAAGAGGGCTCAAGTTCTTTTTCGGTCCCCTCCTTCGCATTCGCACGTCTGCCGCCCTTTAGCAGCCCGAAGATGCTATGGCGTTGGTTTGCTTTCGCGAGGTTTCCCTCGGATTCCTTCTTGGATAATGTGTTGGTGGGAGTCTTCTTCAGAGAAAACCCGACATGACGGGTTGGCTTAATCATCTCCGCGTTTTGCTGATTGTGCTGTCGACGCGATTCGACGACTCGGCGGACCAGAACTAGAACACGTCAGCCTTGTCCTACAACGGATCAACAGAGGACTCACGAGCAAACGTCTCCTCAATGTTCACCATCTCGCGCGCACTCGTCTCCATAAACCCGCTGTTGTGTTTCCGGGCGTACTCGAGCCCGTCTTTAGCGCTGATAACTCGGTTATCTTTCAGATCACACTTGTTGCCCGCGACAATCCGGACAGGGGCGGCCATGCCGACTTCCACCCCTCGCGCACTGTCGCCCAGCTGTTTCATGAGCCGCAGGTTGTCCTCCGCCCGTTGGTCGGTCTCCATGTCGATCATGTCCATGAAGTAGTCTAGCGCACTGAGGCTGGACTCGCTGGTGATGTCGTAGACGAGGAGGAACGCATCGGATTTCAGATTGGACGCCGCCCAAAGACCTCGATATTCTTCCTGACCGGCAGTATCCGTGATGGAGAGGAAATATGACTCGCCGTCGATCGTGCGCGTGACCGAGTACGAGTCCTCTATAGATGCGATCGGTGATTAGAATCGTAGGATGGAAATAACCATCGGCGGAGTTTCTGTACCTATGGTAGGATCATATCTAAACGATAGCGCCCGTTAGAACCGTTGACTAGAAACACGTGGTAGCGGACTTACTCGTGTATCCATTGACTGCGGACTAGTCGTAGTGTGATGGAGGATTTACCTAAAGCCCGTTGGCGTCAATACTGCGCGGCCTGTCACCGGTTTTCGCTCCCTAGGGAGCTGGGAATGTTGCACAACATACCGCATCCACCGTCCCCGCAAATTGTGATTGAGATTTTATTCGGGTCCGACATTGTGAAAGGGTAGCGCGACCGAGAAGTCGCGTCTATGACGATGTGAATATAAATAGAGTAAGGGCGACAAAAGACGAGGGGTTAAAGAGTGGTTGAAACTGGCGCGGGATGAGACCGCCGTTGGGGGAGGATGAGGGATTCCGGGGGATGTGTTTGTCCTAGCTGAGACGAAAAGGCAAACACGACGTGGACAGAAGAGAGTGGAATAGCCAATTGGGCCAATTTGCGATCAACCTTGACAGTAAGGAGTGTATCCAAAGTCAGATTTCATGATGGACATAGAAAAGGGAGTGAGAGATGGCGCAGGGTGGTGGTGGTGAAACAAAGAAAAAGCCCCTTGGACCGTTTTGTCGCGATGCTCGTCGGGCAACTGAGCTGCTGGTGATAACGGCGGAAGGATCGCCATCCTTCATAAATTGGGTGACAGCGCCAGGTTAAAGGCAGCCCTGGCGATAATTGGAGGGCTTGGAGTGAAAACATTGGAATGCTTGAGATTTGGAGCATACCACATTGAAATCGTAGATTGTTTACAATTTTGAGTTTCTCCATACCCCGTCTGGGGTCCAGGTCGCTCGCGTTCTTCAGGAACGTGCTCGACCCGAGCGTTCGTCCCTGAAGAGTCAGAAGCACCCGTCATGGAGCCAATCAGGCTACTTATCACCACAAATTCCGGCGAGATGCCAAATCCTTCTCAACTGAGGCGAGATCTGGGAATACACCGATGAATCGATCTCGGCCACGTGATGTTCAGCTTCATCGCCCTTGTCGCCTTTAGATCTCTCTTTTCTCGTCTCATCTGTGAGATGCTTCAAGGACAGCTCCATCAGTCCCTGCTCTACATCAAACATCTCGCTGTCTTGTAGTTGATTGATCAAAAAAGCTCGCCTTCGTCTTTTGACACATCGTTTGGTCTCGCATGGTCTCCGCTCTCATTGGCAGAATTCGATCGTCCCGCCCGACATGGAGGCGGCGTCGATCAGCTTCAATCACTGCATCACTTGGTCCTGCAACACAAGGCCACAGAGGATTAATGTCGCATCGATCTTGGGCTGCTTGACCCGTTTATCTCTTGATCCTTGTCCAGAAGGATCTTGATATACATAATCATCTTCTCCCTCCGAGATACCTCGCTTTCTTAGCTATTTCATACGTCTTTAGCTGACCCATGACGTTATCGCATTTCGCCTCTCTTTCCATTTCTTCTCGTTATATGGCGCTGTTCTCGGGGCCTGGTGCCACATTACTTCATCCGACTTGAGCAAACCTGGGGAAACAGTCTCTAGATTGGCCCCCAAGCACCCTATTTCTAACTCCTCCTTCGATTGGCCCAAGCTCCCCAGATCGGATCGATCGATCGGGATTTTCATCATGGCCAATCGAGGCATTGAAGACTTCGATCACATCTTCTATGACGGTCAATACCCTACACCTCCATCTAACCGTCAACACGAGGGACAGCCCGCGCAGATGGTACCCTACACCTCTGCTTCGATGTCTGTGGGGAACTATACTTATCCGCCGCATAGCTCTATGCTCGCTTATGACCCCGCAGCAGATCCCTCATTGTCAATGGGCTTAGACCCCGGAAGTGCCTTTCCATATGATCTCTCCACGTATCCGTCTTCTACTGCAGCTGTAGGACATGGCTTGAATCAGTTTGCTCCCTTGCAACCACAGGATCCGAGGTCGGAGACTGGCTCCGTATATTCGACGGCACAATCGCAAGATCCTGGAGCAGCCGTATTTTGGAATCAGCCTCAGCCTGGGGGGAGTGATCCTTCATTTCAGGGCTCACTTTCTCACAAAGCGCCGCCCTCTCGTTTGGCACCTTCTGCGGACTCGACGTTGCAACGTGGGCAACCACAAGCCTCGACTTCAGGGCCCGTCCACCGATATATTCAGCCTAAAAAGTCGATAGCGGGGAAGGGTAACCAGCCCCCTTAATATTATTGGACTTTACTGACAGACACTTCAAGACACGGGGTCGACAGGGATAGGATCAGGTGAAACTACTCCGTATAGTAACATATATTCGAGTAGTGGACTTGATGTGGTGGGCATTCTAGTAAGTCTGCACTTCTATCAGATATTGTGTAAGATATGATTCCATCTCCCAATGGCGAGCTGACATACACCAGTCCCAGGTAGTGTCACGGCCGAATCCCAAAATCAATATTGGGCCCGTTGATCTGTCGTGCGCCTTTGTGTTATGTGATATTGAGAAAGAAGATCACCCAATTATATACGTTTCTCATGCCTTTGAACGGCTCACTGGGTACCAAGAAAGGGATATCATTGGACATAACTGTCGCTTCCTGCAGAGTCCAGATGGCGTGGTTGAGCCCGGCGCACCTCGAAAGTTTGTCGACTCCTATACAGCCTTTCGATTGAAGACCACGATTGAGCAACAATCTGAGACGCAAGTGAGCATCATCAATTACAGAAAAGGAGGTCAACCTTTCATGAACTTGGTGACAATGATTCCTGTGCGATGGGAATCAAAGGATTTTCGATATTTTGTGGGGTTCCAGGTTGACCTAGTTGAAAGGCCGGAGGCAGTCAGGAGACTGAACCCAGGTATGACATTCGCTGCATAAACTACACCCAGGACTGACCGAGATAGACGGAAGTTTCATGATCGATTATCACCGGAACCAGCTGCCTAGTTACCTGGTACCTCCTTCAGATATGTGGCAAGATGAGCATGGTCCAGCCATGCAGTTCAGCCCTAGTCAAGTGTCTATGATTTTGGACAACCTTCAAAGAGGCCAACCAGTAGCCAGAAGCCATCTACAGCACGTTTTGGTTGAGAATGCAGACGACGTGATTTTCGTCTTGTCATATGAAGGGGAATTTCTCTATCTCTCGCCGTCATGTCGCGCAGTGCTAGAGTACAACCCGGGTGACCTCGTTGGAAAGACTCTATCCACAATCTGCCACCCAAGCGATATAGGTCCCGTCACCCGCGACCTCCGCGCCTGCACATCCACGGAACCAATTAGCGTGATATATCGCATCCGCAGAAAGCACAGCGGCTTCGCCTGGTTCGAGAACCACGGCGGATGGCACATCTCCGAACGAGGACGGCAGTTCATGGTCCTCGTCGGGCGAATCATCCCCGTGTATGCTCTCAACCACCTAACAAAGATGAAGCCAGACGCATCAGCAGAGAACGACCTCTGGGCGAAACTCTCGATTTCAGGCCTCATCCTCTTCATGTCCTCTAAATCCCGCGCCGTCCTCGGCCGAGCTCCCGACGATCTAGTCGGCAAAGGCATACAAGATATCATTGTCGGTGACAGTTCGCAACAAGATCCGGGCCTCCAGCAAGCGCTCGAGACATGCCGCGCGGGTAAACAAGCCACCTTCACTCACAAGATCCGCCATCGCAAGGGCCACATCTTCCCTGCCCAAACTACCCTGTACCCAGGCGACTTGAACGACGACACCCCAGCACCAACGACACCTAGCTTCCTCATCGCACAACTCTGCTTCCCAAGAGTTCCCACGGATGACGCACTCAAAAATCAAAGCAGCGACGCCAACAACGACCTCAGCATTCCCCAACAACAACAAGAACCCAACCAAAGCCCAGCTACAACCTCTGCATCCGCATCAACCCTCCACCCAAAACACCACCCCAACTACCCAGAGCCCTTCATCTCCTCCACCTCCGCAGCCCTAACAACCAGCTCGTCTCCCGAGAAACCCAACACCACGACCACGGACCCTCCACCATCCTTCTTCGAAGAACTCAATCCAACACGCGGCTCGAACTGGAGCTTCGAGCTGCGCGAGCTGGAGAAGCAGAACCGTGTGCTTGCTGAGGAGGTGCAGCGCCTGCTTGCGAAACGGAAGAAGAGGAAGCGTAGACAGAATGCGGTCACTGTTGAGAAGACGTGTGCGGTTTGTTCAACGCGGTCGACGCCTGAGTGGCGGAGGGGGCCGAGTGGGAATCGCGATTTGTGTAATAGTTGTGGGTTGCGGTGGGCAAAGCAGATGAAGAGTGCTATGCAGGAACAAGCAGAGCAATCTGGTAATGGCGCTGGAGTAGGGATGGGGGCTTAATTTGTTGTACAACTAGCTGGTGTTGGTATGGTGAAGCGAATTCGGACCTTATGTATAATAGTTTATCAATTGTATCATCTACACAGAACTTGATATCGTACACTCCTAGTCTACTAAATCTAGATCTAGGCGAGAGGCCTTTGGCAGCCTCAGAGCTCTATTTTGTACCCCTCTCTAACCACTTCTCCAACCACCTCCTCTGCATCCTCTCAGCCTGCCACTCCTCCTCTCCCATCGCAAGCCCAAACCCAGCGCGCTCCTCAACAGCAAATCGCAACTCAGCCGCTTCCATTGCTTTAGCACCGCCACATTTCCTCAACAAATCATCGTCCAGCTTCAGATACTCCACAAAGTTCTTCAGTCTCCGCCTATACAGCATCCCAACAAGGAACGAAGGCATCGTATGCGACTTGGCAAGACCCAGAACCGCACAAGCACGGAGGACTTCCTCGTCACTCGCCTTCTCCACCCAACTCTTATTCACAAACTGCGCAATCACGCGCATTTCCTCCTCCGAGCCAGCCTCGGGCGGTGTAACTGACCCATCGACCGCTGCAGCATGCGCGCTCAGAGCCTTAGTCTTCTGCGATAGGCGCTGGGATCTGTACTTCTCGATCTGCCGGGGGATGCGGCATGTATACGGCGTAACGGCATTTCCGAAAGCGAGGACGAGAAACGGCGTCAATTCGCCGCAGATAATCAAGATGAGTGTGAAGGGGATCATGCGACGGACGTCGTAAGCTGCGCGGTGGAGGAGCTGGAAAGTCGAGCGGCTCGTCTTCGTTGGGAGGTGCTGATTCCCATTATGACTCTCATCCTCCGACCCATACTTCCCTTTCGAGTTTGGTTTCGCGTAGAACGCCGCGGCTGGCGGCGCGGTTGGTAGTCTCGCTGGGATCCCCAGCGACCGCCTTATTGGTAGCGACGCGCAATAGTTGTGGTATACATTCTTCAGCCCCGTCTTGTAGAACGAGAGGTATGCGCGGCCGATGGAGAAGTAGCGCTTGACCTTGTCTGTTGCGGGCGCTGTGTCGGGGAGGGACTCGGGGATGTCGAGGTCTGCGGGGCGGGTGCTTGGTGGTGGGTTTATATCGTCTGAAAGGGGGATGGAGGAGGTTGAGGTTGTGGAGGGGACGGTGTGCTTGTCGGTTGGTTGCGCGGAGGAGGATGGGCGGGCGTGAGATTTGTAGCGGAATTGGTAAAGGTGAGGGTGTTGGAGAAGGCGAGAGGTGGCGGGGAGGGAGTGGAAGGATATTGTTTTGGGGAGATGGGAGAAACGAGCTCTCTGTGTGCGTAGGGAGGCCATTGAGTGTGAATATGGCGTTGATGAGATGTTGAGGAGAGAAGGAGTGAGATGGACCTTGGAGATGGACTCGACAGAAATTGGAGTGAGATCACCGAAGGGTTCGCCGCCTGAGGCAGCCACGCTGCGAGGTGTATACTTCGGCGCCCGCGGAGTCCAAGCTGGATATTGCGAGACTCCTTAGTACTGTATATGCTCTCAAAGTACTCTATACCCATTGAATGAGTCTGCTGAGATTGAATGGTGCATCCCTGCTTAGAAATCCTCGTGTTCAGACTTCTTGACTCATTTTCCGGGCTATATATTTCCACGGTTGTACTAAAATGAGTCGCACTTTTCATCCCACTCACACTCATATTCCTCGCAAAACAAGCAAAATGTCCCTCTCCTTCATCCAACCAACCGCCCTCCTCCTAATCGACGCCCAAAACGCCTTTAATGTCGACCCCAACAGCCCTTCCCACTGGGGCTCCCAGCGGTCCAACCCACACCTAGAACAAAACCTCAGCGCCCTTCTGCGCGCCTTCAGGACCGCAAAAGCCGACAAGTCAACACCAGGCGGGATTGAGATCATTCATGTCTACCACTCCTCTACATCGCCGGGCTCACCATTGCACCCGTCCGCAGATAACGGGCGCGGAATCCAACCTTTGGACATAGTGAAGCCTGCAGACGACGGGTCTGAACCTGTCATGTGGAAGACGGTGAACTCTGCGTTTCTTGGCACTGAGCTCGAGAGTTATCTACGGGGAAAGGGGATCCGACAACTTGTTGTTGCGGGGATTACGACGGACCATTGTGTTTCGACGTCTGTGCGCATGGCGGCGAATTTGGGCGTTGTGGATCAGGGGAGAGAGCCTGTTGTTCTTGCGGATGGGCAACAGAAGGACGTTGTGGACGTCGACAAGGGGCGTATTGTGCTTGTGGGTGATGCGACGGCTACATGGGCCAAGGGGGGATTTGATGCCGAGACGGTGCACAAGGTTACGTTGGCGAGTCTGGATGGGGAATTTGCGGATGTGATAAGCACGAGGGAGGTTGTTGAAGCTTTGCAGAATAGTGATGATTAGAATGGCATTTGGATCTGCGGGATCTATAGCTGGACCCTAAGTGCAACCATGCCGTTGGATAGGAAGCCCGTCACGAATAGTCTTGCTTCCTTGGACCCTCCCTTGGTCGGTTCAATAGGAACAAGGACAGCCGTACTGGCGGACCGAATGTTCGTTCCATCATCCTCAAATATCACACGTGTAGAGCCATCCTCCCGGACGTGCCACACGATCACGCCCTCTGTAGCATTCGGATCCGTATGCGTCTTGGGTAAATCAATGGCCCGGCGTAGACCAGCAAGGACATATCCGCTGGCATCATCCCCTTCTGTTTTATGCACATCATCGTAGTAGCTCGGGTTATCGATTGCGCTGTCGACGGCGATCTCTTCCAGAATAGACAGTGTTCTCGGATTGTCATCGTTCGCTCGAGTTCTCCAAATCAAGCCTCCAGTAACACTGGCCACAATTACGTCCTCAGGTGCTTGCCCGCGCCCCAGCCCATTGCAGCCATGCATCTTAGGCAGAGCAACTGTGGCATTGACGCCGGTGGTTGCGTCGATAGCTGTGAGCTGGTCCAGCTGCACGTGGAGTACATCGGTCCATTTGACGAACGGCAGCACCTCCAGCTGTCGCATCAGGCCTTCGCGGTAATAATGGTCGTTAGTGACATAGAATGAGTGGGGAGTGATGGCGTAGATATCATTAGGTGTGGTGACTAGTGGATGCCGAACAGAGCGGAGATGGCGAGTTGTGCTTGTTCCTAGGACATGATGGAAGATTTCGATTTGAGAGCGAGCCTTTGGGATATCTGTATTAGGGGTATACTCGGGATTGGCCAGGTGGTTGACGGCGAAGATATACACGGCATCTGGCTGGTCCGGGTCCTGGATGACATCGAGCCCATGTGTGACGAAGGGACCTGGAAAGTTTTCGAACGTCAGGCGGGAAGAGACCAGTGTCTACCAAGTTGTAAGCAATGCGTTCAGCAATAAACAGGTAAGGTATACATACCTGTGGATCAATAACGTGGATAGACCCAGTCGAATCGGCGGGGCCGTCTAGCATAACAAGGGGAGGGAACCATCGGAACCGCTGCAACACACTATCCTCACAAGCGGCGAAGAGAACATTGCCCGGAGCGTAATAGTGGGTGTCCTCGCACTGCAGAGTGTCTGGGATCGTGTAAATGTCCTTGGCGGATGACGTCAAGCTTGCATTGCGGTATACTCCAAATACTGTGAGCACACGCTGAACGGGACTATAAAGCACAGAGGCAAGAACGGCTAGCAGAATGGCAAACACCGAGAGCATGGAATGAGCCATAATGTGTAGAGTATCAGGAAAAGTCAAAGATAAAAGAAAAACAGGAAATGCTGCTTTCAAGTCGCTCGGGTGGAGCGAAGAGGGGAAGACTGAGCAGTTGTGAGTACTACCTCGGAACCTTGCCTGTGGATCAACGCTCCAGGGGGAGGAAGTGATCGCCAGAAGCGGACTACAACCTACAAAGAAACTTCACCGAGGTCTATAGAGTCCAGATAGGGAGCCCAACAGAAGCAGAGGGAGATTCCTAACTAACCAATCTGAAGATAAGAGCCGAGATACAGCCGTATTGACACCTCATGTGGAGTCGAAACATATACAACAACTTGATTCACCTTTCCTTGACGCGCTGTTCTCCGGGAAGTCCCAAAATAAAATAAAAAAATAAAAAAAATCCCATAAAGCGCACGCAATCCTTTGTTTTGTCATTATTGTTCTGTTTTCGCAAAGAGAAATTAGTTCCGAGAGGAGTTGGCATCCATAAATTCCTGGTCGCTAGCATCCAGGATATCATATTCTTCATCAGTGAAGAATCCAGCATCGGTGTCTGCATCATCCAACGTCAAGCTCGCCACATCGTCAAGGATATCGTGCTCTGAAGCATTCGACACAGAGGGGGCGGTAGGCGGAAAGCTGGCTGCCTCGTGCGTGCTGCTTGTCGGTGACTCTTTCTCCAGCTTGGGGAACACCATCTGGCTTCCTGAAATGTCGTCGGAGGGCTCAGCGTTGGGCAGCAGGGGCTCCTTTTGATCGACCTCAGTCTTGTTGACGGGCTCATCCTCTATGAGTTCGTCTTGAACTTGGACGTCACACCAGAGTTTGTGGCCAAATGGGGTGCCGTCGTCGAGCTTCAACCGCCAGTAAGAGATAGCAGTACCCAGCCTCCTTGGGGTTTTCAAGGTGACAGTGAATTCGGCGCGCTCACCAACTTCCAAGGGCTTGCACAGCTTGTTGCTCTCCATGGCAGCTGTGACCGATGCGAGACTGCTAGGATGGTTGGTGTCGACGTTGAACATGGAGTCACCGCCAACGAAACGGACATTGGTCCCCGACGGCCACGCACGCGGACCGGGGTTGTAAAGCTTCCAAGTTTGTTGGAACACCTGATTTGGAGGCATTACGGTGCGATCCGCGATGGTATCCTCGATGAAGAATGCCTGATACTCGGCCTCGGAATCATCGCTTGGTGCCTGCTTGGGTGTATCTTGCCGCTTCTCAGTATTTGGCATTAGCAGATCAGAGGACTTTGGCTCTGCGACTGGCCCTGGCTCTGGCTCTTCTTTTGTGACCATCTCTGTAACTTCAGGTTCTGAAGAAAATGGGGCGGAAGCTTGAGTCGAGGTGGACCTCAGTGTGCGATCACCCAGGGTAGCTGTTGACTGGCTGAATGCGTTTTCATGCACGGTGCTCACCGTGACGCTGCGCACGGCCGTTTTGAACATGACCATGGGGTGGGTGCGGTTATGCGTATTCGAAGTATGAACTTCGCACTTGGCGCAGAAATCAGTATCGTGGCACACCGAGCACTTGTATCGAACACCAGTGATGAAACCCATCGCCCTGTCCTTGCACAACGGGCCGTCGCAAAAGACACCAAAGTGTGTTTCACTCGACTGCAGCGGCTCAGAAATGGCAGTGTAGAGGGGAGCAAATCGATGTCCAGGGTGGGTTCGAGAGGCCGACAGATGGCACTCTGAACAATAATCCCAGTCAGGACAGGTGAGACATTTGTGGCGTACACCCGTTATGTGCTAAAATGCGTTAGCAGGTATTCTCAATAGTCCAGAACCGAAGGCATACATTTTCACAGCCATCGCAGATTGCCGCGTGGTGATAGCCACGGCCAGGTTTGCAGCGGGACAGGACTAGGTTCTTGAGACCAGAATCGTGCTCACCCAGCAACACAAAGGTGTGAGCGGGGTGGTGCCCGTGCTTGTGCCCAAGAACACATGTGATGCAGAGATCAAAGTCTTCGCAGTCAGCGCAAGACACCATCTTGCCTTCATCGAACTCTGTAACGAGCCTGATTAGTGCACCTGACCCACTAAAGAAAAAAAAGAGATGTAATTACCTGAAAGGCAGTTGTTGCAGATTCGCTCACGGCTGACGATCGTAGGCTGTTCGACAGCTTCTGTGACAGGTTTGGAGACGATGTCTGGTACAATGTTCTCCTCCTGGGCCTTGATCTTGTGCGACGCAAGCGTCTTCGTTGTGCTGTTAGTAATGATTCCATCTTTCACAAAGCGTCGAACCAGCCAGTGGTCTTCGCCTAGGCAGGTGACTCCAGTGTCAAGACATTGTGGGCAGAGGTCATAATCGCCTTCAGCGCAGGTATTGCAATGATAGTGCTCGTTAGGAATAGCACGACCACAGTAATTACAGTCGATACAGAAGTAGCCCGCGAGCGAGGTATGCGACAATACAGGAACACTTGGATTGTCAGGGCCCAAAACAAACTCTCTGCTATTACCAGGTTTTGGTTCGGCCGAATCCAGAGCCGACCATGCGTTCTTGTCGGCGTCGGGTAATGTAGATCGCTCGGAGCTCTCGGGTAGGGTTGTAGACGACGAGGTAGCGCTAGAGTTATGCTCTACTTGAGACACTTGAACAGGGGTGCTCAGAACGGTCGCAAGGTAGTTGTATCTTGCAGAGTCTTGGGGTTGTTCACTCGGGGCCTCTGTCACTGGTGTTTGACTAGGAGGTTGCTCGACAGTGGCTCTAATCCGGATCTTCAACTTGGCCTTCGCTGCGCGATAAAGTTGTTTGAAGACCGCCGGATTGTTGCTGTCGAGATATACGTAGGCACTGGCACTGTCGGAGTACCGTTCGAAGATGACGTTGGTATCCGCTGGAATGCCAAGAAGTTGGCGCAACTAGTGTCATGATAGTCAGTATCGGAGTGATCAGAGACCGCTGACTGATCTATCTCCTTGTTGGAATATTTAAAGAAGAAAAGATATAGAGGGAGGGAAACGCAAAAGACAAGCCGAGAGAGACAGAGAAAGGGGAGATAGGGGACGAAGACGAATGTACGGTGAGGCTCGAAGTGCTCCAGGATCCGGTCGGAGCTTGAGTGGGGACGGGACGTACATTCTGGGGTAAAGTGTTGGCTCCAAGGTCCTTCAAAGGGATCTTGAAGCGTCTGGTTTGTTGATCATAGGAAACTTTAACAGTGATCGGGGTGCTGGGAGAAACCGATGTGGTGCTAGTAGGGGCCGACATGGTGGAGGGAAGCTTGCCCCGGAGTCGTTACTCGCCGGGTAAAGGAACTATGTCAGTCTAGACAAGATAATGTAACGGAGAGACTGCAGTTGAGCTTGATCAAGCAAGACACATGAGCAGCGGCAGTCAAAAGGTCGAGGCGCGATGGGAGTTGATGGAGAGAAAAACAAAAAGGGAGTCGAGAAGGCAGCAGGAGATGACGAGGATGAGGCGATGTGAGGGAGGTGAGGAGAGAGGCAGATAAGAAGATGCCTGGATGGTCTCGGCGGTGGTGGTTCGGGTCACCTGAGAGATGCGGAGGCGGTGAATCACTAGTCTATAGACGGGAGGGAGAAGGCTGGGACACTTCAATTGGTAGACAGGCGTTTTTTCACCACTTGCTTATTGCATGCTTGCTAACTACGTAATCTAGCTACTGTGGCGTATTCCATCCTTAGCTTTTGGCTTTGGGAGCTGCTGTGTGCCTACAGCCTTCCCCAGCTGGTGTGAAAGAGGGATGGAGACCAGCCCAGGGTGAAAGGAGGAAGAAGCAAACAAGCAATGATGCAACGGCCGGACGTTCGGGTTGCGAAATCCGACGAGTAACGAGTATTCGCCTCGCAAGCCCCGGATCATCGAGTCAGAAAGCACAAAGCTAACAGCTATCAACCATCGCTGCATATCAATTCAACATGATAACTAAATGAGATGTCCAAAACAGACATGAGAGGCTCCCAAACGCAGAAAATCAACAGCTCGCTAGAAATGCATCAAAACCTAATCTAAACTCAACTCAGACAAACCTAACCAAAGGAGTATCCCCCGGTACAAACAATCCCGGAAAGCCGAAGAGAAGCCGTGAGAATTTTTAGAGTGGCAGAAGCGGAGCATGCGAGTGATAAAAAGCCACAGGTGTGAAATATGGTGGCCAAAAAAGAAGTTTTGGAAGGAAAAACTCGGAAAATGCTCGCTTTGTTTTTGTTTTCATCATCACTGTGGAGGATAGTAACTCCCCTGGTGCTGGGGATAATAATACGTTGTACTAGGTGCCATCATTCCACCCATGCCCACGGCAGCGCCCGTTGGGGGAGCTCCAAAAGGTGAGCCGGGGTACATCTGGGAGGCGTCGAGATAATAAACCGTGCCGTTTGACTCGTGTGCAACCGTGGGGCCGCCTTGGGACGGCGGTTCACTTGGCGTGTGCGTGCCCGAAACCATGTACGGCACGTTTTGTCCCGTAGGAAAAGGAGCCCCTGGGCCCGCCCCGCTGTTGTTGTAGGGTATATATTCTGTGCCCGCAACTGGATAATAAGCTGGCCCAGGTTGATAGGGCCCCGGATAATAAGGCTGAGGTTGCTGGAATCCGTATAGCTGGAATGGCGGAACATTGGCTGGACGCTCGGGAATTTGAGATAATGGAGTTGCAACTGTATGTGCTGGAGGGGGGTAGCCAGTAGAAGCGTCAGGGCCGTAAGGAACTTGGTGATGAAACGGCTGTTCTTGCTGTGCTGGCGGAGGATTGGCGGGGAAGCTGGCCGGGGTTTCGATGTCAGCCAAGGAAACAGCCTTCTGTGGGCGTGGCTGATGCATAGGGATAGGGGCAGGGCGACTCTCTCGCCAGATTGGTTGTTGAATTTGTGTTTGAGCCTGAGGATGAATCGTAGTAGGGGGGATTGGAAGCACAGGTGCTGCTGCTGGCATAGCCCCAGGAGGTCGAGGAGGCGGCAGGCGAACAACGGGTTTCCCGTTCTCAGTCGTGACTACTGTATGCCGTGAGGCAACAGAAGCTGCTGGGGAATGGTATCCGTCTTGGGATGGTGGTTTTCCGAATGAAGACCTCCGGCTCATAGCGACACTTGGTGTATAAGTGGAGTTTGCGTATAAGCTTGGGCGGCGTCCTCCAAAGAACCCGCCACGGCCGCGCCCACGGTAAGTCTGCTGGTTGGGCCTCATTGCTCGCGGTATAAAGATGAAGGAGCGATCTAGTGATGGGAAGACATAGCCAGGTTGGTCCGAGTTGGGTAGCGAGACACGGACGGGCTTGTCCCGGCGTAGCGGGGGCCGATGTTGAGGTAGAAGGGTATGCTGTCGCTTCACAGCAGGAGGTAAAGACACCGGACGATCCATTCCAGGGATATAAACCACAATAGGCACATTTCCAACGATCATACTGCCTCCAAATTGTCGGTTTGGCGGAGTTGTGGATGGTGCTGTTCGCACGGTGGTATGGATATTTTTGTTGGAATACGCGGAATACGTAGGGACATGAGCATTTCTAGTGGCCGGGGGATCATCTTTGGCAACCGTATCATGAAGATCATGTGTCCACTGTCCTTCGGTGGTAATGTCTGGCTTTCTACAAGGGTAGAGTTAGCGAATGTCGACAAGAAAGCTTCATGGATTGCTGCGCTTCGAGCCATCGATCCCCGTCTCCATTATACTGCGAAAAGAGTGAAGGAATTCTGCACATACCTGCGCACGTTGCCGTCCACGATGAGACCGTACGGCCTCGTCTTCGACTTGTTATATTTATGACCATTCGTCCCCGACTCCGTTGAGCGCTGGTCGTGTAGGAAGAAGCTGCCTCGCTTGGGGACCAAAGTAGGATCCTCCTCTTTCTCCTTCATTGCCTTCTCCCCCTCCCGGCGTTTTCTGTCCGAGAACGGTTCACTTGCTGCCTCCGTAGGCGGTGCAGATGGCGTCCGCCCGGTTGGCTCGAGCTCCCCTCTAAGATCGTTGAAATGAATCTCAGCAACGCCCTTCCCATCATCCGCAATCTTCAGCCCATTCAGCATCACGGCTGTGTCAGACACGGTCGTCGTCAAAGCTGCTTTCCGCGGAGAGGCCGAATGGCGGCGGCGGGACCCTTGATGCCTGCCAGGCGCGCGACCGTTGGTTTGATGGCGGTTGGGGTTGTCGATGGAGATGTTGTCGTCCTCGCTCTCATCACTACCTTCCCCGTCGGCATCGTCCTCATCCTGTTGGCTTATAACTGAACCTTCGCTCAGAGAATCGTCCTCCACCTCTCCGTCAAGCGAGCCTTCATCCTCGCCCTCATCTTCTCGCCTCCGTCGGCGACTCGCACCGATATTGTGACGACGTGGTGGTGCCATTTTGCAAGAAGTATAACAAAGAAATTATATAGAGAGAGCGTGAGGGGATATAAGCGTAAGAGGGCCGTTGATAGAATAAAACGATTCAGCTATGGGAGCACCGACCAGCAGCGGAGAGAGACAGTCGGTTTGGGGACGAGGGCGGGATGACGAGCTCCGAACAAAACGAAGGGGTAACACCAGGCTAAGAAGAAAAGACAAGGAGGCGGTGATAAGACGATACTAATACGGATAAAGTGCACCCTGAAGAAGGGAGCGGGAAGAAAGAAAGAAAAGCCAGATAGGCGGACGGAACTGGGAAGATTTGATGGTTTCAATTCAACCTCGAGGCATGACATCGAACGAGATGTCAAGCATCCCAACCGGGTTAGCGCGCCCAAAACCACCTCAGCGATTCTAGAACCACGTCTAGTATGGAATTCTAAACATCAACAAGCCTGTGGACTACGTAGTCGGAAAACCATGAAATGGTGGCAACTGAATCATCACAGACCAGACACCGCCGGGTATTTACAGTTGTTTCCCTGGAACTACCTGGCGCTATCTGTCTCTTTCCTCCCATCCCGCGACTCGTCAGCAAGTATTGGGTTTTCAGCAGACCTCCACCGCTGTCCATTCCACGCTTCATACTTAGGCAACTATTGATATGCCCGACAGGTTTCTACGGAACAAAAAGTGGCACAACCAGCGGCCGGACAGTCCCCGGAGTCTTTGGAATATGATGGAATAGATAATATGTGGTAGGAAGCCAATCCTCGGGTATCAGTGATCTCTCGCTTCTTTCGTGCCACGTCAAGCTGTCGATAGCCCCCGTGCTGCAGGATTAGATAACAAACATCGTTCGCAGTATACACCTCCGTCGTCCTTATTGTTTGAGGGCCCATGGAAACCCATTCATGAGTATATCCATACATTTGGTCTTAGACGGAACGCATTTCCTTCACATAATCTTTCAATCAAAAGTTGTCTTTTTGCCTTGCGCCTCGACGATGGCACCACTCAGCTTTTGCACAGTGGACTCATCGTATCTCGAGTACTCTGGCTTCGCAGGTCTAGCCCGGGTAGTTTGCTGATGTTGTGGCTTCTCCTTAGTCGTATCCTCCTCAAAGTCTCCCAGCTCGGTTTCCCCGTTATTTGTGTCGCTTCTGCTCTTCTCACCGTTCTTGCCAAAGCGCTTGTTATACCTTGTGGTTGCATCTTCCGCAAACTCAATCCTCATGCGCCGGCCGAGAACCTGATTAACCCAAATCTTCCTCTGTCGAGGCTTATGAGGCTTGCCGCGCTTTGCAGACTCTGATTGCGATTCATCTTCATCGTCATCATCCTCCTTGACGACCTTGAACCCTTTCACGGCCACTTCGGCGGCTGATAAATCCTCAAATTCCACCCAAGCATAGCCCTTGCATTTCCCAGAGTCCTGGAAGGTGGCGAGATGAACATTGGAAACGGTTCCGCATTTTGAGAAGTGCTCTTCGAGGATCTCTTTGGTTGCGTCGAAACCAAGATTGCCGACAAATACACGTTTGGAAGGAGGTCGGCCAAAGGCAGCAGCGGAAGTGGCATCTTTCGCACCATCTTGCTTTGGCGGACGACCCTGAAAGTTCTTTGCATCTTTGATCAACACGCGGCGTCCTGATAGCAGTTGTTCGCTGAGCTGCATCGCTTCCTGTACGGCTTTGGGGTTGGAGAAATCCACGTAGGCGAAGCCTTTGTTTTGCGCTTTCCCATTCCTTTCTGTGCCTTTTGGTAAATGAATCCGAGTGATTGTAGCATCTGTGAATGAGCAGTTGGTTGTGAGGAACCGCCGTAAGTCGTCTTTGGTAATAGCGAATCCTAGATTTCCTATCCAGATGCCGTAGTCTGAGCGCTTTTGAGGCGCAGCCTCAGTATCTGCAGGCTTTTCGGAAGCGGGTTCGTTGCTTGATTTTGACTCGTCCTTGATATTCGTATCGACATCGGCGCCCTTCTTCTTAGCCTTTCGCAGAGCCTTCTTTGACGGAGGTTCAGGCGCGGAAACATCAATCTCGATCTCGGGGACATCGAGCAGTTTTCGCTTCTTGTGATTTCCTTCTCCGACAGCCGCCATTTTGTCCACTTCCGGGTGCCACAAGCTATATACCCAATATGATTGCTGAATGTCAAGCAAGGGAAGGAGTTAGCTTTTTAGAAGAAGTCTTTTGGCTGGAAGAATGCTATAAACTCAAGAGCGTTTATTTCTTGTCCCAAATCCCTGGCCTTTTTTTTTTCTTTCTGACTGGCAGAATTACTCCGCTTTCGACTGCCCTGGCTCAACTCGCGCTCCAGCCAATCCGTCGAATCAACAGCAACGCGGAACACATCACCACAAGCCCGATTCGAGTTTGGATTGTCGAGTTTCCGGCAAACAAGTCTGAAACTACCAAGATCTCAACTGCGTGAGGAATTTTCTATTGACAGCCCTGAAAGACAGTCATGTCTCACGAAACCGACGAGGCGCGCTCTGTGCCTGGAAGCCTCGGAGATGCTGAAGCCCCTACGAAGCAGTCCTATCGATCGTACAAGTGAGTGGACGTAAGGAATCTACTACGACATTTAATAGGTCTAACCTAGCTTCTTTTTACAGGAAGAAATTTGCCAAACTCAAGATACAATTTGAGTTGCGAATGCGGGAAAGTGAATCGCTTATCCGCGAGCAATTGCGCATCGAGGACCTGTCAAAGCGGATCCAAGAGCAGAACGAGTTCGTATTGACCTACTACCTTGGAGTTTATATCTATTGACTCTCCTCTAGTCAGTTACTCGAGGTTCTTCTGGAATTCAACGACGCGGTACATATTCCGCCCAAGCTTCGATACGACTTAAGTGCCCCAGGCGACGAAGCCATTCTTCCGACCCCTGATAGAGAGCTTTCTCCATCCTACAACGATCCCGTATTGGCCGCATCGGTACTTCGGAATGCGAAGGATGAGCTAACAGCCGGGCATATAACCGCCGAGTCTTATCAGAAGTTGGAGGATGGTGTCAAACGAGGCAGGGCCTTTGCACCTCGATTGGGGTACGCCGACTTGATAAAGGTGCCTCATTCCCTGCCTCCACCTGAGAGTCAGGATCCTGCTGGCAATCCCACCTTGGGATATCATTTTGGGTTCCTCACACCAGAGCACGAAACAGAGTATTGCCTCGCCACGGATGCCAAACTAGGCGATATGTCGGCCGCCATTCAGTTGGCTCGTGCTCCAGAGAAGCCGACCTTGATGGAAAGAGAACGAGAGCTCCTTCTCCGAAGCTCTGTTTCGGTCCACAATTGGCTACGCAAGAACCAGCCCAACGTCTTCTTGCAAGACAATGAGAATGCGTCTGAAAAGTCGGGAGCTCGGCCCTCGAACTTGCGCACCTCGAAAAGATCTGCACCCGCCTCACGAAAGGATGAGGATACTCACGACGAGGACAGTGTTATGGCCGACTCCGCACCCACTTCTGGAGGCTCCAAGTCCAAGCGCAAGCGCGATGAAGAGACCACTCCCCGGGCCAAGGCCAGTAATAGCCGCTCAACCCGGAAAAAGAAGGAAGACGGCCTGTCTAGTGGCAAACGGCCTTCGAAGAGATCGTCTGGTACAAGCGCATGAAGCTCGGCCACACCTTGAAGCCTTGACCTTGTATTTTTAGTCTCTTATCTGTCTGTTATTTTTGGGCTCAACGTCGTGATAGTTCTTCCTGATACGACCTGGCTCTATCCTTCGTATTCTCTCTGCGCCTTTTTTTTCGACCCGTTCCCTGTAATTATATGACTCCAAGGTACTTTGCATTTAGCTGTCTTCACACTTAGGTATTTTATACATGAGAGGGTGCTTGCAATGCTTTATCCGTCAAACCTACCACCTATATTACCAATCTAGCTTGCAACAGCATACTCTTCTGGCAAATGGACAGGCACCCTTCTGTGCTTAGACGTAGTGCGCTGTGTACAACATAATTTGTGTTGGATACGGCAACCCCAGCTATCAGTCCAAGATCGGCTGTTTGATTTGTTTGCTTCCGAGCCCCAAATCTTTCTTGAGCTCCAGATCACTACCCACTCCTGGTCTACAGCACTGTTTGCCAGATATAAAGTTGAGTAAGACTTCGGTGGTGATTTATTTGCAAGCCGCAGAGATGGCAATCACAATCCTACCGCCCGTCGCGGACAATGTCGACGTTCCCTACCCAGATTCCGACTTTGACGAAATGTCAGTCGACTCAGACGGCGGCGTTGACCTCACACCTGCAAAATCACGACCAACAAAGCGACCTCGTTTAATAGAAGGAACAGACATTGGGACGGGGATTATCACACCGGGAGAGGTTGTCACGAATGATCCGCAGTGGATGAGGTTGGTTCTTTGACTTCTCATTCTCCATTCCGGTGACAACAGACTAACGAACATTCTCATATAGAGGCCATGGAACCTACATAAACCCCTTGTCGACATCCATTATTGCCACAGTCGCTGGAACCGTTCAGAAAACAAACAAACTCCTCTCCGTTCAACCCCTCCGCGCCCGCTACACTCCTGAAATCGGCGATCTAGTCGTGGGCCGCATAGTTGAAGTTCAGTCGAAACGCTGGAAAGTTGACATCGCAGCACCCCTCTTGGCCGGTCTCCCTCTCTCAGCCATTAACTTACCGGGAGGTATCCTGCGCCGGCGAACAAGCGCCGACGAACTGCAGATCCGGACATTCTTCAGCGAGGGCGACTTGCTCGTTGCGGAGGTGCAGACGGTGCATCAGGACGGCTCGGCGTCGCTTCACACTCGGTCGCTCAAGTACGGGAAGCTTCGGAATGGGGTTTTTCTTGCGGTTACTGGAACGGGGGGTAGTGGTGCGTCTAGTTCATCGACGAAGGGAGGTTTGAGCTCGAGATCGTCGGCGGGAGTCGTCCGCTCGCGCAGACAGATGTTCACCATCCAGACGTCCAACGGAGGCGGCGAGGTTGATATTGTCCTCGGGGTGAACGGGTATATCTGGATCTCAAAGCACGCGGAGGGCACGGCGGCTGCGTCCTCGACTACGGAAAGCGTTTCCATCACGCGCATGGAGGAAATGGTCTCAAACTCGGTTTACTCGAGCCAGAATGATGAGATTGCGCCAGCTACACGGCGCGAGATTGCGCGGTTGACTCAGTGTATTCGGGTTCTGATGCAGGGTGGGCTCCGGGTTGACGAGGAGACGGTTACGGGGGCGTACGAGGCTAGTCTGCAGGTGGATCTTGAGCAGGGTGATGATGAGGACTACGATGGAGATGGCCGGCAAAAAGAAGGCCGGGAGTATCTAGAAGGGAGTCAAGCTCGGCGCATTATACAATTGGTGACGGCGCGGCAATAGGAAAATCAAAAAATGATACCCCGGTGAACACATCATCCTTCACTAAGCTCCCGCTGTAGGCCATCGTTCGAGAGGATGTTACACCCATGTCTACTTGAATCTGTCAACTCAAGGCCAAGTCATGCCGCAGGTTGGAACCCGCTCCCGGCCGCCCTAATACTGTATAGTCCGTGGCGCTGCGGGGCGACCGTTGACCCCCGCCCCGCATCATAGGTATCATCTACAGTGGTACTTTAGTAACTATGCGCTCAACTTACCTATGAAGCTCCCAACCCTCCAAAGTCTAGCTTTTCTTTAATCGCCCCCCGAGATTGCTTTCACAGACCATCTCCAAGAACCTCTTATTCTAAATCTCATATTTCCCTGAGAACTCAACTCAAGAACAAAATGCCCCGCACCGCACCAGACGAATACCTCCAACGCGCCTACACCCTCTCCACCACCACCGAAGCCCGAACTCTCTACAACGAATGGTCCACCGTATATGATACAGACCTCACGAGCGCAGGATACGCGTCGCCGCGACGGGCCGTAGAAACAGCCATCGCTCATCTCCCCGCATCACAACCAACCCCGCTCAGAATCCTAGACGCAGGCTGCGGAACCGGGCTCGTAGGATCCTACCTCTCTACCTCCGCGCTCGCAAATAAATTCACCCTCGATGGACTAGACCTTAGCGAGGGTATGCTCTCCGTCGCGCGGAGCAAGAATATCTACTCGTCTCTTGATGTAGCGAACCTGAACGATGCGATCCTTAAACCCGATGGGAGCTATGATGTCGTGATCTGTGTTGGGACGTTGACGGAAGGGCATGTCGGACCGAAGGTTCTGGGGGAGTTCGTGAGGGTTGCTGTTGCGAAGACGGGGCTTGTTGTCGTCACGGTCCATGAGAAGGTTTGGGAGAGTGGTGGGTTTAAGGGAGAGGTTGAGAGGTTGGAACGGGAGAGGATTGTGGATGTTGTTGCGGTTGATGAGTTTGGGATTTTGGAGGGTGAGAGGAAGGGCGGGTGGATGGTTGTTTTGCGAAGGGTGTAGATTTATATTCGTATCAAGCCGGGGTTTCGCTCATGCGTGGGGGACTTGGTGCCCTAGTTACCAAGAGACCGACATTCTTCTCCATAGATAGGGTGACTATACTTCTGCCGATGCCCGGACTACTATAGCTAGGCCAGAGGCTAAGATAACGAAGATCAATAATGGCCGACCAGGCCGAGCTGAATGAGCCTCGGTAAACCAAGTTCAAGTCCAGATGTCAAATTAAACGCCTCGCAATTCATCCTTCCCGCCCTACGCATTATTGTCTATATCGTGCCATCACCGTTCGCAATGAGTAATACAGAGCTGGTGACAATTGCGCCTCCATCGACCCGGGCTCCAGGTTCTGATGGCCATGAAAGAACATCCCCTCCTCCGGAAGATGTAGAAAATGAGCCAACGACCAGCATGCGAACGGAACAAGAGCTCGCCCCGGTAGATGGAGGGCCAGCTGCGTGGAAACTGCTATGCGCTGCATTTGTCTTTGAGACATTGCTATGGGGTAAATCCCTATCATCAGTTGAAGTCGATAATGGCTAAAGGAATTGAGTACAGGCTTTCCCCTCTCCTTTGGTGTTTTCCAAGAATACTACTCCAAGGTCCCGGAATTCGCCAATAACCGGTATATCGGTGTCGTAGGAACCATAGCTTCTGGATTTGGGTATCTAGGAGCTCCAGTCATCATGCCTTTCATCCAGCGGTATCAGAAATGGAGGCAGCATATGATTTGGATTGGCTGTGTGTTTTTGCTCCCAAGAGTCCATGATACAGACTGCTGACTTGTTTCAGGGCCGATATGCATTGCCGGCCTTGTCTTGGGATCTTTTGCGTCAACCCTAGAAGTGCTCATCCTCACACAAGGTGTCGCTTATGGTCTTGGGTTCCTCATATTCTATTACCCCATCCTCAGCATGGTGAATGAATACTGGATCGCACGTCGTGGCATGGCCTACGGCGTCCTTTGCGGTGCTTCCGGTGTCTCAGGGTCCATCATGCCATTCATCCTGCAGGCACTTCTGGCCAAGTACGGATACAGGACGACGCTCCGTGCCGTGGCTGTCGGTCTCACCTTGCTCACGGGTCCATTGATCCCTCTCTTGAAGGGCCGTCTACCGCCCTCTGAGCGAGCCAATATTCCTAAGATTAACTGGGCGTTTTTTCGAAACCCCTTGTTCTGGCTGTACTCGGTATCAAACCTCTTGCAAGGTTTCGGATACTTCTTCCCGTCTCTATATTTACCCTCTTATGCATCGTCGCTCAGACTTGGGGACAAGAGTGGTGCTATCCTCCTTGCGCTGATGAGCGTTTTCCAAGTCGGTGGCCAGTTTGTCTTTGGTTCACTTTCTGATCGCAAAGTACCACTCAACGTGCTTGCATGCGCGTCAACCATCGTCGCAGCAGCTGCCTGCCTCACAATGTGGAGGCTAGCCACCTCACTCCCCGTCTTGATCATCTTTGCCATTGTGTATGGCTTCTTCGGCGCAGGATTTACTGCCATCTGGGCGAGGATGAGCACTGCCATAACGGACGATGTGACGGCAGGTCCGATTGTCTTCAGCTTGCTGAACTTTGGTAAGGGCATTGGCAACGTGCTTGCTGGCCCGATTGGGGGCTCTTTGGTAGCAAGTTCGAGGTCAAGCGGCACTTCAGCACCAATGTCTTATCACTGGGTTATCGTCTTTACTGGTGTTTGCATGTTTGCGAGTGCTTGTACGATTTGTTTACGGTATCTGAAGGGTCTTGGCATTTTGGTTGTCCGATGAGCGGCGGGGTCGCTGATGGAGCGTTACTTGACAGTCTGCGCCTGCTCCCCGAAGAGACATTAGCCGTGCCAAGTTGACCAGGACTAAACTCATCAACTGAAGTGGGTTGATATTGGCATGTGGTTGCTGGTACTTTTTCCGCCGCTTGGACACGATGATAAGGAAACCCCGCATCACGTGGTGATAGCCCAGCTTTTGATTGGTGCCTTAGGTTTCACTACTCACCAAGATCATGCAAAAAGACGAAATTTCTGAAGAAAGTCAATATAAAATCCTTTGAGTGGTTACAAAGAGCTTGTCACATATTTAAAGGCCCTTTCAGCGCCGCACAAGAGACTAGAGTCCGGTGTCGAGGGATCAAAAAGCGGAGTAGGTGTGGGAACCCACGTCATCCGAACCACAAACTCGACCTTGAGAATTATTTCCTTGTGCTCCTCCCAACTTCTTTTTTCATTGTCCATCTCTCAACCATCTACAGCTTTACACTTTGTCTTGTCATAATAAGGCTACCATGTCACTCGACTCTCAAAGGACAACTCGATTTTCTCCAGACTCAATACCATATAAATAGTGCCGACTGATAACCGCCTTGTCCCCCCATTCGTACTCGAAATCCGCTACACCTGTACCTCTTATCACACAAACCTTACTTCAGCGGACGCGATTTTCTATCGACTCATATCGCTCTTAACCATCCTCGATAATCTTCCGCCTTCAACATGCCTGACCTTCGCCGCCAGGTGCTCGAGAGTGGCAAAACCATCTCTCGCAAAGCAGCTTCTCGAGAAGGTTCTCGTCGCACTTCGCGCGCAAACTCAGCTCAGAACTCTCATCACACTTCCCGAAATGCAAGCAGACAAGCGTCTGATGACGAAGACGCGGGCTACCTTAGCGACGATACCGCCATTAGGTAAGTTTACTTTTTGGATGAATTTTTATCTTGCCGCAGCGCAGAATGATGTCATAGTTCGAGCCCTAACTTCTGATTTCCTTGCAGCCTCGGATCTTTAGATGAAGCCGACACCCTCGACGCAGAGGTTAATAACGGTGACTGGGCCCATGAGCTCAACGAAGTCGTCGAAGATATCCTAGATCGCAAGCGCAGCAGTGTTTTGGGTCGCGAAGAGACCTATGCTGCGTACTGCCGCCTTTCCAAGTTCCACTTTGTGGAGGAGTCGATTCGCCGTCGCGTAACGGATCTTATGGCTGCGTTTTGCCGCAGCATTAAAAATGAGACTAGTGTGCGCGAGTCTACACTCGCCATGCGCGCACTGGAGCTTTTGACTATTACCGCGTCGGACTATACCATCTTTGAGAACGTGGAGCCGCTACTCAGCCGTACGATCCGTGACTCGACGTCAAACGCTGTCAAAGCGGCGGCAATTCACTGCTTGGGGACATGTACCATGTTTGGTGGTGCTGGAGACGATGGTATTCAAGACCAGATGACATTTCTTCTGGATATAGTGGCCACGGACGGGCAATCCATCGATGCGCAAGACGATTCTGCTTGTGTCACCGCGGCGCTCCAGGAATGGGGCTTCATGGCCACGGAGATCGAAGATCTCGAAAACGAAAGCGAAGAATCGATCCAGATCTTTATGGATCAGTTGACTAGCGGCGATTCCAGCGTTCAGGTTGCCGCTGGGGAGAATATCGCTTTGCTATACGAAAAGAGCTACACACCTCAAGAGGACGACGACGATGAAGGTGAGGACGAGGACGTTGATGGCGAGCACGGCAGCGACTCCGATGAAGGGAACTTCCGTACGGGGCCCAAACTAATCAAACGCTACAATGCGTACCACAACACGCCCGAGCTCGAGCGCCAGCTCCAATCCCTGGCCGCAGTCCACACCAAACGGATCAGCAAGCGAGACAAGAAGACCCTGCACTCCAACTTCGCATCCATCCGCACCACTGTCGCAAATCCGCGCCGCGGCCCGATGTACAATACCGCCATCGACCAAAATACCAACCGCCACTATGGCAACAAGCTCACTGTGAAGATTGGCCGCCAGGGTGTGATGCACATCGACCGCTGGTGGAAATGGATCCGCCTGAACGCCCTGCGCCGCATCTTGCAGGGCGGCTTTGCCGTCCACTATTTCCAGGGCAATCGTGCGGTCCTGGATAGTCTTCCCGTGGTGATGGTTCGTATGGACACGCCGGCTGACCGCAACGCTCCTAAGAAGGCAGCTAAGATGCGACAAAACCGACGGTGGGCCAAGCAGGAGTACTCCGATGACGACTAAATGCGTTTCTTCTTTTTTTCTCCTTATGCTGAATCTTTCTCTTTCTATGATACCTCTACCTTCTTTCATTAGTCTACTTCTGATTTTCCAAAATCATTATACATCCCCTCCTTAGAGTTACAATTTTCCAGCGCTGGCTTAGCACCTACCGTTATATCATCGTTTGGGTTGCAGAACCTCCCTCCGCTCCCTCCTTGGAGATTAGGGCTTAGATAGCCGTCTAGCATCAATGATTTTGCCATCGCGTTTTCTTGTTGTATTGCTCGAATGAAGTAGGAATGACAACACTCGCGCTTCCAAGCACACAGTAATGCACGTCAATATATATATATATATATATATTAAATACTATATCCTATGGTTCTCATAGATATATATGATCGTATATCCCTATACATATATTTGCACCGAAAAGAAGGAATCGCCAGAAAGCAACGTAATCAATGAGTCATAAATAACAATTCATAAACAGCATACACGACTAGATCTATCTCCTCTCATCCCATACCGAACCAAGTAGTGTCTCTCAGCCATAGTACACACCCCTGTGTCCTTCTATGTCCGCAACCACATCCAGATCTAGGTCTATTCAACTCAAACCAATCCAAATCCCAAGGCTCACACCGGGCAAACCGCAGAAAGAATAGAATCAAGTCTGGAAAACTGGCAGGACACTCCCCCAACTCCCTTTGACCCTCTCCTCCCAATACCCTTCCTTGCCTGGCTTAAGCCTCCAAACGGGCTCGCCCTCCGGCGCTTCGTCAACCTTCGAGAACCATCGTGGTTCCCAGCTCTCGCCGCTCGCTTCCATGTCGCGTCTTCGCGCGCGCTGCGCTTCTTCGAGTTGTACTTTCACCTCCTCGGCGCGATCGACGTCCCCGTCTTCTAGGGCGCGCTGGTCAGGACGGAGGCGGGAGTCTGTGGCGGGGAGTTTCTCCTTCTCGATTGGAGTGATCTCGTTGAGGGAGGCGGCGAAGGTCGTTAGGCCGTAGTGTTTCGGTGCGTTGTGGACGAGGGGTCCGGCCGTCCAGAGGGTTGCGGATGCGGAGCCGTTGCGTGTCGACTGCAGGGTTCCTGTCCATGTCCCTGCGAGGCCGAGTGCGGATTCGCGGCCGGAGGGGTCGATGAGTTTTGTGGTTACTTCTTCGGACCGGCCGGAGAACATCCCGCCTGCCTTGAAGGTGGAGACTGTGCGAGCGCCGGAGGTCTCGTTAAGGACGGTCATTTCGCCGACGGGCTCGACGTATTTCTCTCCGGCGATGATGTTCCGCAGGAACGAGGTCGCCGGAACCCAGGAGAAGTGCTCGCCTGTTGGGTGGAGGGTGATGCGGAGCTTGCCTTCTGTGACGATTTCGGCGGACTTGCCCCAGAATTTCTGCGAGGGTCGCGGGGACTGTGTGAGAGACCAGTCTTTGCTGTCGGCTTGGTAGGCGAGTTGGACGGGCCGGTGGGAGACTTTCTCGGCGATGAAGCGGAAGCCCATGTCTTCGCGGACAAGTTCGAAGGTTTCGCCGAGCATGGGGTTGAATGGTTTGCGGATGGCGCGCTCGCGTACGCGGTTGGAGGAGAGGGAGGAGAGGGCGAAGGCGGTTATATGGAGGAGGCGGTCGTTGGGGTCTGGGAGCTGCGCAGCTTTGTCAAGGATGGAGGAGTATTCCATGATCTCGGCGGCCCGCTGGAGGAGGGAGAGGGGTTCGTTGGATGATACGGGCATGGAAATTTGGGATAGGTCCTTCCCGACGTTCTTGCGGAGGAAGCCAATCAAACTGGGGGGCATCACCGTCGGGGCGGGGATGTTGTTCCGGCGAGAGACAGTATCCAGCGGGAGCGGAGTGAGCGATTTGGGCCGTGCTGGGAATAATCGAGAATACTGGTCGTGCGCGGCGCCTGTGCTTGCGCCGGGCTCAGAGATGTCTTCGTCGCTGTCGGAGAGGGCATCGTCGGCTGTGACATCTGCGGAGCCGTCTGCGATTGTATCTTCCTCATCATCGCTGTCGCTCTTGATCGTAAGTAATGGCGAATCGCCATCGACGGCGTCAAAGAACTCCTCGGACCTGTCCGATTCCACACTCAAGCGAGACGCAGCGGTGGGCTCTGGGGGGTGACGGCGTTGCTGGCTTTCGGTTATCAAGAGCGAGAATTCGCTGACGACTTGGTCTAGGTTATGCAATAGAGCCATGAGGCCATCGTGCACGTCGCTGGCTTGCTCCGTATTGGAAAAGCCACCGGGTTTGCGCTCAACCGAAGTGTCGCTGGGCGCAGACAATTTAGACGCTGGGTTAGAAGTCTTGCGCTTCCAGAACGACCGCTTCTCATCGCCATTCGTCTCCGCGGGGTGAGGACTAGGAGATCTTCCGGACCGCCCACGGGATGGCGGCGGGTTGGGGCTGATGTACTTGGGATCGGTGTCCTTGGCTAGGCGCCGGACAGCATCACGGGATTCCGACACCCGGCTGACCAGGCTCGCAACCTGCGTCCATTCGCGCTCTTCGGCTGCGTTCGTCAGGAAGCGCTGCGCCGGGAGTCGGAGTGCCGTATGTGGGTGCAAGTGCTTCGGCGAGTGACCGTGGTCATCTTCTGCGGCGTTTTTGGAAGATGATGCCTTCTCCAACACGCGCTTCCACGCCACGAATTCAGCGTCGTTGCGCGCGCGGAGATGCCAGACTTCTGTCCCGGAGTCGATCGAAATCTCCCGTGACTTCTCATTGCAAGCCACCGCCGCTAGATTCAAGGGAATCGAACCACGGAGAGTAGCGGAATTTGGGTCGTGGAAATAGGATAGCGTAGACGATGTAAAGTCGAGCGAAAAGAACCGCCGCGCCCACCCTTGATGGCGCTTACGGCGACGCTTAAGCAGAAGCCCGGTGTGTATCGTTGTCGCCGAATCGCTCTCCTCTTGAACTTGGATCTGCGGCGGCATTCTGACAAGGAGGCTGTTACCCCGCCTTCGCGACACTGAAGCTTTTCCGATCTCACTGGTCTCCCCTGGTGTAGACTGATTGGAAGCATGGGGAGTAGGGACGGATTGCGGAGGCAACGCAGTCGGATAGGTCAGCAGGACAAGAGTCACGGTCTTCGAAATCTGCTTTGAAAACGTGTTGTCGAAGACGAGCGCATAGTTGCCGCCCTCGTTAGCAGGCACATCATAGGTTCCCTGAACGATCTTGTCCGCCTCGCATTTACCGACCCAGCGGATCTGCTTCAATCCCATTGCGGTCAACTTCTCGATAAGAGAAGAAGAGGCATTCCGTGAGCTTCCATTTGCGAGGTTCTCACTTGAATCATTGCTCGGGGTATCGCTCGACAGGTTAGGGGTGCTGAGAACGCCGGATTGGCCGGGATGCTTGAAGATACCGAAATTGAGCGATTTCTTGTGCGGCTGAATACTCCAGGAGATGGTATGGTCGGATTTGACGGGGACCCAGCGGACAAAGTACGACTGAGACGAAATGAGGAGCTGGTTAGCCACGGCTCTTGTGACGGCTGGTCGCAATCGCGGGTGGGAAGTAACTCACCTTGCTGTGCACCTCAAGCTCTTCCATTGCTGCCATGGCTGCGAGAGTTGGCAGAAATGCCGGTAAGGACGATGGCCGACGCAATAAGACTCCGATTGATGTGTTGCAGGAGAGCGAAGGAGAGTGATGAGGGGTTGGAATTAAATCGGTGCCTGGGGAGCGGGAGGAGCGGATTCACGAGACCATCGACAGTAGCACAGCTGTCGGAGAATTATCTATCCAGCCGAGGGGTAATCTGGTGTGAAAGAGGAGCAATCCAGGACGAGAGACGAAGAGAAGTGCAAAGGAAGAGACATGTCATGTCCGAGACTCCGAGGAGGCATTGCTTATTATTTAACTATGTCAGCTGGTGGAATGCGAAGAGTGTTCGCTGTCTTGAGCATCCGAGAAACACCGAGGCCACATTCAGGGCGTCTCTTTTCACATGGAACTTTCGCTCAGGAACCACGGCTCCCCCGGTTGTTGGTTATTAGAGAATAATTCTTGAATTCTACCGCACTATCCCTGCTCAATGGCTTCTTTTCTCCTGCCATGCTATGTATCAAAAAGGCCAAGAGGACACCTGTCCCCGCAAAATAAAACAAGTGGAGGAATATTACACAATTGAGAAAAAGAAAGAATGATGGCACCGATAACAATAAATAGGAGTACATGATCCCTCAGCGCCGTTTTCCAGATTGCATATTGGTAAACAACAACTTGAACCCATTGCACAGCGCCCGCATATCTGGGTAGGGGTTGTGCTGCAGCTCGTAGCCCTGCGGAATTACCTTGACGGGCCAGCTCTGTACTTCCGCATGCTCTCCGGCCTTGAAGCAAAGGAAGAAATATCCTGCATGCTTGGGGTCGATACAGAATGCGTACGCGGACCGTCGTGGATTTGCTTTGGTGTATGTGTTCAGCCAGCGGTCTAAGAGTGGTTAGTTAGTTAGCATATGGAGTACCCCACGGAGAAAATAGATTAAATGACGTACAAGTGGCGTCTCTGCTGCCTTCTTGATACTTCTCATGCAGCATCATCTCGTCCACCTTCTTGGCCATTGCCTTGACATGATTGAAGATCAAATCATCCAAATCACTGTAGGTAAATCGACCTCCAACCTTGAGCGTCCGCCCAACGGAGAATTCGTTCTCCTTGTCCAACTCCAACACATCGATATGCTGGAAGACGCCGTCGGCCACCTTCCATGTGACCGCCAAGTGGTCCGGCCCTTTTGATGAAGGCCGGATTACCACATCGCCGCGACTTTGAGAGCCCAGAAACTCCACTGCCTGCGTGGAATTGAACGGACGGAAGAGCGGGTGCTTGATGACACGCATCGTACGCCCACCACTTTGTGTCTTGGCCTCGAGCGCTTCACGATCTTGCTGCTCCTGGCGAGAATCCCATTCTCCAGTGTGTACTCGGTCAGCAGCTGGTCGAGATGGCCGGCTGACTTGCTCTTCGCGCAGCGACACGTTACAGGTGAAAGTCTTTTTGTTCAGGAACATGATCTTTGCCGGTACCGTTTGGTGAAGGGAGTATAGTGCCCGTACTGGGATATCGTAGCGGTCGGTCATTTCTGATTCGCCTGCTAGTGCATCGACACCACAGTCAAGCTTTCCTTCAATGTGATCATCGCTGATGCGCTTGATGGAGATAGGTACCACCATTCCCTCAGCCAATGTATCATTTGTTTCACCGGTAAGCATTGTGAAGATATCGTCAGAACTGAGGAATACAAACTGCTTCCGCAGCTCTTCGTAGGGTTGCTGGAGTTCTGCTCGAATCGTTTCAAGTGTGGCGCGCTTGCGCTGGTTGAGGTTCTTTTCAAGCTGCTCCGCATATTCTTCCAAGATCAAGTCGTTGACACGATCCTGGGCCTCTTCGCGGAGAAGTTTGCGCACAATAGCGCCGGCTCCATTCTCATCTGTCTCGGCCTTGATGTCCTCCTCGTCCAACTCCAAAGCATCCGCTGCCATTTTACGGGCGATATCGTAGTCTTCCGGATGCACTCGAGTGTTGTCGAGAGGATCCGCATCTGGGTCGGCGTTCTCATAGTCAACGTAGAGGAAGCTGGCAGAATTGTTCCACACCTTCACGCCCATTGCCGGATATTGCACACCAACTCCGAGCAAAGCATATCGGTTGTTGACTTCTCCTCCTGTCATATTTACAATCTTCAGAAGATGTGCGGCTTTGCGTGGCCCTAACCCACAGACGTAGGGGAGCAGGTTAGCTGTGGACTGGTCTGAAACGGCTTCATTAATGTCAACTCCAACAAGGTTGACCATGTCAACAAGCGCGGTTTCCAGCTGCTTGAGCAGTAACTCCTGGGTTACCAGTTGTTGACCTGGCTTGAACTGAATGGACACAATGTCCCGGCCTAACGAAGCGTACTCTTTGAGAGGACTCTGTAGGTACTTGGCAAGTGCTACACAGTAGTGCGTGAGAGGAGCAAAGCTAGGATGATCCTTCTTCGCGCGTTCACTGTGTTGGTATAGCCGTGCCACCTCGTCATTGACTATTACCACCTCCAAGCGGTCGCTGACCTCGTCATCATGATCGTCTGTATAGGTTGCTCCTCGAAGATTTTTGGTTTCGACAATGTCTGTCAATAGCTTGTAGAGTCGTCGTGTCTCCGGGGACATGCCGGACACGCCGATAACGTCGGGACGCCGGCGAGCTACGAGCTCGACCAAAGCACCCACATCCTTCCCGTCAGCGACACCGCGATCAATGTCACCAATTGACAAGTCAACAAACTTTCCATTCTCAAGAACCCGACCATCTTCCTCCACGTACGCCCAATGGATGGGTTCTCGGCCGACGATGCCGGACCCCGTGGACAACGCCAGGACACGAGGTACAGTACCCAGGATCATACCCTTGGGCTTGTATGGAGCTTGATCTAAGCGCTGAGAGAATGCTTCACGGCATTCTTTCGCGACATGGTTTTCACATTCTTGGCGGATGTTCTCCTTGACACTGCGGTTGATGACACGCTCGAGTTTCCCAAGAGCCAGGTCGACGACCTCGCGTCGCAGGCGATTCCAAGAGTCAGCGAGTTCGCTATAATTGTCGGACTCGATGTCGGGGTACAGGCGCTGTCGGAAATTATCGAAATTCTCAAAGCGCACTTTGACTTCCACCAATCCTTCTTCTTCTGCCTTCAGCATGCGAAGGAATAGCTCTGGCCGGCGAGCGATATCGCTTAATTGTTGATCTCTGAGATATTTGAACTCATAGTACGGATGTTGCTCGTCGATGCGCCGCAGACCCTTTTCTGTACGGAAGCAGTCAACAGCACCGTTCATATAGTAGGCTTGTCGAATTACTTTGCGCATCTTGGGACTCATCACAATTTCCTCCGCGAAAAGACCTTTAGCGGCCTTGATGACTTGAGACGAACTGCCAAAGTCACGGTCAACAAATCCGTCCGCCATGTCGTCTGGGCGCTCTGTTGGGTCTTCTGTATACTGTCGGCGCCCTTCCTTCAATGCATTTTGAGCAAAAGCGTCTGCTGTGATACCGAACCCACGAACAAGGCCATATGCCTTGCTGTTGCGGACCCTCTCGAAGAAGTTTTTTGTCTGGGCTTTTCGCCGTTGGGATTCTCCAGTATCACCATTTGTCAACTCCAAATCTCTCCGCTCAGCGGCGTACTGGAAGTGAATGTAATCCTGGATATCCTGAAGCTCCTCCATTGTTGTAGCGGCAGGTAACATTTCATCCACAATCACATCTTCGACAGAGAAGACACTGCGAATATTGTCATAGGTCTTTTGGATGGTATTCCGTTTTTCAACCAACGCTTTGAACTTGAGATCATGGTCAAAAATATCCCATAAATCTGTCATGTTCAGCAGCTTTTCAGCTCTGATGGTGTACCCTGAGCTAGAATCTGGGTCTCCTGATGCGTCATCCGTAGGGACCTTGACTGTGTGGATCATATAATCTTTGCGGTGTTGGAAGATGAATGGCACCTCCCAATCGTCCGTCACCAGGAATTCCAATACCTTGGCGACTGAGCGCTGGAAGGGCTCGCGGAGTTGCGGCTCAAGACGCTTCTTCAATAGCATGAGGTTGGCAATCCATGCGGCTTCTTCGCGGAATTGGTCTTCTGTCAAGACAACATTGCGATAGGGCTTGCGAGCGATTTGATGCCGCTCCGGTTCATCTATGAGACGGATCTGGTTGTCCTCTTCGGTCAACATTTTCTCCGCAAGTTGTGATGGCTCGAAGACATCCTTGAGATCCAAGTGTTTCTCGACATCTTCTTCCTGCTCTTCCTCCTCTTCTTCCATAGCGAGAGCAAAGTAGTATTCATTTCCATCTCCGAATGCGGCGCGCATGTCCTCGAGGGCGTTCTCGTCGAGGCCGGTGGTATCCGCACCTCCGAAAGCGACCGACTTTCTGGGACGTGCGACTTCGATGTCTTCTCGTTGCGCTCGTATTTCGTCGTCGGAAAACTCGTCTTCAATAATGAAATCTTCCATTTCGTCGTTGGGATGCCTCCGATGGCCCATCCGGGCGTAATCCGGTGCGGGCTCCTCGTCATCGTCAGAATTGAAAATGTCGTCAATGGCTTGTGACGGTTGCCGTGTATCGCGATCTTTGTTACCACGCTTCAGACGCTTGAATTTCGACTAATACTAGTTAGCATTCGCGCTCAGCCAAAAACTGCAGGGTTTTGATTATAAAGGTCGAGGAAGGCCATACTTCTGCTGCTGCGGCGGATTGGAGCTCGGGATTAAGCTCGCCAATCAATTCCAAGTCTTCATCATCCAGGTGCTCGTCTTCACGTTCTCTCTCCTCGCGTCTTCGCTTTCGCTTCTCTCGCCGGCGCCTTTTGTGCTCCTCGTCCTCTTCGTCTTCGTCAACGATGAAACCTTCTCGAACCTGGATTAGAAGCTGGGTCAGCGCACAAACATAGCGACACGTATGCGACTTGAGTCATAAAGTCTTCACATACTGCTTTGGCTGCTTCTTCATCGTCGTCTTCCTCTTCATCCTCTTCACTCGAGTCGTAGTGGTCCGCGCCGCGGTCGGCCCTGCGCTCATCACCCTCACCATCGTAGTCATCGACAAGCTCATCCTCGTTCTCGTCATCGTCCAAAAGGGCCTCCCCCACGACTAGATCCCGGGCGCTCATCGTGTTGTTGGGCTCCTTGCGATGAGGAGACTTGGGAAGATGAAGGATTCGCTGAGACGAGAATCAAAGGGATCTGAGGTCAGACAGGATTTTATAAAAGCAATCGCCTAGGTACCGAGTCGACGATGGCTGCCTTGAAAAAGTCTGGGAGACGCTCAAAGAACGACTGCTTCAGCATGGATGGGTGGTTGGCCGGAGTCTTTTTGAGTCGGCGGAGTGGCTCGGTCGCTTTCACCGCCCAGAAGCTGTGGCACTGTGGCTAGTGCTCTATCACGTGCGCTGCACTATCTTTATCTTTCGGAGGATGATCATCAGTCATCCACAATCAACCAAACATTTTCCAGTTTAAAGGTTCAGGGCCTGCCGGAGGCCTTTTTTTTTTTTTTTTTTTTTCCAGCTCGGGCATCAATTTTGTTTAGTAGCTCATGGACTTCGGCTCAACAAATGTAGATACAGACTGGGCACTCGCTCAGTTTTGCGAATCAATTCTCGTAATGGAGCTATTGGATGGAACCGGGCGTAGCCTTTGTTCGAGGTTTCTATATTCAGGAACCAGCTAAGACTCGTAAGACTCGTAAGAGACTCAAGAGTCAGGTCCCCTGCTGGTTTGATCCCAGTTCAGCCCATTCACCTATGAATGTCTCTGACCTGCTCTTGGGCCTGTAAGTTAAAGCTCTGGAGCGCCGCTGCTATTCGCTCTCGCCTCTTCGCGCCTGTGTTTCGATCCCCATCTCCGCCCGAAGCTCCACCATCCACATTCGTCCGCCATCCTCCAGCGGTTCCAGCGATATCCCTCCATCCCCCGGTGGCCGGTCTCGTATTTCGTTCTTTATTGCTCCTCTGCAGCTCGTTGAAACCGCGTTAATCTCCGCGTGGTGGGCTTCGCGTTCGTTCTGAGAACATTATCAGACGCCGACTGTCGCAGTAGTCCAGGGGAACCCCACCACCTCGTTGGTTCGGACTCACGGCGCTTGTCTGCATCTCGGCGCCCAACAAACAGCCGGCCTTGCTCTTTTACGCTTCAGCTATTCGCTGGTGAAATCTTCGCCCCTTGCTCCTCGCCGTTTATTTCTGTCGAACGCATCGCTCCCTACGACCTCGATCTCCTGACTTGATCCGACCCCTCCATCCCGCGGTCCCCAGCGTCCATCGCCGCCGCAGCCATGGCCGATCAATTCAAATCGCGAACGCTCAAGCGCAAAAATGTCAAAGGTCTTGCCTTGAACTCAGCTCCGAAGCCTGCCGCCAATCCGTCCGATGGAGTTGCTCAGGCTCCTGGAGCTGTCGGAAACAGCGAAGGCACCCGCACGGATACACTGGAGATTGGATTGGAGTTCAGGTTGGACCTTCGCAGTGAAGACCTGGTTACCCTGAAGGAACTTGGTGCCGGAAATGGCGGAACTGTGTCAAAGGTTATGCATGCTTCGACCAAGGTCGTCATGGCCCGAAAGGTACGCCAACCCGTCCTAGTATGCGGGCTTTGTTGACGCCACTAGATCATCCGTGTCGATGCCAAAGAGAACGTGCGGAAACAGATTATTCGAGAGTTACAGGTCGGCCATGATTGTAATTCGCCTAACATCGTGACTTTTTACGGAGCCTTTCAAAACGAAGCAAGAGATATTGTGTTATGCATGGAATACATGGACTGTGGGTATGTTGCGTCTACACCTCCGTGAGACAGGTTAATCGGTAGATCTGCTAACACCCTGCTCAGTTCGCTCGACCGTATCTCTAAAGACTTTGGTCCGATCCGTGTGGACGTTCTTGGCAAGATTACCGAGTCTGTCCTAGCAGGCTTGGTGTATCTCTACGAAGCTCATCGTATCATGCACCGTGATATCAAACCTTCGAACGTCCTTGTGAACTCTCGCGGCAACATCAAACTCTGTGATTTTGGAGTCGCAACTGAGACAGTCAACTCCATCGCTGACACTTTCGTTGGTACTTCCACTTATATGGCCCCGGAACGTATCCAAGGAGGTGCATATACTGTGCGCTCAGATGTCTGGAGTGTAGGCTTGACGGTCATGGAACTGGCTGTCGGTCGGTTCCCGTTCGATACTTCGGACTCGATGGCTGGAGACCGTGCTAGCGCGGGGCCAATGGGTATCCTGGATCTCTTGCAGCAAATCGTCCATGAGCCTGCTCCCAAGTTGCCCAAGAGTGACGCTTTCCCACCTGTTTTGCATGAATTTGTCGCCAAATGCCTACTCAAGAAACCAGAGGAACGACCGACGCCTCTGGAGCTATACGTGTGTATACCCCGTCGTCTGTTGGGACTTATTTACTGACCCATACATAGGAGAAGGATGCGTTCCTACAGGCCGCTAAGCGAACTCCCGTTGACCTCCAAGATTGGGCCATCAGCATGATGGAACGGCACAACCGCAAATCCTATTTAGCCCCTCCGGCACCGAAATCATTGAAGGAGGAAACTTCTTCACCAGCTCCGAAACCCGCAGTCACCAAGCCCTCTCGTCCCTCGGTTGGAGAAATCCCTCTCAACGTCGTCCGCGATATCCCTTCCAGCCAACAGCGACAGCAATACCAACAATCACACTACCCTCAGCAACCTCAACAACCCCAACAGTCTCAGCAATCCCATCACCAACATGTACCCTCAAACCCATCCCATTACCCTGTTAGATCGACTCGTTCTCCCCCAATCTCTCTCGAGCATCTTTCTCTTGAGAATAAACCGGATGAGTTCCGCCCGACCCGTCGCCCGTCCCGAACTCCCCTAGGTGACTCAAGTTCTACCCTAGATCCCTCTCTGCGGTCTTCGCTCGGCTCTCGCTCAGCAAGCTCGCACAATCCTACCTCACGAATGCCTTTGCAAAACACAGCCCTACCTTTCCGCATGGCCCCGTCGCCTGCGGGAAATCAGCCGCCTTCCAGCAACGGAACCTGGCAGCGTCAACCACATCCCATGCGTGGGGACCACTTGACACGAGCCCTCTAAAATGATACCATCTCTTGGCTACTCTCTCGCTTTCAACGGGCCACCGTGTTTCTGATGGTTTTTGCATCGGCAAGGCGTACTCAATCTTCGGCCATTCTTTTCCACCCCCTTCACTTGTACCTTTCCTCTGTCTTTTCTTCTATGACTTGGCTACTCGACTCGAGAATCATTGAACCCTCGTATTTTCCAGGTGTTTCTCAATACTGTTGTTTCATGTGTTCACTGGGTCTCGAGGCTGGAACTCTTGCATTTGTTCTATCTAGGATTTGCATCTTCAGATCATGTCGGCCTCTACACGTTTGACTTTTTTTTTGTTCAGCGAAGAATACACGTCCTTTCACTGTCACTAACTCTCCTATCATACACTAGTACATAGTATTCCCGTTGCGAGGTGTAATAGATGAACTCGATGAACTCGGATTGCTTGCTTGCATTGTAGTCCTTCGACCTCAATAGATAGTAATCCTCTTGTTGGCTGGCTTGCTTGTCTGGTGCCTTGGAAGCAACCGAAAATTTGCCTAGGCTCTCCGTATCCTGGCCTTTATACCTCGGAGCGCAGATCACCTTGTCCCGCTTGGAATGTCCTTCTGCTTTTTCCCTAATAACTGGTTCCTCGCAGATGACTCTCCTGATGATCCAGCCTTGCACCAGCATACGCTCATTTCACTCACTGCTACCCACCCGCACTAAGACAGAGGGGATACCAGCATACCCTAAGATCCCCCTCTAACCTTCTCATAGCCGCGCGACTCTAGTCTTTGAAACACCCTTTCCTATCGACAGGACAACAATAGTCCTTAAATGGCTCGCAGCCCCTCTCCCCCTCCCACAAACCACATGAGCCCCACACACAAAGGCCGAGCTCTCCTCGGAAAATCCTTAACCGACTCTCGCCACCAGCTCGGATGTTTACACCTCTCAATCCGTACTCTATTCTTGCAAGATGTGATCCACGCAGCAGGCCAGAAACGATGACAAAGGGTCAGTGTGGCCGAGTGGTTAAGGCGACAGCCTCGAACGAGAGGACGATAGCTGTTGGGTTCGCCCGCGCCGGTTCGAATCCGGTCGCTGACGTTTCTTTTCCTTTTTTTTTTTTGGTTCTTTAGTTCTCATTTGCCCTTTCCCTCCGACAGGATAGAGAGAGAGGGGGGGCTGTTGATTTTCGGATGGAGAAAAGCCGAAGAGGGGTATTTGCAAAGAGGATAGTGGCTGCTCCTGCGGTGAGAGCCGGGGTGGACGTACAGATGCCCACCTGGAGAGAGAACATTTATATATACGCCTAATTGATTAACCCCGCCTCATAATTTTGCTGTTTTATGCCGCACCCCCGACCTTATTTAGGGAGGGATGTCGCTTCCTGCCTAAGATTTGTATAGTAAGATAAGTGTGTCTCCTCACCACGTTCAGTCTCTTTTTAACATAGGCCGAGACCTTCATCAAGACCTTAAAGGTTAAGGCATTTATTGAGGTATTCGTCAAGGCCTTTATTACGATGACATATGTCGGGGATCTGAAATCGCTATTATGTCCGGAGGCGAGACCAGTGGGGAGTGTTTCAGCGACTGAGTTGTTAGTGTGTTAGCGGAATGGTAAGGTGTGTTTCATATAACCTGGGACGTATAAGCGAAAGGAACTCACGCTCCTGACTAACGATGGTCAACCCATCTTGGCTGACAATCGTCAAGCGGAACCGAGATGTTGTGGTGTTCTCGCGAATGGAGACTTCTGCGTCGCAGACTCGAAAGTGTTCAGTGTATACGGTGGAGGCCTGTCTAGTATTGAGAGGAAGCTCAGCATGTGGTTGGTTGGCACGCCACGTAGTAATGCCCTGACTTACAGTGTCAAATTTTTTTTTCTGAGGGTGTTGGGTATTGGAGTGTGTGGATGAAGAGCCCCAGACGCATAACCTTGACCTTCTGCTTGAAGGATGCACAAGCTGTGCGTATGGTGCGTGAGCATATAGCAAAGCATGATAGCGTAAGAACATATTTTCTTGCATTGTAAAGTTTATCAGGACTTCAACGTCGTTGGCTGGGCTTGCATCGTCTAGGCTGGTATAGCCGATGCAATTGACATTTCTCAAGGATCAATGCCTTTCTAGCGCCGTCAAAGCGAAATCTTGTATTATGCATTACGAGCGTCAGACTGAGAGTTCGAGGCATAAGACAAAACAATCTCAGCATGGTCTTTGTACTGAAAGAAAGGATATTCCTCATCTTGCGCTGTGACAACGTCCAAGTCGGTGCTCTTATAATGGAGGATATATACGACGTCAATATCGGATCTTTCGTAAGGCATTCTCTGGGAGGGCATGATAAAGGCCACGGATTCGATTGCTGGGTTATATGATCGGGTGTCTCTAACAGACCGGACGGTTAACCACGTAGGTCAGTTTTAAGGTTAAGTGGACAGCAATCACGCTATCAAGTTAAGAATATGTGGACGGATAGGCCCTGTCTCAGAAGCAGCAGTAAAACAGAGAAGATTGCTTGTTCCCTGATCTAGAAACGCCCTTGCCTGGTCCAAGGTAAGCTGTTGAAATAGCTCCTCAACCTCTGATACATCTGTTCCTGGTAAGTAAAACTCCTGATACTGGAAAAAAAGTACTTACCCAATCGTCCCATCTTCTTGACGAACAGAGACTTGAGCATGCCGCTTGTTCTGTCACCGATCTTGTAGAGTATGAGCATTCTTTCGGCACCGGCAACACGGGCGCAAGTGCTCAGTGCGGATACTGGAATTGGTTAGTGATCTGTTTTATCATATTTATTTAGAGTAGTCAAGACCTACGAGCGAACAATTCGACTCTTGCTCTGTGAGATACATGACTACCAGGTACGATGCAGTGACAAACGAACAGACCTGGTGTTTCGATGTCCTGCGAACTGAAATATCGGGATTGATAGCAGCTAGTGGACAGACAAGCCGAGAACCAGCCCCAATATTTTCATGCGACTCAAAGTCTCAACGCCCTGATACTCGGAGATTGTATTCTGTGTTGTCTGGCGCTGCATCGTCACCGATGGATCCTCTAGGTTCTTCTCGAACCCGATTTGTATATCGTGTAGCATGCCATAATTGCCATTGACTTTGGTCTCAGTTCGCTCTGCCTGCGAGCTTTACGAGATTAGCGGTAGTTCTGCACTGGAGAGAAGAGCATACTTGGCAATGACACCGAGCAGCAAGTTGAGACTGTATGGACAGCGAGGTTGCTGCGCAGGGTCACCAAATCGCCGCCTTCCTTTGTCCAGAGCACCGCTTTCCAACCGCTCTTGATTCTGTCATTTCATCTGCGAAAGGCAGACGATGCCGAGTCACTGCTAGTCGATTTTCCAAGAACGCTATACTTCTTGATGACAGTATCGAGGTGCTTGAGTGTTTCGTTGCAGCTTTCCACAATACGACCGACCACGTCCTCATCTTGAGCTCCGGTAATTCCACTGGGGACCAGGCCTTCCAAAGATGTCGCGGTTGGGCCGTCACGGATCTCGTTGCGAAGGGCTGCAAGGCTGCTCTCAGAGAGTAGAGCTGGTTTTCGACTTCGCGAAACTCGTGAGGAGCGGACTTTCGTCCTTTGGAGAAGGCATTACCTAGCTCGATGGCCTAGTAGCCAAGGAGATAGATGTCCTCAACTTTGAGAGGGGAAGCCATTAGATCTGCTGCTGGTCAAGACAGGAGGAGCTGCCCTCTAACCTGGAACTTTGAAATACGTATGCACCAGGTCAGGTGCGCCTTGCCAGGAGCTACTCAGCTTCATTACCTGCATACACAATTAATAATAAATAACTCAAGTATCCCTCGAGGCTTTCCCCCTCCCTCAAGCTCCGACCTCATCACTTTGGCCACAAACCATGATGGCTACCATGCCTGGAATTTACTTTGATGCAGTGGAAAACCCCCCAATCCTTACCTGGACGGCTGGAATGAGAATCAGCCCTTTGGTTTTGACTCGCATGACACTTAAGAGTATGGAGTTTGAGTTTACAGAACTTATAAGGGCTTAAGAGTAACCAGCAACCAGGGCAGGAAGGGTGAGTTCCAAGGTTAGGGTTTCGGGAAGCCCGCGTGGATAGGACAATCATGTCTAGACATGAGGATCAGAAGACAGAGCTTCCAGTACTATTCGTCCCAAGGCGTTAGGTTACAGTGCTGTCGACTGGGGCAAGAAGATCTAATAGCCTGGAAACTCAAGTATATGAGCCTGGTCCTCCCAAGAAAACAACAGACCAAGAAGAACCACCCCCCACACCCGTACCAAATAATCTCTCAGGTTCAGCTAAACAACAAACGTCCCAACCCTCGGCCCGAAATACTCGCCATCACCCAGCGTCAGCCTCGTACACGCCGTACTCTCACACCCCTTGTCGGGACTGTTCCCTATCCAATCCACCTCCTTGCCATGATAACTAACTGCAAAGAAAATAACCACCGCGGAAATCGCAATGCCCGACGAAAACGCCGCAGAGAGTACATAGTTGTACTTGGACCAGAAGCCCAAATACCTTCTCCTCAACCAATTCCAGCTAATCCACCCGGGAAGAACAGCCGGCCACATGTACCCGAGGTTATACGGCGACCAGGCGTGTGCACCAGAGAGAATGACGACGGGGTGGATTTTCGTGAGCCAGTGCGTGGGCTGGAGGTGGCGGGTTGCGTAGTAGTGGAGTATGGGGAAGAGGAGGCCTGCGGGGAAGGCGGCGAGGAGGGCAGTGTATTGGGCTCCGGCGCCAAAGACGCGGCGCGCCCCGAGGGAGCCGAAGAGGACGGCGGCTGTAAAGTAGGATTGTAGGTTTGGGCAGGTGAAGCGGTTGGGCTGGTCGGGCTCGCACATGTCGGGGATGCGGGTGATTTGGAAGTTCATTACACCTGTGCAGACGAGGGCGGAGACGATTGCTAGACGTGTTTGTTAGGGTTACTCCAGGGTTGCGTGCGGAGTGAGGGTATACTTACTCGCGACGACTTGGCACCAGAAGGTTTGACGGGGTGGAACCTTGAGGTAGTGGCCGAGCTTCAGGTCATTGGCGAAGCTGAGAGCGTGTGCTACGGTCACGTATCCGAAGCCCTTGAAGAAGTTCATCTGGAGGAGTTTAGTAAGGGCCCTATGGTCATTAGGGTTTAGAGACACTAACCGCCAATGCGTTACCGGGCTGCCACGTCCCTCCAATAAATTCGGCCAGCACATTATATTCAACTTCAATACCCGTTGTGGCATATATAATGCCAGTCGGCACGGTGAAGATCACAGCCAGCGCAATACCGAAAAAGACAACACCGACATTCGTGTTGGTTGGCCAGCCGGCCACTGCTGCAACTCCAAGCCCGATAGCGATGACCTACCGTTGTTAATGACTGACATCTCAAACATCGGTCCAACTTACATTTAGAATCAGGTACCACCACTCCGGCGACTCGCGATAGGATCTCATAAGTCGACTGTGGACATCCTTAAAGTCATTCTGCCTGCCGTCGCGTTTGAAGGTGTTGAACAAGGATCTGAAGCCCAGTGCGATATCCTTCCGGTGGTATAGTATAGCGTAGGACACTACGGCACTGTACACGGCAAAGAAGAAGATACTGGGATGGTTAGCTGGATAATGGTAGAAGAGGGCAGGAGACTCACTAGTAAATTATGGATGATGCGGCGATGTATACTGGGCTGTAGGCCAGGTATTTCTCCACGTCGAGCAGACCCTTGTCGTTGAGAATCGCCGACACATTGTATTGAGATCCATTGTTGGTAAACATGGTGTTGGTGTTGATGGGAAGATACCCCGTATTGTACGTGTTGGTCCAGTAGACCGCGATGATCACGATAGCACCAAGCAAGACGCCGATGAACATGTTGAATGTGACGTGGAAGGGGACGATCAACGGGTCGACGTTATGAGTGACGATATTCCAGTCGAATGTGGGAAGAGGATTAAAACCAAGGCCCTTCTGAAGGCCCGTTATAGCAGTAAGGTTGAAGGTGTTCGGTGAGATCCACGCGAGCCAGTTGAAGAGCGAGACGGCAGAGACGATAAGCTCAGGAAACCAGAACCAAACAAACATGCAGCCAAATGCGAGCAGGAAGAACTTGTATCGCGACGTATTGTACAGCCTTCTGAAGGGTCCGGGGACAGAACCGCTTTGCTCTGTACGGCGTTAGCAGAGGCTACAGGTAGCAAAGGTTCGGTGCCCACCTTCATGAAGAGACTGGTTGAGCGCCACAGTGACCAGCGAACGGGGCCAAATGCAGAATGACGGGTACACCAGGAATCGTCGAGCCAGTCCAGCAAGACCGAACCCCATCAAGTTCATAGAAAGCTGCGCACATTAGTACAACTCGAGGCATCAGTTTGTCACTGGCTGCACTTACCGAAACGCAGACTTGGAATCCGAACGAGCTAGCAAAAGGCATATTGAAATACCTCTCCATCCAGGTAGTGAAGATGATGTATCGCGAGTGAGGCAAAGCAGATGCCACATTCGCCATGATCGAGATCAACATGTGCTCCTTCTGATTGAACTTGCCCGGGTTCAGCTTGAGAGTTTGACCAAACAGAGAGAATTCGCCCACAGGCAGCCATCTCTCCCATGCTTTACCCAGTGGAAACGAGAGGAGCTGCACCACTGCACCTTCGACTCGAATTGCAGGCTGGCGGACGGAGAAGAGCTGGTTGACGAAGCTCAGCAGCACGACGAACAACAGGCCAATAGTCCAAGCGCGAATCGTGCCGGCAGGGCTGGAAACATCGTCCTTGTTGCTGACAACAGCGCGGACTTCGGCATAGGGCGAGTTCTCCGTCAAGAGGGAAACCTCAATCTTGATGTCGGCAATTAGCTCGACTTGTGCATTGGGGTTCTGGAAAAGATCGGTGTTGTCGACAAAAGCCTGCAGGCGGACAATGGATTCGCGGTTGAAGTTGGGGTCGTGCTCGTGGAAGTGGAGAATGTGTTTGGCGCGCTGTAGTAGTCAGTTTGAAGCTTGTGTTATCCAGGCTGGGCATGTTAAATCTCACACTGGCAGCCTCCTCCAGCTCGAGAGTCTTGCTATAGTCCTCCGCCTCGAGGAATTCCTGCGGACTGCAACCGAGAAGTCTCGCTTTCTCATATACCTGGTCCTCAGTGTACTCGGACTTTTCAATCGGAATCGTGGAAGGAACCACGTTCACAGCAGTATCTTTCTCGTCGAATCCCGCCATTTTTGACGCAAATATACCCGTCCTTTCGTAGGGCTCCAAGGGAACGAAACCCTAACCGGAACTTCAACTCGATAACCACGATATATTCGATGTTCCATTTTGAAGGCAAATCTACAGCGGCGATTTATATACACTGCCTCTGGTCGGAATTGCGTGCTTAAGATAAGGCATTTCCATTCCGCAGTCGCATTCGCAGGAAGGTCCAATGCTAAGGCGTGCTTATCGTGGCAATCACGTCGATTGACCCACCCTCCTCCGCCCAATGTTGTTCATACCGTGTACGTAGTATAATGCTTTAGTATCTCTTGGCAGACCGGAATGACCCCGCAGCCAGTCGGAGTTTGATTCTCGAAGAACGGCCAGTCTCTTACTATAATAATCTTGTGGGATGCGAGGATTGGGAGGAAAGTCCTAATCTGATAGCAGTTCGATTGAGAAATAGGTTGGCTTCTCCGATAGTTTTGCACTATATATGCCGAGAAGATGAAGTATAATAATATTAAATCCTATTCCAACATCATTTATGTCTAGAGCTCTATCTTTGGTGGTGCCATCCTGTTTCGATTCCCTTGATGCCCAGCCTGAGGTGTCTTCAACTCACAGCCACAGCCTAAATCCATGTTAGCGGTTGGGGCCGAGGAGGAAAAGCCAAAAGCCAGCACTTCCAGTCCCACTCCGAACTGCCCTAATGGAATAAACTATAACGCAAGATTTGCCCAGAATCGCGATGATTCTCTAGACGGACTTGTTTCAGAACCAGAAGTTGATTTCTGCTTTTTGTGTACAAGTCGTCTGTCCTGAGTAGACTAGTTATCAACAGGGTCGAACACATCCCTTCTACCTTACCATTCGCGTTGTACATCGGGGCGCATTTGCATACCTAGCTTGGATAGCAGGCAGGGTAAGCGATAACGATTTTACCTATATTTGGCATATCAGAAATCAGGCCGAAGACGGAGAACCGGAAAGACCAAGCTTTCCACCGTGGGAAGAAGAGTCTGGCCGTTCATGCATCAAGCTAAAGCTGCCCAGCAAGGCCATGTGGGTCAGGACGGGGAAAGGCACTGAAAGGGTTAAGAGTGCGGCCACCGGTCACCGGTGGGCTGATTCGAGGGCTAGTCGAAGCACGGCGATGTTGATTTGTCCGTATGACATCTATGCTATACGCGCATAATGCATACGGTCTACATCTAAAGTTTCCCGCGGCTATCCAGGATATGGCAGCATAGTAGATCGGCAGACTCCTCACTATTCCAGGGTTGCGGCCCCTGTGTTTGCACCAGAAAGATGGCAATGTAGAAATGCTAGAATAATCAAAAGTTCTAGTCTTTCTAGGAGTCATGACTGTATATTCCAGGCAGCGCTTCACCCAAGGTCCATACGCATAACCCCAAATGGCATGTAGGGGCCGAACTAGGAATATCTAGATAGCGCCACTCAAGTCGGAAAACACGAGATACTATGCCACCCAGCCTACATCATCCGCCTATCACTATCTGTACGTAGTACGTAGTATATGTCCGTCTACCCCGCGCGCCTTTCAACGGCATTGTTGGATTATGTCTTTTATCTCGACGGGAAGGTTAGGTCTGCGAGCACATCCGCGTATGCGAGACCTATGGCACTGCTGTTAATGCAAACAAAGGCTTCAGGAGCAAATGCGGTCTTTGCTAGACACGTCGGGCTGGTTTGCTACTCCAATGCCGTTATATATTCTACCTTCGTAGACTGCTTTGACCAACCCTAGGCACACTCCCTCCGTCATGAATCCCTCATAAAAGTCCCCCTTCCAAGACCCATTTTTCTGCTCTGTGTCTACCTCGGAACAATTTACGGCTTCCAAGTGCTGGACGAGGAGCGAGTGAGCGCGATGGCAATGCATTGAATTAACATTTGCTGCACCGAGTAAAAGATATCGGACCAGCGGCTGGTTTCTAGTGATTCCCGTAAAGCAATAAAAACAGAGTATTTCATGATATGCCTTGACGGGGCCTGTAGAAACAGCCCGGCGACCGGAATTAGGCCCAATAAAATACGTCGTAACTCACGTTAGCTTCAGAAGGCCATCTTCGAATCCATCCTATCCCGAAACACCCCCAAACTGAGCTTCGAAATCCTGAGCCCTATGCACCCCTGCTGCCGCCTCATGGCTCTGACCCCCGACACTCTCCCCGCACTGCGGACACTGGGCTTGCTCCATAGGCAGCCCACACTCGCCGACAGTAAACTAGAAACATAAATTAACACTCATATTTCCGTTAGTTGTAGCTGAAGGGGTCTTTTTTTTTTTGGATTAGTGTGCGTACCGGATGACGGTTTTTGCAATAGTACCAGTGACCAGTACCCGTGAACTGGGCGGCCATAGCCCGGTAGATTTGCTGCTTTTCATTGGCAGTCACAGGATCGTAAAATGCTCCTCCACAGCAGTATCTTGCCGCGTCGCTGATGAGCTTCCAGTAGGGGCCCAGTATACTCTTGTGACATCTAAAGAGCAATTCGCATTCTTCCAAGGTATCCTTTATTCTGTCTTGCCCCAAGGCTGTAGTGGGAGGCTTGGTGGGGTTCGCTCGAGCAGCCGCACTGGTATGAGCTAATTGAGAGAACAGTGTATGATATATCGTGGCCTGCAGCTGTTCTGCAATGAACTTGCCTTTGATAGCATCGGCCAAGGCAGTATGACATCTCGTCAGAAGCTGAGGTAGGCGGCTGTTGATCTTGTCGCAAAATGTAACCCGGATTTGCGAGGAGACGGTGCCATCTTGCTGGATGTTGGCATAGTCAGACAAAAGAGCCCAGTTGAACTGCAGGTCAAGGCAGTCGCCACGCAGCTGGAATCCGGTGAGGACTGCCATTTCCTCAAAGGGGGTCAAATCCCCGGAGAGGGCATCAGTGCGGGCTAAGGCCGAGGCTAGAAGCGCATTCACTCGGGCAAAAGGTTGCTCTATCTTGCTGACGCCCTTAACAAACTTCCTTATCCTTGCTTGAAGCTTTGTGGCGTTGGCCTCGTAGGCTACTATCGCAGCTTTGATTTCAGCGGATAACAAGCCCTTTTCAACGTTTTGCGCTCGCCATTTGCTGACAAACTCGTTCCGTGCGCTCTCCAATTGGTCTTCGTACAGTTGTACAGCCTCGTATAGCGTTGTATAATCCCGGTGCGCCTTGGAAACAAATCGTTTGGTGGACTCGTCAATCAATGCATGTTTGACAATTCGGTTGTAGCGATGGATGTCCCTCAAGGGCCGTCGGCATCCCGGGCAATACGGTTGGATTGGACTAGCGGCCACTTCACTGACTGGTTTCGGTTGGAGCAGGGTCTCTCCTTCAGGACCAACCACGTAGTACTGTCGTAAATCCATGATACCATCCATAGTAGACCGCGTGTAGAAGTGACCACATGGGAGGAAGATGATTGGATCCTTATTAACGTCCACATCTGCGTAACGCTGCATTTCAAGAAACTCTACACAGCATTCAAGCGCCTGGGGGTCGCCGCACTCCTGGCACAGAGCTGCCTTGGGGCAGCTCTCCCCACAAGCTCCCGGGCAGCGATGCCCACAGCTCAGTAGTTTGTCACATCGCTTGCCGCAGGGAAGAGCGTTGCATGGAACAGCGCAAGGCAATTTGCAACTACCCTCATGGTGACTACATTGCCATCCGCAAACCTCCGCGCAAGGCGGGCAGGGGTCACTGCATTTGCGAGGACACCTGCTATGCACACAGCTCACTTCGCATGGCAATTGACACGCGCGACAGGACGATCCGCCATGGCATGGTTCCGTACAATAGTGCCTACATGTGGACAATTGTCTTCCGCAAATTGCCTTGCAAGTTCCGTGGCTCACTATATCAGAGGTGCGACAGCTCCAACATTGATTCTGACAGTCATGGCCACATGGACGAGGGCTGCCACAAGGCTTAGCGCAGAACAAGCCAATAGCACTTTGCGAACAAGCCACGTGAACGGGATGGCCGCATCTAGGCAGCACCTTGAACACTCGCTGCATACATCTCACGGACGCGAGATCTCCAAGATCGCGGCACTGGACTTGAGCTGTATGTCCACACGGCAGACGAACGTTCGGAATGACTGCAGTACAGTCACCACAGGGCTCGGAGCACGGCTTGGAGCATGCATGCCCACAAACCCTGGGTTGCGCACAGGGCTCCATGCACTTGATATTGTTGTGCAACCTGGTTGAATGGCACTTAAAAGTACAGGTGTGTCCACACTCCAACCTCAGCCCACATTGGTTTGAGCAGCCTCCCTCTGGCGCGTACTCGGCGAAATCGTCTGGCGTAGCGACGCATATACGAGCTTCTGGATGCCGTGCGCAATGTAGCTCGAGCTGGGGACCAATGTTCAGCCCATCCTCCAGTATTCGTATCACAGATCCCCACATAGGGACTTGGCAGGATGTTTGCGCATTGCCGATGATGTACATGCCATGCTTTGCCCGGCTGTTCATATCGTCACGCATCAGTATAACCTTTGCATCTCGGCGGCGGAAGAGGGTGATCGTACCTTAACAAGACGTTGATTCGATTCGGGGACTTCAGAAAGCCGCAATTCCTGAACTGATTGCTTCGGACCAAAGATATGATCACGACAACAGCTTCCTCGCCCTAGTCAAATTAGTTAACTGGGCAGATTTTCAGTGATGTTAGCGTCAACTCACCTGAAAATTATCCACCGTTGCCAGCCGGACTTGATCTAGAAGCGAGCCCCTAAGGAAAGCTGTGCTTCTAATACCAGGTGTGGCCTGGCCTATCTCGCCTTCCGATTCGTCGAAGTCCGCAAGGTCCGGTTCACTGATCACAAGGTCTACGATATTTTCTAGCTTGCCTTTGAGGAGCCTTAACTGGCCGACGTACGGCGTCAAGACAGCAATCTCGCCTGGCTTGTATTTGCCTTGGCGGCACAGATGGCTAACCAAAGCGGTTACCATATCCGCTTCCCACGTATTTGTCTTGCTCTGCATTGGTTCTTCGGGATCACTGGGATCTTCAGGGTTCTCATGGTCCAGCCAGAACAGCCTCCGTCTGACCCCTGGGATTTGCGGGTACTTGCTGGTACTCGGATGATCTTTGAGCTGGGGATACAAGTCGTCACGGATGAGCGACGAGATGGAAGGGTGCATTCGGCGTTGGTAATCGAGCTGTGCAACGGGGAATTCAAATGCCCTTCCTTTTTCAGAACTATTTTCATTCAGCAGTGTCAGTTTGAGCTTGGTCAGCCGCTCAAAGAGTGATTCGTCCAGGTTATATTTAGCGGCCCCATTGTCATGCTCCATGGAAAGGGCCAGACGGGAGATTCGAGGCCGTAGCTGAAGATGATCTCCTATCAAAATCGCATGCTCGATCGACGGAATCAACGCAGTCAGGACGTGTGACTCCAATACTTCCCCAGCCTCTTCGCAAATAAGAACTTTGGCTTGAACAGTGCGAAGCAGATCAATGTTGTTTGCTAGTCCAGTTGTCGTGACCCCGACTATGTCCACTTGTTTGAAGATCTGGGCATCGGCTTCAGTGAAGAGCGCAGTGTGCCGTTGTTTTTCCCTCTCGTGGGCGCGCATCAAGTTCTCGAGAGTCTGTAACTGATCTCTGGTGCCAGACTCATAGCAATATTGGTAGACGCGAGAACGCTCCTTGTTCGTCAAGGACCATGCTGGCACTGAGAATAACTGATCGATTGAGAGTTCGGTGTCATCTCCGTCAACTTTGCCAGGCCCGTTGCCAGTAACCCAAGTCTGTAACTGTTCCAAGGGGTCCAGGTGCCCCTCGCGTATTTGGACCTCGAACTGAGATACTCGTGCCTGTAAAAAGCCATGCACCGTAGCTAGAGGGCCTCGTGTTAGTGCCTGACATATGGTATCGATCTGTGCAGCCAAGCTGTCTAGCTTTTTCCTGCTTGCAATAATAAATCTCCCCTGGCCTTTGATTTGAGGGATGTCTCTGCGTTTCTTGTATGCATCGAGCGAAAGGGATTCCATGTCTTCTGATTGACTTCGGGAACCGATTCGTACAATTCGGGTCACACCGGATTTCTTGAGTTCCGAGAGAAATTGGTCCAGGGCATGATTTGTGTAACAACTGTGGGAGTAAGAGTTAGTATATACAGATACGGGGGCCAACGATAGCTTACACGCATAGAAGAGGACCTAGATCGAATCTTTCCTTGTTGCCGAGGAGGCACTTTGCAATCTGTATTCCAACATACGATTTGCCTGTGCCGGGTGGGCCCTGGATGAGCGAGACCTCGTGGGTCAGTGCTGAAACCATCGCTCTCGCCTGTCCAGGATCCAGTGATGTAAATCGACTTAGCTGCTGATATAGACCTTGTGGGTACGTCGGATGTGAGACCGTTAATGGCGCAGAAGTGCAAGACAAGGCAGGGCCGTAGTACCCTGTGATTGCAGAGAGATCGAGACTACCGTTCGACAAATAGCAGGGTGGCGGCACACATGAGACAAAATCACTGTCAAGTGGCTCGTCTCCGTCAAAAGTCAACCATCTCGTAAACGGAATGGGAGAAGGGTTTTTGTGGAGTGATTGAAGGCAGCGCAGGATTCCCTCAAACTGATTGTACTGCAGCGCAGGAAACTCTAGTAGAATCAAGGGCTTTTCAGGCCCTTGCAAGCAATTCGCTTTCATATCCATTAGACTCGAGAGATCGACCCCGGTTGGCGGGCTTGAAAAGCGGAGGGTAACCATTGCCCGTTCGGCACTACTTACCACATCACAGACAGGGTCCGAGGTAGTCTGATTGAGTGGGTCAATTTCTCGTCTAGAAACCTGCATGAAAACCACCTTAATATCATCCTCAACCTCCGCGTCCAGTAGTGCCACGAGCGCACATCCTTCCCTAAGAGCACGAGAGTTGATCCAGTATTTCCTTCGCTGAGCGGGATTCATTCTTTTGGCCCTCTGTATTTGGTCAAACTCGACTTCAATCTCCAGGCCCTTGATCTCACTTGCTTTGAACATCCGAACTTGAGCACTGTAATAAATGCGCATTGGCGTTGGGCTTTCGTTGCGTATTAGTTTGCGTTTAGCCGCCCAGTTAGAATTGGCGACTATAGTTTCCCAATAGTCTGTGACTAGTCGAACAGCATCTCGAAGCAATCCCGATGTATCCTCGCGTAGCAGTCGAAACTGGCTGTCGAGCAGGCGGAGGATCCCTTCCTGGTGGTGGGAGCTTGATGATCTGTCGTCTCTTCTTGGGAGGAAGTCCTTTCGCTGGCTATAAATTTCAGAGAGTGTTGGAAGTATCCTAATGTCCTCTATCAATGCGTAGTCATTGTCATGTCGTGGGCCGAGCTGTGCTAGATTGCCGGGGAAGTCCACCAGGTCGTTCTTGCCGGACATTGAGGAGGAAGCCTTTCCACTTGACCCGAGGCTTGCAATCTTGTCTCCCATGGCAAGGATATCAGCGACTTTGCGAAGGCTTTCATAGCCCTTCAGTGACTGATCATCCGTTCCACTGCTTGTCGCAATATTCTCGGACACATAGTGTGCATTCAGCTTTGCGACTATGTCTTTGAACTCGGCCTTGAGCGCTGCACCTTGATTAGCGGTCACGACCTGGAGTAGGGCTTTTGTAACGAGGGCCAGTTGCGCAAGGCGGCTCATGGTGTTGCCGTTGTGGTTGCTGGATCTCGAGTCGAGGTCAGTTTCCGGTTGGGCTTCTTGCAAGCAGTCCATAACATTCCGAAAGAAAGAAACTGCTCTCGTCCCATGAGGCCCATATATGACGTTGTAGATAGTTCCAACAGCCTGTTCGAGTACCAGCGACTTTAACAAGCCCTTGTCTGTAATCAGGCGCAAGAACAAGAGACAATGAGGGTCGAACATTGGTCTTGTCACGCTATACCTCTCAGAGAATTCGGTCTCGACGATTCGTCGCACCCGAGCAAGGCCATGTTCAGTTGCGAGGGAGCTAATGGCAGCATGTCTTGACTGCTCAGAGGAAGTCACAGCTGAGATAGTGGCTGTGAGAAAGTCTTTGAGTGGGCCAGGGCGTTCGTCAACGGGTTCTGATCTGCGAAAGGCAAGGTTTGGGTGCCACGCACCCGGTCGGGTTGTTGTCCTGTTTGCACATACTTTAGTAAGTACTTAACTGTTATCTCTTTCTCGACGACCCAGTTCGGGCCTGATTTACTTACCTTTGATAACGCCTTCCAGAGGTGCTCCTGCCACGCCGGTGGTCGTGCGTTTGCAAGGCCCGGCCTCCCCCACCAGAGCTGGCGTTGACGAGATCAGCAACAGAGGCATGAGACTCCATCAAACGAGCCTCATCTCGGCTGTTATCGGGAGCTACACTTCCGACTTGTTCATCACCAGCGTTACGCCCTTTGCCTCGTCCACTGCGCCTCCCGCGCCTGTAAGAAGTGGAGCCGGGTGCTAGCATGAGAGGCAAAACAGAGCGGCTGTTGCTAAGAAGGGTTCAAAAACAGTGATAAGGAGAGTTCTGATGCGGACGGCTATTCAGCAGAGGAAAGGGAGAGAAAGTTGAGGTGATAGAAAGGTTGGTGGTGTTGAAGTTGGAGGAGGGAAAAGGCAGGTTGGGCAGTCCAGTGTTAACTCCACGGCTGGATGCACCTACTACAAACGAATACCAGAAAAGCACAAACCGAGTCCCAAATTCAAATGAGTTCATTCCCAGAATTCTCGGCCTCTCGCCTGCTTTTCGCAGAAGCTCTTTCTTTCGTCCATCAACCCCGTCCTCGCAATCAAGACCGGCAACTTCTCTACTACAACAGCCCCACAATGAGCTTTATCAATGGCTGTGGCTATATCAATATGGATAAAGCTGTTATTAACCCAATATTCGATATTCAGCCACCTGCATGGAGAAATGCGCTCTATCAGGTATTCGCTTATTTGGTTCAAGCTGTCGAAAGAGTTGCTGACTGCTAGGCAGGTCGTCGACATGAACATAGGCCAAGAGAGGAGGACACGGACGACAGCAGTAGCCTGCACCCACAAACGTGATTTCACCTCAAATAATCATCCTCAATTACCTTCACATGGATAGCGCCTCGCTCTCCTCTCCTGAACCCATTCGTCGTATCTTCCTGCCCATTCAAACTCTACTAGCATCTCTCTAACCTCCCTAGAAACTCTCCCTGCCTTCGCTTCATCAGTCAAGGATTTACGCCATGATAATACCAGCGGATTGGCTCCACATTCAAATAACCGACGAACGAGCCATATATTCCCTTTTCTAGCGGCGTACAGCAGCGGATGCCGCAGTCGTGTCCGATGCCGTCGTATACCACGAGACGTACGCGTATTCGGATTTGCACCGTGATCAAGGAGAAGATCAATCAGCTTAGTTTCGTTCCGCTGAATTGCAATCTGCAGTGGAGTACCTGGAATTGAAGGATGTTGCCCATCTGGGTTGGCCCCGCGGGTTAAAAGCATCTTGACCATGGGGACCTTCACATTAATCTCGCAATCACGCAGCGCGGCAAACAGCGCGGTTTCGTGATACCAGGCTGTCTCATCAATATCAAACTCCCCGTGTTCGTGCAGCCACTGGGCAATCACCACACTGCCTAGCTTAATGGCTTCGATAAGCGCTTTGAAGTGCAGCTCTTCAAAGTAAGGCCCGTACCGTTTGAACCGCGGACTCAGATACTCGACCATCTCGAGGTCTCCAGCGCGCACGAACTCGAGGAGCGCAGTGCAAAAGGTTGTCGATGGAACCGTCTCGGATCTGCGCGAGAGTCTGCTGTCATCGAGCCAGACGTCTAAGACGGCGCGGTTTTTCGCCCGGATTGCCTTCTTGATCGCCCCTCGCTCGCACCCACTCCCCGTCCATGTCCCGTGTAGAAGGAGGGTTTCCATAATCTCGGCTGTCCCCCTTTGAGCGGCCAGACAGAGAGGAGACCCGCTGAAGAGATGGCTCCATAATATATGTATCTCGCCGGCATCCTCGCCGTCCTCGAGCAAATTTTGCAGTGCGACGGGGTCGTTGCGCGAGATTGCGTCGCGCGCCAGCGCAATTTGCAGCTGGACGACTTGGAGATTCCGATTCTGTCTGTAAAACGGTGAAGTGCGCATAAGTTTCGCGTGTAGGCCTGGGCCGAGATAGGCAAGTATTCCATAGTTCACCGGTACCAAGGCGTCGATGAGCCGCTGGACCTGAATGTTGCGGTCTGGGGCCGGTCTAGCGCTGAGGTAGTGATGCACAAGTTGAGAGAGCGCACACGGTTGCAAATCGTGCTGGTCGATCTTTACGTGCAGGAACAAGCGCTTTAACCTCTCGGGCATGGTTTCCCACTGGGTATGGCTCAGGCGCTCACTGTCGAGGCGGTCGACCCGCAAGAAGAGCGAGAGAATCTCGTCCGCGAACGTGGCTGCGGCTGTCAGTGCGTGCGTTTCGTAAATGGAATGGTGGGTGGACGTACTATTTACAAGGCGGGCTTGGAAAAGCTCAGGGATCGTCCAGTAATGCTCTTCTACTCCGATTTTGATAATGTGGAGGAGGATCTCCAGAGGGAGCCTCGGTGGGGTTGCCATGCGGGGCGATCCGTCTTCTGTGGAGGAGAAAGAGGACTTGAAGATCAAAAAGTGCAGTGGTTGCTCAAAGCACTAAAAGAATACGAAGATGAGGCTTAGCTGTCTTGACTCATTGGTTCTTCTCTGGCTAGTCGCCTCTAGCGCTGCACACGTGAGGCACTGCAAGATCAAGATCCTTATCCAGCGCGCCGTTTAATTATTAAGAAGTATTCCTGATATAGAAAAAAAGACACAGCACCCAGAAGCGCCCCAGATCATTGACTCAATCACTCAAGAAAGCCCAACCTCCCTCCGAAAAACCACATTCGGCACAACCCATCCCCCTTCCACAACGCCCTCCCCCTTGACCGGCTTCCCATCGCCCCGGGCAAGATCCACCAAATACTTGCCCAAAAACTGCGTCGGCGAATGACTCTTCGTGAAGACCCCCCGCATAAGGGGCCCGATAATAGTGTGCAAACCCCGTTTCATAAGCGCCTGCTGATCGGGCCGCTTCATGACGTGCTCGTGCACGACCGGATCGTTTGCGCAGTCGACGTAGGCCGGGCGCACGGAGTAGGGTTTTAGGGACGGGTGTTTTTTCGAGAGCGCGATTAGCGCGGATTCGGTTTGGCCTTTGATGCGGCCGAAGAAGGGGGTTAGGCGGGAGGGGGTTTGTGTTGCCTGGGGTTTTTGTTAGTTGGAAGGGTTTGAGATATAGGGCAAAGGGAACATACGCCCTCGCCGGAGACATAGACGAAGTTGAATGAGTCGGATAGGCCCGCAAAGGCCTCTGCGGCTGCGACCGGGTAGTCGAGTGTGATCTTGATATATTCCCTATTCATCCGCATCAGCATCCCCATCTTCAGGAAACCCCCACATATCGCTCCTCCCAATCAAAAGAGAAAATTGACTAATACATACTCCTTGCTAACCTGCGCCTGTGAAATCCCCTGCGCCCAAATACACCCATCGGCGCCCCTAAGCTTCTCCAGCAATTCCGCCGGGTACTCGTTGAAATTCTTGTGTTCGATCACGGTCACATTGGGCTTATTCTCGGCCATGGGCACGGGACTCCGCGAAAGGATGTAGAGCGCCGATACTTCGCCGGCGGGCAGGGATGTGGTGAGGAGGTGGTTTAGGGCTGCGGAGCCGACCAGGCCCGTTGCGCCGGTTAGGATTAGGCGCATTTTGTGGTGTCTTGTGTTTGTTTCGTTTTTGTTGCGTTGAATTTTGTCTTTAGGGTCGAAGATGGAGGTTGGATTAGAGTTTGGGAATTCGCGACAAAGGCTTTCGAGCGGGAAATGAAAAATCAGAAAAAGTAATTCGCAAAATAAGCTGGGTGAGATGCATCATCTTGCATTTATACTCTTCGCCGGAGCTACGGAGTATCTCTTTTTGTTATGTCCGGGCCAGCGCAGGGCTTGGCACTGTCAGCCATCGCTTGGTTTTGTTTCTGAGGACCTAGCTTCGGACATGCTGACGATCTTACCTATAGCCGTATAGTGGACTCGTGATCGTCAGCTTTGAAGACAATGGGACAATCTGGAGGCTGGACCCAGTGAATGTCTTGTCCCTCTTTGTTTTTTGCTTTTCCATCGTTGGACACGGGTTTCGGACTGGTCAAAAGCCTTCCTGCTGCAGCCACGACGGTGAAATCTGAAACAGAATCTCGAGCAGCTCCACCTCTCAACATGAACCCGGACGAGTATGGGCTTTGGCATCAGATTGATTCTGATAAAGTAATCATTCGAGATCAACTGAACCGGACCGATTGGGTTCTCAGCTGGGTTCCTGCAGGCTGTGACCCTACCCGTTGCGCCACACTATGGTCGATAATATCCTGCAGAATTCATGTTCGCCAGACCCAATCATGCTCCTGACGTGTCATACCTCATCGGCTTTTTTCCGCCGAATCTCAAGCGCTAACACGGTAAGCCTCCTGGGGGCCAGTTATATTTTTCGAACCTGAGAAACTGCGCAAAATGGGTACTAGTTAGGTAGATAGTGTACGAAATCTCCAATCTAGGGCAAATTTCTCTTTTCCCCGCAATATATGTTGCTGGATTACTCCGGCCACCTTGTTTGAACTTTTGCCCTGATTTAGGTATCCAGGTAGCCTATCTCGTACATCAACAAGACGGCGCCATGTAGATAGATAGAGTTACAACCAAGCCAGTGTAAATGTAACCAGTCATGGAAGATGGGGACACTCGTGAAGTACTACTAGCTAAACAATGAACAAGCCAGGATCATATCCAAAAGCAGACAACTAGACATACATCATCAAGGTCCTTCTAACATATCCCATACCCTCTCTCTCATCTACTCATCCCGCGAGTAGTAGTCCTACTCACAGCATAGCAGACCAAGTCGAAGCAAGTACCCCGAGTCCCAGCGTAAGCATATGAGCACCAACAAACGACCCTGCATCTCCTGCGCCGTCCTCATCCTCATCATCACTCCCACCATTTTCACCGATGACCTCGACGGCCTTGAGACAGGTCAACTGCGCGCTCGTGTCGTCGATGCCTCCGCCGCGCGGGAAAACAGTCAGCACGGGAGTGATTTGGAAAAGCTCGTTTGTGGATGTTTCGCGGTGAAGTCAGTTAGCGATCGTACCCCCGCTAGTTGTCAAAGGAAGGAGGGACGGAAGAAAGAAAAGACGTACAACAACAACATCCCCACCAAGATACACCAACCCATCACTGTTCGGAGACACAGGCCAGCAATCTGAGCTCGCGTTCTGCGCCCCAGCGAGATTCATCAGACCCGCCAGGGAGATAGCCGTGAAGTTCTCGAACCCCTTTCCCTCCCCCGCAAAATCGGCGCATTCGTCGATCTTGGAGAGTTCGGTTTCGAGGTCACTGCATTGTCCGCCATCGCTGAAGATCTCCTCGAGGCGGGATCGGAGAGCGTCGATGCATGATTCTTCGAGTACGTCGTTGTATGTACCCACAGCACTCACGATATTCCCGTTGAATTTCTTGCTAGGTAGGTCATTGAAGAATACAGCGCACCCTGAGAGATCCGTCGGATCGATATCCTCGGTTGTCGCAAGGTAATAAGCTGAGCGGCACGCTGTCTGGTTATCAAGCGCATCGACATCGGGGTCAAGGGTTTCGGGATCGGCAATGCGCACGGCCTTAAGGAGGGAGATGCGCTCGAGGACCGAAGGACTATCGGGGATCCGGTACAGGCCACCGTTTGTGTAGGTTGTTGAGCCGAGGTGGCATTTCTATGTATCGTCGGATGGGTAGGAGAGGTCGGCGCAGCCGATGATTTCTGCGGGGAGGTCTTGCGCTTGCGTGAGAGTGAGGGTTGTGGTGACGGAGACGGGGAGAACAATCGATTTATTTAAGAGGACCATTCGGCTGGATTGAAGAGTTTGAGACTGCTGTGCTTGGTTGCTTGGTAGCGTGGTGGGTGACTTGTTGTCGAGTTAGTTGTATACCATCCGAGATGAAAGGGCAGATTTATACCTCCCAACCCTAAATCATCGTCAGGATAAGGCACAGCACAGCTAGTCCCGAGAACCCCAAACTGACATCATCAGGCGACAACAGTATCCCTATCGCATAATGAAAACTGGACAAGCAATGTGAGGCCCGCCACGAACGCCTTCTCCTCAGTCCGCAATTGAGGCCCATATCCGCCCCCTTCTACTCGGAACTCCGATCATCTACAGTCGATCACCCAGAACAAGCAGACCCCTTACATCATTGTCAGGGACCACGAACCAATCGATTGGCCTTGTCTTTGCCAAGCGAGTCAATCCTTGAAGATGAGCCCCGGGTTCTTGGTGCTCCGCCCCGCTAATAGGCTATTTTGAGGCAGACTTCACGTACTTCACCCTGGAGTATGGAATAACAGATGGATATATCTATTGGCCCTGCTCTAAAGAAAAAGCTAAGCACCAGGACCCTTGTCCGGCAAGTTCCTATACTGATTCTCAGGATCATTCATCTCCTCCTCGGCGCTCTGAATCGTCTTGCGCACTCTGCACGGGCTCCCAACAGCAACCGAGAAAGGCGGGATATCCTTGGTGACGACGGATCCCGCTCCAATCGTGCAACCCTCGCCGATCGTCACGCCGGGGAGTATGATGACATTCCCACCAATCCAGCAGTCATCGCCGATGATGACGGGGTGGCCGAACTCGACGAATTTCCGGCGAGACAGGATACTCGTGTCGTGACCTGCTGTGTAGATCGAGACGTTCGGGCCGAATTGCACGCGGTCGCCAATGACGATTAGGCTTGTGTCGAGGGCCGTGAAGCTATATATCTATTAGCGATTGTTCTACCTTTGTTTAATACCTAAACAAAGAAAACCGACTTGAAGTTCACGAAACACTCCTTTCCAATTGAAATGTTACACCCGTAGTCCGGCATGAACGGCGGCTCGATAAAGGTGCCCTCGCCGACTTTCCCGACAAGCTCACGGAGCAGCTCCATGCGCCTATCGGCGATATCTTCGGCGGAGATTTTCTTTGTGTCGAGGTTGTTGTAGTCTGTCGCCAGGCCGCGGCAGCGATGGCGCGCCTCGTTAAGGATCGGGAGGAGGGGGTTGTACCTGGCAGCTAGTTAGCTTCTGGGAATTATCAAAGTGATAAGATCGAGGAGGGAGGTACATCATTCCGGAAATCATCTTCTCGTAGTCCTCGCACATCGGGATGTTCTTGAGGCCACGTGCGATCTCGATGATCTCCGGGCGTTTTGCGGTGGCGGCCATTGTGGTGGGATGCGGGGTAGTGCTAGAGGAGGAGAGTTTGGTGGGAACGTGGGTGAAAAATTCAAAGTCCAGGGCAGGTAAAGTTGTAACTCTAGCAGCGAAAGAACAGCAGCAGCAGCGGTTTAAGTATTCAGAATGCGATCAAAGACCTCCGGTGAGGTAAGGTCAATCGGACTGTCTTGTCCCGCAGTGAGTTGTGGATCAAAGGTCCAGTGCTCCAGGCGTGGGGAAGACAGCGCTAGCCTTGATAGGCTGGAGCACACTTTCACCTATGGCATTTAACCAATGATATCAAGCACATGTTGGAGTTGGTCACGGTGGTCCACTGCCCAGGTGGTGCGCAGGACTTCCTTTTCAAGTAAATCAGCCAGCCTGGCAGAGGGGCAAGGCTGAGTACGGAACTCAGTACTAGTACTGCCACCAATCAGCACTTTTGCGAATTATCGGCAAGAATGATAAGAGCACGCTCATTATCGCCTAGCCTGAGGCAGATAGAAACGCCGAGATCATCATACTCAACGCCAGGTCCGCCTTGGTCAATGAAATAGCGCGTTCGGGTTTTTGCTAATGCGACGGCAGGGATAATCCCGGTTGAGTCAATCGAAGATGACAGGTCGAGACGAGGCCAATCACGATACAACACATATCAGGCGGGGTAGAAGATTCTCAGCCTCAAGTGGACCTGGCTCTCCGTCACGAAGCACGATCAGAGCGCGAACATCTCTCGACTCTGTTGGAATTTGCGCACTAGTAGTGCTACTACGGTCAGCTCCGACTCAGAGTCTTGCGCAAAAGGCAGAAACCATCCAATTGGTAGAGTACTCTATGTCCTTGGAGAATGCCCTCAGTTTATACATACAGTGGTTTGTATAAGACCGTAATCCAGCCGTCCAGAACGCTAAAAAAAAAAACTAACCAAGTAGGTAAACCACCACGCAAAACAGAAACCCAATCTACCAATCAACCATAACGCTCCTCATTTTCCACGGCCCATCTACTCCCTGCGGCTTCATATACAGGACGACCAGCACGGGATTCGTCTTGAAATCCTTCGGCTGCACCTCCTCATAAACCCTCGCCAAAGTCCCAATATCCGCCGCGCAACTCGGTGGCACCAGACACTGGCTCTCCTCAACCTCACAGACGAGCCTTGCAACAGCCGAGTGAAGCCTTGCATCCCACATCCCCTCTGTTTTCGAGTAGTGCACTAGAATATTAATTGCGCGGCGCCGGATGAATGGGTCCCGGCATCTACACGCGGCGTAGTAGAGTGGTCCGATAATTTCGCCTTCTAGCGAGAACGCTGCGTCGCGAGACCGTTTGTCTGATGGGGCCGTCGACGAGGTTGATGACGTGATGCGGACGAGTTCCTCAGCGTGGGAGAGAACGGCTTCGTAGTCTGAGATGAAGTTGTCGTGGGCGTCTTCGGAACGGCAAAGGACAATGGACGTCCAGATGAGGGAGATGTGGTAGTAGATTTTCAGGAGGAGGGAGGCGCATATCTCCGACGGATTGAAACTGCTGCCGTGCTTCTGGAGGAACTTGTCGAACGACCAGCGCCAGGATGTATGGTCAAGCCGGACAATTTCCTGCTCTTCCTCGAGCACAGCTAGCTCCGCGGGATCGCGGGCTTCACGCATGATGCCAATGGAGCGGATGAAGAGGAGGCCCTTGGTCATTATCTGGTCGAGGTGGCTGCGGGCTTGGGTGAGGGTCGTGAAGGGAGTCCCTGGGCGAATGAAGTCGACAGGGGAGTATTTCAGGGGGGCTAGGAGGCGGCCCATGAAAGATGCTTGGAGGTTTAGGCGGGTGAAGAGGCTGCGGAGTTCTGTATACAGCTCAGTTTGGCGGGCATTCATTGAGGTGAATTCTTCGTGGCGCTGGATGATGCGAAGGCCACCTTCGATGTGGTCGAGGGCTGCTTTCCGGTTTCCTTGCAGTATTTCGAGGCAGACAAAGAGGCAGCAGGTCGTTAACGTCAGCTCGAGGCTTGCAGTTGCAGAGGCGAGCGATTTCGTCAGGCCCTGGATGGACTTGTTGTACTCTTCAATCACGAACCAGTCTGTGGGCGCCGAGTTCTCATTTGATGTGAGCAGCTTCGCATTCTGGATTCTCGAATGAATCGCGCCTATGGCAGTTATCGCATGTCGAATACTCGGCTCATGCTCGCCCAGTTGCGGAATGAGATACGACCACAGTTTCGAGTCGTAGAACCCCGAAAAAGCCGACGAGGTCTGCGCGTAGAAGAAATCGACATATCGTCGCTCGGTGCGTGTCTCCTGTCGCAGAAGAAGCCGATGGTCGGCACCGACATTGTCTCGATCAAGCGGACGGTGTCGCTCGGCGATGCGCTGGCGGAGCTGAGTCTGCGAGGCATTATCGTAGCCATCGCATTTGCGACCAGATCGCTGACACTGCAAACATTCAGGCTTCGCCTCATCGCATTTGACGTGCCGGAGTCTAGACAGTCGGTGTCAGCACTTTATTCAGCTTATTGGAGTGGATACGCACTTGCAGGTAATGCAGCCATTTCGCGACCTCGGCCGCGTAACCCGTCTGTTCGCCATACTGGTATCTTCACTCTCGCAGGTGAACAATCTGGGGAAGATAAATCGAAAGAAAACGATCAATAGTTGAAGATGATGAAGTCCAAGCTTTCAGGGTGACAAACTACGCAAGAAGCTGACTCCAGGCAAACCCGTTTAGCGTTGTGGTTTTTGGACCCCAACTCCGCTTGAGAGCGCGGCGTCGTGGCTTAGCAAGCCCTGCACTCCCAAGCCTCTGTCTCATTGAGCGATTGTCCTTTGTCATTCCGTATCTGGCGACGAATTGGGGGCCTAACGACGAGTCTAAATCAAGCTTGAACGCGTGTCGTCCAAGACTGCGTCGATCGACAGCTTCAAGGGTTTTAGGCCTGAATGATTCTCTTGGACTCGGGGGAATAGATTGACCAGTCAACGGTAATAGAAGTATCTTATAAGTCAACTGAGGTATATCCTTTGGCTGGAAATCGCTAACAAAATGTTGCAACGCCGTTTCCCATTTGTCCAGAAAATCGCCCGCAATGTCGCCCCAATCTCACGCGTTCAGCTCTGCAACAGGTCGCTGTGAATCCAACTCTGACATGCGTTCTGTCTTTCCATCCGGTGCATAGACGCCGTGTCGTAAATTGCGGGCGGCTTCGCCTCGCCTGGGGAAGAACCCGGGGAAGGTGTGACTGCAACGACTGGTGCCTGTTTTCTTCGTCTTCGCTCCCAAAGCGCCCAGCCAACTGTTGCCAATGCGATTACTCCTAGCGGTAATCCGATTCCGACTCCGACGGTAGTTTCGCGCAACTTGACATGTTGATGCAGGGTGAGCAGGTCGGGCAGTTTGAGATCGAGTTCGAGTCTGTTGGCGAGTCCGAGGTTAGGTTGGGCGAAGTGACATTCTTGAGCAGAGCGTAGCCGGCCAAAACTTCGCCGGTAGAAACGGTAAAGTCGTCGCCATCTCGACAGGCCAGTTCTGCGCCGTCTGCTGTGGCGGTTCCGCAGCAGTACCTCTGGATACGGATTCCGGAAGCTAAAGTTGACGATTGAGCACTTTTCATCTGCGTTGACGACAACTAGTAATTGTGAGACGTGTCGTCTAAATACCAATGTCTTGACGTTGAGGACTAACCGCAGGATTCTGGACACCCTTGATCCCATCTCTGGTTCGTGCAACTACCCCGTGATAGTGTGTACGGTTGCTGACCAGCACCCAGACAGAGCCCATTGGACAAACAAACATCTGCATAGTGACAGCAAGAGATATAACCTTCCCCAGAGCAGGGGACGGTTGTCTCCGCAACAACCCCTGGGGGAAGTAACACTTCCGCGAGGAGTTAGTCATGTCGATGACCTGACTGCCCTGGAACCCTGGATCGACGGGGGAGAAGAGGATTTTATGCGCATCTTTCGACTAAGTACAGGGATCGTCTCCTGATTGAGATGCGCGGTTCGAGGCCCTGGCTCCGTCGAGAGATTGGATGACAGCATTGCGCGAAGGTACGTAGGACCGGCGAAGGCAGAGAGTGACCATGTTTTGTTTGCGCTAGGCAGCAGGATGAAGTCCAGGTTATTGCACGTCGCATCAATACAGACAACAGATCCGTCGCACCACTCGACGCGAACATAGGCGTCACCCGCAGATTCGAAGATGGCCTGATACTGCATGATCCGAATCGAGACCTCTTCACAGCAGATGTTCTTTCGGAGTCCGCGGCCGGTCTCCCATGGCCATACGACGGCACCGAACCAACCCTACCCGAGTCCGTCCCTAAAGCAGACGAAAGCTTGAACATCTTTCTCATCTTCCAGACCACCCCAGATGAGCGTCAAACAATACAATCCGCAATCCAGCAAGCTGTAGACCAGGCCCAAGCGTCTCAAATCCATTGCGAAACGAAACCAACTGTCCATCTCATACAATGGGAGCACAATTGCTCCCCATCCCGTCACGATATCATCCGCATGTGGGCAACGTACACGCAACATTTCAACCGCACGGACAGCATGCACTTTCTCGAGTTCCTATCGGAGACGGATGTCTCAAAAGCGCAGTTTATAACAATCTACGACAACGAGTCCTACCCACTCATAATAGCCCGAAACAGCCTAGATGCCGTAGTAGAAGAAGCCCTTGGCTCCAGCACACGACTCTCGCACGTCGACTCTATGCATTTCTCCCAGTTATCAGATATTGAGCTCCTTCATCCCCCGGACACATCATTCGCGCCAAATCCCTTCCCCTGGAAGTCCCCAGACCGCCGCGCGATTGTTATCCCAATCTTCTACCTAACACACGAACCTAACCATAGACCAGAAACGCAACCTCAAATCAGAGATCCAAACCATCACCTACGCCGACTTAGACGGCGAGCTTAAAGTCTGCTGCTTCGTTCCATGGACACCTACGCCCTACTTCCCAGCGCTGAATGCGCCCAACGACAACGGGTTAGTCGCACGCATCTGGTCCATCCTCTTCGAGATGCAGAATTACAAACTCGCAGACCCAGAATTCTACATTGAGCCACCCTACTTCTTCATCGATGCGCAGTCAGAATTCGACCAGACCGTTATCGCCATGTACACAGACAGGTACTCCGACCTCTCAGCGCTCGTAAACGAGACGGAGACTGAGTCTGCGCACGATATCCTTTCGGATATCACGGATCCTCCGATAAGTGGATTCATGTATGGACGGACTCGGGGTCAATACGCGCACAACTTGTCTGCGAATCTGAGTATCGCGAATATGGGCTTTGAGGAGTTTTTCGAGGGCAGGGAGGAAGAGATTGTCAGAGTGAGTGGCCCGAGGTTGTCCGGACTAATGGCGGGGGAGGAATAGGCCCAGGGTCTCTACTCAGAATTGAAGAGAGGGGAGTGAGAAATAAGGTAGGTAGGATCTCTTGTCTGGATCTGATACCCTACAGTGAGATGCTGGGTGCTGAATTTGGATCATGGCAGTGACCATGTTCACAATCCTAGACTGTGTAACGTACATATAAGTATCTGGTCTCAAATTGGAATGATGTCTGTTTTAAAACCCTGCGCCTGCCCCTGGGATGGCAGAAGTAACGCACTACCTAAATTTCAAGGCTGGTACGGCTGTTGCATGGTTACTAGCGGGCAATCTATTACGTTGATATCTCAGCTCAGTGATAGTCAGTACAGCTGCAGGGAGCCGAGCCCCATGCCGTCTGCAGTCATCTTCCCTCACCTATACCTCACCTGGGTAGCTGGTGCATTATGCAGGTGCCTACCCGACGCCTGGCGGACTACATTCTGAGGCTGGAGTTTATTTATTTGTCCAAGTCAGCCTATACCCCCGATTCGCAAAACCAAACTGAGGCTTAGATAACATTAGTCTTACCAGTCCTATTGGTCTCAGCGTAATGGATAAAGATATGCCCTAGGCAGCTGCCATGTCAAAGTAGCACGGGTAAATACCGAATTGGATATATGGATAGATATCTTGACTCTTCTTCAACATTGCTGCCGGGATAGCCGCTTCCCAGACATCCAAAGCATTACATCGCCATGGATAAAGAACTAATGAACTAACTACCCCACATAATACCCTTCTAATGACCCTATTAGCCAGTGCAGGATCTTACGGCCACTGCCGCCGAGGTCAGAATCTCAATTCTGGGCTCGCCGCAACTAAAGGCTGGCGCGGACGGGAGAAAAGCTCAAGGAGCGCCAAGTAGGTCACTATTCTTCGACATAAGAAAAAGCAGACTGGGACCGGATTCCAAGGGGAATATACTATCAAAGTGATCTCCAGCGGTAAACTCTCCACCATTCTAGCCCTAACCCGTTTCTCAGCCTGTCCGGATTATGCTTCGCGAGACAGAAATCAAACAGGCTTGTGGAGTGAGTGATGGGCAAAAGGCTCCAAATCACTCCAAACAAAGCTAAAGTTTCAGCGCACGGTGCGACCCTCCTTCACCACTTCCCCGCTTGATTCGCCATGACCCCAAATGCCTGCAGGTCAGCCGCACTCAGCCTCAAGGCGCCAGTGGTGCAATTGTTGCCTAGCACTGCTGCGCTGCCCCGCTATATATCAACGGCTGCTCTTCCTGCTATGACATTTTCTCTTTCTTTCTCTGATCACTATCTCTGCCCCGTGCTAGCATGCCGATTCTGACTCCCCAGGACAGCTTCGATATAGTCCCCGACGAGTTCATCATGGCGGCCACGGACGCCGCTCCTGTCCAAAACGCTGCGAACCCTGCGCAGTTGCAGACAATGTGCACATGCACGCAAAACTCTCCACCAAAGCCCGTCGCGAATATCTTCTCCGAAGAAGATGAGGTCCAGGCCCCCCGCGGCCGCCGTCGCCGCATCCCCTACCGCAACCGTAGCCGCGACTTCTCCCCACGCTTCTCCCCGCGCTCACCAGCCTACTCGCCCGCGCCACCCAGAGACGAGGAAACCATCGAGGTCGTCTCCTCACACACCGAGCTATTCACACCCACCCCGAATCTCTCGGAAGCCCAAGCTCAAGCTCAAGCTGGAGCTACACCCGCAACCGCACCCCTCGACCGCATCGTCCTCCTAACCCCCTTCACCCGCCCAGCCTACATCACAACACACCCAGCGTCCCACTACGACTTCACCCGCTGGCTCCCGCTCCTCGCTCTCGGGGTTCCAGAGACATGGTACATGTTCTCGAACACGGACACGCTCATCTCCACATCCCTAAATCAGCCGCACCTCGCACCCCCCAATACATCTCTGAAACCCCTCCAGGACCCGCGCCCCGTCGGCCTGCGTCTCCCGCGCATCACAGCGAATGACCCGCTCCACCCGTCGCACTCTGCCTCCTCCCTAACACCCATCAAAACCGAATCGGGAACCCTCCCACCGCCAGACCTAATCTACCTCTCCATCCAAAGCAGCATAACGGGCCACACAACGAACCGCTCAGGCCGATGGATCTCGCCAGACCGCGGGATGATGCCTGACCTTGCGGGAAACGGAACGGGGACGACGGGCGCGAGTATTTATCGGGTTGTGCGGTGCGGGAGCCGCGAGGAGGCGGCGGCGCAGGCGTTTTATGCTGCTGGTGGGAATCGCTGGTCGACGCTTTTCACGTGTGTGGTTGTGGGCGGGAAGAGGGTTCTCAGTCAGCGCCTGCTTGTTGCTGATGGGGAGGGGTATGAGAGGGTAAGTTCGTTGGGAGAGTTGGTTGAGGGGACTGAAGGGGAAAATGGGAAGATTAAGATCTTTTATTAACTGACACCTGCTGTTTTGATGTTATGGAAGATGTTGTTCGGTGAGGGTATAAATTGTGCCCGTGGCGTTGGCTTTATGAATTGATGACCTTCACTTACATACGGTAGCAGTACTATCAAAAATGGAGTGCAAACCATAATCTCGTCAAATTCAATGCCTCCACCGCTTGTAAGTAGACCCAATGTCTCCCCAGCGGATATTAGCAAAGGTAATCCTCGTATCTGGGGTATTCGCCTCGATGAAACTCGGGGCCCCCTCCGTCGCATTGCACGGCCCCGAATTTCCACCATCAAGCCACTGCATATAACCCCCCGCATCATTCCAAATACTCATGGCAAGGACCATGCCCCGCCCAAGCGCCCTCCCCATCCCATCGAGCCCATCAAACCCCTCAAACCACGACGCCGTATTCTCACACAGCGCGTCCGTCATCGAGTCCCGGCCTCCCTGCACAACCGCATTCCCAATAACCTTCCCATCCTGGATATACAGCCGCCGAATCTCAACAAGCGTCCCCTCCGTCGTATTATCACTTGTGACAAACTGCGTCACAACCGTAAAGGGCCGCTTGGAATCAACATCGAACCCACGGCCGCGGCCATAGTACTCCTGATCCCCCAGCGCATACGGGTTAAACCCGCACCCCCACTTGTCGCAAATACTATCGTTCTCGCCCGTCGGGCCGTTGCACTCTTCGTCCGAGGTACACTCGTACAACCCGCCGCCAGGGTAGTGGCACGCGTGCGGGGTGAACCCCGTCGCGCGCGAGTTGCCCTCCCAGATGTCCATCTCGTTGCAGCACGCGCCGTTGGAGTCGATGTTTGCTTCGCCGTTGATCCAGGGGTGCACGTAGCACTGCGCGTCGCAGTAGCCTGTCCCGTAGGCGGCGCCTGCCGGGTTAAGCTTGCGGCTGCGTCCGCCGGAGGGTTCCATTTCCGACAGGTACAGGGCGCCGTTCATGCCGCAGGGGAGCAGGGAGACGTCGACGTCAAAGGTGAATTCCTGGTTGAGGAGGTGCAGGAATTCGTAGTTCTTTTCCTTTCTCTTCTTGGGGTTGCTGCCTTCTTCGTCGACGAGGTAGACGCGAGGAGAGACGGAGGTTAGGTTGCCTGTCTTCGCGTCGCGGAGGTACTGTCGGAGTGTCAGGCGCGAGCCCTGTGTTGTGACGCCGAACGCGGCATAGTCGGTGATCCCGTCGATGACGCAGTTGGACGCGCAGGTTTCCTTGTCCGGGCAGAGGTCTGGGTCGAGGGTTTCGCCGACAGCGCAGGGAGTGTCGGTGCCGATTTGATGGATTTGGTGCGTGGCTGCGTCGAGGACGACCGATGTCTTTTGCTTTGTGCAGCCGTGAGCCGTTGTGCACTTCCAGGTGTCGAGGTGGGGACGCCGCTCGGGGGTGCCGATTTGTTGAGCGGTTATGAGGGGGAGGGCCGCGAGGGCTATGACTGCGGTTGCAAGTGTTCGAGCCATTGTGATATGGGATGGTTGTCTGAGGCCATTGTTGGAGGATCCTCGTACAGCATTTATACTGGAATTGGGATGAAGGCCATACTACCAGACGGATTGATCTTCTTTTGGTCGGTCCGCCGGGCCGTATCGACTCATTTCGGCGCCTCGCTGCCCGTGTCGATTTCATCTTCATGAGCGACGAGATTGGGATCTACAGGGAAGTAAGTATGCGGGGAAGCGGAGTGTGGGGTTGTCTCCTGTGAAGAATGGGCGGATACAGGGTATGAGCGAGTGAGAATTGACCAGTGTGCCAAGTGGTATTAGTTAGGAGAATCTCTGATATTAGCTCCGTGTCTGATGCGGAAACCTGTGGATCACGGTGGTACTGAAGGCTGCGTTGAAATTGACCGCGGAGCCAAGACGGCGGGCGGTAGAGCGATACCTGCCCAGTGCCGTGTCAAATTTCCGCTGAGATGCTCCGGAGGAGGTTTGTATGCTAGTCAAGTCACAAAGACCGTGAGGAGCGTCGTTTGCTGCTTCAATGACTCCGGAGAAGCGTTCGAGTTAATGAGCCCATGCTAAATGGCGTTGTATACATGAAACAAGCGGCTAAATCAAGCGCTCCGGCTAAACATCAAAGACCTCGCGGACAAGTGACTTTTTGTTAACTGCAAAATGCCAGGTTAGCGGCCTTGCCCCGCGTTTTCAGGAGGAGCTGCTCACCCTTGCCCATTGCATTCCGTGGAAGCTCGTTGGGAAGAACCTTCATCACCTGCGGAATCTTGTACTCGGCGAGTTTCTTCCTCAGCGCCTCTCGCATATCCCGCATGTTCCACGGTTTGTTCTTGCGGCCGGTTTTCGCCACGACATCGGTATTCAATACCACTATAGCTGTAACTTTCTGGCCCAATGATCTCGAGTGAAGGCCGACGACGGCGGCTTCCTTGATTTGAGGACTGGTCCGGTTAGTTTTCGCTCTTAACAGGGTGGGTAAACGTACAGTGATAATAGCTCTCGTTCAACTTCGAGCGCGCTGACCTTCTCGCCGCCGACCTTGATGATATCCACGCTCTGCCGGCCCTGGATAAAGTACATCGGTCCCTTTGCCCATTCGCCGCTGGTTCCTTTGCCAGAGGTGTTGACGACTTCCCTCGTAGCCACGTCGCCGGTCTTGAACCATTGTCCATTCCCATCGTCACCGTCGACAAAGGACTCTTGCGTAGCGACCTCATTGTTCCAATACTTGCTGAAAATCGTAGGTCCGCGCAGCTGAATCTCTCCAACGCGCGGGCGCCCGATGGCATCGAGCTCCTCACCTTCCTTGATAACCTCGTTTGTGTCGGTGTCGACTAATCGCACCTCGACGGACGGCAAAGGCCAGCCGACGCTGCCGTCGACGCGATCCGCAAAGTCCAGCCCGCAGCTCAAAGCCATTCCAACCTCCGTCATTCCATACCGCTCAAGCAGGACATTTCCATGGCTAAGTTCCTGCCATTCCTGCTTCGTTGGCGTCGGCAGCGCCGCGGAGCCAGAGACATTCAGACGTAGGTGCTCCGGGGAGGCAGCTGTCCTGGCCGCATCCTGGAGCTCTTTGTCAAGACTCGAAAAATTGTCTAGTAGTCGATTATACATCGTAGGAACAGCATTGAGGAAGGTGATCTTCTCATCCGTCTGGCCTCCCGGTAGAAATGGCTCGGCCAGCCGTGTCCACACTTTGCCTGGGACAAACGGCGACATAAACTCGATGGACGAGCCAGCAAAAAGCGGCGTGATGAGAGCATTCACAATACCATGGATATGGTGTAGCGGGAGGAGATGCAAGAGCCGGTCCCCTGGCGTATACTTCCATGCCTGTATCAAGGATGCCGCCTGCGCTCGCAGCGCAGACTGCGGGATCAAAACGCCTTTCTAATCCGCTTTAGCCTTCAGCCGTCACTTCTGAGTTCAGGTACGTACCGGTCGGTTCGTAGTCCCAGACGTGTAAAGCATCAGCCCGCCGTGTCCGCCATCCAGCCCATTCAGCTCTACAGACTCGACGTGCGGAGCACCCTTATGAATCTTCGCCCACATATCAAAGGCCACCGATTGTCCCAGGCCCGATCTCAGGAGCGCTTCCACCTTCTCCAGCCACTGCGGGTTTGATATCAGCACGCTAGACTGCGAGTCATCCATGATATACTTCAACTCGCTGACCGGGAACGACGTTGCAAGCGGAACGGCGATCGCATCGCTAGCAAGAATCGATAGAAGCATCACTTCATCTCATTAGCTGCGAACTAAATCCACATATTGAAACACAGGACAAGAAAAGTACCTGTGTAATCATAGCTATTCAGCGCGATAAACGCGACCCGTTTGCCCTGTAACCCATCGTGTCGTTCCCCAGCCAGTCGCGCTAATCTATCTTGCGCTAGAAGCACATCTGCCACCAGGTTTCCGTATGTAAATCGTTTGGGCTCAGCGTATCTATTGACAACGGCGAGACTCGCAGGGTCGTGGTTTGTCAATGCGTGGAAGAGAGGGAGATTTGGGAGTGTTGCGAGGGAGCGACGCGGAAAAATGCGATTGCGACATGTTTTACAGGCGTATAAAGACTGAGATTGAGGGTTGTCGAGGTACGCTCGCCGTACAGCGGAGAATACCGTGCGTTGAGACATTTGTTGATTGTGAGGAGAAGAGAATCACTGTCATGGAGATCGTGGTGCGGCGCGGAGGTTTGCGGTCTCGGTGGGCGCGTTAGCAGGTTTCGCAATGCGGGTTATACGTATGTGAGCGACCGGTTCATATCAAGAAGCATAATGATATCAGAAAAAAAAGAGAGAAAAGAATTGAGTGGATAGTAGATTCCCCGAACATCAAACGTTCCCAAGAGAAGAGCTCGCAATAGAACCTCCGAGGTCCGCAAAAAAACGGACCATACCCAAAACAGCAACCCCAGCTCTCCAATCCGATCCCGATAAAATCGAATGACATGCCCCATCGCCAGTTCTCCAGCCCAGCAACTGCCTGATTCTCCTCTTCTTCGGCCTCGTTCTTACTCGCGCAAGCTCTTATTACACACAATATAAATGCTCCGCCCCATCACCGTCGGCCAGGTCATTCCCCGCCGCCTCCTCTCGACAACCGCATCCAGAATGGCCTCCGCATCAAGTACCCCGATGGAAGATCTCATGCGGGAAAAGGTAAACCTCTCTACACCTTCATTAAACCTTGAGCACCCTTCTTCAGCTCCCATATTTCGACGTCGCTGACTAATTATCTCGCCGCAGATAACAAACGCATTCAATCCCTCCACCCTGATTATCCGCAACGACTCGCATCTTCACTCGCACCATGCGCCGATGCGTGGATCAACGTCGAAGGAAACACATTTCCAGTGCGTGTGCCCTTTCCAAAATCGATATTAAGATATAGAAGTGGGCCGTTTGCTGATACGTGGTGTAGTGTGACGATTACGTCGCCGTCCTTCCAGTCGAAGATGCAGCCTGCGAGGCATCGAATGGTATATGCTTTGTTGAAGGAAGAGATGAGCCAGGAGGGTGGAATCCATGCGCTGCAGCTGAAGACGAAGACACCGGAGGAGGAGCAGAGGGAAAAGGAGAGGCAGACACAAGCTTGATTGTCCTTGCCGGCGGCAAACCGACTCCCGAGCAAACATAGATTCAATTTACGATATACCCGGTTGCGAAGACATTAAATTAGAGGGATCGATTATTACAAGGTTTCTAGAGCCAAGGAAAGACCAAGCGACAGACTCTAATATATACACAGCGACATCATGCGCAACCTCCCCGCGAGCAGCGACGGGGCCATTAAGCGGCATGCGAGGGATTGCATAGTGTACATGATCATCAGTGAGCAGTTGGACAGGGACAGAAGGCATCTAAAAGATGAGTGAAAGATGCATGCTTTTCAAACATAAAGAAGAAGACGACGTGGTATAGCCAGGGAATACAAAGGGAAGCAACAGGGCGAGGCAAAAAGGCCGAGACTCGGCTTACCATGCGCGTAATGATTACCGCAGTATCAGTACTCGAACGATAGTAACCGGCGCAACCAAGAGCAAATTCGTTTCGGAAAAATGCTAAGCAAACTAGTGAAACAATGGAACAAAGAGATATTAACGGGTAATAGCCCAGTCGTAACCGCGAGAAGACGCGAGTTGGGTCGGGTCCAACACGGCATCTACTTCGCCGTGACACCGACAGCAACACCCACGATGATGGCAATGATGATGACTGGTGCAATGTCAGCTCTTGGATTGTGGGTATTTGGCTGTTTTTCATGGATAAACTTACTAACGATGATCAGGGCGTACCACTTCCACCTCCGTGCCTTGCGCGCACTGGAAATAGCTCCTGTAAGCTGGGTGTTTGCGTTTTCAAGATCTTGGTGTACATTTCCTGCATCACGGACGATGTTCTCCACGGCAGGTTCTTGCTGCTGGATAGCTTCCTGCACTTCCAAAACTAGCTCTAGCACCTTCTTCAGCTCCTGTTCAAGCCTGCGAATCATAGCCGAACGCTCTTGAACGGCACTTCGTGTCTCATTTGCTCCCTTAACACGAGCACCGGTGACCTTGAAATCGGGTTAGTACAGCTTCAGGAGAATTCCCAAGTCAATCCTCACCTGGAAACTCTGTTCCGTGCCCGCCAGAACATTCTCAACGCCCTGCTCAACCTCCTCGGGAGTTGCCTCTGGGTTGGCGATCTGGTATCGCCGGCGCACCTGTTCCGTCAAGCGCTTCTTGAAATCCGATTGGGATTTGTGATAGTTTTCGATCTCAGTGCGCAGGTTGCGGCCGGTGACATCGAGCTGGGTCTGAACGTGGGTGGCATTCGATCCCGGGGTAGCCTTGATCCTCTTCAAGTCATCCTTGAGTTTAGTGAAAGCTCTTGTGATCTCATCCTCCACGTATTCGAGCTGCTGGCGAATGGTCTGGTCATCCCTTTCCGTGTTCGAGTCCAAGTAAGCGAGCTGGATCGCGGCAAGTTGGCCTTCCCTCTTGCCCTTGAGCTCTCGGATACCTTCATTGATGTCTCTGCAGCGGTTGAGAAGGCTAGTAGGGTCTTCGCTCAGTTCTGGATGTTCATTTCCGTTAGCGAATGCCATTTGACGTTTCCCACTCGGTCGTGCACGAACCGTAGCTGTTTGGTTCCGCATTGGCATACGGGTTCTGGTTGTAGCCTGCGCCATATGCAGGGCGATCGTTATAACTCGGTTGCTGGTTGTACTTTGTCGTGTATTAGTCAACGCGTGCTGGAGAACAGGGCGCCTAGCTTCCAAATAAGGGGAAGCCAGACGGTCGAGGGTTCAAGGGCCAATTAGGCACACTTACACTCATCGTGACGATACAGCGGAACTGTACAAACTAAATATGAGCGACTGGAGCCGCAAGACTGTCCTGTGCTGACTGGAAGAACGGGGTGGAGGGCGTCGGTCGTTGCACTGGCCGGAATCGCGGGAAAGAGGGACAGTCAGTCGGGGATAAAGCGCGAAACAGCGACCGGAGGATGGAATGCCACGGGGAGACGTAATCAGCGGATAGCAGAAAAAGCGAGGATATCGAAGCACTGGAATTAAGGACAGAGATCAATTGTGAAACGACAGCCGAGATGACAAAAGGATGAGAAATCGAGGGAGAAGAAATTCGAGAAAATCAGCAGCTTGGGCTGATGATGACGGCTGAGACAAGAGGCTGAGCAACAAGCGCATCCACTGGCGGCAAAATGTCGCGGGTTGACGGTTTAGCGCTGCCTGGGGGTGTTGGCACACTGTTTGCGAGCCAATTGAAGTTGCAATTCTAGCTGCGAAGCTGCTTGGTTTTCTAATGAAGGGTCTTCTCGTCTTCGTCCCTGATTTTTCTCTCTTTCGTGCTCTGCGCCAGGGGAAATTGCGTTGCTCGAGTTAGGGGCTTTGCGGAGCACAGACCAAGGCGGTGATCGTCCAGACCCCTTTTCCTGCACTGCTGAAACACACCAGAACGTTCAATTTATCAAACAAGCACGACATTGCTATCAAGACTATCGATTTTCGGCATACTCTATCTATATCTCTGCCAATGCAACCGTAATAAGCTTTCTTGCCTCGGTGCACAGTACTATTTCGGTGCCTGAGGAAGGCAGTGATCTTTCTCCCATTGGCTTTGTCGTAAGCACTCTGCCTGGACAAGGCATCTGCATTTCCCCGAACTATGACAGTCGGACGTTCAAGGCAGAGCTTTCAAAAGGGCTTCCTCAGTGCAGTTGCTGTTCGCGAGGAGCTGCGAATTTTGCCCAGCCAGGTTCGCGGATGCAGTCGCTCTCGAAGTCGGGATCGCTCTGGTGGTATCGCCTCTTCCCATGAAGCAAGCACTTTGGCAGAAGCTTCAGTTGCCTCGTGATTCAAGCCGCACACTTCTTTGCGAAGTTGAAGCGTTCGAGCCATAAGCTCCTGAGCATCCTCAAGTCGCCCCAGGCCGTGCCATGTCAGAGCGAGTCTATGCATGTTCTCGAGGACTTCAGGGTTTCCTAATCCTCGTCCTTGTTCCTTTACCTCAATCTTCAGCGCTTGCTCCTTTAGCCTCTTTGACTCTTCCCCTCGCCCTTGTGCAGTCTGTATTTCTTGTAGACTATCCATGCTTGCCAGGGTTTTGGAGTGTCTCAGTCCTAGTACATCCATTTGACCCTGGAATACTTGCAATTCGACTTTCTCTGCTTCCGGCCATCGTTCTTGGAGCCGGTACGCCAACGCCAGACTGGACATGAGTGCCAGGGTCAAGGGATGCCGTGGCCCGTGTTTTGTCCTTGCCGTGTCGATGGCGGGCGCTGCGGCATCCTGTGCCGCCTTCCACTTTTTCTGGCGTATATATATCCTCACGAGAGGATCAACGGTTCTCAGGGTGTGCGGATGATCTGGCCCCAAAAATTCCTCAGCTTTGGCGAATGCCTGTACTGCAAACTCCTCCGCTTGCTCCCACTCCCTCTGGATTTCGTAACTCGCAGCCAAAACGCTTGAACTCGTTACCAGATGGTGACCAAGTTTTGAATTCTTCCGGGTCTCATCAAGAACTTTGTTCGCTAACACCCGAGCTTCCACATGACGGCCTTGGCACAGATAAGTTGTCGCAAGCTGATTCATGATGAAAAGAGTATCCTCATGATCGGGCCCAAGCATATATTGTGCAGCTCTGAGAGCCTGGAACTGTGCTTCCTCCGCTTTTTTCAAATCCCCAAGGGCAGAGAATGTCGCGGCGAGATGCTTCATGCCGCTTAGTGCTGTATCGCCTCTCGCTGAAAGGCCCTGCTTTTGCATATCCAATAGCTGTTGGTACAACGGCATCGCTTTGTCCCACTTTTCTTGCTTTTTGTAAAGACCTGCGAGCTGGTTCATGCTGTCTAGTGTGTCTGCATGTTCAGTCCCCAGGAATTCTTTGCGTTTCTCCAAAACATACAACCCCAGCTGTTCAGCTTTGTCAAACTGGGCCTGGTCGATGTATGTGTTTACTACTGTGGCTTTCATGGTCAGGACCAAAGAGTCGCCATCCTCACATACCGCTTCAAGGAAGCTCAAGACCTGTCTGAGCACTGTCCGCGCCTCTTGGTGTCTTCCTTCGTAGTTAAGAAAGACAGCAGTCAATTGATGTAAATCGCGAGGTCTGACATCGAAGTCAGGCTGTATGTCATTCAATAGAGCGAATGAGTGTGGTAGTAACTTTCTGACCAGTGGTTTGTTTCCGTCGGTAGCATCGAACATGGTTGTGTCGATCAGATCTACTGCTTGCTGGCGATACCCCGTCAAGGTGCCGTTCTTCCTCATCCAGTTTCGTGTGGCAAGATGAACAAGCCGATGGAGCGTTATTAGGCCTTCACGAGGTTCCATGGTAATGAAAGAGAAACCGCTCAGTAGCGCGAGAGCCTCCAGCTTCTCTTTGTCGGACTCAAGCGATGGGAGGAAATCGCGCGGAATCCGACATGGATCAACGCATGCCATCAATGAGAGAAACTGAGCTGCGGAGGAGTTGGATTTTCGAATCTGCTCGAAAGACACAAGCCAGGTGCTGGCCACAGGATTCGGAGCATCCACGTACCGCGTCTCGTCTCTGAAGTTTTCGCTTAAGAGCTTGACGACTTCTTGCTCCTGGTTGTCGAGGAGGCGAAGATAATCTGACAGCGTCACATCGGGCCCCGTCTGACTGATATAGGCGGCGGCTTGGGTAATTGCCAGGGGTAGGTAGGTCAATCGCCGCAGAAGGGCAGTAGCCGCCTCCGTCTCGTCGACCAGTTCCTTGTTGAACAATCTGGTCTTCAGCATCTCTATCGCCGTTTCTTCACTAGGTTGTTCGATCCTCTTCAGCGCTCCAGATCCACTAGTTCCGGCCACCTTGGCAGCCACTTGCCAGGTGCGGGTGGTGACAAGTGTTCGGCCCTCATCACTTTGCGGTAAGAACTTCTCAAGAAAGACCCAGACACTCTCATCATCGACATTGTCGAGAATCAACAGCCACTTGGTAAGGTGTTGACTGAGATGAACCTGGACTGTCTCCTTTGCCTCCGCAGGGTCCGCCTTTCGCAAATCCAATGTTTGAACGATGTCCACAAAGCCTTGCTCGATGGTTTCGAAGCTGGTGCATGGGATCCAGAAGACCAGGCGTTTAGCGTCTGTCTTGCTCAGCCGGTGGGCGAGCTCCAGGGCGATTTGCGATTTTCCGATCCCTCCCAAGCCAGTCACCGCGAGCTTTCTGGGACCGTCGGGTGTAGATATCATTTCCTCCAACTCTTTTAGTTCGTCCTGGCGACCAGTAAAATAAGTATTTCGCGCGAAGGGAATCATGATGCGATTTTCGATGCCTACAGGGATGGTGAGAAGATTAAGATGAAATTCAGTCTCTGAGGGTCTGGTGAAAGAACTAACATTGGTCGTCTGGGCTGAGCGTCAACTGCTCTAGGATAGCCTTGGTGGCTGCTGCACCAGTACCCGCGGCGAAGTCCTGCCACGTCTTCCGTTTATGACTATCAGCATAGTCACAAATGCCTTTGATAATGGTACATGATATGATTCCGTCCCAGAGCCCCGCTCCTTCCATCTCAAAGCCCAAAACACCGTGAGTCTTCGTTAGCCACTCCCGGTCTATCCCGGACTTCAAGACCCTATCTGCCGAAGCCATCGCGCCGAAGTGGATGTTGGGCCCATGAGTTTCGATGCGTCGACGCCTGATTTGTCCTTCCTCGCATCCAAGCTTGTCGCAGCCTTGATGAGTCGCTTCTTCGCAGATGTCGCAGGTGGAGCAATCGCAGGCGAGGCTCGACCCGCGATGTCGATGGACGTAATCTGAATTGTACAAGATATCCGGTGCTGATATAGGGGGCTTCGATCGCTGGGGCGAAAGTTGGGCAAGATGATGGGATACGCGTGCCTGAAAGTCGAGCTTGGAGATCTCTGTGCTGAGAAATCTGTGCAGGTTCCTAACCTCAAGATTCTGCGTTTTCAGGTATGTGTCCTTCAGTTTGAACATACCGGGATATTGGCGCCCGTAATCATACTCGATAAGGCGGGTGCTTATAATCACATCGCCTAAGTAAATCGGATGGTCTCCGTCGAAAGGCGCTCCACCACATATTCCCACGACGAAGACATATTTGATGCCGAGATAGCTCATCCGTAGACTTGATACGGCTTGAGCGGCATGCATCTTGCCGATATCCGCCAAACAGAGAAGAACAACGTTGTATTTGCCCATTTTCCCAGTGGTGTAGATATTGAAATCTCCCGGGCCTTTGCCATATATCGTTCCGTTTCTGTCATATTTCTCATCGAACAACTCATAAAGCGCGTCGTATTCGGTGGGGACGGCAGTAACGAAGGCGATTTGGAACCCGGATCGGCTGGTCGGGGGAGCCATCGCACAGACGAGAAACGTAGTTTCGGTGGTCAGATGAATCGTAGATGTGAACGTCGATATCGGCGTCAGGAAGGTTGAAGCTGGAAATGGATAAACAGAATAATAGCTTGCTGGTAAGCTGAGTTGTACGCTTCAGGGGGAGATGGACTACTCCGTAAGTCTCATTTTATGGCACGCCCGCGCCAACATCACCCGGGCAAACGGCGTCACTACCTAGAGAGGCTGAGACACATCGGCTAAGCAGGACCGGCCGTTCTTTCGATTGGCCCCCATGGTCCAGGTTGAAATTTAGAGGACGAGGATGTGCAACAGATCGATGGAGGCAGCGCTAAAGCCAGCCAGAACGGAAGGAGGATAGATTCAGGCCGAAGAGCAGAGAGGATGGCAAGAGGACGCCAATTGCAATTGAATGTGGATATCGCCCACAGACAATCATCTCTCAAGGAGTGTGTAAGGTGCGGGCCGCTTCTCCACCTGCACGCATACATTGGGGTTAGTGGGCAGTGTTTACCACTAACGATTGTGTTGCAAGCAGGGGTGAGAATCCTGCAAAAGCAATTCCGGCGCGTAGCTATGCTGAATCCTCAGCTCAAAACATTGCCCTGTTTTGTTCAGATTCCCACCATGGACCGAATTGGACAACGCATATTTTCTTCCCTTTCCTCAGGGCAGAAAGGCTGATTCATCGGCACACATAATCCCCATGTCTGAGTTGAACAGCGTCGACAAAGTCGGATATGGGCAGCATTTGTCGAAGGATTGTTGCAGCCCATTCAAGTTTCTCGTCAGCCGAATCCATGAAAACTCGGTAAATTCCCTAGCTAACTTCTTGGTCCAGGTCCCGACTGACAGCTGTAAACCGCCCCCGGTGTCTTGCTCAGACGTCTGCAGTGCCAAGCCCTCCTGGCTGTTTGTAATGGCGTCCATGTCTGCCGAGAGTCATCGTTATAGTCTCAAGCTTCTTCGTAAACCATTTGTCACCCAGACAGTACGATTATGCACCATCGCGGACCAATGAGTTGGACTGGAGAACACCTTGCAAACCACAACGCCGCCTTGCCACGAACGAGGACAATGCCGCCAACAATGCCGGTTATCGATTGTCGTCAGGCCCGAAAAGGCGGTACCATATGTCACCATGCAACGTTAGGTCGGATTTGACGTTTCTTGCAACATTCGCTCGCAGGAATACCCGACAGAAGGAACCTGCCAGTAGGTCCCTATTCGCGTGCGGAGCCGTCGGCGCAGGCTTCAACTTCCAAAGACGTCATCGTGGTGCTTGTTTGTGCCTGAAAGTCGTCTTCCTTCTGTTCTGCGACGCGCCCGGCTCAAGCAGGTAAATGCTCGAATACTGTCTGTTCAGCTATACTACCAGTAGATTAGATGCCGAATATGAACTTAGGCGCCATGGTTTCAACTCAACGATGCGACGCGACGAAACAGAGGTCATGGCTGAATATGTTGCGACAGAGACGAGGTTGATGAACGCGGAAAAGCTAGCCGACTCCAGGTGATGCAGGTGTCAATGGATAGGCGATAATGAACCAAGCCAGCCATATTATCGACCGAAAACACGCATCGAACGAGTTGCAACTGCACCGACAACCGTGCTCCATTCGACCAAGTCACCGAAGTCGAACATATACTAGGTACTGAACACGACCTTAGCACCCATCAGCGTCACTCTCGCCTGATCCATTGTCGTTGAAAGAACGTCAAAGTGGCCGACCCACATCTCGCGTGGCCTCTTGTTTTTCGTTTTATCTCTGGGCGCCCCGGCGTTGGCGCTGAGGTTTGAACCGCGGACGCAGCACGCCACACGGGTAATAATTTCACAAATGGGGAAATCTCGGTATTGTAGTGGCTTCGAGAACGCTTCGAGAAGCGGGAATATCGGGAAAACATAGCGGTACCCGGCACAGCGATAGTGACTGAGTCGAGTCCGTGCTGGTTGGCTCGGTCAGTGTGGTCGAATTTTTGTTCCTGTAGCGGTTCAGCGCAAACTTGTGAGGGCGTAATTCTGGTGTTAGAGAAACTCTCCCTACTAGTACCTAGGGAGTTGTATCTTACCGTTGTGGTGAGTTTCAGGCCCGGCTTGTCCTTTCGTGGTTCGCAGCTCGTGTTGAACGATTTGTATGGGGCCATGGGACCATCCGGTCCACAGCACTGCAGGGTTTTATTTTAAACGTTGAACGGCGCGGGCCCACAAATGTCAGGAGTTGAGACGCGAATCCGAAGAATTTGAGCCTTTGACGGGTTTCGTGCCTGAGAGAATCGCCGGTGAGACCGTGTGGGAGCCTCGGGCGACCCACGGTTCGGCTTCACGGCCACGTCGTTTTCTACGGTTTTTCTGTGGGTGAGTCATACGAGTACGATAGTAGCAAAGAAACGGCGGTTGGAATTTTTTTGAATGATTTGAGATTGGATATTATGCATAGTAGAATGATAGATACTATATACACCTAGAACACCTGGCCATCTGCTCAGGTACCAGTATGCAAGCCCGTCGCACATACTAGGAATTGATCGCGCCGCGCCAGCGAGCAGCAATCATTTTGCTTTGAATTAATTGAGAATGTCATAGCCGCCTATAACTCAGTTCTCCTCCTTCTTGTCGGAGATGACGCGCGGGACAGGAACATCTGGGTCGTCGGCGTCGAGTGCGTTCATGGCATCTTCCTGAGCGTTCAGGTGGCGGTAGATGATGTAGAAGAAAATACCGACGAGGAACGAAGCGACGGCGAGACCAACGAACATCCACATGATGGCAGGATCATACGCGGCCGGGGTGAGAGCTTCGGCGATGGCGGATCCAAACGCATTGGTGAGCAGATACATGGACTGCACGAAGGATTTCATTGACGGCGGGGCCTTGGTGTAGGCGTACTCGAGACCGGAAACGGAAGCGAAAATCTCAGAGAGACCGATGAACACATAAGCGGGAGTCTGGATGGCAATGTGGACGCGGTTTCCCTGGGCGGTTCCATCGATCTTCGAGGCATCACACAGGGGTGAGTCGTAGCATGGGCCAGCGGAGTAGATGAGATGCTGGACAATAGCAGCGTACATCATGGCCAGAGAAGCAACAATGAATCCGAGAGAAATACGAGAGATTGGGCGGAACCGGATCTTCATGCGACGGAGAACAGGGTAGATGACTGCCTCGAGAATTGGAATAAAAACGATGATGGAAATCGGGTCGAAGTTCTGCATGAGATCGTTGGGAATGCCGTGGCCTTGCATTTGACCGGCTTGGGTGACAAAGTTGCTAGAGAACTGGCCGTAAACAACCCAATAGATGGGGTAGAAGGCGAAGACACGGCAGGCGACGAGTGCGCGCTTGAGTTCATCGATAAAGTGGTCATCCCAGGGAAGGTTCGGCCTGTTACCGTTGTTCTCGGCCTGCCATGTCGGCTTGGGCGCATCCATGTTGCGGTTGATCACCATAATCCAAAGTGCCTTGAAAGCATCGGTGATGACGGACCCTTGAGGCGGGCGAACCACATAGTGCTTGCGTCCAAGGATAACGACAAGAGTTCCGACGGCGAACATGCACAAACAGAGCAGGTAGGCCGACCAGAATCCAATATCGCGTTCCATGTAAGGAGTAGCCAGCAGCGAGAGGGATCCAACGTTAATGGCGCCGTAGAAGATCATGTAAATACGTTGGATAGTGAGAGCAGGGTCAATCACGACACGTTCGCCCTTGGGGGTGGTCTTGATGGCCATCTTCTTGCGCTTGTACTGATCGGCAATCTGAAGAAGATTTATGAGCGAATAGAATCTCAAATTACAGAACGCATGATACTCACCAGAGGCGCAACATTACTCTTGATTCCACCAGTTCCCAGACCAATGATGAGGACGGCGGCAATAAAGCCTCCGAGACCAGCACCATTCTCAAGGGCACTAGGAATGGATGTGCACACCAGAATCAGCAAACCGACGAGGTAGATACCGCAGAAAACCACGATAGTCTTGTATTTTCCGAGGTACTGATCAGCGATAATGGCACCGATAATGGGGGTGACTAGAGAGATGTTAGATTGCGTGTCGAGTAAAAGCTGCGTAGAAAAACCAACCATAGCACCAAAACTGGAAAAATGTCGTCAATCCAGTGGCTCCCTGATGGCCCATGCCAAGAGCACCGCGTCCCTCGCTTCCGTCCAGAGGACGCTGGACGTAGTTCTGGAACAATCCCGACATGCCGTAGTAGGCGAAGCGTTCGCACAATTCGACGACAGCGACAAGCCAAGCAGAGAGGGGGAGGTTCTCCGCGACGTGACGCAGCGACTTGTTCTCATCATCATTCGGTTCCTCGCCATCCGGGGTGGCGGAGAGGGCCTTTTCGGACTCGCCAAAGACCTGACCCTTTTCAATGACGGGAGCGTGGTTAACCGCATTATCGCCAACTAGGGCTGGTCTGAAGGTCTGTTAGAATCGAAGGGGCCATCAAAAGTGTATGTCGATTGGAAGCGAATAGCGCGCTTTGTTGGAGTCAAGGGGAAAAGAGCTGCAAGGTCGGGAGTACTCACAGAGTCGCCTCGATTCCATGTTCTGCGGTAGACATTTTGTAGAGGACAGGCGGAGGAATCCCCAAATGTCACACGAAACGAACTCGACTTGTCGGAGAGAAGGTGAAAAAAAGGAAGATTCAGACCGCGGCGACAGCGACCATATTATACTCGTGGGCCAAACCGTGTGCAATGCAAAGCGGGCCCTGTCTTATCTCTGGTCCGGTGTGCTGAGAAAATCACGAAATGGCGACCCAGTTGAATTTAGTCCGAAAGGAGCAACAACCACGGATGTAACCCCAGGTCCAGACAAGCGAGGTCAAGCAGTGACAAGCCTTGCTCGGCTGTCTTGTCGGGCTTGGTGCCAATAGGAGAAGTTCTCGAAGGCTGGGCGAAGATAACTGGGTCGCGTGGGTAAATGCCGGAGTTCGCCGCGAGAGGCAATTTGCTTTTGCTTGATCAGCTTTTTTCTTGCCACCGCGCCCCTTCGTTGCATTGTCGCACTCCATCCAACAGTAATCCTGAATAATCGCGAATTTGCAAAAGCATACCATGCGCAATTCTCCCTGGCAAGCAGATACGTAGTCGTAGATTTGACCAACTCACAAATTGACAGTGAAGTCGACATCGGAAATAGTCGCAACCGAAAATGAACCGCTTCCGGAAATCGTTAGGTAACATAAACACATTGAAGGACCGGACAACAGTTGTTTCATTCTGGGTCGATTTGAAGAGATAAGGACGGCATGTGTCATCGGATGAACATCTACTTCGGAGTCGAGTCATTCGATATGCGCTGGGGCGTGGCGTCTCGAGTCCGCAGCGTCGCGCAATGTGAGAGGACAGCCCCGCGTTGTGCGAAGGACACGATGTGACCCCGTTGTCTTGCTCCAACTTCCAACGTGTAATATCCCGGTTCAAGGCCCGTGGTGTCTCACAGCCAGCCCAATGCGCGTGTCCAACGAGATTAAAGTCCGGAGAGCCGCGAGGTGTCAATCGATATCCACAGCGACCATTGTTACCCCATGGGACGAGCGAGTCGGTGTCTGTTGGCGCTGGGGATTCGACTCCTCATGCTCTATGGTCCAAGGCGATCGCTGCCGTGTTGGTACCCGGAAGCCCGAGATGTGCATCAGCTAACTTTCGACAGAGGGGTAGCATTTGACCTGTCGGAGGAACCGCAAATAAGCACTTTGGACTGCCAGTGGGCTGCAGGGGTCGCAATTGATAAGCTGCCGCTCGGGTTCTTTTCCTAGTTCCACGAGTTCAGTGCTATTCCAGCCGAGAGTTGCAGTGGCATGTTGGAGTCTGAACAGCGGCCGCGATCGGGGAGGTCTTAAGACACTCTGCACTGGAGCCTCAACTTTGCGGACATCACCGCTCCGACATCGGCTGCCCATGGAAGTCGAGATGTGAAGGTAGGGAGGAGCCACGATGGTAACGAGGTTACTCACCCTAGGGCACATTGCATGCCAAACAATGTACTCTGTAGTCATGTTGCAAGACAATTTTCTGACCACTGAAAGTAGGGCAAGAGATGGATGGGTTCGCGGATTCCGATCGCGGAGCGAGGTGCGGCTCGGGCACCAAGTGCAGGTGGTGTGAAGGCATTCTTCAACAAATTCAGGGAGCGAGGAAGCTTCAAGCAGTTTGAGGAGGGGAAGCTCTCTTCTTATCACATCTGAGAGTCGTGCAATTTAGCTCTTCTCCAACGGCCGGATGTGCCACCAAGACCCAACACTCTGGACGGCGTGTCTTGGTAGGTCTTGGTAGCCCTGCGAGCCAATCCAACCGTCCCCGGGCGTCTTGGCTCGTCGATGGTTGTCCATGCACGCCATATGCTGCCAATAAAAGCAGAGAAGAGTTGGAGGTCTGCCCAGGGAATTTAGCGGCTTTTGGATGATTTCTGGTCAATTCAAGCGGTGACTCATGACGCTTCGTATTCATGGGGGCCAGGACTCGATGCGATCGCTGCGTTTACTAGCCTACCGGTGTGCTGAATCGGACAAGGTCCGTCTGCAAAACTGCGCTGTGCTATACATAGCACATTATAATCGAAACAGTTGGGCTTACCATAGCCTATGTGCAAGCTCTTGATGCCTGGAGCAGCACTCGGAGTAAGTCAATAGCTCCGGCGTGTCATCAATACTAGATACTTTATTGGTCAGATCATCACGAGAATGGCTCAGGTAGTGTCATCCTGCGGCTGCCATGACAAGGGGTATCAATATACACTAGCTAGCCCTGGTGTGAGTGGTGTCGATGTCGCTCCAGACATGGTACCAGCAGCACCATTCTGAATATTAAGTTGACGTGGTATTTAGCAGGCTAACGGCGATGCAGCACCTTGATCGAAAAGGAACTGAGGAATATACCACAATAAATACTCGAGAAATCCTCAGCAGACCCTGAACTTCAAAGCTCACCTGGGCAGTGGGCAGTGTTCAGCAATACATCGTACTAGCCCGGCACCAATGGGATACTAGTCTTAATAAGGACCCCGGCGCTCCGAACTCGGTCTTACCAAAGAGCCTCAATATCCTTGCTGAATCCTGTTTCTATCGGCCGTTAGGATCTTCAGTTGGACCTTGGTCACTTGGGACAGGGCACGCGCACTGGGGTATCTGCGTCCGACGTCGGAGCTCCACTGCGTCGATTGACGTTGGCAGATCGATCCCTACAAACCTTCCCAAGTAGCCAGTAATATCTTTTGGAATCTTGAGGGAGAAGAGTTGGATATACTACCTAGGTAGAGGCTGCAGATCTCCCGCAGCTCCAATTGCTGTTTAGCGCGTCAGATATGGTTCTACTCTTGTCCATCTGCGCAGCTCATCATTTCTCCCGAAGGGCATAAGACTGCTATCAATCCCATCCGAGGCACGCTAAACGGCCAAGGCACCTTGACTTCTTAGTATACGCCACCGGTCTAGTATGCGAGGAATATAGATGTGGTATTGAACTTCCAAAGACATAAAAGAAAATGGACTTCGTAAACATGAGCGCGTTCTTAGGGATGTAACGGAAGGTCTATCTCGCGGACAGCGTTGATATCACTACACTAAGAGGGCAGCAGGTCATTCGGAAGGTCACCGCGAGAAAGTTATCAAGACCTTGCTGTTGATTATAGGTATGAGCGAATTGTCCAGACACGGCAGGCACCCTTGGCCCTGAACCATCAGCTGGAAGCCTCACATTCCAACCCAGTAACGCTCGGTCTGCACCTCTGCAAGTTTTCAGTTCATCTTCTATTTCCTATCTTCTAGTCAGTTACCCACACCACTTCCTATCGCGCCTTACGAACAGCTTCCAAACCTGCTTCAAACAATCTCGCTTTCCTACAACTCAACCAACACAAAATGGTGAGTGTACTTTTCCCCAAGGACTCCTTTGTCTCGACCCAGTGATCTCCTCGAATACTGGAGGACTCCCAACGTACTCGGCTTGCTGCTGCTTTATATGCTTCATCGCCCAGATGAAATTTCCTGCGCATTCGCATCCCTCCTCCTACCAAGACTCCCTCTCAGATTATTTCAGGACCTAACAACCCTCATTAGTCAAACTCTTCGCCGCCTGATCCAGAATCGCCCAGCAACATTTCTGGAGAAATTGAAGGATGCTCAGTCGAACACATCGGTAGACGGGCAGTCATAACCCTCCCAAACGGTGTAGCAATCGTGACTTTCGGCGCTGTGGTAAGCGGCACCATGTCCCTCTTGGAACCACCAGTACTAACACCAAATAAAATGACCAGACCATCACATCAACCAACCGCGAAGCTGCCTGGCGTGACCGTGGCCGTGCCCGCGGCCGCGGCCGCGGCCACAGATCCGGACGTATCTGCACTCGAGGCCATCTTCACGCCCGCGGAACCATTCACCTCCCAGCAGTGCCCCATTCGACTCGCCGGCGACAATCCCCGCCATTGCGCATTTCATCACCGGATCGGGGGGCAGGAATTTGGCGGGTCCAGGATGAGGACCCTCTAGGCCCTCTTCGCACCCCTGAGACCGTTCCCCTCCCAGCAGTTCCACATTCGTCTGGTCGACGACGATCCGCGCCGCCACGTATGCTATCACTGAATCAGTTGGAGAGGATCTGGCAGGCACAAGAAGAGAACTCTCGCAACGATCCATTGCCCAACGGTACTTCACTCCCAGAGCCGGTCGCTGAAGCTAGCAGCCATCGTCCGGCCGAGTGTTCTTCTACGCCCGCGGCAATCCAATCTCAATGCAGAGACCGGAATCCGACCTCAACGGGCCGCGACCATCACGGGTGCGCTCAACTTCAAAAAGTTATCCAGCTTCGAGACCAACGTGATAGGATCTTTCTACAAGAGCTAAATGCGAGGCTCAATGAATTAGCCAATGGTCCTAACGCCACAATAGCCTCTGATGCCCCTGTCCCTCTAACCCCGCATGGGCGATGTAAGGCTGTTGTCGCCGACTCAAATGTGGTGAATTTACCTAATGAAACCGATTCCTCTGAGCAAAACGATTCGACAACGCAAACTGATTCGGATGGTTTCGTTATGTCGGGTATGACACCAGATTCCCCGGAGACGTTTGCAAGCGATGACTCTCTTCGTCCCTAGGACAAAGGATTATTGTCGGGGGTTGACTCCGGTTTGAGTGTTACTTGTTGATGCTGGCGGAGCTTCGCTCTTGAGTACAGGGCGGGAGAGTATGGGGTTGTTTCCGGGAGTGGACTCATTCATATCCTCCGAATTAGTGTAATTGTCATAACTATCTGGTAGTTTTCGAAGGTAGCTGCTTATTACTAGACATATGCTCATAATACCCTTCACTACCTTACTTATTTTTGGATCATCCAATAGTCATATATGTTGACCTCCTCTCAGACTGTCAACTAATCTCTCTGTGAACACCTAAAACGCAATTCCGACCTGAGACTCATCCATGACTTCCTCCTCCCCCTTTTTCTTGTGCTCATCACTCTGCACACCAACACTCGAGTTCACATTCACGTTCCTCGGAATATTCTCTTTCAGGCTCTGAGGCCCACGGTACGGAATCTCTCCAACCTTCTTGCCACCCTTAAGCTCAATGACCTTCAGCTCAGCGGCCGGGTTAACACGCCTTCCCCTCAGGACAGGCTCCTCGATCATGCGCGGGAACAAGATCGAGACCTTTTTCATGCAGTGCGAGAGGTAGAAGCCCGCGTCGACGCAATAGTCCTTGAAATTGATGCACTTTAGACGCTTGGGGTCAAACCAGTGCAGGAAGGGGTCTGCATCGACGACGACGCCGGTAAGTACGAGGGTGCGGATTGACAGACGGTTGCGGGTGCTACCCATGGCCATAGCGCGGATTTTGGCCTTCTCGAGACACATTTTGTCGAGGTATTCGCCGACGCCGACTTTGTGAAGGAGGGAGCCTTCGCCAGTGCCACTGTAGGGGAAGATAGTTGGTTAGGAAACGTTCATAACTCTCATCTGGATAAGAGAGAGGAGAAATGAGGCTGACTTACTAGTACACCGGTTCTTCCATGGTGGTTTTGTTCAGCTGCCAGCCACCCTTGATGTAAGGCCACTTGTAGCCACGACGGAGACGGGGAGGCAAGGCCATTCCAATTTCAAGTTCGTCGAGGTTGGTGTTGAGCCATGCGGCCTGGAAGATGTACATTTGGTAAGACTGCATCATACCCGTGATCTTGAGGACGCGCAGGTTACGGAACATGCAGACAGGAGCCATTTCGTCAATGGGGAAAATGGTAGGCTTTTCTTCCTTTTCTTCGTCATAATTGTGCTTCTTCACGTTCTCCTTGTCGTCTTTGTCTTCTCCGCTGGGGACTGGCCAGAAGACGTCAATACCTAGGGTACGGCGATCCTTGGGTAGGGCTGCCCAGAGAGCCCCGCCGCGGAACTCCATCAGAGGGTTCGCGGGGGTCGCCTGGTCGGGAGAGAAGATGGGAATGGCAACTACCGGCTCTTCAAGCTGCATTAGCTCCTCCTCCTCCTCCTTCGCTTCTTCTTCTTCTTCTTCGCTCTTTTCTCTCATCCTCAAGCTCATCCTGTTGAAAGTGGACCTGATCAGCGAGTCCGAGCGACGGACGTCAGGCGTAACACTAGAGGAGCGGCCGCGGTTGTTAGAGCGAGACCGAGAGCGGCAGTGTCTACCAAGCTCAAGGCTACGAGAAGAAGAAAACAGGTTCAAGCTGAGAGCATCGCTCATGCTAAAGCGTCTGCTTCTCTTCTCAACAGCTGTCGCTTCGACTGCCTCGTCCGAATCAACCGCGCTGGTGTTGATAGAGGGTGCGCGAGGCACCTGCTCCGCGCCAATGTTGAAAGGAAACCTGGTATGAAGACTCTGCTCGTGCTCTGGGTAAGCGAAGCTTGTGTTAGACTTGAGATGGCCGATAGTGTTGGTGAAGAGAGTCAAAAGAATACTTACCGGCTTCGATCTTGGCGTTGGTATCTTTGTTCCAGTCCTCTGCGTCTTTCCAAAAGACTTCTCCAAGAAGAGTGGCCTTCCAGTGTTCTGGAAAGTCGTCAATCCCATTTGTTTTGGGCTCCATGGTGTCTTCTGTTGACATGGCGATGACAGGTGAAACAGGTAATCACACTGCGTCAAGAAAGGCGACAAGGAGAAAAAGAAGGGAAGAAAAACAGACCACAGGGAAAAGGTAAAGACAGAGGGCAATGTGGGAATCAGAGTGATTGGGCGTGGTTGTGTTTGTGAATTTGCGCAGATTCCTCTTTCAGGCAACTGGCCAATCTCACTTCTAAGGTTTGTCCAGCATGCTGCATCAGGTTGGTTAGCAAGATTATGCAATTCATAGAACTAAAGCACTAAGCACTTTGCAGGTCTCATCTCACAATGAGACGATATCAATGATTTTTCTTCGATCTTAGAGCTTGACACCACGCTGGAAGTCTCAGCCCCGTGCCCAAAGGAACATCTCCGAGATCATAGAACAGACTTCAATCTGAAAGCGCAAGGGGAGAGTTGCAACTGTTCAGACACAAAGAGGTGAGTTGGGATGGCCACTTTACAGACACCATGGGTGGTCTCTTACCCTGCGCTACTTTTTACTGACTCTCACCCCGTTCTCGAAAGACTAGAGGCACGTCCTGGTTCATAGCCAGTGCAATCATCGAAGCGCTATCTTCAAGCGCCCTTTCAGCCTGTTTCCGGCCTTTTTCTCCTTTCTGCGCCAGTTCGATCCGATATTGGCGGAGAATAACTGTCAAGGCTATCACGACTTCGACTTGAGCGAACTTCTTCCCTAGACATGCACGGACACCATCACTGAATGGGATATACGCTCCTCTGACGGGCTTGTGGATGGTCGAATACTCCAATCCTGGACTGTTGAGGCCTGTCAAGTCCGCGTTTCTCGCGAGATAACTTTCCTTGTTTCTTGCATCCCATCTCTGAGGGGAGAATATCTGGACATCAGGTCCCCAATACTCTTCTGAATAATGGAGACCATTCATGTTCAGATTTATATTGATTCCCTGCCCGAGGGGGACATCTCTATCTTGATAGTGGATAGACCTCACCTCATTGCCTGTCCACTTTGGAACCGTCACAACTGGAGGGTAGAGACGCATTGTCTCGAGCTAGTGATTCGGTCAACGCTGCTCCATACCTGAGCCCCAAAACTCACCATAACACACAGCGGAGTTACCAGCTTTGGATAGACACTCTCTTCATTCCAGGCCTCGACATCTGCAGGTTCGTCTGTTGTTGCTTCAACTGACCCCTGCCAAACCCACTCCTGTACGTCCTGGTGCAGAGCCAAGAGCAGGAGAGCGTAACGCAAGGTCGTTGCTGTAGTCTCGTGCCCTGCGATAGTGAATACGTGCCCGTTGCTGATAATTTCTTGGTCAGAAAGACTCCCCCCCGTCGAGGTTGACCTATCCCTTATCATCTCATGTACCAGATCCGAAGTGGTAGGGCTATCCTCTGTTTTCGCATTGGAAAGTAGCATCTCCAGGTAGTTTTTCAAGTCCCTATGCGCAGAGAAGCTTCGTCTCAAAAATGGGAAGAGAACTCGAGGCGCCCACTTGGGCAGTATAAAAATCGCGAGAATGACCATGCTGATATTAGAGCACATATAGTGGACTACCCCGCGAAACGTGAAGTCGAATCCCTGAGGAGGCGTCGGAGTGTCTTGGAAGATCCCATACCGCCCGTTTTTTACCTCCGCAGAGTTGTCCGCTACTGGTTTGAAAGGCATTCGTACCCCGAACCCTGCAGCGGAGAATACATTGAGGGCGAACTTGGGTACATCGTCTCGTACCGTCTGGACCAGGAGGTCCCGAGATCCATTTCCTGTTTTCCATTGTTCAAGCATTTCTTGTACCAACCGAATGCTCTCTTTCCACACCAAAGCATCATTCTTCTTGTTGAAAATCGTTGCAGTTCGACGCCTATGTCGCGCCCAATGATGGCCCTCAGACTAGAATCAATCATCAGTATTTACAGGAACCATGATCTATCGATCAACTACACACCGTGACCACATTCGGCCCATACAGCTCAACACCCTCTACCACACGGTCAGCCGGTCCTCTCAAGCCAAGCACCACACCAGTTCATCACAGAAACCCCAAAATGAGTCAACTCACGATACAGCCAAATCGGCTTCGGCCATCCACCCCTCGCATGCGTAACCTGCACCACAACCCCTGCATCCGACACATTACACAGAACCACGCGCGGCGTAACCACCAAATAAACCTTCCCATACTTCCTCACCTGGCGGTCCTTCAGTACCCATCGCGAAGTAGAAAGCACATCTCGCAGATTATCCCCAAGCGACGCGGGGAGCACATTGTCGACTATATATGGGAACCACCGCGTCTGGAAGAGAATGACTTGGATGATCCCAATGGAGAAGGGAGCGACGACGTATGGAAGTTCCGTGCGCTGCGCGATCCGAATGTTCTTGTATAGCTGTCGCGAATAGTCGACGATGTATAAGAAGAGAAGGCCCAGGGTAAGTGAAAGCCACATTGTGGACTATTTCTGGCTATCGGAGTTTGCGAGGTGCAAAGTCATCCTGTGTGGGACTCTTCAGTGGGAATATATATCATGGAGGAGGTCAAAATTCGTCTGACCCCTGGTGCAATCCTATCACACTTCAGGTGGAATCCTTGGGTTCTGGTGTGGGATATTTTATGGTTCGTGAGCGCATATCCAATCGTTCGAGCGCCCAGCCAACTTTAGGGCAGAGGAGAGGTACCTCTAGTATTTGGTTTTAGTCTCTCCTTTTTTTGAGTCATCTTGCAATTTAATGTTATTATACTAGTAGAAGTCGGAGTATCCCACCTGCAAGCTGCAAGGTAGGGTACCTTATCAGTCGGTGGAAATATATCTTGGTCCACGAAAATGGACCAACACAGCACATAAACGACGACGGAATCAGTTTCGACTCACTGGAAATCCCAGGTGTGCTGCACCTAAACCGCAAATGATATACGTCATTGGAAAGCAGTCCATCGAATTCGCAGACCACCTATACAAGGGCTTCACGCGTAATGTTGAAGTTCTGTGTTATGGCAAGTGCTTGATATAAACTACGTGGACACATGAGAGTAATAACAGCGATTATCAATGTAGATTGTAAAACTCATGATGCTTCACCGTCGCTTTTCCGTTGTGGTTCCCCACCGCTTGTCTTTGCCCCGTAAATAAACTCCAATATAAGTGGTATAGACTCGTCAAAAATAAAGCATGAAAAGGTAAAAGCTGGTGTCTACTAGCAAGTCATCAACGGAGAAGCAAAGAGGTCTCGAGGGTAGCGTTCCGGTTCATCCTCCCCGGCACAACACCTCGTTCGTCGTTACCGCGACTGGAAATGCTCCATCGTCCTAAGTCTTGAAAGAATTTCACAACCCATGTATCATCAGGAAAAGCCCACATTGTTCGTGGAGTTTAGACAGTGAATTTGGCCTTGGCTCTCGTGCTGCCGCTGTGGGCGCTGTCAGTGTGTCCGGAGAATTCGACGACCTCGTTAGGTCCGAGGCGGAGGACTTCCTTGAAGCGTCGACCGATCGATTCAAGCACCTCCTTGCCTTGTGCAGGTGTGCGTCCGCTCTTGTCGCCGGGGATGGTCTTGCCCACGGTCCTTGTCCAGAGTCCAACACGGTAGAAACCCTTGCGCACATTCACAACGACACCCATGACCTCTTGGTCACCATCGTTCTCAAGAGTCTCACCGATTGCGGCTAGCTGTGCGTGCAGCCACAGGTCATCGATGGGGACCGATCGCTTGTCCTTGAAGGAGAATGACCACTTGCCACCGTGCTTGTTTTGCGGGTCTTCCCACTCGGGCCGGATGCCCTTTTTGAAGAGATGATAGTCTGCCTTGAGGCCAAGTTCGGACGTCGGAGAGATGTTGTTCTAGGCGAAGAATGGGTTAGTGGAGGTCGAAAATTAACAATCTGGATCTCTTACGTAGATGCCCCAGAATTCCTCAACAGAGTTAAAAGTGACGACCTCCTTGAGAAGGTCGTTCCAGTTGTCGCCCTGGGTATCGTTGGTCAGCATCTGGCCCGTCCGATCGGGATGTATCCATCCTTACCTTGCCACTAGGAGGCTTGGTGAACCAAAGTGTCCATTCATGCATCAGCGGATGCTTCACATTGAAGTTATCTGGGTCGTGGAAAACGGTAATAGCGTCTCCATTTGTCTTCTCGGTCTTCTCTTCAGCGGTCACGGCAGGCGGAGGAGTGTTCTCGTCTGTGAGCGGTAGGGGAGCGTTCTCTGCGACAGCAGCCATTTTGATGGATGAAGGAGAAAATCGAGCGGGATCGGAGTGTAGAAGAGCGTACGAGCGGTGAGGTCGCGGTGAGATCGCGGTGAGTTGTGGATGAGGCGATCGTGGAAAGAGAAGAAAAGTGTTAGTGGGGAGGAAAATTTGTGTTGTCAAAGGCCGTTAAGGAAGGAGCAGCCTGGGAGCGACAGTGAAAGGAGGAGCAGAGGTGAAAGCGCGATGAGTGACGTAAAAGTCAAGAATCTGCTCCAGGCAGAGAACACGATATGCAACTGTGTTGTAAGACCCTGGAGGATATGATGAAGTTCTTGAGAGCCTTTTCTGAAGATTGCCGCAGCTGTCCCGCTTTTCCTTTTTGAGCCTTCTGGCGATCTGGACTCCTATTGGCTGACAGAGAGCCCTAACAAAACATGGAGAAGATGGAGAACCAAGATGAAGGACAGCCTTTTTATCACGTAGATGGAAAATTGGAAAGTCGCTAAAGAGATAAAGATAAAGTGACAATGAAGTGAATTATATTCTAGTGAAATCCAATCTAAAGCAGTAGTCCCGCATCTGCTGTTATCTATAAACCCAGGCATTCCTTCCGAAGCTCTATTTAATACACCCTAAGCACGACCCTCTAATGGATTTTTGTAAAGACGAAATCGAGAGCGAAATAAAAGGCGAAATAAAGGTCGAAACGAGGTTGGAGCGAAGAGAAAGAATGAAGAGAAAGAGAGAGTCAGGTCCAAATCCCTGAGTGAGATGCGCCAGCGGTATAATAGGGTATAAACATAGCGCCAAACGACTGGATTATGCTTCGCCGCTGTTGATCAAGCTGAGAATGCAGTTCCACCCTAGTGCAGTCAGTAATGCTTAAGGGCGCAGGGCAGCGCAGAGCAGCGCGAGTGACACCTACCTAAGCTGACCACGTTCACGACGAGCACCCGGTATTCCAGCGGCACAAGAGCAAAGTTGAAACCCTGGACCATCGGCCAGAGAGCGAGGTTGGCCTTGTATCCTGGCGCGAAGCCGGCCTTCCACTTCTCAACGGGGTCCTTGCCCTCCATAACAGCCATAGATCCTAGGAAGAAGGAAAGGTGGATCGGGGCGAAGAATAACTGATCGGCGGCGACACGAGCGGCAATCGTAGCTTTCGGGTTCTTGAGGACGACGTGACGCTGCAGGATGCCAAACCAGGTAGTGGCGGCCGGTCCAAAGACCGCTAGGAGAGAGTTAGCGCATAAGAACATTCAATAAGACGGGGAACTAGATATGCGATCAAGATGATGTAACAGGGTCAGTTTGACTCACCACCTCCGTAGAAGAACATGCGACCAGTTCGTGCCATGTCATGCTTCTCCCAGCCTCTGCGATCGACTGCCTGCTGTGCAAGAACATCGCCGCTCCCGAAAAGCACCTATTTGCTGTCAACATGGGTACCACAGATATAACAACAAACAATTGGGTATATAATTGACAATAAAAGAGAGGAAAAGGCAACTTACAGCGCTAGTAACGCTGGCTGTGAGGATGGGCTGCTTTGCGAGCTTCGTCTGGTACCTGAATAGCGATTAAGCTTAGTTCCAGGGATCGAGACGGTTGCAGGGGTCGAGTACACACCACCGGAACATTTTTCAGAGTATGCAATTCAAATCGAAGTAAATGAAAGAAAGATTTCAACAGTTGAGCGATTGAGAGCTCCAGCGACCAACAAAAGATAAAACGGAGTGCAATTCAAAGTTCAATTCAAGGAGTTGAAAAAAGATGGAAGCTGGCTATAAGAACGTCACACCCCCAGACCGCCGATAAGAAGTCAGAATGCAAGCATGACCAGCAAAACAAGCAAAACGACGCCACAACGCGGGACTATTCTTACTATTGGCGCGGAAGAGGCCCCTAACAAGGTAATGGAACCGTCACATGACGACACCCCATGCCTCGTGACGAGGGTCCAGAGCGGGATTCCGAATTGGGAAGCCGCTGAGGGTTTAGGGTTGCCGCTGGTAGGGCAGGAGCGACGGGCCTCGCTTAGCACACCCGCCCGCGAAATTTGCCGTGGGCGCCAAAACATAGCGGGAGTGGATAGTGATCGAGAAATCGACAACCTCCGACCGAAGTCGACAACACCAACGACAACCCTCCCGTCCGATATACCATTTCCCCCCCGGTACATCTACAATTCAAAATGGCTGACGCTGCTCCCCGTGGACGTGGAGGATTTGGCTCTCGCGGCGACCGTGGTGGTGACCGTGGTCGTGGCCGTGGTCGTCGTGGCCGTCGTGGTGGTGGAAAGGAGCAGGAGAAGGAGTGGCAGCCCGTCACCAAGCTCGGCCGTCTCGTCAAGGCCGGCAAGATCACCAGCATGGAGCAGATCTACCTGCACTCCCTGCCCGTCAAGGAGTACCAGATTGTCGACTTCTTCCTGCCCAAGCTCAAGGATGAGGTTATGAAGGTACGGAAGCGAATTTTCCACACGGACCGATTCGGACATGGCGCGGGCTACACAGGGTTTTGATTGCACGACCTTTGCTGTTGGGAAAATGCGCGCATGGGCTAGAATTGGGAAAGTGCAAATAAACCAGGAACATGGGCTGACAGTCCGCAGATCAAACCCGTCCAGAAGCAGACCCGTGCCGGTCAGCGTACCCGTTTCAAGGCCGTCGTTGTCATCGGTGACTCTGAGGGCCACATCGGTCTCGGAATCAAGACCTCCAAGGAAGTCGCTACCGCTATCCGCGCTGCCATCATCATCGCCAAGCTCAGCGTTCTCCCCGTCCGTCGCGGTTACTGGGGTACCAACCTCGGTGAGCCTCACTCTCTGCCCGTCAAGCAGAGCGCCAAGTGTGGTTCCGTCTCCGTTAGAGTACGTTATATTCTACAGTCATGAAAACGCGCAGCAGGAAACTCACAGAAAAACCAGCTTATCCCCGCTCCCCGCGGTACCGGCCTCGTTGCCTCCCCCGCCGTCAAGCGTCTCCTCCAGCTCGCCGGTGTCCAGGACGCCTACACTTCCTCGTCCGGTTCCACCAAGACCCTCGAGAACACCCTCAAGGCTACCTTCCTCGCCGTCGTCAACACCTACGGTTTCCTCACTCCCAACTTGTGGCAGGAGACCAAGCTCACCGCCAGCCCTCTGGAGGAGTTCAGCGACGTTCTGCGCCAAGGAAAGAAGTACTAAAAAAGTGCAGCGATGGGGTATACTAGCATGATTCTCGTTTTTTGATTCCAACAATTTTTTTCCTTACGGGGTTCAATTTTGGCTGGAGGGGTTATCCCTGGGATCTTTTATAACGCCTGCTAATGCAAACTTACGGTGCCACGAATGTAATTATTTGGGAGAACGAGCAAAGCAAGAAGCGGAGTCAATAAAAGTCTACCAGCCATTTTCGTCCTGGGATCTGCGTAACCTGGAACTGTGTCACATCGCGACGCATCTACTAATTTGCTAGATCTTAATCGACAGTTTACAGCGCCCAATAAGGTCGAGTCTCGTGCAAGACATGTCGATTAGGGCTTCTTTCGCCTTTTCAGTCAACGTTCAGCCATTCTCCTCGAGTCAACGTCGACATTGACATCGACCCCGGATACGAGCAGAGTATCTACATCGTTCATGTTCTCGATTGAAAATACTCGTCCCTGCTTACAATGTTCACTTTCCGTCATGCTCCGTCTGTCCATGTCTTGACTACTCATCCAAATACCCAAAACCAGCGAACCTCCCAGCGAACCTCCCACGGAAGAAACTTAGTGGTAACCACTAGTCAACCAATGTCAATCATTCAGACTCCATTCATCTCACCTCTACTGGATATATGGGAACCTGCACCTTCCTGCCCATTTTATATTACCCAAGAAGACTAATGGCCAACCATCTTCTGATGTGCCTCCCCATACCGGCTCCCCCTCGGCTTTGCTACATCAATTATCCGCCTCATCTCCTTCCACTCTTCATCCGTCAAGCTAATCTCCCTCGACGCCCAGTTCTCCTCTAGCCGCGACGCCTTGGTCGTCCCAGGGATGGCAATCATCCCCTGCGCGGCAACCCACGCGAGCGCGATCTGCGAAATGCTGCACCCTTTCTTTGCCGCGAGTGACTTGATCTCCTCGACGATTGCGCGGTTCGCGTAGAAGTTTTCGCCTTGGAACTTGGGGCCTACATGCGTTGTTTCGGATTAGTGCTGGTTATGTTTCGCTGTGTAGAGGAGGGGAAACGCACTACTCCGTCGGAAATCACCCGGTGCAAAGTCATCCGGTGATTTGTAGTCAAAATTGTCGACGAGCCATCCGTGGCCCAGCGGGCTGTAGGCTACGTATGCAACGCCCAGCTCCTTGGCTGTGTCGATAAGGCCGTCTGTTTCGTGGATGGTCTCAAAGGCGGAGTATTCGCCTTGGATGGCGTCGATTTTGGCGACTATATTTCAGTTTGTCAGCGCATCGATCAGCGAATAAGAGAAATAATCTGTGGAGACAGGTATGGGGTATCGCATATCGAGCGTACTTGAATTCGCCTTTCGCAAAGTCGCAGCAGAACACTCGGAGAGACCGATATATTTCGTCTTCCCAGCCTTGCGGAGCTCGTCAAGGGCCGGGATTGACTCTTCAACGGGCGTATCTGATTTCCGTTAGCAAGATATCCATAGGTTGTGGAAAAGACAAAAGGCAGGGAGCATACTAGGATCAATCCGATGCAGATAGTAAAGATCAGGCGTGAACCCGAGCCGCTCAATCGTGCCCTCGATATACTCCTTGATATGCGCAGCCGAGTTTGTTACGCCGCCGCTGCCAAAGACGTCGATGCCGCATTTCGAGGCGACTGCGCGTTTCAAATTAGTAATTAGTTCGGGTTGCGCTCAGAAGGAGAAATCAAGACGCACCAAAGACCTTGTCGCGGACGTTATGCTTTCTAATGAAGTCGCCGAGAAGCTTTTCGTTTACACCGGCTTTGTAGACTACCTGGAATCTATATCAGCCTCACGCTGTCACGGTGCCACCCTTTCTCTTGTGGAATAGATAAGATATATGTAAATATAAACATAAATATATACGTGCAGAGGGACCACTTACAGCTGTATCCCAAAAGGTACATCCCAGTTCAATCGCCTTGAGAAGCACAGGCTCCGCCTCCTCGAGACTGAGATTCGACCCAAGACCGTGACTGAGGCCCATTGCACCGAAGCCCGGCGAGGGGACGGTGATATCGGCAAAGGGGAGTGTTTGGACCATTTTTGCTTGTTTGTTCTCTGCGGAGGTTCTTTAATTCGTATGAAATTGGACGGGAATGTGTCTTTGAAGACAGCGAGCTTTATATACCCATTGAGTTGCCGGATATACTTCGGAGTCTACGCTCTGGCGCCATTGCATCACCACGTTTGAGCTGCTTAACTCCGAACGTTGATGACAGGAAGGGTGCCAATACATGATTGGTTTTCACTTCAGTTCCACATTGCAGAATTCCAGGTTTGATTGGTAGTCTTGCATCAATGGCTCCACTGCCGACTGTTCTATAATCGCGCTGGATCTTGGTTCAAAGATGCTGACACTTGCAGGACGCTTAGATCTTCGTTGGTTAGACGAGGAGCATCTACCTATCCGGGAATTTGCCTGAAGACGTTTGCAAATCTCAAATGGAAGACGTTTGCAAATCTCAAATGGAAGTATCCAAAGCAAGGTAAAGCCCAACACACCTGCATGCGTAAGGCATAATGCAATGTCCCAAGGTGAGTTCTAAGAACCCCGTTCAGCAAGCCTCACAAGCCCCTCCGCAACCCCACCGACAACATCCCCCTTTTGCAGCCCCTCAACCCACCCCTGTGGGATCCCCTCAAACCCATAAAATGCCCCCGCCAGCCCTCCATACACAGCCCCAACAGTATCGGCATCCCATCCCAGATTGACCGCGCGCAACGCACCCTCACGGTACGAGCCCGTCGAGAAAAACGACCATAGCGCCGCCTCGAGCGTGGACACCACGAAACCCGAGGACTTGATATTGTCTTCGTCTTGCGATTCCCAGTCTGCGAGGCTCTGGTACTGGGATAGCTTTGCTTGGATTTTTGGGTCTCTGATGGGTGTTTCAGCGAGGGCGGTTGCGAGCGAGGATTTGCTATTTCCGTGTAGAATCAGGACGAGGAGTTTGGTGTAGAGTGTGCAGGCTTCGGCGCAGGTTGGGTACGGGTGTGTTACATCTGAGGAGGCGGCGGCGTTTGCGAGGGCTTCGGGCATGTTGCGGAAGTAGACGAGGGCAATGGGAGAGACGCGCATGAGGGAGCCGTTGCCGCAGAATTGCTGTGTTTGTTAGATCATTCTGAGTCCATCTCTTCTCTTTATGGAGAGGTACCTCGCGCTTCAACGTAAACTCAATCTTAAACCGCCCACCCTCATGGCCTTCAGGGTCGTCCTTTCGGAGGTCCGGCGATCGCTCGAAGTAGTGTTGCCAGATAATGAGCGCCTTTGTTGTGGCGGCCCCGACGTCAAAACACTCGTCGGTGGCGGAGAGGTAGCCGTTGTCGAACCAGTTGATGTAGTTACGGATTGCAGCTTGGGGAATGAATTCGCCTTTGCAGTCGATGAGGGCCTGGGCAAGGCATAGGGTCATAGATGTGTCGTCGGTCCATGTTCTGAGGGCTTAGTTATGCTGGAATCCTGGCCTAACAGGAGACTCACCCTGGTGGAACGTTGAAATGCTCGTTGCGCTCAAAATCGGAGACGGGATCGAAGCTACCCCGCGGCTGGAACTCGACTGGCCCACCCAGGGCGTCGGCAACGGCCACACCAAAGATGGATCCTTTGATCCTTGATTGTATCGAAAAAGTCTCCATGGTGCTGGTTACAGAGTATGTGATTCGAGTGATGGATATGATGGAAGAAAGGCAGAGCCGTTTGCTCAAAGTTCGGCCCCGGCTACCTGCCCGGCACAGCCTCAGATCAGGTCACACAGACGCGTCCAGAGCCTATACGAGCTTCATTCTGCCCAGTGAGACAATGGTTTGCACCTCTTGAGAAAAAGAGCATTATGGATCTGGCCACCACCAGAGATCCCCAAACGAATCGATGTCTCCTGCTAGATGCATGATGAAGGTAGTCCAAGTGCTCTCATCATAAGACCGGTATCTATACAGGCGGGACTTGGGGATTCTGAGTTTAGTACCGTTTGAATAGGCGAGCAGCATTCGTCCATAACCTTCGCCCAATGAATGAACCAGCAAAGCTCACTGGATACGACCCAGTTGAGTTTGAGTGGGATGGTTTTCTTGAAGGAGGGAAACACCTGCTTCAAGCTTTGGTCAGTGACCTGGTACTTAAGGCTTCAAATCAGACGCATATGGCTGATCAGCAACTAATTTTTGAAGTTATTCCTTGACAAACCCATTATACTTATAGCATACTCCCTAACTTGGTTATTTCCTATACCAAGAAAGTTCTCCTATAAGTCTATTCCAGAAGACGGTTCCTTTTCTAGTATTAATTAATATATGAATAAAGTGTAACGGCCCTGCCCTTACTATATAGTTCCGCTGCTAGAAGACCTGGCGGTCTTCTATAGTGCCTTTTTGGCCGTATGGTTTTATCAAGCAGCGGGATAGGATCCTTACATAAAGTGGCTATGCACGTGTTGATAACCATTGTCTACTCCTCTTTATTAGTCTAAAAGCCACTCTTAGCCATTGAAGCTGCAGCAAAGCACACAAAGTTTGACCCATTGTTCTTATCATGGCTTTGCAGTACAATTTAATAATATCTGATATTCTTAAAGCATAGTCCTATAGGCACTTTAATAGACTGGAAAGAATCAGAAGCACGCCTACTAGTTAGATACTAGCTGGTGCAAACCAATATTTTTAAAAAATGCTTAACAACTAACTAACTATAAGGTATCTGTGAACTCAAGTGATATTAACATGTGTTGGTTGAATGGAATTGCCCTTCCAATTTAATCACAAGCATCAAAGCTTGCCTTTGTATCCGCTGCATAAGCGGTCCCTTTTCTTTGGGGCGGGGTGGATATTACTCTATGGAAGTACAGAATCAAACTCAGTGCCACTGGCCGTGCGGTTATGGCCGCTGTGTTACCTATTATAAAAATGATCCAAAAGCAGAAAAGAAGACCTTATTCGATTCTGGCAGAGTAAGCCCACGGTTATTATCCACTACATAAATAGACTTTGATTTTTCCCTCCAACGATATACAGGATGACGGAAAACTTTTTAACATAGGCACCAAGCAGCATCGCCCACGACTTCCGACAAGCAACACGTTAATTCAATGAGTAAGCCAAGTCAAATCATCAATCCGGTGGGTCTCTGAAATCCGTAGGCTGGAGATCTAAAACGCCTCCAAAAAGTCCAGCTCAGCCGTTGAAACCTGCGGCTGGGTCTTGGCCAGACTCTTGGTCATGCCCTTGGCAATGCTCCTCGCCATCCCCTTGGTGACGCCCTTGGTCGCCCCCTTAGCGCCCCGCTGGCGCTGCTGCTGGAAGCCAGTCTGCCGGCCGGCCTCGGCCTCGTTGGCGATTGCCACAAAGACCGGCGAGACGCGCCGGATGACGCCGGGTGCGACCTTGAGGATCATCGGGCCGTAGCCCTCCATCACCTCGCGCATGACCTCTAGCAGACCTTCCTGCTCGAGCGCCTCCTCGGGGATCTTGAGGATGGCCTGGAGTGCAGCCTCGGAGACGGCTGCGCGTAGAGCTAGGAATTCGGCGGTGAGGCGTTGCTCGTCGCTGTCGAAGAAGCTCTGCACCGAGAGGCGCTGACCACGCGAATACTGTTGATGCTGATACTGCTGCTGCTTCTTGTACCAACTGCCACCGATCTGGCCGCCCTGGCCGCTCTCGACGAGCGGTCCGATGGTCGCGGGCAAATCGCGCGGAATCTCGAGCTTGTGCCATTGGATCTCGGCGTCGTCAGAGACGCCCTCGGAGGCGAGAGCGCTGAAGAAGCGCTGGGCGCGGTCGCTGCTCGATTCCGAGACAGCCTCGATGAAAGAGGTCTTCTTGCGGTTCGAGGTCTGCGAGCGCTTGGTGCGGCTGCCGACGCCCTGGTGGCGGAGGGAGGGGATGGGCTCAGCGCGAGCGTTTCGGCCACCCTGCGCGGACTTGCGGGCCTCATCGAGGGCGACCCGGAGGAGGGGCTCGAGCGAGGCGTTGACCACGGCCGGGCCGGCTTGCTGCACGGTCGGGAGGAGCTTCTTGACCACGTCAGTCATGTTTGCGAAGACGTTTTCATCCTGGCGGAGCTCGCGGGACATTTCCTGCACGGCGACAAGGGCCGCTTCAGCGACGGTTGCGCGTTCGGCGACGCCATTGAAGGCGTGGTCATTTACAAAGTTCTGCTTGTCCGTGCGGACGTTCTCGAGGACGGCGTTGGAGGCGGAGCTCAGAGCCATATGGGCAATGGCGCCCGAGGGGATACCCAGTTGCCCAAAGGTAAGGCTGGAGTCCGGGGAAAGAATGTCCCGCGAGATGGGCGAGTCAAACTCCTTGGCCAGCTTGAGGATCTCGGCAACGTCGTCGACGTTCTGCATGCGGGAGCGCAGGGACTGGCGCCGGGTGGTACCGACGTGCTGGTCGAGGGCTTCAATGTAGTCATCGAAGTTGTAACCCTCGGGGCCGATGGCGGTTGCGGTGTTCTTGGAGCCGCCGCGAGTGTGCACGCCAATGCAGCACATGTCTTCTTCGTCAAAGACCGGGGAGCCGGAGTTGCCTATGTTGTTAGCCGATAGGTCGAGTTAGGGCCAAGAGGCTGGGGAAAACACACCTCCATTGGGATCAATAGTGTACTCCAAGGTCTGCGTGCCAGACTGGTGTATATTCCAGCGAGTCTCTTGGAAGTCCTGCTGGAGTCTACCACCTGGCTCACCGTCCTGTCTGATATCGCCGGGGTATCCAACGACACCAATAACCTTGCGGGCCGAGGCTGGGGTGTTCTTGTACTCAATCGGCTCGACATTGTAGAAGGGCTCGTCGAGCTTGATGAATGCGAGATCCGCCTCAACGCGCTCGGCCTCGTTCCACTCGTTCGTGGTGGCGACGCTCTGGCCCGTGCGGAATTCGACTTCAGGGTTGTCGACATTCCCACGGCCCGAGTAGCCAAGGTACACCTTGACTTCGTTGAGGCGGCCCAGCTCATAGCTGCGATCGAAGGCGCAGTGGCCTGTTGTTGCGACGAGGTCATCACGGATGAGGAAGCCAGTCGCAACTGCCCAGTCCTCGCGGCTCTGGCTCTGGTAATGAAGGAAGAGCTTGACGATTGCTATAGAGACGTTAGATACAGATCATCTGACATGAGGAAGGACTTACAGCGGTACTTGCCGTCAGGAAGAATATCCTTCTTGGTCACGGGGGTGCGATTATCATCATAGTCACCCTCACCCTTGCCCTAGTGGACGTAGTTGTAGGAGCGCAAGTGGGCGGGGACATTTTCAGAGGTCTGATTGAGGTCCCAGATGGGAACGTCATCAGACGAGCGCTCGAGAATGAGAGGCATGATGTTCGTGGAGTGGGTAGATTGGATAAGTGTTGTTTGGGCTATAGTACTGAAGATACTGATGGAATGGCTGTATCTCGAATATGTGGAGAAGTTGACAAAATCAGAAGGTTCGAGGCCAGGACACGCTGTACTTATAGCCCGCGACAGAGACTTCGATTCTCTCGCGTGGAGGCTGTGCAACGTCAACATCGTGCGCTGCACCTATCTGCTGATGCGGTGGTTGCTTCGATGTAGTCATGGCTTGTTTACGAGGGCCATTAGGCTCTCGCATGATGCCTTTGGGCCAGTTGGATCGAACTGAAAGCTTGCAGATTGCGTTATAGGTCGTGTTCACTTCTGCTTCAATAGGCCGGTTCAAGTGGGGTGAATCCGCTCGAGCAAGTTATGATCTCAACAAAGATCAGTAGTCCGGGGAGCCCTCAAAGTATAGCTTCCGCAGCCGAGCGACGCCCGCAGCCCACCTTTGTTCCGTGGGTCAGGCTATTATCAGGAGTACCAGCCACTAAAACCTTGACCATCTAGGGAAGATGGACCATGATCTCGACCATCGGACCAGTATTGAGTCGCGCCCTCCAAGCTCTCAGGGTGCAAGTCAATGAGGCCTAATGTGCTGTAGGCTTTGCATCTGCAACGTCACCATATGCCAAGTTGTGGGGTGAGGTCGAAATAGGGTTACGCCTCTCCGGGGCTGATCGGCGAGGCACCTACAGCAACCACCAGAGATAATGCAAGGGCCCCCCTACTGTCACACCCTGTCTCACTCGTTCAATCAGCCGTGGATAGTAAGATTGTGTCTTACTTCAGTGTGACAATGGAATTTAACATGTCCGCATGAGCCTAGACGGCCCTGCCCCAGTCCTTCCGCGGTCACCCGCATATCACCCAGTGCGTGTGTTTTGCTCTGCCATGCCGTAGCATTAGGTTTCGCCATTGGAGCTTCAATCTCAACTCCCGCACGTGGCTTTTGCACACAACTTCAGTTGCAAAGCGTAGCGTAGAAGATCGGCGAGGGAAAAAGTGAGACTCGAAGTGGTTGTAACAACTTCCGGAATGCGAATATAGTCAAGAACTCGCCTTTAATATCACGCATTGAAGCAATAGCGATTGTATATCTCTGAGTTCTAGCCCGTAAAGATCTCCAGGCTACTGTAGTCAACTCTCCATGCACTATGTGAGATTCCGGTCACATATAGACCCTGGTCTTGGACCGTCGAGTCTTTCTGACTGCGGGGAATATACCCGTTGAATATTTGGTGTAGAGGCCTTACCGAATCTAACGTGCAAGATAAGACTGTATACCCCCCTTTATCCGCTTCAAGTCGACGCCCGCTAGTTCATCCAAGAGGTTGAATAGCCCAAAGCCGTCTTCTTTTCGTCTCTCGTGTAAGCCGCGAAGCTCAGAAGAAAACGTCTCGGTGGTAAAGTCGACGCGGCGCGGGTACTCTACGGGAAGTCCATGGTGTTTAACCGGGCAGCACTTATATATGATCTTGCCTTTCAGAGGATATAGCTCGAGGGTACGCGAAGAGCCCACTATGAGACAGTTAGTAGAACACCGGTCTAGCTAGCTAGGACACGTACCTGGTAGACGAGCTGTATCATAAGCAAGAGAAATTTCAATGTCCAGGTTGCCATCCGATATACGTCCATCGTCCATGATTTGGTCTATCACTGCAAGGTCCCCGGCTAACTGGTCCGGGGCGTTTCGTTGAAGGTTTATCCAGTGGGAGCATAGTTGCGGTGCGGAGGTAATCTTCCAAACTCCGTTTATACCTACGTGGTTCTTTTTCACGTTCGTGAAAAAGGCAGGGCATATCGTGAGAAGTTTAAGCTCAAGATATGTTATGCCGCGGAGGTTGAGGTTCGAGAACTCCTTGCAAAAATGAAGATGTGCAGGCTGTGTGAAGTAGTCCCTCGTGGGGCGAAGACCGAGGCTTGGTGGTCCTAATGAATAAGCCAAGGAAACGCAAGATGATATAGGAGTCTTACCTATTGGCAGAGATGCCTTGGTAGCTCCGACTGCGATATGCAGGTTGGACAATCGTCCGCTGGAGATGGCAGATTCAAGGAACCGGAGCCACCATTCTGCCTTGCAATCTGGATTTATGGGGTCCAGTACTCCGTGAAGCCCAAGGCGTCGCGATGGCCAAAAGAACTCCGTTGAGAAATTGTCTTCGGTTAATTTTCGATATATCTCGATGCCCATCCTTCGCTGTACATCATGTTGCTCTGCCCCGGCGTCTTCGCCCCAGGGTAGGATAAACCCATTTGGCAGGCCCACGAACTGAACGTGCTGCGACTCTTTTATTATATCACTGATGCTCTTTCCCTCATCTCTAATGGCACCGAGCTCGGATTGGATTGCCGAACTCTTTGTAGGCGGATACGGCCACTCTCCGAGCAGTATGGGCATGATAAACGCGGGAATAGTAAGGTGAGTGGCCGAAGGGACACAGCTGAGTATATTTCTGAGGAGATGCGCGTGGTAATGATGCAGATCTCTCAGCTCCGAAAAGAGTAAGTCTCTGAGTTCGAGATTAGAAAGACGGTCACGCCCCGTTGCTCTTTTGGTTAGGGCTTCCTGGACCTCCACCAGAAGCGGATAATCTAGGTATTCTTGCATTATTCGCGTCCGAGATCTGACCGTCCTTGCAGAACCATAATTGGCCATGTTCATGTGCTGAAAAGAATAGTTGTCCCACGTAACTGCCCGGACAGTCTTAAGCAGCGAGGCGTGAGATCGCAGCTCGACGAGGCGTTGTTCCATCTCGGGGAGATTCATCATGTCCCCAAGATCGACGGCGCAATGGCTCAGCATGGGAAAGACCTCGCGTATCTGCGGTAGGTCTGTCACGTTGACAAGGGCAAACAGACCGCTCCTTGCACTGCGTCCCGCGAAGAGACTGCTCCGAAGGTGCTGAGTCCATGACTGACAGACCGACCTGAGGCCCTTGCTCTGCGTGATAAGGTGAATGAGAGGGACATATGCGAAAAATGGAGTTTCATGGGCTTGTTGGAACAGACTCTCTGCCAGTGCCAAGGCGAATATCTCAGCAAAAACAAAATGTGGCAGAGAAAAGAGCAGCTGTACTGAATTTTCCGAGGGGTTGCCAGGCAGTGGGTGTGTTGTGGCGGGAACGCGAGGCCAGCGGGTCTCAACGTGGCGCCGGAAAGGCCGTGCTGTCACCATCGGGCACTCAGGATTTCTTGCTCTTGTTCTAGCCATTTGGACGAGCCGCCTGTTAGGTTATGGGAGTTGTGAAGCGCAAGTTGTCCTTCCTGCTGGCGGCGAGAACACGAAGACATCTTGGCGTCATTTCCCTTGGCGTGGACTATCTTGATTTGAGGGAAAGAAAGGAAAACACGAAGTGCATAATTGATTGGTACATTGGAAAGCGCAGGAAAGGGTTATGGGCATAAATAGTAGTCATGAGCACCGGAAAAGAGTAGCAGCAAGTGTATTGGATAGTGCAAGCGCAGAGCAGGAGTGAAAAACCACAGAATAAGAGCTTACAACGTGGGTCAAAAGTTTGTGCACACTTCCCGCGACCGTGGAACTTCTAAACTTCGATAACAACTTCAACCAGTAACAACTCCACTAAAATAAGAGCTTTTGGCACTAAAATAAGCGGAAATTGAAGGCCTGGAGGTGAACTATCAAAGGAAACTCGCGCAGCTATTATATACGCCCTGGCTGCTAGTAAATCGCTAACAAAAATCACGACTAAGTTTCGCGTTTCTAGGCGCGTGGTGTATAATACTAAAAACTACTAGATTACTACTAAAACACTCGAAACTAGGCCTAGAACAGGAAGGCTGTTAAAGGTTAGCTAATTAACTACAAGATATATATACTAGATGGTATGTAGATTTCTAATGTTAAGCTAGAGGGCCCTCGCTACTAGTATACCTAATTCTCTCTCTATCTTAATAATTAAGCGGGTTCTGAAGCGATACCATATTAGGAAGTAGAAGTCAAAGAAGAGAATACCTTTATTAAAAGAATTAGCAAAGAAATAATATAAATTTATAAAGTTATAGTGGAAATATAAGCTTTAGAAGCGCTGGGCCTTCTCTAATAAATGTAGCATCTAATAGAAGGCCTCCCATGGAGTCTAATTTATCTTTTACTATTAAAAAGAGGGCTTTAGGGAGGATCTAGTGAATCTTAAGGTTCATAGGAAGCCTATATTATAGATAGTTTAGGCTTCTATCTAGCGTGGTGGCTGGTCGAAGTTAGTAGTCATGAAGAGGGACCCTAAGGCTAAAAAATAGGGATATAGCGCGAATAGTTATATCTAGGCGCTTGAGGAAGGTCTTATTAAAAACTACAAGCCTGGCTTTATATTCTAGTAAGATAACGCCTGGATTTATATAGTAGAGAGGACGCAGGAGTAGTTTAAATCTCATAGGATTTAGGTTATTAAATAGCCTCCACATTTACTAGATTTAAACCCGATCAAGCACGTCTGGAATATGCTAAAGAGGACTCTTCTAAAGCTTTATCCCTTTCTTTTTAAGGAAGGAAGGGCTTAGACTGACTAGAAGAACTTCCATGAAGCTATTTAAGAAGCTTAGTGGGCCATCCCCTAGGCCTTGATTAATGGTTTAATCGATTCCATGCCTCGCTAGATAGAGGTAGTAATTCGAGCGCGCGGCTAGTACACGAAATATTAAATAGCTTTAATTTATATGTATTAGGAAGTCTTAATTCGTTGTGGTTGTTAAATTATCGATATTTGGAGTTGGTGGGTGAACTATATATTTTAGGGTGTGCACAGACTTTTGACCTATAGTTGTATTATGTGAGAGAATTTTGAAACCAGTCAAAACCAGAAGTTGAGCAACTTCAGTTGAAGTGAGGACTAAAGGCAGCCACGAAGGCCTACATCACCACGACAGGCCATTTGAAGCCGAATGTTTGCCATGCCCTACAACTTAACTCTCCTTCCTGCCCACTCTGATCTTCAACTCTCAAACGTACTTTACACACCACTCACCGTGTCCTCTACAGACTCCTAGTCTCCAAACTCCTCCCCAGAAGCCGCTAAAAAACCCTCAAGTGGTAAATCTTGCCCCCTTCCCCAGTTGGACCGACCATCTGCACTAACACGCCTGATCAGAATCGACCCCCTAGCAGGCCCAGCTCACATCCCTCCTCTCTCCTGTTCGATATTTCGACTGGCACTGCGGTATTCACAGAGCACTGGAAACACCCGCCCACCGCACCGCTGCCTTGCTACACCGTCGTGGACATACCGTCACACTCTGCTCCAACTGTGTCGGGGACCATGACCCGGCTTGGGGAAGATACGTCGTTGCTCCAGTGTATAAAAGCCAGTCCATACTCTGTTATACGTGTTCGAACTGTGTCTTCAAGGGCGATGTATCTGGTTGTTCCCACCGTGAGGCGTTCGAGAAGACTGGTGGTCAGGAGTGGGATTCTGCGGTTACTCGGTACGTGGCCATGTACTTGCGCTGCGTAGGTGGCGCCTCTGAACATTATTGATAACACAAAGTGACATCGTTGCTCGTGGCGGCCTTCGCGCTGTCTTAAATGCCGAATTCGATACCTCAGCGGCCGAGACTACCACTGGGCCCCCTCGCTCAATGAAGAAAGCCAAGGAAGAAAACATACCTAGTCCGCAAGAGCCAGAGTCGATGCTTCCTGGAACCCTAGAACCCCAATCACCCACATCCTCCCACTCCACCTTCTCCGAGCCTCCAGAAACTGAGTTCCATGGAGCATTCCTCCCTTGGCCTGTGTCGCTTGATGCTTGGAATGACCCCGACGTACTCCGGTGTATGGTGGATGACTGGAGAGCCTTTATTCAGATTGTAGAGGCACGAATTGCGGAACTTGAAGGTGCACCTCCAATTGAGTATGAGTCTTCTTATGAATATTGGTCCTCAGAATATGCTAGATTGTTTCCAAGTTGATGTTAGTTGCCTCGGGAAGAATAGTTTAGAGTTGTTTCCCACATCGATAGACCACTTCAGGCATTATTACAACCTTTGACTTTGAACCTCGCTTAACCTCTATTATGCCTTCACTTAGCCCTTATTAAACCTCTACTCAAAGGTCCGCCAGAATCTCCACTAAGACCTCACTTCTCCAGAGACCCTTTGACTAATACCTCACGCCTGAGAACCTTCATTATCTCAAGATCATTGCTATATCAGGGTAGATATTAGTACTTCTCCGATTCTACGACTTTCTGTCGTGTAAGATTCTTACTATAGTAAAGGTAGCTCCTAGCTAGTTTCCTCTTCATGAAGGTGGTAGGGGTACCCAGCGTAGCCGTGGGCCCGTGACCGGACCTACCTAAGATGTAGATGGGACCTTGCCACATAGTCTTGATCAACAACCATACTGGAAGTCTTGATATGTCTCTATATGGGCCTACGGTTATCGTCCAATCCAACCCTTGGATAATCTGTGGGATCTGTATTAGGGAAGGCACGAAGGGTAACTAATAACCTCCATAAGAGCCTCACCTTACTTCTTAAACCTCTCGACGACAGGCATACTTCTATAAAGTGTCATGTACATCAATAAGGAAGCACTAGCAGTTTAGATGAAGACAACATCTTTATCTTCTTATTCCTGTAAAGCCCCCTTCGCGCGAATAGTGGACACTGCCCCAAACGGAAGCTACCTAAGGTAGCTTCCATAAGCTTGGGAGCCCTCCCTCCAAACATCCTACATAGCCCAAAAAGCTCTCTCTACATATCACAACGGCCAGGTAGCTTAATGGTAAAGCGCCGATTCTCTACATCCGACTGGGTCGCTCAGGGTGTGCCACTCCTAAGGGGTGAGCAATTCGGAAAAAGGCAGCAGAGCTGACCTTTGGTACCACCGAAGATGCAAGTTCGAGTCTTGCTCTGGCTATTGTCTCTTATTCTTTTCTTTTTTGTTTTTGCCTTTCTTAATCATGACCCGCTACTCATTTGAGGGATAAAAAGTGAGTGAGAAGTGTTAAAAGAGATCCTCCAGTGGGCGCTTAAACGAGCGTAGACTGAGCGGCTCGCCAGTCCAGGGGACACATTCGGCGAGTCTTGCTTCATCAACTATGGCATCGTACACGCGGAGGTAGTAGGCGATGTCTATGGATTCGGGAGTTGGGTGGTCGTGTGAGACCACCCGGACGATTTTCGGGCGGGCCATTTGAGAGAGCAGGTTTCTAGCGAGTTGCTCAAAGACAAAGGGGACTGCTTCTTCGCCAGTCTGCCCGTAACAAAGCTGAGAATGTTTTCCAATGTCAGGCGTGATGTTGAGGACAAACTCCTCGACCCAGATTCCTGGCTTTTCTGGTTCTGATATTGACACAGGCTGCAGGATATCAGGGCAAACGCTGTGTACGCATATTGAAAGACGCCGCATATGTTTTTGCGAAAGAAGACCAGCTACTGAAGGGCATAGATGAATCGGGAGCTTGCCCTCCTCACTAGCTGCAACACATTCACAGCCCCTGAGATCCAGCTCCAGGGACGCCAGACTATGCATATACCCAACAGAAAGAACATCCGCAACAATCGCCGACGAAATAGTAAACTCCTCTGTCAGAGTTGTAAGCCAATATTTCTCGCCCATATCCTGCTCACTAGCCGCATAAAGCCCGTAGACGCCACGCCACGTCCTGAAAGACAGATTCTGCAAAGACGTACACCCAGCTAATATCGGAAGGAGATCTCGGATGCCCTGGTTGTGCAAGGACCGTACCCATTGCTTGAGTGGCGCCAGCGTCGTGTCTTCGTCTTCGGTTTCCTCCGCCTGGAATGGGTAGAAATCATGAGTCGTGAAATGGATTTCGTGAGCGTGGCTTTGTAAGAGTTGTATGATTTGCTCTTTTGTTCTGGAGTGAAGGAGTCTGTATATCTTGTTCGGGGTAATTTTGACTTCTCGTAGACACTCGCGGATCGCGAATGTGTACCATCTTTTGCAGATTAGTACTCTGCAGAAGTCGTCTTTGAAGAAGGCCTGCCCGATCCATTGGAAGATTGGCCCTAGAATCTCGTTGGGGAGGTCGAGGAGGCGCATTTGTGTTGGATACTTGTGGAGACTAAGATATGGAGTTGGTGCTGGGACTGGAATCTTGTTTTGACAGTTGGGTGAACCTGTGTCTCTTCCGATGTCTCAGCGTCTTAGAGAATCACTTGGCGTTAGGACAACGTTATGACAATCAAGTAAGACGGTTTCAGAGCCCATATACGACGTCGAGGAAAGACATTCGCGGTGAGGTCTAAACACGATGCTTATTGCTGACTGAGACTGCTTGAAAACAGTCTCACCTTACTTTGAGTCTATCTTGACGAGATTGCGGAGTGGTTGAGACCGTTTCACCTTTGCTTCAACGTCTGCTTTGGTGTCTCGATCAGGCTCCGGAAGGCTGAGACATACGCTCGTATTGCAATCTTGTAGCTTGCGTAAGGGGAAACTGATGATGTTTTGAAAGGTACGGAGTATATTTTGGCTATCAAAGCTTAGGTAGAGGCTGAAATTGTTCCACATATAATCGGACGTCCGTGATCGACGTCAACGAAGATCGTAGGATTTAGGCGCTTGCTGGCGCCTAGGACTTGTATTGCGGAGGAATGATTTCTCCGCGGGGCTTTGCATACATCCAGAGATCTGTCAAGGTACGGTCTTGGGATGGAATATGATTAACTGTGGGACAACTACATCTTTGGCAAGATTAGGCATCGCGTTGGGTATGTAAAGTGTTCATGGGGCTGCATACAGTCGGGGTTCCCAGTAGTTCATGTCCAGGAAGATCACAGATACTGTGGGCACTCTATTGGGTTTGAACGTAGATCTGATTGTATTACTTGAACACTATTGTAGGAAATCTCATGCTACAAACCATAGAATACACTAGCAGTGCCTTAACTCGGCAATCCACCACTCCTAATATTCTTCAAACACCTGATAGTCTCCCATAATTCCCACTCATGTTGATAGTTTCTCATATACCACTCACTTTCATCTCGTAACCTGCCACTTTCCATCTTGGGGCGACTCCAATCCTTCATACGATTTGAACATCGTACCTAAGCACCTTCTTCTTCGTCAATGCGGATCGCTCCCTCGTTGCCGTGTCCACTCGACCAGAAGCCGTCGACGTAGAGATTTCTGGGACGGTCAGCATCAACAGTTCATCAAAAAAGCCAAGGGTACTACTCACGTTCCAGTAGCTGCGTCGTTGGCAATCACGAGCCAGTAGCCGAGAATGCCCTGAATAATGATATCGTGGATCGCGAACAGGACGGTCTCGGCGGTGATTCCAACCTTAAGAGCAAGGGCGCCAGCGGCGAGAGTACTAGCAGCCATGTTAGTGTCGTTCTACCTTACGTGAGGTCAGAGACATACATTGGGTACAACGCCTTGGCGAGAAGTGCGGTAGTAGCAATGGCTCCGAACAGACGGCGGGTGTGGTTTTCCCTTGTGCTCGCGGCCCTGGATCCCTTGATGCCGATGTGGTAGACAACGGTGATGTACGAGATCGCGCTAATAACGAACCATACCCATCTGCGCGACGTGTGGCCAGCGTAGGTGCCAAAAATACCAGAGGCGAGCATGATATAATCTGCAGCAATGGCGGCAAACAAGTGCGCTCCGGGGAGACCAGAAAGAAGGGTCAAGGCTGTGAGGATCAGAGGATCCGTGACGAACCAGTTGACATAGCGCAGCCAGAGGACCTGACGGATGACCTCGTGGTCGGTGTTGGGAACGTGCTTGTGGACGTGCTTCACAGAGTCGTGCTTCCAGTCCATGCCTTGTCCGGTAGCGAGAGCGAGGTAAACGATGAACGAGACTGTAGTCGAGACGGAGACGAGGTAGTGTACAACACGTTTGGGCTATATTGCGTTAGTACCATTTCGGCGTGCGCAAGGTTAACAAAACGTACGAGCTGGACGCGGTTGCTGAGAATATAGAATACCAGAGACGACAGGGCCATGAGCACAGCGACAACCCTGAACAGCCAAATTAGCAACACAACCAATCCAAAAGGCTTGTAGTTCCTTACCATAAGGTCCGTTTCCCGGCCTCGTTGATTTCCTGGAAAGTAGGATGCCCTCCTGGGATAACTGTAGGAATAGGAGCCACCGACGAGGTCGAAGTCGTGGTGGGCTCCGGGAAAGGAACACCGTCCGTGATGGTTTCCGTCATGGTGCGTGTAACTGTGACTGTCTTCTTCAAGATCGATTCAATCATCGTGGCAGCAGTTTGAAGACGCAGAGAGACGCGGGGTATCTCCAATCAGTCCGTGGGTGGCCATGAAGATTGGGGATCGCTCAATTTATAGACTGGGACAGCGGCGCATCATGGACGTCGGTCTCGATCTTCGTTGACCAAGCACTGCATCGCTCAATATGCAACGACAACTGCTATTCGCTGGAAGCTGGTCTAGAGTGGCATGCGAGTGTGGTCTTACGAGTCAATCGTCATTCTGACCTCGATCTTGTCGTCATTGAATCCCCAACTGGCCGCAGCTGGCCGGAGCCGGCGAGAGTACGTGACAAGCTGGCAAGCCGATTGGCTCAAAAGATCTAGAGCTTATTTTTCTACGTCGACGGCAGAGGAGAAGGGAATCAGCTGAGTTGTGCAACAGGAAGCGTTGGAGAAAGTGGGAGAGTGAGAGGTTCTTGGCGTGGCTATAGCAGGTTTCCGTCCCGCCACATGACGACAGACTCATGCACGCCAGAAGCTGTATACCAGTCGATGGGGACCTTTGGCAGCTGCATGTCAAATCTTTTAATAATAGTAATACAGATCTAGTCAAGCTAATGTACAAGTCTAAATGTTGGAATCAAGGAATAGCGTCGGAGCTGGTCCCTTCACGAAGATCCCTCCAGCCCTCGTACGACCTCCTCACAGCGATTGCACGCCCTTTCTTCGGCCGCCTCTTCTTCCGGAATCACATAGCGCCAGCACCGAGGACACTTGGAAGCCTGCGGGGTAAAGACGTACACTGTTCCCTTCTCGCCACTTGGGAGTTGGTACTCCGAACTATATTGCCATTCGGCGTTGGCGATTGTGTCTGGAATTGCTTCATCGCTGCCGCCGATGGTAACCGACGAGACAACAAAGATATCAGCGAGCTCTTCCTTTCGCTGGAGCACAGATGGGACGCTTGTATTCGCCGGGAGCTGGATGTGAACGAATGATTGAAGGGATGACCCCAGCTGTTTATGGCCTCTAGCGTTTTCCTGGAGGCCCTTGATGACAGAGTGGACAGCAAGGATATCCTGGTAGTCAGCACCGAGGGACCCCTGCTGCCACTCTGGGGCGGGATTCGCAACAACACGTCTTAGAGGGTGCTCACACGCCGCCTTGATCGCTGCAGGGGTGTGCTCCCAGGTTTCTTCCACAAGCAAGGGCGTAATGGGAGCCAGCACTTCCTGCAGCTGATTGAAAATGTGAAACAATGTCGTCTGGGCGGCCCGTCTGCTTGGGCTATTTTCCGCATAGGTATATAGGCGATCCTTGATAGTTTCCATGTAAAACGAAGAAAACTCCAGGTTTGCCCATCGGTTGATGGCATTCGCAGCCTTGTAGAACTCAAACTTCTCGCATGCGGAGCGAACTGCCAACACCATTTCAGAAAGGTGCAGCAGCGCGATGCGATCAGCCAGTAGTAGTTGGTCATAGGGAATTTGGTCCTCCGGCTTAAAGTCCGCAAGTACCCCAAGAATGATTTTGAAAGTTACCCGGTACTTGTGTAAGCTGGTGTGAACTGTCTGCAGAACTTGCTTGCCGATCACCACATCTCGGGTATAATCACTGCTTGCAACCCAGAGTCGAAGGGCATCCGGGCCTAAAGCATCATATACAGGCTCCTTTGACTCTGCTTGCTTCTTTCCCTTCTTCGGCTTGACCGGTGGTAGTAGGGAACCATCCATGATGCTATGCGGGTGAAGAATATTGCCAATAGACTTGCTCATCTTGCGGCCATCCTCGTCGAGGGTGAAACCATGGGTAACCAAGGTCTTGAAGGGTGCGCGAGGGCTAGCAGTCTGTCCAGAGGCGAGCTGGTGTGAGATGAAGGTGAGAAGCCCTGACTGAAACCAACCGCGATGCTGGTCGCTACCCTCGAGGTAAACATCGGAAGGATACCCGTGGTCGCCGTAAGGGGTCTCTATCTCGGCCCAGCTGGTGCCACTGTCAAACCAGACATCCATGGTATCGGTTCCACGTCTGTAACCGGCTTCAGAGGTTTCTCTCAAAGCGGGTGGTATCCAGGCTTCGTCATTTGGATCATCCGTCCACCAAGCATCAATCCCACGCTCATCAATGACACTCATTATGTGCGTAACGGTGTCTTTTGTACACACAGCTGCGCCGGTACTTCGGTTGTAGAGAGCAGGAATGGGAACACCCCAGGCACGCTGGCGAGAAATACACCACTCGCTCCGGTTCGTGACAAAAGCTGACAGTCGTTGCTTTCCAGAAGCCGGAACAAACTGAACCTTTTCTAGGGCAATTAGTGCACTAGCACGGATGTCTGCCACATCGGCAAACCATTGCTCAGTAGCTCGGATGATGATGGGTAGCTTGGTCCTCCAATCGCAAGGGTACTTGTGCTCATAGCTGTGCTTAGCGAGGAGCAGTCCTTCTGAATCAATATATTCCAGAACCTCTTCATTTCCTTCGCCCTGGACATTCTTTCCGCTCAGTCGTTTCGGGTCGTCGGGCAGCGCCAAGTCAGTGAAGTTCCCATGGTCATCAACCGGGGCAAAGGCGGGAATGCCACGGGCAGCGCAGACCAGATAATCGTCCATACCATGGCCTGGAGCGCAATGAACCAAGCCTGTTCCAGAGTCGGCGGTAACAAAGTCGGCGGCGATAACCGGCTGTGGTTCGGAGGCGGAACCCTTGAGGAGTGATCGATACATTGTAACGTCCGCGAGATCCGAACCTAGAATGCCAGGAACAATCACAGAAAGTTCCTCCTTGAGAGTGCTTGCCAGAGATTCAAGCCGAGATTGCGCAACGAGAAGATGGCCATGAGTAGCTGATTCCACAATAACATACTCCAAAGCTGGATGAACGGCGATGGCAGCATTAGCAGGGAGAGTCCATGGGGTAGTTGTCCAGATGACTGCGCCAATAGTCTTGTCCTTAAGAAGCGGATTCTGTTCAAGGTACGACGGAACCCTGGTCAGAGGGAACTTGACATAGGCAGCCGTAGACACATGGTCCTCCTTGTATTCCAGCTCTGCTTCAGCGAGCGCAGTACCCGTTGAAGGTGACCAATAAACCGGCTTGAACCGTCGATAAATCAACCCCTTTTCAACCATTTCGCGAAAGATACCTAGCTGTCTCTTCTCAAAGTCCTTATCCATAGTCTTCCAGTGGTTCTCCCAGTCCGCCATGACCCCAAAGCTCCGGAATCCTTTCATTTGCTCCTTCACCGTCCGCCTCGCAAGATTCCGCGCAGACTTCCGTATAATGTCGGCACGAACTGCTCCGGTTTCCTCAATAGCATCCTTCCGCGCCTCCAAAGCCTTGAGCTCAATCGGCAGCCCGTGACAATCCCATCCCGGCACGTAGCGTACCCTCTTCCCCAGCCCGAGCTGCACACGGCAGATGATATCCTTCAGAACCTTATTGAGGGCATGACCGACATGAATATCGCCATTCGCATACGGAGGACCATCGTGGAGGACGAAGGGTTGATCGACAGGTCGTTCACGGCGTTGCCAGGCATAAAGCTCATCAGTGCATCGCTTGAGGTATTTTGTATGATCGGCCGGAGTCACGCGCGCCGGGAATGTCGATTTAGGGAGCTTCAAGGTCGACGACCAGGATCGGGCCAGCCGTGGCAGTTCCGGCATGCTACTGCTGAAGCATGTCCTGCTCTGAGGCTCAATTGGTAGCGAATTGAAGCTGGAATCAATGTTCTCGCTCGGCTGTCGGAGACTGTCGATAAATTACACCAATACGGACTTGGCGTCAGGAACCTGCCCAATGCGCTTGGCGATACGAGTATGATACATATAAATTACGCATATTTACAAAATGCAGCATCATCACGGTGTCTCCAAGTAGTACTCATATGAGAGCTGAATCAATATATAGTCAGACAGCTTACTGCACCATTCTTCATAATCTCGAATAGGAGACCTGGGAATCCGAAAAGCTCTGTGTTTCCCAAACCTCCGTCTTGCCCACCTTGCCCTGCTCTCTGTCCTTTGGCGGTGGTCTCCTCCCACCCGCCGAGGAACTCCACACTGCTTTCCGGACTTTCGCCCCATCCTCTGTTCAAGACCATCGGTCGCTCAAGGGCTCTCTCTTCTGCAGCATTTGCATAGGACCCTTTCCAGACATCTCTAAGGCGTCCAGAGATTTCGTCATAGCGTGTTTCTGAAGAGGCGATTGGTCTTGATGGATGTACTTCGATCTTCCAGCGGCTGCGTCGGTAGCGGTTGAAAGGATACGATCCCGGCACATTTCCATGTAAGACAACCTTGGTCACGACCAGTCGAGGCGAAGGGGATGGGGGTGTAGGGTCACTGATATCGGAACCTGGAAATGCTGGGCCGGACGTGGTCGGATGAGATATAAATGCGTCAAAGCCATGATGAAAATAGTTGAAAAAACATTCAGACGGTAACGAAGACGGATCCAACGCGCTGGCCTGCGACAGCTCTTCGTCTGATTCATCACTCACACTATTGTTCGATGATTGATCTGTGTCAGTCACTTCGATCCCTCTTCCAGAGGCTGGGCTCATATGGATCGTGTCATCCCCACCACGACCACCAGCGGCGCGATGAATGGATATCCTGCGATCATTCTTACGATATATGGCATCCGGGGGTCCAAACTCCGCAATCAAGTCCTGCGGGGTGGTTTCCGATAGAGTGATATATGTTGGTGATGTAGATCTCCGTATGACTTCAATCTTGCCCGCGCCCAGGATGACAAACTCTTCTATCTCATCTGGGACAAATTCTTTGTTCTTACCCGCTAGGGCCGGGGAGCGTGGGTACTGCGGCGGCTGCGTGAACAATTTAGTTCTAACTTCTGGCCACGAGGTGCCCTGGTATATTGACATAGATGTTGCTGGCAGAGCTGCGGAGGATGATAGCAAAGCTACGAAATCGCATTGCTCCGACCAAGCTGAATCTTGGAGGGGGAATGAGAAAGCAACGCCAGGGTATGATAAGACATAGGTGCCGTATGGTGACGGAGGAGTTGGAGGTATGTATTCGCCGGGATACGACGGACCGAAGAGGCGGTTGTACACATGACGGAAACTAGGGCCCAGGGGGGACGGCGAATGTTCCTGAGGTTTGGCGACGCCTTTTAAGACTTCCTGGTTTTTGTAGATAAGAGTTGTCTTGGAAAAGTCCAGTACCTCGATCAAACGCAGCCGTTGATCGGGCCCGTCGAATCGCAAGCGGAGGCCATTCAAAGGAAGTTGCAAGGTGACTGGGTTCTGAAGGGGATCTGAGGCGGAGTACGCGATATCGATCGCGGGGTAGGTCTGGGGATGGGCCTTTACGCGGCTGAGGACATTATGAAGAGAAGCGCCGAGAGCTATCGACAATATTAGCCCTGTTAGTACGACAAGCCAAGGCAAACCTACTTATAAATCCCAGTCCTTTCCCCGGGTAAATCTGGGCCTGTGGTGACGCTTTCGAGGCACTCATCATAAGCTGTACTGCGTACCCATGCCGTGAGGGGTAGCAGAGCTCAAAGACTGGTACTTGTAAGGTCAGTAGGATAAGAGTGGGAGCGCGAAGTAGAAACGTGTGGCTGTATGTTTACAAAAATGTTGGCTTGAGGATATGAAATACAGTGAGAAGTTTTAAAATCCGGAAGATGTCGAACTGGAAGAGAGAGAAAGGGACGCTCTTCAGCAGCAAGCTTGGTCAGATGGGGACGGTGGAGTAATCATGTGAGCACAGCGAATGACTGCGGAGCTCGCGTCACAAGGACGGCCCGTGTGCTGGCCTCAGGTTTGGTTCCAACTTGTTTTGGTTTTCCTCTTTTGGCTCACGGAAGACAACACCAATTTTGCGACAACCACCAGCTCAACAAACTTGCGAACCCGACCATCTGGATAATCCATCCCGTTGATTTCTGTCTAAGTATTATTTTTGCAATTGTCTTTGAGCGCCGAATCTTTTATCATGGCCGGCCCCCAACGGCCTGCCTCTGGCCTTCCGACGAGGCGAACAACGACAGCACGACAACCGACGAGACGGGCGGGCTCTGCTGTACCTGAATCACGAACAACCCAGCCCTCGCCGGCTATCTCGACGAAAACTTCTGCTGCTCGTGGGCTGCGCGCGCTGAAGTCTCCGGATACACCTGCGAGCGTTACTGCCAAGCGGAAAGAAAGGGACATTGAGAGAGAGATCAACGAAGATACAAGCATTCATGTTGTCGTGCGGTGTCGAGGGCGGAACGAACGGGAAGTCAAGGAAAATAGCGGAGTTGCCCTTGTTACCGAAGGAGTAAAGGGGAAAACAGTGGAATTGTCGATGGGCCCCAATGCAGTGTCAAACAAGACCTATACGTTTGACAAGGTGTTCTCTGCGGCTGCAGACCAGCTCACTGTGTACGAAGATGTCGTGTTGCCGGTTGTTACAGAGGTAGAGTTTTGCGCCCCTAGCCCCGATCGGAGGAGGCATCTAACCTGACTTAGATGCTTGCGGGATACAACTGCACAATATTCGCGTACGGGCAGACTGGTACAGGGAAGACATACACGATGTCCGGGGATATGACAGATACTCTGGGAATTCTGTCTGATAACGCCGGTATTATCCCTCGCGTTCTCTACTCGCTTTTCGACAAGTTGGCCGAAACCGAGAGCGCGGTGAAATGCTCCTTCATCGAGCTGTACAACGAGGAACTACGAGACCTACTCTCTGTCGAAGAAAACCCGAAACTCAAGATATATGAGAACGAGCAGAAGAAGGGACATATGAGCACGCTGGTACAAGGAATGGAAGAGACTTACATCGACTCCGCGTCATCAGGCATTAAACTGCTCCAGCTAGGCAGTCATAAGCGTCAAGTGGCCGCTACCAAATGCAACGATTTGAGTTCTCGGAGTCACACGGTGTTTACGATTACCGTGAACATTAAGCGAACAACAGAATCAGGCGAGGAATACATTTGTCCCGGAAAGCTGAATCTTGTTGATCTGGCGGGCAGTGAGAATATCCAGCGCAGTGGGGCTGAGAACAAGCGTGCAACTGAAGCTGGTTTGATCAATAAGAGCTTGCTCACGTTGGGTCGGGTCATCAACGCCTTGGTCGACAAGAGCCCTCATATTCCGTACAGGTATGTTTTCCGCCTCCATTGTATTCGAGGATGCTAATACGTGTGGCAGAGAGTCGAAGCTCACGAGGCTGCTGCAGGATTCCCTCGGAGGACGAACCAAGACTTGTATCATCGCCACGATTTCGCCTGCCCGAAGCAATCTCGAGGAGACGATATCGACACTGGACTATGCCTTCAGGGCAAAGAACATCCGCAACAAACCTCAAATCAACTCTACCATGCCCAAAAAAACGCTTCTTCGTGAATTCACCTCTGAAATCGAGAAACTAAAAGGCGAGCTCATCGCAACAAGGCATCGGAATGGCGTCTATATGTCAGTCGAGTCATACGAGGAGTTGACAATGGAGAACGACTCTCGGAGAATTATCAACGAAGAGCAGCGCGCGAAGATCGAATCCATGGAATCTAACCTACGCCACAAGGTCCAGGAGCTGTTTACCCTGACGAGCAAGTTCAACGATTTGAAGAAGGACAATGACGACACTCTCGCAGCCCTGTGCTCAACCAGTGATGTGTTGCAGCAGACGGAGTTCGTCTTACAGAACACCAAATCCCAGCTTGAGGAGGAAGAAATGCTACGCAGCGCGCACCAGGAGACTGAACAACAACTTCATAATATCGGCAAGGGTCTGCTAACGACCCTGGACCAAACAGTACATGATGTCGGTAGATTACATGCGAAACTGGATCGTAAAGCCAAGTTGGACGCTACAAACAGAGAGATCTGGGAACTATCAACAACCGAAGTCTCGGATGTCACCAAACAGATCGACAGCAGGGTGGACACTTTCCAATCGGAGCATGTGAAGCTTCTAGAATCAAGCTCGAACAGGATTACCGAATTTATTGTGAACGAACTCTCCCAAATGGAAACAGCGCAGTCTAAACTGTCCGATTTCAGTCAAACTCTCGACGAAGCATATACCAAGGCGAAAGCCGAAACATCAAGCGCTCATGACGAGATAAACAATGTGCTTGAGGAGATCAAAGATTTGCGAGAAGATGTCAAATCCAAAGTCAGAGAGGGGCTCAATGGCCTCTCTGCCGCTGCCGCCCGGATATCCAAGGAAGTTATCGGGGAATTTGCTGAGTTCCATGCACAGGTAGGAGCAATAAGCCTGATCTTGCCGTTACTATGCTAACAACCGCAGCTTCATTCGTCCTATAGCAACCTTGGAAAGGATCTGAAATCCATCTTTGAGACTATGACCGACCATCTGAACGAGCAGAGAAACGAGATTGATCGCCTGCGAGTCGACCTGCAAAATGCTAATCGTGAAAACATCGAGACCAGTCGCAAAGCTTCTACGCATCTTGCACAAACCCTTGAGGAGGAGCAGGTTGCTGCGGAGTCCGAGCGGGAAATCCTGATGTCGCAGATCCAGTCCCTCATTGAAGAGTCCCGACAAAAACAGTTCGGTCGGCTGAAAACAAAGATCGATACCGTTCGGGCGGATATTTCATCATCTGGGGACTCCCTTGAACAAGCAACGACTCATCACGATCGCCAAGTCGATGAATGGGTATTCAAATCTGAGCAATTCGCAAAGGATGTCAACGGGTCAAAGGAAGAACTCAAGACTCGCATGCAAAACGACTGGGAGGTAAGTGTCAGTTTTATCCCAATTCGCGGTCATTTTCTAAGTTTGTAGGCATTCGACCAGCGCAACTCTTCGATTCAGAAGACCACCGAGTCGGTGCACAAGGAAACAGTGCGCATCGTTGATGCCCAGATGAACGACATGGGAAGACAAATGGAGGCCTTGGATGATTTCGTAGCGAAAGCACGGTCTCAGAACGGTCTCTACCGTGATGCTCATCATGCTACCCTCGACAACATTGCTACTGGCGTTCACCAATCGTACTCCTCAGTCCAGCAGCAATTCGGCGGCCTAGGAACCCGGATGAACCAGCTCCAGGAAGAAGCAGCCCAAAGCCGGACAAGCCTGCAAGAATCCATGGTGCCGTTGTCTGAGGGTGTCCGCAAGCCTCTTTCGGATCTTTCTTTCAATGTCCAGAATCGGCCATTGGAGGAGTATGTCTCGACTGGTGCCACTCCCAAGAAACGTAAATACGAGTACACTTCGGTCCTGCCAGTCACTGAATCGCATGAGGCTCTGAAGTCAAGATTACGAACAACTAAAGAGATGGAAGTGCTGCCCTTCAACAACGAGGATGCACTCCAGGCACCTGCTAGCTCCGCAGGGACTTCGCCTTCGAAAGGATTCGTCTATAACGATACAGAAGACGAGGTAGGAACTCAAGTACCATCCATGACCAGCGTCAACCCTTCCAACACGGGACTTAGGGAAGTCGATGCCAACGTCGCCGCAAGACCGCTCGCGTCTAATACGGACGGCAAACCAGCCATGGACCAACCCATCTCCCTACCTGATGGTGCTGATGCCCTTGCCGAAACCGACGATACCGAGGCTCCACCTTCCAAGAGGCGCCGCTCAAACCCAGGCACGCTTGAGACTAAACTCCCTCACAAGATGGTCGCCAAGAGGATGGCCGGGATGATGGAAGGCCGAGAGAATGTTCCGCCTTCCAGTGCTCGCAGGCTCAGACATCGTCCTTCACCGTGATATGTTGCCTATATCTCGAAAACATTTTGCCTTCTTTACTGCATATATTCTTATACCCATCTGTTTATCCCAGGTCCACGGGTCTACAGGTCTCGGAGTTATGGAAAGATCAGGAACATGCATTGGGGTTTTCTTTTTATTCTAGACTACGCTCTGGCGATTGAGTATCGCGATTTTTGATGTCGGGCTTTTTTCTAGGAGTTCTGTCGCACTTGTGGTTGCTATTCTATTCTTGCGGACATTCTTCTCTTACTTTTTTGTTGCCTTTTTGATTACCCGGACTTGCTTTTGCCATTTGATTTGTATTAGTATGCAGGAGGTCGCTGTGGATTGATCTGTTCTGGAATACAGATTGCTCAATGAGCATACATTACACTAACCGCGCATAGTAGGATTATTCTCGAAACCAAAAAGAAATGTTGCAACACATGTCCGTATGATCAGGTAGTCAACGGTACTCCCTAAATCACCAATAAGATCCAAACGCCTCTATGAATTCATGATTAAACTCAGGGAGCGCTGCCCTCCTCCTTCGCATAGCTCACCTCATCTTCCCCTGGAGTTTTAAGCAGACCCCCTTGTGCATCCTGCGCACCTGGTTCCTCAAGCTGCAACGGCTCCTCAAACATCTCTTCAGGCCCGGGTGGTAAATTCTGTTCCCCATTCTCAATCACAAGCCTCAGCTCATCTAGCCGTCTGGCAAACTGATCCATCATATCCTCCAGCCGCTGACTCCCCCTCTCCGTATCCTTCCCCAGCATCCCAATCGGCAACCCGGACGTCCCCTGGATCTGAAGCATGAGTCCGCCGTTCACAGGATTCTCGGCAGAAGCGTTTGTTTCGAATGTAGGTGCTGGCGCGATGCTTGTGTTGAGGACTTGCCACGAGGGGGAGAGGCTGTGTGCGGAAGTTATCTTGAATTGGTGCGGCTGTGATGATGATGGTTGTTCGGCTTCGCGTGGTGGTTTGGCGTCGCCTTGTGTTGCGGCTTGCGCTTGCGCTTGTGGATCGGGGGAACCGGCGGCTGTTTGTTCGGTCCCTTGGTGTGGGATTGGGGTATGATCGATGTCCAGAATTATAAAGTTCTCTCGGACGCCCGGGATGGGCTCTGGGAGGAGGGATTCCTTCCTTCGTGCGCCTCCCTCATCGGAATTCCCAACGTGTTCCCCGGCTGGGGATAGCTGCGTATTGTCGCCTGGTGCCTTTGACTTCCCCTTCGCGCTCGTGTTCAGGAAGGTGTCCTGCTCTGATTCCAGCGAGCGCAGTGCAGCCTCCGTAACAATATCGTTGTCGTCATCGGAGAAGATGTAGTGCACTGTTGGATGGTAGTATTCCGACGTGTGGGCGTCCTCGATTAGGGTGAAGAACGGCTGGGATAGGATCTGATCATGAGGGGGGGACGGGAGCTCATCGTGCGGGAGTGTTTCATTCTCGGCAAAGTGGGATTCGGGGTTCGGTACGGGTGTGTGATTCTGGCTTGGATATTCGTCTGGGGTATTATGGGTTCGCGCGAGCTGTTGGTCGATGCTGTGTGGTCGGGAGAGGCGGCGGAAAGACTGCTTTGAGAGAGACGAGGAGAGAGGCAGTGGTGGGGAAGGTTTTGGAAGAGACATGACCGATGGGGCAAGCTACATTGTTACAAGTATGTCAGGTTGGTGGTTGTTGAGTTGCGGTTGGGAAGGCTGGCCATTCGAGGTGGAGATGATGTTCTTATCGATAAGGCGTCAGGTGATATTTTCTCAGGCACAGGATTGAGATCGCTCCATCATCCGTCAAAAATATATATATATCCAGGGTCTTCTATGCATATTAGTGTTTGGAGCAGACAACCCTTTCTGAAGCATTATAGTGTATCATTTGAGAGTAAAGTATATGAAAGAGGGTATCATAGAAGCCATAGAACTCCAACGCCGTATCCACACTAGCTGCTGAGCTCGTCATTCGTCGTTTTGCTTCCATTCGAATTCTAGCTTGTTTAGCAAACCGAAACCAAGGCTGTAGGAGTATACATACTCTGTCGGCACATTGGGCAGAGGCCCTTGGATGACTCTTGTTGAATCCAAGTCATAAGGCAATGCTTTTGAAGGAAGCAATTAGCTGGTGTGATGCTTTCCTTAGAGATCCGATTGAATCATACCATATGGAAAGAATGGCCGCACTTCCCAAGCACTAAGATCGAAGTTAGATGGAGCGGGAGCTGTGCTCATATTGGAGGCCGCTTACGCAATGAACAATCGTCGCCGGGAAATTTGCAGGTTGGGCAAGTGCCGTCGAACTGGACGCGACAGATGCCGCAGACTTCATCATCGGGCATATCCCAGCGCCAAGTTGCGACCGCGTTCCATTCCTTGAGAGTAACCTTCATGGCTGATAGAGGAGGGTGAGATGACGTGGGTTGAGCAGTGTTGCTTTTCGATGAGGCAGGAAAAGGCAAGAAGATCGGTGGATCTCGCGATAAGGGCGGGCTAGTCGAAAACGACAGGTTGTTTACGCTGAGAGAGTCTCACATGGCACATAGTCGGAGAAGCCGCCGACTCCGCATCGTTCATTGATCAGTCTCCAACACAACCACAGGGGTTCTTTCCTCCTTCTCCCTCGCGATAGCTCCCCTGTTGCTTCATTTCTGCCGTCGTACAGGCACTCGATCTCTCGGTCTGCATTTCGGGAATGTAAATTACAAACTCCTGAATACTCTGCGAGGAATCCTCCCATAATTATGGCGTTCGCAGCATTTCGCAGCAGTCTCCCCTCACCGACCCGCTTTGTTCGACCGACAATGACGGTCTCTTCTCAAATCAGACACCAAACACAGACTCGACAGGTCTCATTCTCATCGTACCTCGTCTCCCCTAAGGAGCTGTCAGAAGCTCTCAAGAAGAACCCCGCTACGAAGATCTCAACATCCCCTCGCGTGGTACCACTATGCGCAGCTTGGTTCATGCCAAACGACCCTGAGAGTCGCACAGGAATTGATGTTTTCCGCAAACACCGCATACCCCAGGCTCGATTCTTTGACTTGGATGCCATCAAAGACACCGAGTCACCTTACCCCCATATGCTTCCCACCGCTGAAACATTCGCCGAGGCGATGAGCGAGCTCGGAATCCGACGTGACGACGAAGTTGTGGTTTACGACTCAGAAGAACTCGGCATCTTCAGTGCTCCCCGCGTAGGCTGGACTCTGAGGGTCTTTGGACATCCCAAGGTTCACATCTTGAACAACTACCGGCTGTGGGTGCGCGAGAACTACCCCACGGAGACTGGGGAGCCTCGGCAGCCAGAGAAGACAAACTACCCTGTTCCCACTTACGACTCGAAGCTCGTGATCCCTTACCTTGAGCTCAAGGAGATTGCGAAAGAGCACCGCAAAGAAGGCGCAAAGGAGGTGGAGATCCTGGATGCACGATCCCAGGGTCGCTGGGCAGGGACCGACCCTGAACCACGACCTGGTCTGTCTTCGGGCCACATCCCTGGCTCGAAGAGTCTGCCTTTTCAAGAACTACTAGACCCTGAAACCAAAACATTTCTTTCCCCGGATGAGCTTCGCAAAATCTTCGAAGCCCGGGACCTGGATGCGACCAAGTCGATCATCAGCTCATGCGGCACTGGTGTGACAGCGACTATTATCGAGACAGCTTTGGGACTGGCCGAGTTCGGCGACCCTGCCCTTCGGAGAGTGTACGATGGAAGCTGGACGTAAGTTTTCTCTCTTCGCTCTGTACAGGTTATGTACTTACTGTCTTTCAGAGAATGGGCACAGCGTGTCAAGCCGACAGATGGCTTGATCAAGAAAGTCAACTAAGCCTACGGAAACTCACCTGTATCGTTATCGCCTAGGTTTCTAGACCGACTCGATGCTCTGAGATGGATTGGCGACTTTGAAACGGGCACTTCATGAGCAACTGCGTTCTTCTCTAGAGTGTAATACAGATATCCAGATAGAGATGTATGTGATAAGAGTAGTGAATGGAATGACTCAGACCGATTTTTTTTTCTTTCTGAACTATGATATTGATCTCCATAGGAGTGTGAGTTGTTACTCCGATGCGCTTAGTAAGGCCGCATCATAATGGTCCGCGAGTTGATCCGACAACTTCATTGATGCCAGTGGCCTTCACTCTCACCTCGGTCGCACTTCTCCCTCAGTCAGATACAGACCGCAAGATGCTGCCGATGACAACTTCTCATGAACTAGGATCCGATCGTGAGTACCTTGTTTCCAACCTCCTGCCGCGGCTGCTCAAGCCCACGCCTAAAATCCTCAAGCCGCCCCCCACATTCCCAGATCCGTCCGCCGACGCATCGATCCACAACCTCCTTCATGGGCTTCAGCTAACACCAGGCCTGCGGGTAGTCGCAGTTTCTAGAACAGGCTATTTGGAGTAGGGCCAGCGCCTTACTGTGGCCTATATCCTATTATAACCTGCTTGCGTTGTCGACTGCAGCCGAACCACCATGTCGACAGGACGCAAGATCTTCCACTGTGCCGTGGATGAAACGGCACTGACTACGAACATCAGTGAGATAAAAAAATGGACGACAAACGGGGCTATCACTCTTATCGTTCCGCTCTACAGTAAGGCTTGCTGGCACTCGATTCTTACTCACCACCTCTTCAACACACTCACTGTTTCTTTGCAGCTCTCGAGCGCCTCCACGCCTTGAAGAAAGCCGGGTCGCAGGTCGCCATCAACGCTCGAGAGGCAGTGCGGTTTCTTGACCGAGCCACCTCCGGAAAGGACAACGTTGCTTCCGAGCGAGTCATCTTACAAGGGCCGATGGAACAATACGAAAACTGGAGCGAGGCAGAGAAGTTTTTCCTGCCAGAGTTTGAAGAGGAGGAGGAAGAGGCGGACCACGGATCTGTCCCTGCAGACGGTCCGATGCCGCAAGACAAGCGAGACGTTAGGGACAGGGACCAGCGGAAGAGCAATACCGCTGCTACGGATGACTTGTCGCAGATGCTTCTGAGCAAGCTCAACTTCAAGAAGGATGCGGATGCTATCTCGATCACCTCCACAGGTACTCACAGCGCCCCCGCCTCTCGGCCATCTTCCCGGAGCTCTCGGACCAGCCCAGAATGCGCCAACAACCACACATCCTCGAACGGGGAAGAGACGAAGGATGCCGCAGCCAAGGGACACCGCCGTACCGCCTCTGGATCTACGATTCCCGTTGTGCCGACCGTACTGCGACCTCTGCTTAGCGCTCTTCTTTGGAGATTATATAGCGGCCCGGATGCGTCAAATGCTACAAAAACGTGTATCCTCATTTCGAATGATCGCCCAACACAGGTCTGGGCGCAAAAGTTTGGCATTGGCGTCAAGAACATTCATCAGCTACGGACCTCTATCCAGTACGAGGAGCGAGAGTACAAGAACCGATGCAAGTACGTCGAGAAAACGCAGTCTACACCCGCCGAGCCAAAGTCTCTGCTATCATACGAGGAAGAGAGCGAGGAGGATGAGCTAGTGTTTGTCCCCCGTGGCCGCGGAAAGGGCGCATCAAGAGGCGGAGGTTCGCGTGGGGGCAACAACCGCAAGCCATCAGCCCCAGCCAAACCCGCCGCGCCGCCCGTGGAAAGCACGATGGAGGTTCCGACGCAGCCGATCGATCCCAACTCGTTCAGTCGGTCGCTCGGTGTGACCCCTAAGCAACAACCTGCGACGGTTGATCTCAGCACGCAGGCAGGGGCCTCACGTGGCATCGCAGGTGCCTCGAGGAACAACGGCAACAGTCGGCGCAACGGTGCTCGTGGCCCGGCACGTGGCGGTAGCCGTGGTCGTGGGAAACTGTGGGTTCCTTGATCGTACAATGTAGGTCCGTCGACTGTTTATGAGTTGCTACGGACCGACAGTCATTACAAACGCGATTGACCCAGTGGTTGCTCTCTGAAGCAGGAAGAAAAAAGAATGGTTACATCTGCCTAGCCCAGAGACTCCCCCTGGTCAGACTCTTTTGTCACTTTCCATTATGGGCGGGATGAACGGGCTATGGACAGATGGACCATCATGGATGCAAAACACCGGAAGACGAATGTGAGTCGGATACGGTTAACTATCGACAAACATTATGCTACGGCTTCGATGGGATCAGGTTCGGAATTGGAATCGGACTCTGCGGCGGCTTGCTCGCTCATCTCACGCGTTTGCTCCTTTGCTTGCCCTTGCCTTTGATGATGATGAAGGAGGAGGAGGAATGAATCGGCTGCGCCACGGGTGTCCCTTGTCCCCCAAACCAGCATGCTTTTCAGAAAGAGCCGGCTATTCAACATGCTCCTCTTAGTTATAAAACACAGCTATAACCTCTGTGTGGTAGTCCCTCCTTATCTACTGTTCAGTTGACTTTTGTCAGACATCACCAGACTGGAAACCTCGATGTTAGTTTATCCTTTGAATACATTAGATTCAGTGTCCCACTCTGTATGGTTACTAGTATAATGATTCATGACATCCCCTCGCTCGACCCCGCGACGATCCCGTGGAACAGCCCAATCACTTGACTTTCCCCTCATCGCCTCGACAACGCCTCTGCTCTGCACCTTGTACACCGTCGATAGCTTACTCCCTCATGTGCGTACTTTTAATCCGACATTGTTCCTAAGGACTCACTAGTCCCTTACTGGCCTGGCTACGCCTATAAATACTCGCTCACCCATCCTACCCCTCACCCATACTTCCGTCAAAACATACATACACTTTCACACTTTCACACTTTCACCCAAACCAAGCTCCACTAAAGTCATACAACAACCCAACCAAATCCAGATCACTGGAAGATATCAAGATGGCCACCGACGCCGAAACCTCCACCCCCGCAATCGACACCACCTCCCTCGCAACCTCCCCCATCGAACGCCGCGACTCCCTCGAAAAGCACCTCCTCACCCGCCCCGATCCGCAGGATCTAAAGGATAGGCATATCCTGCTGGATACGAATGTTGCTCCGTATGCACCCGCCTTCTTTCTCACATGAACTCTGGATCGGGAGCTGTTTTGGGGTTGGTAATGCCAATGTTGATATTGTTTCTTTATGACGACAGATCCATCCAGGCCGCGCGCCAGAAACTCGATCGTCAGAGGGCGTCGGACAGCCTGAAGAAGAACCTTGAGCATAGGCCGGATCGGGAGGAGCTTGTTGAGCGTATGTTTCCCTTCTCTACTCTCCTTCATCTTCTCTTTCTCTACCCGCCTCTGTATTTTGTTATGGACAACCCTAGAGCTGTGAGTCTGCTAAATCTCGCTTTACTGTGGTATAGGCCATATCCTTCAACCCGATGAGCAGGCGCCGCTTTCTCAGTCGCCGATTTCTCAGTAGTGAGTCTGCGACCTATGCCTCTCCTCTCTCCGTCCTGGATTTCGACGAGAAGAAAGGGCAATGTGATCATGATATGATCTGATGCCTCGAGATGGAATGAAATGAATGGAAGGATAACGGCGTTTTCTGGATTTTATCGGCGACACACTGCTGTGCTGATGTGCTGCTGGGACGGCGATGCTGGGAAATTGGTTCGAATGGTATATGGGCCTGAACCTGGTTGATATCTTCTATTTTTCTTGTCTTGATTATGCCCTCAACATGAAACCCCCATAGCTCAGATATATGGAGTATATCATCGTCCATAGTACATACAAACATCATCGTATCTCATGTCAAGACCAGAGCCGGAGCTCACCGTAGTCCGTGTGCCTAGATGTAAACGTGAATCAATCAATAAACATCCATCTCAACCCCCGCCGACAAATCTGGCTTCCACCCGGCAGGCCTTTCGCTCCCCCTGACAAGAATCCCATACGCCGCACGCTCAACCTTCTCGACGCTATTCTGCATCACCTCCGACTTCTTCCCGTAGTCTCGGAACATGTTGTTATTATGCCGACGCGGAATCGTTATACCCTCAAACGACGCCCGGATCTCTCTTAGGTCTCGTACGACACCAGCTTGCGCCGGTGGTAACCGGGGCAGATTGACCTGAGTACCACCTTCACCTTCACCTTCAGCATGACCCTGTGTATCCCCCGCCCCGGCCGAAAGCGACGTAACCGCAAACCGCATCAACTCCCCCGTCAAATCAAACAGCCCCATCGCATAATCCTCCTCGGTAACGATGATCTCAGCAGGGAGGTGCGCGGCGACTTCGTCCCTCGTAATGAGCGTCTGGTGCGTCAGGTAGTGATGAAAGGAGAGCGCTTCGATGTATTCTTGGATTCCGCCGCTGAGCTGGCGCATGTAGCGTCTGCTGTTTAGGCCCGTTATGTCGGGGATTGTGGATTGGAAGAGCTCGGTTATTTGGCTGAAGCGGGATTGTGTGTCTTTTTGGATGGCGGCGGGGAGGGGGGTGTTTGCTGTTCGGACGCTGGATTGAAATCAAAGTTTAGGCTTATCTAGGAGACAGAATAAAAGATAGATAGAGGCGAGAGGGTTGCGAGACGAACCGTTGGAGGGAGAAGATACTGTTGCGAGTGTGCTTGTTAGCTTTCTTTCCTTTCCCATACGGACTGACACCTAGAGGTTCATATATGGAGACGTACATCTTCTTGCTTAAAGCCGTAATATCGCGACTCGTCTTGATCAACCGCTCGCGACGGTCATGATGCTGATCAAGCTCGTCGCGGAAGGTCTCGAACATCGAGAGGACGTTTGGCGATGACTCTGCCATTGTCGGTGCGGGAGGTTGTGGCTTTGACGTTTCGCTGTGGATTGGTATGCCTTCCCAGGAACGTTTGGTCCCCGGTATGGAATTGGTCGTGTGTTGCTCCATGGGAGTGAGTCTATGGATGAATGAGTTGATTAAGTTTGGGAAGATGTCATTCTTTGGGCTTAACCCGTTTGGGTTGTTATCGATAAGATCTGATATGGCCCAAGTTCAACTGTATCACCCCGCAGACAAGATCTATCCTATCTATGGGGTTTACGCTATGACTCTCCTTATAGAAAAAAGAAAAAAATCTCTATCGGGCTCTGGCACGAGTGTGGGATATTTTTCATTGAGATGCATATATCTGACGGTCATAACCAACAAACTCCAGAACATCGAACTACTGTCCAAGGAATTTGTACTTCAGCTGCGCATCGCCAGGCTTCAAACCTGTAATGGTAACGATTTGATCGTCACCGGGTACAAGGTCAATGGCGCTGTCACTGACACGGACACCGTCTCGTTCCTCGAAGACCAAGCACTTCACCGGCTTCCTGGTGCTTAATTCAAGTTTCTGCTCCTTCTCCGTCTTGGAAATCCTGGTCACTTCGAGACCACGATCAGAGAGATCAAGGTACTTGAACGGTTGTGGCCAGTCAACGTCTCGTGCCAGCAGCTCGCCATCAACCCACACTCGGGCAGCGAGAACATGTGGTTCATCAACGGCATGGTCAATGACGCCTTCCAGGATGTTGGTAGTGCCGTTCGGAACGATCTTCACGTCCTCATGCACAATGGCATCGTGAATCTCAAGACCGGTCTTGATGGAGATGAATCGCAACTCCACCTTTCCCACAAGCTCCTTCAGCAGGCTGCTCGAAACCCAAAGCTCGTACTTGCTGGTCTTTGGCGGCTGTGCGTGGCATACACTCCAGTCATGGTGTTCTCGGCGCACGCCAATGGCGACTGGGTTCAGGACACGGCGAACTGCGTAGAATGCAGGCTTGGGGCGCAGGAAATAGTCCACGATGGCCCAGGAGATGGTGGGCCAGCAGTCATTCAGTTGCCAGAGCAGAGCACCTCCGCAATGACGCTCATCACCCCACTGGCGGCGCCATCCGCGGTATCCGAACATCATTGTTTCTGCTTGGACAACTTGGGTGAGGTAGACGTAGGTCTATTCCAGTTAGCATGCGTCTCCCCGGGTGACAGGTGTTGCTTACCTCCAAGTCTGTCGCTGTCCGCAGGTTCTCAACTAGGTATGTAGCAATCCTTCGCTCGTGGCCATCCGCCTTGTTGTGGAAGTCGAGGACGTGAGATTGGGGGTATTTGTCGGCTTCGTTCTCAACGAAGTGGTCAATTGTCGCCATGTGCGGGAAAGCCTCCATTCCGAATTCACTGTTAAAGCGGCCTCCGAGAGTATCAAAGATCTGATACTTCTCCTGCGTTCCGTGCCAGACTAGATGAGGGGTTAGCTAGAAGCGTTAATCTCGGACGGAGGTATACTCGCCATTCCACTGGTGCATGTCGCCAACAGTAGGATCAGATGTGATCTTTCCATCACCCCAAGGACTTCCAGGGTGGTAGTACGTAGACGGACTGGTCTTCTTCACCACCTCTGGCAAGATATGCTCGTAGATATAACGCGCCGGGAAGTCCGTTTTGAGCCAGCTCTGGGGATCCTTGTCTTCGAAGTTGTAGGTGAGACCCGACTGCTCCTGCACTTGGTAGTCTTCATTGTTGCCGACCCAGATGACGATAGACGGATGGTGGCGCAATCGGCGCACGTTGTATGTAGCCTCCTTCTCGACTGACTCGAGGATTTCGGGCCAAGTGGGATAGTTTCCGCAGCCAAACATGAAATCCTGCCACACCAAGATTCCAACCTCATCGCAAGCCTGGTAGAAGCTCTCGTCTTCGTAAATACCACCGCCCCAGACGCTACAGAATTAGCATACACCTGGATAAAATGGTAAGATCACGTACCGAATCATCACCTGATGACCAACAGCCATCAACTCGATCCATTTCCGGTAGCGATCCGGGGTGATGTTTGTGAGAAGGCTGTCGGCGGGAATCCAGCAGGCACCACCGCAGAAGATATCAACGCCGTTGATGCGGAAGAAGAAAGACTTGCCGTGCTTATCTGGTTGTTGGATCACCTCCGCAGTTCGAATGCCAAACTTCTTGGATACTTGTTGAACTTGGGTTCCTTCCTTCTCTAATGACACGGAGATCTCGTATAGGGTTTGGTCACCGTAGCCATTTGGCCACCAGAGGGAAGGGTTCGACACATCGAAGCTGACCTTGGCGACATTGTTCTCCGGTGTAGATGATTGTTTCGCAACCTCTTGCCCACCAAGGCTCAGCGTAAAAGTGGCCTGGTATGAAGCGTCGCCACTGGTTTCCAGCTCTGCGAAAGCAGAAACTTGGGCAGTGGCATGATCCGCAGCCAGGTCCACCTCCGTCCACAGATCCGAGACCCGAGCAGAGTATACTTCAAGGCGCACCTCTTTCCAGATACCCGCGGTCATCAAGACCGGGCCCCAGTCCCAACCCCAATGGTACTGGGCCTTTCTGACGCTCATTCTTGCAGGATCACCGTTGAAGCCGACCCACTTGTGCTCTGGATGCTGCTTTCGAAGTTCACGAGCTCGAAGTAGGGCACAGTCGAAATCAATCTCAATTGTGTGCTCACCCTCAGCCTCTAGGAATTTCGTAACGTCAACGCGGTGGGCGAGAAACATGTTATCGCTCTCGAGAATTGTCTGGTCGTCGAGCTTCACCCTGGCGAATGTATCCAGCCCATCAAAGACCAAGAAGACGGATGAGCCAGCAGGGACTTCCGGTTTCTGGAAGACATTCCGGTATGTCCATGACTTCTCATTGACCCATCTCGCGCTCAACTCGTTGAATCCAATAAACGGATCTTCCAACCTATTGAAAAGATAATATCAGCACTCGCAGTATAGGGACAGTTGATAAAGAACGACGGAGCACATACTTGCCGTTCGCCTGCAAATCTTGCTGGACTACGGAGGGAACAACAGGAACCGGCAACCAAGCTTCAGAAGACTGGTCATCACTGTCCTTGAAGCTCCATCCGGAGGAAAGACTGTGCTGCGCGAATGTGGTCATATCTGCGATAGTTTGCGATAAACAGCGACCCAATTGAGCACAAGTATGGTCGCAAGAGAAGATGACGGCACAAGGGAGTTAGGTCGTTTTATCGGCCAGCGGCCACCGTTCAACCATTGGGAAGCTCAGCCATTTAGAGCAAGTCATTCGGAGCAAGTCAAGGCTTCCCCTCATTCGATCTGGCAGTCTTCTGGAATATCCAGGTACACGGAGAATTGCCCGTGCCTGGCCTGAACGCTAAGCCGCTTCGAGATCGGGAGTTCCGTGCCAACTCAGGTTAGACAGACCTCACTCATCGTCCGATTCTTCACGTTTCCACCTGCCTGGCTTCAACTCCCAAGAGGATGGCTGGCTTTGCAGGCTAGCTACCGCGTCTCGGTTCATGCTGCTGCAGACAGGGTTTCGAGTCACGGCATTTGGCCGAAGACAATGGAACAATGTCGGAAGGTGCCTACGTGCCTAGGGCGGAGCGCAAGCTGTCAGTCTCGGTGGCCTCGGGGCTGGCCCACCTTTTCCCCGCGTGGAGGACTGTTTGGGAACGGTGGTTTCTCCGTCAAGCTCTCTCGCGCTCAGCAGAGCTTCACAATCATAAGGCAAACCCTTTCCTCCAAAAGACCTTGTGGTCAAACAGGGTCGTATTTGAGCGGAGGCCACGGAGCCAGATTTGAATCTCTCGATCAGAGTCCATCCCCATCAAGATTCCCTGGTTCACATGGTGCTCGTCGGAAAAGCGTGAGAAAAAAATCACTTGACAGTCTTTTCCGGTCAGCTTCCGGGGATGTCTCAATCCTGACTCATACCCGAAACCTCTTTCGTTGTCCCACTCTTGCCTCCTCGCCCACCTTCTTAGGATTTCAGTCCCTTCACAATATCCTTGTACAGTTGTACTCCGGTGTAAACCCATGACAGCTTGCATTTTGTCCTTGGTAGCCGCCCCCGGCTCATCTTAAGCCGCAATGTGCTGAGCTGGGGAAACTATTATCCACCCATGAAAGGGCAGGGATGCTGGGTTGAGGAGCCTGGAAAGACTTCAGCACGTTAAGGTTCTTCTCGTGGCAGTGATTCGACGACGCCTCTTTGGGGTCAAAGCGATCAGCTTTTCCCCTCGTCGCTTAAACGATCGAGAAATTTGGGAGGCACTAGACTCCAGATGGTCTGACAGTCTAACCCCCAAATGACAAGAACACACGGAGTCCCCCTGGAGCCCCGGACCACTCAGCGCGTGCGAAACGAAAAGAGGTTGTGGGCCATTATCCTTCATCACGGCTTCGCCGACTCTCGTCAGACAATCATGGGACGATTGTCACTTCCCTTTCCCTTCACGTTCGATTAAGCAGACAAACATCCACAATCCATTCCTCGGCCCGTGCGGAACATGATCCCAGCAGTTGGAACTCAACTTCAACTCTATCAAAGGACACGAAAGCCTGGTCAGACCATCAAAACGAAGCAACTGGTTCCGCCTCGCTCTGGCAAAAATTGAGCAAAACACTCCTCCAGAGTAGCATTGACTGCTCTCGGAACGTCCCGATTCATTGAAGCCACCGAATTTTCCGACAGGGGTGTTCCATCCATAAGGCCCAATCCCGCAAATCGGTTACCAGATTTTGGCGGCGGCCTTGAACCTTTTGCGGGTGACTGCAGCGAGGATGCGCTAAACAACCATCAAATGCCTCATCCGGAGGACAGACAGCCTAAACTACGCCTTCGCAGACCTGTGATAGTAAAGAGCCTTGACGCGAGCATCAGCCATTGGAGTCTCCTTTGCAAGGGTGCAAGGTTTATTGACTGATTTTGACCGCGATTGGCTGAACCCCAGAGTTTTGCCTGAGTGCGTAAACCCCAGAGGTTAAATTCAGACTAACAAGGTATCCTAGAATACCTCTCGGTGAAGGCTGTGGCGATACTTCACGATTAGGCTAAGAGTGCCTCTCGGACCATTTTGCCGCTTACAATCGACGCGTTGGCCATCGACAACTGCCGGTCAGGGATGGATGGTAAATGCATCAAATCCCTGATCTACTGCATTTCTTCATACTACGTATATCAAAACAGGTATTCAAAGACCTCACTCCCCTGGATCCGCAAGTTGCCAGCGCCTGTTGAACTTCTCCAGCAATCAACCATATTGGAAATAGTCTTCCTGGCTTGAGTTAAACGTACATGAGATCTCATCTCGGCTATTCTAATGAAACCAAGAGCGAAACGCCGCTGGGACCCAAATCTAAACCCCTAGCTACTTCCACCCTGTCCGTGTGTGGAAAATGCAGTGTGAATATACTACTGCAGGGCTAATCTCACGCCGATGCAGTTGCGCACGCCTAGGTGCAGAACCGGGGACAATCCATTTGCTTTGACGCCCTTGCAATTTCTCCAGACTCCAGAGAGGAGATGACACTGGCAGCATGGGGGGCGATAGGCTGGATAGAGGTTCCATTTGCCACCCCCAGAATTGCCCATGCACTAGACCTGCTTTCCTGAAGCAGGCACATGGGAGGGGAAGAAGGACGATACATGAGATGATCGCTCGTGACGCCTACCAGCTCAACTCTCCAAGGTGTAGTTTTAACAAGCTTTGGTACATTCCAAAATGTCCATTGGACTATGGCTCATCCGTGAGGACGCGGCTTTTTGATCCTTTTCACAGTGCAGGTGGAAATGCGGTCAAATCATAGAGGCGACCTTCGAGCCTAAGCCAATCCTCGTAATTCTTGGCCCTATTCTGATACAAATAATTTAAAGCCAGGGCCAGCAGAGACGAGGAGCAAGCGCTGCAGGTCAAGCTAGGCAGCGGTCAGAAGGGCCGGACAAGCGGCACGCAGGCATCCAGCTGCTCCTGGTAACTGGGTAAGAAGTGCTAGCACACTGCCGGCAGCACCGGCGCATCCCCAGCAATAGTACTGTGATATATTGTCGCGTTTGCGTAAGGGTGCCATCAGCAGCCCTAGACCCGTTTTGCTGCAGGCCGACTGAGAGCGAGAGGAAATGCGGGGAAGGAGAGGCAACCCTCAGTTGGACAGCACGAGGCGAAAGGATCAGAAGGAACTTGGAGCACTGACGATCGTCCAGGGACTGGCACAAGTTCGCCTGTGCTGCTGTAAGCTGACTAGACTCCGTATAAAGCCGTATAATATAATTATCCGCCTGGGCTCTCGCTCTCGCTCGCCTCGCCTACTAATTAAATGTACTCTCCCCTCCTCCAGGCTCGCTTCCTTCCCCGCCTTTTTCCAGACTTGTTCTTTTTCTCTGCTAGCCTTTGCTTTTTCTGCATCGATACCCACTCTGCCTCGAGCCATGAATCCCTCTTAACCACGCTACATCCTCTTCTACCTTGCTCTGCACCTTCTCATTTCCTTGTCTCCTCCGCCGCACTGATTTCATAATCAATTACTAGCAATGTTCCACACCTTTGAAGGGTTTGAGAACCCCACCGTCTCGACTCCCGCCCGTGGAGGTCGCGAGCGCCAGCCATCCGTCGGCCGTAGAGTCACCACTCTGCGTGCTTGTACCTCCTGCCGGCATCGCAAGATCAAATGCGACGGCGAGAAACCCTGCGAAGCATGTAGGTGGTACAAGAAGGCCGATCTCTGTCATTACTCAGATCCTCGTCCTTCTCGAAGGTGGGTGATTTCTTTTCTCGCCCTTTCGTTTTCAGCCTCGGCTCAAAGCTGATGAGGCCACTCCGAACAGACATGTCGAGAAATTGTCAACCACCCTAGACGAGTACCGGGCGATCCTAGATAAGCTATTTCCCGGCGCAACTCCAGACGCTCTTCTGAGTTTACCGCGCGAAAAGCTTCTCGAGCTTACCAGCAACGGCCTCGTTCAGGCCCAGACGCAGGGTCCAAGTACCGCGGCCCGCGCGACATCTCCTGCCACTTCAGTTTCTCACGATGCGCACGTCTCGCCGATATCTAATGAGGATGGGAACCTGGAGCATTTACAGGCGATGCCTGAGGAGTCTAACGACCCCCGGAATTTGAGCCACGAGATCGCCAACGCCATATCCGACGATGTCAACGCTCTGTCGCTTTCCTCGCTCTCAGCTAGAAAGCCCTCATCATATCTCGGCGTCTCGTCCATTAACGCTGTTCTCAAAACTATAGCCTGGCTGGATCCAGGTTCTGTCGCATACTTTTCCAGCACGCCACCAAGCGGCCCACGCCGAGGCTCGGTGGCGGACCTCTCGTCGTCAGAGGGTCAAACTTGGCCTGGCCACGACCAGCCAAGCACGCCTCCCCAGGTGCACATGCAGGTGCCTGAGTCGCAACTGTTAGACGCTTATTTTACATACATCCAACCTCTGACGCCTATTCTTGACGAGCAAGCCTTTCGCGAGACATATGCTTCGGGGCATCGGAAAGACGACCGGTGGTATTGCCTGTTGAACATGGTACTCGCCATGGGGAGCATTTGCGCCTCCACGTCTGATGATATATCCCACAAGATTTATTACTCACGATGTAGGGCTTATCTGGATCTGGAATCCCTAGGATCGTCCCATCTGGAAACTGTTCAAACGCTCGGTATCCTAGGAGGATGGTACCTGCACTATATCGCCCAGCCAAACCTGGCGTACTCTCTCATGGGCGCCGCGCTTCGCATGGCAGCCACAATGGGCCTACATAGAGAGTTCGCCGATCAGTCGGAAGCGTCTAATAAACAGAAACTGGCAACATTGGACTTGAAACGCAAAGTGTGGTGGACATTATTTCTTATGGATTGCTGGGGTGGCGCGACTTTGGGGCGACCTACGATGGGTCGATTCAGCCCCTCAGTCACAGTCAAGCTTCCCCACAATCGCGAGTCAGTACGTGATCCCTTATCCAGGATTGTCATCAGGCACTAACTCTACTAGGGAAATGTACTCGATATTCTACCCCTCCTCGAGAATGTCCGGTTCTGCAAGATCAGCAACCAAATTCAAGACGCGCTTGCAGTCTCCCCTCTCACGAAATACAGCGAGATTGTCCACTTTGATAACCAGCTTGTGGAGTGGTACAACAGTCTACCATATATTCTGAGAGACCATGAGCCGTGCCCCTTATCAATCTCCAACACCAGAGACGTCATGAAATGGCGATATAATGTCCAGCGGATAATCCTCTACCGTCCCACCTTGCTGAGCTATGCCATGCGGCGGGTTCCGTATATCGCTCTGAGGTCAGAAGAGCGGGCAGCCATTGAACGGTGTCGAGAAATCGCCGAAGGCTCCATCAAGGACATCTCGGCCGCTGCCAAAACCCCGCAAATGTCCGGCTGGAACGCCGTGTGGTTCCTGTTCCAGACCACCATGATTCCACTCCTAGGACTCTTCATCAACGACAACACGGTAACTGATCCGAGGGCTAGCACTGAAGCCTGCCAGGCGCAAGTCCAAGACGCTCTACTCGTGTTCGCACGACTCCAAGGCGCAAGCCCAACAGCCCGAAAAACCCTCGACGCAGTCTCCCGAATCTTCGAAGCCAGTAAACGCGGCCCAGGAGTGAACCTCGAAACAAACAACATCAACCCAGCAACTACAGTCGGCGAATCCGGCCTCCAACCTATAACCCCCGGCGTCCTCCCGTCACAAGCAGACAATGGCCGAAACTACATCGTCACGAATGACAACGGGTTCACAGACCCTTTCGCTCCGTCCACGGTGGATGACCCCAACGGACAATATCTTTGGGACTTCCTCAGCTGGAGCGACACGAGCCTAGTCCCGATGGCAGATATCGATAGCATCAATGACGCGAGTCTGCTTGGTGCGGATGATAAGCACATGAAGTATGCAAATAGCGGCTTCTTCGGGAACCAGTTGGCTGAGCCGCCGTTTTTCTCGAATCCGTCCATTGCCTATTACTCATAATCGATCTCGATCGTGGAATTCTACCTGACTGGCTGTTTTGGTTGTTTGATGAGCATTTAGCCATTCATGTATCTGTTTTCGTGATGACCCTGTATACCTTCGCTATGTTATATTCTCCGCTTCACTTATACCCAAGCCTTATTCTTGTTTTAGTTGCATATATTCTGCGCATACATCACTTTCTTACATTACTAGCTGGAGGCCGCAACTTGGTTACTTCGAGTGTCGGTTAAAACATATTTTCCCCTATACTTATGGTAGTCTTCCTCTTCGGCAGAGCTTTAGTGTCTGAGACGACACTGCCGCATCTACATCCCTACATGCTCACTACCTTCCAAGAAAAGAAGTATCCAACTAATGCGCATTGACATTCAATTCACTCTCAAATTCATAAGCACAATAAAGACGATAAACGAGATGGAGTTTGTTGAAGAACTCCCCAAGGATCCATCTCCCATCTCCCAGCAGAAACAACCCACCATCCACCATCCACATTCTGAGATAATAGATCCCTAGATTCACGCCAATGAACCTTGGAATGTCTAGAAGCCCCTCATCTTCCGGGATTGCCGTTCCCCCGCCCCGGGCAAACGATGCCCCCACCTCCGTTAAGAGCCCAGCAAGGTGTTCCGTCGCCACCGCCGCTTTGGACGGTGCACTGCCGCTTGTTAGTCCTAATCACAAGTAAAGAAAGGGGAGGTGAAGCGGTATGGGAGAGTGAGGGATTGAGTGAGAGATATTTGAGTGGAGGAATATCAGACTGAAGAAGCCATACCTTGCCGCGACCGCAAGAGCTAATATAGAGACGCCGGGTCAGTATCAGTTATATAATAGCCATGCAATGCAACAGCACCAAGACCCGACGATACATGGGAGGGGGAGAAAACTCACAGATTCACCCCGTTAATTCTGCAGCTTGTTCCATTGCACATCTAGCGGCACCGCGCGGTGTCATGTCAGCTGGAGCAAGACTAGAAGCGTGAAAATCGATACGGCACAGGGCAGGGGGAACCATACTCCGCAGGTCGTGTTGGGCGGGCAGGCAGGCGGCCGAGCATTATCGGTCCTCTCAGCGGAAACGACATCGACATCGTCGTCGTCAATCTCGCGCTCGACGCGGACATTGCGAACCTCAGGCTGGAGGCCCTCGGAGCGAGTGTTCAGGGCCTGGACGTCCTCGGTTGGGGCAGCGAGTGCAAGCAGGCTGCTGGTGAGGAGGGTGAAGATGACGGTTGCGAAACGCATTTTGGTGGGTGGGTTTGATGAGAAGTTGCGGTGTTGGGACTTGGGATTTGGGATCTAAGAGATTGAGGGCTTGAGAGCTTGAGAGTGTGTGGATGGAGGTTTGATTGCTCTGGGGATATGGCTGAATTTATAGCACGATCCAACACCTATTCCCATGGAGATGATACTAGACAATGAAGGACTTGACGCCGTGAGCCTGCTAACAACCATGAGGTGAGCATAGAGAGGACTACTGAATCCGCAAGGATAGCCTTCTTGGCCTCTTTGCTCTGTTGTACGGATGAGTTATTAATTCGCCAGTCAAAAATCAAGATAGGCGAACATCTGTTCTAAAAGAGTCATGAGCCCCCTTCAGTAGGGCTCCGTGCTGTCCATTGCACTCTCGATGCGAATGAGGAGTGTCAAAGTCATCCCTCCATAACATGTAGACAAGGTTTTGTAGAGATGCATACTCTACTCGCCCCGAAAAAGACGCGAGTCAGACTCTTTCTCGCCTATCAAGTCATCGTTCCTATGTTGGTTGTAGTCAGGCTGCGAACTATAGCAGTTCAAAGGGGCCTTGGCTCGTTGAGTCCTGAGATGGGTGCATCGCAGAGCTCGTTGTCCTCCCAATGCTGTTGCCACGGAATATGGTTCGCCTGGAGCGACGTACAGGAGAGATGCCGGGCGCATCAGGTATAGTCCGCTTCAGCGAATTGGAACACCAGGAACTCGTTTCAGCCACTGCAGCCATCGCTGATCATGGTTCATATGCGGCGGAGGAGTCTCGGCACGGGCCGGGGGAGGAGGGCTTGCCTCGGAGAGCATGCACCCACATCCACGTCTTGCGTACGTCTGGCTTGAAGGAGAGCATCGCAATGGGAATAGCAATTGTGACTCTGTCTTCACGCGGTTTTTCATTGCACCAGGCCCTACACCTTTGGCCCATTGGATAACAGTGCGTCTGCCTTGTTGCTGCAGCAATCAGCAACGTAGGCAATGAATCATTTCGCAGGCTTACTGATGTGCCAGCCTTGCCCAGACTATTGAAACGAAGCCCATATAGAAACTGCCTCACACATAGTGCCAGACCCTAAGTGCCCGGTGCGTGGACGGCCAATGGGAGAGTAGTTCTCTATCACAGGTTCTGCAACGACTGTGGGATGGCAAGGCCGGATTTCAAATATCTCGGATGACCTACATCAAGGGTCTGTGCTTGACGCGAACTGGCTTTACGGACGCCCTGCACACGGACCTCGCAGAGGCGTTGGATGATGGAGGGCAAAGATATACGGCGGGGGTTGCTGCATTAGGCCAAAAGCCGAGCGTAGCACTTGGCTGGAGACTTGAACTGGGGCTTAGGTCAGAACCTGGCTTGGATTCTGAGCGTTCCTCGGAGTACAAACATAGTTGCCTGTTGAACGCGTGGTTGAGCACCCACTGCCTTGTAACTGTCATTGCGAGCGCCTTTTCGACAGATTGTTACCTTCTTGAGCACATAGTTGAGTGCCTACCTAAGACGTGAAAAGGCTACTATCTCCCGAGTCAATGAGCGTTAAACGAGCGTCGAATGAGTTGAGATGGTACGGGTAGTGTGGTGCGTATAGCGGTCCGCTTCCATGAGCCTCATTGCCCCGGATTACACCGGCAGTCGTTGGGAACAGGACCAAAAGTCCATGAAAGTAGCAGTGGGCCGGTCCAGGGTTCCCTAGTCATTATAATGTTGTACACTGGCCATGAAAGTATATACTCTTGGTCATCTGCAACGGCGCTCAAATCAGGGAGGACCCCCGACAGGTTCGACGCTGTTCGGAGTAGTGCGGGGAGGCCGACGGCTTGACTCGCAGCGGGCACAGTCCGGTCAGATATGGACAGTAATCCCGAGTGCGAATAGGAGACGGTGCGAGGCTCGCTCTTTAGGAGACTCATTCACCTACCACCAAAAACCAACACAAGAAAGCGTATTCCATTGGACGTCCATGCTGAAGAAAGAGGCAGCAGGCGCTGTCACCGTATGACAAGACAGCCAAGTGTGAATTCCTTAAGGTTGTCCTCTGAAGAATCAGCGCCAGTGAGTGGAGAAACTCTGGGGAGAGGACCATCGTGTCGGTTCGGCTCTCGTACGGAGTAAGACTCAGTCAACGAGGGTGTGGATGATATCATGTGTGCTGCCGTGAGGCTGACGGAGAAATTGGATCACTCAAAGTCTCGAAGGCAGAGAAAAGCTGACCCTGGTTCCCCTGCGGCGGGTATTGCCGGTTTACCCTTTTGAGGGTTTGGCCCCATTTCGAAACTCGAACCTGAACTTTTGAAGGCTGAGACCCAGGCACCTGCAGATCGTGGGCTATGAATAGCCCCATCTTCATTTCGTTTCTCTGGTGGCGATCGTCATGATTGGCCTTATGATCAAACGCTTATGGCAACCAAGCCCCGCTTATTTCTTATTGGCACCCATTGGCGTCCATTGGCGCTCCAGCGCCGAGCCATCTCATGTAACTCCCAAGACAAACAAGTGGATATGACTTGATGCAGGTCAGGGAGTAAGGCTCAGTAAGCAGCCAGAGGGCGGGAACGAAGCAATCGCTGGGCTCTCTCTCATCCTTTCTTCTTCCCATCTCACCACCATGCATCTCGCAGTATTGGGGGCCGGGCTCCTCTTCCTCGGTCGCATCTCTGCCCTGCAAATCCAGCTCAATGATCCTCGTACGTTCAGTCTCCAGTCCCTTTGCTGGGTTTCCCCGCCTCATTCTAATCTCACTCCGCAGAATCGATCAAGGACGCTGCGTCACAAACCGCCTACGGATCGCTACTTTGGTACTCTGGCAACGAAACCGGCCGAATCCCTGGATCCTTCCCAGAAAAATGGTGGGAGGGCAGTGTGCTCTTCACGAGTTTGATCCTATACTGGTACTACACCGGCGATTCCCGGTACAATGCTCTCACCATCCAGGGGCTGCAGTGGCAGGCAGGCGATAATGGGGACTATTTGCCTGCTAACTATAGCAGTTATTTGGTGCGTTGATCCTCCCATGTGATCAGAGCCTCGGCTCTAACGAGTATAGGGAAATGATGATCAATTCTTCTGGGGCGCTGCTGCCATGACCGCCGCCGAAGTCGGCTTTCCCGAAGATGATGATGGTTTCTCATGGTTGTCACTCGCGCAAGGTGTCTTCAACTCGCAGACAAGACGCTGGGATAATGAAACCTGCGGCGGTGGTTTCCGGTGGCAGCACTATCCTTACCAAGGAGCAGGATACACACTGAAGAATGCGATTTCCAACGGCGGGTTCTTCCAGCTAGCTGCTCGACTGGCGCGATATACCGACAACAACACATATGCCGAATGGGCCCAAAGGACTTGGGACTGGTCTGTTTCGACACCGTTAGTCAACAACAAAACGTGGAATGTCGCCGACTCGACCTCGAATAACGACGGGTGCACGACACAGGGCAATACGCAGTGGTCATACAACTACGGCGCGTACATCACAGGCGCAGCCTACATGTACAACTATACTGGGGAAGCGCAGTGGAAACGCGCCGTCGATGGCCTCCTCGACAGAATACTCGAACAGTTCTACCCTCAGCGATATGGCGGCGGTAACGTCATCTCTGATATTTGCGAGCCCGTGGAGCTGTGCAACTTCAATGAGATCCTCTTCAAGGGTATCGTCTCCGCCTGGCTTACCACCGTTGCCACGATCGTCCCTGACACGTATGGCCGGATTTTCCCAAAGCTGCAAACGTCCGCCCAGGCTGCTGCGCTCTCCTGCAGTGGAGCGGGCAATAGTTCCTGCAGCGTGAGATGGTACCCGCGGGAGTGGGATAAGACGATTGGCATGGAGCAGGAGATTATCGCCACGCTGATGCTTTCTTCGGTTCTTGTCTCTGAGAAATCAGCACCGCCTCTTACATCGACGACAGGCGGGAACAGCACGAGCAATCCCAACATGGGCACCAAAGACGATGACAAAGTAACCGAGCCAAGCAAAATCAGTACTGGTGATCGCGTGGGCGCGTCAATTTTGACGGTTTTGTTTGTCGGACTTTGGGGTGGGATGACTGCGTGGATGATCCTAGGGGAAAAGGATATGATGGGATAGTTGAAGAGGCGGAGCAAGCCTTGTTTTGAGATGCATATACATATTCATACCTGTAGCTATACGGACTGATTTTTGGGTTGGGAATTTGGCGTCAGGGTTGGTAGCACATTTGGAAACCAAAAGCGCGTTCAGTCGCGAGTTGAGTGATAAAATCTGCATGACAGACACCTTCCATATAGAGCTCCGCTGGAAACGATTACAGCCTCTGTAGTGATTATGTCTCGAATTTCATCCTGAAGATCTTCGCAGCCTCTTTGAGGTTGGAGTCAGGTGATCCCGACCGTAGCCACGAAAATTTTTCATGTGTACTCGAAGGGTCGCAGACTTAGCATCGCAACAATTAGCCCGCAATTCTCTCTCGTAAAATTCCATGTTTAAGTACACTTGCCTTTTGGGCAAGAGGAGTGGTCCAGTGGTCCTGGCTCGTGGAGTTCGTGGATGCTGAGTCAGCGATCATCGCGAGACCAAAAAGACACAATTTCAAGATGTTTCGTTGATCAACCTGGCAAGGCCCACGGCGACCACTGTGGGCAGCGATTAGAGATCTACCGAGCGTGATGCTATGCGGCATATGCTGAAGACCGCGTGGTTAATAATATTTAATGCGCTCGCCGAGGCTACAACCTGTGTCTCGACATTGTGCAACAAAGTCCACAGTTTCTACAAAACCAGCATAACTCATGCGCTGAGCAGCTTCATCTCCGACAACGGTCCACTTTGATAGAATTCAATCGCGATGTCTTCATTCTTCCGCAGTCCATCTCTGGTGTATGGCGCCGCCATCGGCCTCCGCGTCATCCTCCTCTTCTACGGAGCCTGGCAAGACGCAAACTCCCCCGTCAAATACACAGACATCGACTATATGGTCTTTACCGATGCAGCACGCTACGTCTCTCGCGGTGACTCCCCCTACGCCCGAGACACGTACCGCTACACGCCTCTGCTGGCATGGATGCTCCTCCCAACCACGTGGGCAATCCCGGGCTTCTTCTCCTTCGGCAAGGCGCTCTTCGCCCTGTCTGACGTCGTGGCGGGGTGGCTCGTTGCGAAATCGCTCATCTTGACGCATCAGATGAGTCCCGAGCGCGCCCTCAAGTATGCGAGCTTCTGGCTGCTGAACCCCATGGTTGCGAATATCAGCACGCGCGGGAGCTCCGAGGGGTTATTGGGCGTGCTTGTCATTGCGCTGCTTTGGGCAGTCTTGAATCGGAGGATTACCCTTGCGGGCATCTTGCTTGGTCTCGGTGTACATTTCAAGATCTACCCATTCATCTATGGCGTTTCGATCATTTGGTGGCTTGACAACACCAAAACCAGTGCCAGCACCTCGGAATCTCGGGCAGCCGAACCCAAAACCAACCCCAGCACCACCACCACGACCCCTGTCACGGCGCAGATCCTCGCCTTCATCACCCCGTGTCGCATCCGGCTCACCGTAGTCTCCCTGCTCACATTCGCGGCCCTCAACGTAGGCATGTACCTGCGCTACGGCACCCCGTTCCTCCAGCATACATACTTCCACCACCTAACGCGCATCGACCACCGGCACAATTTCTCGCCGTATAGCACGCTGCTCTATCTCTCTGCTGCCGCTGATGGTACCGAGGGTGGTGTTGATGCGAGTGGGAACTTCGAGTCCCTAGCCTTCATCCCGCAGCTCCTCCTCTCTGTCGTTCTCATCCCGCTCGTTCTAGGGAAGAAGGATCTGCCTGGGACGATGCTAGCGCAGACATTTGCGTTTGTGACGTACAATAAGGTTTGCACGAGCCAGGTATGTCACATTATATTCATTTCGTCTTTACCCCCGTTTGGCCTTGCCCTGTCTCACGTCTTTCCTGGCCCTGCAACACTTCATCTCGTCTAAGTTAGCCTCATCACCTACTTACCCCAAACCCCGTCTCCACTCCTCTCAGATTTATCCCCATGTTCTAGATCCCGTTCCCATTTAGCCAAAATTACCTCCGTACTACTCACACAACGCGTGGCGTGGTAATCTCGCTAACATCGAATTTACTTAGTATTTCCTCTGGTACTTAATCTTCCTCCCCTTCTACCTCCCCACTTCATCGCTCCTGCAGAAGCCGAGATTGGGTCTTCTGGTTGCGGCGCTGTGGGTTGCTGGTCAGGTATGTGTGTATCCATCCATTTTTCTACTTCTGTCTCCCATCTTTCAATTTCCTCCTCTCTGCACCATATTCCCATTCTGCCTCACCCCTCACCCCTCATCCCCACTGTCGCCTATCCAAAGCAAAGCGGAAAGTAGAAACACCAGCTAACAAAAACGAAACAAACCAGGCTCTCTGGCTGCAGCAAGCCTTCTACCTCGAGTTCCTGGGCGTCTCAAGTTTCGTCCCGGGGCTGTTCCTCGCGTCGCTAGGGTTCTTCGCGGTCAATGCGTGGATTTTGGGCATTATTGTTGCAGATGTTGGGAGGGGGTGATACGATCATCTCATTCCCATTACGTAGTACATCATTTGATGAGGTTGGAAGGGGGTGTAGATACATATTGTGTCGGTAGTGCGTACGGGTATGGGTTGGATGCATCAGGCGGAATTGATAGACTGCTAGGGTTCGAGGAGGACTACCGAAGAAGTGTACATATAATACTAAGAATTGGTATTGGTTTCTGCTTTTGCTAACTTACAAGTATGTAAAGCTGATATGGTTCATCTGGAGGAAATACTTCCACAATAGAATGAGACTTAGGTGTGAAAAGCCAGCGGCTGTATCTTATAATCCTACATGATGAAGTGGTCGGGTTAGGGGTATTAGGGTGGCCACGACGTGATAGAAGAAAAATGAATTTTTTTTTGGCCCTTTCCGTGTTTCGTTTGTGTGGGCTATGCTCAGGGTTTCGGCACGTCGGCTATGATCCTGTACGTTGAGGCGTGGATGCTCAGAGGTCGCGTGCGGGGATAGATGGCGCCGACAATCTGGTGGTTGTGGCCGTACTGCGGGTATATCCCATCGGTCAGCTTGAGGTATGTCGCGTCTGGTCGGGACTCGTGCAACGATTCCAGAATCTGTTCACTCCACAAGCCGGTGCATTTGTCGTCCACGAGTTGGAAGTAGGGATTTAACGGCGGACAAGCGGAATCCAAATCGATAAATCGGATGCGCATATAATTCAACTCAAGATGGAGTTGGAGACTTTGGATGGCTCCAATGACAAGCTTTTCGAATGCCCGGATGAAGTTCATGTTGGTGATACCTGAGAATTCATCGAGGAAGGGTAGGGCTGGATGCAGCTTCTTGTCTCGACAGCAAGTTTTCACCACCAGATCCAACAACTTGAGTTTCGATTTGGCTCGCCACGTGCTCATCGAATCCCGAGTGGAGTCAAACAGACATGCGCACACTTTGCCGGTGAACGTGAGAGACTCTAAGCGTGGTGCGACGTCTCCAAGCAGACGACAGAGGTGTGGCGGGTTGATGCCATCGCCGAGCCAGCGACTCTGGGAATTGTCTTTGTTGTAGAACCCCTCGAGGCTGACATTGATGTGAATCAACGACGGAGGAAGACGACGCAGGATCGCCGCAATAGTCTCGTAGCCCTCGATCTTCGGTTTCGCATAAGAACAATGCCACTCACGCACGTTCGGCAGCGCCTTGGATAGAGTAGACCAGTGTTGGTGATCCCGCATGATGTTCCATGCTCCTCGCATTACGAATGTCTGAATGTCCGATAACACGGGGAGGCACTGGTTACTACGACCGGATGGGTCACTGCGAAAGTGGCGTACCATCGGTGGTTTCTTGCAGTGACCCCCTTCCAGCGTAAGTATACGAGCCTCTGGAAACACGGCCTTTACGTGAACAAACATCTCCTCCAGCGTGGCATTGTGGCTTGCATAGTGGTATTTGTAGTCGGTGGCAGGGCTCGACTCAGCATCATCCCACGCCATCGTAGCCTGCACAATTGCCGTGTCTGCAGCAGCGATATCCTCATCATTGAATCTCCGAGGTGGAGGATGACGGGGAGTATATTTGATCGCTCGCTGGCCCCATACAGGTACCCATATCTCGACATGACGAACGTACGGTGCTAGATGAGGGTGCGCACGAAACCAGCGTGCACTTTCCGCCAGCTCATCTGTGGTGCCCTTGAGTTTGACTGTGGAGATAAATATTAGTCCCCAAATGGAGAACCTGAATCAATTTACTGACCGTGCCTGTAGATCCGATCTTGAACCAAAACCCTCCATACCGGCGATATCAAAGCGAGATTCGAAAGAGCTTTGCGTCTGGGATGACGTAATGATTTGTTCCAGCTCCTCGCAGGGGACTTTCCACCAGCCGATGTCGACAGGGTCGATGTGCGCTCACCAAACAGATAGTCAAGTATAGTCTCGTGGATCTCGACCGGTAGATGTTCAAACTGGATTTCGGATCGACGCATTGATGGCAATGGTGTCTCAGCTAATTGCACATCCTCCATCTCGGTATCCACTGGAGACTGGGCCCAGCCCAGGAAGTCCGGACCCACGGGAGCCGCGGAAGGACTATCATGAGCCGGGATCTCGGCGCTTGTGCTTCGAGTGGATTTTGAAAATGGCAGAGTATCGGATAAGGAAGAGGTTCGTGCGAGGGCATTGACTGAGACAGGCCGAGGGGGTGCAATGGCGGATAGGATGAAGGAGGAGGGAGAGGACGAGATCAAGTCGGCGGTCATTATTATGGGTCTGGGGGAAAGGAAGGAGGACCTAAAAACGCCAAGCAGAAGTCAAGATCGTCAATCGTAAAAAAGAAGGAGGAAGGGCTATGGGGAAACCCAAGTCAGCAAGGCAGAAATGACCGAGAAGATAAGGAAAAAGAAAGAATAAATAGTGAAGAGGAAAAGGAAAAGAAGCGAAAATGTCACGTTGAACATACTCGAGGCGGCTTGAACAGTCTCGCAAGGTGGAGCGAAAGCGAGGGAAAAGGAGCACGACAGCTGCGGTCCCAACTTATAACGACGACGGAATGACGAGGAAGAATAAGCAAGTGCGATCACGACCGGCCAGCGTGGTCCATGGCGGAGACGAGGTTGCGTTGGGAGCGTCTGTGTTGGTTGATGGAGACTGAATTAGGCCGTCAGGCAGCGTCAAGCACAGAAGGCGAGTGGATGGCGTGTGGGTTGGTGGTGCAGCAGAAGGAGCGATAAGAGTGAGTGGAGGGGACGGATGCGAGTTGCAACTTGCAAGTAAAGGAGAAGAGGAGAAGAGGAGAGCGGCCAACGAGGGGGAACCCTGAAGGCTGGAGAGGAGAGGCGACGGGCTGGAATGATCTGACGAAAAGAAAAGAACATCCGCAGACAAGAACTTTGCAAAGCCTTGAATTCAGGTCAGATGATTTCACGCCGTGATGCCATCCGTTGCAGCGTGTATTAATAGCAGCCCCCTTGTCCGAGACTCATTCTGATACACCAGCAACGTCTTATGTCGACGTCTAACACCGGCGCAGCCTCTTGTCTATTCAACGACCATCTCCTCGTCCATCGAGCGATGAATCAAGACGCAAAGCAAGCGGGTCAAGGCATGCACGACAAATCCCATTCCAGTCGATCACAATTCAGAGTGAAGAATCTCCGATAAGGATAACCTTCAGTCCAGAGATTTAGCGTCTGATTGCCGCTTAGCGCTCCAGCCTCATTCGACGGATCCTGGCAGTGCCTGTGACGCCTCATCAATTGGGTCTCTTGCTCAATTTTGATCTACTCATCATCAGCCAGTAATGGGTCGTTGTCTCATCCGAGGTAAACGAACTGCAAATGATGATGAGAAATGGCGAATTAAGAGTGGATATCCGAAGCAAATTGAAAGTATATACATGAAATGAGGTTGAACAAATCACCGCCTGCGACGAAACCGAAATCGAAGCTCATCATCACTATCAGAATCTGTCTCCTCACGAACCCGTTTTTGACTCCTTTGCGTCGCTGTCGTTGTCTTCTCCGATCCACCCCGGGCCAGTGACTGTTGTTGCGATGGCTCGCTCGAAACCTGGCTGACCGTTCGTTCGCGGTGACTCTCCTGAGGGCTCCTGGCACTGGATTGATTCGTGTTCACCCAATAGTGATCTCCGATGCCAAAGTCTTTCCGGGCCACCTCCTCTAGAGGAACAATAACGGCCTGAATTCGACGCCGTGACTGGCTGGGATCCCCCTTTCGGCGAAACTTCTTGAAGTTCTTCCTCCCGTTCCACCGTTCATCCCATCGATCACTCTTGTTGTCGTCGTTCCTCCGAGCTGGTATTTCCATTTCCTCCACAATTGCAAGGCCTTTCAGCTGCTCCACGGCCACATCTCTGAGTGAGCTTTGGAGAAGTTCCTCCTCTTGTTGGCGTCGCTGACGGGCAGCATCCTCCTCTGCTTCACGATGTTGTCGGGCCGCTTCTAGCACATCAAGCTTTTGCCGCTTCGGTCGGTGCACCTCCTCTGGCTTTGGACGAGAACTAGACTCTTCCGGACTCCGCTGTGATGTCTCTGCCCGCCGCCGTTTCATCGCAGTGGCACCCGGTAGCAAGCTGGAAACCAGGTCCTCCTCTTCTTCAATGCTGTCCAGCTGTTGGGTTTGAAACTCATTGGAAGCTTCCATCGGCATCGGAGGTGGTGATCCCATCGAGTCCTCTACCTCTGGAGCATACGCCGGGATGGAGTTGATGTCGAATCCGTCATCGAACGTCTTCATCTTGCTGACGTATTTGCGTACTCTAGCACCCCTGGTCTTCTTCGACGCCGGACTCACATCATTGGCAGGCTGAGAGTCTGCAACGACTTGCACATCTTGACTGGAGGGCGGAGGAGCAGATGAAGGCTCCGGCGGTGGTGGACTAAGATCTACCACTCGGCGCAATCGTCGACAAAGGATGGAAGCATCGTTGCCGAGAATTGCGTTTATGAACTCGTTCTGCTCGATGACGCGCTGATCAGTCAAAACTGCGATCTGATTGCTTAGCTCTATCGACCATGGCTCCTGGGTCTTTGATCGATATCGCACATGAACCACTCCCCCGGGACCGTCTCTGTCGGGGCCTAGGCCCTTTAGACCTGCCGCATTGGTCATGAACTGGACTACCTCATCTGCGGTAGTGATACCATCTTTGATTTCGTAAAATAAGGCTTTACCATGACCATTTGTGATGGGCCCTTGCAGATTATCATACTGGGCCCTTTCGCCAAAAACAAATGTGTAGCCGTCGAAAACGTGGTTCCGCTCGGGGTTGGGCGCAAATGCTTCGTCTGAGTAATTATGAGCCTCTCTCCCAGGAGGAGGCAGGTATTTTGTTGCATCTGGCCATGCGGCGTCAAAATCAGTCTCCAACGGGGAGAGACTCTCAAGATTTTCGAGATCAATGGGGGTTGCCGCATAAACCACGGCGTCGACGTATTCCTCCTTCACAATGTACTTCCCATTGACCAGCGCTTGTAATCCTTTGGCAGTATTTCTCTTTGTTTGGACGACGTGGGTGGTGACGTTCAAGTATTCGTCGGTGGTTTTGATGTCGAGATCTTCAAGTTTAGAGCGGACCGTCGTTAAGGCCTTCTTTGCCTTTGATCCTTTCAAAGAAAAGGAGAAGCTTAGCACGATCGGTTCCCATTTTATCCTGGATACGAGCAAGAATTAGCTTCTCTTCTGGCTGTTTATGTGATGGGAGCCTACCGCAGTAACGAATCGTGACTTCCCAGTTGGATCTCATGCTCTTCACCGGTCAACTTCTGGCTTTCATCCCGCGGTATACGCTCGCCATCCAGAAACGTGCCATTCTGTGTAGCCTGGTCGGTAATAGAGACTTCGGATCTTCTGTGGATTTTGCCCTGATTTCATCAGCCAAGATGCAGTGACTGTCACTGGATCATCTTACTCCGTCCCCGGCTTCGACAGGTGATACCTCAATCACCAAGTGTTTTCGTGAGACGGATTTCGCATTGATAACGTGTCGAACTAGGGGACATGTTCGTTAATGCATATACATGGCAGCCAAGTACATTTAGTAATGCGGACATACCTCCGTCCTTTTTGACACGACCGATAAGGTACTTCTTCCCAGGTCGGAGCCACACGCGCCTGCCTTCACTGTTTTAGCCATCGGGCATAAGAATCATGAAGAATCAGTCACCTCCTAAAAAGTCACCTTCTGAGTCAAGGATCCACATGAGGGGAACGGTCACCAAAGAATCAGCCCTGGCATCTTCAAATTGCGCAGTTGCTGGAGTGATTCCAAGAACCACGGACGCACGTGCAGCGCGGTGATTCAAAACGCGTGACCACGTGACGAGGCAGCCTAATGCTGCCTGGTTTGGAAATTGAGGAGCGGCTTTGATGTCGCGTCTTCCTTGGACTTCACATCAGCAAGAATGATTCCATGGAGGAGGAAAGGGAACCGCAGGTCGAAGCGTTTACAGAAGACATCCCTTCAGTACCTGATGGGGGTCCCAAAGACGAGGAAAGCCTGAAGTATCACCTTCTAGGCCCCTCTTTAACAAAGGCGGGCCAAGACTCTGTCGACCAGCGAAAGGTAAGTCGAGGAAAAGTATCAATTCTACCTATTCTAATAGACTAAGAGCAAAAGGTCTCCGAAATCATCTACAATGCGTCGAAAGGCTCCAAGTTCTTCAATCATGAACAAGCGCGCGACCGCGTCCTCACAGAGAAGATCCAGCGAATTCTCAAGGAGAAGGCCCGGCTAGAAAGTTTGAACCTATCAATTGATCTAAAGCTGGCCGACCAGCTTTTTGCCGAGCTGGAGCTGACGCGAGACCTCTCGCAATATGTTGTTCACGTCGACTGCGATGCATTTTTTGCCGCAGTCGAAGAGCTTGACAGACCCGAGCTGAAGACCGTCCCCATGGCTGTCGGAAAAGGTGTTCTAACTACGTGTAACTACGAAGCTCGGAAGTTTGGTGTCAGGAGTGGTATGGCATCGTTTGTCGCTCTGAAGCTCTGCCCGGAGCTCGTTTTGCTGCCGCAGAACTATGAAAAGTACACTTCGAAAGCCCAAGAGATCCGAACAATCATCGCTCGATATGATCCTCAATTCGAGAGTGCAAGTATCGACGAAGCTTATCTGAATATTACCACTTACTGCGCAGAGAACCAGCTTGACCCTGAGGTAGCCGTTGGTCGCATGCGCGCGGAAATCCTCGAGACAACGAAGATATCAGTCTCCGCTGGAATCGCAGCAAACGCGAAGATTGCCAAAATTTCGTCAAACTACAATAAACCGAACGGCCAGTTCTGTGTGCCGAATACTCGAGAAGCTATCATGGAATTCATGAAGGAGCTGCCAATGCGGAAAGTCAACGGCGTGGGTCGGGTTTTTGAGCGCGAGCTGGACGCCATCGGGATCAAAACGTGCGGCGACATCTACCCCCAGCGTGCTTTCCTGGCGAAATTGTTCGGCGAGAAAGCACTTCACTTTCTGGCGCAGTGCTATCTTGGGCTGGGCCGGACGAAAATCCAACCTGCGGAAAGCTATGAGCGCAAAAGTGTCGGCACAGAATCTACCTTTCATGAAATTAGCACCAAAGAGGAACTCCGGGAAAAGCTCTGGTATTGCGCCCAAGAACTCGAGAAAGATCTTTCTCGAACGCAGTTCAAAGGACGCACCATGGTTCTCAAGGTCAAACTCGCCACGTTTGAGGTCCTGACTCGGCAGCACCAACCTGCAAGAGCCGTATCATCTGCCAAGGAGCTGTTCACATCTGCCCTTCCCATGCTAGAGAAGCTCGAGAAAGAGATTCCGAATCTGAGACTCCGATTGCTTGGTATTCGCTGTACAAACCTCGTGAGCACAAAGAAGTTCAGCATAGATTTCTTCGGGCCTGCTGCACGCCGTAAACCCGCGCAAGAAACCGCAACCGACTCTACCCGAGAACAGGAAATCAGTGCAGAGGAGGCTTTCGAAAAGGCGGCCCGAGAGGAATTGCAAGATGAAATGCATGACCTTGAGAAGCTCAGTCAGGAGGTCCCCGAATGTGAAGCCGACCCCATAGTTCTGGCCATCACCGAGAAGACACCAGATCAGCCGCTATATTGGGACTGCCCAATTTGCTCAATGCCTCAAGTTGCAGATGATCGCAAATTCAACGACCATGTGGATTACTGTCTCTCGAAGCAGACGATTAAAGAAGCTGTCCAGGACGATTCACCGCTGCCCCCAACTCAGTCTCAATCCCAACCGGCGCCAGCCAGCACACGGAAGCGAAAAACTTTGGCTCGAGAAGCTGTCGATCCACGGCAGAAACGCCTGTTCTTCGCTTGACCTGCATGCAGGGAGCTCTCCAGGAAGTACTCGGTACGGAGTACTGCGAGACCACTCCTGACACAGCTCCTTGCTTCTGCCAGTGGTCGATGCTAGCGCACCCTGGATGATCGAAGGGGATACCGAGCGGTGCAGCATACTCCGGAGTAGACCCTCTAAGATCTCTAATGACAGTTTATCATCCTAGTTCCATTTATGTCATATAGTTTGGTATAGAGCTGTTTCTATCAACCCATAAATAGACAAAGATTGTGGCCTTCTAGCTCCTAGATCGACCAATGGTGCTCCCACAACCTCGGAACTCTGATCAGCCCATCTAAGCGAGGCTACAGATCATCTAACGATCGGAAGCCGATGGGTTAGCTTGCACGAGATTTTCCGATGACTCAAAAAAAATCAGAACATCTTCAATTACTCTGAGACTTCTGTACCCCTAGAAAGACCCTGTTGCGCCTCCTGGAATGTGTCGTCGTCTGTTGCGGTGAGAAACGACTAGGCCGGATTTGGCGGGGATAAACATCGTGGTCGGGCTTGAGTTGGACGCATGGTTTGTCTCGTCATAAATCTTCATTCTCACCACCTGATTGTTGCCTGAGCCGTATCCAGCCTTCCCGAGAGTTGCCAGAGGTGATTCCTCTACTAATTTCAGCAATTGACATTACGCTCCCGGCTGGCTGGTGCCACCATGCTTGCAGATCCTCACGGAGTGCTGCAATGCCATAATAAGTCGCCCTCCTGCCCGCCCCTCGAATCCAACAGCTATGACCTTCGATAAACAAAACAATGGCAGCATCGCCAAACCTTTTACTCCTACCCTCAGTGCGGCGTTTAATCGAGCGAACAAATCTCCCTTGACACCTAAACTAGCCACTCCATCGACCGTCCGAGCCCCGAAACGTCTTGCGCCCTCAGACCATCCCGCTTCCACTCCGTCGAGACAAACCCCAGAGCCCTCCTACCTCAGTGCGAACATTACCCCTCGATCCGGACCTCGAACTAGTAGACGTGATGGACCTATACTATCTCCGGGCAGTACGCCCTTGCACTCGCCGCAGTCATCCTTCAGTCAACCAGCCCAGACTCCTGGGCCGAATCCAAGGCTATACCGGAGCGATCGCAGCCCCGTCCGTATGGCAGGAAATCTCGAGCCCGCGAGGACTGCAAGAGCTAAGACGTTGACCGCCGATTTGAACACTGTCTCCCGCCCCCATTCATCCACCGATGCCCCCGCCGCGTCACCGATGTTTTTTCATGCGAGCGATGCACGTTCAGTATCGAGCTCCTCCGATGCAGATGTCCGGTCAAGGGTATCGGTCAAGTCAGCATCGCCCGCAACGTTTATATATGCAAACGGTCAAGAGGAGAATCAGGCTCCGACCGATGAAAATGCCAAGCGGCGGTCGTCCGGACTGTCTCGCCCTGTTGCAACAAGGCCACCTACGTCTTCACCGCAGCTGAAATCCCCGCAGCTTGCCAGCACATCCCCTCGGCTTACAGAAAGTGTTTCATTCCATACCGTTCCACCGCTTGATTCGCCCGAGATACATTCGCCGATCAATAGTCCACCATTACGAACTGGACTCCCGAGACCAATTCCGGTGATAAGCCACACGAAGTCTTCCAGTCTGGACACTGGGCGTGGCACACCTCTCCGAGAAACGGTGACGGAGGGACTACGGCCGAGCCCAATACTCGTATCAACTCTAGATTCACAAGTGGAAGACAACCCAGTCACCGACCCTATTCCTGCCTTCAGACCTCGCATCTTTAGCAATGGCTCTACAACGTCGGTTGACAGTATAGGCTCTGGCTTACAGAGCCCGGTGAAGTCGGACCACGCAGGAAACAGTGGGCCGGTCCTCAGTGCTCGCGTGGAACGCAAGATCTTAGACCTTGAAATCAGCAACTCCTCACTTCTGGCAATCAACAAAACACTGGAGCGTGAAATGCGGAAGCAGAACGCAGAGCTGCGCCGGTTTCGGCGGCTCAGCCGCTCGGGCCGCCTATCTATGGCTCCTTCACGGTCGGTGTCAGGAACCTTGTCGATTCCGAGCGAAATTGACGAAGGCGAGAGCGAATTCTCGTCAATTCACTCGCATGACGACATGTCCGACCTGAGTGACGGAGAGTCGATGCTGGATGAAAGCTCCCTTGGTCCGGACTCGGTAGCTGAGGATGATGTGCAGCAAAAGGTTCGGGACGAGAAACGTTTCTTGATCGACCTGGCGAAGCATCAGGAGCTGCTCGCAGACAGCCAGAAGATGAATCAGAGCTTGAAACGATGTTTAGGCTGGACAGAAGAGCTCATCAAAGAAGCCAAAAAAGCACTGGAGTATAACGTGCATGTCAGTGACATTCAACTTGGTGGACGAGTCTTGAGCCCCGATGAACTAATCGATGACGGAGAAGCCGGTCGAGGACTCCTCGCGACGAGCGTCCTTGCTTCACCACAATCCGAATTCCCTGATATACAACCTTTGGATGACGAGGAAACATCGACTTTGTGATCGAAAGCCCTTCATTTCTATTTCCTTTGTTAGCGATACCGATTCATCGCTTTATACGATGAATTCGTCATCCTATAATACCCACTTCGACCGGAGTTGGCCTTTATCTGCGCCTGAAAACCCTTAGAGGTTGCCTTGAGCCATATACCCTATGACGCGTACCATTGACCTAATGTATTCATGACTGGTGCTGGCGCTATCTGGATAGACTTTCTTTCATTTTTCCTCTCTTTCCCTTCATTGACTGTGATTATTACAAACGATAGATTTACACAGCTGATCCGCTGTCTCTAGTACTATGCCTAGATACCCATATGCAATGAAGAATGATATGACCTACATATCTTATACCATGGTTGTTTCTTCCTACCAATTTACTGTATTGAGCAAAAGTCGGGTTCATTTTGCTAGCAAGTAAGTTTGGCCATAACCCACGAGACCCCGAAGGCACCAAGAAGCAGCGAACATATAAAGCAGCACTGAACTCGCCTTCAGAAAGCCAGAGATGGCAACCCAAGACGCTAGTATGTTAAACCCATAGAAACGCCAAACGGCATTGAATGCATGTTTCGCGTAGATCCATTGGATATATTCCAATCAACCCAGCAGCACCTCTAATACCAACAACCCCGTGTTTTGTCTCTTCACAATCCCATCTCCAGCGCCTGCTCCTCAAAAATATCATCGGCCGCCGCGTCACTATCAGTCTCAACCTCAGACGCATACATCGAATCCAAGAGACCCTGTTCCTCTTTTCTCATCTCAAGATCCACGAACTCCTCTTCATGCCGCTGCACCATCCATTCCCAGAATTTGATCGGGGTGTATCCCGCGACATTGAACTCGGGGTCGGCAGGTGCGTTCCGCGCCTTTTCTGGCTCCTCGACACCCATGGCTCCGTCTGCGAACCGGTCTGTTAGCGAGATCATGTTGCCGAGTCGAGTTCTGCACTCATCGAGGAAGTCAAGGAGAGCCGCGTCGTCGTATGTGATGGCGGTGTTTTGGCGGCTGTCTGTGCCGTTGTTGCTGTTATCGTTGGTGTTGTTCTTGGTGGTAGTGTTGGTCGTCGTGGACGATGTCGTGGTGTCGAGATACTCGTCGTCGGTAGTGGGCTTGGATTCCTCTTGCCTGCCAACCCCGCCATTATCGTCACTGTCTTCATCGTCCATTTTCTTGTCATCGCTCTTCCAGTCGGGACTGCGCTCATCATCACTCTCCTCATCGTCATCCTCACCGTGCTCCTCCTTCTCCTCCTCCTCCTCCTCCTCCTCCTCTTCTTCCTCCTCCTTCTCCTCCTCCTCCTCCTCTTCTTCCCCTTCTTCCTCTTCGTCCTCCTCTTCAATAACCTGCAGCCGATCCATGGCCCCAGTAAGGCCCCCAGTCTCGGTAAGGTCCTGTCCCTGGTCGTTACTGCTGCTAACAAAGAGCCCCTCCACCATGGTCCTGCTCAGCCCTGGGCCCAGATCATCCCCATAATACAACGCGTCAGAAGCATCCCGGCTGGAGCGCAACCAGGCCCCATCAATCCATATCCTTTTGGAATAGAGGAGCGTTTGCTGTAGGCGGCAGAGTCTGCGGATTTGAGTCGCCTTCACGAAATGGCCGGTCACTTCATTTCCAGGACAAGTGGGTGCAGAAAGGCGGCAGGGAGCATTGTCGCTGGGTGGCAAGTGACCAAAGGTAATCGGGGTACCCTGGCAGCTGGAATCTGGCGTAACAATCCTATTGCTGTCGCTATTGCCGTCACCATCACCATCACTATCGCCAGTCCTGCTTGTAACATGATCCTCCGAAGGAAGCGGATACAACACGATGCGCCTGATGTACTCGTCGCGCTCGAGACGCTCTTCCTCCAAGGCCCTGAAGTCATTCACAGGGATAAGGACAGCGGGGCCATTGGGTTCAACGCGGACGCGCACGGTACAGACATTATCATCATTGTTTGGCGCGACACTGATGTCGGCTGTATTATCAGAGCTAGGGCTAGGATTTGGGTTGGACTCAGAAACAGCCCCATATTCGTCGTTGTGGTTGTCCTTGTCGTTGTTGTTGGAGTCAGAGTCACAGTCACAATCAGGCTCTGAATTTGGATCAGTGTCAATGTCCGCGTCATTGCCGACATCGTGGTCGTTCGAACTCGAGTCAGAGCACGGATGAACATGCTCAGTCTCGAGCACATCAGGGGAGGGGTCATTGACTTGGCCATCAGAGTCGCTGCAGCCAGACTGTAAGCTGTTAGCTAAGGTCCGATGGTGATGTAACTCCGATGAAATGGGATCAAAGGAACATACTGAAACTGTGAGGCTAAGCAGTCTCTCTACCTGGTCGTAGTAGCCCACGCCAGGGCGCGTTCGGGTCGATGTTGGGACGAGGGAATCCGATGAGGATCGGACGCGCCTGAGGCGAGAGGAGACTGGAGACATATTGATGGATATATGTCGTCCTTGACAAGCCTTGTCTCTGTCGCTTCGTGGAGACCACGCCAGTGGTTGGTAGGTAAACTGGATAAGGGGGTTATGGGTAAAGATAGCTTGTTAAGGCTGAGTGGGTGAAGTAAACGGACTCCGTATAGGAGTTTGTTGATGAGACCTATATTAAGCAGAGTGGTGTGAATGGTACCTTCACGAGTCAACTTGCAGGTAAGTGAAGAAGAGAAGACGAAGGCGAAAGAGGCAAAGGAGTTATCTCATATTTTTCTTTGCTCCGTCATCGTACTTTTTCTGGTAAACTTTGAAGATGGAATGGATGTCCGAATGGTTTGGATAAGTCCGCATGGGAGTTAGGGTTTGGCGTGGTTCCAGGTTCCTCTGGCCTAGGCTGCAATCCTTTGTTGAGCGACGGAGGGACAGCCTTGGGGGCGAGTTGGATAATATGGTTTTAACGGCGAGTCAAAAAGGTTCCCTCTGATAGGATGTTTTGGCGAGGTGAGCCACAAGAAGTAAGAGTCTACAGGAGTTCAAGATACTGGAGGAATAAAGTATAACTCAGAAGAGGCTGGATTCGCTAGGAAAATACATTGGGCTAGATTATATCCAAAAGCCACTGCAGACAGGGAATATCTCGTGAAGAAGAGGCAGGGAGCGGAAAAAGGTTCCGGGATGAGATCGGGGAGGCGAGATGTTGAGGGAAAGACAACGAGCATTACGACTCGGCTTTCGGGGTGCTAGAGGCCCCTGCTGTGGCATGAGCGTGCTTCTTGTCTTTCTTCTTATCTTTGCCCTTCTTTGACATGGCGTCTGTCATGAGCTGCTCAAAGGCCATGAAGTCTCCTTCCTCGTCGGGGTCACGTTCGGCCTGGAGGAGCGGGTTAGTACGTAGTACGTAGGCGGAAAGCTAAACGAAGGGGGAGTACCTTGGAATAGATATTGCCGGCAATGATCATAGCGTGAGCCCGCTCAACACGTTTCTCGAGCTTGATTTTCTTGTCAAGCAGAACCTTATCGCAGACGTCGCGTAGAACGCTCTGGATCTCAAGCTTGCTGCCACGCCAGGCGGCTGCGAGTAACTTTCCTGTTACCTTCACGGAGTACTCTGCCCTCATTTCGTCCGTCCAGTTCTCTCCTCCCTTCTCTTCAAGTTTGGCCATTTCCTCCATCGTCAGCTGGGCGTCGATGACAGTAGAAATAGTGGTCCAGGCTTCCTTGGCGAGGGTGCCCTTGTCCTTGAGTCTGGAGAAGAAGCCGGAAATGCCGAGGAACTTTTGTGATTTGAGGAAGGATGTGGCCTTTGATACGTATGTGGCGCCGATGGCGTGGAGAATCTCGATACCAAAGGACTGAATCTTCAGGTTTTCGACTTCAAGACGGATCTTCTCCTCAAAAGCCCGCGTGACGTCGGCACCCTTGTCTGTCTCGGTCCAAACGCTAATCTTGTCGATAAGCTTTGTCGCCAGCATCTCAACTCGCTCCTCGCGTGCTTTGGCTCGTTCGCGCTCAAAAGCTTCAAGCTTCTCGGCTTGTTCGCGGGTCAAGCCACCCTTCTTCTTCTCCTTCTTCCGCAACTCGCGTTCCTCTTGTGATACATCGGCCGCCTGCATTCTAATTTCCTCATCCGACTTATCCGTGAGAGCGTGCTGGCCGAGATAACGGCGAGGGGTACTGGTACCGGAGCCTGAAGCCGAGGGCGTGGCCGCGGGGGCGCCTGCGGGAGTAGAACCGGAAGTAGCAGCAGGGCTTCCGCCAGCGGCCTTGGCCTCCTGTTCGTTGATATTGAGCTTCTCTTCCGTGGTTGCGGCGAGGTCTTCCTCCGCTTCCTCCGTTGTGATTTCCATTCGGGTGGTAAGGTCTTGAAGGAGCGAAATTTCGCCGATAAGGTCGTGGAAAGCATCGCCGCCGAATATCATACCAAAGAACTCGTTCGGATCCTCTGCGCAACATTAGTTTGTGCTCGTGGCGCGACTTTAGGTTAACGCACCGAAACCATGGTCGGGAATCGCCTCTTCCTTGCCGTGGGCATCATAACGCTTGCGGAGATCGACATTGCTGAGGACCTGGTATGCTTCACCAATCTATCCATGGTATCAGTATAGCTGTATATATTGTACCACAAGCGATGACGTACAGCTTGGAATCGTTCGTGTGCGGTCTCGTCGCCGGGATTCTTATCTATTGAGGTTAGGGATATAGACGACTAGGATATTTCAAGGATACACACCAGGATGAGTAACAATAGCGAGCTTTCGGTATGCCTTCTTGATCTCAAGTTCCGTAGCTGTCGGAGGCACCCCCAAAGCGTCGTAGTAAGTGGTATCAACAACCATCTTGATATGCGGCAAGACCGCTCCTAGTTTTCAGCCGCCTCGTGGGTTACAACAGTGCGAGGGTAAACAGGCAAGTTGGGTTAGATATAATAAGACGGTAGGTAGCTTTGTAAAGAATAATGAGGCTGAGCAAACAGAAGATCTTGTCTGCGCAAGTGTTATTTTTTTTTTTTCTGCCTGATGAAGCTTCGGAACGGCCTGTCGTCATGGCGGGGGAGGCCGAAGAGGCGAGCAGGCGGTATCGTATGTTCCGTATTGTCATAGATTTCACAGCGGTGCAGCTGCCTACCCGGATGCTGTGCCCGTTTATCCGTCATGGGGCGTTCCGGAGGCCGAGATGATCCGGGTCTCCAAAAGTCACTAATTTGGTGCTAATTTTCTCAGCTCAATTTCTTCTCCTTCTCCCACTCCGACTCGCTCAACCTTTCATCTCCCCCAAGTCTCTCCTCTTCTTCATATTTGTCCTTTTCTTCCCCTCCCTCTCGCCCTTCCCTCTCCTTCTAATCTATTCTCCTGCACCCTATTTGACTTTCCAGCTTCTTGGTCCTCCTCCACATTTCTTCCGTCTGGGTTCTCTGCCAATTGGCCACTGTGCCTTTGTACATTACTTTCCTAGCGTGTACTAGTACGCCAATTTCTTGCTAATTTGCTTTTTCCGCTGTCTTCCAAATCTCCGCAATCCTGGTTCGAGGACTTTTATTTCCTCGATTCTCTCCCCCGTACTCTTCCCCTTACTCACCTTCACGTGTAAATTATCACTTTCGCACACCATGGGTCTCGTGGGCAATATCCTTTACTACTCATTCCACCCGGCAGAGCTGAGGTCGATCATCCAATGGTACGTTTCCCCCCTTTTCCTGACCATTCGCACATCCATCTCGGGAAAGCTAACAAAACCCTTCTTGGTAGGAAAGTCTGGCACAATCCTGTCCATGAGCGCAACGAGAAGGATGAGACCGAGACGCAAAAGGCATGCTTCAAGTTCCTCGATTTGACGAGCCGGAGTTTCAGCGCTGTCATCAAGGAGCTGCACCCGGAGCTGCTTCTGCCCATGTCCGTATTCTACCTAGTACTCCGTGGCCTAGACACGATTGAGGATGACACCTCAATTCCACTTGAGACAAAAGAGCCTTTGCTGCGCAACTTCAAGGATTTCCTTGAACAAGATGGTTGGACCTTTACTGGAAACCGTCCGGAGGAGAAGGACCGTGAGCTGCTGGTTCAGTTTCACAATGTCATTACGGAGTTCAAGAACTTGAAGCCTGCCTACCAGGCGATCATCAAGGATATTACCGACAAGATGGGTAACGGTATGGCTGATTACGTGCGGAAGGCTGAGCTTGAGGATGCTAGCGTCAAGACGGTTGACGAATACGATCTTTACTGCTACTACGTCGCTGGCCTGGTCGGTGAAGGTTGCACTCGTCTCTTCGTCGAGGCGGAGTTTGGTAACCCTGCTCTGCTGAAGCGCCCCCGTCTCCACAAGTCGATGGGTCTTTTCCTCCAGAAGACCAACATCATTCGTGATGTTCGGGAAGACAATGATGACAACCGTCGGTTCTGGCCGAAGGCCATCTGGTCGAAGCACGTTGATAACTTCGACGATCTCTTCAAGCCGGAGAACCGCGAAGCTGCCCTGAACTGCAACTCGGAGATGGTCCTAAACGCACTGGAACATGTCGAGGACTGTCTCTTTTACCTTGCTGGTCTCCGCGAACAGAGCGTTTTCAACTTCTGTGCCATACCTCAAGGTATGGCCATTGCTACCTTGGAGCTTTGCTTCCGCAACCCGGCCATGTTTGAGCGCAACATCAAGATCACAAAGGGCGATGCCTGCCAGCTGATGACGGAGTCAACGCAAAACCTTCGCGTTCTCTGCGACGTCTTCCGCCGCTATATCCGTAAGATTCACAAGAAGAACACGCCCAAGGATCCCAATTTCCTCAAAATCAGCATCGTCTGTGGACAGGTATGACTTCGATCAAATACTCAAAATCATGAATTGTCTGATTCTAACTACTTTTCAAGGTTGAGAAATTCATCGAGACGATCTTCCCGTCCCAGAACGCGGAAGAGGCTAACCGCCGTGTCGAGGGTGTAAAGACGGAAGCTGAGCTCGAAAAGGCCCGGCAAGATGCTGAGACACGCAAGGACGTTTTCTTCATGCTGGCTTTGATGGGTGTGATTGCTGTCATTGTGTCTGTCATCATGGTTTGTCCCCCTATTATCTTTGGACTCTTTTGGATATCAGTACTAATTATTTCAGATTGCAACCGCCTGGGCTCTTGGTGCTCGATTCGACCTTGCCTGGCAGGAACTGAAGAACGGCAACATGCGCCCAAAGTCTGTCGCGCATGGCGAGTTATAACCGATTCACGACCCCTAATTGATACTATACCCTTCGTCACGATGTCTTACTTTCACGGTACATACGCATATATACCTTCTACTAATAATATACCACCATGCCCTATTCCTCCCCGTCCCGACGATGCAGAATTCCCTAGCACGGATGTCAAATTGCAATCCAGCCTTTCTATGACTGTGGTTGTGCCGAAGAAGTGCTGATATTAAGTGGAGTTTTTCTCCGACCAACGATGTACTAGATTTGTGTCTTGCGGCATGCAAATGCTGAAATGGCACACGTCCATTGAAGACTTGGAACACCTCGTATGCCTATATAGTAGTAATGCCATCGTGAAAACTTTTACCTTGTTTTCTGATCTCTCTCCCTCATACCATACTCCAAAGTCCAAACCACTTGTAAATGGAAGGTCACATTCCTTGCGTGTCAAGCTGGTTGATGATCTCCGTCAAATACTCTGCCAAGTCCATCAATTCCTGGATATATCACCGATCGTTCAAATGGTTTAATAAGCACTCACGTCGATAGACATCCCCTTTCTCCTATATTCCATCACCTTTCCACTCGAAGCCCAATGGCCCCAAACGCGCAACTTGATACCTCCGCTAGAACTGTTTAATCACGAACGCCTCAATATATACGTATCTCGCAATAGTGGAGAGTATGATGGTTCGAATTCTTATATCCACTTCATAGATATATATTTGCTACCCAGATATACATCGAAAGTTATGGCATTGTACAGTATCACACCATGCAAACACAGTTGGAGGCCACTTGTTAATATTCGGGCAACAACATACCACAACGTCAATTGCAAGACCCACATATAGAAGAAAAGACGAAAAAGAGAAGTAGATGAGGAAAAAATAGAAGCAAGACACTAAACGAGTCACCCCTAAGTCTTCGTTCGTGGACTGGCCTCACAGTGTTGAAGAGTGCTTCATCTTCCTCTTATATCGCCCTAACGGGGTTGGTGCAGTGGAGAGTTCTTTTGGTGTAGCATTGTGGGACTAAAAGCATTTATGAGGGGATGGATGGTGAGGATGATAGCTTCCTTAAGAAGATATGAGGAGGGAGCTGATCTTTGGTCATCAGTCTGGTGAAAGGGGCGAAGAGGGAATAATGGGAGAGAATATAAGAATGTGCTCGGGAGAATTCATTGTTGAGAGGATGATAGTACTCCAGAATTGAATACGAGTATGGCCCTTGTTTTTGGAATCTGGAAGACATTTAGTGGTTGATATTGTGAGGGTTCAGGGTAGGAAGTGTTGCTGTATCTACTATGGCGCCGATGGCGGGGGTTTAGATACTAGTCAAAGGAGGGGAAAGAGACTTGAATGTCTATAAATTTTCTTGAAAAGGTGGAGAGCGTCACATGCAGGCCCCAGCTTACGAAGTATGCGTTGGGTTACTACGGCAGATGAAGCCCTATCTTGTTACGGGATATATACGGCCAGAGCCTATCTCGCGCGGGGAAAGAACACCACAAGGAAAGCACGCATATTCCCCTCTCAAACCTGATAACCAAAGCCAAGGCCACAAATAACTCAGGCTCCGCGTTCAGACTCAAGTTCATCTCGTCCTTTGAGAAGGGGGTGTGGCATCGGAATGGTAGCCCGGCCGCGGAATGCACTCGGTCAAGACCCCTCCATTCCAGCCAGCCACACTAAGAGATGAAACTCGGAGTTGGAGACGATTTCCTGGATTATTTGCATAAGAATGGTCTGGGTTTCTGGGGAAATGCGGGTGGTTGGTCCAATGTTCATCTTCCTCTGACGGGTTGACGTTGGATTTGCGCCAGACCTTGGTGTGTTGTGTTTTTGAAGCCGGTTCTCGAGATAGTGAGGGTTAACTCGGGTCATTCGACCCAGGGTCAGGAATCCCTAGCAGGATCATGTTAGCTCAGCAGGTTGTTCGTCAACTGGTACATTGAAGATTAGCGTGACTCCGTTCAGTCACCAGATAAACTCATTCGCTGGGAATTGGCGCCAGAACAAGTCTCGACCTGGTGTCGTCCGCTGTCTTAGCTTAACATCTCGTAAACCGGCATTCCAGACGGAGATCTTTGCTCGCCCTGTCAGTCAGCCAAGTCATCCTGTCCGCAGCCGGGACAAGCCAAGTAAAATGGCAGCAGGTAGTTTCAAGGCCATGGGTGCGTCGTGCGTCATCTCGCCTCCTCATTGCAGAGCCGGGGGTCATGCCAGGTACGTGCAGAGACGGTTTCAAGTGCAGACGCGCGTGGCCTCCCTTGTCGGAGTACGCAAGAACCAAGATTTCGTCCGCATGCAATCGTCATCTGGAGCGGGTATGATGGCTATAAGATATCCCAAGTAGCTCGCTTTCGCGATGGGGATAATATCTCCTTTATCTTTTTTTTTGCCTTGATTGGTTCCTTTCGACGTCCTTTTGTATCCTTCACGTACACATCCACGTTCACGTTAATGTAACGCGAAAGCCACCAAAATGAAGATGAAACTCGGCCACACCCTCTTCGCAACATCTACCCTCATTGGGACGGCTTTCTCCCTCCCCTCAAACCTCACCTCGCGCATTCAAGCCCGCTCACTAAACCGCCAATCCCACCCTAACCTCCCCACGCCCGGCGGCCACGAGGGCACACAGAGCGGTTTCCGCACAGCAAACACAGCCGCAATCGCATACAGCAACAACTGGGCCGGCGCGGTCCGCGAGAAACCGCCCGCAGGCGGACCCTACACAGCCGTGAGTGCGACGTTCACAGTGCCCGCGCCCACGGCCGTGCCGGGAAATACGGGGATGCAGGCTGGTTCTGCGTGGGTGGGGATCGATGGGGATACCTATCCTAGCGCGATTCTGCAGACGGGGGTCGACTTTTATATCGAGAATGGGCAGATCCATAACGATGCGTGGTTTGAATGGTTTCCCGACTATGCATATGATTTCAATCTCGACGTGAATACGGGCGATGTCATTGTGGCTATGGTGCAGTCGTTTTCGCCTAGTGAGGGCATTGCCGTTATCGAGAATCAGAGCACGGGCGAGAAGGCGACGCAGACTGTGAGAGCGCCAAAGACCGAGGCGACGCTTGCTGGGCAGAATGCGGATTGGATTGTGGAGGACTTTCAGTCCGGGGATTCGATGGTTGCCCTGGCGGATTTCGGGAGCGTCACCTTTACGGGGTGTGAGGCGCAGGCGCAGAACGGCGAGATACTTGGGCTGAACGGGGCGACGATTATCGAGTTGAAGCAGAAGAACAAGGTGTTGACGGAAGTGACGGTGCAGGGCGATGAGATGATGACTGTGAAGGCGAAGCTATAGTTGTACTTACTTAACGAGGCGTTGCGGCGTTCTTTCCGGTGTTATGGAGTACCAATCGATGGATGACTTTGATGTTCACTTCCTCCTCTACAGCCAGAAGTATGGCTGATATCCTGCAGAAGCAGTACGCATGCGTACCCAGGCAAACTGGCTATTGAACAAGTCAGTCTTGTCTCAGAAATCATACATCTGAGGCAACAGTACGCTTAGCATTTGTCAACCAAAAAGGCCCGACAAAACGCCGACCAAACTGCTACGCTGGCTTGCCCAAGAAGTGAGCAAGGATCGCCACGCTAAGCCCCTAACTCCCCTGTACACTGCCAACACCGGGGAAGCAAGCAATCCGCGCCGCAAAACGAGCCGCCGAGATGGAGTTCCGTCACGACTCGCTTGCCATTTCTGGTCATCTGCCGCAACGCTCACTGCTCGCTGCTCGCTGCCTTCATGCCCGATGATGGTGAGGTGGATTCGAACCCTGTCCCTGCATAGAATCCCAGAATGATGCGCGTGTGATTTCCGACGGCGGATACCGTGGTGGAATTCTCCGGAGAAGCGATCGACGTGGCGGGCTCTCGTTTGGATGATGTTGTTGGTGTGGGACTGAGTTGGCGGGTGAAACGGGCGGATCAGCAGGGGTCTGTTGGCTCCTGTCGATGGATTTGATCAATATGACTGATCGGGGCAGATGCGAGTGATTAAGAAAGAAGCAAACAAGGTGATTGCGCTGATCCTTTCGAATCCAACGTCCAAGAGCCTGATCTGGATACTGGAGAGAAGGTGGTAGTCCGAAGTTGGAAATCGAGGGGAATAACGGGGTTGGTGCCTTAGGCTTCAGGTCAGCATGAGGTCCTAGCATCAACAACAGAGTCAGTATTATGGAATGGGCGTCGCAGAGCAGACGAAGATCTTTCTCAACTTGCTTACGGAGCCTCCTAGCTCTTTATGCAAGACTTATAAATGCAATTGCTTCATTAGTATTGGAGAAATTGTCAATCCTGCTCAACTCGCCCACACAAAATCCTTATCGATAAGCCCCAAAAACAAACCACCACCTGAACTCAGCATTGACCACCACGACGCGGTCACACTTCTCCCTTCTCGCTTCTCCTGCAATCATTCTCAGCAATTCTTTAAGTTTCAAGTTCCCTCATTAACTCACCACACAATGCAAATCCTCCTCCTAGACGGCGGCCTCGGCACAACCCTCGAATCCCCGCCCTACAACATAACCTTCACCCCACAAACCCCGCTCTGGTCCTCGCACCTCCTCCTTTCCGCCCCCTCCACGCTCGCCGCCGTGCACCGCTCCTTTCGCGCGGCCGGCGCCGATATCCTCCTTACGGCAACGTACCAGTCTAGCACGGAGGGTTTCACGCGGACGAGGCCGGAGCTTACGGATGAGGATGCGGCGCGGTATATGCGGTCTGCGGTGAAGATTGCGCGGGGTGTTGTTGGTGATCCTTTGTCTGCGTCTGCGTCCGTGAAACAGGAAGAAAAGGAGAAGGGGGAGACACAAGGACACGACACACGGGGGCTTGAACAGGGGAGGCAATGTCGCGTTGCGCTGTCACTCGGTCCGTTCGGTGCGACCATGACCCCTGTCTCCGCGGAGTATAGCGGAGTTTATCCAAGTGAGATGGACAGCGAGGGTGCGTTGCGGTCGTGGCATGCGCGGCGGCTGGGTGTGTTTGTTGAGGATGGTGAGGCGTGGGACGGAGTTGAGTATGTGGCGTTTGAGACTGTGAAGCGGACGGACGAGGTGCGCGCTGTGCGAGGGGCTATATTCGACGTTACGCAGGGGCTAGAGCAGGGATATGGAAGAAAACCCTGGTGGGTGTGTGGTGTTTTCCCTACGGAAGAGGTGGACGAGGGTGAGGTTAGACGGTGGGTTGCTGCGGCACTTAGAGAGCAGAGGGACGGGTCTGGCTTTGCGCTACCGAGGCCGTGGGGCATAGGGGTGAACTGTACACGGGTAGATCACATTATCAGGATTGTCGAGATTATGCGGGACGAGTTACATCGTCTCTCTGAACGAGGTGACTTTGTGGACGAGTGGGCGTCGCGGTCTGGGAGACCCTGGCTGGTGTTGTATCCGGATGGAACAAAGGGGGAAAAGTACGACCCTGTCAGCAAGACATGGGTAGCGGGTGCGACAGCTGTGCGACGGCCGTGGGATGAGAGCTTCTGGGACGTTGTGCAACGTCAGGCAGAGGGCGACTGGGAAGGGATCATTATCGGTGGGTGCTGTCGTGCCGGACCAGATGATATCGCTGCATTGCGGCGGCGGATTGATACTAACTGACATTATAGCAAGTAGATGTCAGGCCACGTTGGCTGGATTAGATGGACTGAGAATAGCAGCCCCTTCGATATACGTCACCTCGTAAATCAGCAGAAACTGCAATCACGAACTGATGAACAATGCTTAAGCTTAGCTCGAGACTGGGCTCAGGTCAAGACTACAAGTGAACCATGAATCTCAGCTAGTATCTCACTAAAAGGCTATAAATATTATCGAAAGTACACCGTAACAATATCCCACCCACCACATAAACATAAAATAGCATAAGATAAACAACCATTTTATCTTGCCAACCCAGTCCCAAATCAAACCGTGCCAGCCTTCGTATTCTAGCCATGGCTCTTGACGCAACCCACCACCCAAAGTCTACATCCATGATAACTTTCAACACCTTCTATCGCACATAAATAGTCATGTCCCCAAAGTACTCATTCGAATCTCTCAGCGGTACGCTCGTATACTCCCTAACCATCCTCCTCACCCGCACCGAGTCCGGATCTGTCGTGAATGGCCTGGTCCTGTTAGCCCAGCACTTGAACACACTCATCCAACACGCACTGAATATCAAAGAAGAATAAGAAAGGAGCAAAACGTACACAACCCAAAACTCCTCCCCACCCCGCACCTGCTTCTCCCAGCGCACATTCTCCTTCTCCTCCGGCATAACCGTATTCCAGATCATGGCCGCGGGCCAGCACACATCCGCGACAACCTGTTTCACGGGGACGTTGGGACTCACGCTGAAGACGAGCGTTTCGGCGTCGATTTCTAAAAATCCCTTTGGGTCGTCCAGTGGCGTTATCCCGATGCTGTGGAGTAGGGCAATGTCCACGTCTGTGTAGGCGGGGTCTTGAGCGTAGACCTTTATATTAGAAGTGGTGTTTGTGCTTGGTATTTGGCTGGGGCTATTCTGCTGCAATCTTCGTCTCCCCAAAACCTCGACCATACTCCCCAGCGCCGCATGCTGCGCCAATGCCCTGGAAGAATGAAACTCATCCTCCAGCCCCGTAAGCGTCCCCAACCCAAACGCAACAATCTTCCGTACCGGCCGGACCATCTTTCGCTCCAGCTGCGCGAGATGCATCTTCAGCGCTGCGCACGTCTCGCTGGCCTCCCACTTGCGTCTCGAGGCCGCGAACGCAGCCTGCACTTCCGGGAGCGGCGCCTGCGGGTACTCGGCTGATGACGTGTAGCAGATGCTGATGGGGGATGTATCGCGGAGAGAGATCTCGGGGAAGGACGGGTGGATGCAAGTGAGGTTCTGGATGCTGCTGTAGCCGATTCGGTAGGTTGTTCTTCTGCTTCTTGTTAGGTTGCGATGGGCTAGATAAGGTTTGCTGCGCTGCGTTGCTCGACGGATATGTGAGAAAGGATCGAGCTCACTCACTCGAAATCAGAACACCATGCTGGGACTTTCAGGCTGTATGTGTGGCTGACGTCGTCGAGGTCGTCGATGTGGACTTCCTCGTTTCCCTGGTCGATTTGCGCGTCGAGGTCAGCGAGGAGATGGCGCGGGAAGAGTGGCTTGCCTGAGGCGTAGAGGCGGGCGAGATGTTCGAGCTTCAAGTGGATTCGTGCAAGGATCTCGTCGTCATTGAAGTCGTCGGGGATGCTGAGGCCCATGGTGTCTGTATCGTCTGGGGATGGTGCGTCTTTGGGGAGGGAGATGGGGACGGGTTGGAGGGGGAGACAGTCCATTGTTATTGGAGCCATTTTGCGTGTTATAGGTCTCAGTGTTTTTGTTATTGTTATGAAGTGAGTGGTTGTGATGCATCTGCTATATATATCGACCGCGGCTCTCAGGCCATCCCCCCTCCAGCACTAATTTAGCAGCAAACCATTGTGCTGGCAGCAACCGTGGTTTTTATTGACTCAAATTGCTTTTTTGGCCCTGCTCTTGTTTGTTGTTTCCAAGGCTTGTCTGGCCTCACCGCTTGAACGTATGTCATGAGCTTGCCTCCGTGCGTGTGTTTCCAAGTCCAGGGCGAGAAACTGCGCTATAACTCGCGATCCAACCCGCTGGGATTCTAGCCAGCGTGCCATTGGCTGCAACGATAATAATCGCAGGCATTAATTGACCAAAAAGGGAAGATTAAATGCCCGTCCGCTGCGCTGGCCCTCGTTTCCAGGATCAGGAGCGGCCCTGGCAGCCCGGAGTTGGGTTCCTACGTCAGGCAAGCGAACGGCTGAGATTCATGTAGCTAATTTGACTCGCATATCGCGGAGCTGGAAGGGAAGAATCCTATTGTCTGTCTGCATCGCCTCGTTCTGTTGGGCTGGCATGCGCTCTAGCCTGCCTAGTGGTTGCGCTAGCGACGCAAATAACCTTGTGGAGGATGTTTATGCGGTGTCGATGCGGGCGGCTGGCTGGACGCAAACTCAATCATCCTGAAAAGCAGTTCATCTGACTTCGCCACGAGCCCACGAGCTTTCCAGGTTCCCTCTCACTGCTGTTCTGCTGCCGATCGTCTCCCAGCCCCTTATACCGCTGCCTCGGATCTGAACCCTTTCCCAATCTAGCCAGCGCTGTGCTTCCTGGTCGCCAGTGCCACGGCAATTGCCGTCCGATCGCAGTGACTGATCGTGACTTCAATGTGGGTGATCCCGGTCGACGCTGCAACCTCTTGCGCATGACCATGCAGCTGCGTCGTTAGTCAACTTCTACAATGCGAGGATGGTATACATACAACAACTCTCGGAATTCCCATGAAGCTGAGAATTTCAATCTCACTCATCGCTGCTGCCGCCCCAGCCGACGAGGTTCGCAGACTCTTAAACACCGCTTCCTTGGCGCTCCATCGGCCGGCGAAGGAGGCGCGAGGATCAGGCGCTCCGAAACAGTATTCGCGCTCATTGAGAGTGAAGTTGCGGTCAATGAAGGCTGGATCGTCAATGCTGATATTAACTATGTCTTCGACGTCAACGCCAACAGCGGTTGTTGGGGCTGGAGGGTGATTGAACGATTTGACCATATCCTGTACAACAACTGCGATCGGAGGATTACTATCAGAGAGATGATGTGGTCTTGTGTACGCTGCGCGTGCCGCGTGTGTTATCTTACCGTCAACAACGCGGCTAGTAGGATCTAGGAAGAAGTCCCGCATGGCCTCAGCGTCGTTCCACGGCGGCTGGCTTTTGACCCGCACGATGTCGTTTTTTATGAGCCGAGAGATGAAATGCGGGATTGCTGATCGCTGTCTTTTCGTCACTTTGTCGCAATAGCTTTGATATTCGATGGCAGAAAGCGACGCGAAAAGATATTTAGGCGAGACGGTGATCGTGAGAGCCCCCTTCTGACCGAAACCAAATGATGTGAGTAGCGTGGCTTTGACCTCGGACACTTTGATGGACTCCATGGGGTATACCAGGTGATCGAACTGCCGCAACTCTCTGTCGATATTGTCTGCGTTTCTGTTTCCAGGAACTATGCCTTCTTGCAGCATTTGAAGACAACCATTCAGTTGCCATGCTCCGGCACCGGCTTTTGGATGCCCTGTTAGAGATTTCTGGCAAACGCAGAGCAGTGGGTTTCCCTTTCGACGACCTAGATGTTCCATCTGTGTGTTGATGACATCTCCCTCATTGACTTCATTTGCCTTGGTCGACGTTCCGTGCATGGATGCTACACTGATATCGTCAACTGTGAGTCCCCAAGTGGCAAGGCTCGCCCTGATTGGTGATATCGAGGGCTCTACTAGCCGTATATCGTTTCCCCAGCGGCGCTGAGCATCACGGATCCTCAGATTGGCGGCATGCCCTCCTGTCGTGCCCGCTGAAACTGCCGTGTCGACTGTTGACTGTTGCAGACGTTTGCTGATATTTGCAAAATCTTCGTTGAATGCCTCTTGCCTAAAGTTCAAGTCGAGCAAAGGTGAAATTTTTGCTTGCCTGGTTTCACGGGCCGCGGTCAGAATTCCCTTACCCGGAGCTGGGATAGAACGGCCGATTTGGTCGCTGGCCATTTGAGTATACGCGACGACCCCATAGATGGGCAAACCCATCTCAATCGCAAGCTCCGCACTCATAAGTATCTGCACGCCACACCCTGCCGATTCAGCAAAGCCACTTCTGGAACTTGCTGTCGGACGAGAAATTTCGGCTGGCGTTCTTCCTCTGGCAAGCTCCTTGGTGCTGTTTGCCGTGGCGTTAATACTTGCGAATTCATATGCGAGCTCTTCGCCATAGTCATCGCAACCACCAACAATGGCCATCTTCCACTTTCCCGTCTGGATCGCCTCACATCCGATATCCAGGGATTCAAGAGCTGTTGCGCATGCTCCAACTGGCGTTTTGAGTGGCCCTGTAGCTGACAGGAGGAGCATATTCACCCACGCTCCCATGGAATTCACAAAATGCTCTAAGATGAGATCGCCTTTCAATTGACGATCCAAAAAGCGGTCGCGATACATACTCTGGATGACATTCATGGGCCCACCCCCGGAACCAAGGCAGTTTACCAGTTCGGAAACATGAATATGCTGATATATCTCGTAGGGATCTTTGATACCAGCAGATAGAAACGCTTCTGACACACAGCAGAGGGCATATAGGGTCGTCACATCTACCTGCTGCACAATATCCTCAGGGATTCCATATTTATCAGGATTCCATCCGTCCGGAATCCTCCCTGCGACTACCTGGTCGAATGGGATCGTTTTGGGAATCATTAAAATTGCCCCTTTTCTGATGTGAACGCGATAATTATCAGAGTTTGAAATGGGAGTCAGCCTGACGAAGTCGCCTTGCCGTAACTTGAATGCCTCGGCGACAGACTTTGGAGCTTCAAATGGAGGCAGGTCCCCTTCCACGGCGACTTCATGTAGGAACTCTTTTCGTGAAGGATCATAGCTGTCTTTGTCGGTAGGCTTGATCAGGCGCAGCCCGGACCCGGCCATGATATGGTCGTGATACTTTGCAGGCACCTCATCATCACGAAGGGGAGTTTGAGTGTCAGCGTCTACCCACCCGACATATGGTTCGCCCTTAATTTGTCCATCGACGTGCTGTATCAGTCCCATGATCCAGGCCATCTCGATATAGCCTTCCAAGCTGAACTCCCCTTGATGTTCCATCTCCCACCTCGTACGAGTGTTGCCCCATGGCCCTAATTCGGAATATCCCACTATAACTGGAACTCGAGAAAGATCTATCATTCCTTGCAGGTCTGGGCAACTCGCATCCATATCGCGTAAATGCGGAAATGGTAGCCGGAGCCTCGCTCGTCGGGTTTTCACCCTCGGGGCTTCGGTTACCGGAGGTCCTGGATTGTTAACCATCGCTTCGTGACGTGAGTCCTCTTCTGCTATGGAGGCTGCCAGTTTCTGCTTGTCAGAGATCCTTTTGCGAGCTCCCGCAATTTGCTCCTTGATTTGCCACCGCGAGCCCAATCCACCAGTCAAATCAGCATATATGGGTGCATCTTCCGCCAGCACGGTGAGGGCCGGTGTCATCAACGCCAGAATGTTGAATGCCATCTCCATCTGCGTAAAAGTCATGACTCCCAACTTTTCGACCTCCTCTGCCACCATGTTGGAAGACCGCATAATCGTTGTACCTCTGGTCCAACCAATTACCGCCCCGCATATGGTCAGGTACCTAGACCAGCTCTCCGAATGAAACCGGTTGAAGAGCGCTTTCAACCCGATTTTTGACTCGGAGTACAGACCGTCGCCACCAAAAGTTCCCTCGTTGCATGACATGGGCAGCACAACCATTGTCGGTCTGGTCTCAACACGCCGGCGCTCCTTTTCTCGGCGCACAAAGCCGATTAGTCGCAAGACGTTCACGAGCATGGCCCTGAGTGCCAATTCTTGCCGACCACCTAGTGCTTCTGGCTCTCCAGTCTGAGGGCTAGCTGCAAATGGAATAATGTAGTCCAGGTCTCCTCCAGTAGGTGAATCGGGCCCATATATATGCTGTATCAAGGCCTCACAGTCCTGGCTACTTGCTTGATTCACCGGGAGAACCACGAGGGAAGAATTCCGTGCTCCATAATGGCGATACATCCACTGATAAAATGACGCCGCCTCTGATAGAGGTCTGCTTGTGGTCACAACAACACTGGCGCCGCCGCTGAGAAGACCCTTGATTATTTCGGCCGCGATCGAGCTCGGCCCTGCTCCGGTTACCAGTACTGCTTTGTTGGCGTACGTGAGCCCGGCTGCTACACCTACATCCAACATCGTGTGGTAAAGACTGGTGGCATTGGGGTCGTATTCCCAATCTTTGCCCCTCCCTCGTGTTTTGATATGAACAAATGGGCCTTTTGTGGGATGATCATCGAAATTCGGCAAGTCACGGACCGCATCAGGATAGTATTCGATGTGTCGCGGAGTCTCTTGGTATTCCAGCTGGCCTGTGTTCGTGATCGTGGTCCGAGGCCGTAGAGCAGGTAGGATATAGACAAATAGAGGGTCGAGTGTGAGAGACTGGGTACCTAACGAAATGATCTCCTCAAAGGTGGGTTGAATTATGGTCACTGGCGCAGCAAGAGAGGTGCGAAGCCCTTGTAAGTAGGCTTGCACAATGTCCGCACAACTTGAGTGCCATCGATTGAGAAGCCTCTGGATGCGGTCTTCCATTCCGGGATGACAAGCACTGGATGGGTCCTGGGAAATTTGGATCAAGAGTCGGATCAGTTCCTCGCGGCACCAGTTCCACCAACAGTCATATTTGCGAGACTGTGAAATGTTGAATATGGGTGCAATACCCTGGATAAATTGCTCGCCAAGTTCTGCATCGAGTAAACGTACCGTCTGTTCGAGGTCTGATGCGCGAGTTTCCGACTCTACAGCACGCTGCTCAGAAGCGGGCAAGTCAACATCAAGGTACTCCGATAATGAGTTTAGCTGTGCGCGATATAGTTTCTTGTGCTTCTGGTTGAGTTCATCGAGATTGGCCACCTCTACCATTCGTGCAGCGACAGCCCCACGGCGCTCGCTACTATCATTCACGGGTATCAAAGAGATACCATGAAAGGCAGCATACCTTTTCACCAAGTTGTCAAGATATGAGTGGGCTTCGACTGGTGTTGCTAGTCGTCTCGCGGGTTCCAATGTGGTTGCAAAGCAAAGGGGAATAGTAGCGTGGGGCTCTGTAAGCCCCCAGCGGGACTCAAGGTACTCCTGAATCGCACGTTGATTGAAGCCGGCCGGCATTTTGGCGGAGATCAACCGGGATATCAACAGCGACATTGAGTTTCCAGGGATACCTTTGAAGTCAGATTGGAGGGTTTGTCCCAAGCTCGCAAGAGACTGCTCCTCAACGCCCTCGGGAACCCGACCGAACTCCGCAATCAAGTCGCCAGTCAGCTCATTCTGGAAGGTTGATTTGCCTATATAATTAGATACGAAGTTGGACCACAGGGATTGTGAACTCGCCTCCCGAAAGATCTCTTATACTCTTGTCCACCGGAACTTGGTCGAAGGGACGCCGAAGCTTTTGGGAAGTTATAGCGAGAACAATATGAGTAGCCGTGAGTGAGAGGTTCTCGCTCGGGATGGACCTAGGGCGTAAGTCGCTTGATTGTGACCGAGATTGCTCTGGAGGACTTGGGGGATGAATATGCGGAGCTGGTACGATACCATCAGACGAAGCTCCGACAGCAGTTGGATTCTTAAAATTTTGCACGGAGTATTGGTACGAAAGTCGAGGATAGTCATCCTGATAGGACAAGAAGTCTATCTTCGGTAATGCTGACGAGGAATGTAACTTGGTGTGTATGGAGGCGGATTTCTTCGCCATTGTGGAGAGAATAGTACGAGGTCCGATTTCCACAAATCTTTGTATGCATGCTTGGCTCTTGAGGAGTTCTTGCTGAGTTTCGACCCTATCTGATTTAGTGGGATGCAGTTCTGGAGGTAAACGGCTCAATCACCATCGCACTGGAGAAGCTAGTTGATAGCTAGACAGTCAGAGTTGGATTCTGTCGAAGGAATGGGTGAGATGGCACTTACGACAGTAATTCGATAAAGAGGGTGAGGGCGAGATCCTTCTCTCTAGAACTGTACAGTTTCTTGGAAGGAACGGCGTCGACTGGGGGAAGCGCCATCCTCAACAACCACGTCAGGCGAATCCGCGCAGGACTTGCGACTCGTTGCTGGCGAGGTTGACTTATAACGCCACATTTTCACCGATCCAACAAACGGACATCCGATTGTCCGCTGCTGCCCGGTATTTGGAATTGTTCCTGACTGGGAAGAAGCTGTGAGAGGTAACACCACGTCGAGTCTTCGTGCCAAAAGTCCGAGAATTTTGGCATGATTGACGTACCACGGCAGCAGAGACGAAGGCCTAGGCGAACGATATCAAACACGAAACCCACACGAAGTCTTCCCATAGGCTCTATACACCCAGGCACAGTTTCACAGGATAGGAGGGAATAATGGAGCGATAAAAGGGTGCTACAAGTTTGTGCAGGAGCCGTTGCAGTTGTATTCACAATGCTGTGTCGACCGCTGAACGGCAATATGTACCCAGAAGTCGGGTTCTGGAAATCTTTTCTTTCTTCGTTCTCTTTTTCCAGGCACAGGCAGGTCGAGAGAGCAATTCAACATGGCTCTGGAAGAGGTGTTGGCCGTCTCCCATGACCTCGTTTCTTCAACACCACCGAACCTTTCTTCTTCTTCCTCCTCTTCCTCCTCGCGCTGTTCGACATCAAGCTTATCGTTTTATCACAAGGAAATCCAGCTCAAGCTCCCAGTCCCGGACATCCACTTTTCTTTTCTCGAATCGCAACGAAACGCGTTCCTTTCTTCCTCCTCACTTCGAGCTGACCCAGTTACCCAGTTCGAGTTGGCCCTGGGCTTTCTAGAACACCTGCTTTCCCAACAATCCATACCTTCGACTGTTCTTTCTGCCGCCCTACACGCATTCGAGTCCGAGTTTTTCCAGGATGATACCGACATACACACGCTTGTCGCAGAACAAGCAGAAGGGCTGAAACGTCACTATTGGCTAGGGGTATACTATCGCTGTGTTGAAGCGAGTGACAGTACAAGTTCGAAGCAACCTCGGAGCGCACTCTTACAACAAGCGAAAGCCAACGAATTCCAACTATTAGCCGTCTTTGGTGGACAAGGGGAATCAAGCAGAACATGCATCAAGGAGTTTCAAGAGCTGTACATTGCATACAAGCCGATGCTACGCTGTCTGATAGGAGTTATCGGACCATGCCTATATGGCCTTTCCACAAGACGAGAGTTCTGCTCTTACTATAAAGGACGGCGGCTGGATCTTGAGGCTTGGATTAGTGATCCAACTTCTACTCCAGACCTGGAATTCATATCATCTGCGCCGGTGAGTGTTCCGGTCATCGGCGCACTGAGCATTGCTCGGTACTGCGTTGCTTGTCAAGTAATGGGTCTCAGTCCCGGCGAGTTGAGATCACTGCTCTATGCTGCCACAGGCCATTCTCAGGGTATCTTGGCTGCGATTGCAATCTCGGTATCGGACTCTTGGGATGAATTTTACGAATACGCTCATCGGATAGTTGAAGTCTTGTTCCGTCTGGGTTGGGAATGTGATGATGCGGCACCTTGCGGTATTGTTCCGCCCAACCAAGAAGAGGCTTCAGAGGCAAAGGAACCGTCTTACATGCTGAACATACGCGGAATCTCCAGATGGAAAGTCGCAAAATATCTCGATGACGTGAACAAACGTCTACCAGAAGACAGACGCTTGTACTTGTCGCTGGTTAATGCTCACGACCACTTCGTGGCAGCAGGACCAGTGGCATCCTTACTACACCTTGAAAGCTACCTCGCCAATATTTCCAGCAAGGACCATGACCAAACTCGGATACCATTTGGTAGCCGAAAGCCGTGCATCCAGCGTAGCTTTTTGCCAGTTAGCACACCGTTCCACACGCCATACCTTATTAGAGCGGCTGAACGAGTCAAGGCACATTTTGCTGACCGTCCCATTTACTCGGACCAGCTCATGGTGCCCGTTTACCATACCGAAACAGGTCTCGATTTGAGAGAACAACCTGGAAATGTACTGGCTCTTGCTATAGATGCCATCGCGTCTGCTCAATGTGATTGGCCTTCTACCTTAGCAAGTTTTCAAGGAACCCACATCTTTGTGTTTGACCGAGGTGGCCTTGCGCTGCTAACGAAGAAAGTCAGGGAAGGCCGTGGGGTTCGGGTACTTCAAGCAGGCGATCTGGATTCGAAAGACTCGGAGATGGGAACTATCTGCGATCTCTTCTCTCCAAGTCTATTAAATACGTCGACTAAACAACAGAGTTGGGGTGAGCAATTCAAGCCACAGTTGACGACCGGATCAAAGCCGCAGCTGGAAACCCGATTGAATCGAGTGATTGGAGCACCACCATTGATGGTAGCCGGGATGACTCCTACCACTGTACATCCGGATTTCGTCGCCGCTATCATGAACGCCGGATACCACGTCGAGCTAGCAGGAGGAGGCTACTACAAGGCTGCTACTATGGCAAACGCTCTCGAGGGCCTTGTCAACAACATTCCACCTGGGCGAGGAGTGACATGCAACCTCATATATGCCAATCCACGCACCATGGCGTGGCAGATTGACTTACTACGCCGGCTCTCACGGAACAGGGTTATAGACGGGCTGACCATCGGTGCCGGGGTGCCTTCGCTAGAGGTTGCCAGCAAGTACATCAAAACATTGGGCTTACGACACATCAGTTTCAAGCCTGGGTCGGTAGCAGGAATTCGACAAGTTATAGAAATTGCAAAGAGGCATCGTGATTTTCCAGTGATATTGCAATGGACTGGCGGCAGGGGCGGAGGTCATCATTCGTTCGAAGACTTCCATGCTCCAATGCTTGCAACATATGGAACGATCAGGCAACAGCCGAATATCTACCTCGTTGCTGGAAGCGGCTTTGGCGATAGCGAGAGCATATATCCCTACCTGATGGGATCGTGGTCGGCTAAGATGGGCCACGCTGCCATGCCGTTCGATGGTGTGCTGCTCGGAAGCCGGGTGATGGTGGCGAATGACGCGCATACATCGCCTGCTGTGAGAAAGATAATATGTTCCGCCCCAGGAGTTCTTGACAGCGAGTGGGAAAATACTTATACCGCGAGTACAGGAGGAATCATGACTGTGACCTCGGAGATGGGTGAGCCAATTCACAAGATTGCTACCCGAGGAGTCCGCTTGTGGGCTGAGTTCGACAAAAGCATTTTTAGCATTCCTCAGAATCAGCGACCAGTGTACTTGCAACAGCATCATCATTCCATAATTAGACGATTGAACTCCGATTTCGCGAAACCGTGGTTCGGACGCAATCTCCGTGGTGAGGTCGTCGATCTCGAGGAAATGACATACCTCGACGTTCTACACAGGTTGGTCGAACTCATGTACGTTCAGCATCAACGACGCTGGGTTGATCCGTCATATATCACATTTACCATGCGAATAGCTCGCCGCTGGATGGAAAGGCTGCCAGTGGTTACGCGTCATGTACGCGGATTGACTGTGGCATCACTAGAAGAGTCCCCAACTACCTTTCTCGTGTCATTCCAGTGTGCATGCCCGACAACTAGCGAAGAGCTATTGAGTCCTGAAGATGTATCTTTCTTTCTGATTCAATGTAAGCGGCCAGAATGCAAGCCTGTCAATTTCATTCCAGCGCTCAACGACGACTTTGAATTCTACTTCAAGAAGGATTCTCTGTGGCAGTCCGAAGATGTTGATTCAGTAATAGGACAAGATGCTCAGAGGGTTTGTATCCTACATGGCCCGGTAGCAGCACGGTATTCTCAATGTGGGGATGAGTCTGCCAAGGATATTCTCGACAACATCGTGAATGGGCTTATAGCCCGACTACAAGAACAGAACCCCCTCCAAAATCCGCTTCGAGACCTTAATAGTGGCATCGCCACCCCAGCATCGTGGTCCACGGCGTCGTCCAGCGGGAAAGACTTGAGTGAAGAGACACACTCCACTTCGATAACGTCGTTGTCCGAACTGACCGATGAAAATTCTCTATCTTCGGGAGGCGTAGACGCCATACCCAGGAGGGGATGTTCGCCTTGGATGCGAGCTCTACTCGGCAACGACATTATTCTCCAGGAAAGCCTGCGTCAAAAGAACCCGCTCAGTGGACTGATCGGCCAGAGCCCGGGTATATCCCTACAGCTCGATTTAAACCACCTTGAACTGACTTTGGCCGTGAGCGATACCTACTCGACAAGTTCGAGAGCTAGGATAGTTTCCGAGAATGGGACTGACCTGTCGGTTGAAGTCTACCCAGCAAGGGAGAGTGAGCCACTGAAGTTCTCTTACACGTACAACGAGGCAAATGCCACTCTCGGACTCAGCGAAGTCATGGAAGAACGCAACGAGCGGATAAAGGCGTTCTACAGCAAACTTTGGTTTGAACAGGACCTTGACCCTAGTTGGTCTGTTGGCGACACGTTCCACGGGCCGCAGGTATCTCTAACACGGGAGCTTGCTGACAGGTTTGATCAGACAACAGGTGCCGCCTTTAGCGGCTACCGGCAAATGGTCTCCAGTTCAGATACGTTGCCCATCAGTCTGGGAATCGTTATTGCTTGGAAGGCCATATCCAGACCGCTACTATTGAGGGAAATCGATGGCGACCTTCTTCGCCTAGTTCACCGGTCAAATGCATTTGAGTATCTCGATGGTGCATCCCCTTTACGTCTAGGTGATACTGTCTGCTCGACGTCGAAGGTCCAAGCAGTTCTCAAAGATGACCATGGTATAACGGTTGTCGTAGAAGCCCGCATAATGCGATTAGGAGAATCTGTCATGAAAGTAACGTCCGAGTTCCTTTTCCGAGGCGCCAACCAAAAGTCGATACCTACGTTTCGGCGGGCAGAGGACAAGCGATGGCGGTTCGACGTCGCCACAGACATTGAGGAATTGCTTCTCCTGAGTCGGGGATGGTTCTATCCGCGAGATGATGTAGGTCCGCTTGTGGGAAGATCTCTGATATTTGTGCTGGAGACCATGACTAGATATCGAGAAGATGGTTTAATGGACATCCGTGTCACCGGAAAAGCCATTTCGGCCATTTCTCACGGTGCTGGCAGTGAGGAACAGAGGCTGGGAGACGTCGAGTTTACTGCGGAAGGCTGTTCTGGTAACCCAGTATTAGACTTTCTTCAACGCAAAGGCAAGCTCACAGAGGCTCGGACCAATTTCGAAACCCCAGGCTGGAATGGCAAGTCCTCGATAGACGTACGGATGCCTCCGAGCAACCAAGAGTACGCACAGCTGTCGAAGGATTTCAATCCAATCCATACTTCACCCATTTTTGCCAGCTTTGCAGGACTGTCCGGAACAATCTGTCACGGAATGTACACTTCAGCCGTTGCACAAAAGGTCCTGGAGTATCTGGTACTTGAGGGCGACCGTGCAAGACTTCACCGTTTTGAGGCTAAATTCACGGACATGGTAATACCAGGGGAAAGGCTGACCGTGCAGATCCAGCATACCGGCATGACCGAGGGCCGGATGGTATTCCACATCACTGCCCTTCGAGACGAATCCAATGAACGTGTACTCGAGGTTGAGGCTGAAGTTGAGCAGCCTAGAACGGCGTATCTGTTTACAGGTCAAGGAAGCCAAAGCAAAGGAATGGGCATGGAATTGTACCGCACAAGCAGCGTTGCAAAGGGCGTCTGGGATGAGATTGACCAGCAACTGTACGATTCTTACGGTAGTGCCCCTGCCTGCCTTTATAGACATTGACTAACGATGCTAGGTTGGTCCATTCTGGACATTGTCCGCAATAACCCAAAGTCTGTCACTGTTCACTTTGGAGGCCAGCAAGGGCGAAGAATCCGACAAAAGTATTTGGAAATCACCACTGAAGTTGTGCTACCAGACGGAAACAAGATTCTGGAGCCAGCTCTTCCCGGGCTGACAGCGTCATCCGCTTCCTACACGTTTACCCACCCAAAGGGTCTGCTTTATTCAACACAATTTGCGCAGCCGGCAATTCTGCTCTTTGAGGCGGCAACATTCACGGAACTGCGCGCCAAGGGCTACGTGTCAGAAGGGGCAGTTTATGCAGGACACTCGCTTGGAGAATACGGAGCTTTGTCTGCGCTGTCTCGGTCGACACCAATGGGCGCTTTGGTAGAACTGGCGTTTCATCGAGGGTCAGTGATGCAAGCATCCGTGGCACGGGAGGAGGGGGCGACGGCGTATGGGATGATGGCGATGAATCCCAAGCGCGTTGGGGATCGTAAGTGCCGCATGCGCTGTGCCAACAATGAGAGATCTAATAGGGCAGACTTTACACAAGCCACGCTGGGTTGCCTTGTCCGGCAGATCGCGACCCAAAGCCGCGAACTCCTTGAGATTGTAAACTTTAATATCGAAGGGGAGCAATACGTGTGCTCCGGAACAGTGCGTCTCAAATGCTTCAGGTAACCTCGCTAACGATTTATAGACAGCAAATCTGTATGTTTTGGGAAAGTTGATTGATCATATCGCTGACGCCCCCAACGAATACCTGGACGATCCTGCCCTGGCCGAGTTGAAAACCGTCACCGCCGCTCTCATTGACGAAGCAAAGACACTTTCACGTCCGATCCAGCTCGAACGCGGCAAGGCGACAATACCGCTTGAAGGGATCGACGTGCCATTCCACTCGAGCCACCTGCGGAATACCGTTGACCGATTCCGACAGTGTCTCCTGCGGCCGGGGTTCCTGGTCGACACTGTCGACATTGCGCAACTGGTGGGACGGTACATCCCGAATTTGATGGCCCGACCGTTTTCGCTGGATAGGGAGTTTGTGGAGGAAGCGTATGAGCTGACGAAAAGTCCTGTTTTGGAGGAGATTTTGGCTGAGTTGTAGATACGTTTTTCTGTAGTTTCGGTTCATAGAGCCAATTGATTTAGAGTTGCCAAAGCTTCTATGATGGACAGGCCAACTGTTCTCAGTCACGCCCAACTAATGCCTTGTTCAGCTGCGCAATCATCCCGTCGATATCAAAATACCAAATCTTATGCGACCTCGCCTTGACATGCTCGAATCCCTTGTCCATATCCCGCCCACACTCGCTGATCCACTCATACACATCACACACCTCGCGACTACTCTGGACGAGCCACTGCGACCGCTCCAGCCTGACATCCGAATACACCCTCAACGCGCGCTCCAACACTTCCGCTTTACAGTCCGCTTTTTGGGGCTTCATCTCTTCAACCGCCCGCTCAAGCACAACACACAGCGCAAGCGCATCCTCAACCCCAATCCCAGCCCCAGCCCCATGATGAGGGGCACTCGCATGGGCCGCATCCCCCGCAAGACACACCAGCCCATCCGAATACGTGTCCGCGGGGAAATCATACATATCAAAAACAGCCCACTTATCCAGCCCCTCGCTCTCCGTCAACATCTCTACAATGGCTCGGACTGTAGGCCCCCACTCTCGAAACGCACCCTGCAGCTCCCCCGGACTTGCCGGCTGCGTCATGGACTTGTCGAGCGGCCATTCCTCGGGATCATCGACGAACGCGACGACGTTCATGAGCCTTTGGCCCGCGACGGGGAAGTGGAGGACGTGCGCGCCGGGACCGCCGTACATGTGCTGGTTTAGCGCGCGGTACCGCCCCAGTCGGGAGACTGCGATGGTCATTGGGATCAGGCCGCGGTAGGCGACTTTGTGCGTGTAGTGCGCATACGAGACGGGGTTGTTGGAGCCGAAGAGGAGTTGCCGGACGCGGGATTTGATGCCGTCGCAGCCGATTACTACACTGTGTTAGGTGCTTGCCCGAAGATGAGTGAATGAAGGAGGGTCGGTACCAATATCCGCCTCATCAACCTCCCCATCATCAAAGACCAACCGGATCGTCCCCTCCCTATCCCCCTTCTCAGGAAGCTCATACCCCCTCAACCTCTTCCCAAACCTCACAATCCCCTCCGGAACCAACCGCAAAACCCCCTCCAGAAACTCCCTCCGATGACACCCCTCAAACCCCCTCTCCCCGGCCCAAAGCCTCCAAACCTTTTTGGTCTCCATATCCTCCCCTGCCCCCCGATGCAGCACAGGATCATGCGTATACCCGTCCACAAACTGCATATTCCAATTCGGCCTTGCGACATCCTCCCCATTCACTGTCGCGACGGCCGTTACGCAGTCGGATAGCCGCGGGTCGATGCGCGTGAGACATTCGCGTGCGTTGGCTGTAAAGGCGATTCCGGCGCCGGTTTCGCGGGGACCTTGCGATTGTTCGTAGATTGTGACGGTCCCTAACTTGCGGCGGAGAAGGCCGAGGGAGAGGATGCTTCCGATTAGGCCGGCGCCGATGATTGCGATGGAGATTCCGGGGGAGCGTTCGGAGGGCGTGGTGGGCTCGACGCTGTGATTTGTTGGTGCTGGGGATGCCGGATCCATGCTGGTTTGCTGCAGTTTGGGTTAGTCTGTTTGGAGTGTGCAAGTGTACAATCCATGTACGATCTCTATTCCATCGCTGTGTCTTTTGTACCTATTTCCTCTACCTGGCTCTATCTACAGAATGCTTACCCTGTCTGTGATCCGTTACCCTGCAGATATCTTCATTGCTGCTGACAAGGGTATATTGTATACGGAGTAGCTCCGACTCCTTACTTCCATCTGTACACACCACTTGAAGTAACATCTCAATGCATACAATCCAAATCTCGACAGCGTTACAGGGACAAGTATCCTTGATTCCGAGGTGCTACGCAAAAATGGTACGACCCTGTCGATGCCCTCCAGAGTCTGGACCTTGTCCGTTTGCTGGTGGTGGGGGAGATTGATGCTGGCATGTCCTGTACCACCCCTCTTTTCCTCTCTTTCGCCGGTGGCCAACTTCTGAATCTCTGGGTTTCTTGCACAGTATCAGACTCTGCTGGGATAATGGCATCGGGGATCTCTACGATTACTGCTATTCTGGAGGATGCGAGAGAGGACCTTGCCGGTCCATTCCAGGCGCAGCCTCACTCGCAGCCTCAGCCATCTGCTTCAGGACAGAAACAAGAGAATGACGTCGAGGAGAAAGCCATCCACGATGAAGAAAAGACCAAAGACGAGATTGAGGAAGAAGCCCCCGACCAACGCGACTTCCACCTCTCGAATACAGGCCGCCTCATCTTCTTCGCGCTGGCCGTCCTCACCCTAATGGTTGCCCTTGATGGGACTTCGATATCTGTTGCTCTGCCGGTACCTCCCCCATAAGCCTCTATCCCAACTAGGCCATCATTACTGATACAAAATGAGCCAGATAATGTCAAAAACCCTCCACGGCACCGCCATGCAAGCCTTTTGGAGCGGAACCTCCTTCCTCCTCGCCAGTACCGTCTTCCAACCAACAACCGCAACATTCAGCACCATCTTCGGCCGTCGACCGATCCTTCTTTTCTCCATAACATTCTTCTTCGTCGGCTCTCTCGTTGCCGGGATTGCGAACGATTTCACGCAGATCCTTGTCGGGAGATGTATCCAGGGTGTTGGCGGCGGAGGCATTGCGGTTCTCGCCGAGGTTGTTGTTACGGATCTTGTGCCGTTGCGGCTACGCGGGAATTACTATGGGATTCTTAGTGCCATGTATAGTCTTGGGAGTGTCTTGGGGCCGATACTGGGGGGTGGGTTTGCGGAGAATATCTCGTGGGTATGTCCCCTCCAAAGAGTTGCCCTAACTCGCCTCCTCTCTTCTTCACCACGTCAATTTCATATGCATGATACTAACAAAGCAGCGCTGGATCTTCTACATAAACTTCCCCTTCATCGCCATAGCCACAATCCTCGTCCTCCTCTTCTTCCGCCTCGAGAAACCCCGCGGAACGCTGCGCACCAGACTCTCCAAAATCGACTACGTCGGCACCCCACTGTTTATCGCGAGTATATCCTCCTTCCTTATCCCGCTGACCTGGGGCGGCGTCATGTATCCCTGGACATCATGGCGCACCCTCGTCCCGATGTGCATTGGCGCCGCCGGATTATGCGGGTTTATCGTCCGGAGTATCAACTCCTCGAACCCCATGATCCCACATTCGGTCTTCAATAACCGTAGCGCAGCGATTGCATTCGCTACATCGAGTCTGCAAGGCCTTATCCTCTGGGGCGCATTGTATTATTTGCCGTTGTACTACCAAGCAATCCACGAATTCGGCCCCATCCTCACAGGCGTCGCCCTCTTCCCACAAACATTCACCGTCGCGCCGGCCGCCATAATCTGCGGCGTCGTCGTCACACTCACAGGCCGATACCGCTGGGGTCTCTGGTTCGGATGGTCCCTGTCGATACTTGGATTAGGACTGCTATGTCTCCTCGACACACGCACAAAGACCGTCCAGTGGATCTTCCTGAATCTCCCCAGCGGTCTCGGACTAGGCCTCCTGACAGCCGCAATTGTCTGCACCGTGCAGGCCTCCGCCACGGACCAGAACCTCACAGTAGCCGTCGCCATGGTCGTCTTCTTCCGCACATTCGGGCAGGCCCTCGGCATCGCCGTGGGTGGTGTAATCTTCCAGAACCGCATGCGGCGCGAGCTGCTCCGCCACGACGCCTGGGCATCGAGAGCAACGGAACTAAGCCGCGACGCCGCGGCGCTCGTTACTGTTATCCAGGGTATGGAAAACACGGTTGAGAAGAGCCAGTTGAAGAGCGCGTATGTGGATTCGCTCAGAGTGTTCTGGGGTTTTTTGGCGGGTGTGGCGGGCGTGGGGCTTTGTCTGAGTGTTCTTGTCAAGAAGTATGATTTGAATCGGGCGTTGGTTACCGAGCAGGGGGTGAGGGATTAGAGGGGCTGGTTCCTGGGTTGGGGGATATGCTTGTACTATGCGGGGTGCGGTGCCCCGGATCTAGCTCGGCAGATAATACTAGCAATTCCAGAACGGGCTGGAGACTTCTTGGGCCCATCTGCCCGTCTCCCCGCAAGGCAATGCTCTATAGCAGTATGTTTGTAAAGTCAATCTGCTACGACGCTGGAGCCAAACACCCCAACTGGGAGCAAACGCGCAAGCGTTGGCCTGTCTTCAAGTCGTCTACTTTCGACGTCAGCCTGCTCATAGACGTACTCTTCGTGTGCAGGTTCAAATAAGGAGTTGGGAGAGTGGAGCGTGAGGGAAAGATCGAAATAAATCCGCATAGGTGTACCCTAGTGAATGATTTCATGCTCTGTTGCTTAGAGGGTACTACGACTGACTATCCACGGACATATATTGGTTGCTTCCAAGTCGACTGCCTGACAGGGTATATATCGTCGCGTCATTGGAGCCAACGAATGCGTACATACAAGCTGCTACCTAGGGTAGCATGGCTACTTGGATATCAAATTATCTACCGCATTCACATTTACTAACAGGGTCTCTATAGCAGCCAGCTGCCACTCCCCTACTCGAAAACCCCAACCCTTTTACTCCAGCCATCGTCCCCCCTAAGCCACTCCATCTCAGCAACCCTCCAACAAACCGCCGCATCAGCCCCTCTATACCCATTCCCTCCCCCTCTCCCTCCTCCTGGTTCTCCTCGTTCCCCCACGGCAGGCCCAACATACATCCCCCCCGGCAAAACCCCCGTCGTCGGCCGTCTTACAAACTCCACCTCCCCCAGCTGCCCAAACCGCGGAATCGACACATGTGCCACACTCGAGCAACTCAAGTCCCTCAGCGGATCAAAGCCCCCCGCATACAGGATCCGCGATTTATCCTCGGTCCGCGCGAGGAGCGTCGCGTAGGCCCTCACAGCGCGCGGGCTTGTATCCCTCCGTAGCGTGGCGCGGAGGCAGGAGGAGATATACGCGAGCGACGACGCCGTGACGATCCGCACGGGCAGGCGCGTATTCGACGTGCGAACCATGTGGCCCATGTACGCTGTCGTGAGTGCCATGGCGCGGCGGAGGTCCGCGGCGCGGGTGAGTTGGGTTGTTGGTTCGGCTGCCTCGCCTGCGCTGTTGGTAGTGGTGGTGGTGGAGAAATCAGGATAGAGCGCGCACCGCGCCCTCGTCAGACACTGCCATGTAAAGGCTGTGAGTGCGTCGTTGACGGAAACGGAGGGAATCCCGCGGACGAAATCCGGCGGTGTGCTGTTCGCTTCTGCGTGGATGGAGGATATGGACTCGGGGGTGAAATGCAGAAGATACCACTTGAACTCGGACAAGATGTCTGGATTGATCGGGGGAGGACGTGGACCCGTGTAGATATCTAGATCTAGGTCCTTGGGAAAAGGCTCATTGTCTGGGAGGAGGGGGATGATGTCTCGTCTATCGCGGTTGCCCAAGACAAGGTCGGCCTGAGGAACTGGGTTCGTATTTTCAGTGTTTATCAACTTGGAGAGGAGGTTCGCAATGTAGAAAATCCCCGTTGCATCGATAATGTTATGTTGCGCGGCGATATCGAGGAGGAGACCGCCGTGCAGCAGTGAGACCTGGATTTCCAGCACTGGCGCGGGCTCATCGTCAGTGTAGGATTTTGGGAAAGCTGGTCGTGGTCCGGCGACGATGTCCCCAGGAAGCATAGACGGGGATGCCCGCGCCGCGGACAAAGTCCTATACGGGGGCATGAGGCCGGAAATGTCTTTGACGGTGAGAATCGAGTGGCCGGGGAGATTATCCGCATCGTATTCAACTGTAAACGCGCCCGAGTTTCCTGGGGCGATGCCCCCGTGGACGACATGGCCCGCGAGAAAGGGGAATGCGGCGACGAGGCGGTTTGTGGCGGACTGCAACGAAACGAGGGCAGCTGCGCGATGTGAATCAGGGAGAGAGAAACAGAGCAGGATGTGTGTGTAGCTTTTCAGCAGAGGCAGCTGGCCCAGAATGTCTTGGAAGCTCATTTTGCTGCGACATGGCTTGGTCGCATGTCTTGGGGATACGAAGGTTTATTTTCATACATCTACTCTTGTTTTACCGCCCCTGATCTGGCCAGCGAGATGTGAAACCGCCGAGACTGTTTCATATTCTCGTCCCTGGACGCTGTGCGAGGCTGCGGGTACTCTTACATATCATGATATACAACACTTGCTCGACTCCAAAAGGCACAAGAAGAACCCGGACAAAGTGGATTAAATAGCAAACCGAGCACATCCGCTCACCCGGCACTTGCTGGTCGGCATTGCAATCCCAACTACGAGTTTGTGGCGCGCTGATCAGGCATTAGTCGCTCGACTATAGCCACTAGTATCTCACCAGCGCACAATCCAGCCCACTTGCGACCCGACCAATCTGCAGCACGGAAAAAAAAAAAAACATCTCTCTTTGTCGCTGAACTCTGAGCTATTGGGAACCGGAGGCTTGAGCACAGCACACCAGACCCCGGGGCCTACGAACCTGCAAGTCATCTGAGCGTCAGCACTTAACCCTCTGTCAACTCACAATGAAAGGGAGAAAAGCTCCGTGACAATGGGTACAACGAGATCCAAGGCAGACGATGCGATTCTGATCGGCGCTGCATGGTCAATCGGATCGGCCACCCAGAGCCACGAATCCCACGATTGAGCCTCTGGCCCATCCACTAGCAAAGCGCCGCACAGCTCGGATCCTGCCACGCTCTTGGAGCCACTGACTGAGAGGCAGTGAGAGCTTGGGCCGTCGATCATCAAGGCCATCCCTGTCTCAGTGTCGTGTTGCGTCTGAATTTGTGCGTCGTTTTCTCCAGGTCGGACAGCACCGCCGACGAAGTGCGACAGGCCGACAGCCGAGATGAGACCGATCGCGCAATTTGACTGTAGTTGCAAAGTTTAGTAACCCCAATTTCAGAGGCTCACTGAATTTTGCAAAGTGATAGCCAGTCTGTATTATAGCAGGGGTCCCTTAGTTCGGGACTCTTTTCCTGTCATCCAAGCAGTCAAACTCGTGGACGTCAAATCCTTCGCTCTTCAGATTTCAGCCGTCTGCGTCAGATGCTGCCTCTTGGGACTTCAGAACGACTTAACCTTTTTCTCTGCAGAAGATTTACAGACCCGCAGCGGTCGATCCTCGATACCAACCGAGAGCCCCAGTGCGCCAGTGAGCCAGCAGATTATGGTGGCTGGCTGAACCCTCACCGACCCGAGCTCGCGAATGAGTCGCTCTCGTAAGATTCCACCTGATTCTGAAGTCGTGACTCTGCGACCCCAGTCTGTTGCATGTCTCTGCGCCCCCAAAGTGAATCCATCGCGATTATCATCGTGTCGTAGCCAGGCCAAATCTCAATAGCGCCACACACCGACATCGTCCGGCGCGGCGACCGTCCAGCTGGAACTCCCTCTCAACCTTGGGGCGCATGGGTGCATGGGTCGGGCCTGGTCAGCTTTTGCCTGATCCAGTAGCACGCTGTGTATCTCGAATCCGGCAGGAACCCGTTCGCGAGATCACCTCGACGATGATGTTGCTGGTTGCCACTCACACCCTGCATCCTGCAGTGCTGGACCACTATCACACTCGCTGCCTCTTCGTTCGTCCCCGGGGAACCTCTTTCTTTTTTCACCCTCTTTCTGCGTCATCTCCTCAGTTCCATGTTGGCTGTCGAGGATTGGTCCGTTGGTAAATCATTGTTCTTTCGTTAATGAGCTTAGTTCGTCGTGGTGTTTCTTGTTTTTGCCTTTTTTTCCCTTCTGAAGGAAGCCGGAAAAGCAACCTGACAAAAGCAATTACTATTGCAATTCTTCAAGCTTCTTGTCCCGCTCTGTCATTATTACTTAATTCTCCTTCCAACGAAGCACAGCGTTGGGTCTGCAGACTCCAGGGTCCTCTATAGCTCTGGTGCATGGAAACCGACACGACATCCTCGCATCATCTTGCAGCGACACAGACACATTCGCAATGAAGACAGAGTTGTCGTCCTCCACTTCACCTGCGCACTCTTCGCGTCAACGGCCGGGATCTGCCTGCGAGGAATGTCGCAGACGCAAGGTAAGATGCGACCGGCAACGACCGCAGTGTCAGGTCTGCTATGAGAGCGGCCTTGAATGCAAGATCAGCACAACCAGGCTCCCTCGAGGGCCGCGGAAGGGCCAGTTACGGACCCTGCGAACTCGCATCGGTAGGTTTGTCTTCTCGAAGTCGTCAAGGACATTAGCTGAGCGAGTAGCCGCCCTCGAGCGCTGTCTGGCCGACCAGCATCCTGAGATCAACCAGCAGATGACCGCCCTGCTAGACGATCCGGAACTTGACTGCGAGTCGGAAGAGGATCACTTGCGGGAGATCAATGGGTACAGGGAAGGCACGACAGCAACAGAGGACCGCAGGACGGGCACGAAATCACCTCGATCGCCGGGTTCGCCACGGTCGGGGCTTGTTTCCGAGCTGACGCGAGCTGACCTGTAAGTACATTTCCTCACCATCGAGACCCCCGCGCTAAGGAATAGCGACCAACTGTATTTCGATCGCGTGCATCCCTTTGCTCCGATCCTTCAGCGATGGCGATACCACATCTGGTCGAAACAGCACAAGAAGAGCGAGGGCCAAACATGCCTGCAATACGCCATGTGGACAGTCGCAGCATCTCTCTCGGCACAGTTCCGCTCCCTTAGAGACTCACTCTACCAAGAGACAAGACGCATGCTAGACGCACTGGACTCGCAAACCCAGCGGGCGGATCCAAACGGAAGCATTGAACAGGCGCAGGCGTGGGTCCTGATCTGTGTCTACGAGTACATGCAGCTCTCACCACTGCAAGCGTGGATGAGCGCCGGTCGCTGCTGCCGCCTTGTGCTAGGGATGAGGCTGTACGAGCTCGACGATCCCAATAATCCGGTGATGGTTGCACGGGACCAGGAGACGAGCTTGATTGACTGGACAGGACTGGAGGAGCGCAGGCGCACGTTCTGGATGGCGTACTCATTGGACCGGTTCATAAGCTTCCACAACGCACTGCCGTTCACCTTGAACGAACAATTAGTACGACACCACACAAAAAGAAACAGACACAACTAACCTTTACAGATTGCGACGCGACTACCCGTTCCAGAGGAGGAATTCCAGGCAGGACACCCGGCGGTCACGCAGTACTTGTCGGAGGTGATGGCAAGGGGAAACACCGACAATGTCCTCCCGATATCCTCCTTTAGCGAGTGCATTGTCCTCGCGACAATCTGCGGCCGAGCTCTTGCACACCGACAAAAAGTAGCGGTCGAGCAAATAAGCGTCAGTGGCGACGTGGCCGTTTTCGAGGGATTTTGGTCCCGACACCAGTGGCTGCACGACATGCTCAACTACCGCATTCGGCTGCTCTCAACGTCGCCGCAAGTCGACCCGATGCTGATGTTTGCGCGCATAGTCGCGCAGACAATGGTTTTGTTTCTGCATAGCGTGCTCGAGTCAATCACTTGGAAAACCGGCGACCACCTCCTCGGCATCATCGAGTATGAGCGACTCTGCGTGATGGCAGCGCACGAAGTAGTGAAACTGGTCAAGCTTCAGGGTCAGCTTGGCTATTTCAAAGTACGGCCAAGCCCCTCCCTCACATACCTTGCGGCGACTAACAGGATAGGTCCACCCCTTGACTCCAATCCCGCTGATGATGTGCACCGAGTTTTTCGCTGGCCACGGCTACCTCGACGCAGGGTTTGACGGCATGCTGCAGGACGTACTGGCTTGTCTTCAAGATCTCGATCGAGTCAAGAACGCTGCCCAGAGCCCGCGCGAGCCCATACCTGCTTAGTCTTGATGTTTTCGTATGCATATATAATTCTCGGCCCCTGTGACTGGATCATAGGTTGTACGTTGCATAGATCGCGATCAACAGCGATAGCATATATCAGTCATATAACGGCGTTGATTTGAATTGGTTTCCAGGCGAAGGCTTTGAGAAGGAGTACTGCAACGATGTCCGGCTGCAGAGATAATAGAGATATAATCGCACCATTCTTCCATAATAAATGAAAACTATAACCGGTGATCAATCTACCCTCTATATATGCGTTAGCCTAGTCAGTCCCCATTCGCATTGAGTAGATTCGCGCGGAAATGCGAGCAGAGCCTGCTGTATCCGTGAGATTAAAACTCCGAGGCCGCAAAAGGAGTAAACAAAGAACAAACGGGGAAGCACCCACACAGGTCGGAAGTTCATCCCGCCAGGCCTGCCGATTTCTTCCACCCTATCCAAAGCTTTGAATCTGCTCGGACAAAACGATCCTGGTATTTGGGACACCTCACGGCACGACGCGGTGTTACACGTCGGTTCTAGGCCTCGTTGAGCGACCGAACGCCGAGGAGATACGCCGAGGACCTGTCAAAACTCCGGATGTACAGCGCAGGGGTGCGGAAAAAGTAATTATGATCTTGGTATTGCTGTAGTGCCGTCGCTCGTATGAGCAGTGCAGCCGTTGGCGACAACGGTCGAGCTTGCAGAGCAGGCGATTGAGGAGGGGCGGTCTTTAATCTCTTTTGCTGGTCCTCTGGTTGATATGCTGGATGGTTTCACCGTTTCATAACTTGTCTGCAGGCCATAACTCCTTACCGCTGTTTAGGAATCAACACCGAAGTACGGAGATGAGGTGCGAGGCAAACAAGGAATGGCTTCTGGGTCGTTGTATATGAGGATGTGGGATGCAGACACGGGCTAGGAGGTCACCTTTGCAGGATTCTCGTATCCGGACCTGGACGTTTTCAGAGCCTCCGTTTCCGTGTCGATCACAACGGCGGTCATGGCAAGCAGAAGCCGATCCTCCTCATCCTTACGTTCGGTAGAAACGATCAACGGTAGTGACCAATCCAAGGAAAACAGCAATGGGAAGCCCAAGGGAAAGAGTGTTGGTAATGTTGTCCTCGTCTTCGGATGCCAATGGCTTTCCTTTGATGCTGGCGACTTCCGGCGTCTGCGAGCCACTATTCTCGATAGTCCTGAGCATCATTGGATGATCGATGTACTAGACGAACTGCCAGCGCACTATCGGACTGCAGCGGAGACAGGGCATCTTCCTTCTTTGAACGCGATACCCGGGGAGAGAGAACTCCGGGAGCTAGATCGGTGGTTCCGTTGCGATGATCTATCCACAGCAAAGTTTCCGCTGAGTTATACCCAACTGGCACCTCTGTTGATGATGACCCATTTTGTGCAGTATGGGCAGTACCTCAAGTTGACTAAAGCGAAACTGGGATGTAAGAGGGAAAATGTTGGAGCGGAAGGTTCGAGCGCCGTTGTCGAGATCGTCGGATTCTGCATTGGGCTTCTGAGTGGAGTCGTGGTCTCTGCTGCGAGGAACCAAGAGCAACTGCGACGATTGGGTGCTGTGGCACTAAGGCTGGCGATCTTGCTTGGGGCCTTGGGGGATGTGCAGGAGAAAGAAGAGGCATACACGAGTCTGGCGACCGCGTGGAGAAAAGCAGATATTGAGGAGCAGTTGGATAAGATCCTTGATCAATACCACGGGGTACGCATCTCCGTCGCAACTACATTCGGGCAATTGAGCTGACAAGCCAGTCGTATACAACCGTTCGGTATGACGAAAATCGCGCGACAGTAATGGCACCTCGGAAAAATGTGGTCGACTTGCAACAGTCGCTGCAGTCTGCAGGCTTCACTGCGACTTTGGTGGACTTCAAAGGGCGGTATCATTGGCCTGGACATGAGAAAAAATTACCTGCTTTATTCGCCCTCTGCAAAGCCGAGCAAGGCTTTCAGCTCCCAGACGCCTCGGAGCTAACTCGCCCATTGCGAACGAACACCAGTGCCGAACCAGTCCGCTCCGGGCCTGTCCACGAAATAGTGCTGCGAGCGGTCTTAGCTGAGCCCTGCGAATGGCACAAAACGTTCTCCGACGTATACGAACAACACCTCACTGGGCCCAGCTCACTAGTGGTCGAATTCGGGCCTGAACGATGCATTCCACCGAGTTTTCTTCGCCGTCTACCACAGCGTGTCATCCACTTTGCCGACCTTGAACTACCCAAGACTTTAAACCGCGACTATGAGCTTGCCAGTCGGCCTCCGGCGGATACCGATATTGCTATTGTTGGGATGGCCTGTCGGGTCGCTGGTGCTGACGATCTCAACGAGTTCTGGGACCTCTTGTGTGCCGGCCAATCCCAACATTGCGAGATGCCCAGAGAACGACATGCAAACTACGAGACGCCATGGCGTCCTGAAGCAAGCAAGCGGATGTGGCTCGGAAACTTTGTCCGGGATATCGATGCCTTCGACCATAAATTTTTCAAGAAGTCACCTCGGGAGGCAATGTCACAGGATCCACAGCAGCGGCTTATCCTCCAAGTCGCCTATCAAGCTCTAGAGTCGGCAGGTTATTTCTCTCGCTCCTCTAAGGACAAAGACATAGGTTGTTATATAGCATCGTGTACAGTGGACTATGAGCACAATGTCAACTGCCACACAGCCTCGGCATATGCGGCAACGGGACTGCTGCGGAGTTTCCTGGCAGGCAAGCTGTCGCATTACTTTGGGTGGCGCGGGCCGTCACTCTGTATTGACACAGCCTGCTCAGGATCTGCTGTAGCTCTGCATCATGCTTGTCGAGCCATCCTGAATGGGGATTGCAGCGCTGCGCTGGTTGGTGGTGCGAATGCAATTACCAGTCCGCTGGCATATGATAACCTCACGGGTGCTTCGTTTCTTTCACCGACGGGTGCATGTAAACCATTCGATGGGCAAGCAGATGGATACTGTCGTGGGGAAGGGTTCGTGACCATATACGTCAAAAAGCTCTCTGATGCGCTGGAAAATGGAGATAATATCCTAGCCACCATTGCTGGAACGGCAGTTGAGCAAAACGATAACTGTACCCCAATTGTCGTTCCGGATGCACCATCATTAGCAGGGCTTTTTGAAAAGGTCACCCGTCGGGCACGGCTGCATCCACGGGATATTACTGTTGTCGAGGCGCATGGAACAGGAACCCAGGCCGGCGATCCCGCAGAATACCACAGCGTACGTGATGTATTTGGAGGGCCAAAACGTGCTGGGCAGCTTGCCTTGGGATCTGTCAAAGGGCTTGTCGGTCATACTGAAGGAGTATCCGGTCTGGTGGCACTCGCCAAAGTCGTTATGATGATTCACGGGGGCCAAATCCCGCCGCAGCCAGGTTTTGAAAGCCTTAACTCGCATATCAATGCTAAGCCAGATGACCATATCGAGATTGCTAAGCACATGCGTCCATGGGAGGCCGGATTTCGAGCGGCGCTGATCAACAACTATGGTGCGTGCGGGTCTAACGCAACAATGGTGATCACCCAGGGACCCCAGAGGAGCAGATCGGTATCTCGGGGGTTACAAGCGGAGGGCGTTGCGCTTCCTTTCCGCTTGTGTGCACTCGACAAATCACGATTGCAGGCGTATGCAGCACGATTGCGACTTTTTGTAGCTCAACGAGAAGATGACAAGGACATGACATTAGCAAACCTGGCGTTTAATGCCGCGCGACAGTCGAATCCTAGTCTGGATTGCAAGTGCATCTTTCGAGCAAAATCGATACCTGAGCTTACGGCTCGGTTGGCGGGAATCGAACAAGGAGAGGAGAGTGATATCGTTCGTGGAAGAAAATTCCTTCCTCCAGTCATCCTGTGTTTTGGAGGGCAGGTCGGAAGAAGCGTTGGACTGAACAGAGTTCTATATGATGCTGTTCCTCTTTTAAGACACCATCTTGAAGCTTGTGACGATGTACTGAAGACCGCAGGCCAGAAGAGTATATTTCCCGGAATCTTTTCTGCAGCGCCCGTTCCAGATCCTGTTCAGCTCCAGACACAACTCTTTTCACTTCAATACGCCTGCGCAAGAAGTTGGATTTGCTCGGGGATACAAGTAGCGGCAGTTGTTGGGCACAGTTTTGGCGAGCTGACGGCGCTCTGTATATCTGGTGTGCTCTCTTTGTCGGATGCACTGACAGTTATTGTGCGTCGTGCGGCGATAATCCGTGATAATTGGAGCAATGATGCGGGCGCCATGTTGGCAGTTGAGGGCGATAGACTTCAAGTCGAGCAATATTTGCATGGATCCTTGGCAACCATCGCCTGCTATAACGGTCTTCGCCGTTTCACCATTGCGGGGCCTACCTCAGCTGTGGATGACCTTGAGAGCAAGCTAGAGGTAAATCCTGCGTTTCGTACGAAACGACTCGACGTCACGAATGCCTTCCATTCCACCTTGGTAGATCCATTACTTCCTGCCCTGGGGTCTGCCACAGATGGCGTGTTGCTGCATGCCCCGTCCATTCACCTTGAGCGTGCCACTGCAGACTCAACAGAAGGAAGACCACCATCGAGTGTAATAGCGGACCATCTTCGACAACCAGTTCATTTCGGAGCTGCTGTTCAACGCCTTGCTTCGCGATATGATTCCGCTGTCTGGCTCGAAGCTGGTTCCAACTCCACAGTCACGTCTCTGGCCCGAAAAGCTCTCGAAACCAGCGCTGCAGGTCACTCATTCCATGCTCTCAATATAACATCAAGTGGTGCACTCGGAAATCTGATCAGTACCACGATTGGGCTGTGGAAGGATCATATTCCATGCGAATTCTTCGGTCATCACGCACGGCAGGCCAAAGAGTATAGTCATCTTTTCCTTCCACCCTACCAGTTTGAGAAGTCCCGCCACTGGATGAAAAACAAGCCTCTGCCGGCGGCAGATCGAGAGGAATATGCAAAGAAAGACGATCCGCAAAATGAGGACCCGTTATTTTCTTGTAGCGGGTATGTTGACTCTGACCGCCGGGCAATGAGGTATTCTATTCATACTAACCATCCTCGGTACATCGCTGCTGTGTCTGGGCATGTGGCAGCAAAAACAGCTCCTATTGCACCCGCGTCGGTACTGTTGGACTACGCCGTTGAGTTACTCAGATCGCTTCCTGAAGGAATGGACAAAGTACCATGTGTTTGGGACGTAGGTAGTGATGCACCACTTCTTCTGGACTCAAACCGCGACGTATGGATTGAGTTGCTAAAGGAGATGGGGAGCAGAAGTACGTGGGAACTCAGGTTTCTAAGCGAAGCGACGAAGGCCAAAGCTCCCAGGCGGCTTTTGCATTGTACCGCGCGAATAACCATGCACGATGCTAGTGATGGGATTCTGCAAGCAGAATTTGCCCGATACGCACGACTAGTCAGCCATCGCAAGTGTGTGGAGTTGCTGTCGGACCCGAATGTTGACGATATTCTCCAAGGTAGAAATGTTTATCGTGCATTTGCGGAGATAGTGGAGTATTCTGACGCCTATCGCGGGGTGCAAAAGCTGGTAGGAAAAGGGAACGAGAGTGCTGGCTGCGTTTTGAAGTCATATTCAGGGATAACGTGGGCAGATGCATTCTTGTGCGACTCGTTCAGCCAGTGCGGTGGCTTCTGGGTGAACTGCATGACCGACAGGGATCAGGGGGAGATTTATGTCGCCAGTGGGATGGAGAAATGGGTGCGCACGCCATTGTTTGCAGATATGGCGTCCGCCAGGCCTAGTACATGGCACGTCTGGGCACGCCACCACCGCGCCGATAGCTGGTATACTAGCGACATATTTGTTTTTACGCCCGGTGGCGAATTAGTGGAGATGTTCCTGGGCCTGCGGTACTCCCGAGTAGCAGAGAGCCTGTTCGTCCGTCTCCTAGGTGGTGGTCCATCAGAACGCAAGGATACAGACAAGCAACAGACCGCCAGACCTACGCCGTCCAAGGATCTAGCTGTTCGCGTCAGACAGGTCGTGGCCGAATTTTGTGCGGTCGAGCCAAGTGAAATTGAGGACGGGAGCCAACTTGCCAACGCTGGAGTTGATTCGCTGATGGCAATGGAGCTCGCTCGCGAACTCGAACAGATATTTCAGTGCACTCTTGTGGTTGAAGCATTGCTCGAGGCGGACACATTCGCAGACCTGGTGCAAATTGTGCGAAATGCAGTAGGAGACGTGGCAGACAGCGGCAGCGAATATAGTAGCGATGACCATACTGCAAGCAGCGGCGAGAGTGAATGTCTGATTACCTCCATGGAATCAATTACCAGCGTCTCTGACACGAGCGATTTGCATCTGCCAGAGATGGCTGTAGTGCAGACGTTTGGCAAGATCAAAGCTCAAACCGACGATTTCCTAGCCGACAATCAATGTAGCGGGCGACTACATGATTTTACTCCCTTGCAGATCGAGCTGTGTCTTGTGCTGACACTGGAGGCGTTCAATACGCTGGGAACCGACATTCGGAATGCGCATCCTACTCAGCGACTTTCCCGTATCAAATATGATTCGCAGCACGACTCACTGGTGCAGTATCTGTATGATCGGCTGGTCGAAGCTGGACTAGTAATCCTGGACGGAGCCACGGTTATCCGCACACAGAAACAAGCACCGAGCCATTCGAGCGCCACTATTCTTTCGCGAATTGAGATGGGGTATCCCGAGTATGCAGGCGCGAGCAAACTCACTTTCTACACTGGGGGTAGACTCGCCGAGGTGCTGCGTGGGGAGCAGGACGGGATACAGCTGATTTTCGGGACCCGGGAAGGCCAGCGGCTAGTGTCATGGATGTATGGCGAGGAGCCACACAATGTAGCCGGATACAAGCTCATGGGTGAGTTCATCAAACGGCTCGTTCAGAAGCTCGCTCCCACAACCAAAGACACCGGACCACTGAAGATCCTCGAGATGGGCGCTGGAACGGGCGGTGGCACCAAATGGTTCTTACCATTGCTGGCTGCTCTGCCAATAGCTGTGGAATATACTTTCAGCGACATCTCACCAGCATTCCTGGCACAAGCAAGACGCAAGTTCCATGATTATTCGTTCATCCGGTACTGTGTGCACGATATTGAAAAACCACCATCGCACGAGCTTCAGGGAAGTCAACACATCATAATCGCGAGTAATGCAGTGCATGCGACCTCAAATCTGCAGGTGTCGACAAAGCATATGCGGCAAGCTTTGAGGACCGATGGTGTGTTGATGATGCTGGAAATGACAACACCTGTCTTTGCAATTGACTTGGTGTTTGGCCTGTTTCGCGGGTGGTGGGTCTTTAACGACGGACGCACGCATGCGATTACAAGTGAGCAACGCTGGAAACAGGATCTCCAAGCGGTAGGGTATGGCCATGTCGACTGGACGGATGGACAATCCAACGAAGCTAGTGTACAGCGGATAATCTTCGCAACTGCACAGTGTAGCCAAGAACACCTTGCACCGTGTCTGAACCAGACGGCAAGATCGCAGGCCGTGGAAAAATATGTTCGTCGGACAGTCGAAGGTTTTCGTGCACCCTTAGCCAATCCACAGGGTAGAGTTAACCCCCGTGAAGCATGCGTCCTACTCACGGGAGGAACGGGAAGCCTGGGTACTCATCTCGTCGCACATCTCGCACGGCTACCGGACGTCCGCATGATAGTGTGCCTCAACCGAGTCAGCAAGATGAAACCAAAGGAGCGGCAAGAGCACGCACTCGCTGAACGAAAGTTGAGCCTTTCCACATTGGAGCAAGGCAAGCTGGTCGTCCTAGAAGGTGACACGTCAATGCCTCAACTTGGGCTCACGTCCGATCAATACAACTCTCTCCAGTCTAATGTCACTCATATTGTTCACAACGCGTGGCCAATGGACGGGATAAAACCGCTTTCCAGCTTCGAAGGGCAGTTCCGGGTGTTACGGAACTTGATCGACCTAGCAAGCGACATTGTAGCGGCAGAGTCAAGACCAGTCCGCTTTCAATTCGTCTCATCTATCGGTACAGTCAAGGGCGGAGGAGCGCTTGAGGAGCAGACAGGCATCGAGAAGGTCATGGCGAACGGATACAACGAGGCAAAATTCGTTTGTGAGAGAGTGGTGCAAGAGACGTTGCAGCGGTATCCGCAGGTCTTCCAGGCGATGATCATCAGGCCAGGTCAGATTGCTGGCTCACAGGAGGCGGCGTACTGGAATACGCACGAGCACTTTCCATCAATGGTCAAGGCTTCACATACACTCGGTGTGTTCCCGGCGCTGAAGGGGGGAATGGGATGGACACCGGTAGATGTGGCAGCTCAAGTGATGTCGGAATTGCTGATTGAGAACGGTGCGCCCGATGGCATTTACCATGTCGACAATCCAGCACAGCAGGACTGGGCCAGTGTTGTGAGTGTGTTAGCGGAGGAGCTGGGAGCGACAACCGTCCCGTTCGCGGAGTGGCTTCGACGAGTGAGGCAGCATGGGATCGACAGCGGAAAGAACCCCGCCAGTCTGATGGCCGATTGGCTCGAGGATAATTTCGAAAGGATGTCGTGTCGAGGAGCGATGGACACGCGTGTGGCGCAAAAACATTCGAAGACGCTGCGGGAGATGCAGAAGGGTGGCCAAGTGCGAGCGGAGACGGTGAGAAAATATGTGCGCAGCTGGAAGGAACGTGGCTTCCTGCCGTGAACAATTACAGTGACCAGAGGACTTGGCCTCATGGACTTTCAAGCAAAACCTTATGACATTCTGGCCTGTCAAGTTGTATTGGTCTCTATGTACTGCTGCTGCTTCAATAGCACGTTCGCGAGAAAGGTTTTTGTACCCGTCGTCGCGGGATGGATGAATCTGCACGAAGGTGACTTGATTCTCAGTACTCGTTCGTACATCATCTGTGACTCTTTATACCGCGACTGCTGTTGGAGCGCATGGCCGAGACGCTTCACAATGTGTACGGCCTTCGGATGGTCCGGGTGGTAGGCCATTTCGTATACTCGATGTCCTACCCCGAAGCGCCTTCTCGGCGTCCGCGCCCTGCTTTTGAAGCGCGTATAGGCGCATGAGCTTATCGAATATCTTGACTTCTTTTAAAACCAGATACCAGCGTGGGTGATCGGTATCCTCCGTCTTCAACACCTCCTAAATTAGATTCTATGCTTCCTTGAGCGTCTCTTTGACAGGCGCAGACGTCCGAGTTTCTGTCATCGGAGGCTTGTTGGGACCATTAGATTTATGGACCTGTCGGTAGGCAGCCTGAGCCGCGTGCGCCATTTCCAGACATCTGGCGGCAAAATTAGTGGGCAGGTCAACCAACCTGGTTTTGGAGGATGGGAGGCATTCTTTGATTTCCATTGTTATCTGTTTCTTTTGATAGGCGTTGTGGTTTTCAGTAATGAGCTTTTCGTTCTGCTCGCCGAGGCCCTGTGTTGAGGGGCTCGGATTTCTGTTGCTTGGGTCTTTATTCTGAGCCCGTATCGTCCGGCGGCGAAACGAAAGACATAAAGTCAAGGAACAGGGCAATCGAATGGAAGCTCTTATCTGCCAGTGACATTTTAGACTCGCTTAGATAATGTATGTCATGGATCATGAGAACTATTAAATGCTATTGCCCATGGAAGAAGGCACTCATCTGCAATGGCGTGAGTGCTGGTTAGACATGAACCCCTTGATATGCTCAAACGAACAGAATCGACGATTTCGTGGCAGTAAACTAATTGTAGAAAGACAGGAAATGGAAGAGAAGCGGCGAAACGAGTATAAGAAAGACAACCCACATATACCGACCCGGGACAACCCAGGCTCTGATTTTGGTCGTAAATAATACTTTTAGCCTAAGCCTGTGGCTGTCCCTGTCGACCGCGATAGGGCACGAACTGCGGTATGCATTCTGGGGCAAGGCTCAGTACAGAGGATAATCATCTCGAAGCCCCCAAGAAACTGAAACAAACCCGAACTCATGATCGTTCCGGCAAAGGGGCAACTTTGTGTAATCCTGGACGTCCAAAAGCCGGGATTCTCCATCCCCAGCCATCTCGTCTTGCATTTCGGTGGCCTCGAGAAGATAAAGAAGGGCAGCGTTTACACCGTCGACGCCCGCCCGCTTGAAGAAGTTCTTTGTGTGCGGAGGCCATTCGCCCTCGTCATCAAGTTGCTCGAGTATACTCGGGGTTCGCGGGATAATTTTGCGCTCTAGACAATGGGCGGCAAGGGAGAAGGTGTTTCCAAAGCCACAGCGTAGGGATTTATTAGTCTGGAGGTTTGCTTGAACATCCCTGGCGAGATAAGCGATAGCATCCTCATGCCACTCGACCCAGTTCTTGCCGTCGCTCATGGAGAAATCTGAGAGCATATCGCCAAGTTCACCACCTTTCCAATACAAAGCAAAAGCCATACGCGGCGAGAGAAAGCCCTCCAAGCATGATCCACATGTGCAGCCGTATTTGAGGCGTTGAAGCTCAAGCGTTGACAGCCGAGTTGAGTTACCATCGCGTGTCGAGAGTAGCTCGAGGCACCAGACAGCTTCAGTCCCGAACCCTTTGAACTGATCAGAGACAATCAGCGTCATAAGCATAACCTGCCGTGTTGACCGACTGCTTTCAAGCTTCTCCTTGAGCGCCTCGATAGGCGTGAAGCCCTGCATATCGCGGGATGATTGCCACTTGCGTGCCTCTTGTACGTTGTCTATGATCCATTGCAGGCTGCGAGGCTTTATAGCACGCGCAATTGAATGCAAGAGAGTAGATTGGGTGTTGTTCGGTAGAGCCGAGCCGACGCTACTGGCATGGTACTTGAGAAACGTTAGGCAATCCTCGTCACTTAGCGTTTCTGCGGCGTGATGAAATGGGTGACTGGCTTTCAGGCTGTCCAGCCGGTACCGCTCCATGTTCGATTGCATGGTCTCGCCATTTTCAGGGTTTATGAAACCTTCGTATTCGTCAACGGCGCAGAAAGGTGGGTCAACGTCGTCGTTGACGAGGAGTGTCCGAGATGGGTGGTTGGGTTGGAAGGAGTAGGCGAAACAGCCAGATATGCCTAGGCGCCGGAACCCGCAGGAGCGAAAAAATGACACCGCTGCATCGTGCGCTTCGCTGTTTATGCGGTGCTGTTCACGGTGAGGTTGGCCTTCTCGCCGTGGTTCAACGTCAGCTCGAAGCCAACCAGGGAGCGTGAGCACATGGAGTGAGCTTGAACAGTCAAGCTTTGACTGTGGGGTTTGAAATAATGCAAGAGACGGATCAGTCTGTGTTTGGGCAGCGATATAGCCTTGTGCCTTTGCCAAGAGTAGTTCCAACATCTTGGACCCCAATCCCTTTCGACGCAGGTCGGATGGAATGACATGCACGTATTCGATTGTAGCGAGAGGGCCGTTGTCGAGTTCGGTTTGCCATACACCGGAGCCCTTCTGGATCGGATGATGTTTGAGATTTGGTTTGACAATTCCATATCTGTTGAAGATCTTCAGAGCAATATCTGAAGTGTCCTGGCTGAGTTCCTCCATTCGCTGCCAGAATTGGGGACGCACGGCTCCCCGCCAGATAAGCCTCGCCAGGACATTGCCGACTAACACCCCATCTCTGTTACATTCGGCACAGAGGTTTTCCACCCAACCAGGGCTGTCAAGTTCTTTCGTGGTGAAGAGCGTGATCTTCAGGGAAATATCTCCTCCACTCATCGAAACGTTGTACTCGTGATCCTCGACGTTTTCGTGGGCTGTATCACTGTCTTCCGCGTCGAATCCATCTGACAATTCAAATTCTTCCTCGCTAGAAAAGTCATCTCCATCAATTTCTATCTCACTGGACTCGAAATCAACTTCTGTGCCTGCCGTAGATGGGGATGTGTTAGTCAAAGCCCACGTTTCCGTTAGGAACGCGTGTACCACTTTGAAGGCAACCAAGGCCACGAATGGCGGCGTCGTTGCCACTAGCCTCGGTGGCACCTTGCACCATCGTGTCTCTTATTGGTGTTGTGGGGTTCAGTTCTGGTTGACGCCCGACGGGGAAGTGGTCGGCAACTGAGATTGTCAACTGTGTTATCGCAACAAGTAAGTTCGGCAGAAACGAAGAGTAATGGGCGAGGAGAAGTGGGTGAAGCAGGATAAGGAGAGCGGCCAAAGCAAGTGAAAAAGAATTGGAAGCTGAGGGGACCTGGCCGGAGCGATAGGGCGGGGTTGAGGTGGGCAAGTGAAGCAGTGAAACTGGAGGAGAGTGCCAGGATTAAAAGTCCCATCGAGAAACGCCCATCCTGTCAACACACTAAGCCCACCAATGCAAATGCCAGCCAGCAAGCTAGTTCACCTCCAAATGATAATGAGCCGCGTGAACCTAGACTTCAACTCGACATATGAGTGCATATCCAGGCTAATCATGTTTTGGACTATCTCGAACGCCCTTTCCTCGCCGTAGAATCAACTTCTCCGTACAGACCCAAGTCCCTTAGACTAGTACTTGGACTGCGCGAAGATGGGGACACGATGAAAATTATGGCTAACTTGCCACACCCAGGACTAGCGCTGGGTACAGGATGGGCTCATCGGCTTGATCGCGTGTATACACTCGTACAAGGTAGGTTTGAAGGTCAGCTTTAGATTTCGACAAAGCAGAGAGAGGATACACCCCATGAGAAGCTTCTGGGGGTTGGCTGATCAAGTCCTACAGTTTGCAGCCTCGTCTCTTCTACCAAACGCCATCCCCGCGGCAGCCACACATCTTAGCAACAAATTTGAACTCATGATCGTTTCTCAAGCCGGTAGGGCTGACCATGATCGCCCCAGACTGCGTGGACACTGTCCATCGCCAGCCTTCAGGTCCTGCTTTTTAGCAGCATTGAACAACAAATGCAGAGCTGCGTAGCATCCCTTCTGCGCTCCAGCGTGTTGCAGGTACTCTTGTGTGTGTGGTACTGATATGCTTCTTTCGTTGGCGCACTGCAGGATATTCTCTGGGGTCGGAACCTTCTTCGCCTCAGGACACTTTACGACAATCTGCAAGATATCAACAAAACCTTGTAGAAGAGACCGACTGCTTCTAAGTGCGCTTTGGATACTGGGATCCAGGTGCATGACGAAGTTGTATTCGTCAACTCGCCATCTGTCATCTTTGAAATGGTTAGGGAGGGATTTAACCAGATTACCGCTTTGGTGCGTCAAGGAGATGCTCATTCGAGGCGACAAGAACCCATTCAGACATTCAACACACGTACACCCATACCGACGACAGGCGTTAGTGAGCATTGACGTATCCGGGCCGGCAAGTAGAGAAAGACAAGAAACGGCATTGTCGGGGTGGCCTTTAAAATCGCCCGATAAGTTCATCCTCATGGAACCGGATTGACCCTATGAGCGCACGAAATCAAGAACGTCTTGTAGGACTTCAAGAGGTGTGAATCGGTCCCCATTACGACAGCCTTCGAGAGAATCGGCTTCATCGATGTTCTTGAGCAGCCATTCGAGACTTCGGGGCATGAGCCGGCAGGCTGTAATGTGTTGAAGTGATTGACCTGTTCTGAGAGTTTTGGTCCAACCGGTCTGTCCCGAAGTGTGGCTCGCAAAAAAGGCTCTGCACTGATCATCGCTTTGGGTGAGGGCTGCGTAATGCAGGGGTAACAAGTTGCGAAGTCTTTCGTTCCTACGTTGCTGTGCTTCTTTGAGAGAACTCACTCAATTGAGCTCTTCATCCTCGAAATTGTTGCCAAGGTCAGGTTAGGATCGAAATCAGAAGCCACTGCAAGGGCGCGAGACGGATGCTGAGGAGCGAAAGAGAATGCAAGGCACTTGGACGCACCGATCCGCCGAAAGCCGCACTTCCGCCAGAATTGCAAAGTGCCGCCAAGAGCTTGAGCATTCATGTCCAGTATTTTTCGTACGGACTTGCCCACCGACTGGAGTTGAGCGTCAGCATTCAGCCGACCGGGTAGCACAAGCGCATGGAAGATCAACGGCTGCGCAGCAGACCCAGTGGCTTGTCGGTAAGACTTCGCTAATTGGTCGATGAGCTCGAAGTACCCCAGCGCTTTATCGAGAAGCAGGGACACTATTCTCTGTCCCAGCCCTTTCCGACGATATTCGAGTGCGGTGACATGAAGCTCCTTGATCAGGAAAAGGGGGCCACGATCAAGCTCGTCTCCCCAGGCTCCAGTTCCTCGCTGCACTGGATGGTCCATGAAATTCGATTTTACAGTCCCAGACTGGTCAAAGACCTCGAAGGCAAGTTTGTTCATTTCCTCACTGGGCTCCTCCATCTGTTGCCAAAAATGGGAGCGAATGCGCTCTCGATCGATGTACCGCGCCTTAGCAGTGGCTACAGTGGCACCATTGCAGCTGCATCTGGCATGGAAGTCTTCCATCCAAGGAACCTCCTCTTCTTCGGCATGGGTCAAAGATAGTCGAATTTTGATCATGTGCGCCTGAACCCCAGGTGCGGTGTACTCGTGCTCTTCAACTTCCCATTCATAGTCCTCATCGTCATCCATATAACCATCCCACTGATGCTCTCTCTCAAAGTCATCGATTTCCTCATAGTGGCCAGGTAGAATAGTGGGAATCACCTGCCGTTGTCCGTCATGGTGTTCCAATCCTGACGCAGAGCAAAGGGTGAGGACGGTTGCAACTGGCTGAGACGATCCCTGCGGGAGTGAAAACGTGGTTCGCGTACGATTTTTCCACGGACAATCAGATCAAGGGTCACCAAGTCTGGTACTGCGGCTGCCTGTTTTCAAGGCCAAAATTTGTTGTTTAGAGAAGTGCTTTGGTAAAAGGTCAGAGAATGCAATGTCATCACGTGACCTTGTACTGTCAACAAAGCAACTCTCGCAGCCAGGGATCTACTGATGGTTCAAGATTTCTTCAATGTTCTCATCTCGATGGACATCAAACGCAAACCGGCGCCAACTCTCTCGCCAGTCGAGTATGGCGTCGTGCAGCGACCCCTGACACCCGCTCCGCCGCCTCCGCCCCCGTACTCCCCCAGTCCCTACGTCGCCTACAATCCCTACACCGCGTATTCCCCGGCCTCCGGTTCTCCTCACTCTCCTCACTCCCGCTCCCCTCAGTTTCCTCCACCTTCACCAGCTCCATCTCTCTCGCCATCCCTCCAACCTCCTCGCCCTCATCCGCTTCCTCGACACCGAAGTCAACCGAATCTCCGACCGCCGCCAAACACACAACCACCACCGCCGATCCCCCGAGCAGAGACGTCTCTTCCACCTCCACCCGAATCCTCCTCAGACAAACCCTCCTTCGCCGCCGACGCGCGCCATTTCCTCGGCGGCCTCATCCACCACCCCTCCGAATCGACAAAACACTACTCCATCCTCCGCCACTCGCACGGCGTCGTCTTCTACCGCGGCCCCACGACCTCCGTAACCGTCTCGATCTTCGCTGACGCCCCACTCCCCGCAGACCGATCGCTCTGGCTACAATGCAAAGGGTGGAGTGGAAAGACGGGAATGCGCGCGAAGGCGCTCTTTCGGCTTCATGACGACTGGGTGGACGTTTCGCCGTCGGTCGCGATGCGTGCAGATCAGGTTGAGACAAACAAGGAGCGCGCGTGGCAGCGAGATATTGCCAAGTTCTACAAGAAGGCGTCCAAGCGCGTCCGGGATACGCATCGGCTGCGGGAGACTACCGTTGCGCGAATACCGCCGGATGCAGAGGACGGTTACTTTCAGCTGATCCTGTGTCAGGGCGAGAAGAAGGTTCTTTGTCGCAGTCCGGTCTTTCGCATCCTCTCTACCTCAATCGATCCGAGTTCGCTCCGCGGCGCGAGCCTCACGACCCTGCCGCTGGAAGTCGGTGCACTCGTCGCCGGGACATACGCGCAGGCAATGGCTTCACGATTTGTGACTCCGGTGACTACCGTCGCCTCGACCGTCACTGCACGATACAGACCTGGCTGGTTGGGGGAAACAGCCATAACTACAGCATACGAAGCGATAACCAGCCGCTCGGACGAAAACACCCCAGATTCACATGCACCACCCTCAATTGAAAACGGTCCTCAAACGCCCTACCCACTCAGCGTCACTTCGCGCCCAATCCAATTCCTTGACCCCACCCGAATGACTGTCAAAATTCCCTCCGACATTCAAGACAAGCTACGCGGCTTCTTCTTCGGCTGGACGCGCCTTGCCCCAGACCAACCCTGGCAAATGAGCATCCTCTCCGTCCGCTCCTGGGACGGCACAGCAGCCACAGGCCCCGTCTCGCTCTCCCACACAACTCGCAAAGTCGCGACCCTCCGCCTGCTCCACGATCCAATCCCACATCCGCCTCCGTCCTCACTCACCGTTCGCCTCCTCGGCTTTCTTCGCCCGGATCTCCCGCCCCCGTCCGCGCGCACAGAACGCGATCTTGCCGCTGCGCATGCAGCAGCGGCAGAGGCGGCTATCCAGGCGGAGTACTACGACACAGAGTACGTCCAGGCGATCCTCGACCACCCGCTCTGGGCGCCGGACGCTACGCCCGACCGGAAGGGGTGGTTTGACCGGACGAAGGACGGCGCTGGGAATGTCGTGACGCGTGGGCAGAAAATTATTGAGAAGATTGGGGTGCGGAGTGGGCTTGAGCACGAGGCTGTCGGGGGGTATTACATTGTCCGGGACAACTGACCCATTCACTCACCTCCAACTCGTTAATCAGGTCTCGAGTGAAGATCGACTTGTACATTTCATCCTCTACCATATCATCTACCCATACATATAACCACCACATAATCCTAATACCTAATCGCATCATAGACGCATTTCCAACATTCTCTGACCATAGAAATACTCGACAACCTACTCAACCAAAGCCATCATCTTCCTCCCCCATGTATCCCTGGGCCGGGGCGGCTTCTCCGCCGCAATAATCTCCTCGAGCCCCGTGACAAGATCCACCTCGGTCGCCCTCCAAACCCACGGATCCGCCCAATACCACACGCGATGCCCCGCATACAGCAGCACAAACGCCGGAATGCCCACATACGCCGTGAAGAACGTGCTCGCCGACCAATTCGACGGGAAGAAGCACGTGAATCCATTGATCAACAACAAGAAGATGGCAAACGCCAATCCGACGTAGATCCCGTAGGGCTGGAGGCGCGAGCTGTATGGCTTCTCGATCCCCTGTGCTTTGATCGCGGCGTCGAAGCGGAAGTACACGATGCAGCAGCAGATCCAGGAGATGAATCCCGAGGTGTTTGTGAAGTTCATGAGCCAGTTGAAGACCGTGTATGCGCTGTTGTTTACGGCGAGGTAGCTCAGCAGCGCGAAGAGGGAGGAGGCTGTCACGGCGATGTAGGGCACGCCCCAGCGGTTACACGCCTTGAAGATGTGCGGCGCGTTTCCGGAGACGGCGAGGCCGTAAAGGGAGCGCGAGGACATGTACAGGAAGGAATTCCCGGCGGACCATGCAGAGGTGAGGATCGCGGCGTTGACGATATGCCGGAGCACGGGGATACCCGCGTTCTGGATCGCCGCGACAAAGGGGGAAGCCGATGCGTTATTCGTATCCCCGTTTATAATCGCGTTATCCTGCGACGAACAGATTACGCCGATGGCGAGCGCGCCGAGGATATAGAAGATGACGAGCCGGTAGATATACCTCCGACCCGCCTTGGGTACGTTTCGTCGGGGCGACTCCATCTCACCCGCCGTGACGATGATGAGTTCCGGCGCGAAGATGAATGCAATCGCGCTCTTGACGATACACTGCAGGAGCCCGATGAACCGGCCTGTATTGCCATTCGAGGTAACAAGGTATGTATTCATCGCGCCGGGGTCCTTCCAGTAGTGGAAGCCGAGTCGCTGGCGGTTCGGACCACCGCCCCAGAAGAGGATGAAGGAGAGGATGAGGAGGCCGACGAGTGTGATGATTTTGATCCCTGCGAACCAGAATTCCGTCTCGCCGTAGACGCCGACGGGGAGATAGTTCAGCAGCACAATCACGACGAGCATGATGGAGATCCAGACCGCAATGGGTACGGGGTTCTCCCAGTATCCGATGACTAGCGAGGCGGCGACGATTTCATACGGGACCAATATGCCGAGTGAGTACCAGTACAGGTATCCCATTGCGAAGCCCATGCTCCGCGAGACGTACCGGAAGCCGTGGTAGCTCATTGTGCCGCCGTGGACGGGCAGGTATGCGCCGACTTCTGCGATGCCCGTGACGATGCAGTAGACCAGAGTCGAGATGAAGACGTAGCCGAGGAGGAGCGAGAGAGGGCCGCCGATATTCAGCGCCTGTCCGGAGCCCACGAAGAGACCCGTCCCGATGGTGCCACCCAGGGCCATGAGCTGCACATGGCGTGTTTTGAGCCCGCGCTGGGTGACTTTGTACCGCTCGTCGAGCAGATCCGCCTCGACCATTGCCTGCATCGTGCCGGTTTTCGACTCCGGGGCCCCATGGGCACTCTCGGGGTCGCCATACTGGCGATATGGGATGGGGGTGGGCCTGTCAGCGCTCATTTTGAATTGACTGGAAAGAATGAAAAACGCTGTGCGAGGACAGGGAGCCTTTTAGGTCGGCGTCAGACCATGAGCTCGTATCGCAGAGTCACATCGAGTGCTTCCCCGCAAACGCAGCCAAACAAATCAGCGCCTGCGACGCCACTGATAAGCCCAGTCACTAGTACGCCAGCTTATCCCCCCTCTTCGCATCCTGCCGTCCCCAGCTTCTCCTTAATTCTTACTCTGCACACTCCCGGTCTGCCGGTCGGCGTCTGGCTGCAGGATCAGGATCATGTCTTTATTTGCCTCGCTTAGCTAGATTCCATCCAGAGATACGAATCCCCCGGTCCGGTCCCGGTCCGGCCACACGAGCTGAGAACGCCCCCTGCTAGCGTGCCCAGCTTCGCTTGTCCGCCCAGAATCTGGGCGGTGCAACACAAGAAAAGGCGGTCCTCGGCAAATCATCTTCTGAGATATATAGATAACGGCTATCTCGTATCGCCCCTTCCCTCTCTAGATTATCTATCCTCGGCCGCGCGCTTCGATAGCTGCCACATGTTCCGTCACCAGACACTCAAACTCGTCCGTACCATAGTAGAACGTGTTGCCATCATCCGGCGACGGCCCGGTGCTGAGCGTGTCGCCGTACTGCCAATACAGGTCGCCTGAGACGCCGGTCGTGTTGAGTGCGGTGGTCTGCCAGGGCTTCTCGATCGCGCAGTGGTTCGAGGTCACGCCATACTCTTCAAACAGACAAGGTTTGCCCGCTGCTGCGCAGACGGCGCCATGGGAAGCCACCCACCCGTTGCCCCAGTCGTTGTCAGTGCCCCCTGTTAAGTTAGAAGTTTCTGCGATGAGACCCTTGGCTGGGGTAAACTTACAGCTGTCGGGGTAGAGATGGAATGTCCCGAAATCAATCGTTTCGATCGTGAGCGCCGCTGCGAAGTCCGAGCCCTCGCTGTATCCATACGGATAGCTGCCGTCAGACCCAGTCTCAAGACCGAAGCCCTCTGCTCGAATTAGCCTTGATCAGAAGAGGTTCCAAGGCGAGGGACATACCATCACCGATGCAAACCATATGCTGCGGATCCAACTCCTTGATATACCGGCTCGTCTCCTCAATCCACTCGTGCAACACACTCGTTTCACACCCCTGGCACCTCGGCTCGTTCGCCAGCTCCCACGCAAACACGGCAGGGCTATCAATGTATCTCGACACGACAGCCTCAACATACGCCCGATACGCCGCCTGCATCTCAGCACTGGCGTAAAAGTCCGCATTCGACGAGCCTCCATACGCCTGCACATACGCATTCATGCCACCATAATCATCCCAATAATTCACAAAGTTGATAATCAGCTTGATCCCCCGCTCCTCAGCCGACTGCACGACATAATCCAGTCGCTGAAGTCCATCCCCGCCCGTGTTGATCGTCGAGACTCCATCCTGGTGCAGCTGGAAGTAAACCGTCCCGGAACCAGGGACCTCATTCACATCGTTGAACCCCCAGACGCGCAGAATGCGCAATCCGGATTCGCCCATGTGGTCGAAGACGAGGTCCACGTCATCATTGTTCGTGAGGAAGCCGATCCAGTACGAGTTTGAGCCGGGGAAGTAGCCTGCTTCGCCGTCAATTACGAACTGTAGACCCGATGTCGTTGGGAAAGAGCTGGATCCTGTTGGCGTAGGTGTTGGCGTGGGAGTGGATGTCGCCTGCGGGAGGGCGTTGGCGAGCGCCAGGCTGGCCAACGAGACGAGTGAGCGTGAGAACTTCATCATGGAACACTCGTTTGGAATTCTCTCGTACTGCCGCACAGTCCCAGGCCTGGTTTGCATCCCTTTATATCCAAATACCTCCATGTCGCGGACATTACATAGGGATCGTGTCTATGAAACCGGAGCACACTCCGTGCAGATCCTCCAGAGGACGCGACATCTAAGTGGAGATACATTTACTTCCCCAATGCAAAACCGTTTGCATCTGGTGCCCTCCGAAGTAGTGTCAGGACGTGGTTAATATATCCGCGTCTGCAGCTGTTTCATCCGTGTCGGATGTGGCAGCGGAACGCCGATCGCGGTATATACCGACCATGAGTGGTGGAGAATCCGGGGTAACTGTCAACTTGATGGGGACGGGTCACGGAGGAGAGGCGGGAATTCTTCGATTCGACGAGGCAACGTCTGATCTTCGAGTCTTGCTTGGAGTCGATTGTCTGTCGGACGGTACTGTTGTGGAAGGAGCGAAGGTGTGCTGGATAAGCTGACTAGAGTCCTCAACCTCTTCACCTCCACCAAGCATCCTCTTCCCATCGTTGTATCTATTACGGAAGCAGTTGAGTATAGCTTCCTTGAGTGAACTTCTTGCAGTATCTAGATGTATTGGCTCTGCCCCGAGATCTCTTGGGGCAGATAGGGCCGGGCGCGCCAGATGCTCCGGGGCGTCTAACCTTTCAAGCGCCCCCGGCCATTTGAATTTCAGCGACTTCCTGGGAAACAGTCGACGAGATCGCAGGCATGGCCAATGAGTGCACGACAGCTTCATCCAGATATGTAGAGATTTACCCACAGGGCCAGTTCACCGCCTCTTGGTCATCACCAGCAAATGCCATCCAAGCAATTTCACAAGCCCTTGGCTCGGCGCCTGGCGTGCCGACGGCCATCGCTGCCCTGAGTCCAGACGCCGTTTGGGGTTGGATACGAATGCTTAGTTCCTGGAAACCCCCTCCGTCAGTCAGACGAGCCTCGATATGTCGGTCGATCATACCCCTGATTCCGGAGCGACAGTGGATCGGGATTAGGATCTGGATCCCATCATGCCCTCTGGAATGGGTTGTGTACGGGTAGTAGCAACCCTCTTTGGATTGTTCTCGTCTGATATGCAACCTACCCTTTTCGCGTCGTAGTCTTTAAAGACAATAGACGCCTTCCCCTTGGGTGCTCCATCCCCGAGGGCTCACACTTGCCAGGATGACATCCCCAGGCTATTCAGCGAGTGCGCCGAAATATGGGACATTCTCATCACAAACAATTCCAGTGGCGCATTCGTCCTCCCCGGCGTCGAGAAGATATTCGGCAGATTGCACTTTGAATGGGATGGCTGGCACCAATGGGATCCGGATTACTCGCGCGCGCCCGACATGACCCCGATCGAGATGCCTGATCTGCAAATGATATACTCGCTGGTCATTCAAGATATCCCGACGGTGCGCCTGGTCGCCATGCCGAGACTGGGAGAGGTTTGGCAGGGGCTCCCGTTGCTCCAAGGAGAAATCCACCGGCCGTGGCTGACTTTCGGGCCCTGCGACGGGCGACCGATTTCGACTTTGACGGGCTGTTCACCGGGTTTTTCGCTCTTCGATATTGCTCTGTTCTCTGGGTTGTAGGTGGTTGGCTAACCAGTTGGAGTGTAAACCTCGATTCCCTAGAGGACGTCGCAGAAAGACTCGAGATCGGAGTCGCCGAGAATGCGATCATCTCACTACCGCGCCTCAGCTCAACGTGCGGACTGTTCTTCTGGGGCGCACCGTCGAGGTAGGTAGTCCCCCACATGAGTATGCGCACCACGACTAAGAGAGGCACAGCGTATCGCTGCCAATCCTCCGCCGCGTGGGAAGAGAAGATCATGGACGCAGTTACGGGCTTATGGAGTTCGAGAACGAGCTGGCCATATTACTGGAGTTTCCAGAGCTTCGCTGCATCGATGATCTCTTTGAAGTGCGCGGTAATATCACAAGGCACCTCCCCACCTACCTATCCCACTCTCCCCGTCTGCTCCTTGTCTCGTTGTCCGCCTACCAGTGCCTCTACCTGCGTATGGGTATCCGGAGAATGACCCTCCACCAAAGTATTCCCGGTATAATGAAGGGGAATAGCGGGAGCGTAGTCGTCAGTGTTAGTCTGTTTGGTGAATGGAACGCATTATGGATTTGATGTGGCCTGGCCACTGAAGTGTTGAGGTGGGAACTCGTTATATATTTTCACTCTTCGGAGTGTGATACTGGAGATAGTTGAAAACACCATGGGGAGATGAGCGCGAATGGGAATTGAGCAATATTTGATTATGAATGACCTTAGAAATCGTCTTCTGCAGGCTCGGGGCATCTCACCACGATTCTGCCAGCATCTTCCAAATGATGATCGATGGCAGCCTGAAACTGGTGCTTGACAAAAACTCGGAACGGGCAAGTGTGACGTCACCGGAAAAACAATCTTCAAAGCGCCGCCGCCCAACACGACGAGGCGATCGCCCAATGATCAGGGATGATGGCGCCCAAGCGAAGCCAAGGAATCCACAAAGCTTGCCTTCGGTGGGTTTTGCAGAGCCGACTCTGCAGAGCGCTGACTTTCTCCTGAGACTTGAGTGCCGACGGACTCGGTCGGAGACTCATGGAACGGTCAGACGGCCAGACTCGGTCGGTTCATCTTCGGCACACACGCAGAATCTGCACTGCCTGTGTGCCGATCCCGTCGAATGCGGTCGCTTACATGTTTTGAAAACGAACACTTGCAGATAATCCTAGTCTGCTGCACTCAAGAGAGTGAGGGATTCGAGTAAGATCACGACATGACGATGGACGTAGTCAACACCGTTGGCTAACGCCATCCCCGTATTTCCCCTCTTCCCCTCAGAAATCCGGATCTCACACGGGGGGTGCTTCACCGGTGAGGTGTTTTGGGAAAGAATCGCCTCTCCAGTGTCCTTCTCCAGCCTGTCCCTCCGCTGTGTCCCGCATCTCCAGTCCCAGCTTCCGGCTCTCCCGATCGCCACGACATGAGAATGTGACTGACACAGGAATGTCGCCGCTGTCAAGATTCAACTGTCAGGTGGCCGTACTGTTATGATTACCCATTCCGGGGAGAAAGAATGGCCTTGTGATCGAAATATCTATTCTAAAGAAGGCTTTTGGTCATGGATCGCCGGCCGACGCAGCCCAAGCCACAGCCAAGCCCGAGTGCCGTCATAGGCATGCCGAGTTTTTCTCTGTCGTCGGCCGCAGGATTGCACGGCTTTTCCGGGTCGGAACCACGGCCTCAGGGGAAAACTTGTGCCTTGGCTCAGGTAACGGCCCTGGAGGCGTAACGCCACCAACGTATCTCCCGTCCGGCTTGTCCCAGTCTGGCGTAGGCCGGTCGTTACTGAGAGATTCTGTGGTTTGAGTAATCGCTCATGCCGAGCAAGACAAGCATAACAAGCATATCAACCATCGTTCTATCATTTTCAATGTCTTTTCCATCCAACGCTATACGTAGCATCCGGCAGAGTCTTCTTGCGAGATGGTCAGGAGCAGCTGGTGGACCGCCCCTCGCCTCGCTACCAAACCGGATTCGACATCTGGAATCGTCTGGATGACATTCATCGACGGTCTTCCAGAATTCTCCACCCCGTCACTGTTCCTACCACGCAGTGGACCTGCTTACGTTGGTTCCTTTCTCGACTTGTGATTATAAAAAGGGAAGGCCCCTTGCACATCCCCAGACATTGTCCCGCACCCCAGCTCTCCTCACTCTTCTCTTTTTCCTCCTTCCTATTGTCATCTCTCATCGTAGTGTTTACACAACAATGGGTGTCGAATCCTCTGCCCATCATGGGGAGTCCATTACCCCGGCTCCCCTGCCGCAACACCAGTCTAGCCAGGAGACTATTGGCAGCCAGAAGCCTGTCGAGCTTGGTGTAGATACACCCATTCCCAGAATCACACTCCGTGCTACCGTCATGGGTCTGTTCGTCTCCATGGGTGGTCTGCTCTTCGGATACGACACTGGTCAGATCTCCGGTTTCCAGGAAATGTCCAACTACCTGGAACGGTACGGTGAACTCGGCCCCGACGGATACTCGTTCAGCCATGTCCGCTCTGGTCTCATCGTCAGTCTGCTGTCCATCGGTACTCTCGTCGGTGCCCTCTGCGGTGCCCCCATTGCGGACAAGTTGGGCCGCAAGTGGTCCATCTCGCTGTGGTGTGTCATCCTCAGCGTCGGTCTGATCGTCCAGATCTCGGCTCCGTCCGGCAACTGGGTTCAGGTTGTCCTCGGTCGTTGGGTTACTGGTCTCGGTGTCGGTGGCTGCTCGCTGCTTGTCCCAATGTACCAGGGTGAGAGTGCGCCCAAGCACATCCGTGGTGCCATGATCAGTTCGTACCAGCTGTTTGTTACTCTTGGAATCTTCCTCGCCTACTGTATTAGTGAGTCTCCCCATCCATCTGTTGAAGGACCTCTCTAACGTGTTAGACCTCGGAACCGAAAGCATGCAAGGCACCGCCCAGTGGCGCATCACCCTTGGCCTTACCTTCGTCTTCGCCCTTGTCCTCGGTTTCGGCATGGCCCTGTTCCCTGAGAGCCCTCGCTTCGACTACCGCCACGGCCGCGTTGACACCGCCCGCGAGACCATGTCTCGTCTCTATGGTGTCCCCGAAAACCACCGCGTCATCATCCAAGAGCTCGCTGAGATCCAAGCCCAGCTTGACGCTGAAGGTGATGGCCAGAACTGGACCGAGTTCATCACCGCCCCCCGCATGCTCTACCGCCTCCTCCTCGGAATTGCCCTGCAAGCCCTGCAGCAGCTCACTGGCGCAAACTACTTCTTCTACTACGGCACCACCATCTTCCAAGGTGCCGGCATCTCCAACAGCTTCATCACCCAGGTAATCCTCGGCGCTGTCAACTTTGGCACAACGTTTGGCGGCCTGTATGTCGTTGAGAACTTTGGCCGCCGCAAGTCGCTCATCACGGGTGCAATCTGCATGTTCATCCTCTTCATGATCTTCGCCTCCATCGGCCACTTTATGCTCGACGTCCAGCACCCGGAGAACACACCCGGCCCCGGAAAGGGTATGGTCGTCGTCGCCTGCTTCTTCATCCTCTTCTACGCGACCACCTGGGGTCCGATGATCTGGGCCATTATCGCTGAGCTGTTCCCTCAAAAACACCGTGCCAAGGGCATGGCGCTTGCTACCGCGTCGAACTGGCTCTGGAACTTCCTTATTGGATTCTTCACACCCTTCATTACCGGCGCTATTGACTTCGCATACGGATATGTCTTTGCCGGGTGTCTGGCTGTTGCTGCGCTGGTCGTATACTTCTTTGTCATTGAGGGCAAAGGCCGCACACTCGAGGAGCTCGACTGGATGTACGTGAACAAGGTCAAGCCCTGGCAAAGCAGCAGCTTCCAGATGCCGCGGATTCACACCTTTGAGGATGAGTTCCGCAATACGCGCAAGGAGGATGGTGCCGAGCATAAGGAGAATGCTTAGACGGCTGGAGTATAGATATCCTGCACATCGTGCACATACTTTGATTTTGTATATAGACGCATTATAGACCGCATTAGCATATGCATTTCACCTTTCATTTTTGACTCCGATCCTCCGGTATCATTGTCCCACGGTATGATTGTTAGACTGTAGACAGCCGACCCTGCTGCCGGATCTCCACTCGGCAACCATCTCTCTACCCAGGCACCCGCAGCTGACGCCTGTGCCTGACAAATGGAATCCTCGGATGTTTCGGCATTACCCTATAGACAGTAACTGGGCACTTTCCATCATGGGTGACAAATGATGGATGCCTACCGACCGGAGTACCCAAGTAGGAAGCCGAAGGAAGGCCCCGGCCTTGCAGTAGGGGAGAGGATATGGATATCGCCATCTTGAACTGCCGAAAACATCGACCGGACTGGACTATGGTATAGACAGGACAGACATCAATGTTAGACCACCTGCGCCTGGGTGTGTCTGTTTCTATTCTACCGGCCAACGTCAATGTTCCTGATTTATTCCAGGAAGCTTCTAGCCCTACCTTGATTCGAGCGCTATGCATCTTAGGTCGCGGACTCTTTCTTGCACTTCTCTCTCTCTCTGTGTGAGTGTGTGAGTGTGTGAGAGAGTGTGTGTGCATTTTTCAACTTACTCCCCGGTATAGACTAAGGGGGCCAATGTTTATGCCTTTAGCTCATCCACCCCAGCAGCAATGGTAGCGAAGAAGAGACAACAACAAACAGACGTACCGTATATAAGAAACCCCGCTCCGCTGCTCCATTGTGAATAGGTAGTGCTAGAGTGGTATCTTCTTCTTGTTTGCCTTGCTCTGCTCTCTCCCTCTTGCGTTCTCCACCTCCTAGACCCTGCATGCAAGTATCATGCCATATATACGCCAGCTGCAGGCGTCTAATAATGTGCCGTGCCCTTGTGATATATTGCTTTCCTTTCGGACTACTCAGCAATATTACGGAACGTACAGGGAGGAAAGGAATCCGCTTTTCAGTGCACCAAGTCGTGTAGTTGATGTAGTCTCAATTCAGCTTTCCCTTTTCTCCCTCTTATTCTGCTTCTCTGTGTTCCAAAATAGTACACCAAAAGCCAGAGAGCCACCGGCCTCCTCCCTTGGAACGACAGCGCCTGCTAGGTTTGCTCGGGGTATATTGCCGAGCCAATGAGTCGGGCTCTACATAATGTTGTATTTCCAGTGGACATACTTGAAGAGCACATGAGAATTGGTAGTTAGTCTGCCAATGCTGTGGAACTTCACTTCGGCCCCATCTTGCTGCGGAGGGACATGTGTCCGATTGGTGGGTATAGCAGCGCATTTGCTGATCTATGTGTATAGCCGAATCAAACCCACGTATTCATGTCGCTAGAGCTGTCCCAAAGCCAAGTTAATAAACACCGCCAGTAGCGTGTGGACAAGAACCAACACAATCATGCGGACCTTGAGATCCCCGCCTATAGCCGCGGAGATGCGCAAAGTCCTGATTTTCCCAACAGCAAAACCATCGCAGGCTTGGACGAAACGGGCAGATTCTGCGGAGAAATCCCCGTGCTAAACTGGTGTCACTGCCCGCATTTTCTGCTGGACAATTCGTTTCGGTACTAATGTATACATATGACCCAATGACAGCTCCTTATAGCGTGCTCGCTTCCGGGCGATCCCTGCGGCCCCCAACATCCTTGCAGGTGGCTTGGCCCCAGCTTCCCCGACCCTGATTCATGTCAGCTTACTAGCCCAAGGGTCCATCCGTTCTGCAGCTTGTCGCTCGAGGATTTTCTCCGGCGGATGAACTCCATCTCCGAGTCACTTCTATCGTATCGCATCTTGAGACGGGGCTCTATCAGGTCGAGGCGCAAGGCACGGTTGTTCAGTTGGGTTGATAAGTCGCTGAGCTCACGATCCAGCTTGGATGTCACTAGCGTTACTCCTACCTGGCTTAGGGTAGGAAGGAAATACCGGCCATGCAATCAGCGTCCTAAACAAGACACTGAAACAGGCCCTCGCAGAGGTAAACGAATCTGGAAGCATTGAGCGCGCCCAAGCGCCAAGTCCATACGGCCGACAGGAAAACAGGCTTGCGATATGAAAGCTGAAAAGGCCCCCAACCTAACGCCGAGGGTGCAGTCTTGGCTCTTTGCATTGCGCACATCGAGTGGTGAGGTACGTTCTGGGCATGGCAAACAGTAAAGTCGGGAATATGAGACGTGGATGGTCAAATATCCGACAGAAGAGGTATATAAGGCCCTTGGACTCTCTACCGGAGGAAGTCACTCCAAGACAACGATCCGCATTTCACTCCAAAACCACAGTTGCCTCTCAGAATCAACTCCAAGACACCCATCAACATGCGTTTCCTCGCTGCCATTCTTCCCCTCGCCCTCATCGCGGGAGTGAATGCCATCAAGCGTAAGTGTCACGTCCTTCATACGTGCTTCGCCCCGAACCGCACCCAGTCATCTCATGACTCGCGCCACCATACGATGATATTAACATTCCATTCCCTATCAGCCGAGGCGATCCGCGAAACTGAAGAGGGCTTCGAGGTCCTCGCCGCCAAGTGCAGCGACGACTACTTCACCTGCATCACCAGCTGCCCGTTGCTCGCTCCCGGCCCATTCTGCGCGACGTGGCCGCTGAACTGTGCCATTATTTACTGTTAAGCCAAACCAGTCATGGACGCCGCTGGTATGTACATGTCCTGGATACGTGTATCTTGGCCTACTGTCCAGGTGGGCTAACTCATATACGGAGCCAGCTTTGCCACCAACCCGCGGCCAGCCAGAGCTTTCGTTGAAAAGCCGACGGTTTTGATCCATATCATGGATAAAAGGGAAGGCGATTAAAGCGGACCGGTGCTACAAAGGACCCTCACAAACTATCTCTGCCTATTCCTATTCCGATTCTAAGTTCTATCCTCACACTCGTTATTGTTTTTTCTCGTTTCTCTCAGCAGCCCGTCATGTAAATAGTTCGCAGCATCCGCATAGGATACGCCCTTTGCTATCCTCGAGGGCTCATCCTTTACCTGTCAATTAGCTATATGCGAGCAATAGACGGCTTCCCCACTGCATCGACAGTCAGTCCCTAATGTGTGGGGTCACTCTAGTGGATTTCGCAGTAGCACCATGGACTTGAGTACAATTTAAATTTCCAGGACCGGGAGAGCCCAGATACGAACTGTAGATCACATGATGGGATTATTGCCAATGGCTAGACGAGCGGAAGGACCCTGATATTGGCAATCCTCCACCCCAATGACTCTACCAAATGAGGATCTGCACCCCGATTCAATGTGTCTCCTGGGGCATGTAGTAGCTCAGCCGTTGGCGGACTGGCTCCTCAATTATTATGCGTACGAGCCCGTGAGAATAATGACTACTCGAGAGGGGCATTAGTTCAGATCAATCAATCCACTCTGGCATACCAACGACGAGCTTCGTATACCGTGGTCATGTTGCGAATCCAGTCCTGGGACGCGGGCCTGTGCCGAGTCGATACATGGTGCTCGGCCTGATTTTTCCTGGTAAATCTCTCTCGCCCACGCGCTTAGCCTGGCTACTCCTGACCCAAACCACGGAGAATCCTCGGGGTGGGCACTGGTTACGCCGCCGGCGCCGGCGCGCCCCCATCCAAGCCCCAACGCCGTGGCGTAATTGACACATGCACCGATGGACAGATGCGCCGCTGGATAAATCGCTCGCCCGACCTCGTACACCGCCAGCAGGATGTACGCCTGCAAGTCAGCGAGGGACAGAGTCGACGAAACATCACAGGCGTACACGAGCTGCTTGGCCGCGAGATAGGTCGGCGTAGTGCGGGGGTCGGGGCTTGCGGCCGGAGGAGCAGATGAGCAGTTTCATGGCGAGGCAGAGGAAGCCCGCGTCGATGCGCTGGATGCTGCTGCTGCTGCTGCTGCTCCCTGGGTCCGAGAAGAGACTAATGAAGGAGTAGTTATACGTTTAATTCTTGTTGAGCGTAAATTCTTGGCGCGAACAGTGATCAGCATTCGCTGGGTATCACCAGCTCGGATGTCAAGGTGGCTCCAACTACCATCGCCGTCGGCTGGGCCGACGCCCGCGGCACGGTGAGCTTTTCAATATGGGAGCGTCATGGTCGTCTATCACGACCGTGTTAAATACGTCCAGCTGGTAAACGTCAGGATACGACGACGGGAACATTCTGCTGCGCTCCCACAGTGTCGTCGCCGTCTCATGTTCTGTCTTCCAGGTTAAAGGATCAGGCACAATCCCCATTTTTCAAATTGTCCTCTTGCGGAGAGATTTAAGCTCGAGACCCTTAGAGACAAGGTCCCCATTGGGAGAGTGTTAATCACCCTCTGGATATGTCAGGAACCTCGCATGCATATATAAAGAGAGTATATCTTAATCTAATATCTAGATCTGCCTGAATGTTTTTTCTATTTAAACCCGCACCGGGACCTTCTTTGGTTAAGTTATAATATTACTATAATTCTATTCTTCTAAAGGAGCTGCAAGAATCCTATTAGAATTCCCTTAATTTACTCAGGAATCATCTTTTCGAAGATATAGTATAGGAAGGTTAGAACCTATCTTCTTTAATAGCCCTATCTATCTTGCCTGCTCTGTAGACTGGTGTATCCATAGCAGATAATTATAAAGATGATAACACGCTGATTAAAATAGCATCAAGGATTATGGGGAGTTGCTACTAGATACAAAGCCAAGTATTCTATGTTCCGTGAGCGCCGGAGGGTGGGCACATCGTATCAGCTTGAGTATATAGATCGTGATGGCAATTCTTACCTCGGTACATGTATTTCACCACACAATGACCATCATTTAAAGAGTCCATAGAGACAACACTTTGAGCAGTCCAGTTTTATGTTGCGGGCCTTCCAGGTTATTCCCACCAGCTGGCTCTTAGCAGCAAGCCCACGAAGCCGCCCCAACCTCGAATCCAAGCGTCTATTGTTATCTGTAGTTCGTGCTAACATTTTGATGCCTCACATGTGGCCTTTTGGTTTACTCCCTCAAATTCCTTCTTCCTTGAAAGTGCGTCCACAATCCAATAATGTCCTCCATCAAAGACCGGATGAAGATCGACACGTTACTCAATCCCAGTCATTGGTCTGCGTTATCATGTGGCCCACCTTGCCTCTTATCTCCTGCCTTTCTTGAATAGACCTAATCGCCTACCCAATCGCCTACCCGCGCCACTAGAACCAAATAGAGAACTATTTGAGACCTTAATACATCTTAGGATACATTCCCGTAGCACGCAGATAAGGCGGTCCACTTGCACGGTTCTGGGCAGGATACTTGGTCTAGAAAACCTTGTTCAGAGGTCTCCCACGCGACTCTTATTCCTCGCCCTGTGGCATCGACGGAAAGACTTGGATACGCGTGCCCCTTAAAAGGCTGCCGCGAAGAATTCTCTAGTAGCCGCGAACTTCAAACCCATTATTTAAAGGCCCACCTGGCTTCTATATTACAAGAGTAAATTCTATTCCGCCTCTGTTTCTGTACTGATCTAACGTCCGGTAGTGCTTGTCAAACTAAGTTCCAACTGCGGCATGGAAGGAAAAAGCACGCCTGCTGGCTTCACGCTATATGGCGACAAGAGCAAGTGATTTTGGGGGTCCGGCTTGCTTAGCAGTGCATTGACTTGCAAAGAACCAGCAGCCAATGCCTCAGAGAGTTGTATGCACGCACTTGTCTGGCCAGAATAAACATATGGGGTGCAGGCCCGATCACGAACCGTTTGGCAATGTGCGATCGGGCTAATATTGCCCGAGTTGGTCTTCGACGTTGAGAATACAGCTGATAAGTCCCTATTGTTTTTCTCGTTGCTTTTTAAGTGTCCTGTCTCGCTCACCTGTTTGCTGCGAGCGCCAAATACTACACTTCAGATCTTCGAGTCTCTCCAAAAGCCAAATTCCGGGGGTGGGTGAGTGGGGATGTGGGTATCTTTGACAGGCAACTTTAGCTCTGCCTGAATTTTCCAGTGATGGCGAACCACTGGCATTGACCGAGGCGGGGGTGTCTTAGCACAGGGGATGTGTTAGATATGTCAATGTGCGAGTGGCGCACCATTTAGGGGCTAGTCCTCTTTGAGAGCCAGATCGAACCTATCCCGTTAATGAAAACGGCCACGGCCGGCAGCCTGCTATGTAGGGTCATAGCATAAGGACGGGGACTAGTTCCTAACTTAAGTGTCCTTTGTTCAGCCAAGCTAGTTTAAGGCTCCACCTATAAACTATCCCCCACGGGCCCAGATCCTTCAGACCCGTTAGACTACTTACCTATTTCGAGATGCTGGTCTTCCTGTGTTCGTGGCTCTCATGTAACGAGGCTGCCGTCAAAGCTCATAGATAATCAACTAATTGGTACTACCAAGACCTTTTAGGAATCTGTGCGAAAGGCTCACCTTGCCTGAATTTTCCAGTGATGGCGAACCACTGGCATTGACCGAGGCGGGGGTGTCTTAGCACAGGGGATGTGTCAGATATGTCAATGTGCGAGTGGCGCACCATTTTGGGGCTAGTCCTCTTTTTGAGCTAGATCGAACCTATCCCGTTAATAAAAACAGCCACGGCTGGCAGCCTGCCATGCAGGGTCATAGCATAAGGACGGGGACTAGTTCCTAAATTAAGTGTCCTTTATTTAGCTAAGCTAGTTTAAGGCTCTAGCTATAAACTATCCCCCACGGGCCTAGATCCTTTAGACCCGTTAGACTACTTACCTATTTCGAGATGCTGGTCTTCCTGTGTTCGTGGCTCTCATGTGACGAGGCTGCCGTCAAAGCTCATAGATAATTAACTAATTAGTACTACCAAGACCTTTTAGGAATCTGTGCGAAAGGCTCACCTTGCCTGAATTTTTCAGATCCACGTTAACCAGCGCCCATACGCCTGTCTCGAGCCGGGATGTTTAAAGAGGTTCCACCAGCGCTCATTGCTAAGGATACCTTAGAGGATCCACACAGGCGAGAGACCTTATCTTTGCGAAGTTAACAGTTGTCAGAGATCCTTTAGCGACGTGAGTTATCAACTTGAAATATGTTCCCGGCTAATCCGCCTCGCATCCACAGCCTTGGAGCTATTCCCGACACCAGCGGTCACACAAGAACGACAAGCCATTCGTTTGTGGGATGTCACACTGCCGTCAGAAGTGGGCACATGTCTTCCTCTTCTAATAATAATCGCTAATCTTGATCATTGAGTCAGGTTCGCTCGCAAGGCTTCCTTAGAGCAACATCGACTGCAACATGAAGAGCAGGACATGGCATTTGAGCAGCAGCGTAGAGAAGCCTTGGCTCTTGATCTGCCTACATACAGCACTTGTATAGGTCTCACGGTACCCTAACAACGGCCTTACACACGATCCAGAATGCTGCTGCAATCATTTGGATGCGCTCTCTTGCAATAATATAGACACAATATTAGCACGCCTCACGCAAGCACCAAACCCAAACCTTAATCCTTGCCCCACGACACCCAATCAGAGCCAAAGTCAGATCCGCCACCGTGATCGACAGCAGGATGTCGGTCTGCCTGGTAGCCTCCAGCGAATCTCATATTCTCGCAGGCCTTGCCCAATAGAAACAAACCCTTTGATCCCGCCAAGCCTCGTGGGGTCACGGCGCTAGTGTTCTAGGCATCCAGACTTCAGCGGGCTTCAAACAGGTTTCGGACCGAAACACTTGTCACTGAGAAGCGGTTTCTTCGCCTCCCTGCTGTCGGGGCGATGGGGACAATGCACTTCCCGACGGCCCTTATTTCATTGACCAAGACCCGGCATTCTGTAAATATGTATCTGTCCATAAATTATATCCCACTTCCAAGTACGCCTGATACATGTACTGCGGATACTGGTGCTGTAACGAAGGGTAGATATCAGGCCATAAAAAGGTCTCGGTAACATTCGGTTGCTGCTCAGCAACAACAAAGACAGAGGTTGCGGAGGAGTCCAGCTCCCTTTGATCGAGCTGAGGGAGGGCAATAGGCTCTGTACAAGGCGAGGACGGGGCAACAACTTTGGGGCAATCAACGTGATGTGGGCGTGGATCATGCTTGTCCGGTTTTGGCAAAATCGGAATGGGCCTAGGAGCAATGTGGATGTGAGCTGGGCTCCGCGAGAGCATCTGATGAGGATGATCGACTTCTAACGTACCTTGCTTTGCATTTCACGTTCCCACATATACAAGACTGCGCCTTACGATGGATTCTCCGATGGCGGGCGAAACTGGATGACTAGTAGAGTGAACAGGAGTGTCAGATATTGAGGCCTTCTTTTTCTTCTTTTTCCAGTCGGAATGTGAAGGGTCAGTCGTACATCGGAGAAGGCTCGGTGGCAGCCAGAATGATCACAAACATAGGGCTTTTCTCCCGTGTGGATGCGCATATGGACCTTCAGGGCGCTCCGCTGGATAAAACGCTTCTCGCAATAGTTGCAGGGGTAAGGCCGCTCATTAGAGTGGATACGCCAGTGTCTGCAGAAGTCTGCTTTGCGCGTAAAGGACTTGAGGGCACTCAGTATGAACGCATGGAAATTGATGGCCAGATGATACGTTATTACCTTTCCACAATGCTCCCATGAACACACGAATCTGCGAGGAACGCCTGCGTTCATAGTTGCAAGGGTCGTATGGTGTGGGGGAAAAGGAGTCCAGAACTGAGGAACGCCAAAGCGTATTTACATAGGAGACGGAACAAGATGCTAGATTAGCGACATGGGGCTCGGAATTGTAGAGGGTGGTATAGGGGAGGATATTTGTGAGTTATAAGGCCGCCGGAGTGGTGAGTGGAGGAAAGAACACTTTACTTAGAAATGCAAACACTCGGGATTGCTAGAGGACGAAATGTGAAGTACCACGTATGCGAATTTGACAGGTTGTCATGACTGAAGAATGGGTTTGCTGCACAAAGTTCCCTTAGGCCCCGCTTCTCCGTTCTAGATTATGTCAAGGCTATGATGATGCATGGCAGGATTAAAGGAATAACACTAATAATCAGCTATGGCGCATGTAATTGGCGCTGGTGAGTGCTAGTAGGATAAGACCGCGTAAACCCTGCCTCAATATGGCATATGGATACCAACGGCCCTCATCGTAATAATGGACTAGTCTCCCGGACTATGATGCCAGACGCCGTCGACAGATCCAGCCTTGTAATGTGGCGGCTGATGAACCTCATAGCCTGCAGATCTTATCTACAGGGATCACACGCGTTCCTCCCGCAGACAGGCGTTTCGGTACTATTTTGGCCACGTTGCGGCAAATAGGTATGCGGGTTGGAATGGGTGGTGCAACGGAGCGCTGTCATCTTGTTGTACTGGGGACGTGATTGTGTAGGAGGCTCATCTCCCTTCGTGTCTGCCCCTCGTCTTAATTAATATAACCTTAATGTGGAATGATAGGATCTGGTTGGTGCGCGTAAGACGGCTAACGCTCCCGGCCACGAGTAATAGCACAATGTACTTTTGGACCCCCTCTAGATGACGCCATAAATTTTGACTTTAAGAGACATTCCACGCAATTATCACGATCGCTTTCTGGCATTTAACGGCGCTCTGGCCCTCGGGGATCACTTGGCCTGCTGTCAACCAACAAAAAGAAAGGTAGGGCGATCACCCATGCAAGGTCGGCTATGCACAGATCTTGTGGCTTCTCAATGATCCGCTACAATTTCCCTTTTAAGAAACACTTGCAGATGGAGCTGTCTAGAAGCGATCATCCCTCATCTTGTGAACAGGTGTTCGTGAGTCCCGTAAAGCTTGAGCCGATCCTTCAGCAGCGCCACGCCCGGAGGGGCCGCAACTCCCCCGGGGGCATATTGCAGAGCGCCTGCGGCAAGAGGATAACAGCCAACTCGGGGTTTTGCCTTTGGTCTAGTGGTCAATGCACATGTTATTATAGTTTCATCTCAGGACATCAGTACATATAGCTGGCCTTCGCCTGCTTTTGACATTCTGATGATGGAAAAAGAAGAAGAAACTTACACCCCGCCTCACCACGCTGTTCCCTAGCTAAACCGGCTATTATACCTTCTGGTGCCGAGGAAATGTACGCTTTATCCTGGCTGTTTGGCTTGCATAATGTATGAAACTGACGTTCAAGATGAGTCGTACAGGGAGCCCCACCTACAAGACGAAAGCAAAGCCCACTACTTGACCATCAAATTCCATCTTCATGAGGTAAGTGACGACCCTTTCCTGAGTAGAAGTAGATGTCTAACGACTCATGCTTTCAGCTCTTGATAACAAGCGACCGCCTCTGCTCGCTTGTCGGACAGCTAACATCGCCGGAACCATGTGCTATACGGCTACAAAAGCTCGGACCACTGCTTCCTGATTTGCTTGAGGAAGTCGCAAAGATCATTCAGCGGCAGACAGAGTTGACGGTTATTGTGCAGGACCTGTTACAACAGATGCCGAGTGGAGCTGAGAATAGTGGTGGTAGTGCGCCGTTAAATGTCTTCCTTAGCAAGTTATAGAGAATAGCTTTCTCTAATCTACAAAACTCCCTGTGTTATGTATATACATTTGTTGATGGTAAGCATCATCTGCCCCTGGGACAAAAATCCGTGTCAATAATCCAATCCCACCTCTCTATCCAGTCTAGATACATACCAAAGTAACACCTTATCACAACAAGCATACAAAGATTGGTGGAAGAAGCTTGTTTTGCTTGCGTTCAAAGTCAGTTCCCGCAGCTTTTTCTAAGCAATGGCTGGGATTTCCCTAACGCAGTCCACAAAGTAGCAAAACCACTACTTGTCTTCATGGCTGGCTGTTTGCCTTGATATAGATTGCGGCGTCGGCATTTCGCTGTTCAGCCCTCGATCTAAACTTAGGACGTCTTTCTGTTTCCCGATCTCCTAGCAAACGATTCTTCCTATTGGGCAAGCTCAGCCCTTGAGCCCGCAGAGCGGCAGTAGGCTCTTCCGCGGTGAGAGACTCTAGACCATTCCCAACCAGGCCAGAGGGAATAATCAAAGAAAGGGGACTGTTTTTCTTTGACTGCTTCCTTGCTACTACGCTTCGAAACAACAAAGCAGCAAAACAACACTAGTCTGAACAGAACAGAGAGCCGGGTGTTTCGTTGCCACAGGACGCACATTCCTTAGATAAAGCCAATATTTAAGGTAGCAGCGACAATTGAGGTCGATGACTCAACATGGATGGCTGAAAATGATGACCGCCCTTTTCGAAAATCTATGTTACAGTAAGAGTTCGCGGGATGTCTTTTTATTGTTGCTTGAGTTTTTTGAATTATGCAATAATAACGAGCGCGGAAATCATCTTACGTCAGTCATATAGCTACAATTTGACGACAAACAATTTGGGAGTGTCAACTTAAATACAATAGAGCACCTAGAAGACACCTAGACCAAGAGGTGATAATAACATATCATCCGTACTTAGCCGGTTCCTGTTGCGATAAGCCTCTAGCGTCAGATATTGACATAGCCGCCTCTTTTCTTCAGCGTCGCTAATGGTCACAGCTTTCTACTGCACCTCTTCTATTAATTCCCGCTGGCTAGACATGTTCAAGCCCAAATGCCAGTTGGGTAAGAGTTAAGGTTCTTTCTGTCCTACTGGGCAATGCATCATACATATACATCTATATTCTCTAGCAGGATAGGGTTTAACCTTGCGACACACTTCGTCTATAACTTAACTCCATCAGGTTCATCAGATGTGGTAAAGGCTCGACTTGCTTCGTTCCACCTTCACCCAACCCAACCGCGACTTGTGTAGAGAATGGAACATTAACCTATTTTATTACTAGCATACAAGCAGTGATGTGCTAAAAGTGGCGCATTTCACTCCTTTGCTAATAAGCTCGCCCAATCAGATGCTTAGATCTGTGTCATAATTACGATTTTATTTCCTATTACTCAGTGCCCATGCAATTAGACTCCGTCGTCGTGTCCCAACACAGCCATGACTCGCAAACGTCAATCCGAACAAGGAGAGAGTATGTCGCGTCGGAACCGGCCACTCTGCGGGCCGTGGCTGGCTGCCACAACCCTTGTCACTTGCACCTCCTTCAACCCCCTATGGCCCCCAAGTAATAAAGGCACTTGCCTTCCTCTTGGAGCCCAACTCATCTTCGCTATTTTACTAGCTAATCTCTCGTCTTTATCTATCACAAAGCGATCCCCTGGTTTGACGATGGATGATGATACTCCTACCCGCTCTGCTCACAAAAAGAGTCACCATGTATTTGGAGGTCTGGAAGATATCTTGAGAGGACGGAAAAAAAGAAAAAGGTACATCTCCAATCCCCTCAGATCCATAACAGCAGCACTATCATACAGGCACAATGATAAGTTTAAACTAAGAAAAGTTGCTGTTTGAGTAAAGCTTCCTTAGCTAGCATTTGCTTTTAACCTGAATTTTGACAAAGCGTCCCATTCGCGATTCTTTTGTCCTTTTCATCACTAGCTGTGATAAACACTGGCTTCCTACTAACGCGAAAAACCAGACTCTCTGTCCAAAAATGGGTGAAGACAGCCTGGATAAGTGGAATCCATGCAAAAACGAAAGCCGCTATGGGAATGCAGATATTCTCCAATAAGGACCAGAAATGCCACCATCTCCGAGGAGAAAAGCCTGTATCAGCCACCTGGGCTCGGATCATGTCCCTTTCACGCACATTCAGACATAAGGTATGCCACCGTTGATAAAGAGCCAGACATATTCCCATCAAAACAAATGTTAACAGACAAAGCATGTCTGTCAACTGTATTACCAAGCTCATAGTTGGGTGAAGTGAAGGGAAGTGGAGCCTATACCATGCAAAAAACAATCCTAGAATAGGCAGATGACATTGGCAGACAAGTCCAGCATATAGTCGTTGTAAAATGAGGAGACATCTTGGCTGGAGGAGAATGCAGCTGCAGTCAAGACGAAACCGCTTCACACATTCTCTCACAGCATAGCCTGCATCTAAAGCTCCCCACATATGTCTCAAGCCCTGCCTATAGCGGGCCCAGCAGATCATAACCGTACGTCGGCATCCTAGACCTGCGTCACTCGATATATTGCATTGGCTAGCAGGGATAGGGATCACATGGGACACCATATCCCCGTCAGTCCTGAAATAGCATTTGAGCATCATATGATAGTCATCCGCGATTCCAGTAGGGTCGGTGTCCCATCCGCCAACCCTTTCAAGTAAGGAAAGGGGCAAGGAAAAGACTGTGACCGGTACTGCAACGCTCGAGCTTGGATACATTGTAGACAGGGTCACAATGGACCACAACATGTCCGCACTCCTCACTATGAGTGGAGTTTGATGTAGGTTGCGGTCAAATATAACTGGAGAGATATACACCGTGTGATCTGCCTTTGTAATGTTTGCGTAATGGTGATCTTGGATTTCAGTGAAATAATCTTGCCACAAGTGTGTATCAGCTAGAAGGACGTCAGAGATTTTACTTAGGAAAATGGCTCTTTCCTCCAGAGGTTAGATGGAAGAACTATTGACTTGCTTACCATCTATAACTGTGACCACAATGTTGCATGGACCTACTCCAGGTTTGAGTTCAGATTCATGCATCCTAATCACGTGATGTGCGGCAAAGGTCAAATTATGGCATTTTCCGGCCAGCTCGCCAATTAGCCGTGTGGGATGGAATGTAGCTTGAATATCATGGAAAGATTCCCTGAATTCAGCTAGCAATGTCTCGCTCTTTTGAACTGCAACCCCCACTCCTTCTTTCAGTTCCATTGCGAGATAGATCTTATTCCATTAGCTGCAGTAGGGATGCTGAAAGAGATTCATACCTTATACTGTGAATACGCACGGGGGTGGCTTGCTAGAACGCTTAAAGTAGTTCGTAAAGTATCAATATTCTCATTAAAATTGGGAATAATGATAGCATGAATTATCCCTGCGTGTTTTATTTCCTGGAGTACCGGCTTCTGTTCATTTCTCTTTTTCAGAGGGTCGTTCAATGCCTTCGGTAGCTTTGAGAGCGTCCACGCTGAACAAACAAATGCCCAGACTATGTTGACATGGACAAAGAGGCTATGAATAATAAGCATCTTCTCTGGCATCCGAAAGCCCTTTGCAGTCGGATTATAAGACGCAACAAGGCCTAAGAGAACTATCAAAGCAATGGTACTAAGACCCGGCAAGCAACGAGTGATCCACTGCCAGATCATGTTGAACGGCGAAGAAGTTGGACTTTCAAACGTCCTTTATTGGTCTAATTCAGTCAAAAACAGGAAACGCAGCAAAGAATATATAGTTTTGCATGAAGGAGTCAACAGAATTAGCATTTGCCATATTGCGAAACAGCCATGCAGGTTTAGCTATTAATTGTCGGCGCTAAAGGGCTAATTAGATATCCCTTGCTTGAGCGTGCACAGCCTGTCATATTATCCAGCTACCCACCCTAGAGTCGATTGGTGGGTTTGTGCTCATTCTTCCCTGTCAAGCCCCTTACTTCTAGGTCGTGTCCTGATTGCTGCAGCGGATAGGCTAGGGGGATTCTTTAACCTATCCTACTGAGAAGATTTTATCCCTTGCTGTGTACTAGCATAAGACGCGGAACCGGACAGTAAAGGCTTAGCTATTGATGGATTTCTCTTTGTCTAGCAGTTGACCCTAGGTCCTTAGGAGCCCTGATTGCCCACCGGACCACCTATAAACTAGCGATGCTCGACAGCGATCATGTTCAGCTCTTGGACATCACAACGACTACTGAGCAGAGAGATGTTCCGACTGAAGCCAATAATACCTGCGCAAGTTTTGAGCGCGGTCTACGCTTCTGGCTCATTATCGCTACACTATGTTTAATGAGTATTCTTGGAGCACTTGAAAATACGGTCGTGACAACCTCCTTGCCCTACATAACCAAGAAGTTGGATCTTGGGGAGAACTATATATGGGTAGTCCATGTATTCTTTCTGACAAAGTGAGTGGCCCTTGGGCATCATCGCATTCTATCTCAATAAGGCGTTGTTAACGGCTGGGTTTCCATTAATAGTGCTGCCGTGCAGCCGTTCTTCGGCCAACTAGCCGACATATTTGGACGCCGATGGATTACTATCATTATAGTTTCGCTCTTCACTCTAGGTAGTGGTATCTGCGGCGGGGCTAACAATGGGACCATGTTGATTGCAGGGAGGGCCGTTCAGGGAATGGGCAGCGGAGGTATCGGCATGATAGTGGAAGTTATCATCTCAGATGTGGTGCCCCTGCGGCAGCGCGGAAGCTACATGTCATATATACTGGTGGTCAGTTTCATCGGAACGGTGCTAGGCCCTTGGATCGGCGGGACTATGGTTGATCATGCAAGTTGGAGGTGGGTAAGTTAAAATTACCGAACAGTGGTGCATTTTGACTTGATTCACAACCTTACTTATCCATCTACCAGATATTCTACATCAATCTTCCTGTTAGTTGTCCCCCCCACTGAAGGTCTCTTAGTATTAAACTTTCGCAGATTGGAGGAACATGTCTTCTCATGATCATACTGTTCCTCCAGGTCCGTTACAGAAACCAGGTGACCTTCTCTCAGAAAATCCGGCGAATCGACTTCATTGGCAATGTTATCCTGATATCTGCTACCACGTCGATTCTGTATGCACTCTCGTACGGTGGTGCCAGATATAAGTGGTCATCTTGGCGAATAATACTCCCCCTGGTTTTAGGTTTTGTCGGCTTCATCGTCTTCATGGTCTTTGAACGTTCTCCTTGTGGCCGAGATCCTGTGGTGCCCCCACGCCTATTCCGCAGTCGCACGTCTAAAGCAATTTTCGCAATCACTTTCTTAACCTCTGCCCTCCTGTTTTGGGTTATGTTCTTCCTCTCCGTGTACTACCAGGCGGTACTAGGGAGTTCTCCTGAGCGTTCTGGCTTGCAGCTAGCATTGATCATTGTCACAGGGGTTCCAGCAGCCCTCGTGGCTGTTTCTTTGCTCACCCGCTTTGGCCGGTACAAGGCCTTGCATATACTCGGTATTGGGGTCTGCATGATTGGTCTGGGCTTGTTTACCCTATTTGACGCAGAAACACCCACGGTGGAGTGGGTTATCTTCCCTATGATTGTTGGCGCTGGTGCTGGCCTCGTCTTTAACACTCTCCTCCCAGCCTGCCAGGCCGGAATCCCTGAGAGCGACCAGGCAGCCATGACCGCCACTTGGTCATTCTTGCGTGGTTTCGGCAGCATCTGGGGTGTGGGCATATCGACGGCCATATTCAACAGCCGATTCGGTAATTTAGCGGGCAGGATCCCGGATGTCCAAGTGCAGCAGCTATTGTCGCGGGGGCATGCCTATGAATATGCATCCGCAGAATTTTTGCATTCGTTCAACCCAGAGTTCCGGCAAATCATCGTGAGCGTCTATGCGGATAGCTTGAAACAAGTGTGGCAGATCGCAATTGGTTTCATGGGATTTGGATTCTTACTGGCGTTTTTAGAAAAGGAGATTCCTCTGCGAACGGATCTGGTGACTGAGTACGGGCTGGAGAGAACAAGCCAGGTAGTACAACTAGAGAGAGATAGAGGGGGGAGGGAGGAGAGTAGGGGCCATATTAGCATGGAGTCTTTTATTGAAGAATAAAGTGCTAGCCAGCAATTAAGGAGAGCTGCTAATCTTCTACACATTCCACCTCCATCGGGTGCAGTAACCCTTTTATCAACAGGGGGCCACAAGAAGCTTTCCTTAACAAAGGCGTCATTCATTATAGTAGCATCAATCCGGCTTTTCATAAAATTTAGTGCAGAATTTAGTTCTTTAGAAGACAGATGTCTCGCAATGTCAGGTCTTTGTCAAGCAAGGAGGAGACGAAGAGTAAAGAAGAAGAACAAAATCCTTTGAAAAACTTGCTACATATCATATATACTTTGATTGGCTTGTTCTTCGAGCCGTCAGCTAGTTAAACTCTATTGTGATCAACCTTCCATTGCTTAATATTATTGGCCACTCCTTGCATAGCGATTGAGAAAGGGGTGTCTGTCAAAATTCTTATCCACGAATTTGTATAAATTGGTGGCTTTTAGCCAGTGCACCTACTGCTGAATACTCTCATACCTGTGCCCGACTACTCACTCGCAGTACGACTCACCGCAGATTTTCTAAAATTCGAAGCGCGCTGCAAAAAAAAAAAAAAAGAAAAGAAAAGAAAAAGCGGACAAATACAGCTATATGCTGATAGCAAACAAGATGACTTCTACGAGAGAAATCGTACCCAGAAAAGAGAGGGTCTTGTTGCCCCGGGAGATTGAAGGGATGATCTCGGCAGGACAGGTTATTGTTATCATAGACAACAAGGTTCTCCGCCTCGACTCCTGGGTTCCGTATCACCCAGGAGGACTCAAACCGGTCCAGCATATGATTGGGAAAGACGCAACTGATGAATTCACGATGTTAGCTGAAATCATCCTTTCCCATTAAGTTGAAACCCTGACTGACCATTTTCACTAGATTCCACTCGGAAGAAACACGCCAATTGATCGACCGGTACCAAGTCGGCAGGATCAACGGGCGTTGGCGGAACATGCTGCCTCCAATTCAGGGTGGTAGCTGTCGGCCATACGCCGAAAAGTCTGCGGAAGCTCAGGATGCAACCGCCGTGGACTACTGGCCCAAGGCATTTCCCTCAAAAAAGTCAAAGTGCGTCGAAAACTTGGGCATCCAACAAAGGCTCGGCAGTTTCCATTACTTACCGCATGAACCTTCGAAGCCAGACAACCAGAAGCTGGCGTTTCTGGATGGTCTGTCTAGAAATGAAATCATGAATACTCTGAACAATTACCCAGCGCTAGATGAAGCAACACAGGTTAAAATAACTCAGAGATACCGCCGTCTTCATGATCAGATCCGGGCAGAAGGACTCTATAATTGCAACTATACGGCATACGCTTGGGAATTCGGACGCTGCTTGTTTCTTTTTGGAGCTATGCTGCTCTTCCTCCGCATCAGATGGTTCTGCGCCAGCGCCGTATTCCTGGGCTGTTTCTGGTCTCAGCTGGTCTTCTGCGCCCATGACGCTGCCCATTTGAGCATTACTCATAATTTCACTATCGATAGCCTTATTGGCATGATTATTGCTGGCCCCATGGGGGGGCTTTCTTTAGGCTGGTGGAAACGGAACCATAATGTGCACCATATTGTCACCAATGCGCCGGAGCATGATCCTGACAACCAACATCTTCCACTTTTGGCAGTAAGCCACAGGTTTCTGGAGGGCATATTTTCCACCTACTACGAGCGCCGCATACGTTATGGCAGAGCCGCCAGTATGCTTGTGCCATTTCAGGCATATTCATATTATTTTATCCTCATGTTTGGCCGCTTCAATCTGTACATCCAATCCTGGACATTCCTTGCGGGGGGCCATGGCCCGAAAAAGGGATCGGCATGGTGGCATCGGTGGTTTGAGATCGCTGGAAATGTTCTCTTTTGGCTCTGGTTTGGATATGGTGTTGTCTACAAATCCATTCCCACCGGTTGGAGTCGGTTTTCCTTTATTATGATCAGCCACATGGTTACATTGCCACTTCATGTGCTGTTCACTTTGTCACACTTTGCCATGTCTACCGCCGATTTGGGGCCTAACGAGTCCTTCGCTCAGAAAATGCTACGGACAACTATGGATGTTGATTGTCCTGAATGGCTAGATTTTGCCTATGGCGGCCTCCAATTCCAGATAGTACATCATTTATTCCCTAGGGTGCCGCGACATAACCTAAGGCATACGCAAAAACTGGTACAGCAGTTCTGCACGGAAACTAACATTCCCTACACCCTATACGGGTTTGTTGGCAGCAATAAAAAGGTGGTGAGTAGCTTAACTGAAGTCAGTCGGCAGGCTACCACCCTAGCCAAATGCCAGCAGGCTATTGCGCAGCGGGCAGCGGACTACCTGAAAGCAGAGCACGAAAGGGAGGGACTGACCAAAGATTATAATCTAACCTGTGATTGAATCATGATGAGCTTCGATGGAAGGAGGTTCTTGGGCCCGGGATGAGACTGCCCATGGGCGGCGGTTTAAATCACAATTGGGTCACTAGTCAAGCCGTGGACAAAACATATGTGGATGGTAGGGTCCAGATAGTCATGCAAAACTTGGACGCCGTCCGGGAACAGATAATCTTCAGCCACCAACTACAGTGATTTTGCCTAACTAGTAATGTCATTGTTAGAAAGGACCTGCCTTTTTCTCTTTTACAGTATTATTCAATGAGAAAAGCTCTCGCCTTTCCATACTAGCTCCCCCTGCTATGGAGACATACTTGCCCAATCAAAGTTCAGAATAAGGCGTTATGCGTATTGTAACCAATTATGGGCATTTTAATCAGTCTTCTTCCACCCATGCAGGACATTATCTACCAGCCCCTTTCTTACTCTTCAACTTATTTACAAAATGGCATTCCGCTCCAGCCCTCCTATCTCTTATCGTTTCAGGGCCACTTTTTTGAGGGGGCGTGATCTACGTACACTGGATAATATACGCCGCGGAGGAACTCCGGACTTAGTAATCACCTTATCGCCACCAAGCAACACGACGACGCGGGGAAGAAAGAGGGGTCCATCCCTTCCGTCAACAACCCTGCTCGCAAAGCAATGGACAATCATGGACTTCCCCCGGCTCTGCCTCCTAGGAAGCCACCAAAGCTGCCTGTCCGTATATCACGAGCCCGCGATGATGATCTCAAGAGATTAATCGCTCGGTTTAACAAGGTGTGTCCCCCTACCTCGATCCAAGGCGCCAGTGTAACCTAACCTGTGATTCCAGCAAGTCTCGCACGTCCAAGTCGCTCCCGAACCAGAGGGAGAGCCGCAGCAGCAAGAGTGTGGGCTCGACCTCACTCGCGCCGCCGATGCGCAATTCCCGCCCGAGAGGCTGCAGCCGACGATAGAGCGTTTCTACACCTCCGTGATTGCTCCCGTCGGCGACCTTTTCAGTCATGTCAATAGGCTGAGGTCATGGGATGATCCGCAGCGAACGGGAGCTTTTTGCACTGTATGTGAATACGGACTTCCTCAATCCTTGTGGTGATTTTGTTGTATGAGCTGACGGTGTTCAGGTTTATGCGATTGCATGGCTGCAGGATAGGCTTATACTGGTGGTTACTATCGCGTTACTGGCTATGCTCTTCTATCCGGATACTAGAGTGCTTCTATTCCCGCCCGAGTGCAAGGCTCAAACTTCACCGGGGGTGACAGGTGATATTGCGCCCGAGGGAACGGACGGCGGACAAGCTGAATACGAGGGCACTCCTGTCGTCGCAACAGATGTTGACGATGCGTCAATAGAGCCGTCGCAACTAGATGGGCTCGAACCGGAGACGCTACCCTCTGTTATTAAGGACGAAGACGGGAAACCCAAGAAGAAAGTCCATCCGGCTCTCAACAAGACAATGCGTACGCTCAGCGATATCACAGACATATGCGAGCGAGTCTCCAAGTACGCCTGTCCCTCTAACAGTATAACCATGAAACTAACCGATACAGCCTTCTCTCTCCCACCCCGCCATTCGACCCCGTCATCCCCCGACTCCGTCTCGCGGCGATCCTGCTATCAACCTGCCTCATCTCCTCATTCTGCTCGAGCTACATGCTCGTCAAAACGGTTGAACTACTCCTCGGTCTTGGGCTCTTTGGGGAACCTCTTTTCGTTAGGGGAATGGAGTATCTCCATTTCAATGTGCCGGAGTGGAAAGATTATCTGGATATCGACAGGTTCGTTTTTGCCATCTACTTTTCCATGTCCGGTTCGAGTCCACTGATTTGCGCACTTGCTAATACACGAAACATCAGGACCCTTCTCCAAGGCGTGCCCACAAACGCGCAACTAGCCCTCACCCTCCTCCGCCTCGCCGAGAGCACCTCGAACCCCATCTATTTCCAGCAACAAACGAAGCACGACCAATCCCTCGTCCGCCACGAAGACGTATCACTATCATCCGCCCTATGGCAAGCTCTCCGTCCCAAACCAGTACCCATCGTGACCCCCGACTCCCCAGGCCAAGAAGTCCTTCTCTCCGACGCAGAACCCCCTCAGCCACCAAAAACACAAAAACTCCACCGCTTCCTCCGCTTCGCGCGCCGCGCGATCAAAACCGCCGTCCGGGGCCACATTGCTCTCGATCGCGCGCTCGCCACGACGGCATCGACGTATGCGCGGCGCGGGCTGCAGGGAGTCTTGGATGCGCATGATGGACGGATTGGGGGGATGCAGACGAGCCGGCTGCTGGAATTACTCATCCCGTCGACGAGTGTGTCGGGGGCGGCGTTTGCGGCTGGGAGGCGGAATGCGAATGTGGTTTTTGAGGCCAAGTTTGAGAAGAAGCGCGGGTGTGTTGTTCTCGATATGGATGCTGATGTTGATTCCATCGCGGACGAAACTCAAACCCAAACACAGCCACAGCCCCCGAGACAGGCCGTGCTCTTCTTCACGACGACAAAAGCCACAAAACTGCACGATACCCGCCTGAGCAGGCAAAAGGCCAGCAGCGTCAAATTCAGCATTCCGCTCGGCGATGTCACGGAACTCCAGAAGACTGCGGGCCTCGGGTGGAAGGGGAAGTTGATTGTTGAGCTTGCGGTTGGAAGTGAGGAGCTTGATTCAGGATCTGCGGATGGCTTGGTTATTAGGGGATTGAAGGGGGGCGAAGGGGATAGTGGGGGTATTGGTGAGGGCGAGAGCGAGGGTAACGGTGATGGTGATGGTGACCGGGAGAGGTTCGAGTATCATCTCACTGGGGTCATGGGGAGGGATGCGTTGTTTAATCGGTTGGTTGCGGGTGACGAGCAGGTTTGGGAGCTTTGGTAATCTTATTTGTACAGTAGGAGGTACCGAGATAGTCTATCATAGCAAATCATATCAAGGACTGCGCAACAACGCGTCAAGCAAGATGCGTACATCTCAAACACGCTGCAAAGGCCAAGTAATAATACAGTGTGTAAAAGCAAGAATTACAATCATGTAGCGTTTTCTTTTTCAAAGGAATATCATCAATAAATCATGACTGACATTGCTCAAGCAGAGATCGTATATCCTGCCGCTTGATCGGTTTCGTCAAAAAGGTATCAATTCCAGATGCAAACGCCTCCTTTTGCGCAGCTTCACTGTCCAGTCCGGTCAGGGCCGTGATCTTGGTTGGGAACCAGCGTGGCTTCGAAGAAGGATGCTCGTCAAAGTATCTCCGCTCCTCTTGGCGGATTGTTCGACTGGCTTCGAAGCCGTTCATGATGGGCATGGAAATGTCTGGCTTGTTAGCTAAAGTGAAGGACGACGAGGGGGGAATACGGGCATACCGATAAGGACCAGGATGAACTTTCCGGGATTCTCACGGAACCTCTCAACGGCTTCCAGTCCATTCCTTGCTGTCTCGCAATCCCAGCCTTCCTTTGTCACATACGCGACGAGGATCTTCAAGTTCACCGGATTGTCTTCCACCAGTAACGCGCAAGGCGTGGTCGGTTCCGGAGGAACTTCACTCTCCGGCGTTGCGTGGCTTTCGCGGCGTGAGTTGCTAGCTGAGCCGTCAAGTTCCTGGCTATCCTGGCTATCCAACTTATCCAACGTAGGCCGCTTGCTGATCTTCATCCTGTCGGCCGGCGCGTCTCTAGTGTCGATATCAAGAGGAAGATGTGACGACTCCGGTATTTCAACCCATCGAGTTTCCTCCTCTCCGTGAGTGCCCTCGCCATGTTGCTGCCTGATGCACAGCTCCAGCGTCTTTGCTAGTTTCCGCGGCCCACAAGGTTGGCTGATGAATTCGACAATCGATGTACGCTCGTGCTTCTTTGTCATGCTCTGCGCGAACATCTTGTGTGCGGCTTCCGGTGATTGGCAAATGACGATGAGTGGAGAGAGCCCGTCCAGCTGATCGACGTTGAATTGCTGGTTGCCTCGCGCATCCGGTCCATCAAGGTCGGTGTGAACCATCAAGTAGAAATCGCACGGATCATGGTCGCCATGGAGAGACACGGACTTGACCGTAAAGTGAAACCAGTCCTCACACACCCGCTTGAGCGATTCGAACAGTGTGACATCGCGTTCCGACTCGAGCGATGAGCCAAAGCCCAACAGGCCAATGGTTTTTCCGTACGCTTCCTTCCGTATCATACCATACGCCGCATTCGAAGACGACCCATCGGAGCCATCTGGCAGGGAAGCGAGCCTGACGGGGACCTCGATAGATATCTCGGTGCCTTTGTCCTTTTCAGAGCTGACCTCGATAGATCCCTTGAGTGAGCGAAGCGCTTTCTGCACAATGCTCAAGCCAAGTCCACTACCGGGAGCCAGCGTATCCTCTTGCGAGAAGGCTGTAAAGAGCCTATTTCTTAGGAACTTTGTACCAATGCCCTGCCCGGTGTCCTTGACAGTTAGAGTGACGACCCACTGGTCATTAGGCTCAGGAGACTCGTTGGAGTCATTACTTTCCCGATGAGGGGACTCGGTCGCCGCTAGCCGCAAGTAAATATAACCTTGAGCGGTGTACTTGAGCGCATTGCTGAAAATGTTCATCAAGATACGACGCCAGCACCCAACTTGGGTGAAAAATTTCCATTCCGGAGCTTCTTGGATGTCAAAGATGATGGTCACCTCCTTTGGCCGATGGACAGCGTGGGGGGTGTTGGCAGTGCTAGAATTTCGATGCTGAGCACGAGGGTGATGGTAGAAACTGTGGCCAGCAAAGACGCTTTCCACGACCTCCTCAAGCACAGAGTCTAACTGTACGTCCTCGAAGATGTTCTCACTGCTGCTCGGGGGGCTTCGCTCGAGCTTTGATCCGCCGTGAGAATCTCCATCGCCAGTGCTTCGCCGGTGCCGCTTCTTCAACTTAGGATCTTGCTTGAACTTGTCGATATAGGTAAAGTCTAGCAGATGGTTGATTGTATCGAGCAATGTGCGACCACAAGACTCGATCGTATGGACCATCCCTTGTTGCAGCGCGTTCATGGCCGTGTCGCTCAAGATGTCGGCCGTTCCAAGAATACCATGTAGGGGACTGCGCAGCTCGTGAGAAATACTGGTGACGAGGTCCGTCTTGGCCTTTTCGGCCATCTCCACGTCAAGTCGATGTACCTCGGCCATGACGCTATTGCCAAACGCGCGAAGATAGGCGAGCTCGTCCTCTGCGCTAAAGACACGCTTGGGCGTATTCGTCCAGACAAGCAGACCAGACAGCCATCTCGAGTTGTGCGAGTCCCAAAGAGGAAGGAAGATGATACTGCGGGCACCACCGAGCGCTTTGTTGAGATCGCGGGCATCCTGTCGGTGTTTCCGCCTTTGCCTTCTCCCGCTACCCTCCGTCCCCTGTGTGCTCTGAGTGCCCTGTGTTCCCGCGCTGGCGCTACTGTCGTCGGATAACGAGCCGTCCTGGTTGTAGTTGAAGATCTTGCCGTGGGGATACCGATTCATTATTGCTTTGAGCACATCCTCTCGAACAGCATAGGCATTGGGGGCCACGCGTTGAGCGTGGTCCTTGCGATTGTTGATTGTCGAAGACTGTGTCGTGGATGAGCCTAGGATTCGGCAGGTGGTGATGGTTATGCCTTCGTTGGGGTCTGGAGGGGAAGGCGCGGGGGTCGATGAGCTGTCGCCGCTTCCCGAGTCGGTGCTGTCCTCGCTGCTCGACCTCGTTCTCTCCGCCGTGGGTTCGTACCCTACGAGGCCGCCAAACGACTCGATCCGTGCGTCCAGAAAAACGACTCCCTCCACTTCTATAGACTCACGGATCAAGTTTGCCGCTCGAGAGAAGATTCGCTGGAAGGATGCTGGCGTGCTATCCTCGGCCAAGTTATCTCCAGAGTCAGACGCTCGAAACGTTGCCTTGTGAGTTCGGTTGGTCTTCTCGTGTCCATGGCTTTCTGGATCCCTTTTCTTCTTCGCTGGGCGATAGGGAAGCGGCCGCGAGTGCTTTTCTGTTTCTTGAAGCTGTTGTTGCTCCTTGTTCAACTGCCCCTCGACCATCTCACCCGTTCGTCCGGTCGCAGCCTCCTGGTCCTGTGATTCGAGCCATGAATCACGGAGCGTGGTCTTGCCTTCCACAAAGCTTCCTAGCCCGTAGATCATTCGCTGGGCCTGTCTGTTCTGGTGTTGTGACTGCAGGGTGTCCAAGTGTTCCATGACCGTCGCCGCCATCCGCTTCATGTATTCGATCGACGAGTCGTCAATCCCTGAAGGGCGAGGCTGCGCATCAAAGATGCCAAACGATCCTATGGTGCTTCCGCGAGGAGTCGTTATGGGCACCACAGCGCAGAACTGGGCATTGAGAAGCCTGTTGACGAGACTGTGCTGCTTTATGTACCGACTGTCTTTGGCATCCGAGATAACAAGGGCGCCGTTAACGATGGCCGGGTCGTCCGAAGGCTCGGAAAGCGGCAGTTCTGCCACCTCGATGCAGACACCACTGCCTATCGGCAACACACAGCATCCTAGGCGGATTTCGTCGCCGGTGGGCGATCCCGTGGCTTCGGCGAGGATATATTGATGGGTAGGTCCAAAAAGTGAAATGATGGCCCTCTCAGCGCCGAGCCTCATGGCACCGAGCTGGGCCAGCGATGTCAGGACATTGTCGGTCGATGGGGTGGGGATGAAGGAGTTGCGGCTCGAGTCGTCAAAGGGAGCAAAGGGGAAGGAGGCGTGGCCGCGTGGGAGATATCTTGGGGTGAGTCAGCAACGTCCTTAGAGCGGCACTGCACTGACCACGCACCTGTAGAATTCTCGCTCCTTGGTCACATCAAAACATGCGAGTTCGGTTGGTTGGTCGTCTGAAATCATGCTATCGTATACAATCGTGTCTGAGGATCATCGTCAGGTATGGCGCCGCCGTCTGGGCGCGAGGTGGACAGTGCGAGTACTTAAAAGAAGAACAACGCGGTGGGCCGATGATATCATCGTGCAGTTGTGCGGCTACGTCATCAGCGTTCCTGGCGCTCCACATTTTGCAGGCACACAGTCGGCTTGTTTCCGTGTGATGAACAGCTCCAGTTAGCGCGCCGCTGACATACTGCAGTCTGGATGCTTCGATTAGCGAGTGAAAGAAATAGATGCATCAGGTGATAGTCCCGAAACTACACCACCATCTGATCCAGCATCTCCTCCATCCTCCGCCACGCATCGCGATGCAGCCTCCCGCGGATACACCTCTCACCAGGATCCGCCTTCCACATGATGGAGCAGTCATCTATCGCCACTCCAAATTTCTTGATAAAGTCCCACATATCCAGCTCCCCGTTGGAAAAGCTCGGTTTCGTCCCCTTGATATCCAGCTCGAAGAACGGAAGATGTGTCCATGAGGTCACAACGCTCTGCGGCGCTCGCCGCCCGTACCACTGTGGCATCATCGGCCGAGTGGTGGGTTTCGAATAGTACCCCAACAGCTGCGGGAGCATATCTGGGCGACGGGCTTCGACGATCGCCCGTCGGACTTCGGCTGCCATGTCGGGTAGGGATGCAGGGGTGTCTTTGGGCTGTGCCTCCGCGGATGCCATGTCGATAGGGATGAGGAAGCACGAGTTGTGCATGGGCATATCGTTTTCGAGGTATGCCGAGGATGAGAGAAAAGTCCTGCACGGCGGTGGGCTGATAAGTGGCCTAAATTCAGACGTGTTAGTACCGCATTTGCACTAATGGACGCAGCCGTCAGAGCATTGGGAAACTGACCTGGTAGATAAACTCACTGAGCAAATCATGCTCCGTCACATGGATTCCGCGTTCCTGCGCATTCTCCCGCCAGGCCTGCATCTTCTCGCTCAAGAGATGGACAGTCTGATCGACGCGCCCGTGAGAGGGGTAGAATATATCGCGCAAAGACTGCTTTCCGCCTTTGCCGTTCATCGATCGGAGCTCCAGCGGAACATGGGGCGGAGTCGATCAAGGACAGATGGTCCTGATGGAGACTGGGGTTGGTTGTCTTGCGTGGTCTGGGTGAACAAGTCTTTGAGTTTGAGAGATGGTCGGTGGAAGGCGAGGTCTGGGGGTTTCACTTTCGTTGAGAATGGCGCAGTAGACTTGCTGACGGCGTACGATCCTACACATTCCGATTAGCAACCTCGCTCCAAGAAGAGACGCTGGATTCATCATACCAGAAGCATGACAAAGCGGATGCTGTGTGATAAACTGAACAACAGTCACGTCCTTCAGAAACACAGCGCGGATGAGAATTACAGGCTGGAACAGCGACTGCCACAGTTCTTTTTCAATGGCGAAGAGCTCACCGAGCGATTTCATGTTGCCGTCTGTCCTTATCGATGATGAAAGGTCGACAAAGTCCGAGAGAGCGAAGGAGGGAGTTAATTCATGCACCAGAGCATTGGGGCAAGGGCATAGGTAGGGCAGAAAGGAGTGTACAAAGAAATTAACTCGCGATCCAGGAAGGGGGTATTTCTTGAGGAGAGTTTAAGCAGCGGCTCGCAGATCTTCCTCGGCATACACCTCCTGGTCTACCATCGTGAAGCTGAACTCAAGGAACCGGCCGATGCCGAGGTCAAGTGGTGTGAGCTTCGTACTGTGTGTGCACTATGTGTGTCTCGCCGCAGTGCCTCCGAAAATGACATGGCCATCGCACGAGGGATTGCTCATCTTTTATCCTTCGCTCCTGATGAGCGCAAAACAACAGAAGCAAATCTATAGATCCGCATCGCCACGCAGCTGAAGAGCTAGCAGACCCCATACGGACAAAACTTGCGCTTGCCTATTGGTATCATTCTCAAGTCCACTTCTAACAATCCACTAATATCATACACTGAGGCGGGGCCATGGCATTTGGCGCATTTTGACATTAACCTCGCCGGAAGATCATTGGTCGATTCGCAGCCCCTTTTGCTGCCTGGCTTCGCATGGGAGACAGGGGTCAGGGCATTTTCTTCAATCTAACGTTGGGACATCGCAAGCTCAGGCTCAGCTGCATGCCATTTGCGATGGCGGACAATGGGGAAGTTACCCAGACCTCTTTGGGCATGATGGGCCACCCATGATTGGCTTTTCTGCCGGAGTGCCCACAGTGAGGCCGCCAGCCGGGCCGGATCGAGAGAACCCTCTGTTAGACATCTGCCATGTTATTCTTGACGGTGTCGCATTAGCCTTTAGGGCTCGATTCTAACCAGCGTCGTCTCCGAGAAACTTCGCGAGCGGCATTTGCCAGGCGTTTTGTAGACTAGGGTACCTGGGCCATGATCTGTGAGCGTGTTAGCTGAGTACTATACTAATCTGAAAGTCTTCCTGGCCAAGGGGTGCTCCTACAAGCAATCTGGATCGTAGGTTAGAAAGCCAAGTGCATCTACTCCAGATTCTTAACATTGCCCAGATCAAGACTCGCATCAAAGCGGTTGATTTGGTAAACGTCGCGTGGTTGGTACACGAATATATATCCCACGTCCTGGAAATCACTGGATTTTCTTATCTTGGTTCACGAAATTAGTAGTAAAAGAAAATGGACAAGTAGTCTATTTACAAGTCTATAGTAGCGATATGACATTCATAAAAACAAAACGCCTCTAGGACTCCTTGCTGAAGACAATGTATACTACTGATTCAGAATTATGGCTGCTATGAGCGCCGCCCCAACCCCCGATCCATCCTCGGCGGAAACCAGTTTGACCCGCTCCTCACCCACGGGCCAGTCCAGAATCTCAGCGAGAGCAGCAACCGCTCTCTCCCGGAACTGCGAGTACTTTTCAAATGCAGACCCGTCGACACCCACCGCGCACTCCAAAACGCCCTGCTTCTTGTACAACGCTGCGATACCACAGGCATACAGCCGAGCTGCCCGCGCACACACAACCTCCGCAAGGATACAGCACACGCGGAGTTCCTCATCTGTTGCATCGATCCCATATGCATCCTGCAGGATCCTCTTCGCTTCGCCCATCCGCACCGCCTCAGACCCATCAGCCTCCATCTTTGAAAGCGAGACTGCGTCCATCGTCCCGCTTTCACGAAGCCGCGACACATGGGCATCTGGGAAGAGTCCCACAGACTCATGCAGATGGAGCAGGATCAGCCGTAGCAGTTCACCCAGATACATTGCCGCAACCATCTTCTCGTACGTCTGCTGACCGGGTCTCGCAGATGTCGCGTCGATATCCTCGTCGAACTTGGTTCGGGGTAGGACGCGCCGACCGTTATCAAAGGCACCATACTCGCAGTTAATCGCGACGATGGAGTCCTCATCAAACTGCATCTGGTCGCCCGAAGAAGAAGAAATCTTCGGGATCCGAGCGCACCGCTCCATGTACGCCGCATTGCACCCCGTCCCGAAGATACTTCCCACGCGAATATCAGGATTCTTGTACGCCGACGCAATCAGTGTCCCGACCGTATCGTTGACCAGCGCGACGATGCGCACGGGAAGATTTCTCCGTTGTAGAACACTCTCGAATTGAGCGACGACATCCTCCCCCTCTACACCACTGATATCGAACCCCTTTGTCCACCGCTGCAGCACGCCGTGCCGGATATGATCCTGTGTAACGGGGTACGAGAAGGTGAACGCCAGCGGCAATTTCCCCTCCTCCTCTTCCCTTTCCCCTTCTCCCTCCTTGTTCGCCGGGAGTAGATCATGCTCCGTCAGGAAAGCTTGCAGTTTATCCGCAATAAGTTCCCAGAGCTCATCCCCCGTCCCGCGTTTCAATGCCGCGGGGAGAATATATTTATCCTGCGTGATACGGTACCCGCCCTTTTGGTCTGTTAATTCCACGCTGCAGATGCGGAGGTTCGTGCCGCCCATGTCGATTGTAATGTAGCGGCCTGTTTCGTAACCGCTTGGGAACGAGGGGACCCATGTTATGTTCATTGGCTGTGACCGGGGGTTGTTAGTTTGATGTCCGTGTAGCGGTTGGATGAGAGGACTAGGTAAGGAGGTGTGTATACGTACAATCTCGGCATCGTGTCGTGTGAGGCCTTCTTCCAGTTGGTGGACGAAATGCTCTGTGATGCGCTTCAGTGATGGTGTGTCGACTGCGAAGAGCTGTTTTATCTTGGTGATTTCGCTTCGGATCGGACCCGAGATTGCTGCAATGTACAATAAGTATACTCGTATTGCCGCTTCTGCAACACAGCAAGAAAAATTTTACCTTGTTCGTTTATAATGGTCATTTCCTTTCGCCTTTTATTCCAATGCACTATGCCTTGGCTGATGGGAAGTGGTGGTTGTCCGATAACTTGAGACCTGGTACTTGGAAGTAGATATACTCGTCAGACTCCAACGACTTGCACGGCCGCTGGAGGGACCGTTGAGCTCAACGCCACCTTGGCATAACACTCCATAGAGACCTGCTCACTTTTGTGTCATGTCCACCCGATCAGGAAAACCAAACTGGACCCTGATAGTGACACAATGACGTCATGCGTGGCTTTCTCGACTGAGCCCGGAAACCCGATCCCACCACCCTGATTCGCGGGTCCGGTCGCCGTCGCCAGAATCCGGTGGAATCTCGTCTGAATCATTCAAGGTCGACCACGGCCTGGAACCAGGTTTCTGGACTTGCGTCTGGGCTCTGGAATCTGGAATCTTCTCTCAGCCCTGCTCCTGCGATGGGCATCGGTCCGGAGCGGGATACTCCGTACGACATATTCGACATGACGGTTGAAGTCCTTATCAGCCACAAGTATTCCTGCCGTCCATTCACGCAAGAATGACCTCAATCGTGTGCCGATTCGACCTTCCTGTTATCTTCGATGCGGCATGGTTGGACCAAGGATAGGTCAAGACAGTGGCGAGGATAGGGGAGAGACAAGAGACCACATGCTGCCTGGGAGCATGGACTAGACCCTCTCTACTGGGTGATGCTGCAACCCTGAACCGAACACCACGTCAGTCATCCGGCTCATAGTGCCCACCTCTCCTGTTGCCGGTTGATCGTGGATACTCGCGATTTGCTAGCCCGGGACCTGCGCTCCGGTTTCAACTTCCCCCGAGACTGGATCTAGACGGCCCGGGCCGGTCTTTAGATACCAAGGCACTACTATAGACAAAACCACCCGAAACGTGCGAATATACGCATTAAAGGCAGGATTTGTGTCCTTTCCTCGTATTTCTATATCTGATTGGAGGCAGCGCGTTTTGCGCAGATAACAAGATCCAAGTGGACATGTTGCCAGCGTGTTTTCTCAAGAGGAGGCCCCTCCGTAGCGCTGCCTGCAGGGCTAATGCTAATTCCTTATCTAGTAAGTCATCGTACTGTATCCCTTAATATTACATATGCATCGCTATAACACTAGATCTGGCTTTTTCATGGCGTTCAGATCGGGCCTTGCGGCCGGTAAAGCTGCTTACAGTCTCGCGCGCGAACATTTATCACTCTGTGTCAAATAGTCCACTTCCGCGCGAGGTCCGCCTTTGCTGTATATAGATAACAGAGATACATCAAGGTCAAAAGTGACCAAGGGGGACTCTGAACCCCTAAGTAAACTAGAGCATTGGAAGTTTAGAATTCGCGACGCGTCCATAGGCGCAGGTATTAAGCCTTGAATCTAACATTGGGTGAACTTCCCACGGCCTTGGGGGCTATCTTGGTGTAGACGGTACCTTGCAGATCTAGAAGCGAACCAAAACGTCGTATAGGGGGAGAAAGGGCTATAGGCGATAAGTGTATGCATGTCCTGTAACCTCTGTGTCCTCTTTTTGGGTAGCACCATATGTGTCCCTTGGTATAGTCCATGCCATTCATTCTTTATTCGTTGGCAGACTTACGCCCACTCCTCCTGATCAAGAAACTCCTCCGGCCTCAGCTGTATAGTGTTGGTGATGACTACCACATGATTACATCGTGTAGCACTAGAACTCAAGAACCTCGACGGCTTCTGGAAGATTACATGGTGATACTGCTCTCGGATGCGTTGCCCGTAGTTTTCGCCCGCACACTCGCTGTCCTGAAATGTTTCTCAAGGATAAGAGGCCGCATAGTACTTAAGTACGCCGTTGGTTGTCTGAGCGCCTGGCGAGAGGTTCAGCGAGATTATCTAGGGATAGCCCAGTCCTACCACGGAACTGTTTCCCGAGAGTAACGGACTGCAATTACTCTACGCTTTCTTGAAGATTACTTCAGAGCGCGTCTGGTTTCCGTCCGGAATTCGGTGAAGAGAGTACGCCGGACTTTCCGAGGAGTTTCCGGATGCACTAAGAACGGGGCCAAGGGAAGTGGGCTGCGGAGTCCTCCGTCTACAACCAAATTCGTTCATCATGGACCACGCCTATAGGGGTGTCGTCAAAGTAGGGTGCTGACGGACAGGCAGGGTAATTCACGTGGAAGGAATAAGGGCAATCAACTTTGCTATCCAAGCTTGCGGTGTCAGGGATGGTTGCAATGTCGAGATGCTTGGTGAGCTTCAATCAGACTAGCAAGGCTTAGCTTAGCTTCGCCTCGTCCCACACTATCACGGAGGCCAACCGAAGCACCCAATGGAATCTAGGCGATGCTTATTCCCAGAATCCATCACTGACCTGAAACCCACCGGCATCGGCGTCTGACAGGCTGAAATCACCCCCTTTGCCGTGATTCATCATCAACCGCATGAGTCACGACACCTTTCAACGCAATATAAATCAGCTTCAATACCTTCACGCCCAAAGATCTTCATCTATATTCAACCAGCAAACCAACATCCACACCATGACACCAAAATGGCAAGTCACCCGCCTCCTCCACGGCGTCCGCGCCATAATCGGCGGTCGCGGTCCCCCCGTCGTGCTCCTCCCAGGCTGGCCTCAAACCGCAGAAGCATACGAGAACCTCTTCGAACCGCTCTCAAAACACTACACCTTCATCGCCCTCGACCCCCCAGGCCTCGGTGAATCACTCCCCCCACCCAAGAATGGCTACGACACCGCAAACGTAAGCAGAATCCTCTCCGAGGCAATCACCGACACCCTCGGCTCAAAATCGCAACCATACCACCTCGTCGGTCACGACGTCGGCGGCTGGATCGCGTACCCCTGGGCCGCGCAGTTCCAGCCGCGCCTCAAGTCGCTGAGTATCCTCGACGCGTCGGTGCCGGGGTTCCAGCCGGACTTCCCGTTCCCGCTCGATCGCGCGACGAACCTCCGCCTGTGGCAGTTTTCGTTTAATGCGCTGCCTGACCTCCCGGAGATCCTGACGGCAGGGCGCGAGCGCGAGCTCCTAACCTGGTTCTTCAACCTCAAGACCGCGAACCCGGACGGCGCACAGAAGGGTCAGTTCGAGCGGTATATCCAGGCATACTCACGACCCGGGGCGATGAGTCGCGGGTTCGAGTACTACCGCGCCTTCGAGACGAGCGCGAAGCAGAATCTGGAATTCGCAAAGACGCCGCTCGATATCCCCGTGTTGGCATTGGGTGGTTCCCAGTCGGTGGGGGCGGGGATGGTGAAGCTCGTCGCGGGCTTCGCGAGGAATGTCGAGGGCGGAGCGATTGACGAGTGTGGGCATTTCCTGCCTGAGGAGCAGCCGTCTGCGGTTGCGCAGAGGCTGCTGGAGTTTCTGCGGAAGAATGAGACGGAAAAGTGAAATTGCCTTGGACACACTGAGTCCGTCGTTGGTTCTGGGGTGCTTTGACCAGGAAGGACTCTTTGATATATCTAAGCGATCTTCGCTTTTCATTGCCAAATATGCCTCTAGGTGTCCCGGTTGGAGGCTATGGGGTTTGCGGATGCCCCTCTGCATCAGCCGAGCGAGGTACTGCGAGCAGATGGAAGGGAGCGGTATATCTAGTGGCTGGTCTCGTCTCGTTCTCAGAGCCAATAATTCTTTGTTCGCGTGACCATGGAGAGTGTGAGTTGGATTTTTTTGCTTTGATTCGGGAGTATAGCAGAAACCAGGTACGGGGTAGATCAACAACTCAACAAGCCAGGGTCAGTAGGAAGAAAACATTCTCTGGCCCATGTGGATTAGACACTGATTATGCATCGGGGGATATACATAATAGAAGTCATTAAAAGACGAGACTCGACCTGTGCTGCTTAAACCCCGCACCACGAATACGAGACTGCCCATTTCCATCTCATTACCCGCCCTCCTTGCCTTGCTTGACTCATCCATCGGCCCAAGGTCACCCACAACACTCTCCACTTCCCAAGACAAAATGGTGAAGACCAAACCCTCCAGCAACGGCTGCATCCTCCCCTCCTTCCTGTACCTGGCCCCGGCCTCCGCCGCCAGCTCGCTCGAGTTCCTCCAGCGCCACGAAATAACAGTCGTAATCTCAATCGGCAAGACACCCTCGCGGAAACACACCTCCATCGAGTCCGACCACGGCCCGCAGAGCATAACGTACCACCGCCTGGGCCTCGAAGACAGAGAAGACGCTGATATACGCAAGTGCGTCGACTCTGCGTGCGTGATCCTCGAGGAGGCGAGCACAGCCCGGAAGAGAGTCCTCGTCCATTGCTCGGCCGCGATTTCAAGGTCGCCTGCTATTGTTGCGTCGTACCTGATTAAATGCAGGGGGTTTGGGCTTGAAGGGGCGCTTGGCGTGCTGAGGGAAACTAGGCCGGTTGTTTCGCCGAATAGGGGGTTTATGGAGCAGTTGAGGGCGTTGGAGGCGGAGGTTAGTGGGGCGAGGGGTCGTGGGGAGGGGGAGGGGGAGGACAGGGTGGACGGGAAGGAGGGATCGCAGCACGGTTCCGCTGCTTAGGGCAACTTGGGGAAGGTCTGGTCGGATGCGTGACTGATACAGTACCATGGACATTAGGCCAACGCGCGAGCATAGGTAGATGGAATGATACCATTAGGGAACGCTGTTTAGAAGACAACAAACTCTCGGGGCAATGAAACTAGTACAGTTTGCTTCTATATGACATGTAGCAATCATGATATATTGTCAACAACCCCCCAGAAAACCTACAAATCCTGCCCCCGAACCCTCTGCTCCGCCAACGGCTCCCTAGCCCTAAGCACACCCCGCAGCGGCGCATTCAACAAACTCGCCAGGGTAAGATGCACGCTCCGCGGCAAAAACCGAAACAACATGGTGGTCCCCGCCGCATTCCAACTACTAAACACCGACGCCTTCCGCTGACACAGCGCCCTGTACCCGACGCTCGCAACGCGCTTCGGATCCTCGACGGCGCCCGACGCGGCCATCATAAAGGTCTCCTCTGCGTGTGAGCGGGTGATGAATTGCGTGTGGGCGGGGCCCGGCATGAGGTTCGTGTTTGTTATCCCGGGGTAGGCGCGGAGCTCGAGGGATAATGCTTCGGAGAATGCGCGCAGGAAGTGTTTTGTTGCGTGGTAGATGTTTTGTCCGGGGCTTGCGATCCATGCTGTGACATTTATAAGTATCATGCGTAGAGAAAGAAATGGGTAGATCGAGAACGTACCACCGACCGAGGTGACGTGCAGCATCCACCCCTCGCCACGCTTAATCATATCATTCCCAAACAGATGCGCCAGCTGCACAGGCGTAATGCAATTGAGCGTCGTCATCCGCTCGGCCAGTTCGACATCCTGCTCCATCGTGTCGCCCGCTGCACCGAGTCCCGCGTTATTCACGAGCACGCTGACAGAGCGCTGTTTCTCATTCACCTGGTTATACAGCTCCTTGGCGGCGCCCGGGAGTGAGAGATCGATACTGATCGTATCCGCGCGAACCTGGTACTTTCTGTTCACATTCTCCCTCACAACATCAAGCTGATCCTGATTCCGGCCGACGAGGATAAGGTCATGCCCCTTGTCCGCAAAAATGTAGCTAAATTCCGCTCCGACACCGCTCGATGCACCCGTGATAAGGACCGTGCCCTTTGGAGGACGGGGGCGGGGGAAGATTAAGCGGAGCGGGAGGATTCCCAGTCCTAGAGCGGCGACTGCGAGTTTGGCGTCGAGGTAGTGGAAGAGGTAGGCGAGGCCTGTTGCGGCGAGAATGGTCATCGACAGCAGGTCGACATTGATCGAATCTAGCACGAGGTAGGTGGGTTTAAAGGCTGCGGGGTTGCCTTGGACGATGGCTTCCTGGGAGGGTTTTTTGCTTTCAGATTTGGATGACATGGTTGCGTATGGTGGTATAATATCAACGTGGATCAATTGATAAAGCAATGGCGACCGTACGTTGTATATTCGAGGATGCGATGTTGCTCCAGATATATGGAGTTTGAGCTCGCTCCACCATGTTGATCCCCACGTCATTGTCATGTCAGGCATGCATACATCGATGTAAATGTTACGACATCATCATCACAAACATGCAACCTATCCTTACACAGACTAAGATGGCTGGGGGCTGTACACTGAGATGAAGTACGGAGAATTGACCAAGTCAGCTCCTGATTACATTCGGCGAGCATAGCTCGAATTCCTTGCAAGGCAAAGCAAATCCGCCAATAGTATTTTGCTTCACTCTCTCACATATATCCGATTGTCCAGTAAATAAATCACTTCTTCTCCACCTTCCTCCTCTTGTTACTCCGCTTCGGAAAATACTCCTCCGCATACGCCTTGAAGAAGTCCTCCGGCTGCTGCGGGTGCTTCCCCGTAACGTCGTGGAACGTCGTCGTCGAAATGTAGTTTGTTTTGCCCTCGCGCACGAGCGAAAAGTACTCGAGGAGATAGGCGATTTCGCCCTCGGAGCGCCCGGCTTCGCCTTTGAGGAGGTTGCGTGCTTCGTCTCTGCGAGCGATCAGTATTGCTCTTCTGGACGTGGGGAAGAAGAAGAGAGAGGGAGGGACGTACTCGGAGACATCCTTGAATTTCAGCTCCTCGCCGAGTCCCTTGCTAGCTGCTGTCGCGAGTTCGTCGCCGGTCGCGAGCATTGGGCCTGTGTTGTTAGCACCTCATTCCCCTTGGATCAGAAAAGGCCGGGGGTGTGTATGTACCGGTCAGAAGCATAAGCTGTCCACGATGCTTGTCGTCGAACCCGTGCTTTCCGTGGCCGCTCAATACGTGCGCGACGACTTGTGCGACGTCCTGTTGTCGCGATCAGTCTCATTGCACTACAGGGAATAGAAAGTAGAGAAAGACATACACCCATGGAGATCGGCGCAAACTTGTGATCCTTCCCAATGGGAATCGGCAGAATCCCCTCCTCCTGCGCCTGCTTGGTGTATAAGAGGAGATTCTCCGCGTGGAAGCCTCGTCTACACATTTCCACCCATTAGCGCCCACGGCAAGAGACAGGGATTTCCACGTCATAGACTCACCGAATAACAACAGGCGAATGCCCCGTCGCGGTATTCGGATCCCCTTTGGCCCCCAGCACCTTGACCTCAAGGTCAATCACCGACCGGAGGAGGGGCTGCCTATCGCGCTCGGCCAGATCACACCCGGCACAGGAAACAAAGCAGACATTCGGAATATTCGCCTTCTTCGTCGCTTCAATCAGTTCCAACGTCATATCATACGAATCCTTATGTCCGGGGGGCAAGAGGAGGATCGCATCCGCGCCCGTGTCCTTGAGCGTCGCGGCGACGTCGTCGAGATTACCGGGTTTATGCTCGACGATCTTCGCGCCCAGGTCGGCGATTTCCTTTACGGTGTCGAGGTCGGGGTACAGCGTCAGGCCGGTGACGCTGGAGATTTTGCGCTTGAAATGGCCGTCCGTTAGGAGGAGTTTGGCGATTTGGGCGCCCGTGTGGCTGCCAATTGCGGTTATCACGACGTTGCGGGACATGGTGTCGGGTTTGTCTGTGATGGATTTTCAGATTCTACTGTTGCTTTTTTCTGGGGAGGGGACGTTGGTCGTTTTATTGAAAGTCTGGACAAGGGGTCGATGCGTCATGTTGATATCAGGACTGGTAATGTATACTCCCGCGTCAACCAACAATCATCGCGCAAATGTGGTGAGATCCGCGGTTCCACATCGGATTGGTCGATCTGGCCCAAGATCTATGACGACGCCGATCTCGTTACCCCCGTCTCGACGAAATGGTGACGGATTTCTTACTGTTGACAGGGCGGTCTGGACCGCTTGTTTCCGGTTCGTAGAGATTGACAGCACTTGCTGCAGGCTGCAACCGAGGAGGATATTTACAATCTGAGCCACTCCAAAACAGTTGAATAAAAAGATATGCATGTCCAAACCCTGGCCGTCGTTGCGATCAATCACATCCTACCAGCAATACTAATGGCCTAGTACTCCCACCCGATAACAGCGCGATACCGCATCTGCCCATCCCTCAACCGGTTGACAGCCTTGCTGACTCCCTCCACTGTCATCGGATACTTTTCCACAATGCACGAGATCTTGTGTCTGGCTGCAAAGTCGAGCATTTTTGTTCTGCAACGATTAGAGCACATTCAAGCAACAACGCAGGTATAAGACAAGGGCAACGAGGTGGAAACTCACTGAGGCAACCGACTACAAACACAGCTCCCGACAACCTTGTGCCCATGCAACACAGTCGGCATATAGGGAAGCACCAACTCGCCGTAATCAACCGAAAGCGGGAGGATCGTTGCATTCTTCGCCAGGATCTCGTAGTACAGTCCGAGATTCACCTGCGCCGAGGTCGTGACAATCAAACGATCGATCGGTTTGGGCAGGCCGAGCTCCTTGAAGTCCGAGACGCCCTTTGTCGCGTAGAATTCGCCCGCGCCGAGTTTGAGCGCCTCGGAGCGTTTATCCGCTGTCGAGGAGAAGACGACCACGTCGCAGCCCATCTTTGCCGCGAATTGGATGGCCAGATGGCCGAGGCCGCCAATCCCGACGATGCCCACGGGCTCGTAGGGCTTGCATTGCTCGACGAGGGGGACCCAGACTGTTCCGCCGCCGCCTGTTGTCCATTCACATCCATCCACATATTAGCACTCGGTGTTTTCCAACCTCGGATAATAAATTAGGGGCCATACACATCAACGGTGCTGCATGCTCCGAGGCCACCCCCTCAGGAATCTTAAACAGCCACTGCTCCTTGCGCACGGCATGGCTCATCACAGACCCCTGCGTGTCATATCCCTCGAACCCATACGTCTTCGCGTGGGGGCAGTACGCGTCTTTGCCCGCCATGCACATCTCGCAGTTGCCGCATGTCGCGTTGATCGGGCCCCAGCCCACGCGGTCGCCGGGGTTTAGGGTGCTGCAGGCGGAGCCCGTGCGTTCGATTATGCCGATTCCTGGACTAGTCAGGGTCCGTGGTAAAGTGAAGGAGGGGAAAAAAGGGAGAGTGGGTGGTGCCAACCTTCGTGCCCGAGAACCAGAGGGAGCTTGATCATGTGGATGTCGCTGCCGCAGAGGCCGCTGTGCGTCACCTTCACCAGGACCTCGTCGGGCTGGATCTCGGGGAGGGCAAAGGTCGTTTGGACGACATCCCCGGTCTCAGAGCCGCGAAATTGAGTGGCTGTGACCACGTTATCGTCTAGGGAATATCGATTGATATATATTGCAAGGGGAGGGCTTTTGTGTGCTGCAAAGGACCTTGAGAGTGGACTCCCGCAGCTCTTATATAGTTCTCGAAAGCTTGTCCCATGTAGAGTGACTGGTTGAAAATCGCCTATCATTGATCTGTCGTCATCATCATTATTACCGTGGGATAAGCATAAGCCTCTCGCAGGCGCGAACCACGCGGTGGATGAACAGTGGAGCAGACGAGCCATTTGGCTCAACCAACAGAAACCGCCCCCCCGCTTCTTGAAACCCCACCAGCTGCAGGTGTCAGCATTTAAACCGTCCCAGCCTGGCCCCGCGACCGTTCCTTTTCCCTCGACGTTGAGCCGTGAAGTTCAATCTGCCACAGCCACAGATAACATCTCCTGATGACACCGACACCAACATCAATATCCCTAGCGCCGATTGCACTCGAGCTCGGAGATGAGTGGAAAGGAGTCCTGGATCCGCAGCGGCGACGGACGCTGCAGAATCGGTTGAATCAGCGGGCGCATCGTGCGTTTCTTTCCATCTAGGCTCTCCACGTGTAAATAAACGGCTCGGGGAAAGATGCTGACTGCTGCAGGACGGCGATTAAAGGCTGCCAAGTTGGCCAAGTTGTCGGATGAGGCGCCTGGGGACAAGTCATCGGATCTACCGAGTCCGCCAGTCAATCGAGAGCATGCGCAGGATAATGATAACGGTTCCCCAGTCCACAATGCATCCAAATCACCTAGCGCTACCAGTACATCCGTCGCTGTAACAGGCACCCCAGCAGCCACATTCTCACCCTCACCCGCACCCCCTCACTCCTCCCCATCAACCAAACAGATAACATTCATCGAACTCGACCGCTTCAAAATCCTCGGGCCCACCGCACCCAAGTGCCGCCGCGCCCTCCAGCACCTCGAATCCTTCTACCGCGCCGAGATCGCCGCAGGCTCACTGCGCACCGAACTCCTCCTGGGCCTCACCCGCCTAAACTTCCTGCGCGCCCTGCACGCCAACATTGATGTCCTCGGATACTCCGCCGCCGAAATGCACGATGATGCGCAGTCCCCGTTTGGGGTTCCGAGTGCCGCGAAGCCAGGGTATAGCTCTGTCGAGCGATTACCGGTATCGCTGCGCCCGACACCGATTCAATTGTCGACCCCGCACCACCCCTGGCTCGACCTCATCCCCTTCCCGCAGCTGCGGGATAACCTCATCCGACTCGGCGACGCGCTGGACGATACACAGCTCTGCTTCGATATGTCTGGACGAGGATCTGCAACTGGAGTCCCCGACAAACGACTCGGGAATGCAGGTGGTGAGACGGGGGTGATTGTCTGGCGGGATCCCTGGGACCCCAGCGGGTGGGAGGTTACGGAGACGTTTTGGAGGAGGTGGCATTGGGTGCTCAGAGACTGTACAGAGGTGATGAGGGTGACGGACAGCTGGAGGAGGGTGAGGGGGGAGCCAGGGCTTTTCCAGCATCGGGTTGTGGACGTGTAGTATACTGCCCAATTACGAGGAGACCATATGTAGAAATGAGACTTATAATTACGGTGGTGATGAACAAGGGACATTTTTCTCTACGGGAAAAAGAGTGCACATCCTGGAGGCCCAGAATGTGGAGTCGCGCATAGAAGTATAAAGGTCCACCCCACCCATCACCCTTACGAGGCTTCCTTTCTTTCATCCATCACTCACTTACTCCACCCCTCAACGCCGGCAGAATCCACGCCCCAGTCTTCAGTGGCAACGGGGGCATCGCGCGCGCAATGACAAAACTCCTCGTCCCCCACTCCAGGACCCTAACAAGCATAATCCGCAACCCGCACCAGGCACCGCGAATATTAGCCCTCGGGAAGGGGCAGCCGGGTAAAATCCGTGTTCTATACAAGGACCTAAGTGATCTCACAACGGCGCAGGATGCAGAGAGGTTGTTCAGGAGGTCGGGGGCCACATGTGCTGTCCTTACCGCTGGTACCAGCCCTAACTGCGTTCATTCGAGGGTCGTCCTTGCCCGGCGGGTGATACTGACGTTAAAGATACAGGCTCCCTCTCAAACGTATACAGCATTGACCGCGACGCCCGCGAAATCCACCAAAGCAGCCGCAAGAACTCTCAGCAGTGACAAAGTCTCTACTGATCTCCTTCCCGGCCCCGCGCCGCAAGCCAGCACCCTGGTGAGACATCAAGGATATCGCAGACCACACCTCCAAGCGGAATGCATACACCGGCATCGGCGATGCGAAGATCCAAGCGGATGAGTACCTCGTCGCTATGGCGCATGCACGACGACTGCGCGATGGTCTTTCGGGGGACTCGACGGGTACCTTGGCGTTTCAAGCGATTTGCTTGCGGCCGACCTGGTAATGATGGGGACAGGATCGGGACGTGCAGCGCTTGGGAAAATTCAGGCGCTGGAGACTGTGTCCATTAGGGATGTGGCGGGGGTTGCGCTAGAGATGCTCTCCAGAGACGATGTGAGTGGGTGGTTTGATTTGGTGGAGGGGGAGGATGGGATTGCAGAGGCTGTTAAGAGGGTTGTTATGTAGGCAATGGGTTGTTCGAGGGGAGATATTGAGATTCAGGCTGCGATTCTGGGCTCGTGGCACGAGCTTGGACGATTCCATTCCAGCTGCGAGTGACGGCGGAGGACCGGCTCGGGGGAAAATATTGCATTGGACCCTCCACACTTGGCTCGCAAATGCGATACAGTGGATCTTCATGTGTCAAATTTACATTCAATAGGGCCGAGGTGTCATTTTACATCCCTGCAGTCTTCATATATCCGTATAATCGCAGCAGTGCACAGTGTCAGACAACATGACTCAGTCGGCACCATGGCCAGGCGCGAAAAGAGCTTCAGAACTCATATGCTACATTTAAATACCGTGTCTGGTTATCTTGCGGGGAAAGCCTTTTTCGAGTTTTTTTTTTTTTTTTTTCCTTTTGTATAGTGCGACATTCGCGACAAGTGGTCGCGATGGGCTTCTTGACAAAGATTTCGGTGGACATCCTCAGTATCCTTGCACTAGCAACCCTGGCCCTGTCTCAATCTCCCTGTCAGAACGCAGCAACCTCACGAGCCTGCTGGGGCGAATACAACATCTCCACAGACTGGCACAGCGTCGTCCCAGACACAGGCGTGACTCGAGAGGTACGGTAACCACCCCGACCTAGCTACATTGCACCACCACCCCATTGCCAAACCAGCTCACAAACTAACCATGCCAGTACTGGCTCGTTGCGGAAAACCGCACCCTTGCGCCAGACGGCTACGTGCGGCAGGTCCTTGTCTTCAATGGAACACTGCCTGGGCCACTGATTGAAGCGGACTGGGGCGATGAGCTTGTTATCCATGTGACGAATGGGTTGGATTATAATGGGTGAGTCCAAGCCGCATTATGGGGCAGGATAATGTCCGAGGGGAGCAGAGAGAGGGAGTGAGATGCGATGATTGCTAAAGCAGAACAGAACCGCAGTCCACTGGCATGGGATCTGGCAGCGAGGGACGAATCAGTATGATGGTATCCCTCCCCTCCACCTGCAATTTGACCCCTTCTCTTCCCTCAACATGCAAATCTGAACTCAATTAGGCGTCCCCGGCGTAACCCAATGCCCGATCGCCCCCGGCCAAAGCTTCACATACCGCTTCCGCGCAACCCAATACGGAACCTCCTGGTACCACTCGCACTTTAGCCTGCAAATGGCCGACGGCCTCTACGGGCCACTGGTAATCCACGGGCCAACCACAGCAAACTACGACGTCGATCTGGGTCCCGTGTTTATCACAGACTGGTACCATAAATCGGCGTTTATCCTTTGGGAGGATCATACGCGGTACGGAGGTGTACCTGTTAGGGCAAATGCGGTTTCTCCAGGAGGGTTGATTAATGGGACGAATGCTTTTCCTTGTCCTGAGGAGGTGGATGAGGCGTGTCGGGGGACGGGGAGGCGGTCTGAAGTCGTGATTGAAAAGGGGAAAAAGTATCTCATCCGCCTGATTGATTCGAGTGTGGACGGGTGGATGAAGTTTTCGATTGACGGGCATAAACTCACCGTCGTCGCGATGGATTTTGTACCCATCGTGCCGTACGAGACTGACGCGGTGATATTGACCTCGGGGCAGCGGTACGATGTCATCTTCGAAGCGGACCAGGATATCGACAATTACTGGATGCGCGCCATCTTCCAGACAGCATGCAACGGTCTCGAGATCGACAACCCGGATATCCGCGGGATCATCCGATACCAAGGCGCCGACGAAACCCTCAACCCTACAAGCACACAATGGTCCTCGATAACCAACACCTGCGGCGACGAGCCCTACGCCAGTCTCGTCCCATACGTCCCCAGAACCGTCGGACGCGCCGTTGCCCAGAAAAATCTAAACGTTGGCTGGTTCTACGAATGGGACCTCGTCTTCCACTGGACGCTCAACAGCAAAGCGCTGACAATCGACTGGGGCAATCCAACCGACTACCTCATCTACAACAACGCCTCCATATTCCCGACCGAGTATAACGTCTACGAGGTCAAAGAGCCCGATAGGTGGACGTACTGGGTTATCCAGGATGTAGGGCTCGTGAATGCGTATCATCCGTTCCATTTGCACGGGCACGATTTCTATATCCTCGCGCAGGGACCGGGACTGTATACGCCGTTTGTCAAGTTGAACCGGGAGAATCCGCCCCGGCGGGATACGGCAACGATGGCCGGGTCCGGGTACTTGGTGATTGCGTTTGAGAGTGATAATCCGGGGTACGTACTGACTGCTCTTCATTCTTGAATGAGGCAGGGAATGGGCTAATGGTACAGGTCGTGGCTTATGCATTGTCATATTGCGTGGCATGCCAGTCAGAGTCTGGCCTTGCAGTTTGTCGAGCGCGAGTCGGAGATTGGGGCGCTGATTGAGCCGGTTCTTGATGAGTTTGAGGACGTCTGTGAGAAGTGGGATGAGTACGCGCGGAACCCTGTCTATCATCAGGATGAGTCGGGGATCTAGTATTAGGCGTCCTTCTGCAGTAGATGAGCTACGATTGATTTATGTAGATAGACTTGTCATTTTGAACAGTGGTGCACTTGTCTGATACTAGTTGGGCAGCCGTGAGCATTTACCCTGACCCAGGACGTCGTCCAACCACTTATAGGCCGCTACAAGACTATCTGGATATCCCATGTGTGGCAGCCCTGGATACAATCTTGCTTCTTTGGGAGAACCATGGTTGAACAGGACAAGACAGTCCTCGATAGGCGTGACGCCGTCATCCATTCCCTATACTGTTAGCCGAGCCGACGGAGATGATATTAGAGGAGAATAACTACATTTAAAAGGAGGAGCCTGCACGAAGGCTGATCGACAATCCCCGTCCGTATCAATGAGAACTTTTCCTGCGCCTTCTGGCGGAACTCGTCAGGATCGGCATAGCCGTATTTCTTCGCCCACGCGGTGACTATCCTGTAGGACATTAGAGAATTCCCGGGTAGGAGAAGGTGACGTACGGAAACGGATACTCGTGGTCCTCCACTCGGCGCAACCACTCTGGGTCCAGAAAATGGTGAATCCCTGGTCCATGCGCGATGCAGCCTGCAAGTCTGGTGTTGTGCGTATGGGCTCCGCGAACAGCGTAGAACCCACCCGCACTCAGGCCCCAGATCACAATCCTGGACATGTCGATTTCAGCCCGGGATGCCATATACTCCAGAACACTGTCGAGAAGTCGATCGGGAGACTCAGGATCCGCTGGATCTGCCGGCGAATCGGCTGTGCCTGGAATCTCACAAACGACAACTGCCCATCCGCGCTTGATGATCTCATGTGTCCGCTGGCTGTTATCCGGCCTATACCCGTCGAGGCCTGTCAGTATCAAGACGCAGGGCACTTTGCGCTCGGCGTTCACGTTTGCGGGTACTCGAACGTAGATCGGGATATGGGTGCCCTCGTTACCGCGTCGGTGGGAGTATGATATAAGCTGTTCTTCAATTCTCGCAGGCCAGAACGATGTGGCGGCAATATACGCCTTCTTCTGTCGCTCAAGGGCGTCTCTCTTTAATCCTGTATCCTTCGGGCCGACGTACGGGAAACGGGATATGCGATAGACGACCGCTGCTCGGAGGAGCAGTTCCGACGCTGCCTGACTATCTCCATTCTCCAGTGCTGTCGAGGCTCGCTGTTCGAGGGAGTCGGCGACGGGTAGAAAGGCTTTCGTGTACTCATCCGACGAGGCATCGTTGATGTTGTGCTGCCTGAGTCAGCTGCAGCTCCGCACCAGAGAGTATTTGCCTACCTTGATTAGGTGCTCGAAAATCGGCTCAAAGTCTTTGATGTTGCCGTCATGAAAGGGGTAGACTGATCTCTCGCACTGGGCATTGTCAGCGTTGCTGCATTCAAGTAAGGGGAACAAGAAGGACGTACTGCAATCTTCCATCTCGTCTCCCAGAGAATCCGTATCGACCCCTTGTGCGGGTAGACCGTGTCGAACTTGTCACCGAGTATCCAGCCCATCCTGCCAATATCCTCACTTCTTTCCAGAGCGGCGGTTACGCGCGGTGAAAGGCGCTCGAGTGAAGACGACCCGGCTCGGATGTATTGTGACCATTATATATCCTGGCAAGGAACGGCGTCCACGGGGTCAATGTTTGCAATGGCACTTGGAAATGATTCACCACCCTGCGCCTCGATTAATCATGCCACTCAGGACTCCCCAACGGGTTCCGCGAGGCGGGGGAGAAGACGTTTATCATTCCCCGACGTCCAGGTTAAGGTTATGCAATGACCTTTCCGCATGCGGCCAGTGTGCCTTTCCCCGCGGAGGTCGGCGTTGTAACGACCGCGGACGGCACATTCCAGTCGGGAGAGTTTTCCGATCAGTCGGAGGCACATGTTGCAGAGCGCCTGCTCGGGTAAACGTGCAAGGGAAGATGCTAACAGTAGGTAGCAAGGCGAAGGAAATTATCGAGGAACTGGTACCGAGGGCATCACAGCATTGATGCGCCGAGTACTCATTCGACTTGGCAATCACCGAAGCACCGAGTGGGTATGCTTCGAGAGTTTAATCTTCCGTGACGGCGTGGCTGGGGTTAGACTTCTGCATTCCTTGGTACCTACCTACATTCCTCTGAGCCGCTAGGACTCTCGGCATTGGGGTTGCTATGGCCCGCCATTTCAAGAGGAAGAGGCGCTCTAGTATGACGTTTATTTGGGTTGTGGCGCGGGCTGCCCATCTTACGCTGGTGAGTTGGTGGAATGTCCCACTTGGGGTTGGACTAGGACTAGGGGGCAACGGGGGAGCAGGAGCTTAGCGAGGAACGTCTATAATGTCTGTATGTCTTCGGACTGCAAAATGAGAGGACTTATGATTGTTTTGCAAGACATACATCGACCTATCCTAGCTTGATTTCAACTATGGCTGGCCCTTCTTTCGTTCTTTGTCCTCCAAATCCTTCCTTTTATCCTGGGTGTTTCAGTTACTATTGGGCATCCTCGTCCGCTCAACACCCATTATACGTCTCTCTTCATCATATGTTAAGGGCTTTGGTGCGGCTCCTTTGTTCGACTTGTTCGCAGGCCCCTTGCGGCTTCAGGTCCTGTCGCGTGCGTTTGAGACTTTCTTTATTGTCTTTGCGCAACGTGTTTCGGCCGCAATGCCCTAATTCTTTGGAGCCTCTTGTTTCCGCGCCTTCGTCCCATCCAACAAAGTCAACGATGTAGATATAAAAGCACCTATTTCCCCAAACGAGTCTAGTTGCATATTCGCATCTATCAACCTCGCACTACAGGAAGAAACAACCAATTTTACAACCAACAACCACCAACAAATCAACCCACGCAAAATGCCATCCACCTGCGAACGCTGCGGCGCCTCCTCGCTCCCCCTGCGCAAAAAATGCCCCACCTGCAAAGGCTCCAAGAAAGTCTACTCGGTCGCCGTGCAGGACGCATCCCACTCCAGAACAGTCCACGTCGACCCAGGCCAGACGCGCTTCGGCGACATCCTGCGCCGCTTCGGTACGGCCGTCGGCTGTCAGTATTTCGAGCTTTATGATGAGCATGATAAGCGGCTGGATTTAGATGCTGTTGTGGTGAGTTCTGCTGTTTTCGCTTAGTCAAGTTGTTTAATTGCTAACTTTTGGCTGTTTAGACTGAGGCCTGGCTTGAGACGCATAATGGGTATTTGCATGTTCTGTCAAAGGACGATCAGATCAATGCGCGTATTTCGCCGCTTGCGCGCGAGATTCGCGAGAGTCGGCCCCTGTAGACATAGCTACAGTGTGCCATGGGATACGGGGATTAGTTATCGCATGGTATGAGAGAAAATCATTAGCAATAGCAATAAAGGGACGTAAAGGGAGATTAATGCATGCTGTTTCTTTAGAGTTCGACGATACCATGAAGATACAAGTAATTCATCACGTAGAAACATGCGGCGGCTTCTGGAGTAAAGTAAACTGCTACGTTAGCCAGGGATTCTGTATATCAAGTCTCTCCGCCTCTTGGTACTTAGGGAATGGCCCATATCACTCTGCCCAACTCACTCGTGTTTCTCGAGTCCTGCGATTCCACACTGGGATGGGGTTGCATTTGGTAACCTGTCACCCTTGCCACCTCCCTGAACTTGTGATTTATGTGTTCCCAGTTGGTTTTCTTATGAGCTTTGATACTCGCGTCTTCTTGCGACTGGCGTCCGAGATCTGCTTCAAGAGCCTTTGTGTCTTTTGCGACCAGCTTTTCACCTTTTTTAATCTGCTCCATTATCAAGTCACCAACGCCTGTTTGTTTCCAAGTCGCTTCGACCGCTTGAAAGGCCATTGTGCGGTCAATCTCTTTATACCCATTCTTTGATGCATCCCATTCACTCTGTCCAGCACTCGGCTATAAGAAGTGTCTCTTCCCCCTCGAAACAGCAGAGAATCATTTCTATCATCACGACAAACTGACAAACCCGCTCTAGCAGCTCCACCTACATCTCTACAACTATAACTAACAACCCCAGAACAAGTCACCAGCACACCCAAAACACCCCTACACCCACCAAAACCAGCCACCACCATGCCCTCTGCCTGCCACCACTGCGGCCACGCCTCGAACTGGCACCGAATCACCTGTCCCAGCCGCACCTGCCGGCTCCCCAAACTCCGCACGCAACTCCGCCTCCACGGCATCAACAACTCCACCCTCGTCGACATCGTCCACGACCAGACCACGTTTATGGATATCCTCACACACTATAATCGGAGGAATGGAACGAGGTATACGGCGTTGTGGGATGATGCGAGGCCACGCAGGAAGATAGATAATTTTGCGTTTGTCTCCCGGAAGTGGGTGCGTGAGAACTCGGAACATCTGTATGTTGACTGGCCTGGTAAGGAGGCCGCCGAAGAAAATGCCATGGCGCAGGCTCTAAGATCGAATCAGGGATACAGTCATCGGAGCGGCGACCGCTACGCTGATGGCGAGGATCGCGAAGAGGGTGGATGGGCTGTGGCGCCGACGACCAAGAGTAAGGGCGCGGCGAGGTTCAAGGCGAGCAAGGCGTTTCGTAATTAGGCGTTCTCGGAGATGATGGGGATGCATGTAAAGACAGGAAATAGCTGAACTAGCTAACCAACAAAAAAAGAAAAAAAAAAACTGAAAAATGGAGACTATCGAAAAGAAACATGGAATCCACAGACGTGCTCGTGCGTAGAGGACTAGTATTAGGCTGCCAAGACATCCACGTCTGGCAAACGTACGCTGTAGATATATTAAGCGTGGTCATGCTGCATCGTTCGTTCGGAGAATTATGTATAGGACAACAAAGCGATGTGCTGGCTGACCGCCACTCCACTGCCCACTGCCCACTGCCCACTGCCCAGTGCTCACTTAACGAGACAATCCCCTGGATACTTCTCCCACCTTCTGTTTTTCATTCACTTAGTACGTTCTAAAAGATGCCATGATAACACGACAGAATGATAGTCATCATACCTATCCTCGTCATCCTAGTCGGCGTCGCTATGCTGCTGCGTCGGCAGTACATGGCTCACCGGAAGCAGGAAGGCCCACCCGTGGTGGCAAATGGACAGACATATTCCGAAGTCATCGAGTCAAAACCGGCGTGCGTCGCGGAGACTAATCGCGTGGGAGATGTCCGGCAGTGCTGTATTATCGGAGCTGGGCGTGTTGGTTCGTCTCTCATCGAATCCCCAACCCCGCCGTTCTGGAGGAATAAGTACAACAAGTACTAATTAATGCATCAGGAGCAACGACCGGCATCGTACTCGCCTCGAACAATCCAGAGATCCAGTTCAGGATCGTCGATACAAATGAGCGGCTTATCACAGCGTGGACATCGCATCGTCCGCCGATCACTGACCCAGGGCTCGAGGATATCCTCTTTGACGATGAATGCCTTGCTCTCGAGCAACCAGCGAATGATGCTACTGTCACCCTGCCCCTAAAGGACGTGCCAGAGGTTCGACGGAGGCAGAAACTACAGAATCTGAGCTTCTCATCGGACGTCCACGATGCTGTTGAGGCTGCGCAGGTGGTCTTTCTCTGTGTTGAGATGGTACGATGCTTTTCTCCTCTTAGCATGCTGTTCGGCGACTGACAATTCAGGGTGAGTTTGATCAATCTTTCGCATACCTCGACCCAATCCTCGAGACCATCGCGGCAGCAAGCAAAGGCCCGAAGATTCTCGTTCAGCGATCAAGCTCTCCCTATGGGATGGTTCGACATATCATAGAGCGTGTACGTTCATCTACACCGTAGCCCAGGGGCTTGATTCCAGCCTCTTCCTCGTGTCGTGCGATTCACTAACCACGCCGGCTAGCTGGAATCCTTGACCCCAGGCATCCACCATACAATCCTAACGATCCCCTGGCCCTCGCTCTCGCTCTCTGCCTTCGCTGGACATGCTCTCTCGTCACCGCTCAGCGAACCCCGCGTGATCATCGGGCATATCTACTCCCCGTCCTCGCGTCCAGAAGACATTGACGCGTTGAAGAGACTGTATACGCCCTTTGTCCCTGCGGAACGGATTGTGACGATGGATGCGTATTCTGCTGAACTCGGACAGATGGGTCAGACGGCAATGCTCGCGCACCAGATCGGTGCAATGGCGAGTTTGGGCGTGCTGAGTGAGAAATGTGAGGCCAGTACGGGCGCTGTGGGGTGGATGCTTGGATTTGATACAGCTGCTGTTGAGGATAGTGTCTGTGGTAGTTCGGGACTAGGCGGACTCGGGGTAGGAGGTGGTTTCAGGGGGGTTGGGAGTGAGGTAATGTGTCTCGTATCCCTGGCGAAGGAGTTGGGAATGGAGGAGGTTGCGGAGTACTGGGGGTCTCTCTTGAAGATGCAGGAGTTTTTGGTTCGGCGGGCTGTCAAGGGCTTGGTCCAACAGCTGGAGACAGACGAAGCGGCCAAGAAGGCTGCGATTACGATTACCGTGCTAGGATTCGATGATGAGGGCGAGATGGGGACTATCGTGGTGAAGGAGCTGCGCAGTGCTGGATTGAACGTCAAGTCACTTGGCGACGGGGTGTTGAAGAATCGAGTCGAGCGTGAGTTGGGGGATGGCATTGAGGTTGTGGAGAGTATCGAAGCAGCGTGTTTGGGGAGCAGCGGGGTTGTACTCCTGGGTGCGACTGCGACTCGCGCCTCGACTGAAGCGTGGCAGGAGGTTGTAAGAGGTATGCGGCAGAAGAAGCTACTGACTCTAGGCGGTCGTCTAGATGGAGTTAAGATGAAGCAGCTGGGATTCGAGGTTGTATAGGATGTACGGAATGCTGCTTCACTCCGCATATTGTACATGGTAGGGAATATATAAAGCTCGTCCTGAAATCAACCAAATCCAGGTCATGGGGGTAGAGTACTAAACCCCAAGTATATACAGATAAACAGACTACTCAATCGCAAAATCGGGCACACTCCGACTCGGCGCATAAAACTCACTATTCCTCTTCTTGACCCCCATACTCGCCAGATCGCGTCTAACGAACCATGTCCAGTAATCGACTGCCCGATGAATCTCTTTCCCAAAACAGTACCACGCATGGACAACGAGCTCCCCATCATTCTCCGGTATGTACGCGACACGGAACTTCGTCGGACACGAGCGACACCGCCATATAAAGTCTGGATCTCCCCCACCGGCCCTCATCTGCGTCGCGTCGGACGCTGTGGGGTTCCGGAAGGAAGGCAGGTTTGGGCCTGGAACCTTCTTGCGTAGGTTATCAGGGAATGCGCAGGCGATGGCGTGCGTTAGAAGCGGATTGTTCGGGGCGGGTTTTGCGGCGCTCTGCCGTACTGATGGAGGGGTTGGAAGTGCCGTTGCGGATGTGTGGTGCGCGCAGATGCGGAAGGGGAGGGCTGTTACGTCAACTGCTTGGAGGATTCCATGCCTCCCTGACAGTCTATATTCCTGCCGTAGGATGAGATTCCGCTTGATCCATTGCGCCGAGGAGCGGAGGGTATAGTTGACTGTCCCGGCCTGCAAAGTAAAGTCACCATTAAACAGCTCGATCGCCCCGCTGTCGACCACGCCAGGCTCGCGCTCCTCAAACGCCCGCTGAATATGCGGCCAGACAAGGCTATACCCGTCTGCCTCGCCCATCTGCGGCCAATAGTCAATCGTGGCCTCGGAACCAAAACAGCTCTGCGTGAATTTATTAACCCGATGCTCCCTCGGCGGTCGTAGAGGGGGATGCGCCGTCTCGCAGCGAACGCAGTACTCGTGTCCCGGAAGATCGCGAGCGAGCAATTTACATAGCGAGCCCTCTGGCCCGTGCTGTAATCGTGCCCGGCCACGAAATTCCGCCCAGACGTCCATGCCCAGTGTCTCGAGGGCGAGTTTGCAGGTGAGCGTCAGGCATGCTAGTCCTGCTGGTGGGAGGTGCGTTGTTATCGAGTAGAGAAGCTCGCGCGGGATCCGGAAGAGGCGCGTGACCTGGTTTGGGTCGGATAGGACCTTTGACGATGGGCGGTTTAGGTATGTTTGCGTTTTGGATATTTGCTGTCGTACTATCCTAGGTCCGAGTCTGTCGAATGGTCCTCGCAGTGTCTGCCCGGTGTTTTTGTGGTTCCGAGTCTGGCGGGCTGTTTTCGCAGAGGATTGTATGGATTGCAGACCCTTGGAGCGCCGGACTGCTGGCATCTTGATTCGTTTTCGTGTCTTGTTTTTGTTTTCTCATAATCGAGTCAGCCAGGAGTCGTTCGGGCTGGTTTATATTTGATTGGCCTGTTGCCTGGTTGCTGCCTGGCCAGAGAGCGTCCCAGCCAATCGCTTGCAATGCCTGTTTTTCAACACCACAAGTGTCAAGGCCACCACCGTCAGTGCCTGGCGCCCGCTCTGTGGCGGCTTGGCTGCCGATAGAAGCGAAACCCGCCAGTGCGGGGAGACCTCGAGCTCCAGAATCAAGTCCAGCAAACGACTCACATTACGCACGGGATCGTCCTCTGCTCGACAAGTCACAAAGAGCACGTAGCATTGCAAGACTTACAAACAAGATGGCATTCGCCTCCTTCGCCTCCTTCATAGACGCAATGAAGTCACTGGACTCCCCAAACCCGCTAACAATCTACCGGGCACACCGGAACCCGTTCCACATCGTTCTTCTCTTCATCTACTACCTCATTCTCCCCGTGATCTGGATAGTCCGCGCGATCCGGGGCGTGGCAATACGCCACTCATACCTCAGTGCAAAGCCTCGAATCGAGACGGCCTTCCCGCTCCAGCCAAAGACAAGCGCAAATACCAGAGACGATCTCCCGCCTCCGCTGGCCCCGCGGAAACGATCACTAACTCTGCCCCTGCCGGATGAAAAGGCGCACGGGCACAGGCACAGGCACAGGACGAGTAAACAGGCCACGTTCTTGCAACACCACTCGCCGTTGTTTGTCAAGTTCCCGCCGGAGGTACGGCGGATGGTGTATCTGCAGGTTATCCTCCTGCCTGGGCGAGGGGAATTGTGCGTGTCGCATGCTGAGAGGCGTCTGTATGGCTTTCCTGCCATGGAAAGGGACGAGGAGAACCCGGATCTCCTGGGGTACCCGCACTCCGCCTGGGTTGGGCTGGACTATGCGGGGCGTCTTGTCGGGTCGATTCGCACGGTGAGGAATAGCCGGCCGTCCAAGGATCTGTTGGGATCGGGATCAAGATCGAGGTCGGAGTATACTGAGAATAGTCGCCCCGACAGGTTGCGGGTGTTGGGGCTGCTCACCTCGTGCAGACGGATGTATGTATGCATCGCATCGCATCGCCAATTCTCCACACCTTACTTTGACACGAACGAGGCTAACTCATCGCGCAGCTACTCCGAGACTATTGACCTTCTCTACCAAAAGACATCGTTCAACGTCCGTTGCTCAAGCACGATGGTCAGCCTGCAAGCGACAACCCTGCCTCATCGGTTCCAGGCAATCCGGTACCTGCACATCGAGAAAGTCCTCGGCGTCTCTGGGGCGCTCGAAAATGTCTTTACGGTCCATCACCTCGGAGACTGGAAGAGGGCTTGCGCTGCGATTGGCGCAATTCCCGACTTGCGCAAGTTGCGAGTCTCGTTTAGTCGCACGCACTACGAACCACGTCAATCTGCGCTGCTCGCATACATGGATCCATTGGTGCAGTTAAAGGCTGGTGAGTTTGTTGTCCGCTTTAACTGGCCTGCCAATGCGATTGTCGATCCGATACTCGACAAGTGGCAGAGGAAATTCCCATTCGAGGTAGATGTACATCCAGGTCCGCCAGAGTGAGGAGTCGTCAGCGGGATAGGCCACCAATGATAAGTTTCTTGTAGAGATAAGCGAGATTTCCTGCAACGGATGCAAGGTCTCCGGCATTGAGTTGCTTTTCAGCCATTGATTATCATCCCTGGCACGTTTGCTATTCCCCCACTCCAGCTGACTTGCATACGATGTGCAAACTATTGGCATCCCGGCGGCGATCGTCAGCTGGAGGAAGAGATGCACGAAGCCTCACACTGTGATTTGTCCTGAGAGTGAAAAATGCATCATCCCGCAGACCGATGTCGAGGCTAAAATCAGGCTTAGCGCTGGCGCTCGAGCTGACCGATCCCCTCGCTGCGGAGGTCTTCTTAGCCTTCCATTTCTCCAACTGCAACATCCATCTCCCTCCATCTCTTCCCCAACCTCTAGCAGACAGAGAAATGGTCGCCTCCGAGGAATCACCGCTATTACCTTCCCCGCCCGACACCGAAGCGAACGAGCCGGAGGAGCGCAGCACGAAGCGGTCAGGCCTGCTAATCGTGTATTGCGGATTTCTCGGTATTCCCGTCGTGCCCGGACATAGTGGGCGTGTTTCAGACTGACACACACCACCAGGCGTCCTGATCGCGAGCGCCGATGAATCAATCATGATCTCCACATACACTGCAATCGCGTCGCAATTCCACGCTCTCTCTCACGGGTCGTGGCTTGTTATGGCATACAATTTTGGATACTGCATCTCCCTCCCAGTTGTGAGTCACGTACCCGCCCTAAGCAAATACGGGCTAATACGTGCTAGTGTAGCGTCCTCGGCGATGCCTACGGACGGAAGAAAGTCCTTCTCGGCTCGTATTTGCTTTTTGGGCTGAGCTGTCTTGCTTGGTACGTTACATACTGCTGGGCCCGACGCATGAACTTGCGCAGCTAACTGGAACGGAACCCTTGCATGGTAGCGGCGCATGTACGTCAATCCCACAACTCGTCCTTGCCCGCGTCCTTAGCGGATCAAGCGGTGCAGGAGTCATTGTCATGGTCTCGATCATCCTCGCAGGTACGCTCATTCACTACTACGTAGCGCGCTACTGCATTCTAATCCAGACAGACTTCCTCCCCTCCCAAGACGTCGCCCTGTACCGCGGCTACCAAAACGCCGTCAATGTCGCAGGGCGCAGCTTTGGCGCTCCCATTGGAGGTCTATTTATTGATACGATTGGATGGAGATGGTGCGCTTGCCTCCACACGTCACCCAACTGACTGGTGTTGACAAGGTGGTGTGCAGGTCCTTCTACGGCCAAGTCCCCATCCTCACGCTGTGCGCCGTCTTTACAGCGTACCGTCTCCCCTCCTCCGTAAACAACGCAACGCTAGAAGACGATCCGCTCGAGGCCGTTCCCAGTCGCCGCTCTCCACTGCGGGATCTTGATTACGTCGGAATCATAAGTTTCTCGGGAACGCTACTAGCCCTCCTCTTTCTTTTGAGAGCCTTTGGGGCAAGGGATGACAGCATGGCGGTGCAGGTCTCACTTCTATCAGTTGCGTTTGCTGTCGGTGCCGTGGTTTTCGTGGCGACGGAGCTCTTCTGGGCGCGAAAGCCGCTTATACCCCTCAGACAGATATCGCCGGCTCTCGCGGGGTATTTTGTCATACAGGTCCTGTTGCTTGGGGGGAGGTGGCCGGTATGATCCCCCTTTCCTCACTCCCTGCCTCCATCTTATTTCCGTACCCATGCGCCGTAGAGGGCTAAGCATAATTCTAGCTCGTGACGAATCTAACACCCTACCTCATCCGCGTGATCTGCGCAAGCGACTTCGTCGCTTCAACAGCTTATGTCGTCGTCGCACTCGGTATCTCCGTCGGAGGAATCATCTCGGGGTTGATCATAAAGCAGTACGCCCCTCCACGCATCCCCCTCCCAACCCTCCCCTTGATACAGACCCGTCTATCCACCCACAATCAACTAATGATACATCATAGTACGCACCGCACAAAACTGCTAACTCTCCTAACAACAACCTCCCTAATCCTGGTTTACACCCTCATAACCCTCCAATTCCCCCACGGCTTCCAGCCCTGGTACGTCATCCACCTCGTCCTCATCGGCATCGGCTCCGGAATCCTCTTCCCGGCGCTCTTCGTCGGCGTCGCATCCATAGCCCCCGAGGGCATGTTATCCGTCACTATAGGCACGTATTACCTCTGCCAGCAGCTGGGACTTATCCTCGGTCCGGCTGTGGGGAGTGCGGTTGCGACGAGGGGGTTCGAGGACCGGCTGTGGCGGGATCTGAAGGGGGTCGAGGGGGATAAGGGAACGGCAAGTCTTCCCCGTCCCAATCCCCCCCCCCATTAATCTGATTGCGATCGTACAGTACTTGGATGAAGGCTGCATGTGGTGCTACGTGCTAACAGTGCTAGATAGGTAATCCACCACATCCTAAACCAAGTCCGCTACGCCGAGACGCTCCCGGCACACGTGCAGAAGATCGTCAGGGCCTGCTATCTGGAGAGTTTCACCTCGTGGCCGCGTACGTACCCCGTCCCCTCTAATATCTCTCCCATCGCCCATCCTAGGATGGTGGAATTAACACGCATACAGTCATCGCCCTCGGGGCAACGGCAGCTATGCATCCCATCATGGCCCTGCTCCGCGAACCGGATATCGTATAGGATGGGCGACGGGATACGTACAGAATAGATGTTTCCTGTGACTTTGCCGTGGGGGTGGTTCTTCTCAGGGGTAAAAGGCTTGGGAGTGTTGAGTGGGGGAATCCTGATCTGCAGTTATGGTATGGGCCAGTCATTCCCGGGGCTCGGGGTGCTTGCTCGGGGAGTAAAAATCGAGGTTGTTTCTAGTTGCCCGGCCAGACTACCTGGTATGCAAGCGGGCGGGATATGTTGGTTTGATGCCCGTTTGCATAGGTAACATATACGTATCCCGATATCAGCGTGATACTATCCGCCTACGAGGTTCTTAGCATACGCAGCGTTGAGCAGCCATGTGGCTGTCTTTGTCGGCTGGAGGGGGCTTCGCGCAATCACCTGCCCTTAGTTGTATGCCACCGAGTCGGTTGTGAGCGGCCATTGAGGACGGCAGCTCGGAGGATTTCTGTAGGGCTTGTATCTCGGTGGTTGGGAAGCATACAGCTTACTTGGTTTGGGTCTTGCAAGTGGTGGCTGGACCATAAAATTAACACGGACTACTTCTACCAACGTATTACAAGCAACTTAAGAAAACAACAGCCACGTCAGGGCCAAAGCACGACGATTTTAGCAATCTATCTAAATCAAAACCACGCGCAACAAGTCCCACCCTAAACAAAATCAAAACACAACCTCTCCGACCTGGCTGTGGGCACCACCAGGCGCTCATGACCATCGCCCACAAAGCGCAGCTGCGTCCTGGTCGGAACCGTCCAATCGCACGTACTATTCCATTCCGCCACATTGTCGGGTTTCGGATCGCCCGAATAAGGCGTCCCCGAGACGCCGCCTCGATAGTCTGTCTCGTAGCAGTGGCCAACTAGGGGCGTGTCACCGACGAACAGATTCCGAATGGCCCTGTCTGCAGCTTCGAGGAGGAGTCGGTCGGTTGTTCGTCGGAAGGCCGTGTGGATGAGCAGGTGGCGGGGCCCAGACGTATTGGGGGAGGGGTCGTAGTGGAGGTCCAGCTGTGTCATGGCAAAAGCATGGACAAGGGACAATGGTCTGTTGCCCCAGTAGGGATGCAGGAAGACCACGGCATCGCCGATCCTGCGGCCTGGCCGGGCCTTGAGGTCGACCGGGAGGATGACAGTGGCGCTATACCTCGAGGTGTGCAGAGTGTCTTCCCAGTACGCGCAGGTGATTTCCTGGGTGCAGACATTGTTCCAGACGATGACCAGTTGGTCGCTTACTGGATCCACTAACACGTCGCTGGCACCGACCCAGTGTGGTACCAGAGACTGAATGGCATCTCCATCGCTGCCGCGAATGATGTGGATATTGTGTAGCTGGAGGATTTGGGGCGAGTGGTATAACTTCTTCACCTGCTTGAGCTCTTCTGCCGTGGGCAAACGTGTCCAGGATCGGACAAGGAATTCTCCGCCGCTTCTTGTGGAGACCAATCGTGACAGCTCGCGCAGCGCTTTCCATGGTCTTAGGATTTCGGGAGAGTCGCATGAACAGATCAAGTGGCTGGGCTCTCCCGGGTGCGTGTGGAGGCCCAGAGACAAAACGTCGTATACCATTTTGTCCGTTCGAAAGTTGTATGCTAATAGTCTCCACTCGTTCTTCAAAAGGGCTGCGCAATAGATCAGCTCACGGCCGATCTCCAGCGGGATAAGAAAGCCGGAGTCCCGCCTGAGGGCAAAGTCGTTTGGGAATTGCAGCAGTATCCGGTGCTCGGTTGTCGAATAGACGATCAGCCTGCGCCAAGTCAGCATACAATAGGTGATCGTGGTAGCTAGGTGGGTTGCATTCTGACCTGCTTTCTTTGTAGGATAGTGGGGGGCAAGCCACGTCGATCAAAAGCACGCCCTCGGAGTTCATGCGGAGCCTCTTGACCTCGCCTCGCATTCCTTCCGTCTTGCGGAGACGTATAGTCAGACGTGACGTTGTCTCATGTCCTATGCCCTCCCCAGCCTGTTCCCAAACACGGCGACAGATGACAGTGTCGGGCTCGGGTCTCTCAAGATTAGGAATCCACGATGGAGCCTCCGTAAAGGAATCTGAGCAAGTCTTCCTCCCGGCGCGCCTCCATGCGAGGAGACCGCCGCGCGAGGAAAGCTGACAGAAATCACCGAGATCATCAACGTGTCTGAGGTGGTTATCGGCTGCCGCACGTCCTGTTTGGAGCCGGTGGCGGATGGCAACTTTAATTAGATAGCCTCATGTTAGATAACATCTCACTAATCAAAGGATGGGGCCCACGAACTGATTCTCCTGGCCTCCGCGTACGACAGAGGGTTGCAGTCCGTCTTCGAGGTAACCGACGACCAGGGGGGCCGGAGGTGAAGTCGAGCCTCGGGGGACTCCAACCAGTCGCGCATAAACCTTTGCCATTTCTTATTCACACGTTCGAGGCGGATGATCTCGACTAGCGGGAGGTACTTTAGAATGTCTATGCTGATGTCGTAGCCGAGCGAGAGCGGGTGGTGATTGACCCGATGGATTCCGTTCGAGTCATGGGCGGCGTGCTCTATGTGCTCGCTGAATGCCATCTTGCTGTGAATCTGGATATACAGATATCGCGACAGTGAAGGCTAGGTTATCGAATGAGCCAGTTTCATGCGAGGACTGTTGTCTCCGATGTTGCAGGCGAGATGGCAGCTCACAAAATGGTGGCAGAAACTGATGAGCGGCTATGACAGAGTTCCGCACGTGTTTGCCCGTGAAAGCTTTACCCATGACTCCATCCTGAGGTTAAGCCTCAGCCACGATGATGCGCCTGGAATAGATGCTGGGTAGCTTCGCGGGATCCCTGGGTCGAAGCCAGGCGTCGGGCTGTTGGTCCGCCGCGGTGGCCACAGGTATCACGCAACGCTGCGGCGCATACTGGAAGGTTTGGCGACGAGAACAAAGAGATCGAAGAGTACGTGCATGAGTAAGCGACCTGGGCAAAGCGTTTATGATTTGGGTTATGTCAACGGCGGAAGTAGGCGAGGTTTAGGTTCAGCTTCTCTGGGCGAGGATGAGGCGGTTCGCTCCTTCCACAGGGGCTCGATGCACACTGCTGGGGAAAGCTCGGAGCCGGATACCCGGTGTTAGCCGGAAATCTGAGCTAACATTCAACATCAGTCACTAGATTGATGTCATGGCACCTCTTTAGTCGACTGGTGAAGTTGTTACCCGGAAACCCTAAGCGCCTGAGCTTGGCGGTCACACGTTGGATGAATAGACTCGCGGAGAAAGGTTGCGCATCATGGCCAGGAACTCAATCATGCAGTGGTTTGGAAATGAATATGCTTTCCCAGAGGCTGTCTTTAAATATCTCAGCTCCAGTCTTCCTTGCTCTCACATTTCGTTTCACTTGTCATCTCACATTCATCTCACATTCATCACAGACCTGCGCTACAAGCTGAATCGTCTTCCACCGACACTCAAAATGTCTGATACTCGCCAGATCACTTCGAGTCCCGCTTCGGGGCTCACTTCGAGTCTCAGCGACATGAGACCAAGACCTACGACAAAACGAAAGAATAACGAGCACGATCTTGGACACGATATCGAACCGAGACCGTCGAAACGAGCCAACCTGGGGAAGCCCACCGTTCTCGATCCAATCGTTCGCCTCAACACCGACGTGCTGAACATTGTCTTCGACCACATTGGGGTTGCCGACATTGTGCGCTGCGAGCGAGTCAGCCGCTGTTGGAAGATCTTCGTGCAGGAGTGGATGGAGAAGTTGGCCGTGGCGAGGAAACTGCGAGCTGGCCTGCCACGACAGATGATTACGAACTCTAATGTTCGTCTTTCATATACGCAGATTAAAGATTATGGTACGTCGAGCCATTGCTGTCCTTCAAGCCCAGATTCTGTCTTCGACCAACTAACACAGGTAGCCTGCCGATTCCATAACATGCGCTCCGGGCGGGTAAATTCCATCCTCGAGCATCCCGATGCTTACTACAGCGTGGTGAATGAAAGCTATATGGCATGGCTGGTCAATCACCAGGGAGACTGCGATTTGACAGGCGAGATCTGGTGGCTACGCACAGACTCGACCAAAATACGAAAGCAGATCAAGATGGCCAATCTCCTCGAATGGACGACGCACGGCCCGATGCCCCGTATACAAGTCGAAATGGTCATTAACACCAAGGGCGTTCTTTTACTTGACGTCACTGAGCGACGCGGCCTCGGGAGGAGTAGCACTGTCGCGTTCTGCCCGACTACGATGACCAGGCTGTGGCACCACGAGCACGAAACAGGCGTCGATCGTGACGAAGTCGCCCTCGCCATGAGCGACTCAGTAGCGTACTGCGCTGTGAAGCGGACGGCGGGTCCAGGGTATGATCTGGCGGCGCTTGACCTTGAAACCGGAGCCCCGTTGTACAAGTTACCCTTAAAAGAACGAGTGCGGCGAGCCGACGAGCACTTGTACCCTTGGAGAAAATACGCTCTCCAGCCTCTCATATCGGTAGTCCAGGACCGTGCTGGACAGGAGATCCTTCTTGCCAAACGTGTCAACGAAGACAACAACGACCCCTGGACGCGTGATAGTGCCACCGGGATAGACGTCTTTAATGGCCGGACCAGGCAGCGCCTGCACACCATCTCCTTCCCAGACACCGTCGTCGGCTCCTGCATCCACGACGCGTTGACCAACCACAACCTTGTGGCCTGGCACAAATGGAAGCCAACGGCCCCTGCCTTGGCAAGACACAACCTGGCCATCTTCCGGCCATTTTCGAGCGGAAACACGACCTTTTTCACCGCGCCCGCCCTCGCCGTCTGCTACCCCCAAGCCTACGGGATCGACTGGCTTATCGACCCCCTGAATATGGTCGCGATCGGGAAACAGACCATCCTAAGCAGCCCAGAGCCCACAGCCTGGACGTTAATCTACCGAATTCTTGGGCCGATCAAGGACGTCGCCTTGCACGATGCCGCCGCGATGGAGGTCGAGCGACTTTTCAACAACGAGGAGGGCGCGATGGGCATTTGTCTGATGATGGTTGGGGAAGCACGACCACTTACAGCGCCCCATAGCTTCACGGGCGTCAGGGAGAATATAGAGCCATGCCGGCCTCTGTCGAGCATCATCGAGTACCTGAGTCCATCGGAGCACTTTGCTGGGGATGGGAGATTGATGCTTCGCTCGCTGTGTCACGGTAGACTACTTGATTTCGGTCCACGCGGATAGTTGAGGGAGTCCAGATCGTCGGAGATAGGTGTAAGATATCGGCCTCCTGTAGGGATCTGGAGGTAGCTGTGCATTCCGTTTGAACGGATGCCTCCTACCGCAGGCTAAGGTCGATAGCGAGAAGGTTCTACAAATGGCTGAGTTTACTAATTAACGGTGAAGCGATGAGCTTGAATATCCTGTATCTAGCAGGTACCTCGTCCTTCTTTAATGGCAAGTGACTTTCAATGTGCTATTTAATATCTGACATGTCTGATATAATATTGCTTGCGGCATTCGTCAACAACCCCTGGCGAATTTAGGTGAAGATGTTTGCTTCTCCACTGGCTTTTATATAGTAGAATAAGCATGGTTTTTCAAGGTCTCCATGTGACATAGGCCAAGGCCCGCAAAGTCTTCCTTGATGCCTTTCACGAGGCCTTCACCCAGACCTCTATTACTACCATCATCAAGACCTTCATCAAGCCTTTATCGTGACCCTTATCGAGGCTAACGTCAAGATCACGAGGTAATGGCCAAGACCTCTATCAAGGAACGCTCTTGTGAAGAGGCCTTATGCAAATTCCGCATTCATTCTAACATACAAACGTAGTTGGTACTTTAAGCTGCCATAAAAACATGCAAGGGGGGCGTAGACAACCCAAAAAAAGACCCATTTCTAGGGCGCTCTGAGCAGTTCCGCTCTTAGATTAAGCGCCAGAGGACAACATATCAACGAATAAGAAGTGCTTTCTTGCTTCGCACTCACGGCTCCTTGAAGATCTGACTTTGAGCCCCGTGGACTGGTACCCGGAGAAGTATGGGGGAAGGTGTTGTAGAAGGGCCCGGATTACTCAATCCGAATACGCACTGCTCGAGGCGTGATTGGGCCATGATGATGCGTATGCAGCTACTAGGTGGTACAGGCAGGATAGCTATTGGGCGGCGTGCGAGATCTTCAGGCCACCCATGCCGTACACCTGGACGCAGTAAGCGCCCCGCTCGCAGGCTGGGTGGTATAAAACAGTCGGTCTCTCACCCTTCTTCGACCTCTCACTCACTTATCTCCCATTTCTCCCTCATTCTCTTTTAACTCATCACTTACACTTCATCACTGACTTCGCCACAAACATGAACCCTATTATTGTCTGGTTGACACGTCAGTGCTGCCTACAGCAAGGTTCTTTTCTGTATTGGCTAACTTTTGTTTAGCCTCCGGACCCAACTCATGGAAGGTATACTTCCGGAACTGGCGTCGACTCGTCAGCGTGAGACTAAAAGTATACGATTGGATTCCAGGTCGTTCTCATCATGGAAGAACTCAACCTTCCCTATGAACTCAAAAGCTTTAACTTCGGAGATGTCAAGAAGAAGCCATTCATCGATGTTAATCCTAACGGTCGAGTTCCTGGTACCGCACTCCTCAGTGGTTTTGAATTTGCCGCTGACACATCCAGCCATCGTTGATCCAAACACTGATTTGACGCTCTGGGAATCCGGGGCGATAATCCAATACCTCATCGAGCAATACGACGCGGAGAGGAAACTCTCATATGACTCGCTCCACGAAAAGCATCTTCTGAACCAATGGCTCCATTTCCAGATGAGCGGACAGGGCCCATACTACGGCCAACTCGCATGGTCCGCCACCTCTCCCGGCCCCTTTATGGTACAAACTTTCTGACATAGCCTTCGAATTAAGGTTCACGGTCCTGCACGCGGAAAAAGTCCCCTCTGCAATAATGCGCTACAGAAACGAAGCACTCCGCATCCTCGGCGTCCTCAACACTGTCCTCGAGGGCAGAACCTGGCTCGTTGGAGACAAGTGCACATTCGCAGACCTGGCTTTTCTCCCGTGGAACGAGAATCTGGGTATCCTGCTGGGCGGTTCGCTTGATAACGTATTTGAGCCGTTTTCGAATGTTCAGAACTGGCATAATAGGATGCGGGAGCGCGAGTCTTGGGTCAAGTGTCTTGAATCAAGGACGATGCTTATGGCGGAGCAGGGGCTTGAGCGGACGGGCATGCCCAAGGGGATTCATTCGATGGATGAATATCAGAAGCACATTGCTGAGAGGACTGCGAAGGATTAGGAGCGTGCTCTTTTCGCCAACTCGAGCAGAACTAATGGCGTCAGAGTCTGGTTTAGTCAGTGTTGGGGAAGGAGCGAATAACCTCAACTTCATCTCGCTTCTACCCAGGTAACCTCTTTTACAGCCCACTTTCATCCCTAGTGTTTGCCGACGGCTTCATCATTACTCGCGCCAGTCCAGAATGATTATTCTTCTTGTCCTGGTTGAAGTCCTCTCTATCATACGTAGACGACAGACGCACCACTATTGTGACGTCCTTTTGCTGCGATATATATCTATGTATATAGTGCACATAATGGGATAACGGGCGCAACTGCCACTTGTGACTACCGTCACTGTATCAAATAGAAAAATCCCAGCAAAACTGATTCTCACCCCCAGTATACATGGATACATCTTATGCAATCGCGCGTTTGGATATCAAATCAACCCCCTTATCAGATACCATGGAAATGCATACACCCACCCCGCACCTTTTTGCCCGCCGGGATCCATATTCCGAAGGACAGCGTTATAAAAACACCCCCGGCCATGACTCGCAGATGCAGCTCCTTAATCAAGTACCCTTCCCTACCCTATCCTACACCCTCCTCAGCTCGGTCTTTTGTAATTCGCGTTGGGCAAAAAATGGCCCCACTCAACACCGCGGTCATCGGCTACGGCTTCTCCGCAAAAACATTCCACATCCCATTCATCCTGCACAACCCCGGATACCGCCTATATTCAATCGTGCAGCGGTCTCCCACCGATAAGAATTCTGCGAAGAGGGATTTTCCGGACGTTAGGGTTTATCATGATGCATATGAGGCGATCAACGATCCGAGTGTGGATGTCGTTGTTATTACCTCGACGAATGGGACGCATTTTCCGTTGGCGAGGGATGCCTTACTCGCTGGGAAGCATGGTGCGTGCCTTGGTGCTTCCGAGTAGCGTAGAAGGATGAGCCGAGATCTGATTTGCAAAGTCATCGTCGAGAAACCATTTACGGTCACCTACGCCGAGGCCGCTGAGCTGGTCGAGCTTGCGAACAAGACGGAGCGGAAACTCGCTGTTTACCACAGTAACCCCCCACCATCCTCCACCTCCACCCCACCCGGATCTAAACTGAAATACATCCAGATCGGAGATGGGACTCGGACTTCCTAACCATCCAATCCCTTCTAACAAGCCCCACTAACCCGCTCGGCGGCATCATTCGCTTCAGATCGCACTTTGACTGCGCGCCGAATTCGAGAACAGCAATTGAATCGCGGACGTGGCGCCTTGCAAGCGGGGTTCCGGGGGCCGGAATGCTCTTCGATCTCGGGAGTCATTTGATCGACCAGGTCGTCGTTCTTTTCGGGGCGCCGAGGACCGTGAATTGTACCCTGTTTGACGAGGCTGGTGGGAAGAGTATTAACGATGAGGGGTTCGTGGATGACGGGTTTCTGATAATTCTGGGGTATGGCAAGGGGTTAACCGGTAAGCCACAACTCCCTGGAGCATTTTCAGCCTTCTGGAAAGTTCAGGTTCTATCACTGACACAGGTAGCCGAGCTACATTCGACACAATACTGCGTAAGCAACCAGCAAAAGCGCTTCGAGATCCTAGGCCGAAACGGTCGATGGATCAAATACGGCCTCGATTGCCAAGAAGAGCAGCTACAAAATGGGATTCTTCCTGGTCACGAGCAGTATGGGCTTGAGCGGGCTGAAAACCGAGGTACGTACAGCCATGTATCGTACCCGAATCCCACCTGGTCACCGAGACACTCCGTTGTTAATAAACGGGACAGGTACCCTCCAAGTCGTCGATGGGACCGAAATCAGATCAGAGGAATGGGAGCCTTCACGCGGCGGATACCAGCATTTCTACGAGAACGTGCGTCAGGCGATTACAGGGGAAAGCGAGCTAGCCGTTCGTCCTGAACAGGCTGCGCTGGTCATGCGGCTCATTGAACTGTGTCGAAAGAGTGCGGTGGAGGGGCGGACGCTCGATGTGGATCTCTAGCTGGCGTACGCCCGCTCCAAATGATCTAATAAAACTATTTATATCTTCGGCTTTGATGTTTTGGACTTGAAGAGTGCTTCCCCCGCAGCCGAGTATGGCCTTGTAGTGAGTTGATAGTTGGAGTAGACAGTACAGGGGACAGCACTGGCTTTCAAAGATTGAGTCGAATAAAGGCAAACGCGGATCAAGTGCAAAGAAACCTGACCTGTGACCAGATGATCCGATACCGATGGGCCGACAGGTCATGGATTTGCCGGAGAAACCGTCGGCGCCTTAGCTGGCTGAGGCCCAGTGAGCGGGCGCCCAGGTAAATCGAGTGAGATCAAGGGATACAGAAAGTGGCAAGGTCTAATCCCACTGTCCACTATCCTGGGTACTAATAAGGCCGAAGATCGACCGCGGCGAATGTCCTGATCCGGGGCAAAGACGCGAGCACAACCCCGGGCTTCCCCACCTTTGAGCCAAAACGAGGAGTACCCAGGCCGGGCTGGCTGGGTTGCCTACTATACTTATAACCAGCATCAATCACCCCGCAAGCGTGCATCACATGGACAACAAAGACCATCGTCTAATCTGGGTCTTCCTGTCTTATGAAGTCCCTATAGCGTTGAGTGACACACACATCTATCACGCTATTTCCTGGTATCTCGCAACTCTTACACCCGCCTAACGAATTCTTACAAGATACGAAGGAACTCGAGGCAACGTACCAGAATGTCCTAACCGCCGAGTATAAATCGCGGGCGTTCTAGCAACGTTGGTGTATGAGAGGTTGAAGGTCCTCTTAGATTCAAAGATGACTTTTTATTACATATCTCCGTGGTTGAGATGAACTACATCTTAAAACATCTCGTCCGTCACGGACCGGCCCTTGTCAAGCTCCTCCGCCTCCTTCCTCAGAAGATCTGCGCGAAAATGCCGGAATGCATTCTCAACTCGCTTCTTCCTCTCGGGGTCCTTGGTCAATGAGCGACTGCCGCTTGCAGCCCCGCCCAAGAAACCTTGAAACGGTTAGTTTGATGCTGCGTAAGAGGTACGACTAGACCTACCAAGTTCACCACCGAGAAACAGTCCTCCTGCAGAGGCAAAGAAGTACGTTGCAAAGTCGCCAAGGGTCGTCGGTTTCAAAAGAGGCGTGAGATCCGGGATTGATTCTGTTTTCAGTCAGCATAGTTCACTTTATTGCAACGTCATACGCACCAGTCCGACCGTCCACAAAAACAACCTTGATCGGCTTCTCCTGCGCACGGAAGGCCTCGAAGAAGGCCTTGCGCGAGCTGCGTAGGCGGAATGCGGCATATAATCCGAGACCAATGCCCACTGCTGATCCGACTGTTGTCCAGAGAGAGACTTTTCGAGCAGCAGACTTGAGAGCTTCTCGATCGTCAGGTTGCAGATCGCGTTGGATGTGCTGGTCGGCTAATTGGGCGAGCTCGTCCCTGCGGCGGTTGCGCATGGAAGAATAGAGCTCAGGCATTATTGCTAGAGTAGGTTATCTGGGGATCAGAATGAAAAGGGCTCTCGCAATTAAATGTGAAGGGAATCTGGGGGAAACTGGGCGGCAGTGGATTTATGTAGCTGAGATTCGTGATGTCATGCATCGCTGGCAACCCGAGCCAGCTTAGCCCTTATCGCCGTGCCCTACTTTCCACTTTCGGCCGCCCCCACAAGCAACTCCACATTTCCGAGCATTCGCGGACTGGGGTCCATTCCGTCCTGTCGCCACTTCATCATGGATCGTCTTCAACGACTCCCCACAGAACTGCTATCGCGCATTGTATCTCTGGTCCTCGAGAGCGCCTGGGGCGCGGGAGACGAACCACCCAGTGATCGCCCGTGGCCAGAGGAACGACGAGCTCTCTACAATTTATGCCTGGTTTCCAGACAGTTGCGAGCCGTGGCTCAGCCTTTCATGTTTCGTTATCTAGAAGTTTCTGATCGCGAGGATGCGTACCCTGATGGCGGGCTCGTGCAGACCCACATTCAACTTCTCATGCGTTTCACCATCGCCCTGTGCCTAAACCCTGAACTCGGAAAACACGTCAGATTCGTTGAGCTGGACAGCTTCGCCAAACCAGCTCCAAGAAACACCACAGCCCTCGGTTCCGACTTTCACACGGTCCTTGGGCCCGCCCTCGGTGAGCTCCCTTTGCACGACAGGGAAAGGCAGAGCTGGAGGTACGCGCTCAGGCAATGTGACCTATCCATTCCAATGGCCCTGATTGCCATCAAAGCCCCCAACCTGCGCGTAGTTCGCTTCAACCACGGCCACGGGATCTTGGAGCGATTGTCGACCCTGCGAGAGTCTTGTCCGTCACTATTATCAAGACTTGAGCAGCTGCACCTCACCCTTTCTGATCACACAGAGACCGGGTACAACATTGCACAATACACCCCTCTGCTAACTCTGCCGTCTCTCAGAGAGTTCAGCTTCGAAGATGCCGACCTTTATGGTAAAAACTGTCCGTCCGCCTGGAAGCCGGGAACCTTGGAGACTCAAGATATTGATCTTGCTCACTGCCATTGCGATGCTTCTGGTGTTGAGAAACTCCTCAGGGCGTGTAAAAAGGTTACAGGGTTTACCTTCCAGACCCTGGCATCTCATGCCGATTCATTCAATCCCCGCGGACGTGGCCCCTACGAGCCGAATGCCGGTAATATACACGCAGCTCTGCTCCCACACAAAGAAACATTGCAGTTTTTGCAACTCGATCTGTGGCGTAAAGCCACTCTCCTTGTGTCGATAGAGGGATATCAGACATTCTGTTCTAGCAGGGTCAAGCTGCCTTCCCTGCGGGACTTTCCTCTCCTTGAATTCGTCGAGATACAACATGCACTGCTTCCAGAAGCTCCGCAGTTTTCCCCGGCGCTAAAACTCCTCCATATCACAGACTGCAACTCCTCTATCCGGAACATGGTCGCCAACATCGCCGCCGACTGTAAGAATGGCCGCTATCCCAAGTTTGAGCGCTTTCGCGTCTCAGCCCTTGACATCACCCGGCCCATTAAACTCCCCGGGCAGCGTATTCCCCAAGGCCAGACGCCGGAGCAGTGCTTTCGCAGCCTGAGCGCGGTATTTGAGGGGACGTCGGTGGATTTCCAAATCGTTCCCCATGCTGTCGAGTTGGATGATGGCGACACCGTCTTTACCTCGGACTCTGACTCTGACTCTGACTCTGAGTATGACAACGATGGCGATTTCGAGGAAGAATTCCCATACCCTTTCATCAATGCGGCTGGTCCTGATATTCCGGCCATGACGATGATGATGCAGCAGGCAATGCAGGACCCGGCGCTTGCTGCGGCGCTTACGGCATTTGATGGTGATAGTGATCATTCGTGGGAGACCGCGGATGAGCTCTAGTCCGGTTTTTCGTCTATAGAATGCTCCGCGGTGTCTACTGGTATTCCCAGATGGTTGACAGGTTCCTTAAGCGTGTTTGATGTGCCCTCGTTTGGATGATACCTCCTGTTTTCGGCTCTTGTATTCTTTTTCTTTCCTCTACCCTCTCTTCCTGTTTAGACAATAGAAATGCCTTTTATTCTTTACCTACTCTACTGCTCCTCTGTCACGAGCTCCAGCGGTATCTCTTCAATGTTCCTTTCGGACGAGAAATCACTTTACCGACCCACACTCTGACCTCCAAACTCAGCGTCCCGAATAACGACCTCGCCCGTTGCATGGGATGCATATCTAACACACCCTTGGTCCAATTAATGGTACCAGCCTAACTAACTCTGCTCCAGCCGTGACTCCACAACACGCTATGCGTACACAAGAGGAACGACATATCCCTCCTCGAGCCGTACCTTGATCATTTCCCTGGGCTCCGGTCCGCGCCAAGCCAAACCTCAACGTGGACGGCTGCCTGCCTCGCCGATTCCCTGATACAACGCGGCAGCTTCCACAGCCTCATACTCTGCCCGCGGCCCCGTCCATACCCGCTTTCCGGCTCACTCTCGGTCGTGTAGACCCTGACGGTCTTTAGCGCTGGGAATCTCCCCATTCCCTGTTCGGCAAGCAGTGCGCGCAGCCACAGCCATTTCCACCACTCCTCCAAATCAACGTCCTCCTCCCCGTCCCCGTCCCCTTCGTGTTCCGCACCCTCATCAAAACGCCGATCCTCAGCGGGATGCCCCGCAAAGAATCGAATACCCTGATACGACGCATCGTCATAGAAAACCTCCAAGACCTCGAGATTGGGGGGCATCCCCCTCCACGCCTGATCAGCCGGTTCGACGCCGACAAGAAACAGTTCGAAGATCCGCAAGACGCGCAGCCGCGCAAACCCCGAGAGATCAATTCGCGGGCCCATGAACATCCTCTCGTGGTCCGGGGTTTGGCGCGTAAGGCTGAGTTCCGTCAGGGTTGATTTCTGCGCGGCCAGCGCGCGCACGAACGCCGCGCAGGTCCACTCGGCTTCCTCATCCTCCTCCTCATCGTAGTGGAAGGCCCAGGCGGATTGGTTTGCGTCGTAGTGCAGGGTTTGCAGAGCGCGCGGCCATGCGAGGAGGGAGGTCAGGGCGCGCTCTTTGGCGCCGCATTTTGCGAGGGTGAGGTGTGTAATGGGCGATGTCCGCGGTCGAAATCGAAATCCGGTTTCGGAATCCTCGTCGACCAGCGCGTTCCACGCATTGAACTCGACAACAGTCAAGCGGCGCAGGTTGGCACATTTGAAGAAGAGCGTCTCCATGAGCGCGGCCAGTTCGCCCGGGGTGCTCCCCCGTTCGTCCGGGCTCTCGTACACGGCGAGCTGCCACCGTCCCGCAAAAACCGGGCTCGACAGATCGTATCCCCTAAAGTGGTCCGTATTGAGTACGGCCGAGTGGATCAAGTCCCTGAGTGCGGGATCGCGGGCAATGCATTGATAAAACGTCCAGGTGACGTGTTTTCCCTGCTCGATGTTCCACTGAGGGACGAGGATGTCTCGGTAGAAGAGTGGTTTTACCAGCGCGTACAGGCGGCGGGATGTGAGCATGAGCGACCTGAGTGTTCGGGTGCGCTGCGGGCATTTTTGTGACTTGGTTGCGGCTTCGGTCCAGTCGGCGACGTTGTAGAAATGGGGAGGGGTCGGTGAGACGTCGTGGTCGTGATCGTGGAGAATGTGCTGGAGTATTACATGGAGGACATCCTCTGGGAGCAACTCCGGCTGCGGCATCCTTGTGGTTGTTTAGACGTCCCCGGTACCTTGTTCATCTGTTGTCGGGCATTTCATTAATTTTAGTTTCCTCAGGGTCTTTATAGGCGCGGCGCCCCTGAGTCATGACTTGGCTCGTTGCAAGCTCCGGCTCGGGATCCACAAAGCGTTAGGGTGTCTTTTAGTTCAGCTATAGGAGGATGCAAGACCGACACTGTGGAGTTTCCTCTTCGATCGTGCTTTGTGTCTGGTTGTCCATGACGCAGCTCTAGCTTCTTGACTTGACTTGGTCCTTGGCACTTGCTAGCAGCACCTACCCTAGGTATATGGTAGGCCTCTTTTGGGATCTGTAGCCCTAGGGATTCAGAGGGGCAGGGATATCGCTATAGAGTTGTCCCAGCGCCCACGTCGTTATTAGTGCATGGTTCCCAGGCTCCGTTGTCGTCTGAGTTTCTAGATGTCGCTTTGAACCCGGTCGAGAGTAGGACATTCATTGGAAAGGGTCCAGCACCGGCAGTTAACTAATGCTGAAGTATTTGGCCCTGAGGAACGTGTTTGACATTTCGCGGATTGTCGCTGAGATATCGCTACCCGAGAATCAACCCCTCGCTCTGCTTGGCCAGCAGCTCATAATTCAAGTCGTGTCAGTACCGGGCCAAGGTTTATCTGGAGGATGTGTCGCGGGCTGGGCGGGCTGGTAGAGGGGGTTGGGGTTCAGGTCTATTGTCAGGACCGCGAATCCAAATTCGACTGCACGCGAGAAATGTTCCAGTTTAATGGCCTATCTCAGGACCCCTCTGGAACCTAAGGCTCGAGCCAGGACTTGTCGTAGTCCCTAGGGAGGACTTGGCGTGTATGCCCCCACGCGACCATCCAATCCGGCAGCCGTGGCTTGAACCCACTGGTGAGACGGCGCGGCCCGAGCATCAGATGCGTGGGCGGCCGGGTAACGATTTGAAACCTTCCGTGCTCCAATCACATCCATCTGGTTTCCAAGTGAGCCGGTCAAGGACAACAGCAGTTGGATCCCAATTGGCCAGATCTTTCTCACCCCAAGAATATCGGAGTAGACACGTGGGGTCTTCGCCATGTCGATCTCAGACGGCGGGAACATCAAGGTTAGCAAAGCGGAGAGTGTCATTCAGGCTACGGTAGTCACACGCCTATCCTGTGTAGACCCGCTCTGAACGAACACCACAGGACCTGATGGGGCGTGGTATCTTCCAGGACGAGCAATCGGAACATGCATCCCATCACCTAGCCTGCCCGCGGCACCAACGCCGTTTCGCTCGAAGCTCCCGTCCGACGTCGTAGCAGCCGCAGACCACGGACGAACAGGTTTGCCTTGTCTTAGCTCATGCCGCCGAGCAATGAACAAAAACAACAAAGTTTCACCCCCAACCAATCGAGCCAATTGAGAAGAAGTGACGGTGATCGGATCGATAGCTAACAGCCAATTATGGCTTAAGGGCCCGGATAGCATCATCGGTCTACGCTCGTCACTTGACTCCACTAGCGGGGGAGTGCATGCAGCTCGGTGTATATCACAGCCTCTTAAGGCCCCGAGCACGAGTAGAAGCGAGATGTTCAGCTCGTGCCCATGAGTCGTATCTGGGCTGCCAAGCACTTTGAACCCTTGAATATCGTCTTGGGCAGGCGACGAGAGCCAAACGCTTAGGGGTCCCCTACTATGGTAAATCCATGGGAGAGGGATCACTTAGAATCTTATAGCTGGAAATTTACTTCTTACCAAAGAACTCGAGACCGCGATGGGCAATACGGATACGACATCACCTGCGGGACATCCCACCTTCCGACTCCACGTGTCTCGAGGGAGTATTAACCGAGCCTGGGATCTACAGGGATTATCCTTGAAATTCGAACATACCTGTTGCCGATTGATCACTTGCACCTGCATCCCATCGTATCAGATCTTGCTCCGTGGGCGCACGGGCACCCTCAGTGACGCCTTTGTGAGCTGTGACCTCCCCCCCTCCGCGCTACGTCCTCCTACGTGGCAACCAGGGGGTGGGACGGTGGGTAGCCTTATCATCTTGAGGATGCTATAAATGGGGACGCAGCGGCCCGGTGCATCAAAACTTTCGTTCGCGCTCTAGTGCACGTGGCTATCCCAGCGCAGAGTCTTTTTTTCGCCTGCAAGATGGGAGTACCACTCTTCTGGCTTGCCGTATCCGGGACGGCTGCACTTGTCTTGCTCGTATCCCGGACTATCTACCGCCTGTATTTCCACCCATTGAGCCATATCCCTGGACCGAAACTAGCCGCAGCCACGCATCTGTATGAGTTCTACTACGATGTCTGGCGGAGTGGCCGGTACCTATTCGAGATCGAGAAGATGCATCGCCAATATGGTACGGTTTCCCCTCCTCCAACACGTTTGGCCCTGGTCTAAAACCTCCATCACAGGCCCTATCGTCCGCATAACCCCTCGTGAAATCCACATCAACGACCCCGAATTCTACGACGAGATCTACGCCCCCTCAAGCCGTCGCCGCGAAAAGGACCCAGCACACGTCCCGCTCTACTCCGTACAAAATCCATGATCGCAACGATAAACCACGATCATCATAGATTCCGCCGAAATATTCTAAACAACTTCTTCTCGAAGCGATCTGTCGTCGAGCTAACATCGATGATCCAGGAGCGCGTGCAGAAACTCATCCAGCGCTTCGAGGGGTTCTATCGTGCGAAAAGACCGCTGCAGGTTGATGATGCGTTTACGGCTCTGACGGCAGATATCATCACATATTACAGTTACGGTAGACTATGGGGATTCCTCGAAGACGAGAACTTTCGCAGCGATATCCGGCAGGCGTCGAGCGAGCTCAGCGCAATGGTTCACTTGAACCGCTTCTTCCCGTTCCTTGCGCCGATGCTGATGATGATCCCCGTGTGGCTGATCGGCCTTGTGAGTCCCGGTAAGGGGCGGTTGTTGAAGTTCTAACGGTCGATTCTCGATACGACGATCCATTCGAGCCAAGCATCGGAAAAGGAGTCGGGCAAGAGTACGCGGACGATCGCGCATCGGCTTGGGGACCCGGCCCTACCGGTGGAAGAGCGCAGTATCGCGAGGCAGGAGGAGGAGAGCCTAATTGTATTAGCGGCGGGGACGGAGACGACAGGTAGAGTCCTCTCGCTGGCGGCTTACTACATTTATCAGGATCAGAATGTGCTACGGCGGTTGAGGGAGGAGGTCCAGACCGTTCTACCGACACCGACGAGCACATGTGCATTGTCAGAGTTGGAGCAGCTCCCTTATCTGGTAAATCCACTCGCCCTTGCACACATGCTGCGACAGCCACTGACTGATACTCTATAGAGTGCTGTAGTCAGCGAATCCCTCCGCGTCGCCAACCCCGTCATCGGTCGGACACCCCGCGTCGCGCCAGACGAGGCATTAAAATATAAGAACTACACGATCCCTCCTGGGGCATGTCCCTGTCTCATACCATAACTGTGCTCTTGCTGACTCGATATTGCATAGACACCAATAAGCTCATCCTCCCTCTTCATCCACCGCAACGAGACAATCTTCCCGAATCCAACGCATTTCAACCCAGACCGGTGGCTGCAAGCTAAAGGTCAGCGGCTGGACCGCTACCTAACTTCCTTCACCAAGGGGAGTCGCGCGTGTCTGGGGATCAAGTACGTGCTTCCCGTTTCTTTTCCCTCCTACTGGATCATTATAGCCCTTACCCTGTGTATCCGTGTGGCTAATATCAAAGCCTAGTCTTGCCTATGCGGAGATGTATATAGCCCTCGCGCATCTTGTTCGCCGGATCGACCTCGAGATTGACAACACTCACCCTGAGGAAATGGAAGTAAAGCGGGATTTCTTTGTTTGGTATACCGAGCATGATGAGCCGCGTGTGCGGGCGCGTGTGGTGGGGATATTGGCAGATTAATCCCTGCCCAAATCATGACGCCGAGATATACCCTACCCTTGGGTCTCGAGCGCATGCTGCTTCCACGGATGTCAAAGGAACTGGATATATGTAATCACGAGATACTAAAGCTTTGCTTTACATAGCGCTCTCAGTTGCCTCACAACATAATTGGATATGTCTCACTAGACGACTTCTGGTAAATACCTAGCATATATACTTCTCAACCCATTCTTTGTCAAACCCAGTGCGCTGCTGTTAATTTCTGATTATGGATTCCCTTCTCCACGTACCCACATGGCCAGCTCGAGGGATATACATCAATCAGCGTAAACAGGGTCACTATAGGCTTCTGACTCTATCCCTTGACTATCAATAATCCACCACGCCGAGAATACTCCTACTTCTCACCGGGCAAATGCTCCCCTGCAGCTGACGCTCAATGATGGTACATGATCCTCCAGCTCGGTATCATCTAGAGTGCATCCACAAGATGCGATCGACGGCTTGTCTCCACAACGGTCCCTAATCCCTGTAGTTGATTGCTGTGTCGTCGGACCTCGCCGTTTTGCACAACACGCGTCAGTAGCTCAGTGGTAGAGCAACCGGCTGCAGTCCGGTAGGTCATGTGTTCAATCCACATTTGGCGCTTTCTTTTTTCCTCATTTTTGGAATGTCTAGAGCCTGCGTACAGTACCTCTTTAGCCCCTTCTCAGGAGCCTTACACACATGTCACTGGCCAGGCTAGCCCTGTGCGATCTAGGAATCATGCATTTTTGCGACAATCTACATATCCTCGCTAGTGGATACACCCCCTCCCCGCCATCGTAGCCGGCAGTTTACTATTTCCTCCATGTGTAGCATGGTAACCATACCATAATCCGTCTCTCTATCTTTTCTTCTTCTTACTCCTCCCCGAAACTCGAAAACCACGGCTGATACCGGTCCGCCGTAATAAGCTCCTGGAGGGCCCGCCGTCGCATACCCACATTGCCGCCGTCGAAAATCGGCAGGACAAGTGCCGTCGAGAGGAGATCGGAGAAGGGGAGGTCGGTGTTGTATGCGGAGCTACGATTCACTATTAGCAAATCCCAGTGTACAGTAGTAATGGAAACGAAGAGAAGGCAGAATACTGACACCCCCACCGCATTAATCGCATCCAGAACAGACTGCACCGCCGCCTCGGAGCAATGCACCTTGGCCAGCAGCGCATGCTCGCGGCGCTGCGCGTGTTCCCCAGGTCCCTCGAGTAAAGCATGCGCGGCCTTCCACGTGAGGAACCTCGATGTCTCCGTGCGCATTTTGATATTGATCAGTAGGTCTGCGACGGATTGCCGCTGGGAAATCGGGACTGTGCCCCCGCGCGTTGAGCGGGAGAAGGAGAGGGCGGCGTCGAATGCTGCGCGTTGGATTCCGATGCCCATTGCGCCGACGAGCATTGCTTTTTGGTGCGAGGTTAGTGTCAGGATTTTCGTTCAGGGGAGTTGGAGGGGTTCGAGGTGGGCAATATACCGGAGATCTCAAAGGTGTGCGTAACAATCGCAGCGCCGGTGCCAGGTGCGCATAGGAGATTCTTTGCCGGGAGTCGGAGGTTGTTGTACTAACTTGTCAGTTCCATCCGTCCGTGCATCTAACCTCGCCTTCACTGCCCCGGGGGCTGGTAAAGCATACCCGAAGATGCGGCCCCGACGCAGCCTTATGCCCGACCGTCTCAGGGTGGTTCAAAACCTGAAAACTCTCCTCGCCATTCCGCCGGATATCCTCGCGTGTAACCAGGAGGATCATAATTAGGTCACTGGGTGTAGATGCCGTGGAGACGGGATCTTCGTCGACGCAGCGGCAGACGACGCACCCGAGATCTGCGCCGCGGAAATCCCAGCCTGCGGAGTTTGTTGCCCAGATCTGGACATGGAATCAGCCTTGAAGTTTTTTGGGCTGTAGAGATGGTAAGCTGGCAAGGCAGGGGTACCTTCTCCCCGGTCAGCACCCACTCATCTCCATCGCGATAGGCCGTTGTTTGGAGTCCCGGTGCACCGGGTTCGAGCCAGTTGGCCTATACTCGTCAACACAGCCCACCACCTCTCCTCCCCTTCCACGACTAGACGGTTCCGGATCGAGACAGCGAACATACCACACCACCCGGCTCACTAAAAACCAAACTCGCCAACGGCGTTCCCTGGCCACTCAAAAACGGCTGCAGAAACTCTGCCACTTCCGGTCGAAACGCCAAACACAACGGCGTAAGTCCCAGCCCGGTCCCGAAGATGGTCAAGCTCGCCGACGCCTCGACGGCGTAGAATTCCTCGACGAGGATCGCTGCCTCGACCAGACTGGTACTCGTTCCGCCCACGGGTGCGGGGATCTGTGCTTTGATTAGGCCTGCGCGCACGGCGGCTTCGTAGATCGGTTGTAGCGATTGGAAGCGGGCTTCGGGCGTGGAGAGGGCCTCGTATGCGGATTTTGCGGGTTTCAGGTGTGTCGCTGCGAAGGTGCGTGCGGCAGTCCGCGCTGCTTGCTCGGATTCTGTCAGGTTGAAGGAGACCATTTTGCTTGCTATATTATTCTTTTTGGTTCCCTCGTTCTGTCCGTCGAAATCCCAGCCCGTTGATGGGAGCAAAGTAGCGTCTCAGCGCGATACCCCTCGCTAATATACCCGGCGCATCAATCAGCCCCGCGGCCACGGCGTCCCAAGCCAAGCTGGCGATCCGTTATACAACTGTCAAAACGACTGGGATCGGCCGCTAGCGTGCGAGATTCAAGCATCTTACTGGATCCTCACTGCCAAGTTGCCCCCCAAGCGGGGCCTACTCGTGAGCTGACAAGAGCTGACGTGCGGGGTGCTCTCCACACTGCCAGAGATGATGATGAGGTGAGGGACATTTCCGGTGGGCTGATGAGAAATCTAGATTTCTAATGGAATGAGGGTCCTCAGTGTGGAGCTGAGGCTGAAGAATGGACTAGGGGCGGCCGCTAGCGTCATCCACATCTATAGAGAGCCAGATCCATGGTACACTTCACCTCTCAATTCAGACAGGAGGAGGTCTATAAAAGGTTGAATATCCGATGCCCGTTTACACATCCATCCCCAATTCCCTTCCCTTAGAGTCATTCCCCCGCATCTCCCACGCAACGTTCCACAATGACAAATCCCTCACGACCACGCCTCCTCCTCCTCCTCGGCTCCGGCCCCGGAATCGGCGTCTCCGTCGCATCCCGCTTTGCCCGATCACACTTCTCCGCCGTAGCTCTAATCGCACGGAACGCAGAGCAGCTATCCAAAGACCGCGCCGCGGTTCTGGCTGCTGCGGCGGATGCAGGTCGTCAGGTCGAGGTTCGCACGTGGCAAACCGACGTTTCTGAACTGGAGTTGTTGGAGAAGACCCTGCGCGAGGTGGAGGCGTTTGGAAGCGTCGAGTGTGTGTATTTCAACGCTGCGCGCGTGGCGCCCAGTCCGTTGTTGGAGTTTCCTGTGGAGGGGATCGAGGCGGATTTCCGGGTGCGTTCCAAACCACGGTTAAAGACGCGAGGAAAGTCTTGAATGTACTGTACTGATTCGGCCCAGGTCTCCGCTCTCGCGCTCTATACAACAGCCCGCTGGGCGATGCCCCTCCTCCTCAAGAACAACTCACACCCCGAAGACTGGGCCCCCGCATTCCTAGTAACAAGCAGCCTCCTCCCCGCGTCCCCGTTCCCCGACTGGTTCGCCCTCTCCATGACAAAAGCCGCCCAGGCGAATCTCGTCAAGTCGCTTGAACAGGTTTTCTCGCCACAGGGGGTCCATGTTGGACTTGTCGTTGTGTGGGGTATCGTCTCGACGGACTCGGCAGGGTTGAATCCGGGACATATTGCGGAGCAGGCGTGGAAGCTTTATTCGCAGAAGAGAGAGGAGTGGACGAGCCAGGTGACGATTTATGATGACGGACGGGTGCAGTGGGAGGATACGATTTAGTTTCCGCTCGTTTCAGTTCATTCCATTCATTTCATTTCGGGTGGACTTTGGCCGTCTTCGGCAGGATCTCATGTATTTTCCAACACAGAGCCCGGATCCAGGACTTGTCCCGAGAGCATGTACAAGACTAGGCACCGCGCCTTCTTCCGCGCGCGCTGTGAGGGTAGTACGCGGAACGCCTGGAGCGCATCAATCGCAGAGACAACCGGCCACACTTCGTATTCCATACTGAGACCGTAGTCCTGCTGGAAATCCTGGACGGCTTTTAGTACGACAAACATGAACCCTTGCTCTGTGAGAAGAGGTGCACCCGTATTCGGATCAAAGGCAGAGCTCCCCTCCAGCACAGCTATGAGCCGATCCGCGAATAGCTCGGCGCTGGGTCCGGACTCAATCACCATCCAGAACGTTATGGTGATGAGGAACAGGGAAAGATACGAGGGCGCTTTCGTCCATGAATCGTGTGACCCGCCGTTCATCCGGCTTCAGGTAGAATGCTAAGGTGCGATGTGCAAGTGCCGGCTCAATGCACGCCATATTCTTCAGCGGAAGTAACCCGGGGAGTGGAGATCCGGGGGCAGCAAAGTCTGCAAATCCCGACATCCCCATTGCGGCTTGTAGTCTGTTGAGGAATCGGTACAGCTGGCGGGCATCGTCCGGTTCCCCATCGGATTTCAGTGGAGTGCAGACTACATATGGCATGACGTGCGACATGCGGAGGGCTCGGTTTGAGGTGGCCCTCAGACTCGCCTCGAGCCCGCCTCGTGCGCGGAGTGCCGCTTCGAATCCCTGTAGATGTGTTTTTGATGCAAAGGGGTCCATCAAGCGCGACTCTGTTATCCCAGCCATTATTATCCCGCCGAGGACGGCGTCTGTGACTGCGCCGTTATTCTCACATATAGCATCATTCAATCTCCGGTATGCCTGGCCTTTTCGTCGCATCAGGGATACCTGTGTGTCGCCGCTGGTCCGATTGTTGGTGAACAATCCATCCGCCGCGATGAGCATCCACCTCATGGTCAGATCGGAGCTGAGGGAGATTGGAAAGCTGACGTCGCGCACGGGGTTGAAGATCGAGGCTATTTCTGTTCCGTACACCTTGCCGGGAACGTGGAGCAGATCTTCAGCTGTTAATGTGGCATTCACGTCGCTTGACGCGGGGAACTCGCAGCTATGAAGCAAAGAGCGGTCCTCGGCGGACATTGCGTCTGGGAGTTGCAGAAACGGGTCAATTGCGGCTGTGATCTCACGGATCTCGAGATTGGACTGCTCGACGAGTGCAAGGTCGTGAGTCGCCTGTTCGCGAGCTGTCCCCAGTATCGCCTCCTCCTCGATCACTCCATGTAAATTCAGATCCTGGGCGACTCTGGTTACACAGCTTTCAACAACTTGGATATGTAAGAACATACCTTGCTCCGCTTGCGAGGTGCCGCGGAGAACCGCCATGAGAGGACCGCGGGCCTTGAACTGTCTGCGGAATTGATACTGTCCATTGCTGGCATTGTCCGTGGTTACACATTAGTCTCGAATTCGATTCCCGGGGGTTTATCACGACCCCGAGGGCTAATGTTCCCGCATCAACAGTCTGCGACCGGGTCTGGGCAGCTAAGCGGGATTAGTCTAGTAGCACCGTCCATGTCGGACGCAAAAACAGACTCGAAAGTAAAACACCCCCTCCGAGGCGCCAAGAAAAACGAAGCAGGGCCGGAAGGCCTCCGAATGAACCCTGCGGATGTGCAGTCTTCAGAGGGATGGCGCGATTTGCTCGTGAGGGGCCAGTGTCGACGAGCAGGATGCGGCACGACACCGCAATCGAGGATGCGAGTCCATACAATCGCGACCGTTTGCTTGGGCGCAGGTCGCTGGCGTCGATTAGGCCGTCGGTGCTGGCCAACGACTGAGCGCCGGGAGAGTCGACCAAAGTGGGAGTTGCGAACTGCGAAGCTGGGCAGCCACACTCCGGGGTCTGGCTTTGGGTTGCGGGGTCTGATCGTATCGACTGTCCATGGTTTGATTGATCGCTTTCAGAGCTGCATGCCGTGCCGCGATAATATATTCAGGGTAAGATAAAGGGCACCATACTTCTCACTAAGATAGAACGCCTTATAATAGAGAGTTCCGTGGTTATGCTACTTATGGTTAAGGATAGTAGATCTTATATAAGTAATAATATTCTTTTTCTCCTATAGTTTATTTTAAGCCCTGAATTTATGGTAAAATAAGCTAACGTGGACGTACTTGTCAGGTCCGGGGCATGTTTATGCATGGCTATAAATTGAAAAGGTGTGGTTTGTGGCAACCAAGGCACTTTGGCGGAGTGGCTAACGATGCCCTGCTATACTATAACCGGTTAGCTTGTCTAGGCATTTCCTTCGGGAACGTGGTTAGTTGCCTTTCCTAAGAGGAATAAATTTCATATTCTAACAGAACCAGAGTTTGAATCTCACAGGTGTCGTATCTTTTTTTTTGTTTTCTCGTGCTCTATTATATCTCTTTCAAAGCCTGCTGCTACAGGTAGCGTCTCTTGACGTGTCCGTTCCACCAGACGAGTCGACTACTTCCTCCGATTCAACACACCTGCAAACCAGGCGAGTGTGGTTGAGGTGTTGGCTCGAATCGCCGAGCAAACTCCGCGGCAGGAATGCGAGTTGCGAGGCACCGTCAGCGTGACGAGAAAACCACGCAAAGGCCGCAGACTGCAGAAGGCTAACGGGGTTGAGTGCGGCTTAAACCGCTGCAGTTTGCAAATAGAAAGCAGCCAAGCCTCGACGATTCTGGCCACCTACGGCCCTTGCGATTAAGAATGTGAGTAAGACATGACCAAGCTTTCCCTGTTTTTGTCCGCCAGTCAGACGCCGAGTTTGGGCCGGAAGCGCACCCCCCGAGCGGACGTTGCGCACCCAATTTTAGTCGATCTTCAGGTCATCCTCGTGCCAACGTGGTGGAGATGATCGGGGTCTGCCGTCTGTCGCAGCATCAAGGCGTCAGTTTTGCGATATCGCAGCAGAGCATCAGGCCATTCATTCCTTGCGTTTTGGGCGCGATCACAAGGGAATAGAGAGGACAGGGTCGTACAATACCGAAGCGCTGTAGAAGCAAAGTGTTAGCGACGGCAAATCGACAGGAGATACCGCACAAACTCAACGGTAGATAGAATGTACTGAGACGATGAGAGCCAAACCGCACCCAGCAAGCGATTTCCCAAAGCGCGATGGTGACACGGGCCGGGCACTCGACAACGCTCAATGACGGCAGCGGCGTCCAGCCCGGAAATGCTGTGCCGATGAGAAAGACTGTGCCCGGCCAGGCATCCAGAATTGTTAGCGTCGACTTTTCATTCTTCCTCTGCTCGACTTCATCAACAAAAAGCCTCAGCACGGGACTGCGGCACGTCGATTTGACAGGCCAATCTTGTGAAGCTCAAGTGGTGGACTGCGATGCGTAGCGCGACGCCACACAATTCCACACTCGGAATAGCGTCAATCCAGCCTTACAACAAGAACACACATGGCACGGGACAGCTCCTCTATATAATCAGGAGCAGCGCTCCGCTCATAACCCGTCACTCTCCCTCCATCTTTATCTAGCCCTTCAGCGCATCTCTATCTACTCTGCGTCCCTCTCCATCCCCATTCCACCTCATCTCTACCTCATCTTAATGCAGAGCACCATGAACTACTGGAACGCATTACCTCCCTGCCCTGGTTCTACCACCAGCGACAGTGATCGCTCACTCCTCTGGACCTCTTCATCCAACGTATGCTTCTCTTTGTAACTGCCCGCGCAAGCATACTAACTTGCATAGTTCACTCTACCACAATGGTCCGACGGGGTACAATGCCCGAGCCCAGACAACTCCAGCAGCGACGAGCCATATCACCTGGCAGATGATCTGCTCGACTTTTCAGATTTCCGCACATCTGCTGGCGAGACCTCTTCCAAATCACCGACTCCTACACCCAGCGATTTCCGCCCAGAGGACAAATCCAAGGTACGTTTCTTGCATTTGCGAAAGTACGGGCTTCGCTGACATCCCACAGCGAAGGAGAGAGCAGAATCGAAACGCGCAGCGCGCATATAGAGAGCGGAAAGAAAAGTACATCAAGAATCTGCTCAAGCACATCGAGGAGATGAACAAGAACCACGTTCGGCTCTCCGACTCGTACGAGTCGCTACGACAAGAAGCGCTGCGCCTGCAGGAGCAGGTGCAGGATCTCAAAGGCCAGCTGGAATTCTGGAGCAAGGCTCAGGTGGTGGTGGTGAAGTTTCCCGAAGAAGCGTTGGCAGGGGGGGCACCCGTCAACGGTCTGATGGCAGGCCCACAAAATGTAAATCAGTCGATCGACCCACTGTTGGGTTCGGATATTGCATATCCGACTATCTGATCGCGGGCTACGGGCCCATGACTGACGATTTTCTGGTTCGGTGGAGTTCTTTTAGAGGCGTTGTGGCTTTCTCTGTGGCTGCTAGCTATGTACCTTATTTAATGCGAGATGCAAAATATAATCAACCATATGCGATGCAGAAATCTCCGCAGTAGCATATGCAAGCTTACCAGCTTCGAGCACCACTGCAACTGAAAGGATCCAGGTTGCGGACGGATGCACAGATTACGCAAAGACCGGTACAGAAGGAGGCAATTACGGAAAATCAAACATCGTTCTCTAATTGTCATCGAGAATACGCAGATGTAGCTGCCTCGAGAAGTCCCCCACAGTCCGTGCAACGAGCCAAACGACCGGGAGTCCCTGATCAGCAGAACCGGGACACCGGCACGAACACGCCAAATCCTGGGCCTAGGCCGATCGCGAGATCCACGCAGTACGGAACACGGGGTCTGCAGACCAGCCGTTATCTTCTAGAAGACTTGGCCAGATTGAGTTCGCGCCCACGAGGCGGGCCAGGACCCGGTCAGACGCGTAGCGGCGTAGGGCCATGCAAGATGGGCCATCGCTGCAAACACCGACGTCATCCGATGCGCCGATGCGTACGGAGTAGCATCACTCTCGTTATCTGATTATCTCATCCTCCGCGTGTCACCAGCCACCAATTGCCGTATCGAGTAAGTCCCAACGCGCCGCTGTTTGAGAACGGTCATCCGTCCGCAGGCGAGCGCGCGCCAATCCTGTGCTTGTAGAGACTGACTAATCGACATTTGGAACGTTCAAAGTAGCTCGGTGACGCGCTTGAGGTATCTAGAAGCCCGGATCCGCCCGGAATGGCCGTGCGCTGCGAAGGTAGTGCCCGGAAGCTCGACTAATCACGCTCGGTACCCGCGGTCCGGTCCCTGGCGTCGGCCAAGCTCTGAGCGTAGCTCGGTAGATCGATCGACTGTTAGCAGGAGCTGAGGACCGATCGTAGAGTGCCGGGATTCAGAGGATGGCTCGCTCAACGGTCGCTGGTCCGCTTGACGCCGCAGGAGCTCAATTTGCATCGATTCGGCGTCGTACCGGCGAGCGGTTGGAACTAGTCGTTGGGAATTGTATTAGCAGGTCAGTCATGTAGCTCTCGATAATTTTATCGTGATGAATGATGAATGATGAACTGAAAGACACGAAACTGAGCGAGACACGGTGAAGGCCTGAGGAATTTGGCAGAGCTGAAGGCTGAAGAAGTGTGGACTCGTGGAAGGTGGAGCCAAGACTTCTGCCATGTGGTTGGTGATTGCTCAGCTGACGTAACCTCGGACTTAACTCGGTGATGCGGCCCTCCGCCGCCTCAAAGTTCAGGCAATCATCAACGTTGAGCCGGCTTCAGAGACAGGACGCCTAGAAAGAAGCGAAAATAATAAAAGGCAAATTCAAAATAGAGCATCCTGTAAAAGTACCAAATTGAGTTTCACCTCACACAAGCAGGTAATCCTGTCTTGGGTAGGGCCATTTCCCGTGTACAGACATATACTCGCCCAGAATTCCCAGTTCAGACGGGGACTTGCACTTTAGAGAAGCCCTGGACATTGCTCTCGCTATGACCAATCACGTCCAGAGTTGGTATACCCTTTTGGGTGTCAGTCTGCTCCTGCGGATTTTAGTCCCGGCCTAGAGATACACAAAAGAGCTCTGGAACGAGAGAAAGAATGCGACTGTCCGAAGTTGGGTTGCCTTCATCTCTCCAACCAGAACCTATTTCGAGGGCCATATGAGTTGCTATATATCAAGGGTTCGGAGCCCGGCGCCGGGGGCCGAAGAGGTTCACGGAGTAGTGTTTTGGGGCCATTCCGTCTTATTAACGGTCCCTTCGTCAGCATCATGGACACATTGGTAAAGAATTATGCACCACTTGGGTTCTCGATGGATAGCCTCAACAGCCGGGTTCACGTGCACAAACCTACAAACTAGGCTAGGCAGAATGTCGAGGGAGATAGCCGTATCCAGTCATTATTCCACGTAAAAACGCTGACTTGTATAGTTTGGAGAGTCAATCAATTCGTGCAGCGTCCCAGCCAAACAGTGAGCAAATACGGTCTTTCCCGGACATTGCACGGGAGACAGAGCTCAAGGGCCCACATGAGCTTGCAGCAACAGACGGAACAATACTCGAAAGTAATTCCTACGCTTGTCAAGATCAGGGGAGTTGATAATCTCAAGCAGGGAACTGTGCCGCACGGCGGTGAATTGTCCTCGACAACTACACTTGGTAATAACGGACAGAGTCTTAAACTAGCTATTGGAAGCCCACTGAGACGGCCTCAAGGGCCGAGTAGAGAACTGTCGGTGGTCGAGGTTATCGGCGGTGTGGTATGGTCTGGGACATGCTGAGGGCTGAACTCCGACCTTATCACCATACACCTGGCACACACACGGAGTGAGGCATCCCTGTTTTCCACAGACTGGCCCACTGATCCATCCGTGACAGCTCAATTTCTCGCGCACAAACTGCCACAATAATCTACTTCGCGTCTTGGCCGCTGCGGTGCCCGCTTTAATTCGATCGGACCCAAAGGCCGACTGTCAGTGGGGCATATAGTGACCTGTAGGGAATTACCATCCGATCAGGCGCTGTCACTTCGGACTACGTTGATAAATGGAGCCCAAGAGGCTGCTGCCGACGACCCTTAACCTTTGTGCAAGGTCCACGGGAAGACCATAGTAGTTATGAACGAAAACCTACATTCGAAGTAGCTGTACTACACGTCAGTATTATCAATACTTGGACATGTTATATCAGGGCTTCTGGTAGGAAATCAAGAACGATAGCACATGGACTCCGGATCTCATCGGCGCTTGGCCCGAACACTCCAACATCCCGGCGGAGATGTCCGGAATGCCGTAGCACAACTACCAGATACGAGTACTATCCACCTATGTACAATGGGTCTAGAGTCTTATTTTAGTATCGGATGCTTACCCCGATCTTGGTACGCCCCCGCGTGTGGATTTTCCTCTGTGGAGATGCCATCTACTCTTCCCATAAAACAGTGCAGTTTCCCAGATTTGCCGCCATCCGGGGAAATCCACTGTTATCTTTCTTGCTGCACTATTTGAGGGTCTCAACCCACCAAGATGCCACAGCAAGATGTCAAAACCGAGAACGAAAATGTGAAGTATGTTGAACCGAAGGTAGAGTAGCCTCCTTATGCACTATCGCCCCTATCCGTCGTCCCTGACCTTGCTAGGACCGCGACACTGAGGCCGGTGCAGTGGACGACGAGTACGATCCAGCCGCCGTCGCCGCTCTCGTCTGGAAACAAGATTTGAGAATAGTTCCGCTGTCGGCTGTTATCTATCTGCTGTGTTATCTCGATCGGTCAAACATAGGTCAGGAACTCTCGACTTACCATTGACTGTCTGCTGACGGGATCAGGAAATGCGAAAGTCTTAAACGTGGATACTGGCGATGACCTACTGATGGAAACTGGAATGTCGAATTACGAGTATACGTATGCGATCTTTTCTGGAATTAAACGGCGTGCGTGCTAACACGCCATCAGCATCGCGCTCATGGTGTTTCTGATTGCATACGGTATCTTCGACATCCCGTCCAACTACTTCCTCAAGAAACTACGTCCCAGTGTATGCTCCTAACGATCTACTCGGGGATTGAGCCATTTACTAACTAGACAGCGCTGGATCGCCTTTCTCATGTTCTCCTGGGGCGCGACGACAATCGGGCTCGGTGGTGCCAACAACTACGCCCAGGTCACTGGTATCCGGTTCCTTCTCGGCGTCTCCGAGGCGGGTCTTTTTCCCGGTCTCGTCTACTATCTCACATTCTGGTACCGTACATCTGAGCGATCGCTGCGAGTCGCGTTGATCCTTGCCTCTGCCACTCTCGCGGGTGCATTTGGCGGCGCGATTGCGTACGGAGTCGGATATCTCAATGGAACCCATGGGCACTCCGGGTGGCGCTGGCTGTTCTGGATTGAAGGGGCTCCATCTTGTGCGTGTGCGATACTCGTGTGGGTTTTCCTCCCGGACTATCCAGAGTCAGCCAGGTGGTTGGCAGCCGAGGAAAAGGAGTTGGCAACCCGACGTTTACAGGTCGAGGGATCAAAAGGAGACGCAAAATCGATGAGGTGGGCTGACGCAAAGGCTGTGTTGATGGACTGGCGCCTGTACCTGCATTATGCGGTCTACTTTGGCATCTCTACACCCTACTCGAGCCTGTCGTTGTTCACGCCATCGATCACGGCCGGCCTGGGCTATCAGAATTTAAAGGCCCAGTTAATGACCGTTCCTCCCTACGCGGTCTCGTACGTGGTTACCGTTGTTGTAGCCTGGTCAGCGGATCATCATAATGCGTACGTCTCTCACTCGTCTAACAGTGGCAAGTCACTAATCTGAACAGCCGCGGCCTCCACTCGGCCATCTTCTCCTTGATCGGCGCAATGGGCTTCCTCGCGTCCGCTGTCCTCCCGGCAGATGCATACCTAGTAAACCCACACCATCTTTATGATCCATTCAATACTAACAATACGTCTAGCAACGCTACGGCTGCCTCATCGTCGCTTCGAGCGGCGCCTTCTCCTGCATCCCGCCACTCCTCGGCTGGCTCTCGTCAAACCTGCACTCCACTGCCGCAGCCGGGCTGGCAATCGCAATCAACGTCACATTCGGCGCCCCGGGCCAAATTGTCGGAGTCTGGATCTACAAGGCGAATGAGGCGCATCGAGGGTATCCGACGGGCCATTGGACGAATGCGGCGTTGCTGCTGTTCGTTTGTGTCGGGTGTGTTGTTTTGCACACATACTATGTCTTTTTGAATCGGAAGCGAAGGGCTGAGGGGGTGAGGGTTTATGCTTATTAGCTTGTTACATTAGTCTTACAACCTAGGATATTTAGACACTTCCCGAGATGGAGGGTTGGCTGTTCTCTTCGCATAGAGCGTAGGTAGGCGATGGTATTGGGATCTTCTAAAGAACCCTCTTCCCTTAAAGCTGGAATATCATCTAATATAACCACTGAACGTATGCTTCTTACGATTCGTGGTTCAAGGCATGAGAGCGTACCGGCTCTACACCCAGCATGAAGAGAAAAGGCCTGCACTTACTACACTAGTAGTACGGAAACGATCCAGTGAATCGCCCACGGACTGTAAGGAGCTTATCCTTCGCCCTCAACGAGGATTGCAGCTATCTCGACGGGGACGGGGTATGGTATGTGCAGCACCGTCCGCCTTCCCTCCATCCATCCTCATTTCCTACCACTCCGTTGCTAATCCTTCATCTCGTGATTGCAGAATCCAGCCAATAACAGTATCCATATCCGCCCGCCTCCACTGTGCAAATCGACCAACACCACATCAGAGACACGCAGTTTCCGCCCCTTGAGTGGCGTCCGCACAGCGTTTCGCTCACAAAACAGGATATCCTGGCTCCTGTCGCTCCCGAATTACAAGGGGAAATACCATCTTATCTGCGTCCGGGATTTTTCGCTGGTTGTACGGAGTGGGGAGCACCGGGCTCTCTTGGTGAACCTGGTGGCTTTCTTGAGTATGCTTCAAGGGCGCGGTTGGATGTTATGGTTTCAGGTGGGGCCGATGATCAAGATAAATAGTGCCCGGTGGGTATATCCAGTGGATCGAGGCCAATCTGTACAGCTTCATTGTAGTCGCTGCGAGGCCCGACGCACCGAGGGAAAATGCCGATACGCTTGTGCGCGAGGGACGCCGGGTTATCGAGGCGACGCGAGTGTCTTATAAGTTCGTTTCCACCCCACACCTTCCGCACAAAACTACTTGTACCAAGAATAACAACTGGCTCCGCGACCTCCCAACAACCTGCCAGAACACCGGTCTTGCACAAGTCCAACGAATCAAACCCCCGATGATCGAGAGTCTGTGACTGATTTGGGACTACTTGGACGTCGGCGCACCATGGACGCAGTTCAGCTGCGCGATTCTAGAAAAATGTGGTCCGAATGCCATTCTCCGGAGTGGGGATGAGCTTGGCAGCCTGGGCCCTGTTGTTGAAGATGCCGCGGGAGTTGGAGGGGGCAGGGGGCCGCTTCGTTTGATGCTGGGAGGCCAGTCGGTGAGCGGGAGGGAGAGTGAGATATGTAGGGGGCCTATGTGGGTAGTATGCGGGTTTAGATTACTGCCGACTTGAAGGGCTGAGCCGGCCCGGATCTTGCGTAGGGTGGATAATCGTGTCCCGTAACTACCAGCAGCCTGTTGGAATGCAGGATGCTCCCTCCCCCTTGCGAGGACATTTGAAGCTAGCGGCCGCGCCAAGCAACGCTACACATTATCCCGCAGCCAATGGATGGAACCAAGCTGCCAGGTCGGATTTGAGGGAATATAAAAAGTTTCCAGGTCGCTATCAGATGCCATAATTCATTCACATTTACATCTCTCAGAACCTTATATTGTGATTTCACCTACCCAAAGTATCGCAAATAATCCGCTACGCAAGGCCAAGTTAGCAGTGCGCTCAACACACCATCCCACCGAGCTGACACGGCACACACATACCTGCAAGCCCCCACGACCGCGCCGCATACGCAATAACCAAGCGAAACGGCTCAACATCCACACGTACGCCAGGAATCGTCTGGTTCAACCACATCGCCACCCGCGCGGTTTCGCCCGTGCATATTAGCGAGGGCAGCGGCACGCAGCGGAGCTTTTTATGTCTATCCAGCGCGCTGAACTTTGCGCAGATGTCGCGCACCATGCTTATGATTGAACGGAGCGCGAGGATGGAGCGTTCGGTTGCTGGTGATTGTGATGGGGGGATACTATGCGGATATGGATTATTGGGTTGGAGCTGGGGATGGGTTTGAGTTTCGAGTGCTAGGCGGGTTTTGTGGAGGTGTAGAGCGGCCCTACGTCTGGTTAGTTATTCTTTCGCTCGATGCGGAGGTGCCCGGGGCAGAGAACTCACATCAAGGCCGTCGCATTTGCCCCACAGAGAACCTCCCAGCTCCCCGGCGTCTGCTCGAAAAGCCTCTGCATAAACTGCAACAACACCCCATCGACCCCATCCATCTGCTCCCCCACCATCTCACGATCCCCATTGGAGATCCTAGAGAGCATCTGCACGTGACCCAGTATGCGCACAGCCTGGATCTCCCGAGCGAAATAGCACAGCGGGATATGGATCGGGGTTGAGAAGGACGGCTCCTCGAAGCCGCGGCTTGGGGATTCGGGGGGTCGGTCCCATTCGCGGTCGTCGATGGGCAGGCGGTAGGTCACCGGGGGTTCTTCGGCGGCGTGCGGGGTGGAGGGGGTGGATTCGACTTGGTGGATGAGTCTGGGGCGGTTGAGATTGTTAGAAGTGCTCGCGATGTCATTTGTGCATGTACAGACTGGAGGTGTTTTACCGGTCGAGAATGTACACGCCCAGCCATACCCTCCGTTGCTCCTCCGATCTCACCCAGGACGGGTCAGTGTGATGCGGATCGTCTACGTTCAACCGCAGAAGATATCCCACCCTCGCACACGTTCCAATGGTCAGGGACGCAGCCTGTGACTGGCCCGACCCCAGTTCATATACCGCAAGTAGCAGGCCAGCCTGCACGAACTCGAGCGACGGACTACGGCTCATCTGCAGAAATGAAAAGAGATATCGACAGAGGCTGTACAGCTGGCTTTCCTTTCCCATACTATCTTGACGCCGGGTCTCCAGCACGAGTAACATGGCAAGAAAAATCAGTGCAACCTCTGCCTCGGGGGCTGCGCCTAGCTGAAACGCTCTCGTTCGGAGTGTCTGTTCGTGGATTACCGGTAGCCAGGGGTGGATGTTCGCGAAATAGCTGTCCAGCGCCCCGGCCAGGGACTGGTTCTGCTCGACCATTGTGGTCATGGCCAGGCCACCGAAGAACCGATCGAGATCGAGGCCCCGAGCGCGCATGTTTTGTTGATAGGGCTGGAGAGACTCTAGCGTGCCGGGGAGCCACATGTGGTCGCCTGTTACGGGAATGTGGAAGACCAGAAAGTCGGCGAGCGACAGGTGCGGGTTGAATTGGGGGGCCCATTGATCCCAGTGGTAGCTGCAATTCGTCTTCATTCTACGGATGTTAGCGACAGTCGGCAGAGGATGGGTTGTCGTACTTTGTACATCTCGAGCAGCTGGGGAGCGTCTTGTCGCATCGCCTCTTTTGACTGCGGCAGCATGCGCAGGCGTTTGCCGAGTAGCGTGGCGCATTGGGAGTCGACCTATCTCCATGCATGACAGGTCTGAATTTCAAGCTCGAATACGTCGTAGTAGATGGGCCAAAGGATGAAAACGACGAGGACGAGCGAGGCGTCAACGCGCCCGTCGAACTCCCCTCGTAGGGCTGCTTTAGCTGATGGACCTGTGATAGATCGCGGTATACACTCGGCGGGTACACTCCCTCAACCCCAGCCGATAGAAATGTGGATTGATCGCCCGCCATGCTGGACATTCCATGGTCTGCACGACTGAGGATGGTGCAAGTGGCGCCAGGAAGTCAGCGGCAGCTCTGCTCCAATAACCCAAGCTGAGACGCTTGTCTGGATCTGTATTAGCGGGCTGGCAATAATCCAATCGCATGGCGCGTGTTATCCCCGATCAGCCACGGACTCCGGTCGCCGCCTGCATGAGCTGATGGACATTCCGAGCTGCGATGACAAACAAGATTTGACAGCTCATTGTGGGTGTTCACTCTTCTCCGACCATCTATCTAGCCCAAGGACCAGTTACTATGAGACTATGAGACTATGAGAGGAAGAATTCAGCCGCAAAACTTGCCCGACGCGGTTAGTCGCTCGTCAGTTGCTTAGACTTAGTCTCGATCGCTCGGTCGCTGGCATCTCAATTTCCCCAGCTCTCGCCAATGATGACGCTACCGACTTTTTCCCTGGGTCGATCTGTGCGACATCCATCGTCAGCAAGCATAATAGCTTCCACTCGCCACCCAATCCCCGGCGTTGCAACTTGTAGAACAAAGCATACTAAGGCCGAGGCGCGGGCATGCAGTTATCTCCGGGCTTATCGACGACGTCATGAGCAGATATATAGTTGCAAGAACGACCCCAACTTCAATCGCGTACAATCATCCTGTTCATCTAGTTCATTCCGGTCCATTCAATTCCACCCAAGCCTCCCAAGTACCACGACCCATCTTGGAAAATGCCCCGCCTCTCCGGAAAAGTCGCCCTAGTAACCGGCGCCTCGCGCGGAATCGGCCGCGCCACAGCCCTCGCACTCGCAAAGGACGGCGCAAGCGTGGTGGTCAACTACATCTCCTCCTCAAAGGCAGCCGAAGAAGTCGTTTCTGAAATCGGTTCGGACCGGGCAATCGCAATCCAAGCCGACGTGTCGAAGCGCGACGAGATCGCGCGCCTCATCAAAGAAACCGTTGACCGGTTCGGGAAAATCGACATTCTCGTGCTGAATGCCGGTCTCCTCTGGCAAAAGGGCGATCTGGCGAGTATCAGCGAGGAAGACTTTGACACGCTTTTCGCGGCAAATGTCAAGGGACCCCTCCTCACCGTCCAGGCGGCTGCGCCGCATATCCCCGATGGAGGGCGCGTGATGCTCTTCTCGACCTCGCTCGCGGCATTCAGCATGGTGACGCCGAATTACCTCCTCTACACGGCGTCCAAGGGAGCGGTTGAGCAGATGACCCGCGTGCTAGCGAAAGACCTTGGACGGAGGGGAGTCACGGTGAATACGATTGCGCCCGGACCGATTGGGACGGACGCGTATTATGTTGGCAAGACGGAGCAGATGGTGCAGATGCAGAGTAACATTGCGCCGGCAGGGAGATTGGGGAAGCCCGAGGAGGTTGCGAATGTGGTGACGTTCCTAGCGGGCGAGGAGAGTTCGTGGGTTAATGGGCAGACGGTCAGGATCAATGGGGGCATGACGGTTGGTTGATATCACATCTTCTCAAGGAAAGGATAGCTCTGTTTCTTATGGATCTACACCGTATAATTGCTTATGACATGTCATGGCCTCTGAAAACATTACTCCTCGCCAATCTTCCTCCACCGCAAATTCACCTTCTCCGGATCCCTCACCTGAAGCGAAACCTGAGCAACCATCAAGCTCCGTGCGCACTGGATTCTCATTGGCTCCCAGAGCTACCTTGCGTTGTGGAAAATTAGAGCCAAACTAGTAGGCGAAGTTGTCAGTTACTCTTGTTATAATATTCTAGCCAGCTACAGTACTTTCGCAAAAATAGGTATGTCCCATGCCTGTGCCCATCCCCCGAAGCCCCCTATAGCGCAATCGGAGTCGCAAGAGCAAGGCTCACAGGCTGACCAGAGAGCTGGACCCAGACGGTCAGGGGATCGCTGCCAAGCTGCTCCGTGGTGAAGCCTTGGGTATCCGAGACTCCACCCGGCAAGGTCACCGGAATCTCTGCGCCGCACTGGTTGTCCTTTGCAGTCACTCTCACACCGGTTATGTAGCCGCCTGAGATCTCGTACCCGAGTGCATACCCACACTGGTCGCGGGTATACCGTTGTAGGAAGTTCTCGGACATCTAGATGGTAAATTTGTTAGCTATTTGCTCATGGCTGCCCGTTTGGAAGAGAAAGGCTCTTGTTACTAACCTGTTGATGGGTGGTCGATACAATCGGCCACGTCACGAGCCTTACCATCTCCTGCACTATGGTTTCTATCCACGCCTGAAAGATCGAGAACCGTCCTGTCGAAGTGCCAATGGTCATGTTTTTCGCATCCACATTGCGTAGGTTCGCCTGGTGGAACATGTAACTGTCATGGTAAAGGCCAAGCAGGTAGACCAAGGTAGTTTCCCTCTCTGCCGCAAGGAGACTGTTAAAGTCTGCACCGGCACTGCCCGCAAATCGATCGACCCACTGCTGTAGAGTGCACTCCGGACTATCGCAGTCAAAGTAAATGCGCGTCGGCCACCGCGGATTCACCTGCATCCCGTCGAACCCGTCAGAGGCGAGGTTAGTAAAGTACGGCCACATCGGGTTCTGCTGATTGCGAAGGACCGGGCGGCTATTATCGCCGACACAGTTTGTGATTCCATTATCGTCCCAGGCCTGGAGCGCGTCACCATTATGCAGGCCCGTGAGCGCGCTGGGGACGATTCCATTTGATGTGAACCTGGTTGCAGACGAGAAGCCCACTTGGGATAACCACGCTTGGTTGAAGGTAATCTCCTTGCTGGCGTCAGAATACGTCACGTTATCCTGGCGGAGGTGCGTGAATGTATGCGAGATGTGGGCGTAGTCGTTGTAGTTCTGCTGCCACCAGCGGAGAAGGTCATCGCTTTCCAGACACGACTCAGTCCAGTTGAACGACGCAGGAGTGGCTGGCCAGACACTTGTGCCGGTTCCCAATGGCTTTTTGAACTCGGGCGGCGTGGGTCCTGGATCTGGGATCACAATAGCCCCGCCATTGCAAACAACCTCGCCAACAGCCTCTGTTGCTGCGACGATATTCCCGTTACCATTGTGTCCGATCTCCATGAAATACACACTGCCGGGGTTCAATTTGCCCCGGATACTCGGCAGCCAGCTGGCAATCCCATTGAGGTCCGCAGGTGTGATGCGAAAGCTGCGGTCACTTTTATACATCTGCGTACTGAGGAACATGTCATCAATCTGCGTGTTGAGATTCACGCGGCGATAGCCTGCGTACACGCCACGGGTGATCCAGGTGATCCATGCATGCTGCAGATACATCGACGTTGCGCTCCAGGTCGTATCGAATGCAATGAAGAATGCCATTTGCTCGCGTCCGTCGAAGTTATTGATCACTGCTGCAACTGTCTCGTTTGCGAACAGCTGGTTGGGCGCGAATGTGGCGATGGCCCTGGTGCTGGTGCTGTTGACGATTGCCGCAGGATAGTGCCAGAGCCCCTTTGTACTGACAGCAGCCCCCGTGCGAAGCCCAGCAGAAGGAAAACCAGACGTATTAGAGAAAGACACCAACTGTTCCATATTCTCACAGCAGGCCCCGGCGACAGGTTTCGTGCCGAATTTGCTCCCAGGGCTGACATCGTACTCGACCAGCCGGACGTGATATTTCAGCTGATAGGCGTAGAGCTGACTCCATTGAGCTGCGGTCAATCCGCTGGTCCAGGTTCCATTCCCATAGTCGTAGCTCACTTCCCCGGCTACGACTATTCCACCGAATCTGCCTCCTCCATCTGGAGAGTCGAGCTCCGGTAGCTGGGCGCCAGTTTGTGGGACGAGCAGCGTTGTATATGGGATCCCGTATGCATTTAGGCCCGAGAACGCGATGCTTGCTTGGGCAGAGTCCCGGGCGATAACCAGGATGTGGGCGGCGAGGATTGAGGCCCCATTGGAAGCAGTGGAGCTCATGGCGGCGACACTGGTAGCGAGAGCGCTGGGGATGTTGGCAATCGCATTGGTAGGGAGAGGAGTGTAGGCGCTTATGTTAAAGGCGCTGAAAGGAATAGATATGGGGATTGTCGAGAACGCGGAGGGAAACAGAGATGGAGCGGCAGGGGTGTTGGGTGGGATGGTGGTCGAGATATTGACCCCCATCACAGGTATCAGGCAGTTTCAGCTAGCAGTACGAGGTAGACAAAATATCAAAGAGTGACTGTAGCCAAGATGTTAATCGGCTTTTGCATGTGTGCGTGAGAGAGAGGAAGGAAGGGGTCCTGAGTGATTATCCTCTCGGCCACCGACGTGTCGCCAAACTGCAGCATATATGTGCTGAGATACATCGGATTGTTTAGCTATGCGCCAAAAGCCTCAGACGCGATAAACTCAATAAGCCTCGAAGGATCTGGACTCGCGTTGCCTCCATTCCATATCACGACGGGGGGTCTTAGCTGAAGCTGAGCTTCGGGGACCGGAGAATGTGGGGGACCTGGATCATCGCCTCAATCTGTCGCACAAGAAAACGCAATATGAATGGCCAGCAAGTGCACCGCGGCTGGTAGGTACTGGCCTATGCGCGATGTATAAGGGTTTATTTGGGGGGAAGAGGTGGCTGATAAACCCGAGATGCCCCAACTACGCGCCGCCCGCCACCACGGATTGCAGGGGGTCATTGCGACATTTTCATTCTTAGCCGTCACCATGTGCCAAGTATTGACATGATGTTGTGTTTCTTCTCCCGACTACCAACCGAGATAGCAATACGAAAGTGTCTACATTACGGCTCCTGAGCAGGATTATGCGTTATTCGCCACAGAATGAGGTGGCAACGAGCCCCTGTTTATAATCATCCATTTCAAGAATAACCCTAGAGTTTATAAAAGTCGAACCGATAGCATTACACAAGTAATCACTTTTTGCTCCCTCTCAAGTGACGAACTTCAGACGTTGCTCTGCGACTGTCAAGGTCTCGGCCAGCATAAACCAGGACTATGCAATCAGGAGCACCCACACGAGCTATGCCTGTTCTCCAAATAATTACAAAGATCACTGCAAGCATCTTCCAGTGTCAATTCCGTCTTCCATCCCAGCTCCTGCGCTGACCGCTCGGTATTCGCAACAGAAGACACCACATCGCCCGGCCTCCTCCCCGCGACATCACAAGGAATCGACCGACGCGAAACACCCTCCAGTGTCTTTATAAGGTCAAGGACGGAATGACCCGACCCGGTGCCCAAATTGAATGTGCGAAAGCTCTCCTTCACACGGCCCTGTATAGCAGCTTCTAGCGCGGCAATGTGCCCGCGGGCCAGGTCGGTGACGTGAATAAAGTCCCTAACCGGGGTCCCATCGTGAGAGTCCCAGTCGTTGCCGTATATGTATGCTTTCTCACTCTGACCTGTCATAACCCCGCTCAGGGCCGCGGGTAGGGTCGTCGAAGGGGTCTTGGGCTCCTCGCCTAGGAGTCCGGACGCATCGCCGCCAATGGGGTTGAAATAGCGCAGGGCGATGATCTTCCATGAGAGATCGCTGCGCACGAGATCAGCCAGGATGGCTTCTCCGAATAGCTTGGTGCGACCATAGGCGTTGGTTATGGTTGAAAAAGTCGACTTGTGATGAGGCGGAAGACCATTGCCAGCTGAGAAGTCGGTCACTTCTTGCTCATGGAGACAGTCTTCCTCGCGGAGCAATTGACCGGCCCCTGCCTGGGAGCCGTAGACGCTGGCAGACGAAGAGAAGATGAAGGTCTTGATGTTGAACTCGTCTAGAAGCCTCAGGAGGCCAAGCAGCCGGGCAATGTTGTTTTCGTAGTATTTCAAGGGATCACAGATGCTCTCTTCCACCTGCTTGAAGGCAGCGAAATGGATAACGCCTATAATCCTTGAGCGGTTCTGTGCTGCTCCTGCTGGTCCGGAGACGTATGCATCAAGGAGGGCCCCCATCGCCGGTACATCGCCATAGTCGGTAACTGAAAGAATTGCCCTGGGGAGGACAGTTTGTCGAGCGGTATGATAGTCCCGCGCGACTGCCAATATGTGAAGAAAGATATGGGGGTAACTGTTACTCAGGTCCTCGACGATGAGAACGTTGTATCCTGATTTCAACAGCTCCAGGCAGGTGTGACTGCCGATGTACCCCAGTCCTCCTGTAACAAGGACATACTGCTCATCTCCGCGTTCAGGCCGTGGTACGGATGCGCTTTCGTATGCCACGTCCGAGTCTGTGCCGGAGGAGGACCGGTCGAAAACAGACTCCAGTGAACTGGACGAGCTCTTTTGGGAAATACCGCCTGAAGCCATCATTTCGTGGGGATAGAAGGCAAGGGGCCGAAAGCGTCAAGGTAGGTACACCATGGGTTATGGATGCACTCGAAATATATGGTGTAGGAAACCAAAGCTCGGGGCATTGTGGAGTCCTCGAAATACATCATGGGAGATCCAGCCCAGGTGCGCTACGGGGGGACGCGGAGCAGGCCTACCTGGGCATCTGTGTCCATTGAATCAATCAAGACGTCAATTATCAGGTCAGCCACTATAGGCAGCACTTCCCAAACCAGCCCATGGCGTGTCGCATCTGCACACTATATAAGAAGTACATATGCCTTTTACCCGTGGAAGAATAAGCCACATGTCGTCCGAAAGCGGGAGATGCGACTCTGTCACCGTTGGGACTAACCGCGCGAGATCCGTTGGGAATGTGCTAAGACCACATGGCGGATCGGCGGAGGATCTGGGCCCATTTGCAAGCCTCTCTTGTTAAAACAAAACTCCAATGATCATTGACAGAGGTTCTGTCTTCTTGGTGGTGATTTATCTAGAGTTTGAGGAATCAACCGCTTTTTGTAGAGAGAGATTCGACGTAACAAACGGCAACATAGCAACCTGATTCAGCCTATCTCTTGACGGGCCTCTGTACCTAGTTTCGATGGAGCCTCAAAGTGATGATTTTGTGCCCGAATGGCAGGGTGCCACGACAGTATACATGCAGGGTAAGCCGCTTTCGTCATGTATGAATCCTCCCATGAGGGCCAGAACTACTGGCATCGAGCTGCGGGGTATATCGATAGTGCATTATGACTAACATGTAGTGTGGTACCTGGACGGCCGTAAGGCGAAATCTCGGCCATCAGTTGTATTTCTTGTTTTCTCGAGAATCACGCCATGTTAAGGAGAATCAGGCGCAATCAGGCGTCCTCATTCACCCTGGCCTACCGCTACAACAATGGACGCGACTTATACGGGGATGCATGCCATCGGCTGGCATGACATGGTCAGCACATGGGGAGGGCGAGTAGGTCTCTCAGCAAATTCCTGTCATATGGAACTATCGCTAATTCCGCGTAGGTCCTTGTTGTTGTCGTGCTCGTTACCATAGGCCTGGGTATTGTCTACGGCTTGTTTATAATTGGAAGGACCGTGTTTGCACAATGGAAGGTATGCACCAGTCTCCAATCAAGGTCACAAAAGCTGAATTCAGGGCCTTTAGAGACGCCGTCAAGCTCCGGGGGCGCCCACGCCGGTTGTCAGCTATATCAACGCCCTCAAGGCTCGCTCACAACCGCTGCGCTCAAATGGACAAGCCGGCAAGAGTTTCAAGTCCTTCAGCGTCTATCTCGGCGGAATAGACAACCCACCGAGCGAAGAACAAGCCCGTCTCTTGTCGGAATGGGATGTCATCGTGGTAAATCCATTCAAGCAGGGTGTCGTAAAGGGGGTGCATAGCCATGACTCTGCATATTATCTGAGTCGACTGGACGTGCAGAGCTGCGTGGGATTTACCTCTAGTACTTCAAATGATAAAGTCATTCAGGCCCTACAGATTCTCTCGAACATCCTCGTCTCATGTTTGAAACTACCCTGTATGCAAGAGACGCCGTTTCATGGCATTGTTCTAGCTCGTTGGGAAGAACATTTCACACCTCCGGTCCTCAGTCATTTGCTTGACTATATCAACCATATCGGTCTCAACGTCTGGCTGGAGATACCACCGGGAACCTTGGGCGACGTGAGCCACTATGATCGCATCAACATGAGCCGTGTGCAGGGGATTATCTTCCGGAATGGTACAATTGCTCCTGATGGGAGCCATCGAGACTACTTCCAAATGTCGCAGGTACGCTCGACCATGCGGGCATTGGCGGCTCAGAAGCCCGCGGGAAGTTGTCACTTTGCCATGATGGAGGTGGTCGACGATGATGTGATGATTCCGCATTCTACTCTGCGGCGCACATTCAAATGGTGCAACTACAACAGTGCTCTGAGTTGGAACGGGCCTAAGTCTGCAGTGATGGATGCGGATGTGGCTGCGTCGAGGAGAGTGGTGGAGGAACCGCTGTCGGCGCTGGCGTGGCTAAGAGACGACTCGGTAGCGAGGATGCACGATCGATGGCGTTTGAATGACGCGGTGAGTGTATTCCTGACGACGAGTGTTTTCTCGGCTAATCTGTGGGAAGATACTGCGCGAAGACGTGGGGCATAAGTCTCTTTTTGAAGCGCTAGACGCTTTTCTTCCGGATCTTGAAGAGAGATTGAGAGTTATTCATACCACGGCGGACGTCGACTCGCTAGGTCTGGAAACACAGGTCAGCAAGGTCGACTTACACCTCAAGCGCTCCTCTCCGGATCCCAATCCTTTCTTGATATCCTCCTCCGGCGTGGACTACACTGGCCTGGGTTGCTTCCAGCTCGGCCTTGACTGCTCGCTAACTGAGATCAATGAGTTACTGAAAGCACAGGTTGGCCTTCGTGATCTGGGTCTTCTGGAGCGGGTTCAGCAGGACAAATTGGACAAGGTGGCCTTGGAGCTACGCACTGCACTGAAAGTTGAGCCCGACAGCCCCACGCCATCCACCACATTTTCGAGCATTCGGGAATTGATCGACCTCCTTTCTCCCAGCGACGCCAAGAGTCACGGTAAACTTCGAGTTTGGGTCGGGCTACACTCCGGATTCCGCACTCGCAGCGAAGCGCAAGTTTGGGGAATATACGGAGTCGACTCCACTACCGGTTCTATAGATATATATCTGTCCAGCAGGACTGCGGATCCTGCAGGCACAATACTACACACCTTCCTGTCAAGTCGCGGATTGACCCGGTTCGAGTGCTTATTAGCAGAAACAATGGTAACAGACGCCAACAACCGGTGCTCTTCGAAATGGGGATTGTCTCCCCGGCTGGTGCGGGATATAGAGGAACTCACACCAGCAGAAACCCTCCAGTGGATGAGGCGTCTGGATCAATCTACGTGCGCGCAATCAGCTGAGCTCACCGCCAAAGTACTGAGTGTCTGCGAGTATCAGGTCCTGGATACCCCTACTCTGTCCCAGCTGCGCCGCATGTCCTCGGTGGAGTATCTCGCCGGTAAAGTGACCCCGGAAGAGCTCGTTCAGTGTCGCCTACAGTGGTACCAGACTCGAGGCGTGACACTTGAGTATACCTCTGCATTGGCGGTGTTCAAGGAGAGTAATGTCCGTCTGGAAGAGGCTCTTGCTCATCGAGACACGGGCACACTTTCCCGGTTACTCACAGTTCTGGATACTGTTCTGCAGGACTCATGCATTGATCCAAAGGCCGACTTTCTGGCAATGTCAGTCTTCTGCGCCGCCCGTAAAGTCGCCCTGGGTGAGATTTTCCTCGAAGTGCTTGATCGGAATCCTCGACCAAATCTGCACCACGTGCAAGCAGCTTGCTTCGCCGAATTCTACGCAGTGGGAGCACGGTGCGACGGCTATTTCGACATGACGCCCAACGAACTCGGCCGCATCCTGTTTGATCAAATCCGCACATACTACCAAAGCCATCCTCCCCCACCCCCTTTACCAGAAGACGGCCCCGACCTGCCAACGAGTTATCATTCAATGGACGTTGACCTGGATCCGGACCCAGGATCTCATGAGCATACCTCTGTGTACTACCGCATCGGGTCACTTGGCATCTTCGCAATCCCAGCACTTATTGATATTATCCTCCTTACCACAGTAGGGCGCGGGCTCTACCTCTCAGCATTCATGGAAAACGCAGACAAGACTATTGCGACTGCTGCGCTGATGGTCTCATTGCTCCTAGGTGGCGCCTTTGGCACGTGGATTACCTCTGGTGGGAGCTATTATATGTGTTCCATGGCCTTCCCTGCAACGAGCATGTTCGTCATGACGCGGTTTGTTGCTGGACTCGCCGTCGTTTTGACAATAGGTGCGGTGACGTGTATTGGAATTGGCATCGCGCAGACCTTTCGCTCGGGGGTAATCTTTCTCCTCTACCTCGTCATTCTTACCACATATCTGATGGTTGTGTCGGCCATGTCCATCTACGAGATCCAGGGGCATCGGTTTCAATCGGTATGTGCAGCCATACGTTGATCTTCGCATTACTCTGACCTTGATAGGGCCGTCTGGTGATTGTAACCTGTGTTCCCATTCTGCTTATCTCTCCCCTCCTCACCACGTGGCTTCATCACGACATCGTGATTTATCCATCTGTCCTGGCGGTCTTCCTAGCGGTCCTTCTCTTCTCTGCACGGCGGGTAGTATCCAAGTGGAACAGCTGGTATCTCGAGATCCCGTGCGTGACGGATGAAGAGGTCATCGAGTGGTATCAACAGACACACTTGTCGCGGAACCCCGATGGAACATGCAAGGGAGAGCCACTATCCTATCTTACGATCCGCCAAGCGCTATGGGATCGTGTTCAACAGGAACAGTCGTTCCGACCCTGGCGACGATCCTCGCCTGATCCGTTTGTCGAGCGGCTGGCGAGGGGCCATCCAGCGGTGATTGTTCTGCTTACTTGGTACTGCAAGTACATGGGGACGCGATTACCACTACCCTACAGCACGACCTGGAACCTGCAACTAAAGTCTGCAATCGAAAGCCTAGTAAAGATGCAAAAGGGACTTAAGCAGCACAGCGCATTTCTGCACTGGGTACACTCTGGGCAGGAAGTCTGGGGCGGGTGTTTATACTTTGCTCTTGCGCTGATGGACAAGTGGACTGCACTCTTCACAGGCGAATCGATCGTTGGTCTCTCTATTTCCAGTGAGACGTATCGGCTGGCTGTGGGATTTGGGCTGGCCTATTATCTAGCGGGTGCGATTATCCTCGACGCGGTTTCCAAGCCGCTCTGGGCTCTCGCCCATAAGGATGGAGACGAGCAGGTATCCAGTCTCGACACTCTACGCGATGCAATCCGCAACACGAAGCGGCAACGCCGGGCACTCTATTGGTCCTACCTCCTGAGGTATACCCTCCTCCACGTCTGGGGACTGGCCATGACAGCGGCTTTGCTATGGGCATTTGAATCCTCGCGCAGCGCAACACAGATGTACCTGGCCTACGTCGGCGCGTACAGCGGCCTCCTGTGGTACCAGTACAGCAGGATATACGCGCGGCATCGGTCTGATCGTCCGTTGGCTCTCGGGACGGCTGTTGGATTCGCGACATGCCTTCTTCTTCGCCTCCTCCCAGAGGGGTTGTCGTATAGTGGTGTGATTGGGCTGGCGGCGGGTACGTGGACCGCGGCGTCTCTGTCGTTTGTCAAGGCGACTGTCGGATGGGCACCGGATATGACGGATGGCACAGAGAACGACTCGGTGGCCGAGGTCGCAACATACACCTGCACCGCCTTGGAGCCAGCAACAGACATCTCGCAGTCCAGCGTGGCTCATACTTTCGGGATGATTACGTCCCTACCGTTGGATCTGCGTCGCAGGGTCGAGCATTCGCAGTACCCCCAAATTATGGAGATACTTCTCTCACCACGTCGATGTCAGGACTCGCGGATTACCCGAGCGTTTCCTCAAGCAAACGACGTGCTACGCCGCACAGCAGCCCTGTGGGAGTCTGGAGAGATAGTGGTGGAGATTGTCTGTTCTCACTCTGTGCTCAGATCAAAGGAGGAGCCGTCATTCCGGTCCGTAACTAAGAAGACTTCGTCATTGCTACATATTATTGTCATCACGCCGTTGGACTCGAGCCAGGATACCCTGCAGGACAGGTATCATACAATAGCCGAAGCGCTAGTGTCGAGCACAGCGGAGAATATCTTCGGCTGGCCGCATGACCACGCCATGCTTGCGGAGATCCTCGTTCACCCGCCGGATGTTGCGAATGGCCGTCTCACGATTGCGGATGGCATCAAGCGCCAACTCCAGTTTTCACCCCGCGAGCGGGACAGCATTGTTCCAAGTACCCAAGAGACTATCCTGCATCACCTTGTTCTGGGTGTGAACACTGGTCAGGAATGGGATCTTCTTCCTCATGACGTTCGCACTTTCCTCTTGCAGCGGGCACGAGGACAGTCACACCAGCTCTCCAGTTCTGTGGCGAGGTGGATGTGTTCGAGGCTCAAACTAACACAGCTAGTGGATGCGGATCTTTGGCTGGCAAGAGCGGATCTGAGTGCCTCACTCGCGGAGGCTGTCAGCGAGTACGCTCAGGCCATTTCTCCCGATTCTGGCGTGTCCAGAGGATCAGACGAAGACTTATTGTGCATTGGGCAGCCTAATCTGCTCGCCAACGAGGATAAGAAGGTGGAGGTGACAGTCCTATCGCATGTTACGAGTCCGAACCGACATGAAGGATCCCCCGAGCTAACCTATAATATAATGGAAGAGAAGCGCTTCCCGGGGGTGGTGAAACAGAGGCTTCTCCAGTTTCATCATGCACTCAACACATGCATCAAATTCACCGTCCTCGCGCTTGTTGCAGATCCCGAGTACCAGAGGGAACTGCACTACATGTTGCGTGGGGAGCCCTCGATTGTCTCATGGCTGGCCGGGCGGTTCCTGACAGCAATCTGGTTATTCTGCAAGGTACTACAAGATGTTGTCCTTCCGGTGGTCCTGGTAAGTGGCTTCCTTGACTATTGTTTGGTCTTACCTATTATTAACGCGGTCAAGCTGCTCGGACGAGAGAGAATCACCACGCTGTACAAGTCCATGAAAGCGGAAACAGTAACAATCGACAAGGACCGGATTGATCTGGTCACCTTGGACGGCCGATTTACGTCTTTCGTGCATTCTGAGCCGGACGGGCGCTTCCAGGTAAACACATATTCAGGTCGCCAGGACCAAGAGCCGAACAAGACCGAGGGCCTGGCCGCGATAAATTCGTACACGAGTGACTGGCTCTTGCGTGCCCGCGATGAATACGATGGCAAGGGTGTTCTGACAAACAGCTTCGTCTATGAATACGCCGCGCAAGTCTCCACGGAGGCTAATACGAAAGTGCCCATCCAACGACTGTGCCTTGCTGGTAAGCTAAAATCGCAAGTGGCGTACTACGATCGTCGAGGGTATATCATCTCCGGCTCTGCACTGCGCGGGACTAAACCTTCTGGGTTCCAATACTGGTATGCGAAAAACGGCGCGGCGGCTGAAGAGATCATCCGCGCCGAATATGCTTTTCCAGACATTACAGTCCAAGTGGCCTGGGCGGTTCCCCGGGCATCGGGGGGATTGGATGAATGGATCCCCTTTCCCCGTGTCACAGCGGCCCTCTTTATCGAGGGCGAGAAGGTCTACAATGCAGTCTGGACCTATGATCACAGGTTTCAGGCAACTCTACGAGTGACCCTCGGTGGTGCCGAGATTCCTGTTCCAGCCATGATCTCCGAGGACTGGTTCAATGTGCTTCAACGACCCACAGTGAACTCCTTCCGAAGCGAGAATCCCCTGGTGGAATTCCCGCCACGGAGGGGTACACTGTCTCGTCTCTTCAAGCGCAATACCAAGCGGTATCCGGTTCCGATATCGCGAGGCCGATCGTACCTTTGGCAAGCGTGGAAAACATCCCATGACGTTGATGCTGTTACTGCTAGATGGCTGGATGAAACGATGATGCGGTCGAGTGTTGTACTCAAACCATATTGGCAGCATCGGGAGCGGGGGAGGCTGGGTGCTGCAACCGAGTATCTCAACGCAAATGCCGACGCCATTCTTCCGGAACTCGATCTTAATCAGAAGATCAGTCCTTGGGTTCCTCTAGCACTCAGGTATAGTGACCTGCACACTTCTGTGGCGAGCACCATACAAACACAACCCCCCCAAACGGATACGACCAGCCGCGACAATCTCCATGTCCTGGCCATGGACACGGGCACATGGCCCAATGAGCCGGGCGGAGTTTCGGCGTGCCGGCGAGATCTCGTTGACAACATCAAGCGAATAAGATGGCATATCATCGCTGAGTCCGCAAATGACTTTGGCCTACCCCGGTTCCAAATCGAGCGCAACGTCGATTCATTGACAATCCTCCCGCAATGGGGACTGGATTTTCTACATCCCACGCATGGGATCTTTCAGCGCTCTCTATATTCGCAAATTGCCGAGAAGACCTGTATTACAACTGACGCCGATATCCGGGTCAATTTCATCCCTATACTATGCACCCTTGTACGGTGCGCTCGCATGGATCGTCTAGACCAGGTCCATCTTAATGAAGCTACGCAGGCGCTGGTGGATCTGAATGATTACTTTCAAGTACGCAGCTGGAATGATGTCTGGATGAGCGATATAGTCAAGCAGACATGGCGAGAGCTCTGGCTCGGCGAAGAGGTGCAGGCAGGTATTCCTGCCTCGCAATGGCTCGAGGCCGAGAGGCCCACAATCTCGCAGCTGGATAATGCGCTGGATATGTGGCATCGCTGTAAGATATCCTTTTATTCCCTCCTTTTGCCACACTCTCACAGCACGAAAGCTTACCCATGCCTCTATAGATCTCTTCATATTCTCCATCCCCGTTCCAGAAAAGATCCCCACTGTATTTCAGGTCTCCCATCACTTCACGGGAGCTACATATGGCGTCTTGTGCAAGATAAAACGCCAGTGCGTACTGCAGGTGTGGGACCACTGCATCAGCTTCCGCGAAATAACCGCCTTCCTCTCCTCAGCCGTCTCGCAGGATTCAGTCTTCGTCAACAACGCCCTGATTAGCCTCGGCCATCTCTCATGCGTCCTCATCCTACACCACGCCGACATTATCCTCCCATGCGGCGAATACTTTAACCCCGGCTGGGAAACCGAGCTCGGAACTTGTCAAGGCACGATCCAGCACCGAAAGCTGTTCATTCGGAAGATTAACGCAGTGGTGAACGGCATCGCAAACATGGAGAAATATAAACCAGCCAAAGAGGCCAAGAAGACGGGCCCGCCGACGGTCGTGATGCTATCGCACGTTCGGTACGTCAAGGATATCAAGACGGCTATACTCGCCGCGGACGTGCTGGTCAACCACTGGGGGTTCCGCGACTACCGGCTTAACGTATATGGCGACATGCAGCGCTCTCCTGGGTACTCGTCCGAGTGTCAACAGATGATTGACGCGAAGGAGCTGCGCGGCCATGTTTTTCTCAAGGGGCTGGGGGACCCGCTTGTTGCGCTTGAAGATGCGGTATGTTTGTGGTTCTATTTCCTGGGTTCTCCGGCTTTCCCGCGTAACATGGACCGAGTGCTAATGAAATACCTTGCGTGTAGTGGCTATTCATGAACTCTTCCATCTCCGAAGGCCTCCCACTAGCCATGGGCGAAGCAGCCCTAGCCGGTCTTCCCGTCGTCTGCACGGACGTCGGATCGTCCTTCTGCGTCGTGACAGACCCAATCACGGGTCAAAAATTCAGCGAGGTCGTAGCGCCCAATGACCCAACGTCGCTTGCAGCAGCGCAGATCCGCATTCTGGCACTATTGGGGCCCTGGGCAGAATTTGCTGAAGATGAGCAGGATCATGTTCCTCCTACGTTATCGCTCAGGCCGTCGGAAGACGAGGTGGAGCTGATTACGCGGCGGATGTACGATAAGGCTGAGCAGAGAAGGAACCTGGGGCTTTTGGGGCGCGCGAATATTTATAAGAATTTCTCGAGCGAGCGGTATCTGCGTGAACATGAGCAGATGTTGAGGTTGGGGGATTATCGCAGTCGGTGGGGTGATACCAGGTCAAGTAAGGACATCTGATGTTATGGGAAGTCGACCACAATGCGTTCATTTTCATGTCAGGGGCACTGCAGTCCGTATTTAGCGAGTCACATAAACTAATTCAGTATTCTACTCTGCACTATCATACTTTTTTGTGTTCTTGTTTCTAAAGTTTTAGCTCTTCTCACCCTGTCCAGGAACCCTCATGGCAATGTCATACGCCGGAATCGCCAGAAGCACAACAGTCGCGACACCAAAAACCCCCAGTACAACAAGCGGCTTGATATAAGTGATGACTCCGACGCCCATGTGCTCTAGGAGGAGCATACCGAGGAAGGCCTTAACCAGTGTTCGCGTTGACATGACGACTTCCTTGCGCGCCCACTGCAACCCAGGACGTCCTCGGAGGGCGGTCACCAAGTGCGCATCGAACAAGAGCCGACCGACAAAACTTCGTGTTAGAAAGTTCCGCGGGTTGATAATGAGATTCGCCCCGTTATCTAGTGGAGCTATGCCCCAGTGTACACGGACAGTGGCAAAAAATCTCTTCTTGGCCTGTACCGTCGACAGAAAGACTGACTATACCAGATTGGTGGACGTGTGTTCGACGTACCTCAGAGAAGATATGTACAATCGGAACGAGCGCCGACCATGGAGGCGGGACGAAGGGGTAGGCCAGGTCCCACGCCCGAAATGGTTATCGCAAGAAACAGCGCACGCTTCTAGGACGCCTCAAGACGACCGAGACCTTGGCTATATTTAGGAAGTGTTCCCCAGCAGAGCAGAATGACGGCCCACCGACTGACCAGCGTGACCCGAAGACGTCCAGAACATAGCCAGAATTCATGCATCGAGGAATGCCCGGAATCTGGACTGGATTGGATAGCGTGTCACCAAGGTTGCTTTGTTACCAGTTCCACAAGGAGATGGTATATGAGAGCATGGAAGCTAGAAGCATCATGCGCTGAGACACGGGATAGCGAAACTCGCGGATAAGAGTGCGGTTGAAGGTCGAGAGTACAGCAAAGGCATCCAGGACCGCGGTGAGACTTAGCGCAAATCACACATCGACGGATGCCCGGAAAGAAGAGCTGCTGTCATGGGCCTGTATACTTGCAAAAGCAACCCTTGATGGAGCGCCGGATGCGGGGGCGTGCGAGGCGAACAGCCAAGGTTGTAGGATTCGGGGGTGAACCTTAATTTCTGATCACTCCATCATAGCGCTCTGGAAATTAGGGAAAAGGCACGTATAAAAGGTCCCTCTGGACTGACTATGAGTGGACCTGTCTGCTATGATTTCAATAAGCCCTACACGCAGGGCAATGAGATTGCAACCTCGGTGCACTTACTGTGGCGGGAATACTAGGACGGGCTGAGGTTGATAGATAAAGATGTATGAACTCCTGTGCTATACGACGAGTCCGGTAAAGTGTGTTCTAGATTCCCATCAACCTCATGCCTTCAGATAAAGAAGTATGGTGTCGCATGGCAGTCCTTTCCAGATTCGCGGCGAGGCGCCTGAAAGCGTTTCTGTGCTCAACAGCTTCCCATGTCCATCCTGAACCCTCTTTATACTCGAATGACAAGTTGAGATCAAGGAGAAACGCCAAGACATGGTTGTGGAAATCCCGCGCAAGACCTCCTCTAGGCAATTCGGATGCGACTATGAGACTTCTGGAATCGAAGTACCCCCGCGAATCGGTCAGGTCCTCCTCGTTGCTCGGCTCAATGTCTCCATATATCTCCCGGCACCAGGGTTCCAAGACACCTTCTAACAGGCTGACTCCAATGCTTTCAGCCGCGTCATGTTCCTCTTCCCTGTGCCTCATCACCTCGGTGAGAAAAAGGGAGGCGTCTGCGCAAATCCAGGCCAGGTTACTGCGAACCACTTTATCCACCCCGATAGCTCGCTTGAAATAGCCCAGTGTTGCTATACTTTGGTTGAGATCATTGAGGATGTTCTCCCATCGACCCTCGTCGATTCTAGGCCTGTAGAGATTTTCTTTTCGGCGTTCCTGTTCTATTATCGTTGTCAACTTTTGAATCTCACGGTATGAGCCCAGAAATAAGTACTCCAAGATGAGGACATTGCTTACCTTCTCTCAATAAGTCCTTGACAACCCTTGCGCACTCTTCACGTAGCTCTCTTATCCAGTTTTCCTCGATTTCCGCTGCCCCTGAACGATGCGAGAAAGCCTGCACAAACTCCACCAGGAGAAGCCGACGAAAACAGCCATACGTCGGATAGTAATTGACAGCATAGCTTGGGTGGAATGCGTTTATTCTTTTCGTGGTCGACCCGTCATAGATCGTGAATTCCAGCTCATCGTGTACCTTTCCAACCCCTCTGCTGCTCAACCCTCTGACAATCGGATTATCAGTCTCAGAGCGACCTACCCGATAGCAGCATAGGACCACATCAGGCTTCTTTGCCTTAACCATTCTACTGAAAGTAGCCTGTGCCTCCTTAAGAATGCGGGCGTCATGCGTATCATCAGCACAGTACGGCAGGGTGTCGAACACGCTGACATCGTCCAGTCCCATTCGCCCCCCAGTCGCCGCCTCAATCAGGTCGCGAACTGCGCGTGTCGTGCGGCAATCGTGTACATCTGCCACGAAGCCCTTGTCGAATTCTTGACTGCTATGCGGCTGCAGGAGTGCCACTAGCACGCCCCCTTTTGTCGCGGGTTTCGCAAGCTCCAGTGCATGGTGGATTCTCGTATTCTTCAGCCTTGCTCCATCCCAGGTTAATGATTCTCCCCAATCCTTCAAGATGTTAAGATGGTCGCTTGTTTCGGTATACACCGGAAATTGCAGATGCTGGATTATGTGCAGGAGTCTGTGGTCGACTGGGATGTCTAGACACTCCATATCGTTGACGACTTTGCGTGGTAAAATCAAAGCTTCAGGTTAACGAGTTGCACAGCGAAACTTGGGTCGCATAAGCGTTGCCAGAGTTCTGTGGGCTGGCGCCGCAATTTATCCTCCAGCATTCAAGGCAGACTTGACAGTGGCCGCAAGGCTTCGTGGCTGCCTCCGCCAACAATTGAGCCTTGCTGTGGCACCTCGCATCCTTGCACACCGAGCCTCTGCGCAAAGATTATCATTGGTTGTAAGATGCTGACCTCGCATGCGAACAGTCCTGGGCGTTCAGAGTGGTTTACCTAGGATATTACGTGGTGCCAATCTCCCACTATCATCCGGTGCCTGCCAAGTGCCCCTGGACAAACATGTGTTACGGTCAGATCTTGGATAATGGCTGTGCCCTGCACATTGAGGCTGAGTTTTGCAGAGAAGGCTATTATTACGGCGATGAGATCACCAGTAGTGTCTTTCTAGCCAACAACATTGGGAAGAGTGACGGGAATCTCGTGGCCAGTTCCACTCCCTAGCAGCTTCAGGGAGTCACTAACTAGTATACTGCACCAATGACGGTTGTCTGATATATTTATAATGTAGCGGCGAATATCGCCAGGGATGTAGCGACTGCTCTCTAGTCGACGGGAAAGCACTCTCCTGCAGCTGCCTCATCGCGTCGCGTCCAAACGCAGTCGATACGACGTTGAATCTTGGGATCTCCCTCTCCCTTCTCGCTCCTCACTCAAGTCACTCCCTTCCCATTCAAAATGATACAGAGGAACATATCGCAAACTACAACGGCCACCTCCTCTCAAACCAAACCGGACCCATAACCTGCATCCCAACCAAGTCCTCGATCCCCGTCCCAAGCGACTTCAGCGTCGTCGTCCAAGTCTCCAGGACAAACAACTCGTGCGCGTCATTCGGCGGGACAGTCAGCATGGACGATCCGACCGATTGCTGCTTCTTTAATCTGGGCGTTGATGTCGAGTGGGTGGCTGTTAGTACGGGTAAGAACCAGGGCAGGAGGCATACGGGGTGCTCAAATGGAAGACGCATGGAGCTGTGCATAACAACCAGCCATAATATTAAACAGCGAGAGATTATATTATTTCAATTGGTCCATATTGTGGCCATCAGCTTGGTATGACACCCTAGGCGGGCTACGCGATGACTGGAATAATAGCCTGATGATGGCTTCCTACATCCAACCCTCACCCAGCATGCGGACCACCGCATTCAAATCCCCATGTATCCCCACAGCCAGCCCATCCTCCTCGAGATCCCAAGGCGCACACCCCGCCGCATCAAGCCCAGCCCTAATCAACCGGGATCCACGGCCTGCCGACTCCTCTACCAGCTCGTCATTCGCCCAGCGGAGCACAGCTGGTGTATTCATCCCCACGCCGAGCTCCAGGATCACAGCTTTGGGACCTGCACCGCCATCCCCTTCACACGACGTAGCACCTATGGTGCTCGATACATGCTCGATGAATCGCTTGTATTCCCTCTCCTGCGCTTTGAACGGGGACGAGTTAAAGTAGTCGCCGCCCCGTACACATAACGTGAGCTCCCCACCGCAGTACTTGCACGCGGGGACCTTCGACGAATCAGTCAGACACTGCGTCCGTGGATCTAAGAATGGAAGCGCAGCGTCAACAAAGGGCGCAGATGGAAACACAGCTTCGCGCCGACACTTGGCGAAACACTGCAGGAACGCATACTGCCCCTGGGGCGTCGAGATCCTCGACGGATGGAATCCATTCGCGACGAAGAGCCCATCGGCATTCGACGTGCGTACGAAGCACCTACCCCTGAATCGCTCGGCAATGGTGCGTAAATTCGCATATAGCGCCGACTCCGGCCAGGTCCGTACCATCTGGAGATGGTGGAAATAATATCCCCATTTCTGCTCTGGGGATTCCCACCCGTCGAAGCCGAAGACGTCGTATAGTTGACGGAAGCCCAGTGGGAGGAAGGCCGGGAAGTGTTTTGCGAACAGGTCTGATGATGTATAGTCGAGCCCTGTTGCCGCTGATAGCCCGGCGCCGGCGCTTATTATTAGGTAGTCTGCGCTGCGGAGCCATGATTTTGCTGTGAGTATGGAGTCGGGGATGAGGGGGTGGGGTGGTTCGGCTGGGGTTGGGTTCAGGGTTATTGTCGCGCGATCGGCCGAGTGGATTGGCAGGGCTGCCATGTTCTCATTATAAAGATCCCAATCCCGCTGCAAGAACATATCAAAGATAACATCCGTAATCGTCGTCTCAGGATGCTTCGAACACCACTCAACAACGGTATCCAGCGCAATCTTTGCAGCAACATCCGAAGGGAACGCAAAGAGTCCAGTCGAGATACAGCAGAAAACAAGGACCTTCCTCCCATCCCCCAACGTTGTCAATCCTTCCGCGGCTTCAAGGCACGACACATAACACTCTCGCAAAACCCGTCGGTCATCTTCATTCGGACTCCGCCCGTCACTGAGCTCCGGGCCAACGGTGTGGATGACATACCGCCCGTGCAGGTTGAATCCGGGCGTGACTTTGGCTCGTCCACTCGGCTCCTCGCATCCCTGCTCCTGCATGAGCTCGTAACAAGCGCAGCGGAGACGTGGCCCTGCGGCGGAATGAATGACATTATCGATACACCGGTGCGAGGGCCGGAAACAGCCGAGCATTTGCGAGTTCGCGGCGTTGACGATGGCTGTTACGTCCGTTAAGGTTGTGATGTCGCCTTTCCAGAGGGAGATGCGTATTTGTTTTGGTGTGTGGGTGCTGGGAGTCGTTCTGTGTGTTATGGTAATCCGCGGCGAGATTGAGGATGAGGTTGTGAGGAGGGAGTGGCTGCTTCGGTGTGTGAGGACTTTGTCGATGTCAGAGACGAGATCCGGTGGGAGGGTGAGCGAGGGATCCAGTTGGCAGAGGATCGCGCGGAGGGTCTCTAGCTGTGCGTATATGTCTAGCTCGGATACTCTGTGGTGGTGTCTGGTGTGTCGGCCGGTTATTTTGAACAGCTGCTGGAGACATCGCTCTAGTGTTTGTGACAGTGGTCGTGCTGGTTCGGTATCTGCCAGCATGGGCGCCCTGCCATCCATGGTAACCTGGGATAGGAGCTCGGAGAGCATGTTGGTTGTGCTCAGGACAAGATCTAGAATCTGGTTGAGAAGCCGGCGATCTTCATCATGTTAAGAACGTGATGGGTTGGTCTTTGTGTTGCTCCGGCTTATCAATGAACAGCCGGTGGGATATCCCACTTGTTCGCCGGGCGCTGACTGTTCTGAGTGATTTGTAACACAAGCCCTAAGAAACCATCCTTCGTAATTCAGATTATCAATCGACCGTCTTCTCTGTTTCAAATGGCGATCCAGGTTCCAGGGGAATGGTACAACCTTCCGGGGCCTTGAGGACGGATGGAGTGCTTGGGAGAAGGACTTAAATCCATCTAGGGCCTCAACATCTGGCTTTTTGAAGCCATCAAGGAACCTCTTTGTTCTCTAGAATGGTCTACACTCGCCCTTGAAAGTGCCTTCACCAACTAACATATGAGCGTTGTTGCTCTGCCCAACTACCAAAGGAGAGATTCGCGCGGGTGCTTTATTGAGCCATCAGCACTTCTCATGACGATCCAGAAGGATTCTCTTGAAAAGGGGTTTGCGATTCTACAAGCATCCAGGAATGCCAAGTCCCACCGCACAGCGATTTAACTGGAATGGTTGGATTTCCAGGCAAACACCCGAAAAGGGCGCGGTCAATCGGCTGGCCAAGCAAACATCACATGCCAGACAGGAATCCCACGCTTATGGGGATCAGTAAAGAATGGAAGGACGTAAAGACAGGCAGTCATCTTCGTCAGACCAATAACATCATGTCGTACCATCATGTTGCAACAGCCTGTCATGACATCAACACCATATCACAATATCAGCTTAGTGCATAGTGGTAGATGTCATATCTGCGGAAACTCCATCATCACTATTCTATATTCATGGTTAACTAATCAAGGAGACTTTTGCTAGAATAGGTCTATAAATACTCTTAATTCTTCCTTTATCTTCTTGCTTTACTTGTCCATATTACATCTTTGAGATACACCAACAAAGATATACTCTTAAGTCAGGTACGTATATCTTCAGGTCTTACCTAGAGATACAATCTAACTAACTGTAGATCAGAAGAAATGGAGCGCCCAGGAGATAGGATCAAAGAGAATCTTGAGTACGCAAAGGGCCAGGCGCGCGATACTTTCGGAAAGGTCTTTAATCAAGGCAAGTACTATTACTGCACTGATTAATCCATACACATGTCTATTCCATGCAGGGCTAAGTTGTACACTTCATTTAGACTCTCAGCACGGTGGTAAGCTGTTGTCCTGGGTATCCTTTCTTTTGTCCGCTTTTTCGTTTAATACTTGCCTACAGAACATGCTACGGAGCGCGTCAAAGACCGGGCGAATGAGAGTTTGACTGGGGCGAAACAGGAGATAGGCTCAATGCCTGATGCAGCAGCTAATGCCGGTGCTAAAGATAAGAAATAGGTTATGGAAGCCACCTTGAAGTAAAGGATGAGAATCCCAGAGCAAAATATATTGTCTGGGATGACTCAAGAGCCGTCGTTTATATTATGGTATAGGCTGGCACGTACATCTTCAATGCACTTGTTTATGAATACTATTTCAACCTATAGTCGTTGTCTTTAGAAGATCGCGCTCCCTTATAGCCTGGAGGTAAGTTTCCCGTGCCTCGACGCAGCCGGGTTCTCTCCACCCACCCTAGCCAGCTTCCAGATGGTGGTTTCTTCTGCCCGAGTAGGTGCGATCATCTTAAGCAAGCCAAAATCCTCTCGTCGACTACTCTTCTAACGCTGGGTACAAGGATGCCTTCAACATTATGTTCATTGGTTACGGTATCGTCACGAACTAGCAAGAAACCCCAACCAGCAATCAACCTCCAACAACTCTCCCAATCCCCTCTCCCAATTCTTAACATCCCGAAAGATATCACAAATAAGCGGCGGATCACGCGCATACGCCCCAGACTCCAACTGCGCATGATACCGACCATAAAAGTCCCTCGTCTCCGGTGCATCCCATAGATATCCGTTCTCGGGTAGCGGAAACTCCAAATCCTCGACCCGTAACATCCCCGTTCGGAAAAGCGTGTTCACCTTGAATAGTGCCAGCGCGAGCCGCTGTGTTTCCTCGATGTATGTCCATGCGAAGAGCATCGAGTCGCTGGGGTGGATTTGGGCGCGCATGCGCTCGTGGCTGAAGAGGCCGCCCGCGATGCAGGTTGTTGTTAGGGCGCGGAGGAGGGATGAGCAGCGTTCTTGGAGGTTGGAGGTTGCTTCGCGGATTGCGGCGAATATGATGTTGAGGAGGATTGCTTGGAATGTCGCCAGGGGCCAGACTTTGTCTTTGAATTCTTTTTGCGATTTCCAGTCGCCCTGTTGATTGGTTAGATTGGCCGAGCAAATGGGGTTGCTGGATGATAGACTCACTATTCGACTTTCCAGAAGCGCCACCAATTTGCCGTGCATCGTCTCTGCTCGTTCCCGCGATGATGAATCGCCCGTCACCCAGAGCCCGATCATGACAACTGTAAGAAGCAGCACTTTTGGTCCGGAGTCTTTGGACCGCATAAACGATGGCTTGTGTAGAAACGGCCATTGCGCATGAAAATGGGCAAAATACACCTCGACATTGTAGTCGATATCCAGGTCAGAAGAGGAGTTCTCTGCATGTCTATTCACACTTGTTTTGGCCGCCGACCCAGGGACCAGGATGCGATTTTGGCGGAGCTCTTCCTCATGCTGCCGGATGATGGATTGCTGGATAGCGCTGTGGTCGGGTAGCGACATCGCTCCGGGACTATCGAAATCCACAAACGGCAACGAATCCCCGTACGACGAGCCCTGCGACTCGCTCACAGAGCTACTACTGCCCGCAATGCCAATTTCCATCGCAGGCGGTCCCTTGGACGGCCTTTTCGAGCGCCTGTCAAACGTACAGCACAGCCCGCGCCGGGAACAGACATCGCAAGGCTGCCGCCCGTCACACCGGGTCTTATTGGCGTGGCAGCGATCACAAGCTTTCGCAGCGCGAGGCGTGCTATCCGCTTCCTCGCGTAGGTGTAACTGCTGGTGCCGACGGAGTGTGTCTGAGCGCTCGAATGTTTTGTCGCAGTGCTCGCAGGCGAGTTGGGAGCTGTCGTCGTGCTTCTTTGCGTGGCGCGTCAGGTGCTCCTTTCGTCGGTACTGCGCGGTGCAGCCGGGATAATCGCAGGAGAGCATGTTTCAAGTTTCAGGAGTGAATCTGAGTGTAGCAGGGAAATTCCCCTGGAAATGGCGACATTTTGCTTGATTTTTCAAGACTACAAATCTTTGCCGGTGGGATGGGCGAAAGAGCCGGTGGGATGAAAGAAGTGGGGTACAGTCTGCTTTCAGTGGACAGGGCGGCTCTCCCAATTCTCAGCAGCCAAGCCCGTCAATTTAGCGGCCTTTCAGCCAAGTCCATGGAACCATCGAGGCGGATGTATACACGCAAAGGGTTCCAAGCCTCTAAATCCGAGCCCAGAGTGAGCCCGACGTCCGAACCCGAGTGGGATACCCGGAATATCACATCATTTGCTGAGAAACGCGTACAAGATGATGGAATCGACCAGGGTTATGTGGTGAGAGGGGGACAAAGAGAAGATATATAAGTGAGGTGTTTCCATCTTGCACCTTCTCTGGTGTAACACAACACTTCCCCTTGACTCCGCAACAACTTTCACACCTGAATCTCACCCTTCTCAAGCTTCATCTACACCATGACTGCTATTCGCAGCGTCGTCCTCGCTGGAGTATGTCCCCCTTCTCTCTAGATGACTAGTCTAACAACCCCAGGTCAGCGGCAACCTCGGCCCAGCCATCCTCTCCGCCGTCTCCGCTGCCCCCTTCAACGTGACCGTCTTCACCCGCCCCGGCTCCTCCCCTCCCAAGACCCCCGGCGTCGAAACCATCGAAGTCGACTACGAGTCCATCGACGACCTCGCCTCCAAGCTACATGGCAAAGACGCCGTCATCTCCACCATCCCACCCACCGCCGCAGCCGCACAAACCAACCTCATCCACGCCGCTGCCACCGCCAAGGTCGCTCGCTTCATTCCCTCCGAATTTGGATCCGATCTTGATAATCCACTGAACCGCGCCGCGCCCGTATACCGGCCCAAGGTCGAGGCGCAGGAGCTGCTCAAGTCGTTGGCGGCCGAGGGCAAGCTGACCTATACGATTGTGTACACGGGCGCGTTCCTTGACTGGGGTCTTCGTGCGGGGTTCCCGATTAACCCTGTCAAGAAGATTGCTGCGCTGCATGATGGTGGGGAGCGGTTGTATAGTACGACCACCCTTGCGACGATCGGCAAGGCGGTTGTTGGTGTCTTGAACCATGTCGAGGAGACGAAGAACCGTGTTGTGCGTGTCGGAGAAGCTAGCACGACCTTGAAGGAGGTTCTTGCGCTTTCGCAGGAGATTGTCGGCAGCGATGGTTGGACTGTTACCGAGCCCGATACCACTGAGGCGGTTGAGAAGGCGCTCGTTCAGGTGAAGCAGGGGAACATTAGCCACGAGACCATCTTCCCCTTTATCTTCAAGGCGATCTGGGGTGCGGAGAATGGTGGACACTTTGACAAGACGGATAATGAGCTGCTGGGAATTCAGCAGCTGGACAAGGCTGGTATCAAGCGGGTCATCCAGAGTGTTGTTGACGGCGAGTGAGCTACGGATACACGGGACCACATGTTTTCGGAAAGAGTCATGTAAAGACAGAACTTCGCATTCTAGGCATGATACTATCAAAGTTTATCGTCGCGATCGACTTCTGTAGGCCGTCTAGACAAACATTTACTTTTCGTGAGCCGCCTTGACAGCACGCACAATATCATCAGGTCCCAGCCCTTGGGCATTGATCTGCTCGTACAGACCACCGCAGCCCTCCTTGACCGCACCCATCATGCGATACTTGGGCGTAAGCTTGCGATCCAACAAGTGGCTACCCAGCCGCGAGCCAAGGCTCGTCTTCTGCGCCAAACTCTCCACAACAACAACAAACGGCGAAGACCCATAGACCTTGATCGCCTCCTCATCGACCACATTCAGTGTCGGCTTATTCACAAGACCGACGTCGATCCCTTCCTTCCGTAGTCTCTCAACGGCGTCCAGAGACCGGTACAGCATGTCGCCGTAGGAAATCACATACCCAGCCTTGCCCCGGCGGATAAACTCCTCCTTGCCAGGCACAAACTTGTAGTCGCCGCCATAGAGCTTCTCCTCACTGTTCTCCTTGAGGATGTAGGGTGTCTTGGAGCGGGTGGAGAAGATGAAGCGCAGACCTTTGGTGAAGAAGACGGATCTGACGACTGCCTTCATCTGCTCGCCGTCGGCCGGGAAATACAAGCCCGTGCTCACGGCGTCCATGAGCCCGTTATCCGCGAAGAAGTTGTTGATGCCAAAGTGGCACGTGTTATCCGCGATCTCGTCCACGCCGCTGTGGCTAAAGTGCGAGAGCACACTGCATCCGTTCAATCGCGCCATGGTGATTTCCGAAATACACATTTCCAGGAACGCGGCAAAGGTCGAGAAGACACCCTGGCGGGACCCGTCGCTTCCGAACCCGAACCCCGCGGCTGCACTAAAGTTCCCGCGCTCCATGACTCCAGACGAGACGTACACCTCCGGGTGCTTCTGGTGGATGCCCTTTAGCCCCGTCGACCCCTCGAGGTCCGAGTCAATGACCATCACGCGCCTCTTGGCTTCTTCCTCGCTCAGCTCGTCGAGGACCGAGTTGACGGCTTCGCCGAAGATCACGCGGTTCGATCCCTTGTCCTTCGTCGATCCCAAGTACTGGTGCGGGTTCCCCTTCGCCTTGATCTGGTCGTAGAAGGCCAGGTCCTTTTCCGCGTAGCCGCGCTTGGTCAGGTACTTGCGTGCAACGTCCACGGGGACGACGTCGTGCGCGTGAATCTTGCCTTCGAGTTCTGGAATTCCAGGCGCCATCTTGCGGTCCACGATAACCGCCGTAGGCCCGTTGGTCTGAATAGTCTTGACCATAGCACCATAAAGCGAGTCGATATTCTCGCCCTGCGCCCGGACGACCGTCAACCCGTGTCCCGAAAGCGTTTTCTCCAGCTCGTACCCCTTCAGATACTGGCTCGGGTGTCCCGCAATAGTCACATCATTGTTATCGATGAACAATTTCACATTGAGGTTATTCGCAACGGCGATCCGTGCCGCTTCAGCGTCATTCCCTTCCTGCTGCGACCCATCGGACCCAAGCATGAAGACCGCCTTGTCGCGGTGTGCCATCGCAATCCCATTAACCATCGCCCACATATGTCCCAACCGTCCTGAACTGAATTTCACACCAGGTGTGAGCCCCAACTCCGGATGGCCTGGAAGCTTCGAGTTCGCATCGCGATAATTCAGCAGGTGATCCGGCTCAATCTTTCCATCGATCGCGGCAAGCAGGTACTGCGTCGCCACGCGATGTCCCGCCTCGTCGAAGATGGCGTCGTAGTATTTCTCGGGGTTCGCGTTGAGAAAGCCGAGCAGGATGCAGACTTCGGGGGCTGTGTCGAAGGGACCGCCTGTGTGGCCGGCCTGTCCGCGCGCGGAGCCGGTCGCGGTGAAGGCGACGATGGCGTCGCGGAAGATGTTGATGTTGTGCTGGAGGTCTTTCTTTTGGTCGGGGGTGAGGGTGGTGTTTTTGGGGTTGAGGGTGAGTTTTTTGAATTGTTTCAGGTCTACGGGGAGGTGGTAGCCTGTCATTGTGGATATTCTTTCTTTCTGGATTGACAGGTGTTATTTGTGGATTGAAAGTGGCAGATTTGACAGAATGAGTGTTTGATTGAGATGAAGATTTTTAAAAGATGCTATGTGGGAGGTGAGGGGGGCTTACCTGCATGTGATGTCATACAGAGGACATCCCTTACAGCGGATGATATCATGGCCGAGACCGCACAATACGCATTATGAGTGGACTGAGTTTATTCCATTCAACCGGAGCGTTCTCGTCCGCTTATGCAGCGGAAAGGCGTCTTTTATTGCACGCTGCTGGTTGCTCTCGATCTATCAGTAGCATCTAAGCTATGTGTTGAAGGGGATGTGCTCCGGATACCGAGCCCCAGCCACGGGGAACTTCTTGAGAATCGCATCAACCGCCGCGAAATCCTCCTCCGTAATCTCAACAACCTTACTATTCTCCTCGACACGCGCCGCCGTCGTCGCGCCAGGAATCGGAATAATCGTAGGCATCCCGGGACGATTCGACAACGCGCGGACCCAGTTGATAGCGAACTGCGCCGTGGTGCACGCCTTGTTGGCAGCGAGCTCTTCCACCTTCCGGACGAGCTCCATGTTGATCTCAAAGTTCTCGCGCTGGAAGCGCGGGTAGTTGCGCAGCATCGAGTCCTGCGGGATATCCTCGAATTTGCGGATCTGGCCGGTCAACAGGCCTCGGCCGATTGGGGAGTAGGCGACCAGGGGGATGCCGTACTGCGCGCATGCGGCGGCGACGCCGTTCTCCAAGGGGTCAGTGGTGAACCTGGAATACAGCGTTAGCTTAGCTTAGCTCATACTCTTAGTAGACTGGAGATTCAACAGGCAGGCGTACATGGACAGTTCGACCTCCACAGCAACGATTTTGGTGTGCTTAACTGCCTCATGGATTGTCTCTGCACGGACCTCCGAGAGTGCAACACCTCCGATCTTCCCTGCCTGGACGTACTCATTGAGCACACCAAAGGTAACCTCCATCGGCACCTTCTGGTCGCGGCGCGCAAACTCGAACTGGTCGATCTTCTTGCGGCCTTTCAATTGTGCGATGCTGTCTTCCACGGTCCGTCGCGTGCCCTCTGCGTCGCCTTCTGGTTTCATTGTCTTTAGGTTGACGCCCCCTTTGATGTTTAGCAGGACCTTGTCTGCGTCTTCGGGGTATCGTTCGAAGTAGCGCTCCAGCAGGACGAGCGTGTTGTATGATGGGGGACCGTAGAACTCGCCGCCGTTCCAGAGGTTGCCTAATCGATCCAGTAAATACACGATTAAATTGAGAGCCTGGGTAGAGGAAGAAACGTACATCCATTCTGCAGTGCAGTGCGCATCGTCTCAAACGCCTGCTCCTGCGAGACTGGGTTTGGTCGCCAAGTCAAGCCCATGAGGCCGAAGCCAATGGGGCCGACTTCTTGTCCACCGATTTGAACCATGGCTATCGTGTTAGAAGAAGAAGCAATTGTTATCAACAGCTTAGTATGAACGGCAAAAGGATCGAGAGGTCAGGGATTATGAAGTAACACGGACGGGGATTCATTGGCGGTGTTAAGGGAAAAAGGGCCGGGCCCACCACGTCAGCACGCAAAGACAAGCGCCATCGAAGCTTCGATCGGCTCTTGCCGAGAGCCGGTTCTTTGTTGCTCCTGCATCACTAATCATTTTCCAGTTTCCACACTCCTGGTGACCCATCATTATCTCCGTCGATTTCTCATATTTCCATCGGCTTTAACACTCGATTTCCGTGGCCTTGACCTTGTCCAACTCGAGGCCCGCACCGACCTGCGACACATACGTCCGGAACTTCCTCGCCGGCAACCCCGCCTGAAACATCTCCTGAATCTCCACAACAGTCCTCCCCTTGAGCTCCGGCAAGCAAAAGAACAAATAAACACACATGGGCAAACTCAGGCCAAAGAAAATGAAACAGATCTTCCCGCCGAGATCCGCCTCCTCCGTATTGAGCAGATACGGCATGATCTGCAGCACGGCGCACGAGACCGCCGTCGCGGACATGATGTTGATCGAGTAGGTTTTCTGCCTTAGTAGCGGACTCGGCGTTTCGCCTCCCACCGCATATGAGACGGCGCCCAGTGTTGCTTGGTATAGGAAGCCCCAGACCGTCATGAATGCGACCGTGGCTTTTAGCGCGGAGGGGGTGGTGCTTATGCTGATTAGGCCGATTAGCAGGAGGCCTGCTGTCATTATGAACATTCCGCCGACGATTAGGGGTCTGGAGCTGCCTGTTAGCTGTGGCTACTGCAATGGAAGGGTTCAGGGTTAGGTGCGCACCGACGACCCAGTCGATCGACCAACGGCCACGAGCAGATATTTCCGAAGAGCTGAATCGCAAACGCCGCCTGGGCAAGCGCAATCGCGTCATTAACGCCGGCCAGTTTGAAGTAATAACTAATCAATAAATCAGTGGTGGGAAAACCGGCACACGGATCGCAGCGGACTTACGTGAGGTACCCGGACACAAAGTTAACCCCGACAAACTGCTGCGCAATGTACACCATGCAGACGATGAGTGTCCTCCGCCCGTCGCTTCCCTTGAAGCAATCCAGCCACGCGGATCCCGTCCTCGCGAGTTCTTGCTCCTGTGCTACAGCGGCGACAGTTACGGCCATGGCGCCCTGTACGTCGAATCTGGGGCCGTTGAAGCGGCGGAAGGACGCGGCGGCTTCTTCAGGGCGGCCTTTCATGATGAGCCAGGAGGGGGACTCGGGGAGGAAAGGGAGGCCGATCAACAGCAGGCAGGGTGGAATGAGTTGGGTGATGATGGGGATCCGCCAGCCGAGACTGTCGGTTCGGTCTGAGGAGCCGAGGACGGCGGCGGAGTTGAGCCATTGGCCGAGGACGATCATTGTGTTCTGGTCAGGTGTCAGTAAGGGGCAGCAGATTGATGGTAGGCGGGCACAAGTGGGAAACGACACGCAAGGGATGACATACCACCAACGCAAGACACAATCCACGAACTTTGACGGGTGCCAATTCCGCGACGAACACCGGTCCAAGAGAGTGTCCCAATCCAAACCCAAATGCTCCCAGCAGCTTACCACCAAAGAGTTGCATGATCGTCTCACTAAAGTATTGCGTGATGATACCAGCAACGCAGAGCAGGCAACCGATGATGATCGTTTTCTTCCGCCCCATGATATCCGAGATGAAGCCTGTAGCAAAGGCTGAGCAAAATAGACCGACTGTTGTTGCTGCATTCAAGATCTGCTGGTCGACAGCTCTTATCTCGCGGATACCGGAACTCGTTTCAACTCCGAATTGATCGAGAAAGGATTCGACGGCGAGCAAGTTCCCGACGGTGCTGTTTTCGTAGCCGAAGTTGATGGGCAGGAGGAAGATAAACAGACCTAGAGGGAAATCAGCATGGCTTCCGCACGGGGGGGGCGTTGTTGATACTTACACCACGCTAGGACACGCTTGTGCTCCCATAGTTCGCCCCAGGTTATCTTTCCTGAGTTCGGGTCGGAAGACTCGACATGCTCTGCGTGCTGAGCGTCATTATCGGTCTTGTCCTTGATAGCAGACATCTCAAATACCGGTGATTTGCTTGTTCTGCCTCTTCTGCACAGTGGTTATGGGGAATGACGGCCTTTTATGCACCTTCTCCATGCTTGCCATGTGCTGCAATCCCCATGGGGCGACCCGGATTTACCCCAAGTCGCACGTCTCAATACCCGCAGAGCGGCTTCGATCCTCCGTAGGCGTAGAACTACCGTTTCTAGACCTCCGGTGCTTGCGATATCCTTGTTCAGAGACCGCCAAGGAGCGATGTCAAATACGGGATGGTTTACGAAGCAGGATGCCGGGTGAACTTCGGCAGACACTCAGACAACCCCATGGGAGTTGAATGCCGCTTACTAACTAATTCCGTGGAGGAACTTGATCTTCATCCTCCGCACTTGATGCCTCGGGGAGTTGGGGCGGTCGATACGTCCTCGGAGACCTACGCGGTATCGCGAACCATTACATGGACGAGAAGGATACCGCGCTCAAAGACGGGAAGAGCTTTACATCGAACCATGCGACGATCTGGCGATGGCGCTATGCATTCCAGAATCATTTCGCTTTGTGCATGCAGTGGGCGTTATCTAGTGACCTGTCGAAAGCGAATCATGCCCCAGTGGTTATTGTCAGCGATGGCAAGAGCAAAACTACATCCGGCCCAGAGCCATTCTTCATCGAAGCTGAAGCTGGATCCCGCATTACGCTCGATGCCTCGAATCCTACGATCCAGATGACGATGAACTTACTCGCCGCTGTTTTCAGTATAAAGAGGCTACTGCGGCACAGTCGCACATCCACTGGCCCGTTGTGCTGGATGTTACCTTCGAGTCCCGAGAAGGAAATTCCATTCCCCTCTCGTGCGCGCCTGCTCAGCCTTTTCCATCGTAATTCCCCGATAATTCGCCGCTGGGCCGTCAATTCCAAGCGTGGTCGGCCATTTCCCCGAAGGATCAGAAAGCACCAATGCCAATCTTTACCCCGAAGGACTGCGGGGCTCCGGCCGGATGCTGCAACTGCCGGTGGCCCGTGGCTGGTGCTTCCCCATGGGGAGTAGCATTTCTTGCAGTCTTGAGTCAACTAGCCACTTATGTTGCTTTTACCCCGCTGAGAGTGCCTGCTTCTCCACGTCGGGGTATGCTGGCTGACGTCAGGCAGCTACCCTATTTCCCCGACGGGATGCATCATGAAGAACTTGGTTACAACCGGAGATTCCGAAGATCCGTCTATAAATGCGAGCGGGTAGGCACCTGCTATAGGTGTCTGTGGTGAAATAGCGGGAATAATCTTACGCCAAAATGAAGACTGAGCTCGTGCTAGCGGCTGTAGCGACCAGCGCCCATGCACAACAGCTGTACGTTTCGATCGCTGGATATACGGAGCGGGCACAATGTACCAAGCCTCCGTCTACGCCAAGCTATCGCTTTGAAAGTTTCTCGTTTACACAGAATGAGACTGTCAGGTGAGTGCCAGAGCCAGAGATCCGGCCTTCAGACAACAGTACTAACATTATTAGACAAGCCATCCCGGTGCCTTCGCCCACGACCACTCACGCATATGGCCCTGGCTACGAAGAGGCCTACTCGCTCCTAGGAACAAGCCTGTCTACAACAACCTGGGGTAGCTGGTTGCCTAATGCCACATCCATTTCTGCAACCGACACGGATGACTTATACGGACAGGCCGCCTGGTCCTCTTTGTGGGTACAAGCAGATCTCGCAAACTACACATCGGTCGGTCTATACACAACCACCGTGGAGCCTACCCCCGTCCCATCAAGCGAGCTCGTCCTTCCGCCCCGCGACTACTTTGGCCCAACAGATTGCTACACCTTCCCAGAGGACTTCCTCTTCGGCGTCGCTGCCTCCGCCGCTCAGATCGAAGGCGCAATCGCGCTCGAAGGTCGCGGACCAACCCTGATGGAGAAGCTGATCCGCGGTGATCGGCCGACGAACTACATTACGAATGAAAACTATTTCCTCTACAAGCAGGATCTGCAGCGTCTTGCGGCCATGGGCGTGAAATACTACAGTTTCTCGATCCCCTGGTCGCGCATCTTACCATTCACTGTCCCTGGAAGTCCTGTTAACCAGGAGGCCATTAAGCACTATGATGATCTGATCAACTACACCCTGGAACTTGGCATGGTTCCCGTCGTGACAATGATCCACTTCGACTCACCGCTGTACTTCCTCAAGGACAGTAACATGTCTGCAACGCCTGATATCGGCTACAACAACGGTGGCTACTGGCATCCCGAGTTTGTCGAGTCATTCGTGAACTACGGGAAGATCCTCTTAACCCACTTTGCGGACCGCGTCCCCGTCTGGACAACATTCAATGAGCCACTGCTTTATGCGTTCAACTTTACAGGAATTGACAATGTTGTCAGGGCACACGCGGAGCTGTACCACTATTATCATGACGTCCTCAACGGGACAGGCAAAGTCGGATTTAAGCTAAATGATAACTTTGGTGTTCCCAAGAACCCCGAGAACGCGACAGAAGTCGACGCCGCGAACCGCTTTAACGAGATGCAGCTTGGCGGCTTTGGGAATCCACTCTGTCTCGGCGAGCAGTACCCGCAGTCCCTCCTTGACACTTTACCCGGCGCGCAGCCACTCACTGACGAGGACCTGGCGTACGTATCAAACACTACCGACTTCTTCGGTATAGATCCCTACACCGCAACGGTGATTTCCGTCCCTGCAGAGGGAATCGAGTCCTGCGCGCGGCAGAATCTCAGCACGAACCCTCTGTACCCGTACTGCGTCACGCAAGAACAAACCAACATCTACGGCTGGAACATCGGCTACCGCTCCGAGAGCTACGTCTACATAACCCCAACATACCTCCGCTCCTACCTATCCTACCTCTGGAACACATGGCGCAAACCCGTGCTGATCGGCGAATTCGGCTTCCCCATCCACGACGAAGCATCGCGAGACTTACCAGACCAACTCTTCGACTCGCCCCGGAGCGCGTATTACCTCTCGTACCTGTCCGAAACGCTCAAAGCGATCTGGGAGGATGGTGTGCATGTCATGGGGGCGTTTGCGTGGAGCTTTATGGATAATTGGGAGTTTGGGGATTATGCGTCGCAATTTGGGCTTCAGGTCGTGAATCGCACAAGCCAGGAGAGGTTTTATAAGAAGAGTTTCTTTGATATGGTTGATTTTGTGGGGGCGAGGGGTGGACTTGGGCATGATCATTAAATAAATCGCCTACCCTAATGTAGCTGGATAGGGGAATGTATTTGCTCTATACCTCTATGTCTGGGCTCTATACAAAGCCCCTAGCGCTTTCCCCTTTGAGAATACATACTGATGCCAAGCGATGTAGGTTCATTGAGCAAAGTGACAGGATGAATGCTACCCTCTTCCAATCCTGGTGGCTAGGCTGAGGATGAGAATGGTGAGGGCAGTAAGCAGGGCGATTGGAGATAACTTGTATATTTTGTCCTTGCCCCTGGGAAGGCCAAATCACTTGCGTGAATCTGGCCCGACGATGTTCCACTATCTGCTGTACCTCTAAACGACGCGAAGCCAGCCATTCCCCGGTGTACTCTACCCGTGGGAACAATCTGATGTTGAAGCTGGAGGAACTTCTGTCTGTGATCCACTTGGACGCAGTGTCATAGTTCAATACCTCAGAGCATGTCTGCCGGCGCGTCTTGTCAATTGTCTCTTCTTCGGACTTTTTGTTGAGGCGATGATTGGAGGGCAGGCAGATGAACGCCTAGAGCTTAGGATATATATCTCGCGGCAGTATGGTTTGGGTCGGTCAAGCATCCAGATTCGTCTGGGGACAGGCACTACTGGGCACAGGGACCTTGTTCCATGGCGACTGGAAAGACTAGTAGTAGTATACCGCGGTATTCATCGCAAAGACACGGTGCGGTGCCAGCAGCAGCCACGCTGGCTATACCGGATGGTGGAATTCAGAGGCCTATTCAAGATCGACTAGTGTATGGATCCACTGCGTCCCACAACTTGAAAGCGCTTACCCCGAGGGCGGCTAAGCAGTCCCTCAGCTACTATTGGACCTTGTGGAATATATATCCGATGTCCTCGATCTCCATACGCGGCGACCAACCCGATACCAGCCCAATCTTCTGGGCAAACAGGGAGAAAGTGACTCTGTTCTCCTTTTTCCGCTCCCCTTGCTGGCGGTGCGATCTAAGACCCTTACATAGCTGATCATGTTTGGTCCTACTCAAGCTACCCTGGGTACTGACAACAACCTGCGCGGACAGACGACAGGGAGTCCACTGCCAGCCACTAGGCATGCGATTGACCTCTGCCGCATAAACAAATATGAAGCCTTTCAAAGCCTTTCAAGCACGTGGCTAGCTAGCTTGGCGCGTCCTGATACAGCAAGTGGTGTTTTTGGGGGGTTTGACAGCCAGGGCTGCCGCGGGGGTTTAGTAATGCAATGCATCAATAGCAACAACGTCCTTCTCCACATCCAAGTATGAAGGGGGAACCAGTGCTGTGAAGCACACTTAGAGAGATACGGACAGGAGTGCCTCCTGCTGACCTGCCCCGTGGCGGTGCGGGTGCGGATGATCATAAGGATGATGGGTAAGGGCGTGGCGAAGAGGTTCCTGACTAGTGAAGCTACCACCAACCAAATAAATAAACAAAGAGCGGTGCGAGCGTATACGAAGTACTACTAGGCAACGAGCGAAGGCCCGCCCGCGTTTGTCGTGTCGACCTCTATCAGAACCTCTCCTCCACGAACAACACCCCTTGCCATGGGCTTCATCGTCACAAGGGTAGTTAATCCATTATGATTTTCCCCGATCTGAACCAGTCCTGCTTACGCTAAGCGCCGGGGCATACAATGACGTGCGACGCTAAAACCAGAGTGAGGGGGTGGTGCGCCGCAAAGCTGCCCAGGTATATCTGGGGTAGGCGCAATGTTGCGCGCGGTTGGTCTGGTGTTGATTTACCTTCTCCTGCTATGACTGCGACTGGGGTCTTGCTTTTGACAACCGCAGTGAATGGAAGCAAGCATGCACGACCCCACAAACGACTGTGGAGGGCATGCACCCTGCCGGATCGAGTCTGGGACTGGGACTGGGACTGGGACTGGGGATATCGCAGCCCTTGTCGCAATGTGCGTCGGGATGCTGATATTGCGCAGGCGGGTAATTCGGGCGAGAAACTCGGAAACAGAGGCTATGCGACATAGATCTGGAAACAATAACTGTGGTTGTGGATAATGAGCATGGAACACAATGTTGGATTAGTAGAGTGTTGAGTACGCGTCTGAGGCGCCGAGCAGACCAACAAAGGAGCCCCCGGAACTGATATACTGAAAAGACAATTCATGCTAAAGAGCCGTCAAGTGACAAGGAAGCAATCTCCGGTGCTAATCACATCAAATGGTACGATTTGCCTGCGTACTATAGATTGCCTGCTTACCTCGCCATCGCCTCTCACTGCGCAATTGACAATTCGCCTTCGAAATGGCGTGCAAAAATCAATGTCACCCTATCGAAATATCCGAGGATATCTCACGATTCAGAGGGTGCAATATCGTCTTTTCCTTCGGCGTCCCAAGCGTGGTGTGGTCTGATGCTGAAAGGCGCCAGCATCATGAGTCGAAATTCATCACATCGCTGACTGTTGGATCTTGTCCAAGTTTCCGAATTTCATGCCCAGCACTCGAGTCATTGTTAATTATTCTCGGTTCCACTCCATAGAGACCTTATCAGCCGAGAATCCACCTCCTAATTCCCAACAACCAACCTAGTTGTAGAACTGGTAGATAGACGCTGGGCCCAAAAATGGGTTTGGCCCACTTGGAAACCCAGAGAGAAGTTCAGAACTGACAATCTGACAGGTCGGCGGCCTGACCTGCAGGAAAAGGCTAGTCCACGGTTGGTGTGGAAGTTTGGAAGGCGTAGGGAAACTTTTTGGGGCGGCGTCTGTGCGGACTTTTCCGCCACTCTGCAGGAGGCCGAGGCTAGATGGAAATACCATTTGGGGGCGAAGAGTATGGAGTACAGAGCCCGGAGTATACCATGGCCTGTGCGAGGGTTCAGACTTTCGATTTTCGGAGGAAGAGTTTCTTGATCGTCGCAAAAGTGAGACCATCAACAGTACCGCGTGATGTCTTTCCAAGTTCCAAAGTCCTGCGACAGGGCATCTTTTTCCAACTTCGCTTAACATATTTTGTCTTGGCAGAATTTACGATGGTAAGGCCATTTACAAATCAGCCAGCGTGATACGATCCTTTGTTGGATGCTCTCGAACACGCGGGAGAACTGAACAGATATCAGGCCCTTTCCAAGTCGCGAGGCTTGGCAGGTCGCAGTGCTCCAGGACGAAAGGCTGACTTGGGAAGATGCCCCGAAGCACCGGCTGTGGATCCTGAATGCACGAATCTGATTGCTGTTCAGTGTTTGCCACGACACCAACACCCCGCAGCCGCCGGACTCGTGGCGAGGTTGGATCTTGGAGAATTCGGATTGGAAAATCAGTCGTTTGTGCGAGATTTCAGAAGTCATGATTGATCCATTTGGGTTTCCATTATGCCAGCAAAATCTCCTGTTGGTCTGCTCTCTGGACCTGGATGCGACTCCACTTGATCATGGTCGACTCGACAGTTGTGGGTCCACCCCCGGTCGCCAGCACCCCAAAGGTTGGAGATACGAGGTTAAACCCAACTTCCTGTTTAACAGTTAGTACAGCGTGAGGTCGCATCAACCTTGCTGCAGTTAAACCTAAATAGATTGCCAGACGTTCGTTGGGGTAGACCAGTCGTTGTCAATGCAATTCCTGCGCCAGACATTAAGCGAATAGGCTCTTCGCCCCACAGCCCGAAACCGCCAAGCTCATTCTCGACTGGCAGCATTGCTGAGCCGTGGGCACGAGACAGTCCAAGGGTTGGCATTAACAATGTGATCTTCTGGCCCAACATTGACAGTTTGGAGCAGTCTTTGTGTCTGATCACTTTCGACTGTCTTTCCGTATGCGTATACAGACGCTTTGGCACTTGTTGATAGAATCCCTGTCTAGTCTGAGACTTATCTCGTCAAGATAGTCTTATCTCGCGTGCTTCCCCGACTGTATCCGCTTTGCTAACCAGCATTGGCAGCCACGTTGCAGTGAGCCCGGCGGTATCCGAGACATGATATATGGGGAGAGGTCACGACACCGGACAGGCTGATTGCGCCAAGGCTGGCGGAAGATTCCAAGAAGAGCTTATTGGCCCGACGCCCAGGCCACTCTGCATGCTGGCAGCTGCGTGGCGACAAGCCGTTGCTTAGCTGGAGGGGGATATTTTGTAGATACACCTTGTCGATACTGCAGATTATCCTGCCAATTGGATATACATCCCCCTTGGCAAGTCAAGCCGTGATAAGGATATTGGCAAACCTGGGCAGGAGGCAGGCGTGCAGGGGCGGCTTCAGCCGACGGGCACTTGGCGCAGCGCTGGTGGCTTGAGCGATGTAACTATGAACCAGCCAAGCAGGCCAAGTCCGTTGGCTGTCATTGGCTCCTCGCTTGTCCCGACAGCATGTTGCAATCACGCCTAATATCGCAAGATCCCTCGGATGTCCCTGGGTTACATCGCCCACCCCGGCCAATTGAGCACGCCCCCCTTATCGCTTCACACAGGCTGCGACACTTTTAAACCTCGCTGATCCCTTCTGTTCTGCCCACGGTGCAGGGTTTTCTCATTCCATCCTCGATCATCCTCCTCACCTCCGTATGATGGCCGCCCACAACGACATCGCCGTCGCGCACGACGCCCCAGGCATCGAGCCTGTCGGGGCCGAAAAGGAAATCCTCAAGGCGCCCTCGGTCCAGGACAGCGAGGTCCTCGAGGGCACCTCGACCAAGTCGATCGAGAAGCCCACCGACGAGGAGCTCAACAGCCTGCGCCGTGTGTCGGGAAAAATCCCCTGGATCATGTGGACGATTGCCTTTGTCGAGCTGTGCGAGCGTTTCTCATACTATGGGTCCGCCGTCCTGTACACCAACTTTGTCAACCGCCCGCTGCCTCCGGGCTCCACCACGGGCTCTGCCCCCGACGGCCTCCCCGGTGCGCTGGGACTGGGCCCCAAGGCCGCCCAGGGAATCAGCTTGACCAACCAGTTCTTCGCTTACCTGACCCCGCTCATGGGTGCCTGGATTGCTGATGCGCGATGGGGTCGTTACTGGACTCTGCATCTGGCCATTGGTATCTGTACCGTTGCCCATACTGTCCTCGTCGCCTCGTCTGCGCCCAGCGTGATTGTCAAGCCCGACTCCGCCCTCGCTGCGTTTGTCATTGGCTTCCTCACCCTCTGCGTCGGCAGTGGTTTCTTCAAGGCCTGCGTCGCCCCCTTGCTCGCTGAACAAAACGAGGACGACCAGATCCGCGTCGAGGTGCAAAACGGCGAGCGCGTCATCGTCGACCCGGCCATCACCAACAGCCGCATCTTCCTGTGGTACTACTTCTTCATCAACGTCGGCTCCCTCAGCGGCCAGATCTCCATGGTCTACGTGGAAAAGTACGTCGGCTTCTGGCTCGCCTTCCTCATCCCCACCGTCCTCTTCCTCGTCGCCCCCTTTGTCCTCTGGTCCAACAAGAAGCGCTACCGCCTCAGCCCGCCCACCGGCTCCGTCCTCTCCAAGTTCTTCAAGGTCGTCTGGTTCGGCAAGAAGCGCTCCAACGGCATCCGCAACTTCGACTGGGACACCGTCAAGCCGTCCAACGTTCCCATCGAGCAGCGGCCCAGCTGGCTCACCTACGACGACGCCTGGGTCGACGAGATCCGCCGCGGTCTCATGGCCTGCAAGGTCTTCCTCTTCCTCCCCGTCTTCTTCCTCGCCTACAACCAAATGACCGGCAACCTCACCATCCAGGCCGGAACCATGGAACTCCACGGCGTCCCCAACGACATCATCCAGAACCTCAACCCCATCTCCATCGTCATCATGGTCCCCCTCATCGACAACCTGCTGTACCCGGGTCTCCGCAAGATCGGCGTCGCCTTCACCCCGATCAAGCGCATGACCACGGGCTTCTTCATGTCCTGCGCGTCCATGGTCGCCTCCGCCGTGATGCAGTACTACATCTACAAAAAGTCCCCCTGCGGCTGGCACGCCAACAAGATCCTCGACGACGGCACCCCCTGCGCCCCGGCCCCCATCAACGTCTGGGCCCAGTGCCTCCCCTACATCCTCATCGGTCTCTCCGAGATCTTCACCAACGTCACCTCGTACGAGTACGCCTTCTCCAAGGCCCCGCTCAACATGAAGTCCGTCGTCATGTCCGTCAACCTGTTCATGAGCGCCATCTCCGCCGCCATCGGCCAGGCCTTCACCCCGCTCTCCGATGACCCCTTGCTCGTCTGGAACTACACTGTCATCGCCTGCATCGCCCTCGTCGGCGGCACGGCCTTCTGGTTCTGCTTCCGCCATCTCGATACCGATGAGGATAAGTGGAACATGCTGGCCAAGACCAAGTTCATTGGAGGGAACCAGCCCACTGCTGCGGAGCTGGACAAGGTTCGCGATGCTTGAGTTGCGTAGTTGATAGAGCGGAGTTCGGCATGTGACCTGGGGTCCTTGTCGAGGGTTTGTGGTATCGTGTGGTATGATGCTGAGAAGTCGCAGTCATCTCCCGGGGATGTATATAGTTTACGTGAACGGAACGCAACGTTACGTTGAGATGCTTAATGGCCAGTATTAGGTGTTGACGACCACGTCACGAGTAATCGAAGTCTATTCTAAATAACCCTGTCTTGCCACGCCACTCCGTAATTACGTAGGCAGTCAAGTCACGCAGGAGTCACTTGGGACCATGACGGGTTCCTTGAAGTGCATGATTCGAGTAGGAGGACGATCGCATCTCTCGCCCGAGTTCGTATTCGAAGCTTAACGCCGGCGGACCATGGATGCGGTCAACCAACCAACCCATTGTCTGGCACGCCGCGGAAATCGACTCCGCTCCTCGTCTCCTCGTCTAATTTCCTCCTCTTCCCTTTTGCCCGGTCAAACGACACATGCTAGACTGTCTGATTCCAGGACAAATGCCACGCAGGCTCTGCTACAAGTGCGGTATCATAGACAAACCTTAAGGAGACCCGAAAAGGGAGATACCATATCCGACAGAACTGCTCCCGTAGTGGCAGCCATGATATCAAGGACGATCCTGGCGGGCGCAAAGGTTGGTTTGGTCGAGATGAGACATGGTACTCGGCTTGTGAAGGGTCATGAGCCGCTCAACGCGCCTTTGATAAACGTCCCTGAACCGCTACCGCTAGCTGCCTCGAGTAAGTTCTGCCTGAATATACTTCAACTGCGATCATCCGCAGTGTTGGTGCCAGGCCACGTCATGTCACGTCCGACGAACCATGTAGAATGACTTGGCCAGGACCGGCCCGTGCAAGCAAGCTACTTTACCCATAACTGAAGGAATATGTTTTTAAGATGACATTGATTGATGACAATTCGCTGGACCGGCGGTTGAGAATAAGCTTTTTTCTCGTCCTTCGCGATCCGGTGAGATGGGAAATAGAACTCATGCTCCATGGTTTACGCTTTCTTTTCTGGACGTCACGATGGCTTGATATTCGGGAATTCTCTGCGTCGCAGCTGCCAATCCGCGTCAAAGGGCTCGAGATAGATTTAGTAACGAAAGGCTAGCGGAAAGAGGCGACGTAGTGGATAGTCTATATCCTATCTGAAGTATGATGTAATAAGCAACCGCCTGAGCAGTTCTCCAGGGTCGTGCTATCCGAGTTCACAGCGGTCGAAATCAAGGGGGATCATTTTTGGAATCCCCATCGTGATGTAGTAGGGCAAAGGTCTCTAATTTTGAGGATAAGGAATCGTCGGTCTTAGCGAGATATGAATCCGTACATGGCATACTCGCAGCTTTGCCTTCCAACTCCGCCTAAAAATACCACCTGTGTGGATTCTTATCCCCACCGAATTGATCGAAACGGGCACTGAGCACACCTCTCCCCGGCACCGCTCAGTTCAGACACCTGCACTACGGATGGTACCTAGGTCAGTAATCGCCATCCCCTCGTCCCCACCCGGCCTCTCAGCCTCCCCAGCGACACTACCATCGTGCTCATCCTCGCTAACCGGTGCACCCAGCACACCCTGCGCCAGAGTCTGCGGCCGCCGAATGTCCCCGCCCTTATCCGCTTCCCCGCGCTCGACAAGCCGAATATCGCGATACTGCACCCGGGTCTCCCACGCCTTCTCCCCGCGCACAAACATCCCATCGACATCCTCCAGCGTCTTGCCCGCCGTCTCCGGGAAGAAGAAGTAAACGTGCACCGTCATCGCCGCACAGAAGACCCCGAAGAGGAGATACACCTTCCACTTGATGTTCTCAAACGCCGGCGGCACAAAGTAACTCAGTGCGAAGTTGAAGATCCAGTTTGAGCTCGTCGTGACGGCCACGGCTTTGCCGCGCAGATGAAGGGGGAACAGCTCAGGGGGATAGATCCAGCTGACTGGGCCCCAGGTTGGTGCGTAGGATGCGACGAAGAGATATGTGCATGCTATGACGGCCTTTGCTGCGGCTTGGGAGCCCGACAGGTCCCAGGATTCCTCTGCGACGGAGTCCACTCCACCCGGGGGTGCGGGCTTCCCGTATATCTTCATGATGCCCGCGTTTGCGAACATGAAGGTCATCATGAGGGTTGAGCCGATGAGGAGTGGTGTGCGGCGGCCCCAGCGGTCGATAAACAGCAGCGCGAAGATTGTCATGACCACGTTGATGACGTACTGGATCGAACTCGCGACGAGGTTCGCGTTGCCGCTGAGTCCCGCCATCCCAAACACGTACGTGATGTACAGCATCATGACGTTCATCCCCGTGAGCTGCGACCAGACCTGGGTGAAGATGCCAATGTGCGTGCGGTTGATCATACCCGGTTTGAACAGGTCGAGGTAGCTTGCGTCCTTGTTGTGTTCTTCGAAATCGCACATGGCGCGGATCTCGGCGAGTTCAGTCTGCACGAAGGGGTCGTGCAGGTTTCCCTTTGCGTGGACGAGCGCGAGCGTGCTGTGGCATTCGTCCCAGCGGCCCTTTCTCGCGAGCCAGCGGGGGCTCTCGGGGAGGTAGAAGAGGGCTACGAAGAGGAAGATTGCCGGGATCATTTGCAGGCCCCAGGGGAGGCGCCACGCGGCGGAGCCCGAGAGGAAGCTGCTCCCGTAGGAGATGTAGAACATGATCAGGATCTAGTGGAACAGTCAGTACAGTACAGTACGAACGGCAGAAACAGTATAAGGACAACGTACACCCCAGGTGATAGCCCACTGCTGCGCACCCACCACTGTCCCGCGCTTACTCGGCTGCGCCAACTCGGCCACATAGACCGGAACCTGCGCGCTGCAGATCCCCACCGAGATCCCATTAATGAATCGTCCGACAACCAGCTGTCCGATACTAAACGAAGCACAGGTGATAACACTCCCAATGCACCAGATCACTGCCCCGATCTGAATCGCACGCCGCCGACCGAACGTGTCGGTGATTATTCCGGATGACAGCGCGCCGAGGAACGAACCCCCCGGCATGGACGCGGAGATTCCGCCTTGTGTGCTGGATGTTGGGCCGGCGCATTTGCCGTCGGAGTCGACGCCGCCTTGGTTGAAGAAGCATTTGTATTGTTGCGTGCCGACGCTGGGATGTACGGTTAGAGACGGCGTCATGGAGGAAGGGAGGATTGGTGGAAGGAAACGTACATGGCCGACATGGACGCAATATCGAAACCAAACAGGGCACCGCCGATGACCGCAATGGTCGTGATCACGTAGATGTTTCCGTTGAGATAGGGCATCTTGTCGAGACCCCGTGGGTGGAAATATGATGCGTAAAGTGCGGCCGACAACAGTTCCCTCTCTGGGGTAGCCGGGGTTGGCGGGTTATAAAAGTCGACGGACGGTCCGTAGAGTTTCGTTCTGACCGTCGTATGATACTTGGTAGCACACTTTAATCTAGTGGCTCAATGCAGGCTCTCTATTGCATTGGCGGAGGTCTTGCATCCGAAGGACACGACAGGATTGAACCAGGGTAGCATTGATCAGCAGGAATTGATTCAATCCTGGCCTGCGTGCGTGGTGGACGCGAGTCAATGCTTCACTCGGACATTCTGGTGTCCCCTGTGAGGCTTCTAGTGCAAGAGCTCTTTGATGGGTGGTTTGAGGACGCGTGGACCGAATCAGTGATCGAAAGAGGGAATACACAGCGACGAGAGAGCATGCATCCTTACATCTATGCATGCGTCAAGGCTACGTTTCAGAGTAGAAACAGTGGAGACTCGCCGGGGCTGCGGATGAATGAACCCCTTTCCTAGAGATGAGAGACTTGGACAGAGTCTACGGAGAGTTCACGAACAGATCTGGTGCCGCTTGCCGAGAAGGCTTGGAATGCTTGACGGCGCCTCGCGCCTTGGACCTCGTAACCTTTGGCGCTATCGACGCCACTGACCTCAACGCGGCCCCCACGATGCATCGTCATCTGCCATCCATTCCTGACTCGACTTGGAAATCGGGAATTGCAAGTCAACTCCGGCCCCCAACGTGCGATAAATGCAACCCTTCATCTACTTCCCCGCGCCATAATCAACAGTAATCCTATACTCCCTCCTCCCCCCCAACGCCTCGCGACAAAAATACCACCAAAGCCCAAACAACCCCGCAATCGCCAAATGCGCATTGACCTTCCCCCTCGGCGCCCCACGCAAAAGCACCACGCCCGCAAACCCCACATGGATAAACGCACTCGTCGCAATCAAAATTGTCAGCGCGCGATACTCCCCCTGTCCGTGCAAGAGCATCATCAGCATCCCGTAGGCGAACTCGTAGATTGAGTAGAGGTTGGCGATGAGGCGCGCGGCGGGCTGGCTGCCGCTTACGGGGGATCCGGTGAATTCTTCGTAGACCCGGTCTGGTTGGAAGAAACCGCGCGTTGCGCGGCCGGTGTAGATTGCCGCCATGATTTTGACGGCGAGGGGGTCGAAGGGGCCTAATATACGGTGTATGAGTTGTTAGCATGGTCTGAGTGGCCTTGACGTTGCGGGGTTTGCGGGGTGGGCGTGGGCGTACCATTGATGTTGAGCCTCTCGATGATTTCTGCGACAACCATGTTTTCGATTTTGGGTATTTGCTTTCTTGGGGTGATTTTCGAAGAAAGATGGCCTTGACTCCTATATAACTCCGTTGTGAATGGAGTTGCCTGGTGAGCAGGAGGCAGTGTCGCTGCGCCTCGCGGGTTCTATTTCGAATCGCATATCAGCGCCCTTGACCAAGTCTCGACCGCCCAATTCGCCCCGTCCATCTCTCATGGATGACAACTCGGACAATCATCCTTGACGAGCGCAACATGATCCCGAATTGAGCCATGATCGCCCCAGATAAACTCCCGCTGCACAACCATTATATTCACTCCCGTCGAGTTCGCCAAGGCGTCAGTATAGGGGTACTGCGTGTCGACTATTGGAAGGTCAGGCTTGCACCTGATCGATATTGTGGTTAGAGTGGATGGGATCGCTCGGACGGACGCTACGCACCCTTGACATTATTATGATGAAAATCGGGCGACTCAAACGCATCGAAGCAGCTACGTGGGAACGAGCATGTATCGCGAAAGCAGGCTGCATCTACGGGTGGTTGATAGGAAACCTCGGTTTGCGCTGATGATTCAAGAGTTGCAGTGGAGCTGGACGCGTTCAGCCTCAGACTGCCATTGCAAGGCCGCTATCTGCCCAGGTTAGGGATCAACGTCTGTCGGTCTGTCTTTCTCTCTACGCACTGTTCTAGTTGTCCAAAAGGTGCTATGACGCACAGTTTCAAGGAATTAGGTCGAGACTATCTCTGTGTGTATAATCTTCATGTGCACTGGCAGTCCCTTATACGCCGCTACCAAACGCCTCCAAGCTTCAGATTCTCCAATTTGTCACAATGCCCGCATCGCGACTTCTCAGCCATCGTACTCACCTCGCATCCATTCATCATTCCTTCTTGGAAACATCAATTCCAACCTCCTTCGCATCACCCGTCTTATGCTCCCAAGGCGGCCTCAGAAGCAACTCCACAACCCCCTGATCCCCCCTCCTCGTCGCAAAAACCAACGGCGTGCGCCCCCTCTCATCAAGAGCAAACGCATCCGCCCCCGCCCTAAGCAAGACCTCCACAGACGCTACATGTCCCTCCCTCACAGCCAGGTGCAACGCCGTCCGGCCGCGCTGGTCGACGCGATCGACTGCGACGCCCGCGCCGCACAGCAGACGCATTACCTCGGCCTGCCCTGTCCGCGCTGCCCAGTGGAGAGGCGTCATGCGGATTTCCTCCACCGGCGGACTCGCATCCGTCCCGGCTTCCAGCAGGAGTTCGATGAGGGCCGGAGGCGGGCACATGGGGATCGTCAGGTCCAGCGCATTGAACCCGGACTCGTTCCTCGCGCGCGCGTCGGCGCCGGCCTCGATGAGTTTCCGTGCCGCGCAGTCCTGTCGGCCTAATGCGGCGAAGAGAAGCGGCGTTAACCCGCGTTCGCCGGAGATGTCGACGGGCACGCCAGCGTCGAGGAGAGCACCGATAACCTCCACATGCCCGTCGCCCGCGGCGAGGTGGAGGGCGGTTAGACCGTCGTTGTTCAGCACGGTCGGATCGACCGCGTATTCCTGCAACGCGAGTTTCACGGCGGCGACGTGTCCGTTGTGCGCGGTTGGATGGAGGAGCGTCCGGCGCCCGGCGCTTGAGCGCGAGGGGTCGGCGCCGTGGGAGACGAGCAGGCGGATGATCGCGCAGGAGCCGTACCAGCCCGCGACGAAATGCAGGATGCCATTGACGATTTCCGCGCGGTTGCTGTCGTTACTGCTGGTGTGTGCGGACTCGGTCAATTGGAGTAGCAGTCGGCATATCGATTCGTTGCTGTCAACCACTGCCCGCGTCAGGGCGCGTTCCCACCACGGTTCGAATTCCGTCCAGGGCTGCAGGTCCATGTGCCGGTTTAGGAGCAGGCGCACGGCATCTTCCTTGTTGTTCCCCGCCGCCTCGGCGAGTGCAGATTCCTTGCCGGTGTCCTTGACCCGAGGATCGGCGCCGGCGTCGAGGAGGATCCTCAGCGCCTCGAAGTTATCGCAGAGGACCGCTTCATGCAGGGCCGTTGTGCCGTTGCATTTGTCCGACGGCCAGTCATCGCCCTTGAGCAGTCTTTTCAGGACGCCGGTCCTTTTGTTTTGAACCGCCCAGATCAGTGGTGTCCCCGCGCCAGGGACGTTTATATATTTCCGGCCGAGCTGGTTAGCAGGGCGTCGAAGAGCCATTGGAAGCGCTGACATGTTTGTAGTAGCGCATTTAGTGCTGGGGCATCGAGGTAGCTGGCGATTATCAGGAGGATCTCCGAGGGGAACCTCGCCAGCGTTGGTGTGGTCATTCTTGACATCTTGTCGAAGATAAAAAGATGAGCTCCGCTTGTCGGGGGAGAAAAAAAAGAAGGAACACGGGGCGGAGTAAAGGGAGCAGGCGCTAGGAAATTTGGGTCGTCAGGGGCAGCCAAAATGCCCAACGGTACTGCTTACCTTGTTTTATTGTGGGGCTTTGCCCAAATTTGAGACGGAGGCCTGATGAGTTTTAGAGGACTCCAGGTACGAGTTGGAGTCTGGCAGCGCCACCTTTAGACCCACGGGTCCCAACCTGCGGAGCCGAAACAACTCGCAGTCGAACAAAGACGCTCGTCGGACCCGGTTCTGGTTGGCCAGTCCACCTCCAATCGACACTCGTTGACCTCCAGACCTCCAAGCCAGGCTCTTTGTCCGGCTTCTTTGTTCTAAATATGTCTGCATCGTTGCCCGCTTCCCTCGATTATCCCCATTATGACCGCCTCGAACATTTGATCCATCTTCAACCACCATGCTGATCGCCTGTATAACCCGCCATAAGAACGTAAACAACTCGCGATCCTGCTACTCTTGACGACAACAGGACAACTACAATACCTCGAACAGAACCCCTGCAGGTACTCCTAAAAGGGCGACTCAAAATGCATGTATGCGACGCGACTGATGGAAGAACAAGGTGCTAACCACACAATCCAGGTCTCCTCCCCGCAAGCGAAGACAATATACAAACAGCCTTTCTTCTCCGGTCAGCAAGCGGACACGGTCAAGCACCTCTGATTTCTCCATCCCGGGGTTTACCCTCCCGGCCGGGCCGAAGAAGGAGAAACAGCACCATGTTGCGCCGACATATCGCCGTCCAGGCCAGTATCTCGGGCGGAACGTGTCCGTCGACGATGCGATGATGCTGACCAGCCCGACAAACGAAAGCGCCGCCATCTCCAGCGCCGATGGCCAGCTCCTCAAAGACCAAGGCGCCCTGACACTCCCACCAGAGCAGGCCCAGACCGACCTCATCGCGACATTTATCGACTTCGGCCACGTCTGGACGCCCGTCATCGACTCAGCCTGGCTTGATACGTCAAAGCCCTCGCTACTCCTTCTCCAATCCATCTTCGTCGCTGCCAGCCGGCTAACCACGCAGCCGAACGAGTACGGGTCCACCGCTGATTTCTACCGGAGAGCGAAACTGCTCTTCTTCTTTGGGAATGAGCGCAATGCCCTGATTTCCATTTCGAGTGCTATTTTGCTCTCCTGGTATAGTCCTGTCGGTCCGGAGACGGTTGTGACGGATACGAGCGCCTTTTGGCTGCGCACTGCAGAGTCGATCGCGTTTCAGATTGGGCTGCACAAGGAGCCTGCAGTGACTGATCCGCAGCGCGGGCTTCGGAGACGGATCTGGGGGACGTTGGTTGTAAGCACCTCACGCCCCGCATATCAACGTTACTTTGTACTGACACCCAGTCCAGCTCCTCGACTGCATAACCTCCGCAACCCTCGGCAGCCCGCAGAGCATAACCCCCAGCGACAGCGCCAGCAACATGCAACCGCCAACGCTGGACGACTTCACCACGCAAGATTTCCCCGCCCGAACATTCCCCGTCTACGTCTCCATCGCCCAACTCCTCGGCACAATCGCGCAGCGCCGCCTCCGCCGCGACCTCTGGCCCGAGCACACACGCACCCTCGAGACCTCGCTGTTCCGCTGGGTCAAGCACGATTTCCTCACGATTTCGGGCCCGTCACTCAGCTCCTCGCTGGAGACCAGGCAGGTGCTTGTTATGTATTTCGCGGGGTTGATTATGCTCGATCGGGCGCGCGGCCAGAGTGCTGATAGGCCGCTTGCGGCGCGCTCTTTACTGTCTGCATCGTTTATCGTCGGTATATACCGTGACTTTCTCGAGAAGGACGAGCTCTGTCGATTGGGGCCTGCATCCCCCTTCTACGCCCTCGTCGCAGGCCTCGTCCTCATCCCGACATACAAAACCGAACCCCTCTGGGAAACCGCGAATGAAGACACCGTCATCCTCAAAGCATGTCTGCAGATCCTCTCGAAGCAATGGGGTGCCGCAATCGGCGCCCTCCGCACGCTCCAGAAACTCTCCGACGATGCTCTCTCGCACTTCCCACCAACGGGCGCCGAGACCGAGCTCAGAATCCCGCGACTAAGCGATGAGACTCTGGCCTTCTTTGAGGGGTTCGATCGACGCTGGTGTCGCCTCTGGGGCCCCATCGTCGATCGCACGCACGAGGGCGGGGTTTCGGATCTCAATGGGAGTCTGCGGAGTATTCTCGATAATTATGCGGCGAGCAGGCCGTGGGGGGATGTACCTCGCCCTGCGGGTGTGCCGGAGGTTGAGGCTGAGGCGCTGGATGCGCTGCGTGGTGGCGGAGGAGGGACGAGTGCGTGGGAGCGGGGACTTGGAGGGGAGTGGCTTTTGGATAATGGGTCTTCGCTCTAGGATAAGTAGGTCTGATGATTGCATGTACAGGTTTCGGTTGTAGCTCGTTTTAGCATTGATAGATGGTCTCGTCGCGTGTGCCTGTTCTTGTACCAGCTGCAGTAGATCCAGTCTGGCCCGCAACACCGAAATGGTAGGGGATGGAAACTCCCCGGTGCAGTGCCTGCCTGCCATGCCTGGGCTGCGCGAAACGCCCGGTCGCGGTGCGGGCCCCGCCCCGGATCTTAGCTAGTATTATTAGGAACTCATGTAGAATACACTGGTAAATCCATCGCTTCGCAGGCACAAGTTCCCTCACAAATCAAACCCTTTTCCACAAGACCGTCTAGTTACAAAAGTTTCCCTGGTTCTGGAGCGATCCATCACCCAGAGTAATTTCAACTCCGCCGCGCTGAATGGAACCTACCCTGCTCTGCCATGTCAAACAAGGTGTCCCTGCTCCACGACCAGATCCCACCTCCGCCACAGCCCAGCAACACCTTCTACCCACAGCCACATACGCCCCGAGCCGAGTCATTCCGAACTGGAATCCTTGCCCGCCCCATCGTTGGCCGTCGGCCTCTGCTCTCGCCCGATCTCTTTGTCCTTTTCTCCCTCCGCACCCGCCGCAGCCCCCGCCTGCTGCAGCAACATCTTCCGAAACATCTCAGCGGCCTCGTGCGAGTACTTGCACTTCATGCGCACAGCCTTTCCATACCGGTACATGACCAGCGGGAACGGCGCACAGAGGAGGGTCAGAAACGCCGGGACCGAACTCGCCCAGTGGATGCCTAGATTATGGTACATCTGCGCCGTGAAGAGCGGGAACACGGCGCCGACAATCGACCGGAAGATCGCGGCGGCGGCGAGCACCGACGCCGCGTAGATCGTGTAGCTGTCGATCAGGTAGTTCATTATGGGAAGGATGACCAAAACGCAGCCGAAACCGAAGGGGGAACTGAGGATGATGCTGACAGACCAGTGGATGCTGGGCGCGTTTGTCCAGGCAAAGGCGAACATGCCGATCGGGAGGGCGACTCCGCCGATTATGGCTGGTGGGAGGCGGGCTTCTGCGTCGGGGGGGAGGTGCGTAGTCGCCATGGATTTCTTGAAGAGTTTCGTGTATCGCCGGTTGTTATCCCAGATTGCGTAGAGCAGTCCCAGGATGATCCCGACCATGATACCGAGGAAGGAGAGTCCGCCGATCCCCGCGCTCCAGCCGCGGTGCTCGTTGTAGACGATTGGCATGGCGCCCATGAACATGTAGACGGTCCCGTAGATGACGGCCATGTAGAGCGAGGCGATGAGGACGATGGGCTCGAGGAAGAGGAAGATCCAGGGCCGGAAGAGCGCGCGCTGGAACACTTCGCTTGGTTTCTTCTTGCCCTGGTTCTTTTCCAGCACGCTCACATAGATTTTCCCGTCCGTCTGTGCGAGTTTCGCTGCGCGCCGCTGCAGGAGGACAGGGCCGTATGTCTCGGGCACGAAGATGACGCCGAGGATCCCCACCACGCCAATGAAAATGGTGCAGAGACCCTGTACCCACCGCCACCCGGCGCTCTGCGAGACGAAGCCGCCGATGATGGGGCCCAGAATGGGACCGAGAAAGGGCGCGACGCAGTAGATGGTCAGGGCGAGGCCGCGCTGGGCAGGCGGGAAGATGTCAGCGATGGTGCCCCCGGAGTTGACGAGCGGCGAGCCACCAAAGGTACCAGCGAAGAAGCGCAGGATGAGCAGTGTCGCAATGTTTTGGCTACCGGCTGAGCCGCCTAGGAAGGCGACCATGGCAATGTGCGTTATGATCCAGAGGGGTTGTCTTCCGTACAGCTCGGACCTGGCCGTGTTAGTAGTAGCAACGATTACGCATCCCGAGTGGTACACTTACTGGCGAGGGAATACGATTAGCCAGTGTTCGAGTAAGCCGGGGACTACGGAGTTAGGTATTGACTTACCAAAGGCCCCCAAACAGCGGGCCCAATCGCAAACCCCAGGACAAACAGCGAAAGACCCAAGGTAAAGACCTCTGTGCTGATATCAAAGTTCTGCAAGACCTGTTCGGCGGAAACCGAGTACGCAGAGGAGGTGAAAGTGACAGCAAAGACAGAAAACGTCACGATAGTCGCAATCCACCATTTGCGAAACTCGCCCCAGTTCATAGGGTTGCCTGGGTCGTCTTTGTGGAATTCCACGATGAACGGGTCCTCCTCGATGCCGGAGCCATCGTACGTGTGGTTGCGCTCCGTGTCGGAGGCGGTAGCTTTGGATGCAGCAGACATGGCTAAGGCGCTCCAGGATTTGAATGGAGCTGCTACTAAAGCTACGAGCGTCGGCCTTTCTTTATAATGAGCTCTGCACGGCACAGACTGGCCATCGCTGCCCAGGTGTAACCGGACGGACGCGCTCCTGATTGGCCGGTGCTGACAGATTGTCTCTCTTCCGCCGGACCCTTTTCTGATTGGTTCTCATCCGTCTCTCAACACAGACCAACTCCGGTCGCATCAACAGCAGCTCGTCCTTTTCTCATCTGACACGACGCCGAATACTAGGTAATAGTAGGACTGACGAGTCATATGGAGCAGCATCCGCAGCCAAAGCCCCACCGGCCAAGGCTCAAGGTCCGTAGCGCCTGCCTCAGTTGCCGGTCAAGGAAGGCCAAGTGCGATGGCTCGCGCCCGGGTATCTCTCTCTTCCCTCCGCTCTCTGGACTCTTCAAGACTAACATTGATCAAGGATGCACAAGAGCCCGTACACAAGTCTACACCCTCACAGCACACACTGATACCAGCTTTCAGAGCCATGGCCTCGCACCATCGGCCCACTCCCGTCACACCCCGCCGTCCTCGGTCGGAACGCCCTCGAGCCATGGGGACTCTGTCGCTGTACCCCGCGATGCAGACCGAGAGCATGGAAACCCCAATCATGACCAGAGCCGAACGTACTACAGCGCTCACGGCCGGTTCGCAGACCAGATCGTCGCCGCCATCGATCCGGCTGCAACCTCGCACAAAGTCCCCTTTGTCGACGCGCCGCTTTTCGAGAATCTCATTCTCGATCCCCAGTCGTCCACTCTCCGCTCGCATTTCGTTACCGAGCTACCACCCCGCGCTTATGCGGACCAGCTGGTCGATATATACTGGCGATATGTCGAGCCCGTGGAGCCGGTCCTGGATTACCACCGTTTTACGGAGAACTACGAGAAAATATACTCCACGGTAGATGGACCACCCTGCACACGTTCCGATTCCAACCTCTGGCTATGTATTCTGAATGTCGTCTGCGCGCTGGCGATCCAGAGACAGGAGCACATACCCGCTCCGCAACGGAATGAGCAGGGAAATCGCTTCTTCCTGCGCGCGTGGGCGCTGCTTCCGATCGACTTGCTCTGGATGCCCGTCTCGCTGGAGCTGCTACAAAGCCTGATCTTGGTGAATCGGTATCTTCATTGCACGGATAACCAGCACAAGACCTGGATGACCGCGGGTGTGGCGATTCGCATGGCGCAGAGCTTGTGCGGCCATCGCGGAGAGAGTAACGACGAGGCGCTGAAAATGAAAGTCTGGGCGAGCTGTGTTGCTCTTGATCGGTTCGTCTCGATATAACTCCACCCACCCGGTTGTACCTCTCATTCTGATACCATTTCGCCCCATTACAGGTGTACATCCTGGTCTCTGGGCAAAGCCTCGGCCCTAGTCCCCGTCCCACTCCCTCCAAATAGCTCCCAGCGAAGGGGTGTCACAAACCCGCCGAAGGATTCGTGGGGAATGAGGCTGTACGAAATCGGTAATCAGATCCAGCTTGCACAGTTGCGAGCACGAAGCACACACGGATCGGCGTCGCAGTCGCCGCAAGACGAGTACTGCAACGCGGCCTTGCAGCTCGACGCATCCCTGCAGCAGTGGGAAGACAGTCTGCCCGCTGAGTGGCAGGCGCAGAACCTCAAGATGCTTGGTGATAGGTCGTCTCGCTCTGAAAGGTATCTGCTTCAACTGCGGTACGTCGACAAAATCCTACTAAACAACACCAGTTGCAATTACCCCTACTGATCCGCGTCTGTGTCTATGTTAGCTACCTCCACCACCGCATCTTCCTCTACAGACCCATGCTCGCACGCATCTACTCCATGGCCTCGACTCCCAGCACACACTCCTCCCCCTCCTCCCTCTGCACACCCCGACCAACAAGTGCCACCGGCACACTCAACCACCGCCTCCTCCAGAACGCTGCGACAATGTGCCTCGAAGCCGCGCAACGAATAGCGACCCTCATCGTCGAAACCCTCGAACACGATCAAGCTCAAGCTGAACCAATCGGTCTGCTTCCCTGGTGGTACAGACTATACTACCTACACATTGCGGGTGCGAATTTCCTCGCCGCCATGATCAGTCGCGAACTCTTTACGGAGTCTGTGGCGCGCAGCTGGGAGGAGGTTCTGGGTGCGCTGCACGCGCATGAGCATCTTTGTGGCTATGCGGTGCAGTGTGGGAGGACTTTTGCGATGCTTGCTGGTAGGATACGGAGGGTCGGTGGTGGGGGTCTTGATGTGAGCACCTGTGAGGGAAGTGTTGGTGGTGCCGGCACCAATGCGAGTGCAGGTGCGGATGTGGGTGCTTCCAGTTTGGAGATGGACGAGTCCCCGCCGGGGATCAGTTTCGATGAGCTTTTCCAGGACATTGATTTCGACATGGATGGGTTCTTGTTTGGGGCGGCGCCCTTTGGGCAAGGTGGTGTTTAGGCAGGAGGGGTTTGTGACTGCAGGTTGACACCGTTGTCGGAGTTTATCTTTACTACCCTTAGGGAACCCTGCCTGCAGGACGCCGGATTGGGCGAGTATTATTGTGCTCTCTTATCTTATCCAGGTCAGTTAGTGTACCACCAGCCTGCCCCTTGGGAGCCGGTTGAGTAGACCCCAATCTCTCCGATGGACCTAATATCCCGGCTAAATACTATGCTTATTATAATAACATTTTGCGTATTGACCCCCGCCTTGAGTTTTCTACCCTCTACAAGTGATGACCATCGGACCTCCCTCACAGCAGGTATATATATCTAGATTCGATCTCGGCCAGCTTGAGTACACCTTTTGAACTAGTCTATGCATACTCTGATAATGTGAGTCTGTCTTGAATGTCGAGTCATAATTCCTACAGTATACCACCACTGTGGAACTAAAGGAGGATGGGGACATCAAAGGCGTCTAGTGCGTCGTAGATGCCCATGCGGACACTGGTTCAGGGTGACACCAATGTCCCCAACGGACTTTTGAATCACGTCATGTTTTGCCAAGTCGTGTTGCACGTTGCCAAGCCGGTTTTTCGAACGCCTGTGCGTATAGCCTCATATAAAGTATTCAGCTGGAGGCGTCTGGGAGTGTACAGGTGGGCTCTGATGTTTGACGACTTGGTGAAATATCGTGGTTTGAGGGGCGTTTGGTTTCTTGTAGGATTTACATGTCACAGACAGCCCTATACTTTCTCCTCGACAAACCTCAGTGCGTAGTCTTACTAGGAATAGCTGCGGGGACTGTGAATGGATGTCGATGAGTAGAGAAGAGGTGTTGCGATCCGATCTCTATGATATTCTACAAACTCTGGATATGGACAGTTGTCCACTCTCCGGTGAATGGAGCGGGATAAATAGTCTGTTGCATTTCAAAATGGATTCGCAGGTCCGACATGTGCGAGACTTATAAGACCACCCCTCGACATCGAACTGATATAGAAGTCTAACACATAAACAATAAGACCCCTCAAGCTTGCCATACACCCAAACGATCGAGGAATACGAGGAAGGCTGTCTCTTGACCGATTTACCGAACGCGAGAAACTGCAACGGAGTATGCAGGGGGCGGGAGATACAAGTATGTAGTTCCGCTGCGACTAACCAGGTTTTGGTTGTCGAGGATAGTTTGAAAGTCAACAAGTAAATAAAGGTCCTTTGGTTCTCAGGATGGGCCGGGTAGGCCGCTCGAGTCGGGAAGCACACTTTTCGTGGCTGGCTTGCAAATCTGCAAAATGAGGGCAAAACACCTGGGAGATTATAGATCCGAATCCCGATCATCCAGACTTGCGATTGCCAATGAGCTATCAGGAAGCTGGCTAGACCGGGCTTTTAGATTGAAGCTAAGCCTTTTGGTTTTCCAATCGGAGTGAGTAATCTTGGCTGAGTGGAGCCTGGAGCACATGTATACGTAAGTCGATCGCGTGGCTGAGAAAATAGTTGCCAGGAACCACCCACGCAGAGAATACCATCCATTGACTGATCTTATTAGAGCTCTGTGCTGGGTGGTTCAGCTTCAAGTCGTTTTGCCCAGATCTAGACTCACAATACACGTTGCCTCGCCACAAACGGCTCCATGGCAGTCGTGGACTATACGCACTTTGGACGGGAACCAACAGCCCACTCGCTATAGAGCCTCTGGTCTTGTGGTAGAACGTTTCATGTTTTGTTGTTTGGCGGCTAGACTGTTCCTGCGGTGTACCAAGCACTTGTCTTTAGTGGATGTTGCCATTCAGCGCCGGAATAAGCAGTAATCGTAAGAATAGTACGAATCCTCCAACGCACTTTTAATGACTTTTCCACCTCGTCCCCACCAGGTAATGTAGTGAATTCTTGCGACTCGTTGGCGCTGTAGCCCCCCGGGGGTATATGAGGGGCACTGCCCATCCTTAGTACCTCGAATTCCATCGTTCTAACACTCCTTTTTTTGACACCTCGTGTCTAAATCATTTACTCTGTCACTCCTTTGATATACCTCTAGATTCACCCAGTCGCCATGAAGTGCAAGTCGCTCCTTTTGACTGGCCTCGCTGCTGGTTCGGCGACGGCTAGAGCTCATGGTCTGCACCAAGCTGCCCACCACCACCAGAGGAAGGATGTTAATCCTGTCGTCGAAACTGTGTGGACCACCAAGACTGTCGTCAACTGGGAGGTGGCTACCGTGTACACCACCGTTACCGCCGAGCCGACCACTACTACCATCACCATCACCACCGCTGCCGCCTCTGATCCTTCCACCTCAACCTCGACTGCCAGTGCCAGTGCCACTACCACGGATGCCGTCGTGCTTGGAACCGACACAATCTCTGTTAAGCAAGACTACGTTGTCGACTCTAGCTCGACCACGACATCCGAAAGTACCTCCAGCTCTACAGTCACTGCGTCCGAAACCACGGCCACGACTACGACTACGACCGCCGCTGCTACAAGCTCTTCCTCCACCTCTACCTCAGACTCCAGCGACTGGTCCTCCACCCCCTCCGACGGCGTTTACTCAACAACGGGCTTCGGCGAACGCACCAACTCCTCCGGCAGCGGCGTCTCCTACACGGGCAACGTCGGTTCCCCCTGGGGCAGCAACATCATCGAAGTGGACTCGTCCTCGGCCTCCTCCTACAAGTACGTCATCCAGCTCACGGGCAGCAGCAGCGCCGACTGGTTCGTGTCCTTCTGGAACAAGATCGGCCCCGATGGGCAAATGGACGGATGGTACGGACACTCCGCGCTGAACTTTACCCTTGCCGCCGGTGAAACCCGATACGTCGCCTTTGACGAGGATAGCCAGGGTGGATGGGGTGCAGCGGAGGGTAGCTCGCTGCCCACGGATCAATATGGCGGGTATGCTTGTACCTGGGGCGAGTTTGATTTCGGGTCCACGATCAATGATGGGTGGAGTGGGTGGGATGTTAGTGCGATCCAGGCGCAGAATGCGGATTTGACGGTTCAGGGGATGAAGATTTGTACTGCCGCTGGGGAGGATTGTTCATATATCACGACTGACGCGGCGAGTGTGGTCAACGCCTATACCGCGGCCGAGGCGGCGGTTGATGGGATTGGAGGGTCTGTTACAGAGGGTGCTGTGAGGTTGGCTGTGGAGATTGATTATAGCGGCTGATCTAGGGCTGAAGGATATGATATGATACATACCCATGCGGGCAGAGTCGTGTACATTCGTTGTTTATTTAGATTCTTTCCGGCTGGCAGACCATCTTCTTCCTTTTCTTCCTTTTTCTGGTTGTCTTTTGTTTTAAAACGGTACTGCTACTATAGTATTAAAAAGATTTAACTTGAACCTAGCCCGCTAGTGCATTGGTGGCTAGTGTGAGGAATACCTTTTGTATATATCAGGTTATATTATTACAACTTGTCACCTTGTATTATTTCCTGCTGAAATTCATTCTAAGGTAGCTTCGTTGTAATGAGCCGTCGTCCCAGTGCAGGCAGGGTGGTAGTTCAAATTTAGCCGGAGTGCATTTCCGACGCCTTTTGTAGCCGTCACTAGGGAAGGAACTCAATAGTTCCAAAGAGCCGACAGGCCCTAGACCCCTCATGTAGTCCATCCTTGCTCACCGTCTAAGCAACATCCAGGCTAGCGCAAACGCTTTTGATAGCATAATATATCTTTATCCACAGGCAAGTCAATGACTTGGCCTTGAAGCAACATCGCGCCAGCCAGCACCCGTCACAAGCTTAAAAATGCCACAGTCCTGCCCCTAAATGCTTTGGCTGCTATCATATTGTACCAACAATTCCCTACCGTTAGCCTTGAGCTAAAAGTGTTCTTTATTCTTGTCTCTTTCAACGGGGAATATTCTCATTTATACCTAGATCCCCACCATATATCTCTGCACAATAGAGAAAGGAAGAGAAAAACATGACAATGTAAAGCAAATTTGCTTAGTCCTTTATCTAGATTACTGTTCTAGATTCTAAGGAGTTGTTCTATACAAAATGATAAAGAACACCCTCACTCCTAGTCCCAGTAACCACGGTTCATTTTCTTCAAAAAACAACCAAAACTATATACCCAATCTTGTTATGGCACTCCCTTGCTCGACGGAATTAGTACTATCTACAGTAGCCGGAGCATGCGCTTTTATCGATCGCAAGACTTTCAGCGGTGTGGGTGCCCCAGGTACGCGAGGTACAAAGGTCCAGCTGGGGATATAGGGCAGACAACCTCGGAATATGCAACTCTGAATGCGATTGCCACACGCCTTGTACTCGGCACATTATAGTATTGGAAACCAGTAACAAATTATGTGACTTCTGAGGCCTTCATTGGTTATACACTGAAACCTTCAACCCTTCGATGGCATCATTCATGCCGCTGAAGATTTTGTTGAAGTTGGATGTCGAACAGCTGTGGGGGGAGTTGCCGTAGCCCAAATAGGCTGAAGACGACCAACCGGTCCATGATGGTGATCTGAAGGCCAGTATCTTCTTCACAAGGGTCTTGTATGATATCTCGTCAAAAGGAGGGGCCGGCCTGGGAGATAGAAGACTGGCGGACCGCATCTCCCTTGTAAGTGCCCCATACATCATCGAGCTGCATTCAAAGTCGCAACCACGGGAGCCACTTAGGAGCGCCTCTTGGGTGTGATAAAGCTTGTCGAGCACGCGCTCAATTGAAGCGCATCGGATGTAAATCATTGCATCTGTGGATTCATCAGTGGTGTCTCAGTGAGTTTTCCAGGACATCTAGGTCGGCGGGAAGCCTTACTGATAACTCGATCAGGGATGAGCCCTAAATTGCCCATCCGCCCTTCGCCCAGTGACATGGCCCTAGAAGTGGCCTCCCTTAAGCTATCCCGCATGTTGAAAAAGTACGACACCCAGATCCAAAGGAAGAGGTCTCGGCAGTATGTCTCGGGCATTGTTTCCTCCAGACCACGGACCCAGATATCCTCCCAGATGGACACGGTCTCTCTACACTGGTAGTAGTCTGTCAGCTCAGCTACCTTGGCGAGCATTTCCAGGGTCAACTTCCGGGGTATGTGATAGTGCTGACCATGGATAGCACGGAGTAGTATTATAAATGCCTCGATGTCCCAGTTTGTCGCGGGGATCTCGCCCGAGCCTTTCTCCAAAAAGCCGACGCTCTCCTTCCAACGCCCACTAAGGCTCTCTTTGAAATACGGAGATGCAAGCATCAAATGCTTCGCGGAGACTTGGATGCGGAAGGGGCCCTCGTCATGCGCTTCCGAAACGGATTCAATCTCAGCTTTGCTCTGAACAAGGTGCTCATCTGGAATTGCAGCGGGCGGCTCTGCGGGAGGTGGTTCATTGTCAAACTGTGCAGCTGGCTCTTCGGCAGGATACGCTTCACGTTCGAAGTATGCAGCCACAGCAGGCAGGAGCTAGCTCTAAAGGGATATCGGGCCAGATACCAAAGTCTGTATGTTCATCTGGCTGGGCAAACGGCGCATTTGCATTGCTCAGCACAATGATCACCTCACCATCAGGGTCGATGATATGAGTCGGGACGCTCATTGCGGCGGAGGAAGAAGGCAAGCGCGCAGCAGAAAAATCATAAAGACACAAAGACCAAGTAGAATGTTGGACACTTGAGAATGAAAATCTCGAAGTGGCTCGGGAGTCCACGCCTATCCTGGTCTCTGTTGTTTGCTTCTGAAGAGGGACCGCGTGGCAGCCCTTGATTGGAGCCCGCATGTGATGCGCTGTAGCAACATGTCACTCCTCCATACTATTGATTGACTTGAGTACAGGAATCTCTCTTCCGCTTAGCGTGCGTGCGCTTTCTTGGAATCTAGGAAAGCCAGGGGTTCCCCTCAGGTACATTTTTGTATTAACAGGTCGTACCATAAGAAAGGAAGGAACAAGAGTGTTCCAAGTAGCTTCGGAGGATATAAGCAGGATGAAGATCCACTGCGAGCGGACGCCGATGGGAATGGACAGGAAAACTGGGAGGGAGGTGAGGCGAAAGTGTTGGGGCGAGGGGATCATGACCGTTTCAGGGTGCTTGGACTGGCAGTGCTCTGAGCCTGTTTCATGGGAGTGGGTTGGAGAGAGAGAAAAACGCAACCAGGAAGCGATAAGATTTCAGGGGAAGGCAGAGAAGATTGGGAGCGGGCGTGCCTTGACTTGTTAAGGTTGCGAATCCTTTCCACCCTCCTCTTACCCCAGAGAGTCGAAGAAATGGATTGATCAATGGGCTGCAGGCTAAGACTTCGTCATTGGCGAGGATGAGCTGGTAGATCGCCCTGCAATCTGAAGTTAGCAGCACTTTACCAATTGAATCTTCGAGCGAATTTTTTTTCCTTTCCTTTTTCTTTTTGGGACAGCAGTGATCAAGATAAGTGTTTTTCTTTCAGCATCAGCACCTGGAAGAAATCCTGCCGCACGCTTTTTCTCAGACTTTACTTTCCTACTTCTCGCCTTGCCTTCCACCAACAACTAACCCGGGCAAAAAAGATCTGATCCAAGTTTAGTATGCACTTATTTGACGTGTATTTCTATCTTCTATATGATCTATGACCGGAGCATCCAACACCACCTCCAAGCCCAAGCCGCTACCCATCACTGGGAACCTGCACCAGCAACAGCCGTCACGGGATTGAGAATATGGGAAATAACAATAGCACTATCAACCCATGAATAAATAACCTCGAGCTGGCGAGATTGAAATATACTCTCCATCCATATCTCGTCCCTGACTGCGCAAACATCCAGCTTACTCTAGGTTCCAGCACTGAGGCTGTACGAGGCAAAGATTAGCTCCAAACACATCGCTGGAAAAAGACGGACTCACTATAGGGCTGATGACAAGCGCCTCCCCATCTGTCACCTGGGTTGTTGCAAAGGTGCGAGGCGTTGCACTGGTAGGCAGACTCAACTCCAGATCCACAATGGGCGGTCTCCCCGGTGTCCCGTCTGCGCAAGGAATCACATCCCCCGAAGCCGCACGCGGTATCCCGTCCGCTGGTGCCCCCTTATACCTCACTGCAATCGTCCGCATGTACGATTTTATGGCCATTGGCATTTGACTCACGCCATTTGCCATGAACCGGGCCTTGAGCTCGGGTTGGCCCATATAGTAGGCAATCATACCGGCGGTGATGGCTGTAGCCTGGGAGGTCCCCGCAGGTTGAATGCTGTAGGAAGAGACCTCGTTCAGGATTGGGAGGGGCTTGTCCCCCGTGGTGTATTTGATCGTCGCACAATCCACGTTGGTGCCGACGTTGTAGAGGGAGAGGATTCCCAGCTCGCCACTGTCTCCGTATTGGGAGCTTGGATGCCGCGAATTATTGTAAAAGGAGTTGCCGACAACGATGAGGGGGGTGTCTGCGCCCCCTTTTCCGCGTGGGAGAAAGTAGGATAGATCAAGTTGTTCCGCCGGCCTTTGTTGGGTCTGGTCATTTCCTGCGCTGCAGACGACGGATACTCCGACGTTGTAGAACCAACTAAGGAATTTATCAAAAATGTCTCGTTTTGGCTGGAGTGATGGAACGAGGCCTGGGCCCCACTCAAAAGCATCGCGAGGCGCGCCTGATGAGAGAAGACGAGACGTTAGCCGTGCTATGAGATTGACAGTTTTATGCAAATGAAGACGCAAAACTCACCAAATGACATGGAGATGACGGCGTTTGCAGTTCCTCCATTGTTGAGGATATGCCGGTAGATCTCTTTAAAGACAAAGGCTGCGCGGCGAGCACGCAGTTCTCGAATCACACCACTCTTGGAGATCACCAGCTCGACCGGAACGAGTCGGGTGTTCTTCCCCATAGAGTGATATTTACCAGCAGCAAGGGATGCCATGCAAGTGCCGTGGTCATTTCTAGGCACAAAAGTCAACCCAGTAATGCGTCCACCTACGTCGTCGACGCCAAAGCCCCCCACGATGCTTCCTGCAAACGACTTGAGGAATTGGATTAGCTGATTTGTTTTTTTGTCCCCTTATAGTAGCGGCCCAAGTGGATTACTAACCTCGTGTCCTGCCAAAAACGCCGTGTCGATAAGATACACGATAGGTCGATCCTGGGCATTCGTACTAGATGCAGGTGGGTCATTGTAGATCGCATCGTCGAAGTTCAAGTAATCGCCGTCAAGGTTGGTATACCGAGATACCTGCGAGAGCCACTTGAGGTGGTTAGGGCTGTTTTGCTGGAGTTGGAATCGACTGTTTGCCGTTGGCTCCACACGTCTCTGAAGCTGGTGGTCGGTTGTAGTGTTGCGGTTCGTCCACCCGTGGTTGATATTGTCCAAACCATCAAGTTCTTCGACCGTATGTCTATAAGACCTTTTGGTTGCACTTGTACCTGACGTGATGGTATCGTCGTTGCTATCCAGCTCCAAAAGCCCATCCACGTTCCATGCATCAACGATGGGATTGTTATCGAATTTCTCGACAGTGCATTGATCCACCGTGCCCATGTAGATGAACTGCATGTACAATGCTGGTTAGCTGCCACCTCATTGCATTGATTGGGTACAGAAGGCTCACATTCGGCTGCCACGACTCGGTGAATTGAAGAGCCTCCGGGTCTTTGGGCAGGGTAGCCACAAACTCTTCAAATTCTTCCACTGTCGTACCCTCCACAGTCATAATAATGATCGGGCTTGTGGTCGCGCTGGCTGCACATGAAGTTGAAGATGAACTTGTTGTGGTCGAGCTCATTGTCGTGGTCGTACTGGGCATCGCTGTCGTAGTGATTGGGGTTCCATTGCTTTCAAATAGAGCTGCAAGAGTCGCCAAAACAAGGACTATTCATGCCTGAGTTAGAATCATTCAAGAGGCAACGCCGGGTTGGTCCTCCAAGCACCACTTACAGATTCCAGATGCAGTAACACCAGCAGAAACAGGGAGCCCAATGGCGTTGATCTAATATTATCAGCCTCTTGCTTGATTGTGATTTGAAGAATATGACCTACAGTGATATCAACTCGAGCAATGCTCGCGGCAGCGTCAATAGCAGGCGTGATGCCAGATGAGATCGCATTCGATAACTCGACGACATTGTCGTTGAGGTCCCTGATGACATCAAGAAGTTGATCCTCCAGTGAATTCACTATATTGTCAGCCGTTAAACCCACTGGTGACAGGGCTATTCTAGGGCAAAGGGGCGCATATACCTGCGTGATCCCAATCGTCAAACGCGTATTGAGGCACACGTGGATTGTTTTCATCAATCGTATCGAGCCTTCGGCCGAGCGTCAACACTCGATTACCATTTTCTTTTGCCGCAGCTACCCACAGACAAAAACCAAACAAACAAAGAGTCAGCTTCATCTCTATTCTTCACGTACCCTCCCTGTTTACAGGGGAGATTGTTACCTAAGCTCGTCGACGCCTCATTCGCAGCACTCCGATCAGCTATTAAACGCAGCTCAATCTCCTCATATTCACCCGCCCGCTTCACCTTGGCAGACGGGGAGGACTGCAAAATCCCCTGCAAAATTTCAAGATGGCCTCGATAATCCTCAATGACCTGCAAAGCCTGCCAGACACTTGCGTTATACTGGTGGACTGCATCGGCAAGTTCTTCGTACGTGGGATCTTCCCATGTCGTATCAGAGTAGATCTGGATACGGTTTCCACCTCCGCAGGTTTCGCCCCCATTGCCGGAGCAGGGCATATTGCAGTCGCTGGAGGCAAACTGGGTGCCGCCATGCATTTGGTTGCCCACGAAGCATTGCCTGCATGAAATGTGTCAGAGTATGAGAAGGTATAATCGCGACGGAATCTGCCAGAGACGCGATATCGGAACGAGGTCGAGGCAGGTGTCGGCGGGATCAGCGGGATCGGGTTCGTACCTGCTATATTCCACCCCTGCGTAGCGCCACGAACCGGCTTTGGCAAGGGCGACGCAGGCCTCCACGGTCATTCCAATAGGATCCTCGCTTGAATCAGCAACCAGAACTCGTAGATCCACTTGATCTGAGTAACAACCCATCAACGAAAACGTACCCACTCGCGCTGGTTGGGTTGGGGATGATGAGGCAGACGTAGTTGTCGTACTACTGCTCGTGGAGGTTGACTCGCGGCTTGTGGTCGTCGTCGTAGTTGAACTCCTCGTTGTGGTCGTGGTCGTCGTGGTCGTCGTGGTTGAACTCCTCGTTGTGGTCGTGGTTGTTGTCGTAGACGACGTTGTTATAACCGGAGGAACAGTCGTAGTCGACGAAGAGGCGGTAGTGGAAGAAGAAGATGATGATGAAGACGGATTGGAACCCCCAACACACTGCTTATCGCCGCATGTCTGCCCGGGATTACACACATTGCAAGCAGCGCCAATGGTACACTGGATGCCTGGAAACTCACAACAGACAGCGTCCGAGGTAAAGCAATTTCCATGGCTGGTATATCAATTGGTGAGACGGGTCGTTGAAGATAAGGGGAAGGCTTGCTAACCAGCATAGACCGCTCTCACATCCAACACCTTGCAGTGTAGTAGGATTCAAAGCGCACCATTGCAGCCCAGGCGGCGCGCATGCAAAGTTGCCTTCAAAGTTTATGCAGGTCTCACCTGACGGACAAACCACCCCGTCAGGGCAGCTGGACTGCTTGCAGAAAAACCCATCAGGGCAAGAAGGATCTTCGGAATTGGTCGCCCGGCGCACATGGTCGGGTACAGCCAAAGGGGCGCGCAGCGGACTGGCGGAACTGGTCGCCACGAGTCCAAGCCCGCATAGCAGGGTTACTACCCCATGCAGTGTCATCTTACCAGACCTCTGATGCTCTGGCCCGTTTCCCGGAGGAATATGTGGTATCCTTATAAAGTCTCGTCCGAGTAGAATAGATGATGTTCAGGCCGGTGGCAAGCCTGCTGTCACGCGACTTTCGGCATCTAGTCCGGCCAGGAACGCAGAGATTTTGTCGGCTGTGGACACTAGATACGGGATTACATATCTGGAATGGGCCCATGATTGCTCTGGACATTTGAGCTAAAGTAATCATGAATCTGTTTGCCCCCCGGCGGCTCTCGATCACTAATCTACATGATCCGCCCTTAGCGAATGACCTGCGTTAGTGTACACTGTCCACAGCTCAGCTTTAATCTATGGATTAGTGGCAGATTACTTATTTCATCCACTTCTCAGAGGGGCGCAATAAAGTAATATCGACCGGGCGTGGTATGAATAATGTTCGCTTCCCGTACAAGGAAAGTCCGCCCGACAAAAGTATGATAGGCCGTCGTCGCCCCAGACATTCCATTTATATCATGATAGTCTCGCCAATTACTTTCTTTACTTCTTCCAATTCCAAGGACTGGTAGTCGCCCGCCGCACTGATGCTGCTAATCCCACTTCTCGGGCTTGTCGCCTCAGCGCGAGCCCTCAATCCGGGCTGCAACCCGGGAGGGAACTTTGACCTCTCCAAATGGAACCTCCAGCTCCCCACGGGCAGTACGGGCAGCCCGACAACGATCCCAGGGTCCTCGCTGGCCGGATGCAGCGGCTACAGCAGCGGTGTTTTCTATACCGATGGGACTACTGGAGAATTAGTCATGACGGTGCCCGGATCACCATCCAGTGCGGGCTGCGTCACAACACCAAATAGCTTACATTGTCGCACGGAATTCCGAGAGATCAGCCCCTCCAGTTGGAGTCCGAATAACGGGAATAACCGACTAAGGGTCACCATGTCGGTTCCTCGACCGGACGACTCTACTCATGGAACTGTGATCGGGCAGATACATATTGATGATTCCATCTCTTCGTGAGTCACGCTTTCTTCATTACATGCTATTGGTCGTTGAGAGGGTCATTAACTCGAATGACTCAGGAAACCTGTCTGCGAACTCTTCTACAGCTCCTCTGGCCAAATCACCATGGGCGTGGAGCGAACGCGCGCCGGAGGTGAGCTTCTCTTCACAGACATCGCAAAGATCCCCGTTGGGACCACCTTTACCTACGAGATCCGCTACGAGAGCGGCCAGCTCTCCGTGGCCGTGAATGACGGCGGCTTTGTGCAGCTAAGCCAATACGAACTCGCCAACCCAAACAGCTACTTCAAGGTCGGAAACTATAACCAGGGCGACTCGTATTCCGAGGTCCGGATCCAGGCAATCTCCGTCTCGCACGGGTCCAAATCGTCAACAGGTTCTGCGCATCCCGTATCCACGATTTCCGCCGGGGGGATCGGGCCTCGTGAAGTCCTGTACGCGCTCGATGCCACCGTCAAACCGTATGCGTCCCCGACTGGAGCGTGCGCAGCGGCACCAACAAAGTACTCGGATAGTACAGTCAATCTGCGCCTTTACTACGAGGATACTTGCTGCCATGACGTGGAGACGGCTCATATCGGGACTTTTAATATCTGCCACAACTCCGATGGCCCCTTTTCATCCATTGAGCAAGCGGTTGGTGCGAACCTTTTTGACCGCGGCATTCATATTGTCGCCTACGACGGTCTCGATTGCACGGGTGGTTCGACAAGCCTGAGTCTCAGCAACAGCAAGGGCTGTCAGGCAGTGTCCAGCGGAAATGCAGGTTACCAAAGCTTCATGATCAGCGAACCGCAAACATGCCCCGTGACTGGTCCTGCGGTCGCCAGCGACAACACGGTGACCATGCAGCTCTATTCGGATGTGGGCTGCTGTACAACCGTCGAGACGATCAAAATGGGAAACACGGGAACTTGTCATGAGGCTGATGCCAGCTTCCACTCGTTTAGCCAGGCAGTGGGGAAGAATGAGTTTGGCTGGAATATTCACATTCATACCTTTACGCAGTCGGGATGTCAGGGAGAATCCGACTCGTTCTCCCTCACTAATGCAGCGACTTGTAATAAGAACGGGGTTGCGTGGAAAAGCTTTATGATTGAACAGGACTGCGCGCGACATGATCTCAACGCCAAGAATGATAATACTGTATCTTTGGCGCTCTACCGGGACGGCGATTGCTGCGTGTTCAACGGCGAAGATATTGACCTGGGCACGGTTGGAAGCTGCCACAACGCGAATGATAAGTTTGGGAGTATCACGCAGGCCGTAGGCCAGAATATGTTTGGCAAGGACATCCACGTCCAGCTTTTCGAGGGCGCCGATTGCTCCGGCACCATGAAGGATTACAGTCTGACAAACAAAGACGGGTGGTGCAGTTCCGGCGGGGTGAATGAGGAATTCCAGAGCTTCATGATCAAGAAGCAGTGCGATACGCACGACGTTACATACTCTGGCGACTTTGGCGTCTCGTTGGCGTTTTGGCAGGATGGGAACTGCTGCACCTACAACAAGGAGGAAATCAGCGTCGGCCGGACCGGAGGCTGTCGGAACACGGAAAAGCCATTCGGCAGTGTGACGCAAGCCGTTGGCCAGCTTACATTCGGACATGATATCCACGTCACCGTTTATGAGGAACAGGGCTGCAAAGGGGCAAGCAAAAAGTTCGATCTCACCAACAAGGAAGGCTGGTGCAGTGATGGGGGCGTCGCGGAGCAATATCAGAGCTACGCCTTTGCTATCGACTGTGGGTGGAAAGACCCTGTTAATAGTAACGCAAACACCGTCACGATTGAAACGTATACGGATGTCGGATGCTGCACACACAAGAGCGAGACTGTCCTTGGGGTTGCCGACACTTGCCACAATGCTCCAGATGGCGGAGTCGCAGGGTTGGGGATTGGTGCCGGCTCCTCGTGGAATGGGGATATTCTAGCGCTGTATGCGGACAAGGACTGCAAGGGGGATCTGAAATACTTTGAACTCTCCTCGGCGCTGGCCGATACATGCGCTGTTACCGGGGGCATAATCAACAGCTGGCGCCTGGTTAAACCTTGACCCTGGGAGGACCGAATGTCACAGCGGCCACTACACTGAATTGAAAGAATAGATCGGATGCAAGAGCATGTATGACTACATTTCCCAGCGACTTATTTTATTCCTTTACATCAATGACGGAAACCCCTCTTTTGTACAGAGACTAGGATCATTAAAACATAAGGTTGAGTCCTATACCCAATGCACACCCTTTGATTGAGATGGCCTTCGAAGTAGATAGCACACGATTGCACTCCAAATACCCATCCCAGGAATATCCCTACATGAACACTTTGCTAAGGCGCCTCTCATCTGCTGATCAGATCCAAGCACCACCAGTGCAAACTAGAATCGATTGAATCAGGATGTCATGAGTTTTTGCTTTTTGTATCTCTGCCTATGGCAATCATATATAACTAAATAAAGAACCGCACCAATCTCGATTTAGGCCACAATGAAGACATCGTCGGCAGTGACACTACGGTGCTGGGTAACTAGAAAGCCGGAAACTGCAAATAGGTATTCTTGGCCGTACTAAAGGTACCGAGTGAGGTCTTCTATTGTCCATGATCACTGCCCTGGGTACTCATCAGATCTATGTCTCACTTTAACACAAATTGAGATCTTCGTGGCTCGTTGTTTGAGTAGCTTTGATGCTTAAATTTGGCCGGTGGTCGGTATTTAGGCACGAATAATGTTATAACTGAACACCTACGCATGAACGGCGTGCGAGGAACCGTTTGCAGACGAGCCGTTCGTACCAGACACAGACTCTGAGCCAGGCATGGAGACGACGACCTTTAGACTGCCGTGTTTGGACGATTTCTCAAACGCCTCGTACGCGTTCTGGATATCATCAAAGGCAAAGTCTGGAAGGGAGGGCGGTTAGCGCACACCGATATACATCCTAGGTATGTAACAGTCAAAAGAGTGGGAAAACGCACGATGTGTGACCAGGAAACTAGGATCGATGCCTCCTCCCTCCACCATCTGCAGCAGATCGATTGTCGAGACGGCGTCGATGAGTCGTGTCCGTAGGCCTAGACGGCAGAGCATGGCACGTCAGCAGTGAGTAAAAGAACCTCGCGCATGGCGCGGAAGATACCAAGGGCAATAAGACATACAGATGTTGCGATGCCACAGCTTCTCCAGGTGCAGCTCGCACGAACACCCAAAGACGCCCAGCGAGGCAATCGTGCCCCCGGGCCCAACAAGCCCCTGCGCCATCTCAAACGACTCGGCATTCCCCACAGCCTCAATGACAACATCGAACCCCCTGCCGCCAACCGAGACCGCGACAGCGTCCTGCACGACCCTCTCCGCGCCGCCCTCGTTCAGAACACTAAACGCATGGTCCGCGCCCATAGCGCTCGCCATCTCAACCCTGCTCATCCCGCGCCCGACAACAACCACCATACTCGGCCCAAACATCCTCCTGCTCATCTGCAGACACATCAACCCAATCGGGCCCGTCCCAATAATAGCAACGCTGGACCCCGGTGCAATCTCCCCGTTCAGAATCCCACACTCGTAGGCCGTCGGCACCGTGTCAGACAGCGTCACCGCCACGCGCTCGTCGATCGCGGCGGGGAGCACATGCAGCGAGAACGCCGCGTGCGGAACCCGCACAAACTCCGCCTGCGTCCCGTCGATGCTGTTCCCCAATATCCAGCCGCCGCCGTTGGCGCACTGCGACGGCATACGTCGCTGCCGGCAGTAGTGGCATGTCCCGCACGAAGTGATGCAGGAGATGAGGACTTTTTGTCCGACGGCGAAATTGTGCACGGCGGCGCCGAGCGAGTCGATGATCCCGACGCCCTCGTGGCCGAGGATCCGGCCGGGTGTTGCGGTTGCGACGTCGCCGGCAAGGATGTGCAGGTCCGTGCCGCAGATTGTTGTGTGCAGGATGCGGATGATTGCGTCGGTGGGGTGCTGGATGGTTGGTTTGGGCCGCTCTTCGATGGAGATTTGGTTTGGGGCTTTGTAGATGACGGCTTTCATTGTGCTGGTTTGCAGTGGGTAGAGCTTCTCGAGGGAAAAGTTATACGGGCGGAACAAAAAAGCCTAAAGGGGGAATTGGGGATAGAGGTAGGACAAGAGAGCCGGATTAGGGTCGTATTTATGTACCGGCGGTCCGCGGAAATAAACCATCGGCTAGAGGGGAGAGATACGACTTTGACAGAGTGATCCTCGTGAGACAAGTGAGCTGCAGAAAATGAAGCCAGTGGCAAGAGGTCTGCTTGGCTCTGCAGGTAATAGAGGGAGCTAGGGCGACACAGACAAGTGCCGTGTTCTCACTGGCGGAAAGTCTAGGAATATGCATGATAGTGGAACCACAGGCGCCTGTCATACGGCAGGCTGTAGCCTCATTTGTCCGCTAAGAATCACCTGCTGGATGGAGAAGGGTTCAACCTGCCAGTGGTCCCAAGCTGAGCGCTACGATTCTTACAGATTAATATCTCCTAACAACGCCTAGACAAGGCTACGTTTCATGGGAAAGCAACAGCTACAGGCCCGGAGAAAACTCCCATCTTGAAGAAAGTTCATGTGCAATGTGGGGTTAGGACTAGTGCCAGATCGCTCTGGCCATGCCTAGGAGCCTAACACCCGTGCTCAAGTCAAAGTATTCATATTCAAAACGACTCCCTCCCAGCAATAATGATCATCCACTATACCCACGCCTCTGAGTGAACCAGCGTCTCAACAGTAATTGATAATAATTGGCGGAATCCCACACGGTAGCCTCTGCAAGTGCACCTTCACCGTCCGCCCCGCTGAAGTCTTCCGCTCACTCGAGGGAGCAGCCTGGGACGATAGTATCCCACCGTTATAGTACTCCGGGTGCAGCTTGACTGCCGTATCGCCATCCCCGAGATCAACCTGGGCATCGCACCAGAACTCGGAATTATGGTACCCCACAACAACGGTGAATGTCTGGCCCGACGAGGCCCTGATCCGAAGCATGGCGGACGTGCCGCTTCCGCCGAGTGTGAGGGTGAGCTTGTCGCCGGTGTCTTCGGTCCAGGCGCCGCCGTTGGCGTAGTACCAGCATGTCTTCTCGATTACGGTAAGCGCATCCTGGGTGTCGTTTATGATCGCCACGCGATGAGTGTAAGGCATCGTGCTGCGGAGTGTCAGATTCCCGTGTTCCAATGACTTTGGGGATGTAGAGCATTACCACGTATATGTCTTGCGAGGAGAAAGAGGGCACTCTCAGGTCTGTGGTCTGGTGGGGTCTGATGCTTTGGGGTTGGCAGGCGGAGGACTTTAGGTTAAATAGCCCGTGGACGTCCATGTTTGCTGTTGATACAAGGGGTCCTGGGAGTTGAGTTGTGGCTGTAGCTGAACTCCATCGGACAGACCGCGCCCTCGAATGCAACTGGAAGCATGGCTGTAACCCCTACAGGGTATTCGGGAGACATCCATTCAGACCCGAATTTCAAGTGACAGAGTAAATGCAGCATGTGCTCATGTTTTTCAGCTCACCACTGTGCGACTCTCATACACTCACCTTGTTCCTGCCCTTTGAATCGCGCTCCGCAGGTGCCGGCTATTTTATCCTCTTTCACATACCCCTGTTTCGCTTCCCGTTATCCACCAATGAGACCATTACTCTGTATGCCGAGAAGCAAAGAAGGCAACGGGGCGTACCCCGCACTAGAGGGAGATGACAGCTGAGGAATCTGAAACTAGTCCCGAGTCCAAGCCCTGGTGGCTCCTACGCCTCGATGAACTGTTCGCCGGGACCAGCCGGATCATCGGGCCCTCGCCAATAATAAAACTTGTGCGAGGAATCAGCAAGCCATCCATATGTATGTTTGCTCAGGTAGCCGCAGCACTGAAAGTAGTAACTCCGTGGCTTAACAGTGTTGCGCAAACATCAATTTCCTATGGTTTCGAAGAAGGAAGAATTCCCATGTGATGACTGAGGGGTTTTTGATAACACGCTAGTAAGAGCTGCTAAACCCTTTTCACTAATCGCTCCAATTCCACCTCGTTGTTGCAAAACGTCCGAGGTCGCAGATCTGAACTAGCTGATAAGACCTCAGCTGCGCCTCGACTCTTGTGCCCCGCTACACGGTCGTATCTACCCCGCAGCTGTGTCTACCCCTCGGCGGCACCTACTCTCTCTTCATTATTGCTTGTGGTCTTGTGCAAGGGAAGGCCCGTTTTCCGTCCGTGGTGTTCTTGTTGATGGTGGGTTTGCCCATGGGCGCACTTGGCGCTACCTAGCGTAGAGGATATCAGCTTGTACTCAAGATCTGGTAACGGAGCATGCCTCTAACAAATTTAATGCGCAGCGGTGATTTCCTTGAGGGTGAGGATACGCTAGTCGGGGTTTGGCCTAGAAGGCAGGGGGGCGGGACATGCGAGAACTGAATGCTAAAGATAAGATGCAGTTTAGCTGGTTACCCATTTTTGGGACCACATATACAGGATGTAAGAACGTAAGTGTGGGACAGTTTCAATGCGATAGCTTCAATTAATCCAAACAGCTCGTTACTTTGAGCCTTGTGCAGTCAGATAGTTAAATCCCTTCCATGCAAGCCAACCCACAGTTCCAAGTGCACCATGCGCCGCGAGCCCGGGTTGATACACACGTACTCGTATTAGAGATTGGCACAGGCTACACTGATATTCAACTTCTTCCGCCATGAACCTTGGTCGGTTATCATGCCCTCCATCAACATTCTGAACTAACGTGTGGTGTCCGCATTCATACGGGACAGCAGTGAATACCGTGCCCGTCGCCGTGGTCGCGCTTTCCTGATGGCTATCCTCGCGAGACAAGGAGTTGCGCAGCTCTATCCCATCGTCCTGATGAGCAGCGTAGACCGGTGCCTTGTCCCCAGTTGGAGCAGTCTGCGTCTCACCACCCTCCCCTTCCGGTATTCCGCAAGAATCCCAGCTTGTGTCTGCCTTGCGGTCGCAATCAATACACCTAGGTTATGAATGAACTTAACCCCGTGAGAAGTATTTCGCCAAGCTGCGCGATAGCCCTTTCCTGCGGTTGAACGGTAAGAGTTGTCGGTCAATGTAACGCTAAGATTTGAGTTATTCATAAAGCCTGTGATACTGGACGATAGTTCAATTGAAAAAGTGGTTCAGCTGAGAGGCCCAGAAGGACGGGTGCAGCTCAGCCACGTGGTAACACTTTGCGAACAAGGCGCATTTCGCTGGCTTTGCATGATTTGCCGATCCAACTCGGAACCTTTGAGGATTAAAGAACGTTGGTGTGTCGGCTGGCCATGGACCCGTCAACCAGGGAATGGGCAGTAATCATTTTACTTAAAGACTTTTACTATCCAAAGGTCAAATATCATTACCCGCCTTTGTGCCCTCCACCAGAAAGACAATTTGGCTGATACTTCATCTAAATGGATTCCAATAGTGCTGAATCACTAACGGGAGCAGGCATAACCCAGAAGTAATGGCATATCGTGCTAGGGGCTAGGGTAAGAGCGCAATGGGTAGGAAGGAGATTGAATAGGATCAAGTCCGTGGGTATAACCCATAGGGCAATCAGCACTGGATTTGATGCTAATAGATTAATTGTTCCAAATCTGGCTTGTACCAACACTGCAAAGAGCTAGTCTGCCAATAACACCTGAAAGCTTGAGTTGGACCCTTGTCCTAGAGTTCCTTGGACGGGCCGAAGCTCTGCCGCCCATTGCGGATCACGCGCTCTTGCTCTCACAATTAGGTATATTAACCCATTTCCCAAAAGAACCACAACATCGCCGCCTCATGATGTCCACCAGCGAGGCGTGAATTTGTACCAACACCATTAGGACGATGCAGCCGGGCGATGCTTTTGCACGCGCCTTTCACAAGGCATGCATGGGTGGCCAGCTCTCCAAGGTCGAAGAAGCCATCGCCAGCGGGCAACTAACCGCGAAAAGCGCCAACATGGGCCAAGGGCTCGCTACCCATTGGTCGCATGTGGCCGCACCTTTTGACGCTGGCGCCAAACCCTCGCCATTCGTCGAGAGCTTCCTTCCCGGAGAGCACATGCTCCAAGACGTCAGTATTATTCGCCAGTTCCTAGACCGTGGGCTGGATCCGAACTCGAGGTACAAAAAAGGTGGCTAATTCTAGGGTACGTGATTAACTACCATTTTCTACCATATCAGATCTCCGCAATCAGCGATGAACGCGTGACTCGCTGACGCATAATAGGTTTTTCCAGGATCTTACCTGTGCTCGTGGATTGCTATCGCGGGGCGCTACCCTAACTGTGTAGTGACAGCGGAGGGCCCGTCCTTAGTATGGTCATTAACTCTGCCAGGGAGGAGGGCGCCTCTTTGCTTAAGCTATACTCAGAGTACGGCGCAGGCCTGCCTTCCAATCTACTCTTCTATGCGGCAGCTCCTCGAGCCCGCCACGGAGAGTTTATAACTAGGTATCTTCTCTCTAAGGGCCTCGATCCGAAGGTTACTAGCGAGGGAGGAATGGGGCACTCCCCTGCATTATGCCGCACGCGGTGTAAGACTAAACATTGTTAAACTAGTGTTAGATGCTGATGCAGACCCCGCGGTACGATCAACCGGTAGGAAAACACTTGGATGGAGTCCTGTAGAGGTAGCTGAGAGGGTGCGACATCAGGGTGTTCGCGAGACACTTCTTGGACTTCTTCGTGTTGAGGGTCACTCAAACGACGGTAAAGGAACTTGTACCGAAATTACAGGATGAATGCGGCTGGACCAATACTCTATATACAGTGAAGGAGCACAAGGAGCTCTGTGTTCCCGAGGCCACTGCGGGACGAAACTTCTTAAAGTATGAATCTAGCTGCGATTTTGGTCAAGGGATGGATTCGTGAAAATGGCCGTCCTACTGGGTTGAAGGTCCCTCTGGCGCCGTACCATAACGATGAGCGGGCATGAAGCTCATCTTGATTTTCCTATATTCTATATCTGGGTGTGCAAGATAATAACACCTCTTCCAAACATTCTGGCGTGTACGATTACCATTGAGGAATTAGGGGGTATAGGGGATAACGGGATGATTTCGTTGCCCCTTGCCGTCGCAGTGCTGTTCGCTGCTAGATCTGCTACATCGGGGCTTGCTCGATTACATTGGCGGCGCCTTCAGCACAGATAATCTCTCTACTATGGATGGTAGTCGGCTGTCAAAGCCAATAAACAGACATATCCACCGAGGAACATGACGCGGCAAGGCAATGATTATGATACTTCAGCTTGCTTTACAAACTTTCATATTTCATGAGTGAATATCCTTCCGGTGTTGTCCCATTTTGGATTGCATGGTGGAAACTGCTGGCTTTACGTGGTCTCTCCTTTGTTGATTGTCTCGTCACAACATATCATGAGGTTTGGCGGCATACGCATGACATGGATTCCAAAGGTTTCTTCCAATCAGGGGCAGCCGACGCGGAATCCAATCCCCCAAGCGCCGCAATCGGGTTTCGGAACTGGCATGCACCTGTACAGTACATCTAAAGGCTGTTTAAGAAAGGCCCGTCTAGATCAGCCATATATTCTTTCAAGGTCGGCTGTAAGAAGTAGTTCATCAAAGGAGCAGCTTGTCCATCTGGTCTACAAACTCATATCCTTTGTACGGTTTGACTTGTGCTTGCGGATAGCTGACCCTACTGTGGCTCAGTCCCTGCTCGACCAGGGTAACCGCAAAGGAGACCGTGGTCGGCAACGGGTCAATGACAGGCACCGCGATGCCTCGCTTTGCCAAAAACTCGCGAATTTCCCCCGCGCAGCCCATCAGCCCTCCACACCCCAGGATCACCGCCCCAGCGCCCTCCCGCTCCACCAGCTCCAGTGCAAGCCGGTTCAGACCCTCTTGCACCTCGCGCGCACGGCTGTGGATTTCCAGCACGGGGATCTCCACCGAGCGACACCCAACATACCGCCGCTCATAGCCACAGTGCGCCGCGTTGGCGCGCAGAATCGGCGCGGCGCGGTCCAGGACCGTCACGATGCCGAAATTGTGTGCTAGGCTCGCGGCCGTCGCCATGGAGACCTGCGCGACGCTGACGACGGGGATGGTGACGGCTTCGCGGAGCGCGTCCAGGCCCGGGTCGCTCATGCAGCTGATGACGAGCGCGTGCGCGCCGTCCCTCTCGGCCTGGAGTGCGGCAGCGAGCATGCCGGGGACGGCCATGGCCTCGTCGACGCGGGACTCGATCGAGGCGGGGCCGGCGAGCAGCGAGGTTTCGGTGACTTCTACGCCGGCGCGGCAGAGGCGGTCGATTTGGGGTTTCCAGAAGGAGAGGTCGATGGCGACGGGGGTGATGATTACGATTCTTATTGTCCGGGTCATTTTGGGTTGGGATTATAGGTGTAGGTGTGTGTGTGTGTGTGTGTGTGTGTGTGTGTGTGTGTGTGAGTGATTTTGCAGTGTTGCGAGCGGTAGAACGTTTATAATTGGGTAGATCAATAAACTGCGTAGCAGCATACTTTGCCTCTTATATTAGTACCATCGAGGCGAGATACGCTCGTTCAAAACTTAGCGCCTGGGCGGAGGTTCCTGGCGCCCGTCATGGAGGGGAGGGCTCCACGGCGCACAAGGTGTCTGCGTCGTCCAATCCGGCGTCAAGCAGGTAGTAAGTCTGCGGGGCTCACCCCTTCCAGAAGCAAGGAAGGGAGAATCGGGTACCAATTTGTACGAGCGAACAGTCCACCTGCGGGCGCTACCAATGCCAATGAGACCTAGGTAGGAGCACGCAGATTATTACCTCGCTTCCGCCTACATATAACCATTCTCACCGACAGACGCAGATGGGAACGAGTCTGGATGTGGCTCGGAGCTCAAAAATGCACCCAGGCGCGGCACAGCTAGACTTTGCTCGCGCAACCCTTTCTAGAAGGAGCAATTCATTACTCCGCAGTCAGTAGTGCCGCGCGAGAGTTTCGGCAATCGATATTACCCATTCTGCATTCATGAGCTGCCCGCCTTTCTGCTCGTCCTTTTGGGGAAGGCACGTCCATTTCAATCGTTTCCATAATACCGAATTTTGCGGCAAGCATTGCAAAGCAGGTGCAGTGTCGCCGGACACTTGTCGTCTAGTACGAGTCTCCAAGCCCCTTACAGGGCGATCCCACACGCTCACGCACGGATCAGGGAACATGCAGCCGGAGCCCTATTAAGCTGGGCTGGGTCCACCTTTGAGATGATAGCCTTGCTCTACCTGTTTTGTCGAGCTGCGGCTGGCTCATTTATATGAATGATGCCTTTGATACTGAGCTTTGTTACGCTTGTGGGCGGATGCACTTGTCTGCGGGCCAAACGACTCTACTTTTACTTATTGGGGTAGACCGGCCGAAGGTGCGGCTTTAATGCAGATGATAATGTCCAACCCTCTGACAGGCAGCCTGGGGAGTAGTACATTCTGCGATACGTTTTACCCGCTGGCTGGCTGGCTACGCACGCCAACATAACAGATTGGCCCGGTGGTCGGTCGATTGAAATTCACTTGGTACAGAGGACACATGTTGTGCGTAAATAAGACGGATGCGTTACTGTGCACCCTACTCCCATATCGGTTCCATTACCAACGCCAAGATCAAGAGTGTCGTTGCGCCTCCAACATCTCCGCCGATGGGTCTGTGTAGACGGTAACATACGGCCCTGATTTGGTGGTATACGCAATGGCAATCCACATGTAGCAATGCGTGCTTTTTGGGTTTGAGAAGCACAGGGGGCTAGAAGGTGTCAGCTAAGTAAAAAATATCCTCGTCGCTGATAAAGGAGGGGGTAGCGAAATGGGTAGAAACACTTACTATGCCTCCTGCTCGATCCTCTTCTGAGTCTGGATATGATCCGTCCACCCCAAGTCCTTGAAGAGGCGCACAACGACTTCCGAGACGTACCGATCATAGTCCTCAATCACGGTAAAGTAGATCTTGGGCACGAGGGCGCCCGGCTCCGCGGGCGACATTTCCCAATTCACCTGGATATGCATCGACTCTCTGCGTCTCCCGTCCGGCAGCGGCACGCGAAACAGCGCCTCCCACACCTTGGCCACGAGCTCGAACCCCTTGTCACTCTGCGGGCCTGCCCCGCCACTGCCCACAAGTCGGCCGCCGAGCGTCCAGAACGCGTGGACCTCCGGGAGGCTCGTCACAATCGCCTCGGTATAGATCTTCATGCGGGAGCGCCGCGGGTCCTTGCAGTCAAACGAGACGTACGACTTGTCCGTCAGCATGCGCGTGCGGTTCTCGACCATGAAGTCCTCGACGAGTGCAAAGTCGACCGTGGAGCCCGTCGTCGCGCGGTACTCGCGCAGGCTGTCAAACATGAGACTGACGACGTCGGTGCCCAGGGCCGTCGCGCGCAGTAGCGGCGGGAGGTAGATCTTGACATTGAATGAGGAACATGGGTCGCGCTGCAGGTCCAGCGCGACGGCGGTGTGGGACTTGTGCGGGACCGCGCGCAGCGCCTCCCAGTGCCGCCGGCCCTCGTCGCCATTAATTCCCAGTAGCGGGCGAAGGGCGCTGTATGCAGAGATGTCCAGCCCCGGCTGTAGGTGGCGCAGATGGTGTAGGAGGTGGCGCGGCGCGAGCTCATTGAGCGGGTCGGCGTCGGTGCCTGCATAGGGGCCCGTGGGCTCGATGGTGAACCGGTACAGGGTAGTGTTGTTTTGCTGGTAGTTGACGCTGGCCTCGAGCGGGCCGGGTCCAAAGGTGCTGGGCCAGGTGATGTTTTTTCGAGCAGCGCCTTTGGGGAATGGGCCGAGGCTGGGGATGATGGCGGCGTGGATCTTGAGCAGGTGCTGGTATTGCGCGGCGATGCTGTAGCCCGTGATTGCCATGCTCGACCCAAAGACGGGGGCCAGGGCATCCCACCAGAGCTGGTGGTCGGCGTTCGGGGAGGTGAGGACCTTGCTGAGGAATTTCCATGCTTGTTGCGACTGCAGGTCTTGATGGGGTGGCGTTGAGGCCTGGGGTGGTGCCACTGCGGTCTCGCGAGTCATCTTGGTCGACAGGTAGTTTGGTTGTAACTGATGATACAGAAAGAACAAGACTGGAACATATGATCCCGCAGCACCGATAGCTTATTGGGGCCCTATATAGGAAGTTTACTGGCAACAACGTGAGTGAGTCTTTGGAAACTGCTGCAAGGGAAAGGAAGACAGATTGCTAGCATCGGCAAAGCCAGGAGTGCTTCGTCCATGGCCAGTCAGGCAAGACGAGCACTAGGTCGAGGAGGTGCGCGCTAACCAGTCAACCTCCAAGGCTACACAGTTGCTTGCCTGTTGGCGGCAAGTGGAGGAATGCGACGTGGATCCATTTCAATCGCTCCATAAGGGGCACGACCTCAATATTCAGCCCTTGCCGCCAGCATACATACAGTGTAACCCGGAATATAGTGCCCTGAACCCTCACTCGAGCAAGGGAGGACGCCTTTAAACCGGCAGGCAAGTGAGGGCTAATCCTTGCATCCATTTCCCGCAGTGGGAGCCAGAAAGTCCCAGAAGCCACGTCATTAGGCGAGTACAGCAGGTTCCAGTCGCGGCACTCGGACTATATCCATCAGCCGATGTGATTAGAGCTCTTGGCCTTGGTTTTGAACTGAAATTTAGCCAGGAAGAATGACAAGGAGTGTGGTCGGGTACCGGCGCAGGCTTTACAGCCTTGACGGTGCATTTACATATTCCGTAGGCGATGTTGCTCTTGTAGTCCACGTGACCATCAGCAGCACGTTCTACCAGATATATATATATGTAGGACAGAAAGTCTTGAAACATGAATATCTCAACGACGAGAATAAATACGATCAAACCTAAGATACTACCTACTGACATGGTATATATTAGTACTGGGTAGCTTTTAGCCTTAACAACCGGTCCAACCCAGGGTAATATCAGAGTATCATAAGCCTTTTGTAGATTTGACTAGTACTTTGTCTAGGTACTTGTACAAGTATATGCTGGATATTAATAGTGTATATTAAAGTATTCTTAGATGATCGAGGCCAAGAAGAGCTCATTTCATATGGGATATGCAATGATTAGATTATGAGTGATTAACAATGATAGTAGAAGAAGGTGAGAAAAAAAAAGAATAGAAAAAAGGAAAAAAAGGAATTAATCAAGTGCTTGTGCCCCCTTAGCCTCACGCCTCCTGCTCAAAGGAACCCGCAAGATCCCCCCGATTCCAATGCACGCCACACCAACAGCAACAAAAAATGTCCTGGTCACGGCCTCATTATACACGGTCAAGATATCCGGGATGATCTCAGGCGGAACAACATCACGAAACCCGGTCGCACCAGCCCCGGTAACCAACTTCGTATCGCCATGGAGGCCCGGAACCTCGTCGCGCAGGCGCTCCGCCAGCTGGGAGTTGAGGACCGTCGCCGCAACAGAGGTCAGCACCGTTGCCGGCAGGTTCTGGCACAGCAGGATGATCGTCGACCCCATGATGATGTCTGCGTGGCGGGTGAAGGACTGCGCGGCCGTCAGGCTTAGCTGCATCCCTAGCCCTGCGCCCGCGCCCATCAGGATCTGGTACCCGATCCACTTGCCTGCGCTGCTGGTCGGGGTGAGGGTGGTTAAGAGGCCGCAGCCTATGGATGACAGAATCGGAGAGGCGAGCGTGAGGAGGGCAAGGGCTGTTGTTGGGGAGGTGAGCTTGACTGCTCGTAGGCGGCTGTTGTTTGATGGTGACGACGGAGGAGGAGACGGCGACGACTCGCCGGAGGTCAGTGCCCCTCCGAGTGTGGAGGCGATGAGGAAGCTGACGGTGAGAGGGAGGTTCATCACGCCCGACGAAGCGGCAGAAGCGCCTTTGATGGCTTGGAACCATATTGGGAGCTAAGGATGATTGCCAATGGTCAGCTAAGTGTCGTAAAGGGGAATATGGATGCCCAAGGGGGAAGACGGATTTCTTTTCTCACATTGTACAGCATGACGAAAAACGAGGCAGTAGAGGCGGCTCCCAGGATGATAGAGGGCCAGACCCGGGGGTCCCCAAACACGCGCGGCGAAATCATGATGCGATTCTCATCCTTGCGGCAGACCTGACTGAGGACGAAGCCGGTCCCCAAAACTCCCGCGACGACGAGCGTGGCGATGACCCTGCCGTCACTCCAGGAGTACGCGGAACCCCCCCACTGCAGCGCCAGCAAGATGGAAATAACCCCAGGAACCAGAAGCACGGCTCCCAGCAAATCCATCTGCAGCAGGCGCTCGCGGAACGGGGTGTTGACCCCAGGCGCTTTGTTGGTGGGGATGAACAGGACGATAGTGGCGGCGGCCAGGGCGCCCAGCGGGAGATTAATGTAGAAGCACCATCGCCAGGTCAGTGTCCGATTGTCGGTGAATGCGCCCCCAAGCAAAGGTCCCATCGCCGCGCCAAAGCCAAAGGTCGCGCACAGGATCCCAACGAGAGTTGGCCGCCGCGGGGGAGGGAGGAGATGTGTGACAAGCAGGAGCGACCCAGCGCAGGTGCCTCCGCCGCCGAGCCCGGCAATCGCACGGCCAAGGATAAAGGCCGTTGACGAGGGCGCGATGCCGCAGATCAAGGAGCCGAGCTCGAACACGAAGAGGCCGACCAGGTACGTCCATTTGGCCGTGTAGAACGTGTACAGTTTGCCCCAGATCAGCTGGAAGGAGCAAGCCGTCAACATGAACGAACTTGCGTACCAGCCAATGTCGCCCAGTGCATGGAACCGGTCCGTGATTTTGGGGATGGCAGTCCCGACGATTGTGCTGTCGAGGCCTTGAAGGAATTGGATGGCTACTAGGGCCAAGATATCGAGTAGGAGCTTGTATCGGCGATCAGGATATTGAGCGTGATCTTCGAGGAGATTGGAATCGTGAGATTCTTGGTGGGAATCGAGCGGGTGCATCAAGGTATCATCGGTCTCTTGTTTGACACTGGGCGCCGACTCTGTCGGCGTGGCCTTGCAGGGCTCACTCTCCATCACCAGGGCCGCCATTGTCATCGCGGAGGAGAATAAGCTGGGAGAGCAAGTAGTGGCTTGAGAACAAAACTTTGAATATGAGCAGATTCCTGGGAACGTGGTCACGGGGAGAGACGCAAGGGGGTCGACTGCAGTGGGAGCAAGGGATGAACCTGCCGGTGGGGTGGGATGCTAGGACTACTGGGGCAACATACTGTGTGGCATTGATTGCACTTCGGCGAGATGGCTTCCGAGTAATGCTGTATCGCGCGTTTCTCCATACGGCTAAAAAAGGGTGTTGGAACAACCAATCTCGCATGGGGTTTACGATAGCTTAGGGTAGGCCGTATTTCTGTTCAACATGCGATACCTTGAGCAAACAATTTATTCTCAACATGATGACCTCATTCAATTAATTTTAAAATTATGCATGCGTCCGCCAGTGTCCTCAAAACGCGGCGGCAGTGATGGGATCCCCGGGATGGTCAACAATCCATCCAACTGCCCCGCAGAGGCGATCCAGAATCTCCGAGGCGTACGTGTCTGAGCAGGTAAACGCCCAGTAGCGCAATTCCACCTCAATGCGGTCCCGCGACAGGACCACGGCCAAGCACATATCGTACTGTATATGGTGGGAGGGTTAGATTTGGCAGGGATTCGGGCCTGGAGCATGGGCTGGGGAATGGGGGAATGGGCCTACTACTAACCTCTGTAGCATCATCCAGTTCGAGCAGGTTAAAGCCAATACCTGTTGTAGTGGAAGATTCAAACTCGGGCTGCACGGTCAGCACGGTGTTGAAGAGCTGCTTGTCGCCCTGAATATCAAGCCCAGCCTGGCGGATTACCTCGGGGACGGAGCAGTGGTGATGGTCGTTGCGGCGCTGGATGTTATTCTGGTTCTCGCGCAGCACATCCAGGACGGTGCGCGGTTTTGCCTTGTCATTATCGTTATCCAGCACCATCCGGCATGGGAGGATGTTGAAAAATGGGCCCACCATCTGCCAGATGTGCGGCAGGGGGATGTCGCGGCCAGAGACAATACTGCCAAAGCAGACGTCCGAGGCATTGGTGTAGTGCTGCAGGAGCAGCGCCCATGCGAGCTGGAAGATGTTTGCGACGGTCAGGCGATTCGAGCGCCAGAAGGTGTCGAGACGGTTGAGGTCCTGCTCGATGAATCTGCGTAGTGAGCGATGCTCGGGGGTTTGCACCTTGGCACTCGGTCGTCGTGGGAGCCTGCATGGCTGTGCCCCGGCCAGAGCCCCCTTCCAGTAATCAAGCGTCTCCTTTCTTGAATGGGTCTGCAGGTACGCCAAGTACTCGCTATACGGGGTTGCGGCGGCCGGTGGGAGGTTGCCGCGCAGGGCCAGAGCCAGATCGTTTAGGAGGATGGGAACAGACATGGCGTCGATGAGCGCGGAGCCAGTCTCCATACGAATAAGGAGCCGTCCAGCCTGGTCTTGCCCGATGATTAGCCGGTGTGGTGGCGAGCCTTTCTCCCATGGGGTCGGTGGCAGAGCCTTGAGGACGCCGAGAGTATCCTCGACATTGGGCAACACCACAACACTCGGCGACGCGCTCTTGAGCAGAACATGCAAATATGACTTTTCGCTGTCGGGATGTGGTATAATAAGCGTGCGGAGGGCAGTATGTCGATGAGCAATGTCATTCCAGGCGGACACGACCTCCTCCGGGCTAATGGCATCTGCGCACTCGAGGGCAAAAATCAGGTTTCCCCGATACTGGGAAGTGTAGAGTTCCAACATACCCGAGTGGGCGTCGGAACAGGAATAGACACTCTGGATGGAACCGACCGACTGCTGCCCAGCCAGATCGTATATGCCTTGCCATTCATCATGGCTGAGGCGCAGGAGCGCTGTATTAGATCCCGATCGGTGTTCAGGGGCGACTTTTCCATTCGGCACCGAGACGAGTGCGCATTGCTGTGTCGGAGCCGCAGGGGGAGGGGGTATATTGGCTGGAGTGACGGGACGGGCATGCTCACAGAAAAGAGAGACGGTATCATACTTTAGGAACTCGTACATGGTCAAGCTCATCCCCCCCGTTCGACACAGGCCAAGCAGGCGCATGGCGGTTATGGAGTCGCCACCCAGTGCAAAAAAGCTATCATCGACTCCTAATGTGTCCTCGGGTATCGAGAGGACGCTTGCAAACGCCCGATGGACCAACCTCTGCTTAGTAGACACGGGCTGTCGTTTCTTCTGCGTCTTGCTGTCGCTGCCCAGATACGTGGCTAGTTGAGCCCGTGACATTGTCTCTGCAAACTCGCGCAGTTGATTCCGGTTGGCCTTGCCGCTGGGACTCAGCGGGAGATAGCGCAGCGGGATTACAATCGAGGGCACCATAAAGTGCGGGAGCGTCTGGCCGAGATATTCCTTCAGCTGCTGGATGCCTTCTAGGTCTCGGTCTGGGTCCGGGACGAATGGAGACCCGGCGTTGGCGCGTACATCGAAGCCAACATCCCTACCTGCACAGGTAAAGAGAACAAGCCGAGACCCACCGAGATGCTTAAAGTTGACCAGCAGTGCAATGCAGGTTGCGCCGCTCTGATACGCCTCGGCATGGTGCTCGATCTCGTGGAGCTCGATGCGCTGGCCGTGCAGCTTCACCTGGGAATCCTTGCGGCCCATGATGGAGATGCTGCCGTCGGGATTTTGGTACGCCAGATCACCGGTCTTGTAGAAGCGATGGCCCGCAACGAACGGGAACTCGCTTTCCCACGCCGGACGGCGAATAAAGGCCGCCGCTGTCTCGGCCGGGCGGTTGATGTATCCTCGCGCCACGGTCGGGCCCCCAATGACCAACTCCCCCACACATCCGACAGGTTGCAAGCGATGGTGATTGTGGGGATCCACGACCCAGCATGATGCATTGGGCGGGAGCCCCACGTTGGATGGATCATGTCCCGGCTTGATGCGGACCGCAGTGGTCGTGATGATGGTGCCCTCGACAGGGCCATAGCCATTATGGAGCGCGACGTGAGGACCCCAGGTTGCAATGTCGGATTCCGACACGGGCTCGCCTCCCAGGAGCAGCGTTTGCAGCGTGGGTACGCTGGACGGCGTGAGTGTGCGCGCGACTGTTGGCGTAAGCACTGCCCAGTCCACCTTCATCTCCTCCATTGTCCCCGCGAGATTGTCCGTGCGCTGGGCCTCGGATGGGATACACAGACAGCCACCTGCGCCGAGAACAAAGAGAACTTCAAAAACGCACATGTCAAAAGCGAGCGACGAGAACGAGAGACCTCGCGATCCGCGCATCGGTCCGCAGAGCGGCGCGTGGCCGCTGAAAGCCAGAGAAAGCATGCCGTGTTCGATGGTGGCGCCTTTGGGCGCGCCAGTCGAACCAGATGTGAACGCCACATACGCCGCGTTCTGGAGGCTCAGTGCAGGAGGCCGGTACGTATCGGCGTCGAATCTGGCCACTGCGTCGTCGGACAGGACGATGACGCGTTTGGCGATCTTGCTGCCCCTGTCATGGAGCAGCGTAGTCGACAGCACAACCTGCGCATCCACGTCTCGGCAGATACTTGTCAACCGCTGGACTGGGAAGTTGGGTTCCAGGCAGACCATCGCGGCACCGGACATGAGGATCCCCAACATGGCCACGGGGAGCCATTTCGAGCGCTCGGTACAGATGCCAATCACCGTCTCCGGCCGGGCACCCTGGGCCTGGAGCTGCGCAGCCAAAGAGTGCGATGCCCTCACCAGTTCGCGATACGTAAGGGAGCCATCCCACGCACAAACAGCCTCAGACTCGGGCTGCGTCGCCCCGTGTTCCTCCACCAGCTGGTGCACGAATTCCAGCCGTTTCCCGAGTTCCCTCTGATTCCACGCAGTCAATCTCTCCTTATCAGAGGGACACGGCAGCATCAAGTCGCTGATGCGTGCACCTTGTGGCTGGTGCAGAATGCGTTGGAGAATTGATGCAAACCGCTCCAGGATGATCTGCACCTGATTGTCACGCAACACGGATCCGTCAACAAACGCCTTGAGCTGCAGCGAGTCCCGCCGCGCCTGAACGACCATTGAAAGCGGGTACGTGTTGAACTTGCGCTCCTCATCCTCGTTCTCCGGCGCATCCGTCATGAGCGATTGCGATCGCTCTGCTGTGCGCAGTCGGACTGTCAGGAGGTTTTGAAACGCGCAGGCGGCCGCGGCCTCGGCGCTGCAGTCGGCAATCGAGAGAATGCCCGTGTGCTCAAAGGGCACGAGGGAAACGGCATGATGGTGGATCTCGGCCAATGCATCTTGCAGCGCTTGATCCGGTTGGAGTCGGACTCGAAAGGGCACTGTCGCAATGGTCGGCCCCATGATGTGGTCAATGCCCTCCACGGGGGCTGTCCGTCCCGAGACGGTCAAGCCAAAAACAACATCGTTGGTACTCGTATGCGTGGATATGACCATCGCCCAGGCCAGTTGCACCTTGCTTGCGAGTGCCCAGTCTCCATCGATGGCTGTAGTATGGACATGAACGCTTTGAGACCGAGGAGAGCGCGACGACAGCGACGTGCCGCTTGGGAGCCGCGGTGGAAAGGGGAGCGCTTTGTATCCACCAAACTCGGTCCTCCAGAACTCTTGTGCTGCGTTGGAGTCGAGGCGCGAGATGTATTCTACCAGGGGACTGAGCGGCTGCCGCTTTGGCGCTGCACCGCCCTGATACACTGTCTCGACATCGTCCAGGGTCTGAGCGTAGGACCACGCATCGAAAATGGCATGGTGAATCTTGACGACAAACCGGGGTTCCTGCCCATCATGCGCCCGATCAATCAGGGCCACGCGCAGCAGAGGGGTTTCTGGCCCCATTGGCCAGCCATCGTCTGCTGGGTAGGAGTCGGCCCAGTGCACTTTGTTGGCAGCAACGACGACTTGCAAGAATTCACTTTCGCACTGGACAATCCGGGTTCTCAGGATCGGGTTTGCGGTAATCACCTGCTCCCAGGCGCGCTTGAATTTCTCAACGTCTGTTTGCGGTGGCAGCATGAACGCAAATGTGCCAACCAAGGCATCGGGGATTTTCACAGACAAGGCCATCATCGCGGCCTGCAGCGGGGTGCAGGGGTAGACATCTTCAATAATGTCCTCTTTGAACTGAGAAGCTATGCTGGTTGGCGAGAGACGGGTTTCCTCACTGATAAGACTAAATGGTGGGATGGTAGGGAGGTCGTGGCAGCGAGAGGCCGCCTTGACGAGGGCTGCCGGGGTCTGCAGGTTGATCACGTCGGTGGCCGTGATGGCGATATCCCTGGATCGTGCACAGGCCACCAGCTCAATCGCTCTCAACGATGTCCCTCCAAGAGCGAAGAATTCGTCGTCGGCCGCGATGCGGTGCTCAGGAACCCCCAGGACATTCGAAAAGAGAGAGCGCAGGGCATTCTCTATGTCGCATGTCGCTGGAGACTGCTTACTCACCAGTGCTGGGCCATCCTGGAGTTCATCCGAGACCAGCGCCTTGGAAGCCAGCGTGACGAGAGTCCGCCGGTCGAGTTTCCCAGTCGCCGTCAAGGGGAAGCGATTCATCGGCACAAACTTTGTCGGAACCATATACGAGGGCAATCGCTCGCGAAGCCAGCTCCGCATTTCCTTCCAAAACGCCCGAGTGCGATCGTCCACCGGTGCGAGGAGGTCTGCTCCATCCTGGCCTGCAAAGACCACCTCGGCCCCGGCTCCTTGTACCACAAACAACGTCAGGATCGCGTCCGAGACATGCCCGCGCGGGTTCACAACATCCGCAGCGGCCACAATCCCCTTTGCATATAGCTGCGCGTGGTGCTCAATCTCCGATAGTTCGATGCGCTGGCCGTGCAGCTTGACCTGTCGGTCCTTGCGGCCCAGATACCGTAGCGTCCCGTCGTCGATGTTATAGTACGCCATGTCCCCGGTGCGATAGAAGCGTTCCCCCGGCGGCAGCCCAAAGTCTGAGGCCCAGGGCGGGGCGGGCACGTATGCCTGCTGGTCCGGGTGGTTCAGGTATCCACGGCCGACAAGGGGTCCACTGATGAGGAGCTCGCCGGGCGCGCCCAGCGGCTGGAGCGTGGAAATATCCCGGGGATCCACGACCCAGCAGTGCCCCGATTGGGACCGGCCGATATTCGACGGGTCTGATTGCCGCACGACGGGCTGGATCGTGGCGACGACACTGCACTCGGCAGGTCCGTAGGCATTGATGAGCTGCACCTTGCCTGACCAGGTCGCGATGTTTTCCTGGGACAGCGGCTCGCCGACAAGGAGCAGTGACCAAATACCGGGCACCGTCTTTGGGGTGAGCATCCTGGCCACCGACGGCGTGAGCTCAACCCAATTGGCGCGAAGCTTGTTGATGGTTGAGGCGAGTTCATTGATACGCTGCGCCTCGGACGGCACACAGACGCAGCCGCCGGCGATCAGGGTCATGAGCATCTCCAGAATACTGCTGTCGAACCCATAGGAAGCGAACTGAAACGCACGCGAATGGCGATTGAGGCCCTGGACTTTGTTTTGCGCGAGCGCATTGGCGCAGAAGGACTGGTGCTCGATGACGATGGCCTTGGGCTTTCCTGTGGATCCAGAGGTGAAGGCAACATATGCTGCGTCTGCTGCATTCCCCGGCGGTGTTGGAGGTGTATTGGGCGGTGGAAGATGGTCGATGCCACCGCTGACGAACGGGAAAGGGACAACAGTCTCGCACAACTTGCTCGCTGTCTCGTCGAGGGTTCGTGATGCCACGATTATCTTGGCCTGGCAGGTGTCGCAGATGTCGAGCAGGCGTGCACGGGGCTGACAGGGATCCAGCAGAGCGAATGCCCCGCCTGCGCGGAGAATGCCCAGGATGGCCACGACAGTCCACATGGACTTTTCGAAAAGGACAGGCACCATAATCTCCGAGTGCACGCCTAGCGAGACAAGTCGGCCAGCCAAAACGCCGGACAGGCGATCGAGCTCAGCGTAAGAGACTGAGCCATCCCACGCACAGACGGCCTCTGCGGTGGGTTGCTGTTGGCACTGGGCTAGAATCAAAGTATGGATACATGTCTGCGGTCTCGCGAGTAGCCTCGGATCGTTCCACTCTGCCAGCAACCGTGAAGCATGCCTCCCCAAGAATCGGACGCTGCTCATCTTGGCGCGGGGGCACTGTAGTAGGTATTCGAAGACATCCTTCACGGTTTCTATTATCGCCTGGGCGTACTTGTCGCTTATCGTTGCACTCGAGTACCTCAGGGAGATGTCGATGGGACACCGGCGCAAATTCAGAGTGACAAGCAGGCTGCAGTCGTTGGATATCTGCTGGCAGTCCGAAGAGTCATTCTGACGGCTGTCGCTCTGGATTCGAACCCCGGTGCCAACGACTTGGCGATCCCGTTGTATTCCGGGCCACGGCTCCCTTTTGCATCTGCGTGCGGCCTCTGTGAAGTAGGCATTTCGGTCTTCGGATACCTCCCAGGTCTCGACTTGAGCTTCCGTACGCTGGTGTGCTGACGTATGCACGTCCTCAATAGCAGTAAAACTTGGGGCTTCGCTGCCGGCGTACCGGGCAACTAGAACGGCCCATACGGCCTTGATCCCATGCGTCCATCTGGCACTGTTGCCTTGTCGCCATTGCGCGGCCAGGCTTGAATCCAACGGCAAGCGGACGACCTGAAAGACAGCATTCTCCGCGTCGTCGCCGTTTAGAATTGGAAAGACAGTCGGCTGGATCTCCATCTTGGCCAACGCCATTAAATCCAGGTGTATTTGCAAAGGCAAAGAAGTGCCCACTCTACACGCGGTCAATATATGGCATGCTCGGCTATTGCATGTCACTTGCCAGGGTAATTCTATCCATACTCCTGGCATGATGGCATCAGTTCCCAGTCGTTTCTTGGAAAGGCAAGGAGCAGCAGAGGCACGAAATGCCGGTCAAATGACAGGACACTACGCATTCTTCTCCTGGATGTATCGTGTCTAGACGTACTATCCATACGGGTGTGTGTTCCTGGTCACCTCAAATGGGCTGGAACCCGAACTGTGCAGATTCCATTGGGTAGAATGAAAGGGTTAGTACAGCCTGCCTTGCGCTCGGCTGCTGGTAGTCGTTACATGCCCATTTGCAACAACATTTCTGGCTGGTGATCAATGTCTGCGGTGTGCACTATTGATCAAGGAGGCCGAAGACAGAAGGAGCGAGGGGCACGTTGGGGGGTGGGGGCCATGCAAGACATGCAGCAACTGTTGGCGGCCCTGAGTTTAGTCAGCGCCTAGATAGGTTAACTAGTCAGTGGTCATGTGGCCCACTGTGGGTTTCCGTAGTTGGGAAAAACAACAAGTTTTGAGGCTCGTCAGCAACACACCAGGCCCTTGCTGCGGGCTCGCCCTCGATGGTCCACCTGCAACGGAATGCTCTAGCCTCGCCTCCAGCAAGAATACGGGCCTCTCTGTGGAATGCAAAATCCTGCTGGTCTATTCGCAGGTATATCCTGAGGGCGAAATGAATGTGCAACCTTGGACTCATTTACATTGCGGAATATATATCCAGGTGGCCTCGGGCGGTGGAAGCGTATTGCAAAGCGTATTGCAGAAGTATGCTGTATGCATAATGTAAGATCTCGCCGCCGCCCCTTGCAGGATGACCTTTTTCAGCAAGGGGGAGGGACCGTAGTAGTACCTATTACATACAAATAATTAAGTTACGGTGTGTTCCACAGCCACGAGCGACCTTGTTACGAAAGACCATGGTGCACCTCCCGGGAACCCGGTCTTCCATCTCGATCTCTTAATCTCACCACGGCGTCTCTGTCGGGTTTTGGCAACCCCAGCAAAATGTCTCGCGAGCAATTGGCCTGGGCCCAGGCAATTTTCACGGCCATTGCGGTCTTCATCTGGTGGGCATTCGACCCCAACAGCTGGAGCAACTCGATCCTATCGTATGTTATCGATGTAAGTCGAAACCGTCCCGGTTGAGTGTCTATACGAGCCGCCAAGCTAATGATACAGAAATACCTGCGATGGCGTTACCCCGTCCCGTCCGTCAACGGGAGAGCTCAGATCCCGACACGTCCTTACAAGTTCCCCGATGGTGGCGGGAGCACCAAGTTCCTCGATGGCGAGACGGTCTCGGGCGACTGCGAGAAGAAATACGGGTCAATCTACCGCATCTGGACGGGGCTCGTGCCAGAAATGTATGTGCCAGTCAGACCCTTGCCCTGAAACTCCCCTTTGGGTGTATGCTTATGCTCGTGCTCGTGTTAACCAACGACGCAGCGTCCTGACGCGGCCTGACGACGTCAAAACTGTCTACAAGGACTCGGACACGCATACCAAGGTCGGGCGCGCCAACGCCGGATGGGTTCTCGGCGCGCTGATCGGCGACGGCGTGGGCCTGCTCAACGGCCAGCATTGGAAGCGCGTGCACGCGGTCGTGGGCCCGCCCTTTGGCCAAAAGGCCACGGCGTATGTTCACCTGGTCACGTCGCGCGTGCAGCGCCATTTTGCCGAATTCGAAGCCCGCTGTGCGGAGCAGGGCATGAAGCCGTCGCGGCTGCAGCTCAGGGCAACCGAGGATCTCAACTCGTTTCCCTTTTGGGTCCTCAAGGACATCATCTACGGCGAGCTCCCGGAGGCGATGAACGCGGAGCTTTCGGAGCTGATCGATCTCCGCAACGAGATCTGGCTCTATACCTTCAAGGGCGGGTGGTCGATGTTTGCTATCAATAAGCTGTTCTACCCGAAGCTGCGCAGGCAGCTGCACGAGTTTGAGAGCCGCTGGGACGCATTCAACGACGAAGCGTACGCGTACATCCTCGCCAAGGGTGCAGCTTCCGAGACTCTCCCCATCGTCTCGCTGCGCCGCGCAATCGATCAGGGCCGCATTAAGCGCAGCGAGGCCCTGCACTCGGTCAGCGAGGGCCTCTTCACCAACATCGACGTGACCATGGGCACCTTTGCATGGCTGGTCCTCCTCCTTGCTATGCACCCGGATATCCAAGCCGAGCTGCGCGAGGAGATCGCCCAGGCCCGGGCGCAGGTGACGACCGAGGCCTGGGAGCGGTACATTGCGAGCAACACGACGCTACTGGCGGGGTGCATCATGGAGAGCGGGCGCCTGCGGCCGATTGCAAACTACACGTACCCGCAGTGCCTGCAGGCAGACCGGGCGGTGGGCGGGTACGTCGTTCCAAGGGGCACCGGCTTCATAGTCGACACCAACGCGCTGAACCGGCGGGATCCGGCGTGGGGCGCGGACGGCGAGGAGTTCCGGCCGCGGCGCTTCATGGAGGCGTCGATTGGCGAGTACCGGTACCGGCTGTGGCGGTTTGGGTTTGGGCCGCGGCAGTGCCTGGCACAGGCGTTGGCGGATACAATGATGAAGTGTCTGGTGGTCTATTTGATTGAGAAATACAGGGTTTCGGTTCCGGAGGCGTTGGTCGAGGGCAAAGAGGACTGGAAGACGCGCAGGCCGGATACGTGGTTTTCCATGGCGCAGAATCCCGTTGTGTGCGAGGCGATTTGATATAATTGCCTTATTCGAGATCTCTGTCAGCTACGTCAGGTATCAGATAGCACATTAAAAGTCAATTCTAATAAACGAAGAACAGGATATCTGCTAGATATAGGATATTTAAGCTTTTTTAGTTTACTACTACTTAGTAAATTTAACTGTTTATAGAACCCCTTGACTCTTAATCTTGCCCCTCAAACAGGATGCTCAGCTACCTCTCGATCATTGTTTATTGAACTATGCAAATACATATATCCTAAAGATCTAGACTTATATTAGCCAGTAAAATGTAAGCAAAAATTGCCCCCATTTCACGCAATTTCCTCCACGCGCCTAGTCCCATAGTTCGATCTTTGTTCCAGTTTAAAATAAAAGTCTGATTTTAGGGCAGCGAGCTTGTCCTTGAGTTTATGTTGCTTATAAAGCAGCGCTTGGCATATCACCCCAGAACAACCCAGTCGTGCTTTCCATCATGTATGGCCCAGAACTCTTCCCCATCCAAGACAAAGAGGGTGCTGACATGAGTCCAGTCTCGTCCACGGATGCTAGCTACGAGCATAGTGCAAAGTGAAATGTGAATAATAGAACATTAAGTGACTCTATAGCTGACAGCCTAACCCAGGGTAATACCCTGATACTCTTTCCAGTCGCTACTAATCTTGCTGCTCCATCGTCATATATTATATGAGCACGACAGGAGTATAATATGTTCTCGCCCTCTGCTGATAAGGATGAAGGGGTATTCTGTAACCCTATAGCATACTTCTCCTTTGTTATTAAAACAGTATAATTTATTTAGCAAGAAGAGAAGAGTGATATACAGATGTTCACTGAGGGAAGACAGGCACAAATTAACCCCAGGCTCAATTCAGCATTCCTGTTGCCCGAGTCAGCAATCCGCAAAAAAAGACTTCACAGAATCAGTCGCTCACCCAGTCAAAACCAGTTGCATACGGTAGTACACTTTGTCTTCAGGGTGGGCCTTCTGGGCAATTAGAACCACTCTGTAAATACTAAAGGCGATCGCAAGACCTCCTGCGCCGAGTAGTATGGCGGCCTGGACTTTCTTGCGAAGAGGTAAATGCAGCCGCCAAACCAACGGAATTGGTATCATTAGAATGATGGCATCACTGATGACGCTGAAAATGGCGTCGGCCAAGTATAAACCCCTTATACCAAGACAACTCCCATCTTCCTCCCTCCCTTCCCAAAATTTTGACGGCGGTGAACAGGAAAAGGCTTTGAGGAATAGCAATAGCACATAGTAAAGACATAACACTAAGATATAGGTATCAAGGAAATAAACCAGATATGGGTAGGAGGCAAAAATGCGGCCCAGGATAGAGAGGAGGGCAATCTTGACAAATAGGACTGCGACCCCATAGAGAAGAGCCAGGACCCAGTAGTACTAAATAAGAGTTATTAGAACCCATAAGAGGCAAGTAACAAAGCATTCAATTCTTACCAATGTTATTAGGGCTATCTCCTGCTCTTTTACATTAGCCTGTTGGTATCCTTTCCAGGTTTCCCCTACTAAACAAGGATAGTCAGTATATATTGAGTTATACAGGTCATTCTTTTTTTCTTTTTCTTGATTGGTCCTTACTTGTCAGGGCGATAGCGCAAAACGCGATGGTTAAAACCTTTCAGCATGGAATTTAGTGAGTTGGAGGCGACGCGTGGCATAAGGGGCTTTTACCCATGCGATCAAGCAAGAATCTGTTCAAAAAGTAAGGATTGGAGATGATTAAAGAGGATTCCCTGTTGTCAGGCCATTACTAACAGTCTTCGAGAACAAGGCGCTGCTTTAAATGAAACCGTATCAAGAAGCGAAGCACGACAAAGGCTGTAACTAGAGATATGCATAAACATTGAGTCGCCAGATTAGCCTTATTCAGAGAGACTGGTCCAAGACCCATGTTGGACTAAGGTGCGTTTCATTGGCAAGGCATGTCCTCCAGTTCGGATGTTGCAAATCCCAGTTCATAAAGAAGATAATAATAAGAAAGGTTGCTGATCACCCGCCCCAGTTGACAGTTGCCCGACCATCACTTTGTCCCCAGCAGTTTTTAGGTGGGCGCTGTGGATCATTAGGGCCTTGGCGCTGTACAATATGACGTCGACCACTTGCCAGTATTGAGCACGGGAACCAGAAATACGCAAACAGCACTAATAAGAGAGTGAAATAAACATAGCACTCATAGATGGTGAGGTAGACTAAAATTAAACATGTGTATGCCATTTATTGCGTGAAGAGTCAGGTTAAGACTGAAAATTGCCTGGTCCATGAACCCTTCTGCTCTGGGGCTCTAGGGCGCGAGGCACGCATTTGCTGCCAGGGGTCTGGTTTGTAAAGCATGATCTCATGGGATTATTGGTCGTATTGTTACACGGCACGCATGTGTATAATACATGCCCTTTCCCATCTACCAATACTGAATTCATCGGGAGCTCGAAAAGTACCTAAAGGGTCTTGCATCTGTGTTCTCGTCGGGTTTGTGGACATCATTATGTATATCCAAGTCGCGAGGAGATATTACCAGGGTTTCGCAGTGCTCAGCTTTTCAGAACAAGTGCCTGAGGGACAGACCCTGAGATCTTATAATCTTTTGTGCGGTGCGAAACCCCTTCAAAACTATTCCTTGTACCACACCTTATAATAAGAACATCTAAACCACCTAGTATGATGCAAGGCTGTTACTGAGACGAGGTGGCAGCTAATATGTTGCATGCAATATCTTTTTATATACGCATCAAGCAGTTCGATCCTATACAACTGCAGGCTTTCCAAGAGTGCATCCCTATCCACCTAATGTAACAACGTACACTCCTTCCTTCTTCGTCCGTATCGGTCCCCGATACACCTGATTGTTGACTCTAACCTGTTCCCCATCAGCCACTCTCACCTGCAGCTCCCTCCCTAGATTTGACCTCACAACCGCCCTCCTCAACTTCCCCGCCTGCCACTCAACGTCGACCTCAAACCCACCTCTCGCCAACAATCCCGTCGCACTCCCACTTGGAACTGCATCCGGAAGAGCCGGCAGCAAATGAACGATACCATCCGCCGCGAGGCTCTGACTCGTACTCTGCAACAACATCTCCGTGATCCCACTCACGACACCAAAGTTGCCATCAATCTGGAACGTCACCCCCTTATCCGTATTCCACAGATTCTTCGTCGGATACAGTGAGAACCACTTTGTAATCTGCGCCCATACGTCTGACCCCCGGTGCAGCCGTGCGTACTGGTTTATGAACCATGCGTTGCTCCACCCCGTGCTTCCAGATCCGCCATCAGCGCGCTCCTCGAGGAGGATCTCGGCTGCGGCTGCAAGAGTGGTGTTGACGAGCGGGGAGAATTGTGTACCCGGGTGAAGTCCGTATAGAGGGGAGAGATGGCGGTGCCCGCGAGCGCGGAGATCGTAATCTAGCCGCCATTCTTGAATCTGGCCCTTGGATCCAATGCGAGGTGGGTGGATTTTCGCAAGGAAGGATTTTGCACTGGCGACGTTTTTGTCCTTGTTGGAGATTCCTAGCTCGGCAGCGGCTTCGAGGAGGTTGTGGAAGACTTCGTACAAGAGCTGGTTGTCCATCTGGATCTCAATATCCATTGCGGCTTCGGCGCCGGCGATGCTCCAGTTGTCAGGCACGTAGAAGGTGTTTTCCGGTGAGAGGGAGGGGCCCGTAACTCTGTATCCATTGTGCTCAAATGTGTAGCATTGGTAGAACCGAGCTACATCGAGAAGGTAAGGGTACACGGTCTCGGAGAGGAGCTGTTTATCGCCCGTGAAGCGGTAATGGTCGATGAGGTGTGTGACAAGCCAGGCCGCGCCCATGGGCCACATGCTTGACGAGGTGTAGTTATCCACTGGGGCTGGGTCGCCCCAGAGATCGAGGTTGTGGTGGATGACGACGCCGCTGCAGTTGTACATGTCCCGTGCTAGTGCCTCAGCGCGGGGTTGCGCGACCTTGAAGAGATCAAAGAGGGGCTCCTGTGTCTCGATGATATTGGTCTGCCCTGCCGGCCAGTAGTTCATCTCCGTGTTGATGTTTATCGTGTACTTACCTCCCCAGGCGGCGGTGGTCTTGTTGTTCCAGATTCCCTGCAGGTTGGCGGGGAGGTCAATGGATTCCGCGGTGTTGCGTGAGGAGGCAACGAGCATGTGCCGGCCGTAGTTCCAGGCTAGGGTTACGAGCTCCGGGTCGTCCATTATGCCTGAACGAGCGTGCAGAACACGCTCGTCTGTAGGGAGAGCTCGCTTTTCGTCAGACGACTGGCCAAGATTAATTGACGCGCGCCCGAGGAGGCTGGATGAGTCTTTTAGGGCTTCTTGTTTAACGCGATCGTAGCCCTTCTTAAGAGCACTGTTGAGCTTGCGTTGAATTTCCGAGTCAATCTTGTCTTGGGTCGCATAGCGGTAGTTTGTCTCTACGTCCAAGAATACGTCGACTGTAGTAGCGCCGGTAATGATGAGGGTGCCATCCGAAGCCGTGACCCGAGCTGCCAAGTCAGCTGGAGCTAGGAGATGGAGGTTTTGTGAAGGACTTCCATACCTCCTTTCGCCTTGAAACTTGCCTGACCAGTGAAAATTATCGGGTTCTCATCCGCAGGCTGGCCACTACTGCCACTCATTCGCAGCCACGGGGCAGAACCAGCAGCTGACGCCTGCAGACCCGTCACAGACTCCGCACGAGAGAAAGTGGCATTCAAGTTCAAAGCACCCTTCTTGCTCGCAGCAAACCTTGCAGCTAGCACGCCCGCCGGAAAGCTCGCAATATACTCACGGCTAGGTCACCAAACCAATCAGCACCACCCAATGATGGGAAGACAAGAGGAGGGTGGGTATGCACGTACGTATACTTCACCCCATTAACAACATACTCAACCCCCGCATCGCCTCTCCTCGTATCCAACCACCGTCGATACCCCTCCACATCACCATCCCCATGCCCAAACCCCACCCCCAAGTTTCCAAAATAGCTATACGCCCGCATACTATCCACCGGGTGCATCATCTTGCTTTTGATAAAGTCGCCGGCTGCGGAGATATTACCCGCGAGCAGCATCTCGCGGGCAACGGGCAGAGCCTCGAGCGCATGTTCGGGTGTTCTGTCCTGCAGCGGGCCGGACCAGATTGTGTTTTCGTTGATCGTGACGACTTCGTCTGGTACGCCGCCATAAATTGTCCCTGCGAGGCGGCCGTTGCCGATGGGGAGGACGCCGTTTTCCCAGTCGGTGTGAGGGGCGGGCTCATTGTACCAGAGGTAGCGGCTGGGATCAAGAAAGGCGGTATCGGCAGCAGCTGAATGGGTTGGACGTGATGCTAATAAGATAGCAAAGACAGCGGAGCTTTGGTGCAGTTTCATTTTGGCAGGAATCTAGGGCAATCATGGAAGAGGGTGCTGGAGCTGCTCACGAATCCAGCGATGATAGAGTAGGGACGCTTGCTATTTATCATCTCCAAATCCCGAGATATGTACTCGGTTCGTCTTGAAGTATAGAAAGCAATCGGGGCTATTAGGATGTTTTTGTGGTCTCTTATTTTACCCGAATGGTGCGGGGAAGGTAGGGCTGACAAGACTATTGGCGGGGTAATCCGGGGGCATGTAGATCAAGCATCATATTGACGGACAATAATTGGGCCATGAGGTGATACATGCATTCTATGTACAGGGTTTCGAGGTTTAGCCTAAGTTCATAGGATCGAGGGCACTGAGTCAGGTTAGAAGAACAGGAAGAAGTTACTCACACAGACTGGTTAATTATCCAAGTCTATAATCCCTATTTGCCTTTTAGGCATGATGTTTGCTTGCCACACAAGGTCCGCTTAGCTAATAACATGGCTGGTATAATGCGCAGTTGCGTGCGGAAATCTGGAGGGATTCTTGAATAAGTTGACTTTGCAAGGAGGTGAGGTTGTGAGTCCCAGAGCGCCTGCCTGATTCGCATAGTGTGCACATTTGAACATTCCAGAAGCCCCGGGGCATCCATGAAATAGGTACATCATGTGACTGTTCTGTCAGCTTCTCGGGCTTGGCAGGCGAATTTTAAAGGGCTTCAGGCCGTTCAGGTGAAGGCCTGAAGGTAGGGCAGCGTGGCCGCTAAGCCCGACCAGTCCAGACAGGGCGCAAAAAACTAGGTGAATACTGACATACAACAGTAGGGATTTGCAGGTGGTCACCCACCATACTACTAACCTACCGGCCTGCCGCCCCGGTGAGCTTAGGGTGAGGCCGCTTTATGGTCGCGGGACTTGCCGGTGAGTTAGCTCCGTGCCGTGCGTAATAGAGGGTGAAATCCAGGAACTCAGTACCCGCTCACCTCTACATTTTAATCAAAGATTGGCTACCTGAGCAACGACATCAAACGCCGGCACCGAATATTACCCCGAAAGATAGTGCTGCCTTGAATAACTGTTCAAAAGACAAAAAATATTACCCGGCGATCTTACAAATAGTCTGTTGTGGGGAGTTTGACCTGTGCCCTTGCGCTCTGGGATCCGCCCAATCTCTAACCAGATCAGATAGTAAGCACTAGCAAGGCGCCAACAAGGGCAGTGCATATCCACTTAAGTCCGGTATTTCCACCATCCTCATCCTCTCGAGGGCTAAATAGATAATCCGCCGTTGTCCAAGATTCATTGTAACCAACATTTGTCCCACCATGAGTGCCCCCTCTGTCCCAGCACAAAGGCTCCGTCGTAGCATTGCGTGTGACGAGTGTCGACGGCGCAAGCTCCGCTGCGATGGCCAGAAACCGCAGTGCGGAATTTGTCTAGAGACAGGAATCGCGTGCGAATTGACGCCGCGCAGGACTCGAGGTCCGAAGAAAGGTCACTTACGGGATCTGAAGAACCGACTCGTACAGCTGGAGGGCCTGCTCGATGGTCGCTTGCCAGCACAGAATATACAGCAAGATTCTTCGGCTGCTCTGACGGAAAATCGTGGCGATGCATCTGGAGCTGGGCTCAACCTGACTCCAGCGTTATCTCCGTCAAGTTTATCCAATTTCGGTCAAGATGGAAGCGGTGCGACAGAGACTTTGACCCCCCCGGGGGTTACGACGTCGTCTACTTTGGAGCATGGGCCACTCTTGCAGGTGCGGTCCACGCCCACTGTGCCTTCTCCTTGCCAACCAACTTCCTCTCAGCCCACAATCTCCACTCCGGGCGGTTCCCTTCCGCCCATGACAAGGGCTTTGCAGGAGGAATTGTAAACACTCTCTACAATCTCCACTGGTAGAACTTGCCGCTGATACATCTCAGGGATCAACTCTACATGGACAGGGCTCACCCCTCAATTCCCATTCTCCACCAGCGGCGATACATGACATGGTCCAAGTCAACGGCACGGAATGAATCGCAACGGTGCTTGCAGTATGCCATGTGGGCAATGGCCTCATTGCTTTCCACCCAATTCCGGGACATGTTAGAGTTACTGTACCAAGAAGCAAAGCGGATGTTGGAGCATTTGACATTGGATGGAGAGGAAGAGGATACTACCAGCATTGGGACAGAGCTTGCTCAGGCATGGGTGCTTATCACCGCGTTTGAGTCGATGCGGGCGTTTCATCGGCGAGCGTGGATGAGCGCGGGTCGTGCTTTTCGCTTGGTACAGGCTCTGCACTATCATGAGATCGATAGCCCAACCAAAAAGCAGGGTCTGAGCCCGCCTCTAGATAGGGACTCTATCGCGGTCGAAGAGAAGCGCCGCGTCTTTTGGATGGCGTACCTTCTGGACCATCTCATCAGTCTGCGTGACGATTGGCCCATCACGCTGAATGAGCACGTGGTAAGAATCAACTGCCCTCTGCCCACCAGACTCTTCCGGTTATACTAATTGCCGCAGATCTGTACCCGACTTCCAGCGCCCGACTCCGACTTCCAGAACGGGTGCCAGGAGCTAGGGCCGCTGCTCTCCGAAGCCATGACGGACGCTTCGCTCAGGCTTCGATCTCCCTTCAATGAGTGTCTCATCCTCGCTACCATATGCGGCCGTAGTCTTCTCCAAAGCCAGCAGTATCAAATATCTACGGCTTACGGGGGTACGCCAGTCGACTGGGCAGAGCAGCAGAGATGGATAAACACACTCCTCTTAAATCGGCTTCAAGTGTTGTCGCAGTACTATCCCGCGCCGACCGAGTCGAACGACCCCTTGCTACTCTTTGCGCATATTGTGGCGCAGGCAACTGTGATATATTGCTGCAAAACTATGACAGACTCGGCCACATTACAAGAGTCCTCGGAGAGAACCGGCGACTATAACCATGCTCATCGAGCCCTGGGGGCATCTGAGCGTATTATTCACCTAGCAAAGACACTTCCCGAGCTACCTATATCGAAGGTCAGGGCCACTCTCATTTGGGCATGGCTCATCATTGACATCTTACTTGCAGGTCCACCCTTTGATGCCCCTGCCCTTATTCCTGTGTGCCGAGTTCCTGTATGACAGGATGAGCACCGATCCAGCCGTTCATCTGCCCATCCAGGAGCTTTTCGACGTTTTTAGTAGGCTTAGAAACGTCAATGACCTTGAGAAGAGCTACTTGGACCTGCTACCACGGTCTTGTCTATCGAAAACCGCGGAGATGGTTGGCCTCTGTTTTGATACGAGCTCGAGTGGTCCTAGTTCATAACACTTTCCCCGGCCCTATCTAAAAAAAATAACAGCTCTTTCTCTCCTTCGATAATTTCTATAATTTAGTGGCAAATATAAGTGATCTTGAAAATAGGCCTACGAGCCCTTCAATTACCAAGGCCGTCTAATCATGTATAGGAGGCATCGAGATTACCCTGAATGCTTCTGCTGACAGGTAGACCCGGGTGTGGGGCATACTTGGCTCTCCAAGGCTCGGAAAAATAGTCGGATAATCAATACTTGTCATGAGGATGCAGACCATGGCCTCGAGTCCATCTATAGCCGCCTGGTTTCCTATCAGTACTACTTAAATGGAAGCACATACCCTCCGTCTCCATTTCACATCCATCCTCAGTTTTCTCCCGTCCTTCCTGCTACCCGTTGCAACAGCTTTCACATTCGCAATGAGCCTCCTCCATCGAGCAAACGATGCTCTCAGTGTCAATCCCATCTCAGGCGTCGACGAAGCTCTAAGTGTTCATGGCTCCGACTGGCTCTGGGCAGTTACGGCCATATATCTCGCCTCCTTTGTCAGTCTTGCCCTTCTCAAACGGCGGCAATCACTGCAGATACTAATACCAGGGTCATAGTTCATCCTCCTGCCAATGTCCTTCACCGGAAGGGAGAGCGACCGAGTCTTTCACTACCTCTTCACCTTCGTCCTCCTCGTCGGCGCAATTACCTACTACGCACAAGCCTCGAACCTCGGCTGGAGTGCCGTCGAACAAGTCCACAATCTCGACAACGGAGCCATCCGCCAAATATTCTACGCAAAGTACATTAACTGGGCCGTGGCGTTTCCCTCCCTCTCTCTCGCCCTGGGCCTTTTGTCCGGCGTCTCCTGGACAACCATCATCTGCAACATTGCCATCTCCGCATACTGGGTCGTGAGCTACCTCGTCGCCGCCTACACGCCCTCCACGTATAAATGGGGCTTCTTCGCATTCGGGACCTTCTCTTGGGTGATTCTCGCTGCGAGCACACTCAACGAGTGCCGCGAGCCCGCGGCCAGGCTGGGGATCCAGCGCGACTACATGATTCTGTCCGGGTGGCTGAATATCCTGTGGCTGCTGTACCCCGTCGCGTTTGGATTGAGTGATGGGGGAAATTATATCAGTGTCACTGCGGGCGCGGTCTTCTTCGGCGTTCTGGATGTTCTCATGGTGCCGGTCTTGACGGGCGGGTTCGTGGTCTTGGGGCGGAACTGGGATTTTCGCAAGTTGAGCATTGCGTTTAGTGATACGAGGCCGAGTATGGCGAATCGCGGGCTCGTGCAGGAGATGAGGAGGACTGGTGAGTCTATTGAGTAAGGGCGCTTGAATAGTAACAGGTCCGTACTTGAAGAACGGCCCTCGGAAGAGGAGGGCGCTGGAATAGTGCAGTGGAATGAGGTTGAGAACGTGGGTGGTGACTGCCGAATACTGGCCCTACTAGAATCCTGTACCAGATGGGCGAAAGGGTGGTACTATGTTGGGGATCCTTGACTGCGAAACGAGTGAACATTAGCATCATTTACTAAGAAAATCAACTATTGCTGTGCATAATAGTCGTCTTCGCAGCCCAAACTCACCGGCCTAGCGGTAGTCGCTGGCCAGCGGTCGCAGCTTCAGGTGCCGGTGGGATATGAGTATGGGCGATGACTCCAAACAAGCCGCTGCATTGCACATCGATTCCCCCCTTTTTTCCTTCTAAGGAGCCGCTACCCAAGCTGTGGGGCCTTCGAAAACCTCCATGTCCGGCACGGCTTGGGCGTTGGTGGTACGCTTCCCATTCTGGCAGGTGGCGCTAAAGGCGGAGGGCTGCCCGTTCTGGACCAAACTTGGGGACAGTTGCCAACAGGGCGAGGTTTGCTATTGAAGTGGCCAAGGCTATTATCGAGACTGTCGGGGCAGGCAAGTTTGAGTTCCGGCTGAGCCCATGGAACGCATGGCAGGGTTGCGCATGTCCGACCCGGTTCCTCAGTTCTCGTATCTGGGCGAGACGCTCAAATTTTTGAACCTCGCATACCTGCAGCTGATTGAGCCGAGGGTAATCAACAGCGTCGATAGGACGAAGCCAGAAGGGGAGGGGCTCGGGTGGTGGTTGTCATTGACTGGTATCACGGTGCCGTCAGGCTCCATGCCACTGCCGGTGACAGTGAAGAATCAAGCCTCTTTTTTTCCAGTCTAGGTCGGGCCGCTCGTTCCCTTGCTCGTCGACGCCGCAGAATCGGTGGCCTTCGAACTGGGGGTCGATGTCGTAGAAGCGCACGTACTTGTTTGGGAACTGCGAGTCCACTTTCTCCACGACACGCTTAATCTTCGCGTTCAGCTGGTCTGTCAGGATGTTCAGCATTCGGTGCAAATCCTTGGTCAATTTTGGGCCGAGGATGTACGTGTTGAAGGTAACGCTATCGCACGCGGACGTCTGGTCGCTGAAGAACTTGGCATACCCCGTGACAACAAGCGTGAAATGCTCCGTTTGTGCGGTGTTGAGAATCCCAGAGTATACTAGCTTGTCTTCGCTCAAAGTCCTTTGCCTCTTTGCCGTCACCTACAATTCTGCTTCTTGCGTACTTGATAAAGCTTTTGCAATTTGCGGGCCAGGGCAACTCGAAGATGAGACAGTATTTGGCTGGCAATGTTTGAGAAGCTGACATCGTTGCTACCAATTGACAGAGTACCCCTGTGCATGGCTGAGTGGGTTAGCTGGTCACCGTCCGGCACCTTCTGCTGAGCGGGAGGGCTGGGCTCACCAAGCGTATGGCTGATTAACCTGAGTTTACAGTATCTCCAGTTCAACAGGCCGGCCAAAGTCTCCCCGGTCAGAGAGCATGTGCTTGGTCTCCGCCCCGGAACAAGAAATAAACGCAAACTTCCTGGGTGGTCTGAGCTGGGGGTCCTGCTGCCACAGCTGGCAGGAATATGCACCATCGTTGCGCCTATCATAGATTCTTTTTGCCACATAAGGTGAAAGTGGACCTCTCGGGGTCAATTTCCTTTCTTTTATGATTAGGGTCTTTGCTGTTTGCTTTGGGAGTTGTCCCTGGGCGCTCCTTTATTGGCTCACACACTCTGATTAATGTATGATCCCTGCATCTCGTGTCCGCGTGCCGGAATCTAACCTTGTGATTCGACATAGCCAATAACAGGACCCTGGAAACAACTGTTTATTCTCATTCACCCATTTGATTGGCAGGGGCGGCGGTTGGAGCATCAGGAGAAGAGCTCCCGATGACTTGAATCTCACAACCCCGCAAGTGACCAGCGTCATCGCATTACCCATCCAGACATTCAAAACTCACACCCCCCAGGGGCCACACATCATTTATCGTAACACATCCCAAAAAACGTTCTGGTTGACGATGGACCCAGACTTGGCCCGTCAGGGATGCCAAAACTACGCTCTATCGCCTCTGCGGATCGCCCTTGACCTGTGAGTAGTATCCTTCTTACAAAAGCATACCTGCTAATGAAGCCGTGGTATAGCCTCGTCTGCCTGCTAGTCGTGGGCTCCTTCATCCCCCAAATCATCCGCATCGCCCTTACGGACCGGAGCAGTGATGCGGGGATATCAGGTTGGTACATGGTGCTCCTGACGCTAAGCGCCACCTCACACCTGGCAACCGTGCTCGGCACACTATTCACAAAGGGACCCATGGTGTGTGTCCGCGAGGGGTACCTGCGCGGGTGGCAGGCGTTCTCCGCCCTCGGAATGGTCGTCCAGAGTATCCTGCACTGGGCTTGTGCGCTGGGCTTGCTGGCCGTCTATCTGCACTTCCGCCACGGGCGTGGCAACGGCTCGGCTGGATATGTCCTGGTGCAGGATGATGATCCTCATCCGCATTATCCGATAGGAATAGACCCGGGGCCGGATACACCACTTCTGGAGCGTCTGATCGCGGGCGACCAACAACAAACCGTGCTCTCCTCGCCAGCCATGTATGGCAGCGGCAGCGGCACCTCATCACCCTCCAACAGGGTCATCCTCGCGGTCGTCATCACGCACGCAGTCATCACTCTCCCATTCCCGATCTACATCTTCCTGGCAAAGCTCCCCCTAGCCTTCAGCGACGACATCACCCCCTTGCTCGCGGCGCAAGTATACTACATCGTCCTCGCCTTCGCCGGTTTCTTCACTTCGGTGACCGCGGTAATCCCGCAGATCCACCTGATGGTCTCGCGCTCGCGCAGCGGGCTTGACTTGGGCAATCTGAGTGTCCTCGGGACGGGACTCCAGTGTCTTGCGCTGTTCGCCTTGGGTGCGTCGCAGTGGGTGAAGTTTGCGGTCTTTGACCCCACGCATGGAAATTCTGCGGGGCCGGGCGATTGGTTTTGGACGTGGTTTCGGTATTCCGGCGCGTCGCCGGTTGGATATCTGATTTTGGGGCTGGGGCAATTGGTTGTTTTTTGTGTCGCGCTGGGGATTGGTGGAGGGCGTGAGACTCTTCATTGGTAGATAGACAGACTCCTTACGTAGACAGACTCACTACTACCTGGTATTTGTTCTGCTGTCCTATTTCTAGCTACCTAGATAGCTTAGACTCTCTCTCCACACTCATCCCAGTACGCAGGGCATACTCTGTCTTGGGATGGAACATGGCATCGCTGGTTGTTGTATGACTTCGCCCTACCAGGCGGAGATGCCCCGCTAGGCCCAACAGCTTCCATTCCAGTCACCCCATGGGCGTTTGATACAAAAGGGAAGAGTGCGATCTCTGATTCGTTCCCAGAAACTCACCATGAGTCCACAAATCAATTTTCCCCACTGCAGATAATCAAACCCCGAGAGGATGCTGATCGGAGTTCACTCTCTGGTATCTCCCAAGTCGCTTTTGGGCCGACCTTGGATTGGTTGGGGATCTCGGTATCCAATGCTCTATTTCAAACCAGCCTTGGCCCGGAGCAGCGGAACTTGCCTCTCGGCAGTAACAAATAGCGAGGTCATCCAAATTCACCTATTAGGCTAAAATACCAGACGGCGGACAAGCCGGCAAATGGAAATGACCAAACTTGGCTATGCGACCACCACTTCCCGTTCCGCACGAGACAGGAAGTTCCCTCTCCTAGATTTCGCAGCAAACTGGGCAATTCCGATGATAAAGCACGATTCCAAACATGGACACCTAGCGCCAGCGCCTGTGTCACCTTGCCTGTCGGGGCCCAGTGGAAACCGGTTCGCTGCCCGGAAAACATTGCCAACCGGGCCCCCTATGATTGTACGTGTTTGCAATTGTCCAGATGCATCATCCCCAACCCTTTCTGCGTTGTCCCAGAATCTGACATGCATATCGGGCGTTCAGATGATCAGAGCAGGTCCACCTCAATAACCAAGCAAACGTCCGGCGCCGATCAGGCCCTGGCAAAGACTTCGTAGTGTTACCCATCCTCTTGCATTTCGCGCCATGGTTGCAGCTCGCCCCCGGAGTCACCTAATCCGGCTGAGTGGAAAAGGGCATTCTATAATTTCGCTGCGAGTTGGGGCCCAGTTCTCTTCCCGCTCTCTTCATTCTGTCATGCTCCGCTCACCTAGAGCCAAGTGGAAATCGCCCACCAGGGAGCGTAGCACTTTTCCTTTCCTTTGAACATTCATCGTGGCCATGGAGGTTACTGTAACCACGTTCCTGTTTGCCTCGTTGATATTTTTAACACTACGATCCATCTATCGGCTATGGTACCATCCACTAAGCCACATTCCGGGTCCGCCCCTCGCCGCCATCACCCACCTCTACGAGGCATACCATGATATTGTGCGAGGGGGCCTGTATGTGTGGGAGATTGAAAAGATGCACGACAAGTACGGTGAGTAGTCAGTCCCAGATTAGCGCGCGGATTGCAATTGCAAGCACAGGATCGCTCAACTATAGCCCCACGCAGGCCCCGTGGTGCGATTCAACCCACGCGAAGTCCACATCCGCGACCCGTACTATTTCAACACGATCTACTGCGCAAGCTCGCTGGGGAAGCGCAACAAGGACACCGGGTTCCCGGGGGTCCACAGCGTCCGGAATTCCCTCCTCACAACGCTCACGCACCAGAAACATCGTCAACGACGCGCACTCCTCGAGACTGTCATGGCGCCGCCCTCGGTCAAGATATGGGAGCCTACAATTCGAGAACATATTGCAATCTTAATGAAGCGCTTCAGCGAGGCGCCCAGTGGGATCGTCGACTTGAATGCAGCGTTCGCGGCCTTGACGGCAGACACCGTCGGGCGGTTCTTGACGGGGGAGTCGCTTGGTGCGCTCAATGCTCCCGGCTTTAAGAATGATATGCATGAAGGCTCGAAGAGCGGCGCTGCGGGGATTCATGTTCTCCGTTTGTTTCCTGCGGTGGCCGGGGTGTTATCGTGTATCCCTCTGTCCGTGCTCCGCTTTCTCGGCCTCCCACTGGGCCAATGGCTTGAGTTCCTGGCAGTCTGTGGCGAGAGCGCAAGAAAAGCTTTGAAGGAGTCAAAGGAGACAACTAATGCCAAGGGACAAGAGACAGAGACCAAAAATGCACCGGCAAAGAGGAGTTTCTACGCTGCGCTGATCGCCGGGAGCACGTCCGACGAAGAACAGACCATTGCCCGGCTCCAGGAGGAAGCGATGGTGTTCCTCCTGGCCGGGAACCATACAACGGCCGGAGTGATGACACTCGCTGCGTACCATTTGGCTCTGATGCCGGAGATCACTACGACCCTGCGGAAGGAACTCGCAACCCTCCCCGTTCCAGCAAACCAGGCCTCGTGGAAAGAGCTGCAGGAGCTACCCTATCTGGTATTTCAACCCTGTTGAGATTGTACCAACTGGCAAGATCTAATACATAGGTAAAAAGACAGGGGTAGTAAAAGAAGCCCTACGCCTATCGCAGGGGGCATCATTGCGGTCCGCGCGCATCTCCCCTGATCGAGATCTGGTATGCAATGGGATCGTGCTTCCAGCTGGGGTAAGACGGAGTCCTGACACCGATGAGCCCTCAGGATCTGAATGTAGAGCTAACTGATTTTGCAGACACCACTCAGCCAGCAAACGGTGTTTGTGAACATGGACCCGGAGATCTTCCCCAACCCGCAATGCTTCGATCCGACCCGATGGGGCAAGCCAGCGCCAGACGGAAAGGGCTTGGATACGTATCTAGCGTCGTTTGGCAAAGGAACTCGGAACTGTATTGGGAAAAGGTGCGTTCCTTGGTCTTCGCCGGAGCAATGTTGTGGGAAAAGCTCACATGGAACATCTGCACATAACAGCCTGGCGTCCGCTATAATGTTTCTAACCCTTGCGGCTCTGGTGCCTGAATTTGACCTTACCCTGGCCAAAGGGACGAAAATCGACCTCATGAGATGGAGGGATATGGGAACTCCGTTTCCAATGGATCTGAACAACCAGGAAGTAAAGGTACACGTTGCACAGGCCCCGGCCAGTTCGTAATCCTCTAACCTCCCGACCCCGACGGCCCAGTAAGCCTGTTGGTGTTGGGCCACTGTCTGTTTTTGTTTCGGTTTTGCTGTCAGATAAAGGTGGACAAAGGAGGCCCTTGTCTAGTCGCGAGATCGAGAATTGCATATATTAGTATTGCTGCTTTGAGACCAAACACGTATGCTATCTTTACATTTCTTTTTCCCAGAATAGAAGATTAGATGTAAGCTCCTCAATCTACCTAGCCTAACACGTACTGTTCGTATCGCAATGCCAATCGGACCCCGTGATCCTGCGTATCGCGGTGCGATCTTGATATGCGAACCATACCACTGCATCTTGCACCGTCCCGCAACACTACGTCAGTCCGGCGTGCAGGATGCTCATGCTGGTAGCCAACGAAACTATCCAAGTTGGCAAGGCCTCGTTCCCCTAGCAAACGGTACATCCCCGAGTCCGATGGTCGGTACGAGTGACGAGTGATGACAAGGGGCATTGCGCCTTGCGCTTTGTCCGGAATTCGTGGACTACCACCTTTAGGGCCTTCGCCCTCCCTGACAATATTTGACCAAGATACGCTCGCGGCCAGCTAGCTGGCAGTAGGTGTCACTCACACGCCGGAAGAGGGAAGCCAAGCGCGAGGAGACGGGTCGAATCTCGAGATCCATGCCGGCCGGCAGTGGCATCTGGCGTGGCTGGCTCCTTGGGCAGTGTCGACATGGCGAACCATCCATCCGGTGGTGATTCGCCGCATTGGTCAAGGCCGAGTTATCTTCTGTCGTAGTCTTCATCGTCACTTGAACCATTCCAACATGCACCCTCATCTTTTCCGCGGACTATTTGGCGCATCGGATGGTTGAATTGTTTGTGGGGGGGGGGGTGGTGGTTTGGCATCTTCGCTGCCCGAAATCCTCATTCCGTCCGAGCGACGGCTGGTTGGAACTAAAATATACTGGTGAAGTCAATTCGTGCAAGCCAACTCGGGGCTTTCGCCACTCGAAATGATTGAATGCCTCTAATATTTGACTGGCGCTCCTCGGAGGATACTGTCGCCATTCGCTTCCCACCCGGCCCGAATAGCAATCTTTCGGCGATATCAAACCGGGGGAACGAGTGGGGGGCAGCCCTATTGTGTCCGTGAAGAAACCCCTCACGGTTCAGCAACAAGAGATGACACGGCTGCAAATTCCCATTTGGAGATAAGCAGACATGCCATGTACGACCTTCCGACTACGGGGTTTATAGCGGAATATTGATTTGTCTACGGCGGGTGTCCGGCTCAGTCCGTAGTTGTGATTTGGACTACCTGCATCAATGCCGCAAACCGACCGTGTACATGGATGTATCACCAACGAGAAACCCGAGATAGGTTCAGCGGAGCCGGTAAGCGATAGGAATGGAATCCTCGCCAGAATATTGCTGGAGCTCTGATCCCAAAGCATCCTGCTGCATGGTCCACATGTTGGCTTCGATTGGGCAAAAGGCCATAATCCATCTTTCTGCTGGCACTGGCCCAGACCTGGGATTTGCTGTTATGAGGCAAGGGTCTGAGAGCAATCGGTCATCAGACTCAGGGCGCCAGGGATAATCCCCATGGTCAGGATTGCAAGAACAAGAAACAAAGGGTGTCGGCGTAAGCACGACAAGGATACGACTTGCTGGTCAAGAAGAGACGGACGAAGCAAGGTTTTGAGTCTATCAGCTGCATAGTCAAGTTTGCAAGTTTTTTCTTTGCCCCATAAGCCTCTACGGCATGGGCGCCTATATCAATTCCCCATCGCCATCGAGCGAGCCCAGCACACTGACCGGATTCTACAGGGCCTCTTCCCACAATATCAGAGCCATGGCAGACAACATCCAGGATGATGAGCTGTTCCCCAACTCTATTCAGATCGACCCGGAGGTGGTGATGAAGACATGCGGGTCACGTCTGATGGTCCGGCTCAGTCGACATGAGGCGATCGCCGTCAAGGCCATGGACGATTTCAAGAGAGACTGGGCGGCCATTGGCGGCAAGCCATTTTATGGCTGCACCGGTGGTGATGGGCACAATCTGGCTTCTCTCGGCCTTCCAGAGAGTCTTCCGGACCGCACTTATGATTTCATGCGCTACACCGAGTACTATTTTGCAATTGATGGTACGTCACGAAGGAAAGACCTGGCACTGATTCTGGTTAGAAGCTAATCAGCCCCGGGGGGCATCGCAAACAGATTCGCTTGTTGAGCTCGAAGCCGAGGAGGTGCAGAAGATCAATGACGCGATGATGGAGATTCTGCCGGGCGAGTACACCAGCGCGTCCAACGTGACGAACTGGAAGAGTGCGGAGCGGCAGATGCTGGCGGAGATCTCCATGAGCCTCGTCGAGCGGGATCGCAAAAGGGCATATGCGTTCCTCAAGGCCACCCAGCGCTACCACAACTTCAACAATCTCCGCAAGGACTTCAGTACATATACCTGGGACCAATGGTGCCGCCGGCGCTGGGAGGACGGGGATAGTTAGTATGTATCAGACGCTTTGCAGTGTATTATCCTTTTTTTTGGAGTCTAACGGTTGACAGCGCATTCCTCGCGTCAATCCCGTACTTCTGCGGCCTCGACCTGACGCAGAAGGACTTCGATGAGACACTTATGCCCATCGCCTGGCCCGGGATGATGTGCACCCTGCTCACAAACGATCTCTACAGCTTCGACCCCGAGGTACACACCGAGTTTCTCGGCGACAACTTCTTCAACGCGGTCTGGTACTGGATGAAAGCTCTGGACATCACTGTCACGGAAGCCAAGGCGGTTCTGTTCGGCAAGATCAAGGGATGGGAGACCAAGTTCCTGGACGCCAAGACAGAATTTCTGGCTTCCCACCCTGATGCGCCCCTCGACTTCCGAAAGTACCTCGCATACGTCGAGTGCATGGTCGCTGGCAACTGGTTCTGGCACGGCACGAATCCGCCCCGGTATGCGCTTTGGATGAACTTTGCTGAGTCTGGAAGGAGGATGGTCGTCATCAATGATCCCGCCAAGTACGATCCGGACACCGCCAAATGCGGGACCTTTATCGAGATCGAGCCGACCAAAGGTGGTACAACCAAGGCTCATGGCGCTGTTATCAGCAGTGTAAAAGCCGATGATGCTCCAGCAGATGATCCAACGACCTATAGTGCAGCCCTCGGTGATGGAACAGCCAAGGGTACAGCAGCCAATGCTACAGTCAATGGACCAACGACCAGTGGAGCAGCAACCAATGGCGCAACAACCAACGGTGCAGCGGCCACGCCCAATGGTACAGTCAACAGCGCAGCATCGAAAGGTAATACTCACAGTGCCCATAGCCAAGAGGTGAGCGAGTTGAACCACTAAGCACAAAAAAAAAAACACCACAGCTGTATTGCTCACGGTAGAGACAGATTGTCCTCGCCCCCATCGAGTACCTGAGGTCCATGCCGTCGAAAGGCGTGCGCACAGTAATGATCAACGCGCTGGATGTGTGGTGCAGTGTCCCTCCGAGCTCTCTCGTCCGCGTCGAGAATGTCATCTCCGCCCTGCACGACGCCTCTCTAATGTCAGCCAGGCACCATGCCTCCCACCGTCAAAAGTAGTTATTCTAATATTCGGCGTCTTATTTAGGTTCGATGACATTGAGGACCGTTCACCCATGCGCCGTGGGCTTCCTTCCACGCATGCAGCTTTCGGGGTCTCGCAGACGATCAACTCGGCAAACTTTCTGTATGCCCTGGCTTTGTCTCAAGCGATTGAGCTACCGAATCCCAAGTCCATTCATGTGTTTTCCGGTATGTAAGGCGGTTCATGTCTACCCCATGTTTCCTCTTGAACTATTTCTTGTATCTAACTGACGTGACAAAAGAGGAACTCCAGACCATGCACATTGGGCAGGCCGCGGACCTCGAATGGACGCATTCCAGGCATTGCCCCACTGTCGAAGAATACAAGATCATGGTTCAGAACAGTGAGACGAATCCTCCCTCGATTACGTACCCCACAGTGCGATTTGAGCTAACCGCTGCGATCCTGAGAAACCGGGGGCCTTTTCCGCATGCTGGCCGGGCTCCTGTGCTCTGAAGGACAGGCAGTGTGAGTGATAAGCCCTTACAAGTGAACTCTTGCAGTATTTCGGACTGACAACTACACCAGATTGATATCCAAGAAAGACCTCCTTGGCCTTATGACGATGCTGGGCGAGTATTTCCAGGTCAGGGATGACTACATTAATCTGTGCTCCAGCGAGGTACGCGTCCCTTCCTCACCACCCAGAACCAAAACCCACGGGGATAAGCTTTGCTAACCGTATCTACCTGCAGTACCACTCCCAGAAGGGCTTCTGCGAAGACCTCGACGAGGGCAAATTCTCTCTCCCGCTCATCCACCTTCTTACGCACACGAAACGCCGGCATCTGCTCGAAAGCCTGCTTTGCGAATGCGCATACCATGGCAATGGGATGACGCTGGCGATGAAGCAGCTGGTCTACAAAGAGATGGAAAACTCTGGAAGCCTTGATTTCACCAAGCGGCACCTGGTAGAGCTGGAGTCGATGATCCTGCGCCAGATTGCGGCCCTGGAGCAGCAGGCCGGCGCGAAAAATTATGTGCTTCGTCTCGTCTTTGATAAGCTGAGGGTTGAATGAGACGTGGCAATTTTTCCCTTCTGTAATGGCTGATGGATGCAGAGCCGCTTTTGGAGTGGTTTCTCTTGTTTGTGCGTGTGTGTGTCTCTCCCTTTATTTTTTGACGCCGATTTTTGTAAACGTCCCAATCGTTTCTCTCTTTGCTTGCACTCAATAAGGAATTACCTGTCGGCAGAATTCCCTACATCCAAGTAAACAACGTACAAGTAGTCCAATGATACACCAATCTTCATCCTTTGAAAAGAGTTGCAAGACCGCAGACTTGGTTCGGCCAATAGGGCCTCTCGATGTATATTTGCGCCCTTTTTCCTCGACTTTCGTGCGCACTTCCAGTTGCTGATCACCTGATGCCTGGTCCTGATGTTTTTGATTAAGTTTTAACTACTTCTATCCTAACCAATATATCTTTGATATACTCGCTTCCTCCAAGCTGCTGCAGCTGCCCTTGTGCTTCTTCTAGTGGCTCTTTCGTCCTTGCATGAAGGCGCTGGTACAACAACGGCGATTGATGGGTAACATCCTGGGCCATGCGAACTCCACATTGGCTGATGGGAGACGCAGCGGACACTTTAGCGGAAGAAGACAGAAAACGCAGCAAACAGAGCCAAGGTCTGGAAAAGTTTTTCCAGTTTCAAAAGGCCATGTCAGCAGTGCAGGCTCGGCGGGTGAATTTTAGAGGGCTTCAGGCCCTGCAGGCAAAAGACTGAATGAAGGGGGCACGAGTGCGAACCCTGGCAGCAAAAATAAACAAGAATAGAGGCAAAAACATACAACAGTAGGGATTCGCATGTGGTCACCCACCATACTACTAACCTACCGGCGTGTGGCTTAAGTACGGCTGAGCGGACGGGAAGCCCTGTTCTCCACACCCTGTGGTCGTATGTGCTAGAAGTACCGAATTAATTGGTGATATGCAGCCCCACTCACGAATATTTAATCAAAGATAGACCTTCAACGAGGAGTGTTGGAAGGTGATCCGGTGTTGCATGAAAACCTGAGGGTATCGGTGCCTAGATTCTACTGATTTTGGCGACATTCAAGCTTATTCTATGTTAATACTCAAGTAAGGAATTGGCGTGGAAGAAGATCTGTCGTTTCGGTACCCGGCAAGATATATATCTCACTCCTTCCCGGTACTATCCAGCAGAAATAATTCAGCGCAAACCTGAATTGCATGAACAATATATTTTCAACTGATCTAGAGAAACATAGAGCCTGTGTATATTTGAAAGAACAATCCTCCTCGAGTTTCCCGACTGCCCAGCCATGTGCTGGAGGTTTAGTCAAATCCTCATTGCAGGCGTCGAACCACAACTTTCCCCAAACCATGAACGATTAAGTGGGGAAAACCCCCATTTTATCTCGGCTTAATTCTGCAGTTGCCTTTATGGAATCTCGCTGTTGTTAGTAGACTTCCAGACTTCTACGTTTTATTGCAGAAGACTTTAAGAGGAATGAGGAATGAAGGACTTTGATGAACTATGGCCGTATCAAGATACGTGCAAGTAGGGAGGTTCTTTGTTGTTAAAGAGGCACCGAGCGAGAGGTGAAGTTTCTATCGAGGCCATGAGGGGTCCTTCGCTCCTTCTCCAACAGTATGATTCCCAGCGCAATCCGGGCGGCACCAGGGGCAATAGAGTCGTTCCACGATCGGAAAAAGCAATGCGATAGGAGATCGTAGTAGGCCATCATTCCCTCCATTTGGGTATAAATTACGTGTTATAGACGAGGTAAAGATAGCTAGATACATGAGCCACGATACTTCCACAGACCAACCACTCCCCACCTCCCAACTCTCCAGGCACCAGGGCATTCAACATCAAGCCAGTACCAGTACAGCACCTAAGCCATGGGCTCCCCCTTCTCCTGCGGGGCACCTTCAACAAGCCCCGTCTCGGCCGTCTTGAACTGCCTCGTGCGGACCTTGCGCTCAAACAGAATATCCAGCTCCGCATAGGAGCGCCCCTTGGGCTCGGGAAGCCGGAAGAACGACCAGGTAAGACACATGATGCACAGCCCACCCCAGAAGAAGCCCGACTTGCCACGCCAGTTCCACGCATCCACGTTCAGCATGTAAGGAATAATAATTCCCGTAACCAGGTTCAGGATGTTGTAGGTGTTTCGGGCGAGGACGACGGTCTTGGTGCGCAGGCGTGTGGACGGCATTTCGGAGACGAGACTGAAGCAGACGGGGCCGACGGTGCTGTCGTAGACGAATGTGTACACGAGGAGGAGGGAGCCGGTTGCCCAGGAGAGGGCCGAGGAGGATGTGGGGATACTGATGAAGCCCATGACCATGAGGATGCAGGCGAGCAAGGAGAGACCGCCGACGTAGAGCGTGCGGCGCCCGAAATATGTCATTGCTGTCCACGAGGCGAAGGTTCCGACTACGCCGATGGCATACTGGATGAGCGACATGGTGAATGACATGGAGACGTCGAGGCCGGCGCGCTGGTAGAAGACGGTCGAGTAGCCCATGAGACCGGAGCCGCAGAGAGACTGCGCGGCCCAGACGCAGCATGCGATTTCGGTCCGGCGGAGGTCGACGCCGCGGAAGCAGTCGAAGTAGGATGTTCCCGTTTGAACTTGTTGCTCAAGGGCATTTGTATACTGGATCATTGAGACGGTTTCGTGGGGGTTGAAGTGGGGCGAGGAGGTATCGGCGAGGCGCTTGAGCGATTCGATGGCGTCTTGTTGGCGGTCTTTCCGGATGAGCCACCACGGACTCTCGGGGGCGAGCCAGACGCCGATGAAAATGGGAACGGGCCACACCCATTGGATGGCAAAGGGGATCCTGTAGGCCCATTCGTCCGTGCGGCTCTGCAGACCCTTGAGGATGCCCGAGGCGATGAGCTGGCCGAGCACCCAGCAGAGGTTGACGTAGGTGGTGAGGTACGCGCGCAGGGAGACAGGGCACACTTCAGAGGCGTAGGTCACGGTCAGGGTCTGGTACACTCCGAGGGGAATACCCATGAAGAGCTCGCCGACAACGAGGACCTGGACGTTGGGGGCGAAGAAGAGGATAAAGACGAAGCCGACGGTGGCAGCGAGACAGGCCATGAGGGTGCGGCGGTATCCGAAGCGCTCAGAGACAATACCGTTGAGGAACAGACCGATAATCTGACCGCAGCTCATGGCGTTGGTCATGCCGGCTTGCCATTTGGCTTCAAGACCGTAGGTGCCGTCGGACATGAGCTGGCCGTATTTCTTGTTGAATTCGGGGTAGGCGAAGAAGGAACCGATGAGCACGACGTCGTAACCTTCCATGATGATGGCGCAGGACATGAGGATGGACCAGGCGACGGCCTTGCGATAGGTCTTGAGGGCCTGCAGGGCAGTCATGCTGTGTTCCTTGTCGAGGGCGGCCTGTGCCTCGGCGCTGGCAACGAGGCCAGAGGCATGAGGAGTGGCCTCGTCGTGGACGGCGGCGGACTTTTCGATCTCCATTGCGAAGTGGGAGTCAGGGGCAAGGATGATTCACAATTGAGAGGTGGTGAATTGATTTTCCATCGCAGAAACTCCCGGGTTTATATAGACGGGTCGGAGGGAGGCCCGTCGTGTGGTCAGACAGGGTTGTTGAAGGCGCCGGGGCTGGAATCCTTTTGCGGGCAGATGTCGGGGAAGCTTTTGTGAGTTTGAGCTCGGCTGGAGTCAAATCCCCGGATTTTGCTGCAACGCGGAGGGAAAATTGGCTGCCAGGGCCACCAAGCGAGGTGAGCTGTTGAATCTCATTGGGCACATGTCGGCCCGACAGTTTGTGGAGTTTGCTCTAATGCACCGCCCACTTTAGTTGGGTTCGTCTGATGAGGAGGTGCACCCCGACGCCGACACTGAAACTCCGAGTGGCGCGCAGTCGGTCCGACATTGAGCCAATGTAACCTTGAAATCTATCTGCCCGGTCGATCTCGACCGGGCCCAGGATATATATCGCCCAACACAGTCCCCAGGGTGCAATCGGCCCATTTTCCCTCTTATCCCTCTCGTGACCATGGCCTCCCCCGTCGAAAAGTGGTGGAAGAATTCCATCGTCTACCAGATTTACCCCGCAAGCTTCAAGGACTCCAACGGCGATGGCATTGGTGACATTCCGGGCATCATCTCCCAGCTCGACTACATTGCCAGCCTGGGGGTAGATGTCGTCTGGATCTGTCCCATGTACGACAGTCCCCAGCATGACATGGGCTACGACATCTCCGACTATGAAAAGGTCTACCCTCCCTATGGTACGGTCGCAGATATGGAAACCCTGATCAAAGCCTGCCACGAGCGCGGCCTCCGAATCATCCTCGACCTCGTCGTCAACCACACCTCGAACGAACACCAATGGTTCAAGGACTCGCGCTCCTCCAAGACCCACCCCAAGCGAGACTGGTACATCTGGCGACCAGCGAAATATGATAAATACGGAAACCGCATGCCACCGAACAACTGGCGCGCCATCTTTGGTGGTAGCGCATGGGAGTGGGACGAGCAGACGCAGGAATATTACCTGCACTTGTTCTGCGTGGAGCAACCAGATCTCAACTGGGAGAACCCCGAGGTTCGCCAGGCGGTCTATACATCTGCGATGGAGTTTTGGCTGCAAAAGGGTGTCGACGGCTTCCGAGTGGATACCGTCAACATGTACAGCAAGGACCCCGCGTACCCAGACGCGCCAGTCACCAGCCCACAGTCAGATACCCAGGTGGCCTTTTCGTTATTCTGCAACGGGCCCCGTATCCACGAACACATCAGGGAGATGAATGCGGTGCTGGCCAAGTACGATGCGATGACCGTCGGTGAACTCGCACAAACACCTACGATGGAGGGCGTGCTCCGCTATGTGTCGGCGGCCGAGAAGCAACTCAACATGGTCTTCTCCTTTGACGTGGTCGACCTCGGCATGGGCAAGGACTACAAGTTCCTGACCGAAGTCCGCGACTGGAAGTTGCCCGAGCTCAAGACCGCGTTTCAGCGCACACAGAACATTGTCAACGGGACCGATGGCTGGACCACGGTCTTCCTGGAGAACCATGATCAAGCGCGCTCCATCTCTCGCTTCGGCTCCGACAAGACACCGGAACTCCGCGACGCTTCAGCAAAGATGCTTGCCATGATGCAAAGTACCCTGTCTGGTACGCAGTTTGTCTACCAAGGACAGGAGATTGGCATGGTCAACGTTCCGGAATCCTGGTCGTTTGAAGAGTACAAGGACGTCGACAGCACCAACTACTACCACATGGTGCGAGAGCTGACAAACAACAACCCCGAGGACATGAAGAAGGCCATGCAGGCGATGCAGCATCTCGCTCGGGACCACGCTCGAATTCCGATGCAGTGGAGCGCAGAGCCGAATGCGGGATTCACGTCTGCGACCGCGAAACCCTGGATGCGTGCCCACGACAACCATACCGAGGTCAATGTGGAAGCGCAGGAAAAGGACGAGTCATCCGTGCTGTCCTTCTGGAAGAAGATGATGCGCCTGCGAAAGGAGTATGCGGATCTTTTGGTGTTTGGAGTGTTTGAGCTCCTGGATGAGCAGAATGGGGAGGTGTTTAGTTACCTGAAGACATCCAAGGACCGGCGTATGTTAGTAGCTTTGAATTTCACCGAGGCACCGCAACCACTTGTGTTGCCCGAGGGGGTGGAAGAGAAGGAACTCAAGTTGGTGGTCAGCAGTGCTGGCGAGAAGAGCGACGGGGAGCTCAAGGCGTTTGAGGGAAGAGTCTACGAGGTCTTGGCCTAAAGTCAAAGTTCGGTAGTTGTCTATAACAAATCGCCCAGTGGCGGAGGAGTATCTCAATCTGGATTAGCGCGTTTCACCGTACGAGCACTAGAGCAAAAATAGAGTAGTGCGCTCCAAAAGAGAATAGCTCACCCCGCATTTATATCTTCGTCTCACGTTGCCGGCCGGTTCCCCAGTCTCTGCTGATTTCTTCCCTGGATAGCGTTGCAATGGAACCACGCCGCAAGCACCAAGTTTCAAAGGCCTGCGACCCCTGTCGCCGCCGCAAAGTGCGCTGCAACGGCCAGCAGCGTTGTCAGCAGTGCGAACATCTCGGGCTGCGATGCACTTACACAGACAACCAGAGTGCGCGATCTCGCAAGAATGCGCTGCGACGGGGCACGCTCATCTCGGCGTACAAGATTCCCTCCAGCTCCACGACCCTCGCACAGGTTGTTGGACCCGCCTCCCCCCCAGATTTGTCTGTCCCACTGTCGACTGCGTATCTTCACAGTCTCATTCCCAAATACATGGCGTATGTGTACCCCTTTAACCCGATCATGACCGACGAGGAGATCCGGGATTCGATACGGAAGATGGACTCGGATAGGGATCATGCGGCCTTTATCCACGCCTTCACAGGAGTCACCGTCGACCTTACGCAGTCAAATCTGGCGGCGTCACAAGTGTCAGAGCAAATCCACGAACTCACGCGTCGAGCGATTGAGCTCCGCACACCTTTCGTCCCAGGAGTCCGCCCGTCCATTCTTCGGGCCATCACGAGTATATATATCCAAATGTGCTACATGAGCCTGGGCCAGCACGACCTGGGCTTCTTCTACCTCCGAGAAGCACTGAGCATGATCCATCTCCTCCGAATCGAAGACAAAACTCTCATGGCGTCGCTTGATCTCGCCGAGCGCTCCCGGCGCCAGCGCCTCTACTGGCTCTGCTTCATCCACGAGCGATTCATTTCTATATCCCACTACTCTCCCGCCACCCTCTCCTCGTTCACCCAGTTCCCCGAAGAAGACCCAGGTCTGGATCCGCACATTTCGCAGGGCTGGACGCAGGTGATCAAGACCTTCCTCCTCCTGGAACCTACTTTTATCAGCCTTTGGATTGGCGACCGAACACAAGTTACCGCCGCGTGGGTCGAGCAGAAACACCGCGAGCTCGCCGACGACCTGTGGGAACTCGAAGTCTCCATGCTATCTGACCTTCAACAAGCAGACCTAGTCATAACACGACAGTGGATGCGCACATTGCTTTGGCAGATGGCCATGTCGAACTGCCTCCTCTCATCGCACGCGTCCTGCCCGTCACTGTCGCTCGAAATGCCGCTCGGACTCTCGACCCAACTGCGCCAGTTCCTGACTCGGATATCGCAAAACACACTCCAGGTCCACGGCTCATCCATTCTGAGCAAATTACTCGAGATTCTCAATACGATCGCGGATGTCGTCCTTCATGGGCCTACGGTGACGGTGGAAGAGACGACGAGCCGGATCGACGACATTCTCTTCATGAAGGAGGTCATATTTTCGTTTCGCAATTTGCAGCAGGTGTCCAGGGATATCCTCACGGAGAAGTTGGCACTGATTTCGGAGCGCTTCTTACATATTGACGGCGTGTGGCAGCTGGTCTAGAAGACCTGGGTGAACTCGGAGGCAACTTGTTTTGATTCTGACGCGCGGTCATTGGTGCCTTAGTGCCTGATTTCAAAAATGCGGGTGCCTGAGGCTAGCCGCTTCTGGCTTGACTCTGAACTCTGGGGGCGGGAACCAAGACCGCTGACAGGAGGCCGCGCGCTCGGCTGCTCCAACTCGCGCGTTCGCATCCTCTTGTTCTCTTCCTCTCAGATTTCCCAGATTTCCCTCTCTCCTTGTTGTGTCACCCGCTGCCTCGCTTTAACTACTTTATTTATGACGGGGTTAGGGCGCTGTTCATGTGTGCCACTGTCTCCCAACCAGAACCGCCCAACCAAGATGACGTCATTCCTCCGGATCTCCTGAGTGCAGTCTGCTTAATCCAGGTACCAACACTCCGCCTCGAGACATGGCCTTGGACTTGCGTTGACAATTATAGCGGGTGTACCGAGGATATAGGGCTCGTCGGGAACTTCAAGGGCGACAGCTGAGTGCCACAAATCGCTGGGCTCAGGTAAGTCTTGACTGCGAAGGCTTTACTTTTCAGGAACTGACTACCCAGGCCGTGGAAGAATCCCAATGGCAACAGCGCCACCGCTCCACAACCCTCCCCTCCTCCTCCCCCGTCATCCAAGCCCATCGCAACTGGACGCAAGCCGTCCGCGTCGCAAAGCTCGCCCGCGGCGACCGCCCCATCAAGAAACCCGACCACCGCCGCAGCGAACCGTTGCCAGAGATGATTGGGAAGACAATGGACCTACAATACTTCCTTGAGATGGTGGATGCAAAACATCGGCATGGGAGTAACCTCCGCAAGTACCACGAGGTTTGGAAAACGACGGACTGCAAGGAGAATTTCTTCTACTGGCTTGACTATGGTGCTGGGAAGGATGTTGAACTTCAGGCGTGTCCGCGGGAGCAGCTGGAGCGCGAGCAGGTACGGTATCTCTCTCGGGAGGAGCGCGTCAAATACCTGGTTACGATTGATCGGATGGGGAGATTTCGCTGGGCGAAGGATGATGAGTTGGTATGGACGAATAATGAGCATTACATGGACACCGAGAATGGCATCATCCCTAGACCTAAAGGAACCGATGCGGGGCCTGGGTCAACTGCTGTCACACACCGGGCTCAGCGGCCATCGGAGTCCTCACGCTCATCCTCGCTGGACGAGGACAGGCGAGATCAGGGCCCTGAAGCCGAAACTGGAGCCAGAAACTTTGTGCATCACAGACATAATATTTTCAAACGATTGAAAGACAAGATCTTTCTTAAAGACGACTGGTGGATTTTTGTAAGTTGGGTTTGCTGCAGAACGCGCCGGATCACCAGCGCTGACCAGCCTGGCCAGGTTGCCGACCCCTCCTATCGACTATACATCGGAATCAAGAAACGAGGTTCTTTCCAGCACTCATCCTTCCTACGCGGCGGCCGGATCGGAGCAGCTGGTCTGATTAAGATCCGGCACGGGAAGCTCCGCGACCTTGCTCCACTCAGGTCAGTACTTCGGTCTTGGAAGTCTTGACAATCCGCTAACAGTTGCAGCGGCCACTATCGTCCCCCTTCAGCCAACTTCCATGCATTTGTCCATGCTCTGCGGGAACAGGGCGCGGACCTGTCGCGTGTGTCAATCACGAAACTATATGCAAGCCTCGTCGGCATCGAAGGGTACTTCGGTGCCAAGGACAACGTACACCGAGCTAAAGAAAAGATCGAGCACAAGATAGAGAGTAAACCATCTTGATTTGTAATGTGGAGGGGCACTATCTGAGACAGAGTATGGCTCACGATTATTCATGCCAGTCGGATGCCGCTCTTCCGTGGCTCTTGAAGACGTGATTTCTGTATCTCTGGCATCACTTGCGCGCCGATCACACCATCGCGAGTCATTGGAGTAGCCGACCCCGGAGTACAAGAAGGCTCTCCGTACCCTCGCTACCCCTCATCATCTTGCGCTCAAGTACGAAAGACAGAATGCCTACCGAGTTTATCAGTCTCACGTTCCCCAACCCTTCGACGGAGCTCAATCCAATCCCGAACGCGGCAATCGACCCCGAGTTCCTGAAGCGCTACGCCCGCAACCTCGACGACTATGAATACAATTATACGCTTGTCCCATATGACTCGTCATACTTCGACCCATGGACCATTGGCGCGACCATCGCTGCTGTGACAAAGAAACTCAAGATCATCATCGCTCTGCGACCTAACACCCTGTTCCCGACAGTCGCAGCCAAAGCTCTCGCAACGCTGGACCAGCTGAGCTCCGGCCGTGCCGTCGTCCACTTTATCGCCGGCGGCAGTGACGCCGAACAGGCCAAGGAAGGCGACTTCCTAAACAAGCAGGAGCGGTACGAGCGACTGGAGGACTACATCAAGATCCTCCGTCGGGCATGGGAGTCTGCCGAGCCCTTCGACTGGGACAGCAAGTACTACAAGTTCACGCAGTTCAGCAACCGCGTCCGTCCAGTCAACGGAACGATCCCCGTCTCCGTCGGCGGTTCTTCCGACGACGCCTACCGCATCGGTGGCTCGCTGGCCGACATCTTCGGCCTCTGGGGAGAGCCGCTAAAGGAAACAAAGGAGCAGATCGACCGTATCTACGCCGAGGCCGAAAAAGCCGGCCGTACAGACCGACCCCGAATCTGGGTCACGTTCCGGCCCATCATCGCCGAGACCGACGAACTCGCCTGGGCCAAGGCGCACCGCGCCCTGGATGCCCTTCAATCCAACCGCGCTGCCGGCCAGGGTCTAACCCCCTCCAACGCCCCGCCACCGCAAAACGTCGGGTCCCAGCGCCTCCTCGAGATCGCGTCTCGAGGCGAGGTGCAAGACCGCGCACTGTGGTACCCGACCGTAACCGCGACGAATGCGCGCGGCGCATCCACTGCGCTTGTGGGATCGCCGGAGACGATTTCGGACTCGATTTTGGATTATGTTGATCTTGGGGCGGAGCTGATCTCTATTCGCGGGTATGATAACCTCTCTGATGCGATCGATTATGGGCGGTATGTGCTTCCGCGTGTACGGGAGGCGCTGGCGAAGAGGGGTAGTAGTAGTTGATTGAGGATGTTCTCATGGTTGTATAGCAGTACAATGGCATATCACATTTCTAAGATCCTTGCACATCTCGCTCATATTCCGGGTGTATACACCCCAGTGTCTCGTCGGCCGTCCCATCCGGTATACCCGCTGTAACTACTAGCTGTTATTGCAGATCTGGCCCAGGAGCGAGTCCGCTTCTGGCGTCCAGCATCGTAGGCTTCTGCCATGTCATCTGGAGCCACCGCGCAATACGTATGCTTGTCTTTAGAGTAGGTATGGTCGTATCTCAATGCTATACCGCGCCCTGCTTTTCCTTTTGCACAGTGAAGTAAGCATGCACTCGAGAATTCCCAGATTCTTGTTTGATGTGTGGTCTCTTCTACGTCTAACCTTGAACCATCACTCCAACCTGTGAAGCATACTGCACGTTCCTAGAACTCTTTCCTGGACTTGATGCTCTCTAAGCCACGAGCTGAGTCTGACATCTAGCGACTACGCGTTTTACTAGATCGACTGGAGTTGCTAGAGCTAGAGGGAGCCGCCGTTGAATTATGCACTTCCTGCTCTAAGTCCACGCAATATATATCCTACATCCTGTAGAAGAAAAACGGACAAACACGGACCAACATACGTAGTCGATATCGATAGTAGTGCTAGCCCACCCGACCTCTATTCCGTGCCTACTTAATAAGTCCAGAGTGCAACGGGACCTGGGAAGATAAGCTGACCATTACTATAACCATGACGAGCTCTAAGCTGGGCAGATGGGCCAGTATTAAAAGTTGCGGTTTAGAATTACTACATCCTGTCTTCTTTAAGGTATGTTCAAATAAACTAACGCCTAAAAAAGAGCTACGTAACAGGATTGCTATGTTGCCGAAGTATCTCAGCAACCTCTGCCTTGCCACGCCGCAATGCCTTTTCCATTTCGTCCTCATCGTCATCACTTAGCTCATAATCCTCGTCATTACCATTGTGCAGCTTTTGGTAATTTTCGATCTCATCCTCCGAAACAACCGCTTCTGCGGCCTGTAGCGCTGTCTGAAACGTCCCAGATTCCAGTATAAGATCGACACTCGCCCCTAATTCGATCAGAATCTTCACACACTCCACGTGGCCAAAATATGCCGCAGTTGCTAGCGCACTTCCACACTTGCCCCACGCAGCTAGTGTACAAACTGGTGCGTAAGAAGCACAGAAGAATCTTGTAGGCCAGCAACCACTGGATATTGGCTGGTTTGGGTCTGCTCCGGCTTCAATCAAGGACTTGATGAGATCGGGCCGATTGGTGGCGGCGGCCGCGGCCAGTGGGCTACCGAATGGGGATCCTTGCTCCTCAGTAACATTTGCCCCTGCTTGAATAAGTAGGTTGGCAATCCTATCCTTCCGCCGGAGTATAGCGTATCCGAGAGCGGTACACTGGGAGGTTGATTGAGTGGGTAGGTTCACGTTTGCATGTGCTTCTTGGATCAGAAATTTGGCGATATCAAAGGCTCCCCGGGCAACCGCAGCCACTAGAGCATTTGCATAATAGCCTGTTGGAACTGCAAGGTTCACATCCGCTTGGCCTTCCTCGACCAAAGCCTTGGTTGTGGCAAGGCTTGTCACTAAGAACCTGAGATACCGCCTTCGGTGGGCATACTGTACCGCCTTGGGTGGGCGCCTGCAGCTGCCGCTACAAGCGCGGTCCCATAGTCTCCAGATTGTAGTACTAGATCCACCGTAGCATTAGCTTCGTGAATCAAGTAACGAACAATATCAAGTTCATTGTTTCTTGCGGCTGCTACAAGCGCATTGCCAGCCCACCCGTTGGTTACCACCAAATCCACGTTACCGTGGGCGTCGCACACAAGGAACTTGACCATCGCCAGTTTTCCGGAGCCGGCAGCCGCTGAGAGAGCGCTCCCATATTCGTAGTCGGATACAGGTGTATCGACATCCACCTGAGCTTCGTAGATGAGGTATTTGACTACAGACAGGTCCCGCGCCTTACTAGCAGCGCGCGCGAGCAACCTCCCGTAGATTTTACCCAGCAACACCGTGTCCGCATCACACCTCAATTCCCGAAACCGGAAGAAGAATAGTTCGGGGTACGATTGGGAATGATCAAGAACGTCTTCATAGATATCAGCCGGCAGCAGTTTCTGCTCATCGCGACCTAACGCCCAGACCAAAAGCTTGACCATGTCCAGGTTGCATGTCACTGCGGCATGCAACGCTGTTTTGTGAATTCTATGCCGCAGTTGTAATATCACTGATGCGCCAGCATTCAGGAGATACTTTGCGACTTCCGCTCTCCCCAGACATGCCGCAGCAGCCAGAGCACTCCCAAAACGGGGACAGTGTCCGTCTACGGGCGCTCCGCGTTGCAGCAGAAATTTGCAAACGGATATTCGATTCGCCAGCGTAGCCATAGTCAAAGGAACCGGGAGATCTCCTTGTGTCTCAAGAGATCCCAGATCCACTTGGTCCCACCAGTCGCCGAGCGCGGATAGTATGCCGAAATAACTTACGCAGAGGATCGGCGTTTGGATCGGGATACTCCCTGGGTCAGGTCCAGAATGTAATTGGAAGCGATAGATTGTAGTTATTAGCGCGCTTGTCGATGGAACTCTTCTCCGGTTTATGAGATCTTTCATGACCTCGGGAAACCATCTGCGAAAAGTCGCGCTGCCCTCAATTGGAGACCCGAGGAACCTCTTCAGTAGTGGAGTGATGGGTAGGATTGCATCCTCCACCTGTGCCAAGCGAACGTGGTGTGTCCAGTGGTGTCTCGCGTAGACTTGCAACGGGTCTAGTGCATTGTCGTCCCCTGCGTTCTCCAGGAGGAGTGCATAGAGATGTGCCTGTCGAAGATCCCAATGGTTATGTTCGAAATATTCCGCCACCGAGAGATGGCAAACTCGCCATGTATCGAGCTCCGAGTCAATACTGAGGAGATTCCGGCAGAGGGCTAACAGCGAGTCTTCACTGATCGCACTGCAGAGGGTGAGATGCTCTCTACCCGGGGTGATTCGAACAGCTTCGATAAGCTCGTCCCGACCTAGCGGAGTACAAGCACACATGACCCACTTCAGAGCACGCTCAGCAAGCTCCCTGTCATGCTGATCCAAGGCTGCGAGCTCGGAATACAACTCATCATAGGCGGCCTTCAAGCCATTTGGAAGTTTGAGAAGTCGGCTTTTGATCGCTTCGCGGGAGCGGCAGGTCCGCAGTTGGTCCAGTTGCAAAGCCGTCCATTGGAACCTGGCGTATTCTATCAGTGGCTGACTTGGTGGCTAGAATTGGGCGACTTACATCCCATCAGACCGCCTGATGATCTCCTCGCTAATCACATTCTCCATCTCCAAAAGAATCGGATTCGACCTACCAAGGTACTTTATCCGGTCGGTGATGAACTTTTCGATATCGCCTAGGTTGTGTTTTGCATGGATCTCGATACTGGGCTGCCCCTGGAATCGGGCACGAATATCCTGATCTGGACGGCTTGCAATGAAAAGCTTAATGGGATGCGTAGCCTCTGTTTGGACCGAGTACAGCAAGTCAAGAAGCTTACTGCGGGACCTCTCATCGCACTCGTCTAACCCATCCAGGATGATCGTGGTTCGGCGATAGAGGTTGACAGACTCTAGAATAATCGCCTTGCAGCTTCCAAAGTCCAATTGCGTTCCTTCTTTTCTGAGCTTTAGACAAGTGGCCCGAACAGATTTTTGAAACTTGTCTGTCTTGTGGGCTGGAGTAGAAAGTTGCCTGACATAGCTCTGGACCACAGATAGGGGGTCTCTCCGCTTTGGATCGGTCCGATCGCAGTAGAAGAACGCAAGTCCCTCGTTTGTTGTTGATTGGCGAATCATCTCCTGAACGTCGTCAATGACTCTGGAAGTCATGTAGGTTTTACCGACACCGGCTATCCTCCGTCAGCATTGCTCGATTTGATTCTTCAGGTGAGACGTACGAGATCCCCACAGCCATGCTACAGACGCCTTCCCACTAGTCTGCCACTTGCGATATCGTTCGTCATCAAGTAACCAGTCGCAGGTATCGGGCGTTCGATTCTCCCGGACAGCGCGGTGGTGCATCATATACAAGACTTCGGACATCCAATCGAGCAGATCCAGGGACTCTCGCTCTTCTAAGTGCGTGAAGCAGTCCTCCAAGCGCTGATCAATTTGGGCAAGGACAGGGTGAATTTCGTGCAGCTGAGCCATCAAAGTCCCGTCGGCGTCAGCACTGCGATGTATTTCGCAGGTCTGAACGGTCCGAGCTATCTCGCTCTCACGGCGGTCAAGGTTCGAGAACAGAGTGGACAGTTCGTCTGGGTGTAGGATTGTTGCAGCAATTTGCGAGACGCTGCCTTTAGCAAGATGATTTGCCGAAAAAGCGATGACCTCCAGTGCAGCTTTGTATACATTCGCAATCGCATCGTGGAGCAACTGCAGCATGTCTCCCGGAATCCTCTCTGGTGTATAGACCATCTCGTAAACGTGACCGTGGTGGATGACACGAAGAACTCTGTCCACTGTTTCCAGGAGCGCTATCATCTCAGTATCGAATGTTATACTGACCTGGTGATGAGTTAGTCGGGGTGCAATCCAAGATAGTAGTGACTTCCTTACCCTCAAGACGGCCTTAACCACACCCCACGGTGGACCGGCCTCCCGTGGCGCAAACGGGATGACAATATCTCCCAGCTGTTGCAGCAATTTTGAAATCCTCGCTGCGTACTCTCTTACTGAGATTTCCCGTTCGCCGACCCTGACCTTCCATTGTTTATCCCTGCAGAGCTGCTCCTTTTCCCTTGTAAGCTGGATCAAGTCATCGAGATTAGCACGGATTGACGTCGAGTCGCGATTCTGGTCGAATCCCATTTGCGACAGAACTCTTTTCCGATCGTCTGGTAACTCGTCGAACGCTCGATGCCATAGGCTGCCGGCTGATGATGAAGCGAGAGGACTGGGAGTGGGAGTGGGAGTGGGAGTTGGGGACGTTTGACTCGGTCGCTGGGGCCCATCGTCGTCGTCAACTGAACCTGGCTGACTCTTCGCTTGGGGAACAGGAAGGACGCCGGCCGGCGCGGTCTTGCTCTTGCCTTGACGGTCCTTGGAACGTGCCCCCTTAATTCTCGCCCTCAGGCGCGTGAAACAGGAGGCTCCTTCGTCGTCGGACTTCATGGCTGGCCTTTTGAGAAGTTGAGCATCGATTCTGAATTAAGATTATTGTCAACACAGAGGCGGTGCAGGAAAAGTTCTCCGATCTTGCAACTGCGCCGACGAGGGGTCTCACGGTCAGCTGAGGTAATTGCCTGCAGGGGTTGCGTGGTTCTATATTATTGGCTTCGCTACGCGCCAGATGCCTGTCGCTACGAGCGCTGAAGCAAGCAATCGGGTTCTGGAGTAGAAAAAAAGCAATATACCCGACCAGAGCCACACAAAGAACCTTATTTCCAACATTCAGGACTATGGCAGCTCCTTTTCTCAGCGGATGCAGTCCAGTTTAGAACAATTCCTGCCCGTCTATTGCAGGAACAGTCTGCTGGCAAGGCTCTGTCGAGGGATCCCGTGGACTTCATTTCGAGTTATTTCCGAAGAAAGGTGTGATGAGACGGGCTGGGGAGTTGCGTAACCTAAAATGTGGTCGCTCATTCCTAAATTCAGGTTCGCGAGGCTGGAGTCAAAATCTTTCCCTCCCTCCAGGCTCGCTGTTCTGGTTTCATTTTTGGCCGATTCCACTTGCTGCGACAGGCATTATGCGTCTGAGTCGCTTCTATTAACGAGATGAAGAAAGTTCAGATGGCTTCAGTTCCGGAACGTGTCCGTTGAGATTTGTCTCTTCCAGACTCTGCCCTGAGCTTCTGCAGCGCCCGCCGAGCCCGAAGTGCATCAGCAGTCGCGCCTTCGCGTTCACGGCTGGATCATCCCATCGAGCTGGGTTGAAGGTATTGTGGTCGGCGCCCCACACGGCAGGGCTATGGAGGAGGTGGTAGAGGAGGAGGCTTGTCGTTGCGCTTGTTGTGTGCGTGCCGGCGATTCTGGGAGGAGGACTTGGTCAGTTTCATCGTGGATACCCCGGCCATTCCATTAGAGGGGAAGCAGATCCCAGACATAAACCCAAAGGCCTCAGTTTCCAGGTCAATAGGTGTCAGCCTCGCCCCAGCCTTAGGATGCTTCACTTTAATAAGATTCGTGAGAATATCCTTCCTCTCTTCACCCGCTGCAAGCTCTCCCTCCTTCCCCCCTCAGCCGTCGCTGCACGCATGCCGAAGCAAGATCCGTACATGCGTTCCGTCCAGGAAATAACTTTAGGCCCAGGTAGGAGGGCCCCAACGCACATCATCTCTAAAGGACACTAGCAACAAGGGAGTTCCAGTCCCAGAAAGCTGGGAACGCGTATGGCAAGAGCAAAAGCGCCAGAACAAGTGGGAGTTAGTCATGGCCTGACTTTTGGTAAGATTGTAATGCTGTATTCCCGAACTTCCAAGACATCTGAGGTCAGCGCAGCCTAACATGGGAAAGGCTTTGCACACATGTCGTGTCTTATGATTACTCGTTACCCTCTCATAGACTCTTTGGATTCCTACTACAACATGAGACTTACATAGCCCGTTTCTCGACTATCATAGGATTTTGAAAATATTACTGATTATATGCTGCTGACTGATGAGGGACTGGTGACTGCCTCATACCTTTTATCTGCCTCACCCACAACAGAAAGCAGATCCGTATACAGCGGGACTTCTTGCTTGTACATGTCTGATAATGCGATTCGGAACCGGTTGCGGTCGTTATTGGCACCGTGTCGACTCCGTAGAAGAAACGTTATTATCCATAATCTATGCAGATGAGCCACCATGGCGGCGACGCAACGCGCGAGGGGTGGCAGGGGGAATACTGCTATGCGGGCAGCGCCCAAGGAAGATGGTCCGGTTACATTGTTCATAACATTCACGCGAGCGTGTTCAATACCGCGAGGGTGGCGTGGCTACTAAGAGGCCATAAGGTACATCATGGCCAGGAAACCAACGCCTAGCTAAAAAGGACAAGATAATACTCTTCAAACGTCCTATTCCAGACAACCCCCTAGCCAAGGTTCCACCAAACCACCAATAACCGCTCTTGTGAACGCCCACCACAGCAGGAAGCCGGTGACGGTGTGATTTCTCAACCTCTTCGAGATACAATCTGAGCTCTGGGTGCCTAGATGCCTCACACGCAGCAGCCCAAGCCGTCTTGTCACCATCGTAGTCCGTGGCGAGAGCACTGCACCCGTGCTCGACCAAGAGCGTAGCGACCTCGACACTCTGCACAAGGTGTAGCGGTGTGCGGCCACGATGGTCAACCTGGGAGACCAGTCGCTTACGATACTTGCGGTTCGCCAGCAGCGCACGCACAATCTCCATCTGGTCTTCGTGCGCCGCAATGTGCAGAAGCGTCGCGCCGGTGCGAATATCTCTATATGTGACGTCTGGTCTGTTCGTCGCAACTAACTGTCTTACCGAGGCCCAGTCCCCCGTGTCCGCGAGAGTGCAGACGGGCAAATCTTTCGTAGACTTCTCTTCCTGTTGAGCTATTCCGGCTCGCTTCCCGAGAACACGCATAGCTTCCGTTCGCTGTAAAAGGTACGCGGTGGTATACGGGGTGCATCCCCTGCCGTCGGTTGCACTGGCGTCTGCGCCAAGATCAAGCAGAGTCGTTGCAATTTCGGCGGCATGTTCGCTCTGTAAAAGGCTAACATAGTGGAGAGGCGTCAGCCCACTCGCGTCCAGGGCATTTAGATTAGGTGCGGCGTTTGTCTTATCCTGTATAGCCGAGTATACAAGACGAACCACCTCTGGGCGGCCACTTGCGGCGGCAAGGTGAACGAGGCTCTTGTTCGCCTGTGGCTTCAGTGCATCACATCGAAGTAAGGTTGCAACGGTGGCCGGCACACCCATGGTGATGGCTAGCGCTAGGATCGTTCCCCCCGAGGAATCCTTGACGTTGGGATCCGCTCCGTGTTCCAATAACAATCGGACAAGCGGTTCACGCCCATTGCTGGTATCGACGGACAGACCGCTGCCCGCTGGGGAAGCAGCGGGAGAACAACCATCTACTGCGTGCCACAATGCTGTGTGATTGTCGGCATCGCGAGCATCCACCTCAACTGCCTTCCGGGTCAACAGGTCGGTCACTATCGCAGCATGCCCGCGTCTCACCGCAATAATAAGCGGCGTCCTTTGCTTCGGGCCACTTCTAGCGTTGATATTCAGCTTGCGCGTAGCCAGCAATTGCTTCACAATCTCCAGCCGGCTCGCTTCATTGCACGCCAGCGTGCGCGGGATCCCATAAATCGCTCTGGCCAGTGCTAGGTCTTGGAGGTGGGCGTTGGGGAAGCTCAAGATCCGGGCCACAACGTCTCTGCGGCCTTTGATACAAGCGTAGTCCAGCGGCGACATGTTTTCATCATCCAGGGCATTGATATCCTCGTCTTTGGCGCACAGTCTCTGCAGCATCTCCGCCAGCCCGAACCAGGCACAGATATGAAGCACGGTGGCGCCTTGACGGATAAAGTTCGGTGAGATGTTTCCGCCGTGGCGCACAAGCCGAGTAGTCGCCTCAACGAGTTGCGCAACAGAGTCTGGATTCTTCAAAAATTGTCGTGCTTCCTTTACTACCTCGGCGTCATCATCCCTTGACCCCGCCTCACGAACATGGTCCCCCCAGAATTCCAACACATATGCCAAGAAAGGATAGGAATCGGGTTCCAGACAATGGGCTGGGAAACTTTTGGCCCGCAAATATTCCAGGCATATTGATGCCATGTGGGAGTCTGCATGAGTCAAACGCGGGTCTTTGCCCCTCTCGTTTTCACCGAGGAAAACGGTAAGTGTAGGGTGGACGAATCGCACGTACGAATGTTCATCATCGCCCTTGTCTATGCTGAGTAGCCCATTTGTTGCGTGGACGATCTTGTTTCTCCGGTAGGAAGTGTCATTGGAGTGAAGTAGACCGAACCCGCTTGTCATGGCCAGCGCCTGCTGCAGCGCCAGGAGGGTGGGAGGGCGGCGCATCGCGATCAGGACCGAGATCGTTTCCAATGCGATGCGGGCCTCTATGCCTTTTTTTGCATTGATCGTTCTCATGCGCTGTTTGCAATATTCCTTTAGCGCGTCGTGCGGCATGTAGTCTAGCAACCCCAGCACGTGCTCATCGTGCTGCACTCGTTTGAAACACCAGTCATGCAAAGCGCTGATCCATGCCTTTGCGAACAGAAACTTTCCCTGGGCCTTTCTCGATATCTCCTGCGCAATTTTGTCTTTGAGGTCAGGTCGATCCAGAAGATATCTGGTGAGATTGCTCGGTGGTGGATGGACGAGCGCGTCGCGACGGTAATCGCCTTCCTTACCATTCAGCCTGGTTTGACAATATAGCTCCAGCTCATCATCTTGGGCGCGCACTTCGATGTAAACCTCCCGGTAGGGCTCTTTGTGCTCGTGGTTTGGGTGGACAGGGCACGAGGACAGCCGTTTTGCAGTTTAGACAGAGATCGGAACGGCGATCCGTGCAGGGACAACTCAAGTACAAGTTGAGATTCTGTGTTCCACATGAGTCACACTGGACAGTTGCCACCGTTTCAGGGTAACCGATCGAGGTGGTGAGAATGCTTACGCCCGATCCGTCGTCGGTAAGCTGTCGAAGGTATTCCTTGATATCCCTGCGGGCCTGAGCAGAGCAATTGCACAGCCCGTCGAAGAGGATATATGTGCGCTCGTGGCTCTGGACCATCTCTTTGAATATACCTTTCAGTAGCCACTCTATCTTCTCTATCCCTGCAATCCCAGTCTCGCGAGCGTTCGTAAGCTCTGGCGGGATTGGCGCAGAATCAAACTGAAGCAGTTGCCGAACCATGCTCCCCAAGATAATTCTGGTGGTCGCTTGATCTCGAGTTTCTGGTTGGTCTCTCAGGTGGATAGAGATGACCGGGCGAGACGCGAAGGCCGCTGTGAGATGCTTCATAATTATAGCACACAGACTTGTCTAGGGCGCGTTAGGAAAGACATTGCGAACTCGGGGAAGGGGCGCAGTCATCAGTACCTTTCCTGTACCAGCTTCGCCGTAGCAGCACAGTTGCCATCGAGCACCTTCCTCGGCCCATTGCTTGAATTCCTCCGACTCTAGAAGCCACTGCCCTGTGCGGACCAGGTTCCGCCGCTCGATTTGGAAATTCACGGGACATAGCCAATCTAAAATATCTAGGCGACAAGTGGTGTCGAGACTAGCTTGTATTTTGGCTATGGCGCTCTTAACTGTACATCCGTCAACGACAGCTCGCTTGATCATCGACTGCGGTAACCAAAAGGACTAAGACCCGAACCCTCATCCGCTAGGTTCTACAGAGGGGAACGGAAGGCAACATACATTCTACCACTTCGATCTGCTGTACAGTCTGCGGCGGAATCATGGCCAGGAGATCCTTTGCGTACGCCGCCGCCGTCAGCGCAGCGTACGGCTGCCACCGCTTGTTCTTATGCGTATCGGCGTAATCAGCGATACCGCAGATAGCAATCGAGGGAAAGTTGTTGACCAGGCCCGCGGCCTCCATCTCAAAGCACAGCACCTCGTGCGGACCGCTGCTCATCTTGTCGCGCCACTCTCCGCTGCGAATCACACGGTCCCCCGACCCAACGAGGCCGTAGTGCACGACGGGCTCCGCCCTGGTTGCTCGATCTATTATTCGCCGGGCTGGATCGCAGAGGGTGCACAGGTTCTTGGTCGAGGGCGTCGTGCCAGCGACGTGTTGGTAGCGCGCTTCGAAGAGGAGATCGTGTTCCCTACCTGGGAACGCATACATGCGTCGATCGAGCTTCGCGAGCGCGGCGTCGATATACTGTCCCATTTTGCCCTTGTTTCGGTTATGGTTTGACTCGAGCAGGTTGCTGGCTTTGATCAAGATCGACGACGAGCTGTTGAGGTGCGATTGGGATTCCAGCCCAGAGGGGGACTCGGTGCCCATGTCGTATAGCCAGACCCCTCCTATGAGTAGTGTCCCAGTTGGTCAGCCTTTCCTGTTTCGCTCTCTCTCTCTCTCTCTCTTCTATCTCTCTCCGGGCCGATTTGCCTTGACAATTAACTCACCGTGACTGTTCTTAGGCCGACTCATAACGACATCTCCCAGCAGAATATCTGTCGGATCCCCGCACAGGTCCGGCGCAGTCGTAGCCCCGCCGGCTATTCCGACCATCAAGGCAAACCGGATCATTGGAAAGGTGCGAAGCATGTTGATGGCGGCTTCATTCGTAGGCACCCGGCCTTCCCTCGTAGGCCTCGCGACGACGATGTTGTGGCCGAGCATCGAGCCGAGGATGTAGCAGCTATCGTCCCTGGGCATGGGCGGGGCCTCGTGCTCTTCGTCGAGCAGTGCCCGGGCCGCCTCCTGCTCGGCCGAAAGCACACAGAACCAGCCGACTTTATAGGCTGTGAGACTGCGCACGCTGGGAGGGGTGGGTGGAGATTGAGGTGGAGGGGGGAACGGAGGCAGAGACGGAGACGGGCGGCCTGGATGGCTCATGGTTGTTTTTCTGTGCTCTCTAGGTGCAGTTGGGTTTCGGAAATAATGATCATGGGCTTCTCGAGTGCTGGAAAGGTGGTAGCAAGGGAGGGAGGGGCTTGCGCGGATGGTGTGAGATATAAAAATAGCGCACGAGCGAGAGCTCGACTCCGCAGCCTCGCCAAGTTCTCAGAAGCAGATCCTGGTCAATGAAAATCAGCCTTGGGCAAGCAATCCGACATAATTGTCAGACTCGGCGGTGCTGAGAGTCGTACAAGGTCTGCGCCCAGGCCCGAATCGCGGCCTGCTTCTCGTCGATCTTTCGCGGCTGGCCCGCCGATTGCCGGTGGATAAGACCCGGCGACTGTGATGTAACATTCCGGATGTGACACGAAACTGGGCGCGGCCGAATTGGAGCAATCATCTCTTCTTGCAGCAGTGTGATCGAGCAAAAGGGGGCCGAGGGTGAAAAGGCTAAAACCTTAAAAAAGGGCGAAAGGGGCGCAGGAAGAAAAAGCAAGCACGTCGACACAGGTTCAGTCCGATTCGGATATGATAAGAGGTCTCAAATATATAGAGCACTCTTCATCCCCCGTCATGTCTCTCGCCCGAAGCCGCGGAGCAGCACAGACTTACTAAACAACATCAGGGCAAGAGAGACAGAGTGTGCCATCATGCACAGTCTCACCAAGGTGATCCTGCTCGGCCTCGCACAGGCGCTTGCAGTATTATCCCAACAGCCTTCGCCTTTATCCGTCGCGCTTCCCAACCCTACAGTCTGCGGGGATATTGTCAAGCATACAGGTGGGTCCACTGCAAAGTCCACGCAAAGTCCTTTCCGGGGCCGGTTGACTAAATTCCTCTCTATCGTAGGCACCCCAGTGTTCGACTCGTCGTTCGTCTTAGCGTGTCTGACGAGCGTCCCCTTCAACGCGGCGGTCGGCAGTCGTCTTATCAGATATCTCAATGATACGCTTCAATTTTATAGCACCCTGGCCTACTTGGCTGACCCACCTGCGGGCTATCAGCAGCCGGCCGTTGACTTGGTGGCTGGACTAGTTGAGCTTCAGCACACTATTGACGGTGGGGGTTTCGAGAATGAATATGACTTTGAGAATGCGATCCAGCGCCTGCTGCAAGCCGCCCACGATGACCATCTCGCCTTGGTCGGCGGCGTTCTCTCTCCATTTGCGTTTGGGTCTCCGTATGCCATTGCCTCTGTATCGCTGGATGGCAGAGAACTACCAAAGGTCTATGTGGCAGGTGCGGAATCAATCCCTATAACGCGCTAGATACCAACTCACTCCCATACAGCTGACCTCTTCGCCAACCAAACAAACAATCTTGCCTGGGCGGTATCGCCTATTTCGACCATAAATGGACAAGATGTTGTTGACTTCCTGACCGAGTTTGCGGCTGCCAACTCTGTTGGCAAACTCGAGCCACATGCGGACTGGAATATGCTAATGCAGAGCGGCGCATTGGATGTGCAGGGATACTTCGAGGTGTTCTATGGAGCCGCCACATTCTATCCCGGGAATACTCTCATACTTGGCTTTGAGAATGGATCATACACAGAACCCCAAACATGGGACGGCCTTTACTACAGCCCCGGGGACACAGGCCCGCTGGAAACTGGGGGTGATTTCTACAACTTTTTTATGTTGGGCCTTTACCCCGAGTCCTACGTGGCCAACGCCTCTACAGAGGTTGATGACTTGGTTCAGTCGGATGACGCGCCATGCCCGACCGCAATTCCAGAGCCTGGAGAATTACTTGGGGCCTACCCAGCGGCTGCTGGTGTTGTACCGGCCGCATCGTGTACCAACGATCAAGGGTCTGTGAGGGGGTATTTTCTGAATGAGTCATCGTTGGCTGTCCTGAGTATCCCTGCCTTTGTCTCATACGGGGAGGAGGGCACGAGATTCCCGGACACTGTGCGTGACTTTCTTCGGCGCAGTCGCAGGGCAGGGCTGCGCAAGGTGGTGATTGATCTTCAGCAAAATAGCGGTGGCCAGTCTTTACTAGCCATTGATATATTTAAGTTGGTTAGTACACCGACACCCGGTTTGCCGTTGATTTCCTTCTTCTATGCTCACATTAATCCAGTTCTTCCCCGCCGTCGACCCCTTTGCTGCGAGCCGGAGACGCGCCAGCCCTTGGGCGGACGTACTAGGCTCTGCATTCACAGAGTACTGGCAACACCTTGGAGACGATGAGACCCTCTGGTACACGCTCCTGACCAACGAGTGGGTAGCAGCGAGCCGTCTGGATGCCGAGAGCGGAGAGTATTACAACTCATGGGAGGAGTACTTTGGCCCAGCAGGGACTTACAACGGTGATGCCTTTACAAACCTAGAACGTTATAACCTCTCAGACAACATATTCAGCGAAGAGGCCGCTGGAATTGACATCGACGACTCCTCCAGCAGCCCTGAATTATACGACGCGCAAGACATCATAATGCTTACAGACGGCCTCTGCTCCTCGTCCTGTGCCCTCTTCATAGAGATGATGCATCAGACCGGCGTGCGGACTGTCGTCGCAGGCGGGCAGCCCCACTACGGTCCGATGCAGGGCGCTGCAGGCACGCGCGGAGCGGCCGCATATACCGCACAGCAGCTGGACGAGGACATCGAGGGCACGCAGTACATCCGCAACGTATCCACGCCGGGGGAAGTGGGCCTCCCCGACCGCTCCTTGGGGCTTTACCTCCCCTTCCTTGGCGTCAATCTGCGCGACCAGATCCACGAGCACGACCCCGAACATGTTCCCCTCCAGTTCCAGTACCAGCCGGCCGAATGCCGCATCTTCTACACACCCAAGACTTGGTACAACTACACTGCACTATGGATCCATGCAGCTGACGCTATCTGGTCTTCACCAGGGCTGTGCATAGCCAATTCGACCTCAGATAAACCCCTTCGTCCTCCCCTCCCCCTCCCGCTCCGACCCCAACGCCTCAAGCCCAGCTACCGGCGACACCCAGCAACATCCAATCAGCATCCAACAACACCCCCAACGATCCCTCCAACGACATATTTGCCTCGACGCCAAGATTGAGTTCCTAAGACCTCCTTCCCTGCGGCAGCAATAAGGACTGCAGCGGCGGCGGCCAATACTCGTGCCAACCGATACATGTATGTCACAACGGTGACATGCGCACAGAACGCCGCTGTGTCGCGAGGTGCGTGTTCGTGCCCTGGAACCGCTCGACCTGCACGCGCGGCACGTGCATCGCACCTTCACGAATGGGTTCTTCAAGCTCCGCACAGTCCCGTGGCCGTTCCACGGCCAGTGATCCGCGCGGGAATTTCGACGCAGGCCACTGTCTCCCTTCCCCGCCCCGCTGGTGTAAGGCGCGCGAGAACTACGCGTCACAGCCGCCGTACTACGAACGCGAGCGGAATAAGACTCTTAGCGCGATGGAACTACGGGAGCTCCACAATTGTGATTTCTATGCGGAGTTTTCGAGGTGTCAAAACAAGGATGGAGATTGGGTTCCTGGTAATGATCCTCTGGCGGCGACAGAACCCTATATCGGGCATCCCTTCCGCGCTATTTAGTCCTTATTTGGGGGTTGAGGGGGCAATGTAGGGCTCTTCAGTAGAGTGTTTTCGATTGCGTCGATGACTCCTGGCGTTATGTTTATGTTTTGTTACATATGGAGCTAAGGTTCGAGGTGCTGCCTGTCTGATTAGAACTAAATATGGATGAACAGCCCTGAAGTTAGAATTAATGGTTAGTGCTCCTACGGGATCATAAAATTTGCTATTTGGTTTCGTTTGTTGCTTATTGACGTTTGTATTATTACTTATCCCACCCCCTGCCCGCCGTGTAGAATATTAGAACAATTTAAGCCTGGAGGTGGACAGTATGCTACTATGCTACTATCCCCTCCGCTTAACTCCTGTTGAAAAACCCCCTCCTCATCTAAACATCCACTTTATTAGCCAGCTCACTTTACCCCTCCTTTATATTTTTAATAACCCTTATAAATGGTGAGCTAATAATAACCACGGCAATCCTAATAAAGCCCTCAAGTATAACACTACCTAGAATCTGAAAATTATATTTGTTTACTTTTTATTTACCTTAGTTTTAATCATCCCTATCAAGCTAAGTCTAAGACTATCCCTTGCTAAATCTGTATTTTGATTAGCGATAAAAACAAAGTGGCTGAGGAATCATGACCACCCGCTGATACTTCCTACGCCTCCACTCCCAAAGCTGCCACCGCTAAAGCTCGCGCTGCCTGAAATGGAAAGCTTCCTTTAGTTCAGATTGCCCAGCGATTGTAGAGCTCTCCTCAGCACGCACCACGGTAACTTCACTTTTAATAGTGACCTAAACAGGCGGATAAAGATTCCACCACTGTCCTGGATTTGTCGCATTATACTTAAGATTCATCCCCTCTTCCAAGCCACGCGGCAACTTCCACCTTGAATGCTCATTCTATAGCCATAATTTTACCAAGTGGCATTCCCGCTCCTCTTACCAGTTGTCTTGACTATCAGATCTAATGCAGGATGGCGGGGTTGTCAAGGAAGAGTAAGTTACTAGTATATACATCCGAGCTAATGGTATTGGCGGTAGTATGCTTATCATCCTTAGCAACAACACCCTAAGTATATATGCCACCTAGGAACTTGTAATAGCTCTCTGCCCTATCTCCCGCCCTATCTCCCGCTATATTTATTATAATCTTCCCCTGGTAAAGGGAGAGTTTGGTAACCCGCTCTTAGGCTCTCCAGGGTTATGGGCCAGAATAACGTCGCCTTGATCTCTTTTCATTGCGCGGAACCTCAAGAGGGAATTCGGCAGCATCGTTGGCGGCGGACAAGGATAGCCGGTCATGACGGATTTTCCGCCTGCTTCGATTTTCCCTAGGTCGTACTGCACAATACCACCATATCGTCCGCGAGGCTGGCTGATCACAACGTCACCGAGTCGGACATCTGCTTCGTCACTAGGAACGCCGCCACCGATACCGACCATCAACCCGACCTTGATCGATCGGAACTTTTCCATCATCTGTGAAGCGCAGGTCGAGGCAGCGACTGTGCCGTAGCGACCGGCTGGTAAGCATACAATGACAATGTTATGCAGCCCGATTCTTCCAAGCGTGTAAACGCTCGTCTCGTGCGGGTCATATTTGGGATCCTGATGTTCCTCATCGAGCATCGCACGAGCGGTTTGCAGTTCGAGGGGCAAAGCGCAGACCCAGCCAAGCGTATAACTTTCGGGCGGAAGGCGACGCTTTTCCATCATGCAAAAATATCAGCATACTCTTGGTTCTTAAGCAGTAGTTTGAGATGTGTTGAAATCGTGAATAGTGTTCACAGAAGAAAGGCTTAAATCTGGGCGCGTCATGTATCCGCCAAGAACGCTCATAGCCAGCCGAGCCATCCAGATTATACAAATTGTTACAATTCAAGTATCAGCACAGCTGAGTTTTTCATAGTCAGGTTATCAAACTTCGGGAACGCGGTGAAACTAATCATTTACCACACCCAAGGGCATCTGCCAGGAAACCCTTTTTATGGGTGGTGGATGCTACACAGCATCGCCGGTTAAATAGGACAATTGAACGGACCTTGCACGCCTTGTCGCCAGCTTGGCGAGCCCCTTACGTCTGAGCCAGATCAGGTTAGGTGTCCTTTTCCTGACTCCCATCGCATGGATATGTTATAAAATGCTTTAAAGAGATGATTGTATTCTATTATTACTAGTGAAATTTGAAAATGTACACCATATTATCGCTATAAATACCTTCCTTCCGGGCCGACTAGCGGGCGGGAAGATGGAGTAGCAAGATCGATAAGGCATTAGTATGATCACTTTAGATAGTCTCGGATCAGCTTGTTTCTCCAGTGGTCCAAAGTGATGACTCTATCCTTCCAGGGCACCCCCTTGCCAAGCTCCGCTCCAGTCCACTTGCGTATGGGAAAGTGTTTATGACCGGGCTGGCATACATGTCCAATCAACCCTTTTTCCACATTGTCTCTACATCGTGTCGTCAGAACCACCTTGATGCAGTCCATGCACCGCCACTGATCTCCATCCAAACGCGCACCACACTTGCACGAGCAAAACACCTCGTACCCACCACCACCACCCTGCGACCCGCTGCCCTCCGCCTTCATCATATACGTCGCAGCACGGGCATGGTTCTCATCCCCAAACGGTGTCACCGCATACAGGATCTTCTCGTACGCGAGCATATCATTCGACGCGTCGCCGTCTGCCATTAACTCCACACCCATCTTCAGCGAATTGTGCGCCGCCTGGAGCGCCGCGTCCTCATTCCCGCGGATCTTGTGGTACCGCGCGGCGAACAGGCGCAGCGGGAGCCGCATCTGGTCCTCGGAGACCTGCTCGGGGATGATATCAGCGATCTTGCGCAGCCAGGCATCGGCGTCGGCCTCGTCGCGCGCCCGCTTGGCCTTGTCGAGGTAGATTGCGCCGAGCCGGTACCCGACGCGGAACAGGGCGTCTGGCATGTTCAGGCCGCTGTAGGGCACGTCCTCCTGGGCGGCGGCGAGGAGGAGACCCATTACCTGGTCCAGCGGGACTTGGGGTTTCGCAGAGAGGCCCACGGCGTAGGCGCGGCGGAAGTGGAAGCAGGCGCGGTGGTTGCGGGCCTTTACGCTGGTGTCGATTGCGTCGGGGTATATGTGGTCGAGCATCGCGTAGTCCTCGGTGTTGACCACGTATTGCAGGATCATGCGGTCGAACTTTTCATTTAGCGGGGTGTTCTCTAATGCAATGGCCATGCGAGTGAGGCGGGCGTCGGGGATAAGCTTCTGCAGTATATCTGCGATGGAGTTCCAGGCGTCTGCCTCAAAATAATATTCGATAATGTAAAAGTAGGAAGGGAACTGGTCTGTGCCTTGTTCAGCAAACGTTGAGAACCATCTCATCGCCTTGTCGCGTTGCTGGTTAGTCCAGTACCAGACTCCAAGCCGGTAGACCATGTCGGCGAAATATAGCTTGTTCTGCTTCATCCACGGCGCATTGCCTTTGTAGTGGGAGATGAGGCGCTTGAGAATCTTTTTTGCCTCTGCATCAGCCCCAAGGGTGCCCGCCAGCAGGTAAGATGCGCGCCAGTTGTGCTCGTCACGTTCGATGGCTTTGCGGCACCGTGCCTGGCACTCGGACGTTTCACCCAGTCCTACCAGCACAAATGCCATCTGACAGTCCCAAAGTGAGTCAGGCTCGTCGAGTTGAAGATTCTTCAGGCACCACGCCTCAACCTCTTTGATCTTGGATAGCGGAGGTGGTTTGCTCGCGTCCGTGGGCGGGGGGAGGAGTCCGAACTGGTTCGTGCGGCGAATGTTAGTACCACAGCAAAGGCTGAACGAGGCTAGACTGACTAACCTTTAACATGAATCCTCCAACAATTCTAAATGCAGCCGAGGTATTTGCCGGGTTTGCCTCCATCCGGAAGCAATTTTCTGCCATTCGAACGATGGACGGCTCGACCAGCGTCTGCACGCTATTATTGCTCTCGCTGGCCAATACCTCGCGGAGCCATTTTTCCTCCTTGTCACCATGTTTGACAAGCGCAGACGCCCCCTTCAGCCACCGGAAAACCACGTCAACCGCCTTTTGATCTAAAAACCACCCAGGAAACTGCGGGGTCTCTTCTTTTGCCCAGAACAGGTTGTCTATTGCCGGACCGCTGTGAAACAGCTGGACAAGGTCCCGCCCGGCCTTCGCCTTCAGGTCATGGTCAATAACTGTCAACTGGACGTCGGACATATGGTGGATTAGATTACGGGCTGCGTATCCTCTCAGTACTTTGAGCCTCTCGGTGCCATCGCTCGCCAGCACCTGCAGGCACGCCTTGGCCAGATCGAAATTCGCCGTATTAGAATCCTCCAGGTAGACATTTTCCTTCCCTCCGTGTAGTTTAGCCTGGAAATGCTTCTCCAGCTCCAGCTTCTCAATCAGGGCCGGCGGACACACGGTTTTGAAAAAGTGCCGGACAATATCGACCTCGCTGTCCTGGACGGCGTTCTTCTGGTTATCCTTCTCGCGCATGGAAGACTTGTGCGCCGATCGCTCCCTGAGCTTGTCTGCGATCTGCTCAGAGCGGAACGCAACGTATCCGTCGTTGTCAACCTCGAAGAGGAGGAACTTTTGCGTGAGCCGCTCCTCGAGGGGCCGGAGGGAGGTGGCCGCCTTCTCAAACTGGAGCACCGCCTTCATCTTCTCACCGGTCATACGCTCGCGCGCAAAGGTGATCCAGCGGATGACGGTGTTGATCTCCTTGAGTTCGCGGTCTGTGCGGTGCGTGTTGAGTTGCTGGATGTCCTTGTCGATGCGGTCCGTCAGACTGTCCTGGCGGCCGTCCAGGACGTCGAAGATCTCCCGGTCGTAGTCCAGGTTGCGGATCTCATTGAGGTAGTTGTTTATGAGGTAGTAGTTGCCCTTGGCGAGCAGCTTGCCGTGGATCTGCTTCCGGATGGCTGCAACATCGTCGTTAGCCATGCGATGGGCAGCGAGAAGGTCGATTTTGTCTAGCTGGCTGTCGATGTACTTGGACATGTCCTCCGAGTTCGAGTTGATGGAGATGGTTGGGAACTCGAGCCCGGTTTTCCACATCTTGTCGACCGTCTCTCCCGTGGCGGAGAACAAGACGCGCACTGGCTTTTTCTTCTTCATCGCCGAGACCCTATGCAAGAACGCCACGAGCGCGTCATCGACAGTATTGTCGCTGCCTCCAATCTTGTTGATGACAATGAAAAAGGTAACATCTATCTTTTCCAGCTCGGCCTGGTTGTCCAGCAGGAGCCGCGGCAACAGCTCCTTCGGATCGATGGCCCCTTTACCGCACGTCGAGGCAGCCGCGCGCATGTACGAGGCATCGCTCTGCGCAAACTGCCAAATGACAGACTTGGCGAGCCCCTCGGGCCGCGAGTCCACTTTTTGGCTGTCAAGGAAGTACAGCGCGACGAGCCGTCTAGAGGAGGAAATACTCTCTTTGCTCGGGCCCTGGCTACGCAGATGGTGGATAGCTGATGAAACCAGGAAGCTCTTCCCCGTTGCTTCGCCGCCAACAATGCCCAGGACGGGACTGTCGCCCTTGCCCAACCACGCTTTGAAGGAATTGTGCTCAAACAGCCATTGCCCGGTCCCGGGAACCCGCTGCTGGAGTATTCTCTGGTAGGTCGTGCGCCAGGTCGGGCTCGGCTCCCCCTTGGCTGAATCCCAGGCGGCCGACTTTTGGTCAAAGGCCAGGGTCTCGAGCACACGCGCCTTATCCTTAGTTTCCTGCTTTGTCAGTTGGCGGTCCTCGGCCTCATCCACCAGCATCTGGTTGTTCATCTTTGTATAGTGCTTCGTCTCCTGTGTGTTTCCGTATATCGTGGCCACCGCCTGCTTCGCTTCGTCCGAGGTGATCTGCTGCATCGCATCCATCAAGTCCCTAAAGTCGTTCCGCGACAGGAAGCCAATCCTCATGACTGTTTTAGTCTTGAACCAGCGCGACGTTCGCAGCTCCACGGCCTTTTCGCAGATTTCCACAAAGTGGGTCAGTGCGCGACAGACGATGTTGCTCATTCGTTTGTTCATCCCGGTCCTCGCGTAGTCCTCCAGCCGGCCGAGGAATCCATTACATTCGTGAAAGAGTCCCTTGAGAGTATCATAGACACTCTGGTACTCCTGCCAGGCGCAGATAACCATGTTGATAGCGTTGAAGCACGGTGCGGCTGGTGCAAAGAACTTGATTGGATGAGCATTTGTCATTTTACCCTTCCATAACACGATAGACAATTATGGAAATGGAAGCCTACCTGGGATGCAACATCTGCGAGCAGTCCCCCGACCCGCTGGATAACGTCAACAGTCTTGGACAGAACGTCTCTGACTCGACCCATCCTCCCCGAGTCCCTGCGTCCTGAGCTCTGGATTCTGTCGAGGCAGGCGAGCACCCCCGGGCCTTCTAAGTCTGCATCATACTCTTGCCCGGGCAACTGCGACGCTACCTCCTGCACGCGCCGTTGCATGTCGATCCACGCCTTGACGACATCCGGGTCAAGTTCAACGCCCGGTCCGCTGGGGAGCTCGCTTGATAAAGCGGCGACCTCCATGGTGTGTGCGTGCTGTTGTGCAGGCCGACTCAGGTTTGCGCAAGAAAGAGGAAGTGTCGAGGTAAACACGAAAGATTTTATTCGCGCGCGACGAGCCTTGCAAATAAAAACAGCGGAGAGCTTCAGCTGAGCTCCGATCCTTTTCCTTCCCGCTGGTCGGTGCCACGTTCTCCAATCCATGAGCCATGTCGTCTCCACATCTAATTTGCGATCGCTACCCGGATAATCGATGCCTTCACTGCCCCGCTCGGGATAGACGAATACATGGTGATGCAGACAACAATCGCCGAGCGCATTACTAAAGAGCCTTGGTCATTTTTATCGTGTGGCTCGGTTTTCGAACCCCAGATTGCCCAGGCTCTGGGACCACCTGCCTCGTTTATTCCCTGATTGATGACGCACGCCTCACCGAGTCGTCTGGTTGATCTGCAGGGTGTCTCCACCGTTCACAGCCATCGCGCGCCAAAAGGGGCCCATTTATGCCCGATCTGCCTGAATCTACGAGGATGATTGGCTGGAGTTCCTGGCGAACCCCGCTCAAGAGAGATGTCATCCTGCATTTCGCATTTCCGAGGGGGCCACGACCGTGCGAAAGAACGGCCTGCAAGCTCAATGGTACGAAATGTTCGTCTTCCCGAATCATATGCCATGTGCTTTTCTCGGTCCTGTTTGTTTTCCATCTTCTACAATCCTGTCAGTGTGAGTAGGGCTGTTTTGAATGTAATTCTACCTAATGGAACTGGGGAAAAACTTTCGTGGGCAAATCTGTCGAGGCCCTCGTGAATTTATCTCGGTGTGTCTCCTGGCACCTTACCCATGACGTGACATTGCTCTGAGTACAGACGGGATGCTGTCTCCTGTAGAGCCATTTGTTCGCAAGGACCTTATTTCCTTTTATTGTAGGGCTTATTGATGTCGTTATAGAACCAGGCCAATGCCCTATGCCCGCTAATGCGTATTCTATTGCCTTACTCTTGCTCAATGGTAAGCTTCTCCCGACACTCAGCAATTCATGGCCGTGTATTAGAGGCAACTGTGCCATCCAAGGCTCCTTCACCCTCGGATGCCTGAGAGACGTCCGCCGAGAATAAAGGAGATTGCCATATCAAGCCTGTGTTGCGACAATCTTTCACACGGCATCAGTATTACTCGAGTGGAGAGTAGAAACAGCATGAACCAGACACAATCCGAGGTGCCAATCAATCTCGTCCTTTCTCTTGATCGGAGCCCAGAGCTTTCCAATCAAAACGTTGTTGATATTCACAAGATGACGGAGTCAGTCCAGGTATACCCCAGGGAACCCGTGAAACAGCTGCCCGACAGCCCACCCTGCTTCCCTCGTGCCACGTAAATCATAGTAGTCGTTATGCGGCTTACGGCCTTCGTGGCCTGGTACGTTAGCCCCGGGTGTCACCGTCAATGGAAATTCCTTCAATCGTTCAATACATCCACGTCTGGTGAATGACGTTAGTACAATAACCAGTTGGATGGCCCCAAAACATGAGGCTTACCTAGGGAGATGATCTTTAGCTTCTTATACTCCACCATGGCCGATTTGGGTTAAAGTTTATCGCGGCTTCCTCAGGAAATCTCGAACAGTGGCTTAGGATGGGCTCAAGCTCGCAAAAGCGAGGCAACCTTGCCAATGAAAATGCAGTATGTCTAGTAGCACGGTCAGGAATATTCGGATTGGCGCCAGCTTTGAGAAGAATCTCCACAACTGGCAGGTTTAATCGCCAACATGCAACGAATAGAGGCGTGGATCCAAACCGGCCTCCACGTTTATCAACGCTGGCGTTTGAATCAAACTCGACAATTGCTTTAACAACTGATACTAGGCCAAAGGAGGCCGCATAATAGAGTGGTTCTGTTGTTTTGATTTCACTGCAGGGTCCTTCTGGGATCAGAATCTGCACCCATAGACCAACGTTGCCTCGAAAAGGTAGCATTTTAGTGTTGAAGAAACGGTCTACCAGCTCTCTGTCATCTCATTAAAGAGACAAGAGGACCCATGGACTGCCCAGAAGTCCGCTGCGTATCCCAAGACAGGGTTCATCTCAAGACGCTTCTCAAGCAAATCTGCGGAGTTGATGTAGCTGCTCTGGAAGTTTCTGAGGCATAAATAGGTTAGACACTTTCGCATGATAATTCTGTCTGCGGTTGATGGATGGAGCGTGAAACGAGCAACTTTCGAGGACGTAATCCAATCCGAAGTCAGGAACTCTTTGACGGATGAATGGGCCGAGATACCTGACCCATTTCCAGAGCAATCAATCCTTTGCACATCGTAAGTATCTTATCTACAGGTTACGATAGCCGTCGCATGGTCACTGCAACAGAAACCATCTACGGTTTTCGTCGGATGCACCGATTCTCAATGTCGTCCCAGGACTTTCTAACATATATGATGTATTTATCACATTTATGGATCGCTCAACATTCTTCCATGCGACCATTGCATTGCCGGGTCACAGCATGAGCTGTGGCCTGATGCTTATTTCTAGCTATTCTTCCCATCACTCTACAAGACATGCAACTTTTCTCGCTCAATTTCAAGGACAGACAATCATCAAAATAATTTGGACTGTATTTTCACTCAGCTTGTGTAAGCAAGTAGATATGGCCCTGCTTTACATTCTCAAATAAACGCCATGAATATTTTCTCTATCGAGGCATATTTGAGCCATGGAAGCCATGATGTCAGTACCACCGTTCTTATCATGTCCCATGAAATATGGCTGTGGTGACAGCCGTGCATAGTGGGTCCGCACCATTCTTTTGAGATCTAGAATGCTCCCAAATCTAATTGAACGAACCCCCAAATCTCTGGTGGCTTGGTAGATCTATTCTTGTTGTGCCCCGCCAGTAGTTCCCTCCTCTTCCAGAGAGCTACGATCCTAGGGCAGCAGTTACCTGCCGAGCTATCTGGTAGATCTTCTGACCCTTTGGTAACCTCAATTCAAGCTCAGCTGCCATGACAGGACTTTTATGACATTCGTGATTCGCCTAGAACTCCCGATGGTAGCAGGGAGTGGCTTAACATGGGATCACAGATTGACAGGGCTAAAGACTACTTCGTACCCTGGAGACTGGCTGCCCAAGTTGGGAACAATGTATGCGCTCAGCTGGGGCCTTTACATACCACTCTCACCCTTGACCAATGTCACAAGGAGAAACTTGAATATGAGAAGAGGCCGGGCTTCATTGCGAAGCCTCACAAAGATTCCTCAACAAACCGCTGGTGGCTTCTTTTAGGGCTCAGTGCCTCACTGATGGTTTGGATATCGCAATAAAATTCCAGAAAGAAAACAAGCACAATAGTATCGAAATGCATGCATGAACGGCCGAACATCTAAGACAGTCTAACATGTGCTTTTATTACATCACACGATCTGCAGCCCGGTTGGATCTAAGCTGGAGCACGGACAGTACATTGAGTATGCTCATATCCTGGCCGAATCTAACCGCTAAGAACACTCCAAGCCCCCTCTGCCCAATTTGACTTGAGTACAAATTTCTGGATTCGCCAAAACTCCCCTTGACCAACTTCCTCATCCCTCACAAACTCAACCCCAATCACGTTCCCCAGCAATATCGATTCCTTCCCGGGCCCCGCCATCCCTTCTCCAGGTCGATAATGCTGGCTCAACATAGTCGCAGTTGCCTGCGCGGTTTTGCCATCTTCGCTGATGTTGATGCGCAGATTCGTCGCGTGGTGCGTGGTGTCGTGCTTTCCGATTAGCGAGAAGCGCAGGGCGAGGATATCTGAAATGCCCGAGGTGGTGTCGCCGTTGATAGTCAACGACGCGGTGGGAGTGAGGGACGAGGTAAAGAGGGTTTCGTCCGCCGTGTCCAGTGCAATGAGGAAGCGGGAGAGGGCATCGGTGATGGCTTCGCGGCCAGTGAGAGGGGGGTTGAGTCGGGCGGGGAGAGATGGGATGGACATTTTGATGACAGTAGTCTTGTTATTGGTCGTAGTAGTGCAGAGCTGAGGCGAGGAATTGCTTTGAGAAGGCTGTGCTTGAAGCTGAAGATGGTGCAATAAAGATCAAGATATGATGGTGTTTATATACTCTCTTCAAGGGCATTGTTGATTTCTAAGTTGATAATTTGTAAGCCCTGTGAGCTCCGTTTGGGGGCCAAAAGCCAGGAGCTAGTGTAGTTGACGGTGAGTTGGAGGAAAGTCGCCAGTGCTTTGGCGGACTTACAGGGCTATCTCCGGTCTTAGGGTTCTCGGTTGCGGCATTCATGTGCTTATCCTGTTGAAAGAGTCCTACGCCCATTGGATTAGGTGTTTGTTGGAATGGACGCCTCTCAGGCAATCTTGCTAACGTTGGATCCCTCAGGCGCAACATACTGCCCCACGACGAGGTATATGTCAGAAGCCGTTGAACATCTCTTATTTCTACTGTTTCCACCTTGGACTACTCGACTGGAATAATTTCAAAGTGCGTATGCGCGTAGAGGCGGCAGAACTGAATTATTAAGCGGCTCCACTCACTTCTGCTTAGAAATGTCAGTATCGTCAACCATCGTCAAGCTTCGCTCCAAAAATCAAAAGCGTAATTTCCCTGTCGAGAATTGGTTCTGTTTCTCCCTTGTATACTACCAGCATATTTCTTGTCGTACTGTAAGCCTCAAATGGTGGTGCAGGATTTTCCGCGATGGCGGTGCCGACATATATCTATCCGCTTAGATGGCGCACCAAGACTGCACGAAGCCGGTGGATATATTCAAATGCCCACGTAATAGATTATGCCCGAAAAATCTGCTATAGCTGGTAGTATTTTACTAGTCAAGACCTCGATCCATCAATTTACGGGACCGTGGAATGCCTGTCCTCCTTCCAAGAGTCGATCGAGGTCTTTAATGGACAGGAGCGACTATGGTCTCGGAATAACCCATGGCCTACGCTTGATAGAGAATAAATCGCAATAACTATAACTGCCTACGGAGTTGGGCCTACCCCTTGCTTGCTTGGACGTAAGAGGCGACTACTTATTAAGGAGGAGCGAATTGAGCAGAGAAAACCCTTAGCCCGTAGCGATACTTGGGTTGAAGAGCAATACCTTCCCCTAACAACTAGCTTCCTAAGATGGCAAATTAGAAAAACGGTTAACAGAAAGCAAAGACATGCAACTTAATGCGTACTTACTTTGTCCCGGGTCTCTTTTCAGTCTCCATCTCTGAGCTTTACTCTGGGGTACATGTTCACCTTCCACAAGTTTCGGCTCCCTGTCGAGGATCGACATCCACGACGTGGCTTTTTGTGCGTGCAGCGAGTCTCATGGGAGCTCTAGTACATGCTCGAGTGAGGGGTGAATCTTGTACGAGTGATACAAGGTCTGGGGTACTATATCACCTTTAGGTGTTTCGGAGGGGGAGGCGGCGTCTTGAGCAGAAAAAAAGAAAGTAAAGATGGTGGTTACTTGTTGCCGGAGAGAGCCTTACAATGTAAGAAGCTCTTACCTAATGCTACGCCGGACAAGAAAAACCAACCCTACCCTTAGTAGGTAAGCTATTGCATCCCAAGTCGTGCAATAAGGGATCAGCCTCCCCCGGTGGTTCCGGCACGACTCCCATCTAACGAGTTAGCAGCACTCGAGCCGCGCGCTGGTACGTGAGCAGTATGGTGGTAAGGTACTTGCAAATGTGCTATATGCCTTGTTCAGCCTATATCCAGGGTGTCTGTTCCTGCTACCATTTTTGGCTGGCACGATGGTTGGGCATTGGTGTGCTTATAGAAGACATACAAGATAATGGAGATATTCACGAATTTCTGTTTACTCCGTATTATAATGACTGTTATCTGGGTACCAGATCATGGCATGCGGGAGAGGAAATTCCGTCGCTGTTAAAGAGTGAAGCACATTTGGTTACGATTTTTTGTAGAATTGCATGACACTGATACGGTCTAGTCCGCAGGAAGCTTGCGCAGTCAGTAAACACAGCCATCCAATTAGTGTCGGGAGGGAGAGGTGGAGGGACCGAGTATAAAAAGCAAATGTAACAATTTCAAAACAGACTAGAAACTTCTCACCCACCCACCATTATCGGGCAAATCGAACTGAACTTTCATCCTCACCATCAGCACTAATCATGATGGTAAGCACTAGGCCTGTATGGCACATACGGAGTAGACTATGCGCAAACCACAGCGCCGAGTATTGCACAGTATGATCGAGCTGGTCAATTGCCAGCCCTGCTCTGAATCTTTGTGAGCCCAACACCCCGCCGCCCCTCCGAGTCCGGAGAGCGACCGCTGCAGATTATTCTTTGCGGGAGATTGTTCGCCAGCGTACCCAACAACATTCGCCTCATACACAGTCCGAGATAGACAGTATGGGGTGGAAAATCGCATCTGATAACCATATGGGCATAGGCTTCATGACGACGATCATGGTTCTCCTCGTCATCGACCTGTTCTGCGTGCTTATCCGGCTGTACGCTCGCTTCTTGCAAAAGAGTCTGCCCGGCCTGAGCGACTACATGCTCATTTGTGGTTTTGTGAGTCGCCCTTATCCTCGTTTACGTGCGGTTTCTTTGAACAGTTCTGACGTGGTCTGTCTACAGGCCATGACCAACGGGTCGGCGGTCATTATGTGGGCGACGTACGCGCATGGCTTTGGCCTCGACCAAAGCCGCTTCAGGCTGGCGGATGCCGAAATGTTATGGAAGGTAGGTTGACCGCCAACCTCATAATTACATGCATTCTCTTCGTATCAATTAGTCTCATAACAACACTCATTAACTAGCTCATGGCCCCCGGCTCGATTGTCTGGATGGGCTCAACAACCGCAATCCGCGTCTCAATGACCCTCTTCTACCGCAACCTCTTCCACCCAGTCAAGACCTTCATGCGTGTCTCTGCGGCCGTAATCGCACTCAATGCCGGCGCATATCTCGCCGTCATCATCGCATCCCTGGTGATCTGCCGCCCGATGCACTACGCCGCCTTCTCCGAGGGACCGGGCGACTGCGGCGATATACGGAGTTTCCAGACCTACAGCTCTACTGCTGCGATTGTGCTTGATGTGATTACCGTTGCGTTGCCGATGCCGCTCGTCTGGAAGTTGGCGACGAGCCGACGGAGGAAGTGGGGGCTGAGTTTTATTTTTGGGTTGGGGGTTCTGTACGTCCGTCCGCACCATCTTGACTTGCCCTACCCCTCTCTCTGCCATCACGATAAGAGGATTGAGCTTTACTAACCCAAGTACGGCATGTTTAGCATCTGCATCGTCACAATCCTCCGCCTGATCATCTCCTACCACTACAAAACCAACAACCTGACAATCCAAACCGCCCTCTCAATGTTCCTCTCGGTCCTTGAGCCGACGATGGGGATTATCATCGCGTGCATGCCCTTCTTCCCGGTGTTCATTGCGCGCGTGCGGCAAGCGTACCGGTCTAGCTTTCTGAGCCTAGATAGGCTGAGTTGGAGTCGCAGCCGAGGCCGTCGTGCTGCGGAAAGTTGCGCGGAAGAGAGCATTGAGAGTGGCAACAGCAATAGCCATAGCGTTAATGATGGGTATACTGCGGCTATCGTGGCTGACCCCCTGGCTCGCCCGCGGTATCCGTCCTCGGTTCGATCAAGCGCGCCGCTCAGCGGTGGGTATGGGAAGAATCTGAACCTGCATCAGCACGAGATTCCGGGGTCGGCATCGGCGTACCGTCTGAACACGCTCTCAGTCACGAAGTACGGCTCGGCGCTGGGAATCGACGTCGATGTCGTGGGTCAGCGCGATGGGACCGCGGCTCTGCCACCTGCGAGGGTTGCGGAGGAGGGGAGGATCTATATCACCCGGGATTTTGAAATTCAGTCGTATGTTCCCAAGTGTAATCGTGGTCGCGAGTAGGCAATCAAATTGACTCTGATGGCTTTTTTTATCTGTGTATTTGTCCTGTTGGGGGAGAAGTGAGGGGCTATCGACCACCTCGTTTGGATTGCGTATCTTGCTCCGAACCCCCCTTTACTATTAGCATCCTTCTTGTCTTCATCGGGACAGCACTTATTGACTATAATAATGCGCCCAAGTCACGGAATAGCGAGCGAATTACGACTTGAGCTCAAGGTCGGATCACGAAGCGTAGACTGCTACGCATCTAGAAGCTACCTAAAATGGCCGTATAGATCTGCATAAATCAAAACGTTCAGATATAATCCTGCAAAACCAAATCAGGCGCCCGCTCCGCGATCGCATAAACCGTGCTCTGCGTATTCCCCCTCGGAATAATTGGCACAACACTCGCTGCAGACGTAGCTCGCGACTTCGTCTAGTGGTGCTGTGCTCAGGTTGGGTGGGACACCGGGGCTTCTCTTTCCGACGCCTTCGGATTTGAGGATGGTGGACAAGGGCGGGGAGGAGGCGATTGTGTCGATAAAGCGGACGTGGCGGGAGAGCATGTCGACGTCCGCTGGGTGTGAGAGGCAGCGTGGGTGGATGAGCGGTAGTGCGGAGGGGGAGGCGGAAGTTATATGCGTTGACACGCGGCAGAGCGGGTGCGCGAGCATGGCGAAGATCGTCATGTAGTTCTCTGGGCGAGGCGGGTGGCTCGGACCGACGCTGGTGTCGCGGAAGTCGACTTGCGAGGGGACGATGAAGTACGCGGCCGTCGCCTGGTTGTGGTTGTTTGCAATGAGGTAGCGGAGGAAGGCGGCTCGAGCATTGGTCGCGGCGCTGTTGATGGGAGGATCGTTGTCGCTGACCTTGTCCTGTTCCAGCTCGGTCAGGGCGAATACATAAGTCCCCTCTCTGAGACCGGTCTCGAGATCCGCAAACTCTGCCAGGGAGACAAGGGCGGACGAGTAGAAGCCGCTGATAGTGAACGGACCCGTATAGTCGGTCTAGTAATCGCGCATAGCCTTGTCGAGCGCCTCGGGGACCTGTCGAGCGATATCATCGGTGGTCGACCTGTACGAATCCACGACCTCGAAGCTCACGCCGGCGATGAGGTAGTCTTGCAAGTTCTCGCCCACATGCGGATTGTGCACGCGAACTGGGATGGTGAACTGGTTGAGGATAGCAGGAGAGCCGACTCCAGAAAGCTCGAGAAGCTTTGATGTGTTGATTGCGCCGGCGGAGAGAATAACCTCGTTCCGCGCCTTTGCAGTCAGAGTTTCGCCGCCGTTGATCGTGTATTCGACGCCCGTCGCGGTTGGTTCGGCCCTGGTGTGCAAGACTCAAGAATCACACGCGCTACCTGTGCGCCAGTCACAACGCGGAGGTTGGGCCGGTCCTTGACGGGCAGATAGTACGCATTCGCCGAGTAGCTGCGAGTCTTGGTGATCGGATCGATGGCAAGAGCATTGATATACCCGCCCAGCACGGGGTCACCAGAGAACGGATCCCCCTCAACGTGTACCCCAAATCGCTGAGTGTACGCACCCACGCCCCCGCCGACGGATCATCAACTGCATCCGGGAACGAAGCTTGGATAGGACATTCCATCGACCCAGAAACCCCATTCTCATCGATATCCACATACTGCAGACCCAGCTCCTCATTCCTCGGCGCCCCCCACGCATCGACATTCGCCCGCGAATTCGCGATAAACATCATCCCATTGAGTCCACTGGACCCACCAAGCTGACGGCCCTGGGGCTGGAGGAACTCCTTCCCGCCGAGTGCAGCCTGCGGCGCGATGTTGAAGCCCCATTCGTTCTCCGTGTTGAGCAGGCCGGGCCAGAGTGCGGGGATCTGCGAGTGCGAGTCGGAGGTCGTGTCGTTGCCGGCTTCGAGCACGAGGATTTGCAGGTTGGGGTTTGCGGAGAGGTCGAGCGGCGGGGACGAGGCCGGATGTGCCGCCGCCCACGATTATGATGTCTGCTTCGTGGGTGGGTATTGTGGGGTGGGTATTGTGGCATCGCTTCTGGGTGTTTCGGTCGTGTGTTGTATGTGGTCCTGAGGGGGGTGAGGCGAGGACAATGCAAAGAGCGCGGTGCCGGTGAATATGTAGCTGGGGAGGTACTTTGGGAACCGGGGTAGCTGCAGTAGCAGCACTAGTACGAAGTACATCGGGAAGATCCAAGCTGGGAAAGACAGACCGCAAGGGGCGAAACCAAGTTGGGCTCGGAAGGGGCGAAAGATGATGGAGCAAACTGGGTTGGGTTACCACTGCCCTTACCCTCTCCCCAGCAGCTGCATTTGGCTCTGCACCTTCCCCGTCAATATCCAGCTGACGAGATTGGGCTGTCAGCTTACGGCCTTGCAAACAGAAGACCAGCATGAGCCTGGAGATTGATCTGCAGTGTACCAGGCACTGATTGGAGGGTTGGATGCCAGTCGTTTGGGGTGATTTTCTTTGTCTCCACGAGCCAATTGATTCTCCGAACCAGGGAAATTGGTGTAACATTCAGAATCTCTTTATTGAAAGAAAAGCAAAAAGGTAAGATTCGTGGAGGATGGAGTACAGGCCAAGTGAGACCAGTTCAGGATGAGACTCAGCAGAAGGTAGAATCTATTCAGCGACGAGGCTGTGAGGAATTCCAACTGCCTGCCTATCAGTATGTGCTATCCCCTTTCCACTTACTTGTCCATGCGATCGTCCCCCTGGGGAACAAGAGATATTCCCGGCTACAAGAGGTGAGGTGGCAGAGATGAGATTTAACAGCGAGGCTCTAAATTAATTCCAACTCGAACTAGTCCATATCAGTTTGGCCGACCTACCAGCCCTCAATCTTACCCCCCTCCACCTTCACCTCCACCCCGACTTCCCCCGTACTGACATTCGCCTCCACCCCTGACTTGGACTCAGCCACCGCAGACCCAGACGCCCCCTCAATCCCATACTCGGTCTCCAACTCCTTCCTCAACTCCAGCCTCCTCTCAAACACAACAGCTACCATCCCCACCACACCAACCCCCAACGAAACCCACCACACAACATCCAACGCCCGCGTATACACGTCCGCAACTTCATCCCACCCTCCCTGCTCGCGCCCTCCTGCATCTTCAATGGCCCAGCAGGTCAGCCAGTTGGCCAAAGAGCGGCTGGACGACACACGACGCGACGACGAAGGAATTGGCGATCCAAATGTACTGACTGGCGCCGCCAATGTCGGCGGTGATTGTTGGGAGAGCGGTGGCGATGATGGAGACATCGAGAGCAGAGACAAAGGCAAGAAGACAGAGGGCAGCAAAAATGCCCCAGAAGCGTGCGGAACGTGCCATGATTGAGATGGCCGCGACGATGGGGAATGGAGAGAGCAGGAGAAAGAGTAGAGTATCGTCAGGAGCAGACACACTGGCTTTTGGAGCGGAATTCAGCGGACGCAAGTAAGCAGAGCAAACGGAGCGAGCGCGGCCCAAAACGGAAAAAGATGCTGAGATTGCAGAGCCTCTTGATCGGCATCTGCGTAACCGCTTTTCAGGCTGTGTAACCAATGTGTCACCGGCTGTGTCGCCTAGTGTGTCACCCACCCAGCTCTGGCTGACAGGCTGACCCAGTCACTTTGACGCACATGCACCATCGAATTAACCACACTACGGGCACCGACGGCAGACTTCACGCGAAACGCTCACTATTATAGAGCAACAGGTTTAGCCAGGATCAGGTTGCTCTCATCAACAACAGAGGACCACTCCGGGCAAGAATGCGCACGACACACGGATCCCAGTAATCCTCCTCAGGGATCCGGGATTTCTCTTGGTGAGTGGACCGAAACGCGTCGAAGCTCACTAGGTTGTGGTACAGCATTTCCTCGCTGCCTCGAGCCAAGCTGTAGAGGGAGAATTGCCCCCCTACGGGAAGTGGAGAGTGCTCTCCTCTTTGCCGGGTCAGAGGACATGCCCACCCAGATGGACGACCGCCTGCGGGAGCTCGAGGTTGCCGAACGGGCTGGACCCATCGCCTGGGGCACGGTCAAGACGATCAGCGGCAGCCTTTGGACAGCCTCGATGATCCAGATCCCACTGCCCATACGGCAAGGAAGCCCTGGCACTATTCACGGAGATCCATGTTGATCCGCCTGAAGGAAGCAATACTGACCAGGTTGGGGATGGCATTTCCACAGTTTAGCCGATTAAATCGAGGGAGATCAGTCATCACATCCATGATTACGGCCGCAGCGCGATTCGTCTTGATTGAAGCCGAGTCGGCTCCCCTGTTGTCTAGCACTCGTCGATGATCCATTGGAGGGCGTCTTTCTGCTCCTAAATTAATCCCAGTTAATTACACAGTGATGGGAATGGGTCAATCATACCAGAAGGTCCCAGGCATATGTCTTGTCTAGATTCAGGTCGGCTGTGTGACTCAGGCGCTGTTCATAATCAGCACAATTATCCCTGATCCAAGGCTCACAATTAGGCGTAGGCTAGGCGGCCAATTCAAGCGGTTACAACGACTTGGCTGTGCCACTGATAAAGGGGGCTCAGAAGAAAGGCTTCGCCGCGGCCTAGCACTTCTGGGTACTTCTTCTTGACTGTGGATGGTTTCCAGACAGAGAGGCCTTCACAAAGGGCGAAATTCGCCATGCTTGCAATCATCAAGCAACCTCCTGATCCAGGAGCGTGGGGAGGTTCTAGATTGGTTTCGCGAGTGGCCTAAGATTACCAGCATGCGGGCAGGCCGATGCTGTGGATGATGAAGGACTGGTAGCCTGGGGGTACTAGGAATTTCGAAAGAGAAAAGAGCCAGGGAGTGCATGTCTAGATACAAACCGCCATGTATACAGCTAGAAACCACTCCATGGTGTCCCGTAACGAATGCATCCACGGGAACCGCTCACCCCGGGCCTCAACAGCGGGCCGTACCCTGTCAACGTCGGCTCATCCTGCCTTGCGGGGGCGGAGTTCTCGCAGAGTGAGAACCAGCAGGACACCGACGATCCCGGTTGTTTGCTACCCGCAGCAGGATTTCCGACGGCTACACATACCACCCCGGGCCACACCGTGCTGAATATGCTATTTGAGGCTCTTGGCAGGGGGCCTTACGTCTTACAACGGGGCGACCGGAAGATCGTGCTGATATCAGCCTCCTCCGCGACGGCCCGCGTAGATCATCAAAACGCTCAAAACGCTTAAAATGACGAGTCAATTTCATCGCAACATGCAGCATCCACAAAGAAAGGCATCCAATCTGTCGCCTGACGATAAAACCCAACATCCCGCGCACGAAAGCCTCGGTCAGGCTGCATCTTAAACTCCTCCCCACCCAATAACCTCCCATAGCATGCAAACCACTCGGTGATCAACCCATCACCCACCCAGCGAAACCCCCCCTCGCTAAACCCCAGACACGGCGCGGGACACATCCTGGCGCGGGCTGAACACAACCTTGGTGCCCGGCCCCGGCAGTGTGGTCGATCGCCACGTAAACCACCTCCGGGCCGCCGGATCGACGAGGCTGCAGTCATAGTCGCGGATAATCTGCGCAAGGATGACTTTCATGACTGCGGCGGCGTAGTAGCGTCCGGGGCTGAGGATGACATTTGGAGTCAGCTACAAACACGGCATTATGAACAAGAGGAAGGGACTGCGACTCACCAGACCATCCTCCCCGAGCCCCAAACATGCCACGTCGCGTCGGCACTGCACAGACTAGATGGCTTCTCCTGTTGAATTTGGAATCGCTGAGCACCCTCTGGGGTGTGAATGCTGACGTTATCGCGATCGACGAATCGGAAACCATGGAACTCGAGCGGCGCCGGGTACAGGGCTTCGTTTTGCATGATTGCGCGCACGGGCGTGCACGCCCAGTCGCCGGGCGACAGCTTTGTCCCGTCGGAGAATTGAAAGGGGCCCAGGGCTTGTCTCCGGGTGCTCAATGGGGGATGGTTAGTTTGTTTTGCGATGTAGTGAAAATAGTGGGGTTGTACTAGATTCAACAGGAGTAAGCCGCGCCGACTCCTTGATGAAACTGTCGAGCAGGGGAAGACCCTGGCCTGTCTGGAGGAAGTTTTTGTATTCAGCCTCCAACTCGGCGCGAAGCGGCTCGGCGTACTCGGGGTGGAGGCAGAGATCGCGGATTGCGAATGTGATAGTCTAGTTGTACAATGATTTCCTCGTTTAGCATTCGAGTCGGCAGCTGGGGGCGATGCAGTAACCATACCGTGGTAAGGGCATGCACAGAACCAAGCCAGATGGCCATTAGTTCATGCACAACTCGCTTGCCGGACCAGGGAGCCTTGCGGGGTGATGTCTCCATGATCCATTGGATACAGGCCTGTGCGAGCAATCGAGCCGTTGTTTAGTCGCCAAGAACACTTTCAGCAGGGGAGGAGAACGTACATGTTTTGGTAGCTCGCCACCAAGTTTCCCAAGATCCCGCTGGAGACATCGCTGGTCGGCAATTGGGAGTAATACCTCGTAGACGGCCTTGTGGGACGACAAGAAGCGCTGAATGACGGCTCCAATTTGCGCTGTTCGAAACGTCAGCCAGGCCAAGGGAGATTGATTATGGGATACCTTACGGGGTAAGGACGCGTGGCATGAGCTTGAGGATCTCGGCGCAGAGAATAGTCTCCTCGATGTACTGGAGGGCCGAAACCATAAAGGCCTCGTTCCGGGCTGAAGCGGGTTAGCTTATCTGCACAAGGAATAAGGTGAGGAGGGGGAGCGGGATATAGACCTAGATCCTCGCCAAAGAATGAGACGGCATTTGACAGAACCACAAGCTTCTGGATTACATGGTAGACAGGAGAGTGACGAGACCTTGGAAGAGAATCGACTTAGCAACCGCAAGGCGCAAAGTTCCAACGGGACCCTGCCGGGATCTCATACCATCAACATTCGGATGCTCCGCAAGCACATCAGTGAGAGACGAGGTAATCAGGATACTAAGATTTGGGAGGATCTGAGGTATGTTGTTGGTCAAGAGGGTGCGGAGGGCGCGAACGAAACCAACGCCTTCAGTGCCACGGCGGTCGAACCAGTTGAAGCTATGCATAGCGTACTGTGGTTGCAACATCTAAACAATCGTAATTAGCGATTTGGGTAGGCTACCAACGCCTCAGAAAATGCTCATACCTGCTTCGATGCAGCCTGAAGAGAGAGAACTGTGTCAGGCGCCGTGTCGAGTTCACGTAGATGCTTGCTCGAGGAGACAAAGACATATCGCTTGTCTGGCGCAAGGACTTCAAAGGACCCATCCTTTGCCTGGAATCGAGTGAGCATTGCGCACGTGGTTGTCCCTCGTAGATGAGGATTGGGTACCTCGTCAAACTTGCTCTGAATGATATCAGTCCCGTAGAAGAGATACATCCATGCCGAGACGCGGGTCATCACAGCACGAAGGAACCAGTTGACAATCTTGAATAGCTGCAGGGAAACATTTAGTGATAGATACGCTCGAAGGCAATCGGCTCGCTACCATTTCGCGAATTATTGAGAAACTAGACAGGACCGATTCGGGAGGTTGAGGTCAGCACTGAACTGAACAGCAAGGAGATTCGACTTTCGAGCGAGCAATTGCACTATCGCGACAATAGTCTTTGCACGCTGGGCTCAACGCTCCTTATAAGACGTTTGTCTCAGGTTGAGCCTCTTGGGGATAGCACCTACGCGAGCCGTAGCCTTGTGAGACGGCGATCGGTCTCGCCCCTACGGCCCCAGCATTTGACAGCTGATGTGATCCTGCACGCAGCCCAGTCCTAGTAAAAACGGCACAGAACTTGCTTCTTGCTGACACCTGTAACAAGGTCAAATGTAAGCAGCCCCTCTACTTTTGACCACCATCAGAGAATTCTGTTGCATCGCGGCTGGCATACCTCGCCCGATTTCACTAGTCATGTTATATATATGGCTGTCCTTTCATCCGTTGCAAATTCTTTGGCCAGATGGCGCGCACCGAGTTACCCATGCCCCATTTCGGCACGGCACCGCCCAAAATTGTATTCATACTCGTGCTGGTTACATCTTGGTGGACGTGGCTCTTGGCAACGGCCCAACAGAAGTAGGGTTTTTGCTACTCAAGCACATCTGCGTCTCAAGCTATTTTCATATACGTGGAGTCAGATCCTCAGCTATACTTACGAGAGGCGCTAAGGAGGAAATTAGTAGTAGCCTTACAAACATCCAATGAAAGACGCATGTATATATCTACAAAATGATATGTTCCACCATATCTCAGAGGCCTCTGTGTTGGAGTGGTCGGATTGTGTGTGTCACTGGCGAGGCTTCTGCCATTGGTGAGGAGAGTTGTCAGTGGTCCCGCAGGCCCACCGAACCAAAGAAAGGCTGAACCATGACTAGAGTAGCATTGACATGTCGTACGAGGACTTTTCCTATGTTTAAGGACGCACCCGTATCACATGGCTCAGCGAGTGTGTGGTAATGGGACAAGTAAGTAATGTCTAGATGTGGGATAAATTAACTAACTTGTGCGTGATTATATACTTCTAAGTCTCCGCGAAGGATATCATCGAAAAGTTCACAACAACTGTTCTCAATCCACGATTATTGAATATTGACGAAGAGAAGCCTAATGCCTAAGTTACAACTAGAATCTGAGGAGTCTGAGGACCTGTAGAATTGGAGATGTTGGACGGTTGATTGCCCGTGAGCGAGCACTCCCCTTTTGTTGAGCTTGGCCAACCATAGGGTGAACAGTCCTTGTAAAACTATTTATTGTAATAAATTATCGCGGGCTGCCATTATTGTACGTGGACAATGGCTTCTCGCACCTCCGTTTCAAAGAGGAATAACCTCCCCCCACCCATCAGATCCTTGCAAGGGTGCGAATAGGAATTTCGGTTCCTAGTGTCCTACCTACATTAGGAGCTGACAGTCACCTAGCAGAGATTGATCTGGAGAGGGGGAGCACCTGAAGTTTCTGGGTGAATTACTACACTACGGCTATGGATGGCGTTTAATCCAAGTTCTGACTCTGACAGTAGGACTTATATGTGACAAGAGAAAGGATTTACCTTGTTGGGATAGTAGAAATAATTTCCAGGAGGGGATTGCTTGTGGTATAATCTCGGAATGTTTGCATTCCGTTTGATCTTATCGGCATAGAACTACAATACTGAAAGTCAACCACCCTCGGTACAAGTACGTAGTGCCTGCTATACTAATGGCCTAAGAGGAGTTGGTATCATGGGTAGTATTCCTTACTGGTCAGAAATAGATGCCTGGATCCCAGCCATTGCATCGGTAGACAGCCGGCGCTCGGGCACCCCAAACGACACGACATAATAACCCCAGCCTACCCCTTTTATCTTACGCAAATAAACGCAGTGGCAAAATGATGCAGATTGCAGCATCATATGAGTTGACCACATTTCAACTGATTTTCTTGAGGGCCAACTGCGATCCTATGCTTTGGCATTGGAATCTGGCGTAACCCCCCCGAGTTTCAATCAATTTCATGTCAGCTTGGAGTATGATGGCCGCTTACATCTTCCGTTACCGACGCCCCGGGCCGTAAACGGTAGAGCCGGCGGGTTTCAGCGGGGCTGTGAATACGAGGAGAAAGTGCTTACTTGCACTTCTAGGGGATGAGGGCCGTCTGTAAGAACGTTGCGGTTCTTGATTGCTGCTTCAGGTGCTGTGGATACGACGGCAGGCCTTCGCCAAATCGGAATTGCACCTTCGAGGGCCTGATGTCCGAGGTATATGCATCATACTCCACGAGGGACGTGAAGATTAAGGCCTCGAAGCCCGCATTGCATAAGTGCCTGGACGACCATAAGTGCCTTATCCCGAGCATGGAAGGTGAACGACTGGCTCTCATAAGTGGTTGAAATGTCTTGCACCAGCTATACCACCAGAAACGTGCAATCCTTGACACTGGTCTCCACGGCTACGGATATCTTTGGTCTACTTGCGAGGTCTCCTCCTCAATAGAAAAATGTGATATTGGGGGGAGGGAGACCCTGCGGGGAATCTACAAGGCCATTTCGTGATTGTTGCAGAATTAGGAGTATGGCGTGATGACACGCTCAGGAAAGACACCCAGCTGGGTGGCTGGCTTTCAAGCAGGATGTCTAGAAATTAGCTATTTCTCCCCTCATGTATCCTGGACTAATCGAATTTCGTGTCCTGGCCACCTGCCTTGCTTGATTCGCCGACAGACCTGCTACAGCTTGAAACCTCTATCTGCACGCTCAGCTTCCCATGACGTGGATAGGAAGAGCATCTCCGTACATCAGCCAAGAGTCGACAGAGCGGCTAGCGGACTCAAAAGTACTCCAGAGTAGGATGAAAACAGGGTTCTGGCTCAGATCAAAGGGACGCTAGTTTTAGTTGTACTCCATCTTGTCGATCCTAGCCAGGGGCTAGACGACCAAAAACCAATCAGGAGGAGGGTCGGCGCTCGCCGAGCGGCCCAATATCTCCACCTGATTGGGTGCAGAATTAGATTACGGCGCAGGGCTGTGCATTGGCTGTCTGTTGTTGTTGGTGGCTGAGCTTTTCGCCCCCACGTTGCAATGCGATCAAACTGGGGTTTGCCCCTGCCGCAATGGCCCAGTACATCGAGCGCATTCCGGGCGGCTTGGCAACACGGGACTCGAACGGTGCTGAGCGAGCTGGCGGCAAGTTCTTTTCCCCTGATACGTCGAAAAAGAAACTATAAGATCAGAGTTTACATTCTGCCTGGCTAGAGGGAGGCGTCTCACATGCGCAGCTTCAGTGGGCCCAGGAGAAGGGAGGGGGCATTCGAAAGAAACATTCTACTAACTCTCTCGGCGCTGACTCTTCTAATAGATACTCCAAGCAAGGAAAACTTGGCATTAGTGCTTATCGCTGCGGCGGGCTTGGCTTGGCTAAGTTGTGCTCCTCACTGCTACGCCCGCCACCTCCACCTCTTGCAGAATTCATGTATATACAAAAGTTGTCATGGGCCGACAAACATTGGATAAATCTTGGTTGGATACGCATACGGGAGGCCTTATTTGATGTCATCGTTTGACAACTTGTGAAAATCATTTACCTGTGCGAGAGCTGAAGGATTGAGATTTGACGTCACCTGCGTCCTAAGATCGACGAGATCAGGGTCGTTTGTTTTGGGGGCCATTATCCGTCACGGCGCGTGCTATAAAGCGGACCTGGGGCTTCTCGAAAATAAAACAACAACATCACAGCCAGGATTAATCATACAATCAAGCCTGTATTCTTTCTCCCTGAGCGGGGAATAATTCCAATCAGCCTACAATCCGATCCCCCAAATTCTCAAAATGGTTGGCAAAGTCACTGCCACGATGGCCGCCCTAATGATGGCTGCGGTTTCCCGCGCATGGGAAGATGGCGTTGACTGTACCAGCACGTCAGTTGACGCTGCGGAGGGGCTCCTCTATGTCCACGACTCCTCCGGACTCGATGTCTACTGCGATGATATTGACGACATCGTTAGCGCCGACAAGTGAGTCCAGATCCAACACACGCCGCCCATCTTGCGAACCTGAATGTGAAAAGCTGATACCTTGCGCAGTGGTTACTCGTGCTACCGAACAACCTCCGACTCCTCGTCCCTCGGAGACATAGTCAAATGCCCCGGCGACCCCGCGCCAAAGAAAAACCCCGATGGCTCGGACGTGGACGCGGAAATCGCCAGCGGGGTCGTGTCCGCATACTGCAATTCCGCAGGGGACCCCCTGGTGTTCGTCAATACCATCGGCTGTCTCCTGTTCGCGTACTACGAGGCGAACGGGGATCCCGTGGCCGAGGCGGAGGCTGGCGGGCGCGCGGTTTGCGATACGATCTTCAGCGGGGCGTGTACGTATTTCATTGATGTGGCCCCGGCGATTGCGGAGGGGATGGATAAGCCGTGTATTGATGATCCGGGGTCCAATGCTTGTGCCTTTGCCAACCCCGGTAAATAAGGGTGCGTGGGGAGAACTATAAGGAAGGGACCATGGGGGTTGGTTCTGAGAGGCGCTGCCACAGGATCACCGAAAAAAAGCGATACGATTTGAGAGAGATGATTATGGATGCTTCTATTGCTGCCGTGTGTACACAGAGGAGTCTAATAAAGCCACTTGTTTCCACTCGCAGGCCCTGTCTTTAACTAGTTTATGGCAATATCCACTACAAGCAAGTTCATACCGCGTAAAACCGCTGGTCTCATAGTGGTTTATCTTTAAGGGAAGTGTAAACGTAGGAGCTAAAGGGGAAAGTGCCAGTATTAGATTTACGCAATGTGTTCATAGTATTTCAAGTCTGGGTAGCAAGGGAGGTGCTAACAAGGATACTCTACTCCCAGTCTATATTACTTAAGATAACAGCAGTTCCAAGAGTTAAACATTGATAACCACGCTGGGCCTGCTCATGCCTGTATACGGTAGCCTTCTGCTCCGGCGAGACTGAAGATATGGCACCCTTTAAACCTCTACTTGGTCTGCGGAACACTGAAAAAGCTGATTCCGGTCAAGCGGGCCCTAAGGTGTTGTAGACTTGGTTCCTCATGTATTCGGGTGGGTATTCGCAGAAGTCGGGACGACCAGTAGTGACACGCTTGCTGCCGCGTTTGAGATCCCTCAGCCGTAGAGTCAGCAGCCCTACTATACTGTAGAGTAACGGTATCAGACACTGTACAAGCGGCGAGGGCAAGCTCTTGGTGATAATGCTGCAGGGACTCCGGACGCTACTACCAAAATAGGCGACTGTTCCTTTTAGCAGAGATACTCTCTAGAGGCGAAGGAGAGATAGGCGGCATTGCGCAGCAACTATCTCCACTAGTCGCCCATAGCTGTTACTAGGAGAGATATCTTCCCGGTCAGCCCGTGGAACCCCCTGTTGTCACCACCACTGGTACAAACACAGCGAAACGCACGGCTACGACTACAAAGACAACCACGAAGTCCGCTCTAGCCCGACCGGGTCGGTTTCAGGTGAAAGAGTGCTGTCCTGGTGACTTGGTAAAGTGCCTTCGTGAACATTTCCCTTGCCGTCAATATCGAATAGAGTACGATAGTGTGGTCGGAGGATGCTTGGTGTTCATGTGATGGACGTATTGCCGTCAGGTGTTAGGATATCGATATTCATATCCAGGATGCCTCTTCCAAAATCTGTAATGCGATGTCTGTAACGTTCCGGTCCCTCGTCGGAACTCGACAAGCCCAATCGCCCACCTCTCTCTCAAGAACACCCGCCATCCTGCGACTACTCGCCAAATGGGCATCCAGGGTACTCCCAACCTCTCTCCCCAGCAACCTCTCCAAAACAACCTCATCGCCCGCCGTAAGAATAAACGCGCTCATCCCAACTGGCCGCATGCCGCTATCCCGAGCCTGGTCTTCTAAAGCCTCCTTCTGAACAGCATCCTTGATGACACGCTGAATAGCGTCGTGCTCTAAAACAACCGCCGTCCCAGAGAGAATAAACTTCTGGCAGCCGCGAAGCCGATAGTAGTTACTGACCAACGCGGCGAGGTTGCAGAGTAGTAATTCAGACCCTAATTCCTCTGGATAGACCATGTCGAGGTTATCAGTGTCGATGTGGGCATGTGGTATTCCACGGCTGTTTAGCTGCGCGTGCATTTCGTTTGCGATGGTTGTTTTGCCGACACCCGAGCGGCCGGAGATGAGGATGACTTGGACTGTCATTTTCACGCTTTTGCCCAAACCACGAAATCAAGGTAGATTTTTACCGCAGGGAGGGACGAATGATAGGAGTAAATCACCGGGCGCTCCTGTAGGTCGTGCTGAGGCTTTCCCAAACTGGCCTTGGCCTAAGTGAGCGTGGATCTGTGACTAATTCTTCAAGCCAGCTGAGACGGTGAGAGATTCCACATACCTATCCACTATCAATTTCCGAACTCACAGGGTACTTTTTTTCTATCGACGCTTCGCACCGCCGGTCTATTGGTCGCAGGGAGATGATGTAAAGGGGAGTATCTCGTTCGGCTCCAGAAACGTCCTGGAGACCAGCCGCTAGATAATACGAGGGCTGCCGGTATGCCTTGTGAGTCATCGTTGCCTTGGCCCCCTCCTTAAGCGACAGAGTCAGAATCATTTTGGGACATCAGCTGGGGTGGTCGACTAACTGAATCGTCTTTCTCTTAGTCTGTTTCCACTGCTTACTGATGGACTTCCTAAGACAGCGGAAATCTCTGGCGAAATTCAGGGACTCCGCGAATGGACATGAGCACAATTCTATCTCCGCATAGCTCTGTTCGAGCTCTGTTCGAGCTTCACGCGAAAGGCTCTCAGGGACTAGGTAGATACGTCGCTATGAGCGTCTTGGAGTCATGACTGGCTCATGGGTATCATCCTTGGTTAAATCCATGTGGCAACTGGCTTCGCGCTTAGAGACACTTATACATGAGTAGAGAGGTTAGTAAGTAGAGAAAGTCTCGCTTTCATACATATACCCCAATGAGAAAACCTAAGCAGCAAGCAACCCCCAGACCGCCCAAATCGCCCACACAGCATGCGCACCCGCAATCACACCAAAGGGCTCGATCGCATACTCCCCTCCGACCCATCGACTCCAGCTATACATAGCCAACGCACTCGCATGAAACAGGGCAAAGCATCTACCCACTGCACGGCCGACTTTGGTGTGCCGGATATGATAGTCGCGGAGGAACCAGCAACTCAGGATATACGGGAACAGGAGGGTCGCATTCTGGCGGACGAAGAAGCGCGTTGCGGGGTGGCTGACGTCGGAGCGGTTAGGGAAGAGGAGTGGAGAGATTGTGTAGAAGGCGAAAGAGTCGAAGGACTGCACTGCGAGCGCTGAGCCGTAGAGGAGGCGGATTGAGAGGGGTTGGGGTTGAGTTTCGTTGGTTGGCTGGGAGGGGTTAAGTCTGTTTGCTATCGAGAGGGTTCGTGGTAAGCGATATGTGGTAGGCTTACCATGTTTTACTATCTGTTGCAAGTCGAGGAAAGGTGGTAGAATCCAGGCTGGCAGGAGATGCGTGGTGAGCAAGAATGGATTGTGGTCTGTGATGTCGAGGGGCAGAAGACTCGGGTCACGCGTCTGGATACGAGACGACGGGGGTTGGATCCGCGGTTCATAGGCCAATCCAATATTCATTATTTGAGAGCAAACAAAGTCATCGAACCAGTGCGTAAAATCCCATGGCGCTCTTAATTCGTCTGTTTAGCACGCCTACCCGCTTCATAGTCCTATGGTTGATGAGGCGTATTATGGTGCGGCGTGCCTGCCACGGACAATATATATCACAATCGAATGCAGCAGCATATAAGCGGCGATTTTTGTTTCCCTTGCACCCTCCTGTAATCAAAGTGTCACACCAGATAAACAACATAATGGATGTGGCAAGAATATGAAGTACCTGTAACGGCCTGAAGGTGTCACCGTATTCCAGGCCTTAGCAACCGATCTCCCGGATACCGCTCGTCTAAACCACTGTCCCATCTTGTAGCAACTTTTCAACCTCAGTGAGCTCGCTGACCTGGCAGACACCGTCGCCGGACACTCCATCTTGCGTCCCTGCCAGGTGAATGCAAAGGATGCCTTCGTTCGTTGCAGGTATAATATCCCGCTCCATGGTGTCTCCAATATACACAATGCTGTTGGGCGTGATATTCAGGTGTTTTAGAACTCGCAAAAATAAACCAGTCGTCTTAGTGACCTTGAATTGATTCGTGGTGGCGAGATAGTCAATGTATGTCGCGATACCGAGCTCAGTCAGTGTCCATTCCTGCGCGTCTTGTGGTCCCTCTGTAATGACGACAATCTTCTTCCCTAAACATTTGAGCCTCTGCAACAGATTAAGTGCGCCAGCCTTAAGCTTGAGCGAGGCGGCAAGAGATGACTCGTATAGCGTCAGAAGCTCCTGTACGAAGTCATCCTCAATCGAAACCTCAAACGATGCCAGCAAAGTAACAAATCTCTCCCTCCGGTACTCGTGCGACAATCTGCCGTCTGAGAAGGAGTGCGAGGTCTTCTCGCGTAGGATCAAAGCATACTGCCTTTGGAGAAGCGTCGTTGGTATTGCATATCGCTCAGAGATAGCCGAGAAGACACGTTTGCTTGCTGCGGCAGAGGCATGGCGAAATTCGTGTAGGGTATCATCGAGGTCGAATCCGACCCATGTGGTCGAGGCGAGACGTTCGCGATAAAGACGTTCGGCGGCTGCCTGAGTCAGCTAATGACTTCGAGGACGGATCAAATGTATACCTGTTGATATCGTGCCCATCTTGACAATACCTCAGATTCATGGTGAGGCTTCGATACGTCTATCCCACGAAGTAACTAATGGGAAGCAAATGAACGGATGACTCAATGTCCTCTGAGCAGTCTGCCTCTTCCATTCCCCTTGGCTGCTCTTGGCCCCAAGGCTTACGCCCCGAAGAGGGGTCCTCAGTGGGCTGGAGTGGGCCGATGGGCCTAAGCATGTTGTCTCATTGCGGGTACAAATTGCGCAATCCTATCAAAACATCGCATCATGGCGGTCCGAGAATGCGTGCCTCAGAGTGGGAGGAACATGTTTCTGTTCCCCTCGCGTTTGAGTCCCTGGTCGAACCTTAACGAGACGGACTAATACAATGGAATGCGGAGAAGACAGGATTAGACAGTACTGACGTTCCTCTTATCACATCGTCTTCCCTTGACTACTGTACAATCTCACCTTTAAATGGAGCGTATTCGGAACCCACCTCCTCCCCCACGAATTGCCCGGGACAGTGCCCGCCCCAGCCTCAGACCCATCCTGATAAAGAAACAACAACGACAGCGGGTCATTCTTGCTCTTCAGCACACGCTTGGTCCGCGATTTCAACAGCGCCCAACATGTACACAAGCACCGGCAGCGCGATCCTCTGCCACCGCACTGCCACAAAGGTTACTTTAACCTCGATCCTGCCTAAGGCTGAGGAACTCAGATTCGAGGAGTCATAGAGGAGGTCGAACTCGGCGTCGCGAAAGGTCTTGGAGATTGCGCGTGCGACATTGTGCGTGCTACAGTTGACCTTTCCTGGTACGGAGAGCTGGTATGAGCCTGGAGGCTCACTGCCCGCGAGGTCACCGCGGTTTAAAATTTAGGAAGAAAAGATTCATTTCATAATCATTATCTGTTTAACCTCTAATCTTTGTACATTTATTATTAGAATTGATGTTATAATACCATGGTACAATAAGTAGGTTGCAAAACTAGTGCACGGGGACTTTTATCTAAGAACTGTAGGTCTTAGTTCAGTGCCCATAGAGCCATGTCGATACCTGCGGACTTTTCCAATAGTACCTTGGTTGTTTATAACATGATCTACGAATTAAAAGGTCAGTATTTCACGGCAGATGACATGCTACTGACGGAACAGGAGGCAGGCCATGGCTGTGACAAACCGGGGGAGAATGGGACATGGGATGAGCATTAACCTCACAGGATGACTTGTATTGTAGTAAATACAAGACGCACAAGCAACTATATAGATATCCGGGGAAGCCATCAGACAACCCGGCACTCAGCTTTCTAACTACATATATTGTTCAGCATATACGGCGTACCATCTGGGGCATACATGCTTATCTACTATCGGAGCAAGGCTCAGCCGGTCTCGGCGAGCGCGCTAGAATCCTGGTGGCCATATTCAATCCTCTCGATTCAACAGTCAAATCAGGCGTTGAAACTATGCGGCTCCCCGCGATACCCGGATTAGTGCTTCAGCCTTCTACAAGTACCATGTCACTGACGTACACGACTACCAGTATGAGGCTATGATGCTTGTAAAAGGCCCGATAAACTCATCCATACTCCGGATTAAGACACGCGTTGGGAAGCAATTCGCACCGGCCAGGATATTTTGCATCGCTCGTGGTGCGGCGGACGATCGCACATTTTAGTCGTCGCGGCTCTTTCCACTGGGCCCAAATGGAACCATGAATCCCGCGGACTAGAAATTACCGCGAGTATGACTTTTCTTGAAAGCACGAAGGACCCTGCTGTGCATGTATAGCTACGGACTAGTGGTTGCATAATTCGAAGCTGGCTCAAGAAGCCATTGTAAAAAAAATCTGAAGTCTATTTTGTACCCAATGTAGGACTTGCTATAGCTCCGTCTGTCCAACTACCAGTCCCCCGTCAACTCAAGAGGAACCCCTGCCCGTAAGTTGACCACCCGCTCTGGACCTCCCGACAAGAGCGTACACGTCTCAAGTCTCAAAGTCCGATCCTGGTCAATCGTTGACAAGAGCCGAGCTGACTCTAGTTTGCCTTTTTTCCAGGCGAGATCGATCGTCACGCAACCCCGAGCTCTCAACCCCCGCACCGTACCGCGACTGTCCCATTTCGGCGGTAAACAGGGCAGAAGGCGGATTACATTCTCCTCGTGGCTCTGCAAGAGCATCTCCGCAATTCCAGCGACAAGGCCAAAGTTCCCATCGATCTGGAACGGCGGATGGTTGGCAAAAAGGTTATCTAAGATGGCATGCTGCATCATTTTTGCCAATATGTCTTGAGCGCCCATGGCATCTTGCAGGCGCGCGTAAAGGCAGAGAATCCACGCAGCGCTCCAACCCGTATGTCCGCCTCCGCCAGCGAGACGACGCTCCAAGGTGATTTTAGCTGCGTTGTGAAGATTCTCACCGCGGATGGATGTGCCCGGGAACAATCCCCAGAGGTGTGAGATGTGCCGGTGGCCGGGCTCGGGCTCTTCGTATTCCTCCTGCCACTCCAATATCTGGCCTTGGGATCCGACCTGCGGCTCTGGGAGCTTGGGCAGCACTGAAGCGAATTCATCTGTCGCCTCACTGAGGACCTCGCCAGCCTGGATAACCGCACCGAAGAGCTCGCGCAAAATCTGCGAGTCCCACGCAGCGCCTTCGGTAATACAGGTCACGTCCTGCGTGCCGGGAATGAAGTATGAGTTCTCAGCCGATATGCTCGGTGACGTTACAAGTAGGCCGTTCTTCTCGATCAGAAAGTCCACGAAAAATTCAGCTGCACCTTTCATAATCGGAAACACTTCACGCAGGAAGTCGCGATCAAGACCGAAGAGGTAGTGGTCCCAGAGATGCAGCGACAACCATGCGCCGCCCAGATTCCAGTACGAGGCTGTGACCACGCGGTCCTGAGGTGCCGTATCAGCCCAGATATCCGTGTTGTGGTGGCTCACCCACCCGCGACAGCCGTACATTTCGCTTGCCGTTTTCTCGCCTCGGACTTTTAGCCGCTTGAGCAGGTCAAAGAGTGGAGTATGGGTCTCGGCGAGGTTTGTTACTTCGGCCGGCCAGTAATTCATCTGTGTGTTGATGTTGATTGTGTATTTCGAGCCCCATATGGGCATTGCATCTTTGTTCCATATGCCTTGCAGATTGGCGGGGAGGCCCTGGAGGGAACTACTGATGAGTAGGTAGCGGCCATAGTGGAATAGGAGGGACACGAGGCCTTGATCATCGCCGCCTTTTTGGACGGCGTGTAGCCTGTCGTCTGTTGGGAGTGCGCTCAAGGTATCGTCTTTCGGAAGTTCGAGAGAGACTCTACCGTACAGCGGGGAGAACCGCCGTTGATGTGAGGAGACCAGGCATTCCCATGATTTGCTGACAGCAAATTCCAGACGCCTATGAACGGCTGTTTGCTCGTCATCGTGCCGGAAAGTCGTCTCGCCCGCGATGAAAACGAGCGCAGAATCAGCGTCGGAGACGGCAAGGTCGAAGCCATCCTCGTCCAACGACCCTGATCCTTCTATGCGGACAGTCGTACCCATAGCAAAGCTGACACCGTCCTTTCCCAGACTACCACCGAGCAAAAGTCCCTGGGGAATGTGAACAAGTCTATCAAACGTCTTGTTCAGTCGCCTGTTCGGATCGTCATCGTCGCCCCGGCTGATGGCCATAGTAAAGTTCAATGCGCCCCTCTGGCTTGCGCTTAGTCGGACACAGACCACCTCATGCACCGTACTGGCGAAGTACTCCCTTTTGAATCGTACACGGCGAAAGTCATACTCGACCGTCACCATCCCCGTGCGAAGATCGAGCTTGCGGGTATAGTTCTCGACCACGTCCACGTTTGGGCTTTGCCTATTAAATACTGTAATCCCCGCATCGGTCACATCGGGCCCCTTGGGGTCAACCCCATGCCCAAAATTCAAGAAGACATCCCCAAGCGGCTCATAGTGTCGAACGGACTCTGGCATCGCCGTGAACGTGCGCGAGATAAGCCGCTCTGCGTCGTGGATTCGTCCCTCTCCAAGCAGCTCGCGAATCTTCGGTAGACTCTGTTTGGCGGATGCATTGATGCGCTGTTGCGGCCCGCCATACCAGGCAGAGTCTTCGTTCATCCAGAGTCGGTCGGTATTTGTGGTTCCGCGGACCATTGCACCCAGACGCCCGTTGCCGATGGGGAGCGCATCCTGCCACAGGTTGGCTGGTTGGCGGTACCAGAGTGTGTGGTCTTCTGCGTTGGACATGTCGATAGATCTGAAATTCCTGTATAATTTCTTTGAACCGTGTGTAAGAATAAGTATGTTATCTACATTTAGCCAGGTTTTCCGGCCGTCGGCTCATTTGGTCGGGCTTTTGAGGCTTGGAGCATTCCTAGACGAGTCTTGGGACTTTTGGAGTAAGGGTTGGCAAATCTTGGAAGGTCGATCGCTACCACGTACTTGAATAAAGACGGCTATTTTGGCGCAGCTTGATTGGCTATAATTATCCTCAAATCGCCTGATCTCAGATCGCTCCAACCTGGGGTCGTTTCGGGACCTGGAGCCGGGAGTCTGGGTCTGGGGAACCTGGACGTTTATAGGCAGGGGCGACACCCATCGCGCCTTCAAGACTCATTCTCAGTAGCATCCATCGTGAGCATGAGCACCAACATCGCAACTGAGGTTACGACCCTCACGGCGGGCGAAGTGCCAAAGTGGTACCACGCCCATATCCTGAAACTGAACTTGCTTCTTGTAACTTGAGGATCCAACCCCTCAACGAGAACCACTCGCTGACTTTGTATAGCTCTCCCCTTTCGTCACCATGGCCGCATGGGGCTTCGACATCTCCATGACGAATTCCCTCCAATCCCTAACCGCCTTCAACGAGAAATTCGACCACCCCTCCGGGGCCCGGCTGGGTTTCTTCGGGGCCTCGACGCAAGTCGGAGGGGCAGTGACCATCTTCATCGCCCCGTTCCTCATCGAAAAGTTCGGTCGTCGCCCAATGTGCTTTATCGGCTCGATTGTTGTCATTGCCATGGCAATGATGCAGGTCTTCTCCAGGTCCTTTGACATGTTCACCGCCGCGAAGCTCATCCTCGGCTTTGGGGCAAATTGCTCGCAAATTTCGGCGCCGATGCTCATCACGGAGTTGGCACACCCCATACAACGTGCCAAATTCACAGCGATGTACAACACCACCATCTACGTCGGTCTGATTGCAGGTGCATGGATAGCGTATGGGACACGCACTATCGAGGGGAACCTCTCGTGGCAGATCCCCTGTATCCTGCAGGTCGTTCTCCCTGCTTACCAGGCATTTACCATCTTTCTCTGCCCAGAAAGCCCTCGATGGCTGGTGATGCGCGGAAAGCTCGAACAAGCCCAAAACATCCTGATCAAATACCACGGCAACGGCACACACACGCCGCTCGTGCAATCCGAGCTCGAGGAAATTATCGCCGGAATTGAAGCCGATGCATCTCGTATCCGCCTTAACAAGACAGATATCAAGGCCCTTCTCTCGCACAAGGGGAACCTCCATCGCATTCTTATCATCACAATCGTCGGCGTCGGGTCCCAGTGTACAGGCTCCGGGCTAATCAGTGCATACCTGCCCAAGGTCCTCGATGGAATCGGGATGACCTCGACGACAGATAAAACGCTCATCAATGGTATCCTCAACATCTGGACCTGGATCGTCGGTCTCAGTGCGGGATACCTGATGCCGAAGATCAGGAAGCGTGCCTTGTTCTTGACCGCGACGACCGGCATGATTCTCGCTCTGTCTGTTTGGACGGGCCTCACGGCCGCTTATGACCAGGATGCGCGGTATAGTTATGGGATTGGGGTTGTTGCCATGATGTTCGTGTACAACTTGTTCTACGGTACGATCTTCGTTTCCCAAATCCACAACTCTCATGACCCTCAATGCTAACGCTGCCTGAAACATTACAGGAATCTGCTGGCTCCCGCTCGTAACAGCATACAGCATCGAAATCTGCACCGCGAAACAGCGCAGCATCCTCTTCTCATGGCTCTTCTTCTCCATCTCCATGTCCACCTTTGCGGTAAACTACATCAACCCAGTCGGTCTGGAGAATATCCAGTGGCGGTACTACATCATCACGATCGTGTTTACGGTTCTCATTCTCGTCCTCGTGTGGTTCTTCTTCGTTGAGACTAGGGGGTTATCTCTGGAGGAGATCGCTACGCGTATGTACTCTGGATACCCTTCGGTGCTTAAAATGCTGGATAGATTCAATGCTGACTTGCGTATAGTCTTCGATGGGCGTGAGCGCTACGAGGCCGCCCTTGAGTCCGTACAAGCCGCGGGCAAGAAGAAGGATGATGAGGCGGTTGAGATGCATCATGTTAAAAGAGGTGCGTGACATGGATTGGTGAACTAAGTGATGCCAGAGGTTGGCGATATAATAGTCCTGGGTTTGTGCACAAAATTGTTGGTACTGTCGAAGGTCACTAGGAACTGACGATCACCAACCTTATCCTTCAGGCTCTTATTAGTATATCGGGTTTAATCGCATGCTATATAGTCCGTTTAGGCTTAGCGGGACTCAGGAAATATGTTTTCGATTGTCTCAAATACTTTCCTCAGTAAATGTATGTGTAAGATAGCTGGTACCCGTGTGATCGACTACACGACGTTCATTGTCTTACGGATCGGTATATATACTTCCGATTCCGACAACAACCCCTCCCAATCCACCGAGCCCTATCAATCAAGAATAAGATCAAAAACATAAATTGCTGAGATTAGGGCAAACAATCATAGAACTCGCTGATCAGTTGTACGTCCTAGATCTTTCTAAGGCGATAACCGAAAACTTTGTGATAGACTAGATTGGTATTATTCTACCTACGAATAGGCTGTATCCTATAAGTAGCGCTGTAGGAGATAGACTTATATGCCTGCATGGCAGCGTGTATGCTTGCAAATAGGGGCAGATGTATATCACAAGGGACGGGCTGCTTGATCCGAACCCGGTCAGCGAGAGGGTAATCGGAAGACGCCTCAAGTTCTCGGGGTGTTGGAATTGAGTAGAGACATTATGTTTTCTTTCCAGGATGGTCATCTGGGGGGTCATTTTAGATCACTGAAGGATATCTGTACAATAGAGACGGTGTGATCATAACGGGCGCTCGAGGGGGCATAGTGGCGGTGCGACTCTATTAGTATATAGGCTTTTATCAAAAGACGGCGAACGTCACATGTCTGGAGGGATTGGACCGAACCACGATCCGGTCACCATACTGAAGGGGACCTTCAAGCCTAGTGGCCCCAAAATGTGCTCTGATAGTCTACCCTGTCGACCTTCCTGCCGTTCAGGCGGAAGTGGCCGGGTAAACCAGATGTCTTGGCGGATTCAAACGCTGATAATTGTTTGGAGTCCGAATCCGAATCCATAAACCTAGCTTGGCCCCGAAGTCGACACGGAAGTAGCGGCACCACGCACCATCACGACCTCTTCGACTATTTACTAATGCTTCTCCTGGGGTTCATAATGTTACGGAAAACCAGACATCGTAGCCTCCTCCGTTGAGAGGCCCGAAGTAGCTATTAGGAACCAATGGCGCGTTCTCGCAGACCTTAGGCCATAATGGTGGCACTAGGAACTGAATTTTTTGAATCCAATAAGTTCGCATAGTCTAAGTTTGATTGCCTATATAGCATGCCCAAAGGCTATGCACAACAAAACTCACCCTGTAGGCTAGTTTGCTGAATCTCCAAGACAACAACAGCCGTCATTCACCAAAGGAAAGATGGGAACTCGGCCACACCACAACACTAGACATCCATCCCCAGTCTCCCAGCAGGATCGCCCCATGATCCTCCTTCATTCAGTTACCTAGTACTGGAAGGCACGGGCAACCTTCTTCTCCGCCTCCTTGGCGGTGCGGCTGCTGAGCACAAAGCTGTACTGCCCGATAACCTCGCCATCAGACCCAACGTTGGGCCCACAGACCTCGCCAGACTCATCGGCGGCGCCGTCACAGCCGGACAAAACACCCTCGACACAGTTGAGCTGGGGGGTCCAGCCAACATATCCAGTCTGGCCGTCCTGCACCTCAAACGTGTACGAGAGCTGGTTGGTGACCGACTCGGAGAACTCGACGCCCGAGCTCAGAGAGATGATGCCGTAGGGGTCACCGACGCTGGCGCTGAAGGTCTGGGACCGACCGACCGTGATGCTCTCGGAGATTGCAACGGACGCAGGACCGGAGACGGGGTCGGAGACGGTTACCATGCCGCCGGCTTTGATGTAGGGGCCAGTGCGCCTGTGAAACACAGGGTTCAGGTTAGTAGGCTGGACATTCGTTTCGTTGGAGAGCTTAAGAATGGAGGCTATGGGCTGGGCTGGGGAGGACTATATACGCGGGGATGGGCGGAGGGCACTCACAGGGTGAAGGTGGAGCAGTCGCGTTTCTCAATCGAAGAGCTCCGCTTGGAGATGGTCGCGGGCTTGGGACTGGCCGCACGACTGGTGCCGTCGGTGCAGTCGTACATCAAGGCCATCCTGCTGTTCACGGACAGACTGCACAGGTCGTTAGAATTGTACTGGTCATAAACACCGCGATCCGAGTGAGCTACTCACCGAGCGCAGGTCGCTTGGGTGAAAGTTCCAGCAGTAATCCCGCAGTTGTTCACGCTGGATCCCGAGTAGATGACATGCCTGCAGCCGAGCTCTGGCTGGGGGATATCGAAGTAAACATCATAGCCGCCGTTCGCGTTCAGGGGGAATCCGCTACACGAGGTTGGTCAACTAGTGGTCTGAGTGCAAGGCGAAAGACAGGCAGGAGCACTTCTTATCAACTTACGCGTTGTCAAACTCGCTCTTCTCAAACTGGAGGCAGACGCCGTTGCTGCCCTCCGCGAAGGCAACAAAGCAGTTGTCGGAGCTGCCCATGCAGCTGGCATCCTTGCAAGTCCAGATCGAAGTGGCCTGGCCAGTGGTCCCAACAGCAGAGACAAGGGCGGTCGCCAGAATGGCAAGAGCGGAGGTGGAAATAGCCATTGCTGAGAACTAGGTACGGTGATGATGATAGCGGAGATGCTCGTGGATGTGGAACTGTTGTTGAGGAATGATGAGTCTAGTCTTCCAGCGGACAGAGCCACCTTTATATACCTCCAACGTCCAGTATATCGGCGGTATTCGAGGGCCTGAAGGACTGCTTTGGACTAACCTTCTCCGACTGTGAAGCTGCCACTGACATCACGGGCCGTGAAAACCTGTATAGCCCAGCCATCCATAACTTGGAAGCACCTCATGGCATCTCCAACTCTCCAACACTGATACAACGCCTCTGAGCCAATGACATCCGTGTCATGGACGCTGTGTCAAGGTCCTCAGTCTCTAGTCGGAGAGCTGTCTAAGACACCCCATATCGAGTCCTTGGAATTGACCGTCTACGGTTTCATTCGTGCCGTAGGCTAATTCCTTCGGTAGTCGATCAGTGAGTTCCATGCCGCACTAGGCAAGCCACCCCGCCATCGGAAACCTGTACTGTGGAGTATTCCTTGAACTGAAGGTATTGTTGCAGGAAAGTGGGTGCTGACTGAGACTTCATCTCTGCCCCCCTGGTCCCACCTCGTTTGGCCCCCAAGCCTAGACACCACAGGATCATCTGGGCTCGAAGCATTTTGGCTGGCAGAGCAAGTATCACTGGGGCTTGGGTTCCTGGACGATTGTCATTGCCCAAGGCGGGTTGTCATCCTTGTTTTCACAGTGAAACGTCAGTAGGTACTGCGTTGAGCCGAGTCATATCACCAGGCACAGGCTGGGCAGCCATTTAGGAATCACGGAGAGCAGTGGACCTGCCATTAGACCGTCCGGTCGTCCGTGAAAAGGGAAAAGGATGTGAAGTCTACCATAGGCATTTAGGCAGCTCACAATGAATAGCACAACGCCGCCGATACGGACCTATACCGTGGGCAATGTCAAACTCCAACCAGTGTGTTGCCGTAGCCAGCAAGCTAGAACAGGACAACCAAGAACGCCACATAGGCCAGAACTAGGCTTGGTGACCTCAGATGTGCTGCAACGGCCCGGATCATGGATCAATGTATGGGTCCGTACAAACTCGTTGAAATTCGGCTGCAGAACCGGAATGGCTAGTGTGCGCCACCGGCGTTGCTCCGGCTGTTTTTACTGGTATCCTATTTGTCTTGATTGCTGGAAATACCCCCATATCAAACACTTACCCGCTACCACGTCGTTTAACCGCTGCTGAACTATTGTAGCGGATATCCACGGATAAGGCGTGGCGTGGCTTGCGATTGTTTGCTGTACATGGAGCCTTCGCTTTGAATGAACTGAATATGATCGACCCGGCGCACACCTACCTAGGCAGGTCATTAACTCCCCTCTATGGGCTCAGGTTCGCATTTACAAGTACCCAGAGCGCATATTTCCCATGACCGTATATTCCCTTAGGGGTGAAGCTCCATAGTGGATCCTGTATCGGTATCCTCATCTCATACCTCCAGACGAAGAGTGTGTCCGACGACACCCAAAGAGCTTCTTGCCTCCTGATGTGCTCTCTACGCAGGGGGCAAGGGACGGAAGTTCAGCCGGTATAATATTGGGCCAATGACACGCTTGTGGGATGGCCCTATACAAGGTAATAATCGACATATATTACCTCTGGGCTAAAATGACCACGGTTTACTTTCCAAGAACTGATGGCCACACCTCCACATGCCGAAAATGTACCTGACTCAGGAGAACTTGTGAACATTCATATATTGTTGCACGCGCCATGGAACGATGCATGATTGGTGCTATCTGTGTTGTCCACACAATGCCTTGTGTATGCAGTGACGTCGGTGGCCAAGTAATGTCTCACATCTATGTCATTGGCTCCTGCACTGTTGTATCCGGAGTTGGAGTTCACGTTCGGGACTACTCCGCCGGTCTTGGCCTCGGTGCTGCTCGCAGACAGGAGACACACCCTACTATGCTGGGGAAACCTAAGCGAGATTGGGGCCATTCTGTAACCCTAGCTTTCAACGGTGCCTGCGGAAACTAGCCAGCGCCTCCAGGCGCCTGCCGATCAACGCCTTCCTCGGCGGGCGACAGGGGCTGGGAAGTCGACACGGATAATCACCCTCTAATCACTGGTTCTCCAACTGGCCGATCTATACTAGGACAGTTAACAAGGAGGTTCATACCTTTGCGACATATCTGAGCTCTACTATCCTGCAGCGCATATGGAAAGACGCGGTGAGACCGACCTTGCTTGTATTCCCCTAGAAACTCATGCGTATCGGGAACGATTCTCAACCTTATGGTAGAAGCGCCGTACAAGTGGGGAGAAGCTACTACTCTCTGGTTTCTCACGAGTCAGTTTCTTCATCCAAAGTTCCACTCCATTGGCGCCCCGTGATCCGACATTAACGATCGGCATGGGTATGCGGAAGTGGCTGGCATCAGTCGATGGCATGGACGCCATCACCGCGAAATTCGAACAACCTGCAGAGCCGGAAACGGCAACATGGGGTCTGTTTCCTTGTTTTATGACCTGTGCGCCATGCTTCCCCTATCTCCTCCACAGGCTTGTGCTCAATGATGCATGATCCATGATTATGCATGCTTGTATAATCCGAGCTAGTCGCCCCTAACCCTAACTAGTTTCACATAGGCTACTCCACCTACTTCTTTCTCTGCGTTCCACTTATCTGATGAAGAAAGGCGTGAGCGTACGGGGTATTGGTTCGCTGTACTCTAACTAGCCAATTCGCGGTCTCTTAAATCCGGGTGCCTGCACTCTTCGAGAGAACCGACTTTCCCATCCTCAGCAATTCCTAGGTATCGCGGATCTGCCTAAGTCCGTATGTGAAGTCCAATGGTTCACGCGGCGTTTGTTTCAAGATCTGAAGACATCAGGAATGCTTAGATAGTCCCGTGTTGCTGGCTTTGCGTGGTGCACAGCCTACCATCCGTTTTAGGTGACGAGTACGAACTCACGACAGCGCCACCCAGGTAGCCTTCTTTCAGGACTTTCGAGATACCGGCATCAGAGCTCAGCTCTAACTCAAGCGGCAAACATGAAAACTCATAAACAGCGTCGTTGCGAGAATGTCCCAAACGATTATGACGGTGTGGGGATACCAAACCCAGTCGCACGACTGCCACTTACCCGTACCTCCTCGACGGAATAAAAAGCTCTGTGTACACAACGACAAGGGTACGACACGAGAAAGTAAGTTGTAACTTTTCTCCGCTGTGTATCCAAACTTTGGCAGAGTGCTATACGAGTGGCTACAGTCTACTGGGTCAGCAGATCCAGTAGATCCAGCTCCCGACGCCTTTGGGCGCGCATACTAATTATATATCTGTGCCGCTGTAGCTGTCGGAAGAAAAGAAAGAATACAACCACACACCTGATGGTCGTAGCCGGTGAGAAAGCCCTATAGAGAGCCCGATGAGTACGAGTAAGCTACTACGATCGTACCGCTTTGCAGGATCATGGCCATGACATATGTAGCTTTCTGTCCGCAGGTCTGGGGCTACGTAGTACAGTGGATGAACCAGGCGAGTACTGAGAATAATACTGATATCCCACGCCGGCAGGGGGTTATAGAGTAATGAGGCCTACGATGGCCCCGATCGAGCATGGCATATCTGTTCAATATATTTTTTGTGTCGCACTCATGTATGGGGGCTTGTGATCATCCATAGAATGCACTTCCCAGTGATTTGGGTTCATGTATATCCCAGAATAAAACGCCTGTATCTCAGGATTGGTCCTGATACTCGAGAGTCTTTATTCGCTAGTAAAATGTTCACATCTGTAGAACGCTCAAGCAAGGCAGGGCTTTGCCCTATAGCGCAGCGGGATAAACAGCAGTCCATCACAATCAATCCTACCTGAGCGCAGGAGCATACATTTCATGTCTCCCAAGCATTCCGTCAGGCATTCCGTGCGGACCCAATAACGCGAGTCGGACACCAGTTTGCGAAGGCAATGGAGAACATAGTATCCATTCACGTGCCTCCATCGACTCTGGTACAGAAATGAAACTGCTTAAAATTGCATCGTTTCTCCGCGCTGTTCTTGTGCTTGATTTTCCCTGCTCTCTCTCGCTTTGACTATTAATATTGAATGATTTCTGGGTGTTTGCCAGACGTCTTCAGGTACAGGTTTTCTCGCTCGTGGCCTGGGGTTCTGTCAAAAGGTGATTACTGGGTATGGAGAAAGCGTGAGGGTAGGCGGTTAAGTCCCTTCGAACTACATCTACAGGTATCTTAGAGTTTGCGTCCTCAGAATGATTGATGATACGTCGAGAAACTGGTTCCTATTCTCTATATCTCTGGGCCTGGAAGCAGCAGGTTATAAGTAAGGAAATACCCCAGGATATCTCACTCCACCTCGCACGCGAATTCCCAGGCCTACCTACGTCGCCAACCGACTCTCTCCCTATGCTTTATACAGCCTCGTCATTCCAGGCCCAACCGAACCCAGGGCATACCCCCCAAGAGTGGCACTTGTTTGAACTGAATTGGTCTGATCATATCGTAATGGCCTGCATCACCGTATCTGGGCACAGGCCTCCACGGATCGTTTCGACCCTGACGATAAAGCCGCTGACCAGGTCGAAATGGGGGTTGGGACTTTGCAGCCTCGGCTTCTGCGAGGTCCTTTGCGGCTGATGATGGTTAGCCTGCACAGCGTATATCGGGGGAGTAGTGATACTAACTTTGCTCCGCGGCGAGCTTCGCGACTTCAACCGAGACCGAAAAGTGCAATCCGTGACTATAGATAAACCGCTCAAGACTCCTAACGATTTTCCATGATTTCTTGGATTGGGCTTGAAACATGGCCCTGGAGAGCAGCGCAACCCAGTCTGAACGTGTAATGCTACCATAGTTGCCCGTGTCAAACCATTCAAGTATCATTCTTACCCCTTGGGCAAAGCCCAGTCGCACGGCGGCCGACAGGGGCATCTCATCATTTTCACCCGGAAGCATGGGATTGGCGCCGCGGTCTAACAGTATGCATGTGACCACTGGATCCCGTCCTTCGATAGCAGTCCACAAACAAGTCTGTCCATCTTTACCGAGAGACTTTCCGGGCCTGGAGTCAATATCAAAGCCGTGGCTTAGCAGCAGGTCCAGAATAGCTTGCGCCGATTCACGGGTGCCGTGGGAGAAGAATGGCGGGTTTGGGTAAAGGTTTCTCAACATGCTATCCACGGTAGAGGCGAGAGGCTGCGATGGTGGAAGGCCGATGTTCTTTTGGAGGAGTAACTCCAGTGCCTCTGGATTGTGCCTCTGGATTGCAGTGAGCACCGCATGACAATCACCCTGTTCCCGTACCACCTTGTATCCGTTTTTGAAGAGTAATTCGAGCGTCGGGAGACCCCCCAAAGTGGCGGCATCCAGCAGATCACTTGGTGATGGATAATCCTCCGGAAGCTCCCGTCGTTGACCCCGGTCTAGAATCAGCTGGACCCGGTCCGGCTGCCCGGCCTGGAGTGCTTCGATCATTGTCAAGGTATGGCGGCGAGTCTTGATCTTGGGGTCTGGACTCCTCTCGAATAACAGCCTGACCAGGGATTCGTTCATGCGTGCTACAGACAGATGCCGACCAATATTCTCCAGGAATTCATTCGGGTCAAACCCCGATTCCAGTAGCAGTTCCACGATGGATACTGAACTGTTTCGGAGAGCGTCGATGAGAGCCTGCGGCGTTGGTTTGGCCCCAGCATCGAGAAGCAGTCTGATGGCGCTTTCATGGTTATACCCTATAGCCCACCTAAGGGCCGTACAATTAGGCTCGGGCTTGAAAGTTCTCATTCCTCTGTGATCTTCGACAGCTGCGTTCGGATCTGCCCCGCTTCGAAGTAGTGTCTCCATCACATCGGTTGACCCGCAGGCAGCAGCTGCACAGAGAAACTCGGGCTCTCGGTGGCTCTCCGGAATGGAGTCACCCTCAAACGTCTTAGATAGGAGCACCCTAACGGCGGGTATCTTTCCGCCTTGAAGGGCGAATTTGACCGCCGAACTTCCCCTGGGAGATGGTGATGGGTTTGGGTCATCGCCATGTTCAAGTAAACATGCTATGACGTGCTCGAAACAATACCCAGCGGCGTGCCACATGATGTGGTTTCCGTTCGAGTCGCGCAAGCATGGACTGGCTCCTTTCTCGAGCAGGTAGCGTAAAATACTCGATTGACCTTTGCTGGCTGCCAGGAGCAACAGATCTTCGAGGAAAAAGGAATCACAAAGAGTTTCAGAAGTGCCCATAGAGGATATAATGGCCTTAACGACAGACAGATGGCCTTGGGCGACAGCGACGGACGAGGACTGTTGTGGGAGACAGGGATAGGGGTAATTTGGCTCCAGCGGGAGAGCGGTCGTTGGATTCGCCCCGCGTTTTAGCAGAACTTGGACCAAAGCCTCATGGCCCTCTTTTGCCGCTACCCACAGCAAATAATCCAGATGATCAGACAGGGCAGAAAGATCCTTGCCCAAATTAGGGTGAGGACGTGCATCGAGGAGCAATTCCACAATGGGCGTATGTCCATGCTTGGCTGCTAGCTTTACAGCGCTTTTCCACGTCGAATCCTGACCATTGCCTGTAATCCCTTGATCCTGACCTAGGAGCTTGAGTATGATCGATTGTAATCCATGTTCTGCTGCCCAGAGAAGGGTTGACGAGGGCGAGTACTGCTGCTTGTGTCGGTAGAGGTATGGGTTGAGAAGATCGTGAAAACAGTGATTGACACGAGAGAGTGCATTGAGATCCCATGAGTACTTCAGAAATGTTGCGATGGATAAGAGAAGTTCTCTCGGGAGATCAACAAAAGCGCCCATGGGGGCATGTACGGGTGGAATTGTATCGAAAAAAGAAAATGGAAGGGGGGTGATGCTGGCGTATTGAGAAGGGCACAGTAGACAAAACAGCAGTCTACCGGGACTTGTTCTGCCTTTGGGGACGACAGAGAGGGGAGGTCAGCAAACGGAAGGTGGTAGCGGGGCAGTCCCAGCCCTGGAGACAAAGGAAACTACTCAAACAATAGCTACAGCTTACATCACGTGTTACTCTGTACCTCTAGAACGCGTCTATTCATAGGAGACTTACTGGGACCCATGAAGTCGACACCTTTTAGCCCCATGTTGCCAGGTGAAGCCGAAATATGCCGGTTCTTTCACGTAATGCCCACTCATGGGCCTTAGAATTCAGACGGCCCCTTGAATCAGACTGGAAGCCCGCTTACAGGGGTATTTCTAATCTGGCGATTGATGGTAGAGGATAAGCTGACTCTAACCTGCCCTGGCCCCAATTATGTGCCTAGTCCCTCCTACTTGTCCATCCCACGCATCGTTACTTGTTTGGGGTTCCGTTCACTAGCCAGTCTACATAACATCCGATGCCAAAATTGTAGGCTATCAAGATGAACAAAATTGGCGGATTTGGATATGGCCTGGCCCCATACTTGCAGTTCCTACTCCGTGAGACGATGTCGAGAGCTTCCTAGATACGCTTCTGTATTGCAGTCTCCTTGGATGTCTGACCGTTGAAATATAAAGACCGCCTCGATCACAGGATGGCCATGTTCACTCAGACATCGACTGTCAAAATGAGACTCTCTAGATTAGGCTTCTTCTGGAGTTCATACCTCTCTCTCTACATCCAGTACACAACTGCAACCGTCATTACCGCGAACAGTACACTCTCCGATGGCACCTCCAGCCCTGTCCAACTTCCCGGCCTCCAGCCGTCGCCTAGTCCTCACACATCGCCGGGACCTAGCATAGCCAGGCCTTTGATCAACACGACCGAGTCCGTCCTGACTAGTCTTACTCTCACTCGGAGCCTTCCAACTCCCGGGGTTCATCCAACCAGCCCCAGCACCAACGTCAATGGCGTTACCACCCCCATCCTCGGTACAAGCCCAGACTCGAGCACCGTTCTCGTCTCCATCTCCACTAGCATCCCTTCACCTATCGATGAATCGCCGCTTCCAAATACAAGTAGTACAATAGATGACTCGCCGGCTACGACAACAAGCGCTGCCGATGGGACCACTCCTAACACGTCAACTACGTCCACTTGGTCTACTGCCTCTACTATATCGGCCACCCCTACCACGCCTACCACTTCGAGTACATCTCGAACCTCTTCTTCCCTGGTACTGCTGGGAACAACCGCAACAACTACTCCCGGCGGCTCCCAAATCTTTCCCACCGGCAGTCCATCACCCACTTCATCGCCCGCCACCTCGTCCACTACCATCAACGGTGTCTTACCAGGCGATGACCAGTCAAGTCATACCACCGCAGAGCCTAGTACCGACCACGGACCACGTCCTCTGCCAACGTCCTCCAGCCCTGGTGCGACGACTACCGACACAGAAGACGATCTCTCGCCTCTGCAAACATCCAATGGCCCTTCGACGACTCCTGAAACTACTGAAGGTTTATCTCCTCTACAAACCTCTATCTATCCTCTAACAGCACCTGAGATTACCGCCAGCCTTTCATCCATATCGTCCGAGTTTGTCGACATAGTCCCGATAATTCGTGCTTGGGAAACCGATCCGACTCCTCCACTCCAAACAGATGCCATCCGCCGAATCAAGGGTATCAAAGATGATATCAGGGACTTTGCGTTGGATATTGGAGGCGATATCTCGTCTGCCGGGTGTCGCTCGAGGAAAAGGGGACTCTTCGACAATATGTTCGACATTACGAGTTCGGGCATTGATGCCGTTTTCAATCGGCTACACTGCATCACGGACAACATGGACAGACTGACCGGCGAAATCGGGCTGGGAAACACGAAAGGTGTGAAGGGGATTGTCAGTAACCTGGTGTCGCCCAACAATGATCCGCCTGACGACAACAATCCCACCAGCACCTCAACTTCGACCTCCTCAACAACCTCGACATCGACTGACGTTTCATCCTCCCTGTCGTCATTAGAGAACTCATCTGCGTTATGGTCGTCGTCCTCATCGTCAGTCTCATCCTCCTCTTCGCCATCGTCCTCGTGTACCGTCCATCAAGTCACAATACACTGTGAACCAACCACTGTCACCTCTGGGGATTCGACGGTTACAACCACGACGTGTTCGCCTTCCACCACGATTACCACCACTGGATGTTGAATCACGGGAACAACAACTAGAATTACAAGCACTCCTACATCGACATCAGTCCATGTGTGTGCGCGGGGATCATGCGGGGATTCATGCGCCCAAGGCCGAGGGGGTGGTGAAGGTGTCGTCATCTCAAGTTCTATCGACTGCGCAAATATTCCAATAACCACCGTGACCGCACTCCCCGATGAAGGCACTCCATTAACATCAAGGTCCGACTCGAGCCATGCTCGCACAGATGGCGATGGCAGCCTCACATAGCGAATTGATCAATCAGGCCTCATTCCAAATATCGATCGTATGGATCTAGATTCCCAATCCGCGCACCAGCTCCAATTGAATTCCCACATCAGTATCGCCGACGCATGGCTGAATCATCGATCGAGTGATACAACTGCACAGTGGTATGATATACTAGCTGTCCCTCTGTGGGCCGTCGGGCTGAAGGGGCTCTTCGGGTGTACGTCCGTAGTCATTGTGACAATGCGTGGGGTCTTTATCTCGCACATCTACGAAGCTCCCGTGTTTATTAATGCAGACGGAACCGCAACGGAGGATCAGCGCTTTGCAGCCCACTCTTTCAACGTGCTTCGAGATGGTGGGGACGGGGTTGAGGCCCACAACTCACTGAGCTACCTGAGGAGGAACGGATATTTTCACCCCGACTACAGTCCGGAGGTCTTTGTCATAACCCCCTTCGAGCTTAAAGAGGGCCCAGACTTGGAGTATCAGTATGCCGCACGAGCCCAATGGCTGGGGGGCCAAGCAGCAGACTATATCTATGCAGGTCAGGCGACACGTCAAGCACCCGTCCTTTTTGGCTACGTACGGACAGACGAAAAGACCGCCAGTGCAGATAGCGAACTTTATGGCCGGCTCATAGTGGAACTGGCACCCGCTAATGGTGTCTTGTGGAGCGCCCAGGGTGGTGGATTGGTGATCGCTCGATGGCGATTGTGGGTTGGCGGAGTGTATGTTACGGATAGGGACTTCACGTTTGGGGCCCGTGTCGACAACCAAGGCAACGTGGTGAATCCAATAAACCGGCGTGAGCTCACTGCATCTGAGGCCCTCGTACGGCACCAGAGCGAGAACTTCTTCGAGCAAATGTGCCCGGGTTTCTGGGACGCGATCACTGTAAAGTCCCCGCCGGGTACGACTTTTGTGGCCACCACCAGAACTGTGACCGAGTCGGGGACTTCTCCTTTGTCCTCCTCTGTCGTTCCGTCAACGACAAGCAAGCCTATTGATCTGCCCCAAACGAATTCGACAAGCTCTGCCTCCCCATCATCTACAGAACATACGGCCCTGGGTCAAACCAACTCCGCCACCAACTCAGCGTCTGAGACATTGCTCAACCCTCCAGGGCAACCTCCCAGCTTCACCCTGCCAACCCCGACTAAATTCTCCTCAGAGACCTCGATCCCCGAGCCAGACATTGCCATCGATGAGCAGCGGTGTTGGAAACCCGAGCTATTCGACCATGAGGATGTCAACGACGTCGTTGTCACCGAACTCGCCGAGATGTGCATCCGCGGACATATCACTGATGATCACATGTCGATGGGCCCCACCGATGAGCCTCGGTGGTGGCACAATGGAGATCCGTCGCTGGCTGTCGGTTATGCGGAAATTACGTGGGTCAAGGGCTGTGAGGGGCCGGATCAGAATCCAATGTATCCTGCCGAGGGATTGAGCTGTCGGAATATCCTTGTCGATAACTGGAATACATGTCAGTCTGCGAATGGGGGTGCTGGTGGGTATAGGATTGTTGGGTGTTTGCGGTATATGTTCATGCCGCAGTTGCCCTCTGTGTGGTACCCGGAATGGGGGTGAAGGGTGGTCGGAAATCAAAGTATTACGTTGAATAGTCCAAGTTCCAGAGGAGTTGTCACTTTTAAAGGTCAGATGGATACCGCCTCATGCTCCCACAGGCCGCGTGTGTGAGCCACTGTATGATGCTGTTCCTCCAGAGATTTTTCCAACAACAGTCCATTCACGACTGACGTGCGGTCTATATGTTGCGGGTTCTTCGTGACCAAACCTCCTAGGCGATCTATGCCCTGCCCTCCCCGTAACCCTTCGATCTGCGACCACGCTGCTGGTTCACGGTGCGTACTAGTACGCGAAGTCCCTTCTTTTATCTCCTTACATGCTGCGGAGCGCACCCGCTGCATGGCTGAGGGAATCGTGAGGTAAGATACCTGTATAAGCAAGCGTCTGAGTGAGCATCCAAATGAGCGTCTACCTAACTAACTGACCCGCCAAGTGAGCATAAAAGTATTTCACCAAACGAGTAACTAAATGAGCGAGCAGGTAGCTAACTAAGCAAGTAAGGAAGTACCTAAATTGGCCACTAATCAGGGACCCAAGTAATGACTCTCACACGACGAACGCTGCTTTGATTGAAGCTGTCTGCGCACCAAGACCTGGTATATATAGCAATCTAATTCCAACTAGGTCTAGATCAACCACATCAAGGCAGCCTTTGCGAACTAGAAAACCTGGGTTGTGGTAGTCTACTTCTGGTCCTGCTCGGTCGGTATCTAGGTTTTTCTGCAACGGCAGCAACTGCAATCAAGCAGCTTGGGTATACATCCGCAAATGCGCAGCTCATGACCATCCCGATATATACGTTTGCTGTGATGACTACCATCGCCGTGGCCATCTGGTCCGACCGCGTGCAGCAGCGAACCCCATTCATCATCCGCGGGCTAGCAATGGCATCAATCGGATACATCGGCGAATTGGCCGTTCCCCAACCAGAGCTGCCAGGAGTAACCTACCTCTTCCTCTTCCTCATTGCCGGCGGCCTCTTCTGTCCATTCACAAGCATCGTCACATTAGTCGGGAACAATCTCGCCCCCTCATCGAAACGTGCAGTGGAATTGGCCATCCTCGCCAGTTTCGGGCATATGGGCGGGATCTGCGGGAGTAATATTTACCTTGCGAGACAGGCTCCGCAGTATCCGGTGGGGTATGGGACCTGCTTGGGTGCGTGTGTTCCTGGCATCGCGGCGGCTATTCTTCTCCAAATCGCGTATGCGAGTGAGAATAGGAAGAAGGCTGCGCTTTTACAGGCGGAAGATGAAGCAGCCGAACGGGCTCGGTATCGTGAGCAGGAGTTGGTGGATCTTGGAGATAAGAGTCCGTTTTTTCAGTATACCTTGTAGAAGGAGGGCAACGTCGTGCTCTTTCGGAGTCAACGCGATTTCAAACGAGGCGCGTGTATGTACCTCGAGGGGCTCTTGCTCCTGAGTGCCAAATACAGGCATGTGCGGGTCACACATATATATATTCAACAGAGACGCGACCTAGCCCACCACGCATATGCATCCCAGCCACATGGTCCATAGAACGAAACAATCAATGGACTACTTTTGCAACCATGCGATCCGAAGAGAAAGCGACATCCTTTGCAGAAATGCCCGCGACCACGTCCAGCCGCCAGAATAGCCGTGGCCTCCTGGGGAAAGCGCACCAGAAGGCAGATCAACGAAATCATCGGGACGTCGGAAGTCGTCCAGCTTTTTAGCAGAATCTTTTAGTTAATTGAGTTTCAGATGTGAAAAGGATGAAAAGCCGCTTTGGTTTATGGTTCGTGGGTGGTTTAAATGTGGTTCATCGATCACACATGAGAAACAAGATCTACACCCCCCGATCCTTTCGGCGACGATCGACCCGCCATGAATCCGGCCAAATAACCACAATATATGTAAGTACTCCCATATGTACTCTCACCCGACGTTACTGCCTCAAAAGAGGCGTACGCTCATCCGTCGACCGATCACCACCCGTCCCTGGCTTCCCATTCTGACCGTTATCTTCTCTCTGCGAACCACGTTTGATTTTGACAAAAGGAAATCTCGTCTGCTTCGGACTACTCGCTAAATTCGACGGTGCGAGGTTATCAAGATGCTGCCGCTGCTCGGGCGTAATCGCGTTGATATATCCGGACTTCACCAGGGGAGCTGTCGACGAACGGCGCAGGGTGCGGTTGCTGGGAGGTGGGATGTCGGCGAATTGAGCGGGCGGTGCCCGGTTTGTTTGCGATATAGGGGTCGGTACTGTTGGCTTCTGAGAGCCTTCGGGGATGTCGGATTCGTCGACGATTTCCCTGAAAATAGTGTGAGTTATTCCACTGAGGGAAATGGAGGTTTTCGATGGACTTACTCGCCAATAAGTTCTTCCACAACATCCTCCAACGCGACAACACCAAGTGCTCCACTGTTCTCTCCGGGGTTCGACGAGACCAGCGCGATATGTGAGTGTCCCTCCTGGAAGTAGTTCAAGATATCCAGGCAGCTCGTCTCGGGACCAGTTTCAGGCAGTGTGGCCAATTGAAACTCGCTGACCTTTTTCGCATCGTCGGGGTCATACGTAATGAGCGTCTTGACGAGCAACATTCCGACAAAATCCAGTGGGTTATCCGGCTTGTGAACGGGAATCCTCGAGAATCCCGCAGCAGAAATAATCTCCATCGTCCGTTCATCCAGCACAGACTCAGTGGACAGTGTAAAAACCTGATCCATTGGCGTCATGATACTCTCGACCGACTTTGCCTTGAGATCCAGCACGGCGGTAATTATAGTGACCTCGTCCTCGTTCAATCGTTCCGCCGGCTGCGATCCAAGTGACTTGTGTAGCGTGACGAGCGTTTTCAACCCGGCTTTCTTGTAAACAACGCCGTGATTTTCACCTAGGAGCCAGTCGAGGAGCTTTGCGGTCGGCCAGGCGGCGGGGGCGAAGGCGTACATGAGCAAGAGGACGACTGGGGAGAGGTAGGCGCCGATCGGGAGGCCGTAGCGGACGCAGACGGACTGGGGGATGACTTCGCCGAAGATGACTAGACAGGTTAGTATAGGGAATCGGTGAGAAAGCGTCAGGCTTACCGATTAAAACGGTACTTCCCAGGACCGCAGCCCATCCCCCACCGAGCGCCTTGTCCAGCACGATCGGGAGACTCTCGTTGACGACGACATTGCCGAGTAGGAGCGTCACCAGTACCCAGTGTTTGCCCTTGGCGATCAGCTTGAGCACAGTCCGTGCATGCTTCTGCTCGTGTTTCTCGCCCGAAGTCGCCAGCACTTGGAGGTGAACTGCATCCTGGCCCATCAGCCTAACAGAGTGTTAGCCTTGGGGAAATGGCTGCCGCAGGGAATGCTGAAGTACGCAATGGTTAATCCAGCAAAAACACCCCCAATCAAGACCAACGCGACCGCTGCGCCGAGGTTGAACCACAGGTCGCTGCCATTGACTTGATCCTCGGGGCTCTCCGCATTGTGAGCTGTCGCGGCGGGATTCAAGGGGAACGCATTCCTGAGCGGGAGGTAGAGGAGGATAGAGAGCAATTGCGGAAGGAGAAGAGATCGCGGAGTAAACATTGCTCCGCAAGAATCGAAAGACCGCCAGTCGGTGACGCTTGAGAGGTGAAAGCAGAGTTTCGTCGTCGCCCTACAAGGCTGACGGACGCGATCAAACGCCCGCCGCCCTACGAGGCGCGCGACATGACAAACAGTGACAAAGAGCCGGCCAAAAGAGTGCCCAGGCGCTTTGAGTGGGTATCAATATGCAGCTTATCCTGACCGACCAATCGCAAAAGATGATATTCCACTTCATTGCTGCTGTGTCACTCCACACCATGCCTGTCTTTACTTGATTTGGCGTGCCTCCAGGCAGCAACATTCTTCAACTCCACCGTCAACTGGCCAAGTCATTCGATGAAAGCGTTGTGCCACAGTTTGCACCCTGTGGCGCAACAGGACCCCTCCTCGCTGTGATTTAAAGCAAAGGGAGGTGGCTCTACCCCAATGCCCACTTTCCCAATTCTCATCGTTGTGAATCTATCATGTCGTTTCTCAAGAACCTGACCAAGGAGTTCAAGGAGCTCAAGGCGTCTCTGTCCGGCGACGGGGACAAGGAGAAGGAAGAGAAGAAGGAGGAGAAGCACGAGAGCACGGAGGGGCAACGTGGTAAGTAGTCAGGATAACCTTTCCCTTTTCCTCCACTCGAATCGCTGTCGCCTAATCGTCTGTGGCTCAACCAGCATTCGACCCCGGATATGGAGCACCGAACTATGCTCAGCCTGCGCCTGCGCCGTACAACCAGTATCCCCCTCAGCCACTGAGCCCCCCGCAGGGCCCTCCGCTGCCTCCTGGTTGGGTCGCTCAGTTCGACCAAGCCAGCGGGCGCTGGTACTACATCGAACAGGCGACCGGCATCTCGCGTTGGGAGCCGCCGGCAGCGCCCGCACCGTACGGACAGTACGATCATTCGCAGGTTCCTCAGTATGCGGGAGCCTATGGCAGCCAGGGAGCGTATCCCGGACAGCACCCCTATCCGGGTCAGGCACCGTATCCAGGACAGCCGCCATACCCCGGACAGGGTGGCTACTATGACCCGTCACAGGGAGTGCCACCGGGCGGCGACTACTCGCACTCCAAGGGAGAAAAGTCGGACAAGGATGACAAGTCGAAGATGCTTCTCGCGGGAGCAGGTGGTCTGGCCATTGGCGCCGTGGGCGGTGCCCTGGTGGCGAATGCACTCGGTACGTCGAATTAACCTTGGTCCACTCGGGAATGATTCAGGTATTAATGTTTAACGTTTGTTGGAACAGCTGATGATTCGGACAACGAAACACACGCGGCCGCTGCAGCCCCACCGCCAGCAAGCGCTCCTCCCCCCGCTGCTCTTCCTCCCGATGAAACCGCCGATGGTGATTCCGTCTCGTCGAGCGACCGTGAAGACGTTCTTGAGGCCCGCCAGGAATATGAACAAGCGCAGCTTGCGGCACAGGACTCTGACGCCTCCAGCAGTGAAGAGGAGGCGTTGGAGGAGGCAAGAGAGGAATATGAGGAGGTTTATGAAGAGGTCTACGACGATTAGCACGATGTTACATTCTTTGTAGCGATGTTATGAACCATAATCTACAACCGTATTCGTATGGAGGTGAATTTATGAATTGGCGCCAAACAGCCCTACGACGAGATATTCTTAGCCCGGTTCGATTCTCTAGTGGTGCCGACCAATCCGACTCTGTTGCTTAGCGCTCGGTTGCTGCAGCCTGTGCAGCCATTGGCCAGCGTGCGTGTCTTGGGCTGCAGCAAGAGTCTGCTTGGCGCTCGCAACAATTTAATCCTGCTGCCTGCTAGGGCTGCGCGCGTTGCTCTCCGACCTTTATCAACCTCTTGAACCTCCTGCCTTTCAGCAATCCTCATTTCGAACCAGGACAGCCACCATGTCTTACCAACAACAACCATACGGTGAACATCCACCATACCAACAGCCCTAGTGAGTCCGGCCGCAAATCGGTGGTGCGAGAAACTTGGAACCAGGCAGCAGCTAACCGCTCTCTTTTCTGGTGTGTTTAGTGGCTATCCTCCTCCTCAACAGGGCCCACCCGTCAGTTCCCTGTCTTGTTTCTCCAACCCTCAGTAAACCAGTAGGCGCATACTTATAACGATCTGAACAACAGATGCAATATCAGCAACCCCCTCAGACAGTTATCGTCCAAGAAGAGAAGAAGGATAGAGGCTGCCTGGCTACCTGGTACGTTGGTGCTTGTCTACACTATTCGACCTGCAAAGCATGATGATTAACGCCCGACAGTCTGGCCACGATATTCTGCTGCTGGCTGTGCGGGGAGACATGTGAATGCTGCTTCGACTGCTTGACCTGCTGTTGCTGATGACGATGTGGAAATAATTTCATATTTCTCCGCGGTTGTGATTACAACATACAGGCGAAATGGCTTTTTTTCAGTTTATGATAACTAGTTGGACCATACCCATGACGATCGGAATCTCTGTACTACGCTTGAGTCTGTTCTAAATTTTGTTTGCTCATCCTTTGAATATGATGCGTGGATCGTTGAAACTGCTTTCTTGCCAGTCTGACTAGAGATCGAGAGAAAATGGTTCGGTGAGAAAATCAGGGCCATCCCGAGTCTGGGTCTCGGCGAGAGGATGACCCCATCTTTCCGAGTCTCGTGAGATCCTGTATTACATTTCAATCGCCACCTTGAACGGAAATACTCTGCTGGTTCGGCGGGCTAATCAATAAATCAGGAAGAATATAACTGTCGATATCCATCACCTTCGAAATACACCCATAAAACCTCGCAGTTTGCGAAACTTCGGCTCTACATTCCCTCGCGAAGAGTCCTTCGAGGCGTGTTGAGTCTGCTCTTTTGATTCCTTCCATTCATCAAGCATCGTGACTGAAGATATGGCGTCTGGGTGATCTGAACCGAGGACCTCCAGGCGACGCTCTGCACATGTTTGCATAAGGGCTATGGCTTGTGAAGTCTTTCCCATATGTTTAAGAGTACGGGCCAGAGTATGCATGCTATGGAGAGTACCGGGATGTGCCGGGCCAAGGAGCTGTTTCTGAGCCTCTAGCACCTGGACTCCTAGCTTTTCTGCTTCCTCCCATCGCTGTTGATAGTGGTAGGTCAGTGCAAGGCTGACCATGCTGTTTAGCGTATCCGGACTTCCTGGCCCAAGCACCCTCTTTCTGATGTTCAATGCCTGAAGCTCTACCTGTTCTGCTTCGTTCCATTTCGACTGAAACTGGCATGTACCGGCGAGAAGGCCCATACTATCGAGAGTATCGGGATGTTCTGGACCCAGTACTCGCTTTCGGATCTCTAGAACGTGCGCAGCGAGTTCCTCTGCTTCCTTCCATTGTCCTTGTTGCTGGTAAAGCGGTATGAGGTGGGACATGGTGATCAAGGTTTCCTCGTGCTCTGACCCTAGGACCCTCTTCTGTGTCTCGAGTGCTTGGGACACAAGCTCTACCGCTGGCCTCCATCGTCCTTGGCTGTAGTGTATTGTGGCGAGGTTGACCATGCTGACCAAAGTAGCAGGGTGCTCCAACCCTAGAACTTCTTTCCGGACCTCGAGTGCTTGAGTTTCCAGCTCTTCCGCTTTCTTCCATTTGAACTGCAACATATAGTTGGACACCAAGTGGTTCATGCTGGTCAAAGTGGAGATATTTTCTGGCCCTAGTATCCGTGTCCGAATCTCCAAAACCTGGACCTGCAGCCTTTCTGCTTCGGCATACCTCCCCTCACGACACATGGACGCAGCCACATTCTTGATGATCTCGGTATAATTCTCACGCTCAGTCTGAAATGTGCTATCGGCCAGCAAGAACAACGCGTGAGGTAGATACGCCCTCCAAACCTGGCGGTTCTCATGCTTATTACTCGGGAAGAGATTGGTCAATCTGACGGCTGTCTTTGTGAGATACACCTCGTATCGACCCTCCTTTCGCAGCCAGTTTCGGGTTGCCAGATGCACCAAGCGATGTAGGGTGATATTACGATTGCCAGGATTCATGGTAATTAGAGAGTACGCGCTGAGAAGACCAAGAGCGTCGATCGTCTGCAGCTTAGACGCCGTTGGGAGAAGCGATTGCGGGATATCGCGCGGATTGACACATGCCATGAATTGTAGGTATTCAGCAGCGAGTCCGTTCAACTTCTCAATCTGGCTGAACGACACCAGCCAGGTCTTGGCTACAGGATTCTGCGCGTCCTTATACCGCCGCTCATCCATAAAGTCTTTGCTTAAGAGCTCAACGACATCTGTCTCCTGTTCCTGTAGAAGGACTAAGTAGTCAGAGACTGTAATGCCCTTCTTGTTGATATACGCCGTAGCCTGGCTGATGGCTAGTGGGAGAAATTCGAGTTGTTCAAGCAATTCGATCATGGTCTGATGGTCATGAGGTAAATTCCTGAGAAGAGACTTTTTCAGAAATTCCACCCCCGACCTTTCGTCGAGTTGACGAACATCTACGATGTCGGAAGATACCAAGTCGACGGCTAGCTCTCTATTTCGGGAGGTGAAGACGACATGGCCCTGCTTGCTGGATGGAATGTAGTCTCTTAGTGGGGGGTTATTGTCCGTGCTATTGGTCCACATGTCCGTATCGTCGGCATTGTCGAATATAAGAAGCCACTTTGTGCTGGATTGTTGGAAGTACGTCTTCAGCTGCTGTTTTACCTCTGTTGGTTTTGCGACCTGGATCCCAAGCATTTCAGCGATAGTCAAGCAGGCCTGTTCAACGGCCTCGTAGCTGGTGCATGGGATCCAGAAGATCGAACAGCCTGACTCTCTATCTCGCATTCGGTAAGCCAATTCAAGCGCAATTTGTGTCTTCCCAACTCCTCCTAACCCCGCAATGGCGATCTTTGCTGGCCCGTCTGGGTGAGACATCATGTCCTCCACTTGTCGGAGTTCACTCTCCCGGCCGACAAACCGCATGTTACGCTCGAATGGGACCATCAAGTGACGTGTCGTTCTTGCATCTAGTACTATTAGTATGATGCACGGTATGATTGAACGATCTTCTAACCTTCTTGCTTTGTCGGCATCCAGTATTCCAAGAACGCCTTTGCCGCCGACGCCCCAGTTGCCGCCGCATACGCTTGCCATAATTTGTTTTTATGACTATCGGCGTAGTCACAGACGCCTTTGATAATAATACAAGGGATATTATCCCACACTCCTGAACCTTCCATCTCAAAGCCAATCACTTGCTCCTTCCGGACGATTTCATCGCGGTGCTGCCCAGACTTCATCACTGTATCCGCGGAGGCGACCGTCCCGATGTATATTGAGGGCCGAGTGGCTTCCGACACCATTCGACATCTGATCGCTCGGCCTTTGTCACAGATGAGCTCATCGCAGTTCTGGCCCAATGCCACATCGCAGATTTCATCGTTTGAGCGGTTATTCAGGCAGGAGCAACCAGTGGGAACTGAGCCAGGGCTGTAATGCTTATGAACGTACGACGACTCGAACAGGATATCTGTAACTCGGGGATGCTGCCATCTTGTTCCTGTTTGCTGAAGTGTTTGAAGGTATTGCTGTGTCTGCTCCTGGAACTCCCGGCGCGTGTTCTCCGCACGAAGACCGTTCAGAAGTGTCCGAATCCTTCGAACCGGCCGCCCGAACGTGTCTTGGATATGGCCGGTCTGGCGTTGAAAGCCCCCTGGATACTGTTTGCCGAAGTCGTACTGGAGTACGGAATCGCTAATGATCACGTCGCCAAGGAATATCTCTTCATATCTCGGTGGTGGTGGGCCGCCTCCACAGATGCCCACAACCAGGGCGAGCTCGATGCCCGTGTAGCTCACTAGCAGGCTCGAGGCGACCGCCGCACTCTCTTTCCCCATTCTTCGCATGTAGCATAGAACGACGTTGTGCTTCCCAATCCGCCCATTGACATATGCGTTTGCGTCGCCTTGCTGCACACCATAGTATTTCCCCAGTCTGTCATAATGCTCATCGAATAGGGCTTCAACGGCTTCTGCTTCGAGGGGAAGGGCGCAGATAATCGCGATTGTGAATTCTTTGCGGGTTCGTGGGCGCATCGCACTTGAGTGGAGATGATTGATACCATATTCCTGGCGAGACTTTCTTAGAACTGATGCGAAGTTTGGCTCAAGTCGCGGGAGCCCAGCTATATGACCCTCTAAGCGCCGGGCAGGGAGGGGTAATACAGTGCCAGCTAAGACTGCGCACGTGCCTCGCAGGTTTATTTTTTATTTTTTTTTGCACCAGAGCCTTGCATTACGGCGCTAACCTGTTCACTAAAGAGTAATAATAGCCAATCATTCATGGACTAATTAGGCATGGGACAGAATAATACCATAAATAGCTATAGCTGAAACTCACCACCTATTATGTTATGGAATAGTAGCTAAGGTACTACTAGCTAATAAGAGGTCTAGACGAGCTCGTTCAACACTATTTCTGGAAGTCGCTCCACGAAACACCCTACGACAGCCGGTGTAGGTATAGTATTGTCCTCCTTGAGGCGAGGACAGAAATCTCCCACAATTTGTTTTTTTATATATAACGATAGGTGGAAAGAAATGAAATCAAGCATCTTTGGCAATGCGTAATCTCAAACACAGATTACCTACCTATCTATGTAGTCACGTAGGCGACCCGCGAATGGAAAGCCCAGGGTGGGCAGGGGTTTGCATGCCTTCAAGACGAGACATGCTCAGACCCCGGCTTATCTTCCATGTCGCCCTTGTCCCCGTCGCAGACCTTCACTGCCCTTCCAAGGCTCGGACTGTTCTCCATGAGGACCTTGAAGTTGCGCTCTGCATCCCAATTCCAGGGAGTGTTGGCGGCAAACAGCAGATCCATTTCCTCGAGTGTGCGCTGGTTCGACTCGGGGTACAGGGCCCAAACCATGGGAATGGAGATCGCATTGGCTATGCCGAAGATGTACAGCGTCTTTTCACCGATTGCTGAGAACATGACGGGGCAGAGGAGGGTCTGTTCCAGTTAGACTTGTACATACTGGACTCGCCTGGTATTGACTTGATCCTCTCATTAGGGTTAGACTCACCAACCATCCATTCCCAATACTCCACCCCACAACCCCCCACGCATTGCCCTTGGCCCGGACCGCGAGCGGGAAAATCTCCGCCGGGTACAGCCACGGGACGGTCAGCCACGTGGCACCGAAGATGAATGTGAAGATAAACACCATGGACGCGGCCGCTGCGCCATAGGATGCTGCGTGCTCCGCGGTATCAGCTTGTTGGCAGAGGTAGGAGAACCCCCCAGCGAGGAACATGGCGATGCCCTGGCCAACGGAGCCCCAGTAGAGGGTCCAGCGGCGGCCGATCCGATCGAGAGTGAAGACGCAAATTAGGGTTGAGAACTATTAGGGGAAAGAGAGTATCAGTCAGGCGAGCTGGAATGTGAAACGGGGCTCACTGTACGTACCATGTAGAAGATATTGTTCAACCCGCTTACCCACTGGCTCTTCTCTGTGCTGAAGCCTGCCATGCGGAAGATAACAGGTGCGTCTACAGTCGCCTCTCATGTTAGGTCTGGTCTTCCAGTGGAAACTTTGCCTGAAACCCTGGTTGGCGCAGGTACAAGCTATTTGGGCAACTTACAAATCGTCACCCCAGCAATCCCCACCCATTCCTGCATAATCTGGAGCCACACAACAAGTTGCACGCGGCGTCCAATATGCAGATCCCCAGATCCTCGTCCCGTAATCATCGCGAGGTACGACGTATTGAACTCCCTCGTCTTTTCCAACTCGGCGATATTGCAGATATCCTGGAATTCCGCCTCTGCCGTGACAGCATCACCACGCAGGCGGCCAAGAATATACCGCGCTTCCTGCTCACGGCCCATCTTGACAAGCCACCGCGGGGACTCGGGGAAAAACCACACAGCGACAAGGAGGATTATCAGAGGGATGATCTGGAACGCAATGGGAAATCGCCAGCGGAATGCGGAATTACCACCGTCGATGAAGGAAAGGCCGCTGCAGGTGTACTTGTAAGTTATATAAAACACGACCATTTGCCTAAAACATCTAGTCGGGAACTCACAATTCAATCCAGTATGCGACCACAACGCCGAAAATGTTTAGGGTAAACTCCATGGCGATGAACTGGCCTCGTGAGGTATACTCGGCGGCCTCGGTAGCCCAGACCGGGACGATGGCATTCAGAATTCCAGTGCCAACTCCGTTCACCAGGCGGGCTACATTGTCATTATGGTTTTGTTAGTATCCGATGCTCGAGTCCCCAGGGAAGACGAAGAAGAAGTACAAGATATAAAGCAAAATGAGGACACACGCACCACAAATAATCCAAACATGATCCCCCGCAGAACACTGAAGGGCAGCACCGACAATCGCCCAAACCGCGCCGACGGCAATAGTCATGATACGTCCAAACTTCTCTCCAAACCATCCGCCACCGAGCCCTCCAACCAAGGTACCTAGGTAGTACACAGAGACAATCCCTCCCTGCAGGAGACTGTTCGTGATGACCGGCACGTTGCGGTCGCCGTCAATGGTGGCCGTGTGACCGATGCCCATCAGCTCAATGTAGTCCTTGGCATTGTTGACGCCGCCCATCATGCCCTGGTCATAGCCGAAGAAGAAGATGGACAGGCCGGCGATGCAGTTGATGGCGATAAGGAGGCTGCGTTTCTCGAGCTTGTGGACGATGTTCCACCGGTGGATTGTGGAGTTGGACTCGCTCATGGTTGCTGCTGCGAGAGGTAGTAAGTCGGTAGGTGCATCAATCGGAAATCAAAAGAGCAATATAAGCAAGGAAAAGTGGAAGTGGTGTAGACAATGGGATATGCGTCCAACGGGGTTTATATACCCAGATACGCGCTGGTAGCTAGTGTGATCTCAGCACTCCGCGCCCCAGACTTACCCCGACTTGAAAAAAAAAAGCCGGGGATACGACGGTAAAAAGCGCCATTCTGTCCGTCTTCCCTAATTTTTCGAGGGTGTAAACGTGCAATGTTCGATACGATGCCGTGGGTCGTGACGGGCAAAACGCCGTTTTGGCCGTTGACAGTGGAGTCCAAGTCGGTCGGTGGAGCGTCGTTCCCACTTGCACCAATTCAGCTCTTGTAGCTACAACCTACCGTTCCAGAACTCCAGATACTAGTTGTGAGTCTACAGGTTGCACGGAGATACAGTACGCGGTGCCCGGATAAAAAAAGAAATTGACGTGAGCACTGGGAGAGAGGAGTGTACAGGGTCCCAGGGGGGTTTACAAAGTACATAAGGTCAGTGGCAATCCAACGATATATTTTTGTGATTTTGCATTTCTCAACATACAATCGAGTATCATAACTGGTAATCTGTTCAGCCATGGGATCCCTATCCGACAACAACACGGTAAGCCGTTCAACAAAGCCATAATGCACACAGACGTTATACATCTAACGCAAATCAAACAGAATCCCTCCCTCGTCCTCGAAAAGGTCCAAAGTCTGAAATTCCAGGACCGGCCAATACCACAGCTTCAAAGCCCGTACGATGTGCTGGTCGCTGTCAAGTTCACTGGAATCTGCGGCAGTGATGTGAGTTTCCAGTCTCTTTTCATGCCTTGCCTGTTACAATGCAGGAATGTCTATGTGTCCATTTGCAAGCTTGGTTTCTAGCTAACATGCTCTGGACTTGGATTATTGTAGGTTCACTACTGGCAACGCGGCAGCATCGGCCCCTTCGTCGTAGAACAACCCGTCGTCCTCGGCCACGAGTCCTCCGGAATCGTCACGCAAATCGGCTCCAAAGTCTCAACTCTCAAAATCGGGGACCGCGTCGCGCTCGAACCCGGAATCCCCTGCCGCCGCTGCACCCTCTGCAAGGCCGGGACCTACAACCTCTGCCCTGATATCGCCTTTGCCGCGACACCACCATATGACGGCACCCTGGCGAAATACTACTGCCTGCCGGAGGACTTGTGCTACAGGCTCCCCGATACCGTCAGTCTGGAAGAGGGTGCGCTCGTCGAGCCGCTGAGCGTCGCAGTGCACCTTGCCCGGCAGGGTGCCGTTAACCCACGATCCTCAGTTGTGGTATTCGGCGCCGGGCCCGTAGGGCTGCTGTGCTGCGCGGTGGCTAGGGCGTTTGGGGCGCCGAAAGTTGTTGCGGTTGATATCCAGCGCGGACGGCTGGAGTTTGCACATGTGTTTGCGGCGACGGGGACCTTTCTCCCGGCGGCAGACAGCCAGTCTTTAGAGAATGCGGATGCGCTGCGCCGGGAGAACGGTCTTGGACTCGGCGCTGATGTGGTCATTGACGCGTCGGGGGCCGAGGCCTCGATCCACACGGGGATCCATGTCCTCAGGCCCGGGGGCACGTATGTACAGGGGGGTATGGGCCGGGATGAAGTGCGGTTTCCAATCACGGCTGCGTGTACTAAGGAGCTGAAGGTCAAGGGGAGTTTTCGGTATGCGAGTGGGGACTACCAGCTTGCCATTCAGCTCATTGCGAGTGGGGCGGTCAGGGCTCGGGATCTGATCACAGGAGTTGTCAAGTTTGAGGATGCAGAGCGGGCGTTTGAAGATGTCAAGGCCGGCAAGGGGATCAAGACGCTTATTGCTGGTGTTGAAGACTGACCTTGGAGCTGAGGTTGGGTGTGAATATAGACTCCAAGTACGACATGTATCGAAATGAATAGTCCCATTTTTTCACCATAGTACATCTATGCAGAGCAATTTGTTCTGTATATACCCAAAAGCATAAAACCACGCCTCCAGACTCTCTAGCATAAAAGCTTTTCCCTTGGCGAGGTTGAAATTTAAGATATCAAGTCCTAGAGATCACGACTCCAGCACCTATCACTCCCCAAGCTACTTGGTATTATGCTATTTTCCTTGGTTTCATCAAAAGTCGGGTTGACCCGCTCAGCGACAAGATCAAGTCTAGCCCAGCTCGGGCGACCGAGCACAACTGCATCTGGAACCATTTTTGCGGAGAACCGGCGAAACGGCGTAAATCCCCAAACAGTCACTGGCTCCACTTGGAAGCGACAAGACGGGCTGGACGGCGAAAACCCCGTGTTTGCCAGGTTCTAGAATATGGTAGCCACGAACAATGGCCAGACAGTAATGTGCAAGGCAGGCGACGGACAGCTCAGCCTAGAGATGGAAGGACGCGTTCTGTATCAAATGATTTTATATTTGGCTCGTCTTGCACTCGGGGCTTTCCCACCTGCTTCCTGATCCTTTCTCTTCCTGACCCACGCCCAATCCGAAACCATGCAACTCCAGAAATCCTACTACATCGGCGTGGATGTCGGAACGGGCAGTGCCCGGGCCTGTGTCACCGACGACACCGGCGACATTGTCAGTCTGGCTTCCGAGGATATCCGCCTTTGGAACCCCCAGCAAGAATACTATGTACGTGCTGTATCTAGCTCTGGCGATTCGATTCACCCACAGTTGAACGATAGCCTTTGGCTTGGCGCAAACAAACTGCACTGACCGAACTGACTGACACATTCTGCGTAATCGCATTAGGAACAATCCACAACCGACATCTGGCGCAGCATCTGCTCATCCGTGCGCCGCGCCATAGCCGACGGGAATATCGACCCCGACGAAGTGCGCGGCATGGGCTTCGACGCAACGTGCTCACTCGCGGTATTCGACAGCGAGACCGACGAGCCAGTCTCCATCAGCAGCCCCGGATTTGACACGGACCGCAACGTGATTCTCTGGCTGGACCACCGCGCGATGCGCGAGACAGAAGAGATCATCAATGCGACCGGCCATAAGGTGCTTCGGTATACCGGGGGGAAAATGTCGCCCGAGATGGAAATTCCCAAGATCCTCTGGTTGAAGAGGAATATGGCCGCGGATGTCTTTGCGAAATGCAAGTTTTACGATTTGGTGGATGCGCTCACGCACATTGCCACGGGTGGAGAGGAGACGAGGAGCCTCTGTAGCCTTGTTTGCAAGCAGGCGTACCTTCCCAAGGGGGTCGAGGGGAGTACGCAGGGCTGGCAGCGGGACTTTCTCGAGGAGATTGGATTGGGCGATTTGGCTGCTCGTGAGTTTGAGCAGATTGGTGGTGTTGACGGAGATGCGAGTTGATCGTCCATTCTACTACGGGTTGATCAAGCAGCTGACTTTGATTATTTTAGACTGGGCATCATCTTCACGCTGGAGATCTCGCAGGCGTACTCTGCGATAAAGCCGCAAAGGAACTCGGTTTGCCGGCGGGAATCGCGATCGGCAGCGGCGTCATCGACGCATACGCAGGCTGGATAGGAACAATCGGCGCAGACGTCGACCTCGACGAGGAGAAGGAAGAAGTAGAAGAAGAAGAAGATAATAACTCAACTGCAAAAACAAAGGACCGACAGCGGTCGAGAGTATTTACCCGGCTGGCAGCCGTCGCAGGCACCTCCACGTGCCACCTCGCCATGTCCCCGCGTGCGGTCTTTGTCGCGGGGATCTGGGGCCCCTATCGTGATACAATCTTCCCAGGCTGCTGGATGGCAGAAGGCGGCCAGTCGGCAACGGGCCAGCTGCTGAAACATGTTCTGGAATCTCACCCAGTATACAAGCACGCAGTGTCTGCTGCGGATGAGCTGAAGATGAACATTTTCCAATTCCTGAATGGCCACCTGTATGCGATGGCCCGGGATAGGGAGGCCTCGAGCATAGCATACCTCGCCCGGCACTTCTTTTTCTATGGAGACTTATTCGGCAACCGCTCTCCACTAGCAGACTCCACGATGACTGGAGCGATCGTCGGCCTCACAAGCGACACATCGCTCGACGGGCTTGCAATCCACTACTACGGCACGCTAGAGTTCATCGCCCTGCAGACGCGCCACATCGTCGAGACGATGAACGCATCCGGCCACGCCATCCGCTCAATATTCATGTCTGGGTCGCAGTGCCAGAACGAGATTCTGGTGAATCTTATCGCGTCGGCATGCCGCATGCCTGTTGTGATTCCGCACTATGTCACCGCGGCTGTCTGCCACGGGGCAGCAATTCTTGGTGCAAGAGCAGCAGCATTGGCAGCAGGTGGTGGTGATGGTGCAGGCTCAAACGCTACTACTAAGGGCGAGCCACGAGTGGACCTGTGGGAGGTGATGCAGAACATGAGCAAACCGGGCAAAGTATTTTACCCGACGGAGAGGCAGGATGAGATGGCGCTGCTTGCGGTCAAGTATCAGGTGTTTTTAGACCAGGCTTGTAAACAGAGGGAGTATCGCTCTATGGTGGACAAAGCTCTTAATGAATGACCAAATAGTTTGGGAGCGAGTAATGGAATAACGCATTAGTGGAAGGATATATTGTACTTAGTATTTGCGCGATGGCCGTCGCTGCGATTTGAAAAGCTTCATTACCCGTAAAGGGCGTTAACCTGCCCAAAGTAAGTAAGATTCAGACTTGGATTCCTTTGCGATAGAGATATTCTTTCCTTCCACGTAGGGCATAATACTACAAAATGGTACGTATTATCCCGTTTCTTCGATCAGCTCCATCAGCACCTGTCTCGCGCGCTTGATATCCGCAGCTTCATCCTCCCAGTATGTCAGAGCCTCAAGGGTCTTTGTGAAATGACCTCTCAGATCTTCTTCAGCAAGGTCAATCCCTGGCACATCCAGATTCCCACTCTTGACGAGCGCAATGACAATCAGCGAGGCGGTCACCAGGGCTCGGAGGTCGAACCAGATGCCGTGGTGGCGGTGGCGGAGACATCGCGCCTGGAGGATTTGCATACAGCAAGTGAAACCGGACTGGGCCAGGGCCTGCATCGATGCTGCCTCACCCGCGGTGAGATTGGAGGGTGCTGCTACTCCAGTGGTCATTGGGTGATGGATGGCAAAGTAAAGAAATGGTTGGTATAGCCAGAGCCGGATTTCGAGCAAGCGGTTGCCGATGGCCCAACTGAGTTCTAGGGAGATCGAATCGTGCAAGTCATGGTTGCTGCCATGTCCTCCGCCTGCAGCTGTTGCATGACCTGTTGGGCTATTGGCATTATTGCCGTAGTACTGCATCGCGGGAGGCAAGTTCGCCGCCCATGCATTGATTTGCGACTCGAATTCCAGCGCAATGGGAATAAAAGGCTTCAGGGTCGACCAGGTCGACGCAGGCCTGTTACCTCGGTAGAAGGCGTTGAGAACGCGATTTGCGATGCGTCGCAGCGCGACCTCGGTCAGATAGTAGTACCAGCTTTGCTCTTCATCGAAGAGTTGGATAATATGGCGGCGCGCTTCAAGATCCGGTCGGTCGAATAGCCGATGCTGCTGAGTATGTGCAGTGCGGCGATCCTCGTCGAGCGACCCGGGCGGGAATTGGTCGTTTCCAGGATAGTCGCCGGAGAGGGTCGGCGGGGTCGGAAACAAGGTAGGGTATTCGAATTCCGCTATTGCAGATTGTGGCAGTGGAAGCTCGACGCGTATCTCGACCTCGGATTTGAAGCATGACCAGTACAGACTTTGCTCGAGTCGGCGGGCCACGGAGTCATGCTGGGTTTCTGCGTCATGTGCGGACATGTCATCGATACTGAGACCCTCTATGAGTCGGAGACGGAGCCGGTAAAACGTCGAAGCCTGCGAAAAGTGATTCCAGGCAGCAAGTGGGCGAAAGGTGTACATCAGGTAGACTGCAATGCAACCAATCAGCTGAGAAAGAAATATTTCGGCAAGGGATCCAAACCATACCACCAGCAAAGAAGTGACACTGCGCGCCTATCACCGAGTGGCGGAGGAGGCCGATTCGACGACAGGCCAGTACGAAGAAAGTCTCCCCATCGCGCAAGTCGGCCGCCGACACGGGAATGAAAGAGCCCGGTCTCGCTTGGTCGTGATATAATCTCTCCATTTGGGACGCGTTCATCGAGTGGGTAAAGGGATGTGAGATACTCCCAAGGGCACAGGCCAGAAGCACAAGGCAAGAGTGGGCATCCCATTGCAGGCCAAATTCAGCAGCCCGTCGCCCCGACTGAACGAGAGCCTCCAAGTCCAGAATAGGGTTTTTTGTATGCACGTTCTGGATGAACCGGTCGACTAATGCGGGGATATTCTCAGTTGGAGGAGACTGGAAGCCACTGGGAACAATCCAAGTGTCGGTGTGCCTGCTGCTCTCGCCCCCATGCGGGGACTGGAAGAGCGTAGTAACTAGGGAGCTGTCGCGGAACCGTCCACCAAAGATGGGCCATGTAAGGATGGTGTCTGCACTTCCGCCACATGCAGGGACTTGCAAATAGTCCCGCTGCGACTCGGCAGCTCCAGTGGCGAAGCCAGTATTGATGCCGCACTCCGAAGGTGGACAGATCTGTGGGAACGCAATTGCATTCGGATTCGCATTTGTGCTGGCACCCGAGGCAAGCAGGGACCTAATATTCTCAACCTCACGAGACAATTTCTCAAGTTGCTCGGTTACTCTGGTCATGTTGCGGTCCCTGCGAGCTGGATATTAGCAGGACATCTCGCTGCTCGAAGAAAGACTAGGTTACTCTTTTTCATGCTCTCCACGTTCAGCGTAGGCGCAAGGAAAGTCGTTGGCCTGGCAGAATCCGCATGCTGGGCGTGCATTGTCACAGCGGACTTTGCGTTTTCTGCAGGTTTGGCAGGCTGCTGCCCGTCGCCGCATTGGTCGCGACATACTTGGGCCAGGAAGAGGACGAGGACTGTCGAGTATTTCTTGGGCGAAGTGCTTCCCGTGTTCTATAAGCACAAGTGACGAACATATTTTCTTCGTACTGACTTTCGGTGGTCAGTGGCTGACTGGGTCACATGACCATCGATGGAATTGACAAAATCTCAAATTCTTGTAAATTTGATTATGTAATAGACATCCAAATTAGGTAACACACGTGAGCTACAACCATAAAAGCTCTCACTACCGAGGTTTCTCAGAATTGGCGGCGTCAGGTGATTTCCCTGCCCGCCGTGACAGTATTAGCCCCCACTGCAATTGGCAGCTCTTGAGGCAAACAGGGAGAAGGAACATGATGCCTAAGAACTGTATCGCAGGAAGCTATCTAAGGGAGTTCGTGGTATTGAGCGAGAAGAATAATCTTAATATCGGAAACCACTTTGCCACTAAGCGAAGCTGCCGCGCAAGGGGGGAAAGGGTTGGTCGACATGTGGCCAGGATCATGGGGCAAAATAAACACTGCTTTTCCTTTTAGAAATAACTACTTTCCACCCTTGCTGGGCGCTATAACCGCGGTCCATTATCAAGCGGCACTCTTATTCACCTCGCTGACGTTTACTCCAACAGACAGGGGATGAGGATTCTCTTGATCAAGCGTGAATAAGAGCGCCATGGAGGTTGTGTAAACCACCTCGCAGCATTCCTGCTTTTGCTCCTCAAGCAAGCGGGAGGAAAGAACTTATGTCCAGGCAAATGACAGAATACCTCAATAATTAGGCGATTTTCCGAGGTTGATTGGGACGACCTGGCGTGGTTGAGGCCCAGGCCCTCTCAGCATCCTGGTAACGCAGCGCTGGATACGGATTAGAATCGGCAGTACGACGTTCTTTTCCGCTAGGTTGACCCTGCAATTTCCTTCGGTGTGGAAGGTGGAGCTTGACCTGGTCAACATCACCTTCCCAGTGGATAGTGTAGCTTCAAAAGCTTGGAACTTTCCAGTGGGAATTTTAGGGACTTGAAACAGCATATCCCGGAGGTTAAACGGCATAACACCATATCCAAGGTCTGACATGTATTAGAAAATAATACTAATTATATCCTGGTTAAGTAATTGAATGGGACGCGTGCTGTGCGTAGCTCCCTAGTATTCCTATGTATTCACGGCTTTGCTTCTCTTCAAATGCTATTTTTGACCCCATGTTTTCGGGTAATCACAGATACTAGTAGCAGGTAGATAACCAATCTTCATGCGGGAATTGTATTGGTCGATATTTTAAAATAGGCTCTTATGCAAGTTTAATTTGAAACCTCTTAATCAAGCAAAAAAACCTCGAAGCTCATGATGGATTGCGACTAAATATAGGCAAGAACGCACCGAATTGCGCACCTAGCCCTTCTCCGAGCCTTGAGGCCAGGATGCTCTCATCTGTTCCGTCCTATTAGGGCCCGCGTCCATTATACTGATTCTGACTATGCTCAACATGCTCAACAAGCTCAATACCCTTCTTGGCGGTAGCAACCTGCTCAAACGCACTCTCGGTGTATCTCGCCGCATTATCCATGCGCTGCCGCTTGCTTACTCTGCGAACCCCCTTCCAGCTGATGAGAGCATTATCTCCATCGAAAATTCCCGACACTTCCTCCAGACTCAAGTTGGCCGTCTCTGGCAGGTACAGGTAGACGACCACAAAATCAAACGCGAGCAGCACGACATAGGTGATGTAGTACCGCCAGCCGATGGAATCCATTGCAATCGGGTTCACGTACCCGTTGAAAATCCCCGCCAGATTCTGCGCCAGGCTAAAGATCATCGATGCCTTGCTGCGCAGCGAATACTGCGGGATCTCCATGACCAAAGTATACACCGCGGGGGAGAAAAAAATGCGACCCCGCTTGGAAGATGAAGATCATGAGCAGGACAGCCGCGGAAAGGCCTTTGTTTTCGTAGTTGGCTTGCTCGGCTTTGGCGGAGCAGATGGTCCAGAGCAGGAAGGCGACGAACATGATGCCCAGGGCGATCAGGAGCTGCAGCCGGCGGCCGAACTTCTCGACGGTGCTGACGAAGAGACCCGATGTTAGGATGGACCAGATCTGGAGGCCCACATTGATGAGCAGGATCTGTTTCTCGCTTTCGATACCGATGGACTTCAGAACGAGGACCAAATAGTAGCTCACCAGGGCGTTGCCCTGGAGCTGACGCACGAATCCGAGGAAGATAATCAAGCACAGTCGGTAAAAGTTGCCCGGGGAGCTGAACCACTGTTGCCATCGCGAGGCCTTGTTCAGTTTCTCGGCCTCGATCGCAGCAGAAATCTCGACCATTTCGTGCTGGACCAGGGGCGAATTGGGATCGCCGAGTCCGTGATACTTGACGAGGATCCTTTCGGCTTCCTCTGCGCGATTCTGGTCCACGAGCCAGCGTGGCGATTCCGGCGTGAAAAAGACCAAAACAATCTGTACCAGTGGTAGGGCGCCTTGTAGTAAACTGGGAAGACGCCATGCCCATGTCGAGCTCATCTTGAAGGTGCCATATGTTGCCAAGGCAGCAATGAGAGCGCCTACTGGCCAGAAGATGGCTATCATGGCAGTGATGACTGCTCGATGCGTTGGATACGAGACCTCGGCCAGGAGGAGCAGCGACACAACACCAAGAATACCTGTGCCCATTCCGACGATAAAGCGAGAGACCACGAAAGTGTCAAAGTTCTGTGCTGCAGTCTGCACGATTGTGCCGATTATAATGAGGATGGTGCTTCCGAGGAGAGGCCAGCGCCGGCCAAAGCGCTCGCAGAGCCAGAAAGAGATGAAGATAGTGATCAGGTTGCCGTACGCGAATCCGTTGGACATGGTGCCCAATCTTGCGCCCGCCGGGTGGTCAAAGTACGTGGTCCAGGACGGAACCGCCTGGAGGCCGTTCATCATTGATCCATCAAATCCCGTGGTGGCCCATGCGAGTAGAGCAGAAAAGAGGCCCAGATTGAGCTTGACCAGCTCCGGGTATTGCCACCAGTGCTTGGGCAGTTTTGCTAAAGTGTTGACATCGACTCGGCCGGCCGTCTCTTCGGGGCGTTGCACATGTTCAGTGCTTTGCCTAGTCTGGCTGTTCGGTGGGTTGTCCATGACAGGAGTTTGAAAATAGAAAAGGTAGTTCAACGTAGGCTTGCAGTGAATTACCGATTGAGTTACTTAATAGTGGAAGGTAACCGGCGTTTTATGTGTTCCAAAAAGTAGATGGCGATATTGTACGTACCCCAGAGTCCGACTGGCGGCCTGTCCCGACTCTCCACTCGGGACTTTCCCGTTTCTGGGCAACCCATGTCAGCATTGCAGGGTTTCTCCGGACTCCAACTCGATCGCAGTGCTCCCAACGCCCTGATTCGAGATCCCCCATGAAGCCTCCGACCTCAAGGTTCGACCACGGAATACAGGTGGCCGAAACATCGACAATACCCTACGAAGAGCGTCTTCGGATACAGGCGGCATACCGGGGGCTGGCCGATATGGAGGTCCACCTTATGATTAAACAGGGGGCCTACCTTTCCTACAGAGTAAACACGCTATAATACTTAGTTTAGTGGCAGTGGACTACCTCGTATTGCCCTGTCTGACAATCCTTACCCCGAGATGGCCGACCCCTTTCAGTCTAGCACCTGTATCATGGGATCCGTCCCATGTCTTACATATCTTTTCAGTTCGCAGCAACATGATTACTGCCTGGAACTGCTCCAAAGGAGCGACACCAACCTGCATCCTTTTTTTTTTCCACCAATTGCTCCGCATCGTTCCGCCAGTATGTCTGTCACCGTCAATATTCTCGCGTCAATATCTTGATTTTACCGACGTTAAATAGCCCTCTCTCATCTAAAGTGTTCTGAGGAACCAACAAACACCGCTAAGATGAACAATCCTACAGCTCATTCTTTCACTCCCCCTCCCGAGGGAGACCTGTGTGACCCCAACCTTTTGGAACGAAACCGGCTGCCTCCCCGTGCCTTCTTTCTCCCACCGGAACATCGTCGCATCAACCTCAACGGCCAATGGCAGTTTTCCTACTTTCCCACACCGACTGCCGCCTGGAGATCCGTCATAGAGGCAACAACTCCATGGAAAGAGATTCAGGTCCCCGGCCACTGGCAGCTACAAGGTTACGGCGCCCCGCAATACGCGAATGTCCGCTACCCGTTCCCCGTCGACCCCCCAAACATTCCCGCGCACAACCCCACAGGAGTCTATCAGCGCCTCGTCGAGATCCCCGAGGATTGGAATAGTGGCCAGTATAAGCTGCGGCTTCGTTTTGAAGGCGTGGACAGTTGCTATCATGTGTACTTGGACAACCAGCTGCTGGGATATAGCCAGGTCAGCCGGAATGCGGCCGAGTTCGACATCACCGAACACACGGCAGCCGCCGCCCAGGAGTCAGGACGGCGTGCTATGAGCCTTCTCGTCTTTGTCTACCAGTGGTGCGATGGATCCTACCTCGAGGACCAGGACCAGTGGTGGCTGTCTGGGATCTTCCGTGACGTGCATGTGCTTGCCTTCCCGGCGGCGATTCATATTCAAGACTTTACACTCACCACCGATCTGGACTCTGCGTACAGGAATGCCGTGCTTACGGTTGATGTTGAATATGCAGCAGCAAGAGCAGCCTTGGTCGCATCACAGGACGTTTCCCTCCACATCCAAGTGAGCGATCCCCACAGCAGGGAAGTGGTCGCTGAGGATTCGGTCAGCTTCAACCCATCCGCTTCTGGAGCTCACCGGCGTTCCCTGAGAGTCTCCCACCCAAAGAAATGGACCGCAGAAACTCCGCATCTCTACGAATTCTGCATGAGGTTGTTAAGCCAAGGAGGAGAAGAAGTCGACAGTGTCCGGCAACGCATCGGGTTCCGCAAGGTGGAGATCTTGCGCGGCAACATCACCGTCAATGGCGTTCCAATCCTGCTCAACGGGGTGAATCGCCATGACCACCACCCTCGGTATGGACGTGCAGTCCCTGTTGACTTCATGCGGCGCGATTTGCTCATCATGAAGCAGCATAATATCAACGCTGTCCGCTGCTCGCATTACCCCAATGCCCCCGAGTTCTACGATATGTGCGATGAGCTGGGCATCTGGGTCATGGACGAAGCGGACCTCGAGTGCCACGGGTTCATCGAGTCGGTGATCCATGATGAGAATTACCCCGAGGGTACAAGCTGGAGCGATATCAAGCACAAGTGCTTCGCTCGCTCCTCGGAGTTTCTATCGGAAAATCAGTTATGGCGCAAGGCCTATCTTGACCGTGCAGAGCGCTTGGTGAAGGAGAACAAAAACCACACGAGTATTATAATCTGGTCTCTTGGTAATGAAGCCTTCTACGGTTGCAACCAACAGGCCATGTACGACTGGATCAAGGCGTACGATCCTTCTCGGCCGGTCCACTACGAGGGCGATAAGAATGCGGCCAGCGCAGACATGTACAGCTACATGTACCCTTCCGTCCGGAAACTGGAGCACTACGCGGATCTCGAGGGCGATGATTTTGCCAAGCCCATTGTGGTCTGCGAATATGCGCACTGCAAAGGAAATGGACCGGGCAATCTGCTCGAATACCAGAATCTTTTCCGCACCAAGCGCAGACTACAAGGCGGATACATTTGGGAGTGGCAGGACCACGGCTTGCTCACTACAACGGCGGACGGCGGCGAAGAATACTTTGGGTACGGGGGCGATTTTGGGGAGAAACTGCATGATGGCAAATACTGCATGGATGGTCTTGTGAACTCGAACCACGATCCAACGCCTGGTCTTGTTGAGTTCAAGAAGGTTATTGAGCCGGTCGAGGTCACCCAGAAGGGGGGCGGCGATATGATGGAGATCCGAAACTGGTATGACTTCCAAGATCTCAGCCATTGTACTGCAACATGGCAGGTTGTCAGATGTGCCGGGCCGCTGGTTAAAACGGAACTTGTTGTTGCCAGTGGCGTTTTGTCTCTGCCGACAGTCGAGGCTGGTCAAACTGTGACTATCCCCAGCCCTTTCAAATCCTTCGCACCACCTACCAGTGCCCTCCAACCTGGTGAGGTGTCATATGGCAATTTGAGCTTCTCGTTGAAAGAGGATGTCTTGTGGGCGAAACGGGGTCATGAGCTGGCCTGGGCACAGTTTGAACTCGCTCGCAACGAAAATCCTGTCGTCTTCCCGGCCTTTTCGAAAAGTCGCATCACCGTCGACACTTCGAGCTTGGGAGTCCTTTCCGTAAAAGGGACCAATTTTGAAATCACATTTGATACTACCTTGGGCGTCATATCGCGCTGGATCTCCAAGGGATGTAATCTTTTATCCGACGAGGATGGCGGACCAAAGCTTGGAATCTGGCGACCTCCTACGTGCAACGACCTCCATGGCCATGCTCAGCAATGGAAGAAGCATGGCCTGGATGCCCTCCAAGTCAGCAATGTTGTCTTTGACTACGCTGAAAGAGCTGATGATGGTCTCGTCGAGATTACTATCACCCACCGTCTTTCCCCGCCGGTAGTCCTGTCAGGCTTTAGTGTGAAGCAAATCTACACAATCGACACCTCTGGCGCGATGACCATCGCCGTTAACATGACCACTATTAGATCCAACCCAACCTCGCTTCCCCGGATCGGGCTCGATCTATCCCTAAGCTCGGCCTTCGAGCAGGTCGCCTGGCACGGCAAGGGCCCGCACCAGAGCTACAGGGATAGCAACGCGTCCACGCGGCAAGGGATCTTCAGCTCCAAGATCTCAGACCTCGACTTCTTATACGAAATCCCGCAGGAGAACGGCAACCGGAGCCAGGTCGAATGGGTGACCATAACAGACGCCTATGGGAGTCGTGGTCTGCTGGCTCGGTTCAAGGGTAGTAATAATACCACTACCAAATTCAATTTCCAGGCTTCGCACTACTACCCCGAGGATATCACCAGCGCTACACATATTTACCAGCTGACTCGCCGACCCACAACCTACCTGCGTCTGGACTATGATCACCACGGCCTCGGGAATGCGTCCATCAAGCCCTTTGTTTTGCCGCCGTATGAGCTGAAAAACGAGGCTATGTCTTTTACTGTCGAGCTGCGCACCATTGGATGAGATGTATTCCAAAAAAAATAGGCCACAATGAGGAAATACTTTGATTTTTACATGGTCACCAAGCTTCGTGGATGAAGATGTCGAAAATTATCGAATCTCGTCGGAAGCGGGCGCTTTGTATTGAGTTGAGATCTTTATTATTCCATTTAGTCTGGTACATGCATATATATACAAACAAAAAGTAAAAAAGACGTGCTGAAAAATGTACTGAGTGGTCTAATAAAACACAGCCACTGCTTCGCAGGAACGGTACTCTGGTTCGTAAACCAGCAGCTCTCCAAGGTCTCCCAGTCCACCGACAAAGCTACGTGAATAGCGGACGTATTCCATCTCACTCCAAGCCGCTTGCGATCAGAAACATTCCACAGCCTTACGTAATTTAATGATATATAGTTAGAATGTACTCTGCTCTTTATTCTTCCCTAACAAGGTCTATCCTACTATATATATATATATACACTCCATTAATATCCCCTATATCTTTAAAACCACAAATACAAGTGCTCGCTCCATATGTAGTTACACAGGCGGTATGTATGTACTGTCTTCCAGCTCTTATAAAAGGATGAAATACCTGGTACGAAATCCAGAAATCCCCACTTTTCCAACTATCAGCCATGGGTCTGAGGAGCCGCTGATTTTCTTGGAGCTGTGTGCACCATTGCCGTGGAACCACGCCCGCCACCCAAGAGTCTAGATACCCAAGCACATCTACCGCCTGCCATGTTTCAGACAGCACTAATCACTCTCACAGACACTTTGGCGGGGTATTTACGAGAATTCAATGGACTGTATGTTGATAGTACCCGGAAAAGACACCAGGCATTCATAGTCTAATATGCCTGGAAGAGGTGGTGTGATCAGCCCCGAAAGACCCTGCAGCTATTCTGACTTCGAGCAGAGCACCGTACCAGTCACTTCAACTTTGGCATCTATAAATAATCACCACACAGCTCCATGCACTTTGTGGTTCCAGGGTATCACAAGATCAAGCATGCCGGATTTGCCTGGTTCGCAAAACAATTGGCAGCCACGTTTGAGGTATAGAGGCGCCTTCCGCAGTCATGATGTCAGTGGAAAATATCTCCAGTAGCAATAACAGTAACTTCTGATCTATAATTCAGCACCTCCCACTTGTCGCTGCACTTAACTGTCTTGTCGACGAGAGTCGCTCTGATTCTGTCCTAATATTTAAATCACTACTTGATCGCAATCGAACAAAATGCGCCTCGTGTGCCTTCTCTTTGCCTCCCTCGTGGACCTTGGCGCCGTTGCGAACCCCATGCGCAATCACTCAGGACATCCCCTCATATGCCCCAGCCTAAAGACCCAAGATCGAGGCTGTATCCGCTACACGCGCGGGTTCGACATCACAGGCGTCGTAACCGAAGTCGACCTGCACTTCCCGCAGATTCGGACAGAATGCGACTGTATCCAGGCATGCTTGAACCGGTCCAACACGTGTGCGAACTACGTTTACAAATTCTCCACACCAGAGTCGGTCAAGTCCGGCCACCGCACATGCACACTCTACTCCGATTTCAACCTCCCGGCAAACGTGACCCTGCAGTTTGACCTGGAAAGCTCCAACAATACTGAAATCAACGCGTCAGAGATTATTGCTGAGGGCAATAATCCCCATATGGGCGGTCTCGTCTCACAGGCCTTCAAAGATGTCAATCTTAACACCACCTGCGATCCCGATGCCGTATCTGGGCCCGTCTGGGCCCTTGATAATGGGCAAATACAGTGCTAAAAGAAGGATCTTGAATGGTTGCAGCGGACAATGTGAGACGATGCTACAACACTAGGTACTCGTGTGCGACGACGGTTCTCCCTCTATTGATTCTCTCCTCATTTGAGTATGCCGCTTTTTCGTTTGGTCCTTCCGAAAATGATTCGCTCTTCTAACTCGGTATTCCGTGCTCGAGAAGGCGCCACTCCACTGTGGGGCACCATTTTACAACCCCCAGACATCATCTGAATCTAAGGTCTCGTCACAGCCCGCGTGACATTTGGTGGTAGGTAAGGCAAACCAGAGATGCGGGTATAAAAGTGATTTTCCTGATAGCGTCCAGAATACGCGGAAATTAGTATTAGCTTTCGTCAGTATGCTTGTTTCACTGAAGTCACTTCAATTAGTATTCAATTTCCTTATTGCAACCTAAACAAGCTCTTAATAAAGCAGAGTAGTACTTAATATCTAATTAGTGCCTAAAGTCTTGTTGAATAAGCAAAGCAGCACCTATATCATGATCTAGCCATAAACTTGCGCCTTTTGGTCCCCGTGGGATCTACGCGGTTCCATTCAAGATTACATGCGCGGGAACCATCTGTCGCTGGGAGGAAGTCTCCCGCGAAGCTGATGTCTATCAGTCCTATAACAGGCACAAGTATCTGCGGTTCCTGGTCATGGGGACGCAAATTCTCTGCCCCCCTTTTTGCTGTCCCCGGATTGCTCATTATGCCCGAGCGCCCTCAATGACTGATTGACAGAGAACAAGTTGAGAATGCGCGCAAGGTATGGGCAGACCTGCATGCCGGCAGCGACAAGGCCTCTCTCTTTATCAATTCTGCAGCTGACAAGGTTCATGGTGCGATCGTAGCAGAGAAGGAGGTCAATGCATCCAGAAGCTAGCTCGACATGGTCAGGACCCCGAGAAACCGCCACCGTCGTATGATTTACTATCACTTTGTGTGTTTTCTCCCAGTGAGTCGCCAGTGGTGTTGTGTCTTTTGCGTGGTCAAATTGTGTGTTCAACTTTTGCGTTCCCTATATCTACAACGTGGATCAAGGTAACCTAGGGGGGAAGACAGTCTTTGTGTTTTGCGGAACCTGTATTATTGGCTTTGCGCTAACTTGGTCGGACATTCCTGAGACCAAGGGCATCTCTTATGCGAAACTTAATTATTTGTTTCAGCGCGGGACCAAGACCAGGAGTTCGGAAAGGCTCTTGATGTTGACGGCGAGGTTGAGATGTAACTATATTTTATATACTCACAAACTCACAGTGGGCTTGTACTGTAGGAGGTTAGGGACTATATTGCTGAAAGAGTCCCACTGTGCTGTGGTATAGGCGTTTCAGTGATTATAGGAGGCGATGGCCCATGGCCTACCGATGTTTCCTTGCTAGAGCCTCAATTACGTCCCTAAAGTGAGTTAAGTGCCAGTAAATTCACCCGACATTTATTTGTGCCTTTTCGTCGCAGTTGATCAAAAAAGGGGTCTCTTAACGTAGATGGACTTGTCGATACAGCCGGCTGTTCATCTTATCATATGCTCAAGGGCCTCTGTCACCGTTTCGTACACCATCCCCGAGGCGCCCTTCGCAGCGATATTCGTAGTCTGCAAAACAATACACTTGTACGCTCTCATACACGGTGTGCCACTATCCTTGACCTCGAGAATCAAGTGCAACGTCTGCCCTATTTCCAACGCTTTTCCCTTGAGAATATCTACACCGCATGCCTCCGCTGGCGGAACCTGAACAGTCACCACGGCTCCTCCACCTTTCCGTTTGCCTTCGACATTAGCGTGATGATCAGCAATGCTAAACTCCACATCCGGAACAAACGGCCAGTGCACTTCACTCTGCGTTCTGGTTGGCTCTTTATAGTGAAACCAACGGACTGACAGCTCATCGCCATCGGGATTATAGGTGGCCGAAGCATCGAGCGTCACGACAGACCCAGCCTCAGCCTCCTGGTACAGATGCTCTGGCCCGCTGCTGCCGTTAGCAATTACCACCGGTGCGTGGCTAACCCCACCGCGATCAGCGTCGAGTGTCCACTGCATCCGCGCGGCGAAGTCCTCCTGGAAAGCGTCTCGCCAGCGCCAGATTCTCGCCTGGTTCGAGAACACCTTTGCTCCTGTGCCGGGCACCTCCACCTCGTCCATGACATCGCTGTAGAGATTCACCTCGACACTCACGCGTCCGTACCGGCCGCCCCACGAGCCCCAATGTGGATTCTCGCAGGAACCCAGGCCGTTTTGGATGAGATATAGAAACGTCGGCGTATCGCCCTCCATGATAAAGGTGTATTCGGGATAGGCGCTTCCGTAAGGACCAGTCTGGATCTGTTTCTTCAGCCACTCTCGGGTGATCTTGGTCTTGTCCGCCGCACCGTTGTCGATGGGGCGAAGAGGTCGCCTGAGATCCCTGTCCAGGCGGCCATGGGGTACTCTTTCCAGGCGTGCAGGGACACGATGTAGAAGAGCGAGGGAAATGTGGTTCGGATCCAGTGGCCCGTGTCGTCCTGGTCGCTGATTGCATAGATGCGCAGTTTTGAGGTGAATGTTTCCAGGGCAGATGTAGGTTGGGATACTTTCACTGCTGCAAAGCTTGCGCGAGGACGTTTATTCCACCCCAGACAAGGACCCAGAGGCGATCATCCGAGGCGTTGACTTGGTCAATGAGGAGCTGGGCACCTTCGCTTAGGGGTGTACCAGGCCTGATGGCTTCTCTATCGTAAACCGCGGGGCCGGGCTTGATAATAGAGCGCAGGTAGGTGGCGGAAGGGTACATGTTGTCGGGATGGACATGCGCGTTGAGATTTTCGACGACATTTGCGTACGCGCCGACAATCTTCTGCATGTCCTCTGGGTGGACATTACTTTTGATCCAGCACGAGGTACAGGCCACAAGGCCGCGAATATCAAGTTCATTGCCATAGAGCTGAAGACGAGCGAGGGACTCGGCGTCGTCGGGCTCGTTGGAAATGTCAGAAGTGACGAAGATGCTTGGTTGCGCACTTTGTCAGGCGATGTTGATGAGCCATTATAAGGGTGAGTGGTTCGCATGGGAAAGTGATCAAGACGACTCTGGTGAAATAGAGGATGAAGCTACAAAGCTAATACATATGAAAGTTAAAGTGTGCCTGACAATGCTTGGCCAGGGTTAATGCGCCCCACATTGGCTAGAGCTTCCCTTCTGGATGGCCAGTTTCGTGATGAGGGCCAATATGTAACGCAAATCATTTACGATTAGGAACACCAAATATGGAAGTTCGAGCCACTCGAGCAATTGCTTAAATTTTATGTAAGCAGGTTTTGATTTCTCAATTAAAGTGTATTAAGCGGATCATGTTTTGATTGTGTGAGATGAATTGTTATCTGCCTCCAGAGGGTCACAACGTCCGCCAGGGAAGGGAAAGTGGCGAAAGTGAAATGAGAAGCGAGGAACCTGGCAATGGGAACCTACTAGAAGAAAGCCGTGGCCTTTTATTCCATACCAATTTATTTAGCTTACAAAGAATCTTAACGAAGCCACACAAGTCCATTTACTATTCCTGCATCTTGCATAGGCATATATACACTTCTTTAATAATAATCTTATTTACTTCCCATCCGGCGATCACAGTGACTTGGTGGCAGTCGCTTACCAATGTTTGTTCGAGTTCTTTGCAGGCCCCCGGCACCATAATGCGTAAATTGCTGCTTCTTCCTGTACTAGATCATGTATGATGCATACTGGTAGATAGGTTCGTCTGGTCGAGTTATTTATATGCAGCTGTGGCTAGTTACCTGCAATTCGCACTAATTATCCGATATATGGACACCTCACCGGCTCGATTTTCAAGGCAAGACCGCCCCATTAGTAAGAGACGTGGCTGCGATAATAGTAGTAACAGAATGGTATTATCGTACAAGCAATCAGAGAGTCAACTCCCAGTACTCCGACACAGACTTCACTCCCAACGAGTCATCCTCCTCCGCGTGAACAAGCTTATACCCTTCTTTGGCATAAATCCTCCTCGCTGAAACTAACTCGCCATTCGTCCACAGTCGTATCTTTGTATAGCCAGCTTCCTTTGCAAACCGCGTACACTGCCGGACTAGATCGCCCCCAAGTCCCAGACCCCGGGCACTCGGTTCGACGAGAAGAAGGCGCAATTTAGCGCCCGTGCCATCGGACTCTTTGTCTTTGACGAGCATCACACAGCCGAGGAAGTCGCCGTTTCGTTCAGCGATCCAGCATCTTTCGCGCTTGGGGTCATGGTGCTCGAGGAAATCAGTAGTTACTTTGGTCACGATCTCGATGAAGTGACTGTTGTAGCTGTATTCTTTGCTGTAGAGTTCCTCATGTCGCTGGACTATGTGTGGCAAGTCCTCAGGCCGATGTATGCGGAGGGTGTAAGAAGGGTCCATGATGATGTCCGCGGTATCACAAGGTTGGTCCCCCATTCAGGAATTCTGTTCGCTGTGAGCAAGCTGTCTGACATATATTCGCAGTAGAGAAGGAGGTCTTGATTGGGAGAAGAAATTGGCAAGGGAGTGGTGTGGGCAATTTATGTACTGAAAAATGTCGACTGTCACGAATAGTGCTCCTGCTACATCTTTATAGTCAAGTCGCGGCCTCTTGAGTCTGAGTCAACCTGGATGGTGTCCTGCTGGCATGAAAATTCTCGGCCGGCCAAATTCTCGACGGCCGGAGCAGGGGCGTTCTGATTGGCCAGAGCTCGATGCAGACAAGTTTGATTGGCTCAGCTAGCAAGAGTGGAGCAGCCACGGCCAACCTTAAAAACTCCGACGGCTCGACAGTTCTTCTCCCTTCGCCACCCCCGGTTATCCCAGCAGAGTCGGAATATGGAGGGTCAACGCGCGCCGTCGAGACCACAAGACCCAATTAGAATCGCTAAGCGAACCAATTCCTCTAGGAGGACCTTCGGGAAGAAGAGGCCTGTCGCGTGAGCGCTGCCGCAGAATGCCAACTCTCCAAACGTCATGATTGACCAGCCCTATAGTTGTCAGCGCTGCCATGCCCGGAAAATAAAGTGCGTCGGCGGAAATCCTTGTTCCAGCTGCACCTCCGCTGGGTGCGAGATGCAATGCATATATGTTGAACGCGACCGGAAAGTTCGTGTTGATGAGAGGTACTTGCCCGGTTCAACTGATCTTTAGAGAAAAACCCACGCTTATGTCACAAAATCCAGCTACTTGGAACAGCTTATCAGAGATAGCGATGAGCTTGGTCGGCATAAGCTAGGGGAGTCGAACAATGTTATCACTGGTGTCCAGGCTCCTGTCGGCTTGCAGACGACAACCTCTACGCCAGACCCGCCCAAGGATGCCGATATGCGAAATCCGACTATGAAATACAAGGCATGGTTCCAGCCCCATCACGAGCCGGATCTTTCCATATTTTTAAACGACGTTACATGCACGGCATTTGCGACTCGTCTGTGCCAACGGCTCGCTGGTGACGAGAAGTCGGTAGCGCATATACCGCGCATGCAATGTGCTGATGAGCCTATTCTCAACAGTTTCACACATACTGGAATGCCGTGGCCGAATCTTCCTCGAGCGAGGCTACTCGTGAATACAGCGCTCGGGCACTCAAATCCGCCGTTCCATCTGACTCTGCGCAAACGTACCCTGGATCACCTAGACACTATCTACCAGAACACGGCTTTCAATAATCCAGTCCTTGTCTGCAAATACTCTGCGCTGTTTGCACTGGGTGAAATATGTTCAGTGTCGGGTGGTGGGACAAGTGGTGGGATTATCCCCGGCATAGACTACTATACAAAAGCTATCAGCCTAATACCCAGGTTGCCGGAGAGGCCTAGTATGGCGCATATCGAAGCCCTTGTCATTCTGGTATGCGCTATCTACCAGCCAAGTTCCCTCGTACTGATGATAGTAGTCTTTATACAGCCAGTTTCTAAACAGATGGAATTTCGCCTACACTACGATCGGAACCGCGCTACGTCTGGCACTCACAGCGGGCCTGAACCACAACATTCCTCCAGAACAATGTCCCGATCCCATAGCACGAGAAAACAGGGTTCGCCTTTGGTGGACAATCTACACCTTTGATCGCTTTTGGAGCCTAAAGCTCGGCCTTCCACTCCTGATTAATGCCAGTGATATACATGTTGACTTACCGTCAAATCTAGGAATCAACGGCTATGAGGACGAGTTTATTGATGCTTCCTATCAAGTGGCTTTGATAGACCTTGCCAAGGTTTCCGGCAAGATCATGCAGAATATCTACAATTGGAGGACTTTTGATCAAAGTTTTGTTCAGCGAGAGCAAAGGACCCTTACTGAGTTGAAGGAGTGGTTGCAAAGGCTGCCTAGCCAGTTCCAACTCCAGACAAGGTCCCACAATCCAAAATTCACAGTTTTCATCCATCTCCAATTCAACTACGTTTGTTACTGTCTGTCTGATATTCAAGGATACCACTAACCGAAGCACCTTAGTGCGTGATACTCGCTATTCGTCCAATACTACTCAGCCTCATTGATCACACCAGAGAAAATCCTGGTCGCGAAATCCTGCAGTCGCCAGCTGTGATTGCTCTTAGTGAAGCATGCATCCACTCCGCACGACATACTATGAGCCTCTGCGCTGATGAATGGACGAAAGGTTCCCTGCCCGTTTATGGCTACGCGTTTGCGCAATATATCTTTACATCGTCTCTAGCTCTGATCGTTGCAACTTTCCTCCCAGGCGGGTCTTCAGATGATCTTGAACACGTCAATACATCGTTGGAGATGCTAAGTTGCCTTGTCGCCAATGGAAGTATGGTGGCGCATGACTTGCTCGTACACCTTCAGAGAGTGCAAACGTGCCTGCAACAGAGCAACCAGCCATCTCAATTCTCCTCTGGCTCCCCACATCAGACACCTCCCGCCCAATGCCGGATGTCTAGGCCACACCTCCCTTCAGACCGACCGCAGCAGCCTTTGCTTACTGCACATACAATTCCCGACCAGCTTCCTATATCTGCGGTCACGGAACTTCAGCCCCCTGCCCAATCCGATACGACACCATACCAGCCTGTGATGCAGGACTTCCTGGCCCAATCAGTCATGGGCATCGATTTTCTAGATTCGAGTGACTTTTCCGAGTTTCTTACAGACTCTTGGCTCAATGCTCCTCCTCTCTGGGATGGAAATTACCCATGAATCTAACATCTCAGCTGTATGGGTACAATACCTAGCATAACCTCTCACCGTCATAGGGCTGGCGTTAATTTTAAAATAATATACATTACTCTATTTAAATAAACTCATTGTTACTTAAATATAATAATTATCGCTGGTAATCCTTTTATTTCTATTAGTATTACCTCTTTTAAGTAAAAAGTAACTAGTTTAATTTTCCTATCTATTCCTTGCTATATTATTCTTGCTTCAATAGTGAAGTTTAAAGTATTAGTCTTAAATACTATTTTAGGAATGTTCATTATCCAAAAATGGTCAATTTAGATCAACTATTCCCGGAACCCGAGTCGTACCGTGAATGGGGTTGGAATGTTTAGGTGATTCAAGAATACACGGAAACAGCCCGCAAGGACATGCGTAGAGCCGGAAAAGCGAACCACAGCCCCGAGATCCGAGCTATGCGACGAGCACTAATCGGCGTTGTAGATAATAGGAACTTGATCAGCCTAACGACATGATTCGTGATTTTACAGCCGTATATAACATGGATGGACACAGCTTGCCCATCAGGTACAAAACAATCATAATGAGGGGTGCGGATCTCAGAACATACGAAGCAGTTTGTTTCGATAGAATGAATACTAAGAACGAGAAAGCGGCTACTAGAGTCTAGGAATTTGTCAAAGGTTGGAAACACAAGCATATGACTTGTTTGAAACGTAAATTGCCCGCGCTGACGTCGACCTGTCGAATCACATTGGACCAGAAAGAGTCAGTTTTCGCTAGAATAGTTGTCATGTGAATTCATAAACGCTGGCCGCCCTTCTGCAACAAAATAAACTCCCAAAACATAATATACCTCTCATGAATGATTGAACAACCAAAGCATATGGTCCACCCCAAGTATAAACGCCTCGAGATCCTGCGGCCGAATAATCGCGGAAGGCATGTAGCAACGCGCTATAAACCAAGACTGATCTGCCAAACTAGGCGCAGCAACTGCACCGATCATGAGGATCCATCGTAGAACTTCAGGCCCGTACCTGAGCCAGAAGAGTGTGTCTGACTGCAGGACGGCTGCTTTTAGATGTTGAATATCCGAGGCAAGGAAGGGGTCCGGTTGCGGATACCGTTGCCTTCTCGAGACGATGGCCCTCCAGTATATCCCGGCAGCAATGTTACAGCAGTCGAGTGCACACTGAATGTCACGCTGGGCATCATCGTTGCCAGTATCAGGAGGGGAGCCTAGGCTGCTAGGAGGTGAAGCCGGGGAAAGGCCCAAATCCAGAAAGTCATAGGCGTTGGCCACATGGTCATCGAAAGTAATCATAAACTCTAGGACGGATAAAGGAAGCGTAAAATGGGGCGGTCGGTCTAGCTGTTTCTGCAGGGCTATTGCAAGCAGGCTCGTGTAGTGCCCCATTAAGGGCCTGGGCCCTGCTACGGGTGATGTAAATACTGTGTCTCTTCGGTCTATAGTGCTGTTCCAAACGTGGCGACTATATGGGAGGGATTAGTAATAACGAGCAGACAACGAGGCTTTTGTGGAAGCATAATGACTTACATCTGAAGGAGGTAGTGCGCATAACTGTCGGTGGCGAGGGACTTGGATCCCTTGAACTTGACCATGGAATCAATCCCGGCGTCATGCATGTTTCCTTCTGCGAGGTTCCCCTTCAGTTTCTGTATGATTTGATGTCAGATCAAACTCTTTTAGGCTCTTATATCATCAGGTCCGGAAACCATACCGCGAAGTATAGCAAGTACGTAGTTGCCGCAAGTGCGGTTTCTGACAATCCATGGCTCTGGCTACTGACAATGGCTTCTTGAAGTAGGCGAATCGTCTCGACCTTGTGGCGAATCGTGACAGGATTGTTTGGCGTCTGACGAGCCATGTCTCCGTACGATGAAGTCGCAAACATGGTTGCGTGGAAGAGACAGGGGTCTGAGAGGATCGTCTGAGTCCATGAATTGTGGATATTGTAGGCAAAGGTGTCGCGATACTGATCTGCCACTTCAAGGAAAGCATTCTGCCCTATTCAAGAGAGTTAGTGCTTTCCACACTGGTTCTACTGCGAGGATCGGGATCTCACTTTGGAAGAGCAGAGCGGGATAGTAAGCCTTTTTGGGAACCGGGTAGGTATAGGCACTGCCTATCAGCGATTCTACCGCCGCGTAGCCTGGAACTTGCCCATCACGAACCGCACGCCTCATCCTCGAGCGATCAGCCAATGGTCGACCTTTGCCGTGAGCTGGGCCCTTGACCTTAACCCCGTCGCCGGCAATATTTCCCTTTTCACCACCTGACACGGGAGGAAGATCCCTTATTGTGTCGTCCTCCGTCTCCTTCTCCCCACGGGTCATAATGATTGGCCGTTCATGCAGCCATTTCATCTTTATCGCGATTTCATTGGCCTCGTCTTTGTTCTTCAAGTCGCGACGCTTGACGCTAGCAGTGGCCGCGACGAACGCATTAATCGCTTGCCTAGAGCTGGACTTTGTCTTGTCGGATGATGGGTCGTATGCAATGAACATGGTCCCGAATGGTGAGTTTCTGTGTATAGCACTCCCGTGATGAATTTCGGCAGACGGTCTTTGGGCGGTTATACTTGGCTGGGTACCGAAAGGGCTGGGCGATTTCCTTAAAGAGTGTTGGAGCTTAGAGGGACATATTTGTCGAGTGCTGTAATTGGGTCACTGTCTCTAGCTTTAGGAGATAAGTAATCGTGAATCCCTGCGAAGCCCATTCTTTCCCAGTCCCTGCTGCTGGCGCGAGGAGAGATTAGTGATCGGATATTTAAACTCTTTAAAGTGCGCTGAGAAACTGGGATATTACCCTGCATGATTTCAGAGCTTAAAGACGCCAAGGGCTGCCTCGCTGGGCGGAGACTGTCGATTCTAATCCTACTTCCGGTCCAGTTTGCAGGACTTCGAATGCTCCTGTTTAAGCAGAAACCTATATGTAATCCTTTACAAAACCAGAATTTCATAAATACTAGCACGCATATTGATTGTCTCCAAACGTCGCACCAGTTGGCTTATCGCGATGCTTGAATACACATCTAGAGTTGGTCCATTTACTGATTACCGATCACAGATAATACTGCCACCTTGTCATAGCTGTATGAGAAATACATAATCCACCTTCTTCCTCCTTCCCCCTGATACACGTCTCATCCGGCCTCCCAATCCATGCACAAGAAGACACAGAGATCACTAGGCCCCCGCTCTTCCCAATCGTCGTGCTTCCTCTTCCACCGACCTCTCCTTCTTCTCCTTCCCCTTCTCATCCCGCCGAAACCCAACCCAAAGAACGACAAAAAGAACAAGAGCCAGCAGCGCAAAGCCCAAATACACTCTGGCGCCAATGCGCCAGTGCGGGGCCTCGGAGGCTGGAAAGGCAGCAATGGGCAGGAACGCGTTGAGCGCGTAGGCGAGCATCGTCCCGCTCGCGAACATGATTGTGCGTGCTTCGGGTCGGTCTTGAAGGTGTGTGGAGCCCCAAGAGCAGAGGAGCATCATTGAGACTCTGTTTAAATGTAAGCAAGTATGTGGGCCAGATGGTGATTTGCGAGCAGACAAGTGTGCTTCGTCGTGTGGCGGGGGAGGCCGATCAAGGGGTATATGAGAGGAGACAGGAAGACTCACGCGCCCAGGTAATTCAGATAGTATCCCGCCATATGCGCCTTTTCGTTCGCGGGCTGGATGATCAGGATTGTGAGGGAGGAAATATTGATGGCCTTGTTGCATAAGCCATATCATTAATATATTTCTTTGGCCCGGCTTGGGGTATACAGAAGCTCTCCGGAGAGTCGACTTACAGAATGAACAAGCAACAACGGGAATCGGCCCACACGGTCGCTGAGTCCGCTAAACACGATTTCGCCCACGAGCTGGATTGCCTGGCCAATGATGGGCAGGTAGTTGAGCATGCCCACGGAGCTACAGTGCAGTAAGAGTGTGTTAGCCGACCGTGGTCGATTGCGCATACATTTCTTCAGCAATCATCTCTTCAACTTACTACTTGGCAGTTCCATCTGAATTCTTGAGTGACTTCAGCCAGAGATTGAAGTAGTTCGTTGGAACTGTGTTTCCGCCGATGGGCCATGCAACTATGATCATAAAGTGGTTACATTAGCATCACGGTCTTCATGAGCTGAGGTCTCTCCTCTCCGCTGGTTATCAAATAGGGTACTCACCAACGATGACCCAGAAGAACCAAATTTTCCATGTCTGTATAAAGCTTCGTGGGGTGATTCCAGTCTGCGCTTTGCGTCCGACGCGCCTTGCCCGCGCGAGGGCGATTTCTAACCATCGTTTAGCGGGTCCAAATTTGAAGAGCTCTGGGAATAGGGGCTCTTACCAATGTGCCGGGGTTTTAGGTAGAACTTTGTAAGTGGGTTTGGGCGTTCTGGCTATATAGAACGTTGTATCAGTAACTCGGCAGGGGCGAGGTTCCGAAATGGAAGTGCATGACTGCAGCACGTACGTAGCCGGGAAGAATGAAAAATGCGAGAAGGGCAACGAATATCGTGCAAATTCCCTAAGCACATGTTAATTGCACTGTCCTTGTACTCGGTTTGTTATCTCCGACGTCGGTGATGGCAGGTTCGTACATTAATGATAAAAGCCCACCGCCAGCCCGCACGCCCTAGTGTCCCATCCATGTTGGTAGCTAGGGCCCCCTGCATCGCGCCAGACATCATTGCGCCGACGGGTTGGGCGATGTTGTAGATGCTCATGCGGAGAGCTAACTCGTGCGGCAGATACCATTGGCTACAGTTGGCGAGCTTTAGCATCGTTACTTCCTGCCGTTGCCCGCTGATTATGGACTAACCTGATGATGGTAAAGTAGCCGGGCCAGCACACGCCTTCGAAGAACCCGATCAGAAAGCGGAGACCGTAGACCTGGTGTTTTGTATTAGCTGCGCGAAAGCAACTACTCTGCTGGAGATAACTACCTGATGCGGGCTTGTGACGGTCGACAAGCAGCAGGTGAACACCCCCCAAAGAACCTGTCGGACATTAGAGTGTTGAACATAAGTAGTAAGATAGATAAGTTAACCTACTTCGCACGCCGGCAGCCAGATGGACGGGCCGATGTAGGAGACGAGGATGCACGATGGAAAGAGCATGACCATGTACCCAATACTATCGGGACGAGTTAGCCATGAGCCCTAACAACAGCTAATTGAAAGAATGCTCACTTACTTGAAGTAGGTAGTAAAGTAGTTCAATTCGTTTCCGTACAGCTTCAAGTCTTCCTGCATGCCCGAAACATATGCGTTGCTCTGGCGGTCAACATCAGCTCAACTCGGGATAACTCTGCCCATCATCGGGCTGTGAGCATACAATATTAATCTGATCTAGGTATTTGAACACATAGCCCAGGAAGCCGATTGTTAGGAGGCCGAGATCGAGCCTCCATAGCTAAGGTCAATTAGTCTAGTTTGTCTCGCTCTGGACGTGGGAGCCACATACAAAAGCTCTTTCCTCCTTCGCGTCGACCTTGTCAATCGCGGCGTTGTCGATCTGATCGCCTCCATCTTCCGACGATGCTACATCAACTGTGCTTTGTGCGGTCTTGTTGATAGGCCCGCATATCGTCTCTGTGCCCTTGGATGCCATCTTCTCAACACAATTATCGCAGAGAACACAAAGTTCGTAAGAGCACAAGTCCAGTGGGCAGTTAACCCGCTATTTAGCAACCAGCAATTGGAGTAAAGTTGGAGAAGCTTGTTATCTGTATTGCGCCATGGCAATGGCGTCAGCTGCAGCTTGGAAACGTGCTTGTCTAAAGGAGGGGCCATTAGATCATACACTACACAAGGCTGCCATGGTAATGCTTCTTGACCGAGTGATGACCGTGAATGGAATTTCAAGTGACAGGTCGTGCGTTTCTTACTTTGCGGATTAGGAAATCTCAAATCCAGATAAACCAATGGCATCCTGAGCGCATATAGCGATGAGCGATCCAAGGCTCCTCCATGCTTATATGATAAACGCTCCACTTGCGAGATCCGCCAAGATAAAGGCGTGATGAACCTAGACGCTCGTTTAGGTCAATAGCGTCGGAGCCCGCCCGACGTCAGACTCAAGCCTCACTTTGAGTTCATGTAGGGTGATCACGCAAGAACGCGCTAATAGCTCGCATCGACAGGGGTTCGATATGAGGACATATTAATCCCATGCGGGGAACGGTTTGTATTATGAATCTCTGGAGCCCGAACAAGCAATAGAGCAGCAGTTGGTTGGGCCCAGCGAAATATATCCAGAGACCTTAGGTGTGAAGATGATATGTCCTATCACCTTTCGAATGCCGAAACTCATGCTGGTTTGGCTTTATAGTCAGACAACTTGAACCCTCTACTACAGGCTTTGTATATCATATTCTAAGGATATACTTTCTATCGTCACGTAAATCTCTCCAAAGGTACTAAATAGCCGTTACCGGATGCCGCCTGTTTATCATACAATCAGATCTTGTCTTCCCACTTAATTGGCTACCCAGGCGCGGCCACTGCAGACCATAGGTCGCCCTAAAAGCCACCGCCACCATCAGGAGCGTGCAGATGACTTATATGCTAGCAGAGGAAGAGACCAATCTACTCTTTGGCCAGCTTGTAGGATAAACCCACAACGCAGCGCAGCGAGAGGTTACTCGAGCTGTTCGAGAACTGTACTTGTCAGACGACAAGCAGTTTAGAGTTTGCAGAGTGGCTGGTATATGATGAAAAGCATCTGTTTACGCTTGCTTTGTCAAGTGCTGCCAAGTCTGAATCTTCTGACATGGTAGGCCCGTGTCTGTCCCGCGATGATGCGTGTGTGTATCCTTCCAGAACATGTAAAGCTGCCCTGGGCTTCACCGCGGAATTGTGATCCTCGCCGTGCGAGAGTGGCCAGTATCCAGCTTATATCAGAGTAGGAAATATCTGCCGCCCCGCGGTGCCAGGCAATCTCGTGCGCCACACCATCACTGCTCAATCCACAAATTCGGATGATGCAATCGGCTTAGGTTTCCCACGATTTGCGCAGAGCAGGACATCTTAGCGTTACCTGGCCTCACCGACCTTACTGGCTGATCGAAAACGCCTCTCTCAACTCTCATCGTGCATAGGAGCTCCGGTGTAGGTGCTGCTCAACCTTCCACTCGAAATGGATCTGACACAAATTTAGCTGGAACTAATGAAAGCTTCTTCTGATTGTATGTCTCGCGCTGCCAAATGAAGGATATGTTGGTGAAGGGTCTGACGGTGACTCTGAGGGTGTCGGTTATAAAAGGCTTCGTATTGTCTGAATAGTGACAGGACCGCCGATTATACTTTGGAATGATTCGTATGAAATGGAACGCAAGAGTCATCCAATTGACTTGCACCGGATATTTTGTCAACCTCAAATTCTTCTATGTGGACATATTTGTGATTCATCCCGCATGAGCAAAAAAAGCAAACCAGTTGGCAGTAGATCCAAGGACACAGTGAGAGGAAAGTCTCCGCATTTGCGTAACAGTACAGGAAGAACCTAGAACCTAGGGGAAAACCTATACCGAGACATCAACGAAAATATACAAAGTAAAGCAGGGTGTTTCAAGTAAAGTCCCGCCCTACTCCTCCGGTGCTGCAATACCGAAGTTGTTCTCCTTAATCACAGCGTCCCTGCGCATGACACGGCTTCGAGTGCAGCAGCTTTGTGGGTAGTTGACAGTGAGTTGCCCACAGTTGTCCGAGTAGATCGTGTTTGGCTCCGAGCATTGGTGGTTGCGACAAGCGCGGTAATCAGCAAGGCAGATAGATACATTTTGAATCGCAGGAGTCTCAATGTCGGTGCTGCGGAATAGTTGAATTGTGGGAAGTCCAGATTACAATCCAGCACGAAGCTGGAGTCTTGTCCTGAGGGCGGGGGCGAGATTCTGTCTTATATTACTTGGTTGCGTAGAAGACATGGGCCCGTCAGACCAAAAGCAGGCCACAGGCCTGCTATACTGCCTGCTGTCCGTTGATTGCTGATAGTTTGTTATGTGATCTCAGACTGAAGAAGGCGCTGTAACGCGTTGTTCTTTTACCCAGTTTAAATTCTACTATCAACTCATCCGTCCCACCACTCCCCCACCTGCTGTCACATCCCATACCCGACACCCATCTCTAAACTGTAGCAAGAAGAGACTTGGAACGAGTAGAATGTATTGCGATACACAATTAAATCAAAGTTATTGGATGTCAAGCGTCCGCTTACGCACCCCGCTAGAACGACTTCCTGCATGTTTCCCTCGACGATCAGTATCCTGCTCGGTAAACTTGATCGCTGTTGGAGGAGTCGTCTCATCCAGGCATTGTCTTGACACAGCTATACCTGTAATGCTTGCTCGAGGCTTCTACGTCCTATCCCGGTCCAGTTACCCTTCTGTAGAATAATGGCACTCCACGACATTACCGTGTCTGCCCACTACCTTCGATCCTGGTCGACCAACTCAAGCCATTACCCCTTCCTCACATCTTCTATCCATGACTTTTGTGTCGTTACTCAAGCGGCCAGCCTCCCTGCCGGTTCATAAAGCCACTTGGGTCATACATCTGGGCTATCTGGATCAGTCTCGCCTTATTCTCTGCTCCATAGGTCGAGTAGACGTCTTGATAGTCGGCCGCGTCGTTCATGAACAATGGATTTACCCTATTCCTGTTAGCAACTTCTGAAACACTATGAAGTTTTGAAAAGAACGCATACGAGATAAAGTCCAAGTCACCCGACTTATAATTCGTCGGCTTTGACCCCGCAAACTGACTCTGGAATCGATCGAGCACCATGTCCCCAATGTCATGGAGCACATCCGGGCAGGCCGCATCGCAAATCTCATCGTCCCAAAGAAGCGTATTCTCAATCCAGAAGAAGTCTCCATGTTTCGGATCGAGACCCAGAGTGTTTCCGCCATTGGCGGTGCCGTGTTCAGCGATAACGCGCGGAAGAGGCTGGGTAGCAAACGTCGCAGTCGTGAACTTGATGTTGCGGGCGCTGTCCGCTTTGGCTTTCTTTTTGTAGGTTTGCCATGTGTACTCCATCAACTGACGAGTTTTGGTCCTCTCCATATTGGGGAATCCGTTGACGTGTGCTGCGGTTGTTTGGCCGGTCATTTGGGCGCCGCCGGCGATGTTGGACATTTCGACCAAAGTGGTTTCTTTGGTAAAGTCGAGTAACGCGGGGATCCGGTCCAGGCCGGCAAAGGCATTCGCGGGGGGTGACGGGCCGTCGTAGTAGAAGAAGACCATGATAGCATCCACAATGGCGATGTTGAAGGTGGGAATAACCGCTGCCTTGGTGTCGGGGTACGTCCGGATGAAGTCGGAAATCGCAGAGAAGAGCTGCCCGCGCTGCAACGTGCTGAAGAGCTTGATCCCTCCCCAGACTCGGCCGTTGTCGCCCAGTGGGTGTGCTTTCAATGTGAATTTCGTGACGATTCCGAAGCGGTTTCCGCCACCCTTGAGGGCCCACCAGAGATCGGGCTGAGATGTGCTGTTGGCGTTGACGATGGTCCCATTGCCCAGGACGACTTCGAAGTTGACCACGTTGTCGCACGCAAGACCCTGAGAGAGATCAGTTACAGGTGCGACAAGCCTATTGAGTACTTACGTATTGGGCAGAGTAGTAAGACAGTCCGCCTCCGAGGATAAAACCACCGACACCAATGTTTCCCAGGCGCCCTCCGACAACGACCTGGTTGGTCTTGATGGTTTCCTCGTAGACATCTCCCCAGCGTGCACCAGGGCCGACATCAAAACTTTCTCCATCCTCCGAGCGAACGGTGGAAGAGAGGTTCTCGTTGAAGGAGATCAGAATCCCCCCATCAGTGCTAGAGAAGCCGATGTTGAAGTTATGCCCTCCGGACTTGAGCGCATACTCCACTTCCGGGTACTTGTTCAGCTGCTTGACGGCGACGGATACCTGGCCTGCATTGCGTGGGTAGAAGGCACAGGTCGGCCGGTTATCTCCATTGAGCTTGTTCCAGTACTCGGTCAGGGTGTTGTTGAATGTATCTTCGCCGACTGGTGTGGTTGAGCCATGGCTGCCCAATGGGTCGAAGATGGTGATGTCGGGGTACTGCGCGTGAAGGAACTCGCACACTGTGACCACCGCAGGGTCAGCCGCAAGGGCGAGGGAGAGGAAAGGGAGGAGCGAAAGTAAACGAGTGGAGAGCATCGTGGAGACGATCGACGTGTGGCGTGTTCCACTGGTTGCTGCGAGGTACGAGACATACTTATAACTACATGAGACTGACCATGTGAGGATGCGGTTGAGAATGCAGGTCCGAGATTGAGTGCTCAGGGGGGCTCAAGCAATTTCCGGGGATGGGCGTAGCCAGGGGTTGAGCCATTAATTCGGCCTTGACTACGCGCAAATCCAGGAACCCGAAAATGAAGCTGCATGGGATGAAGGTCGGCTTTCGCCAGGCTGAGCCGAGGACCAATCGGCGGTCTGTCTGTACGCTGCTCGTAGTAGAGACTCTATTATTGGACAGGGACAGGGTTAAGGGCGTTGATCGACGATCGGCAGTTTGAGGGCCGAGATGAAGTTTTACATCTGGAACACGGGGTTACTTAACCGAGTATGACCTTGCTAGATAATATGCCTGTGAACCATACGCTGGCAGACCAGGATTCCGATCCACGATCATAAGATACTCATAGATACACAGGCTCAACTAAACATCGTCGACCCTCTTCCCCTCAACCCTCTCCACCCGCGCATCATCTCCCTCCATAACAACCGCAACCTCTTCCAACGAAACACCCCTCGTCTCCGGATACAGCAGCCAGATAACCCCTGTTTCTGCCGCAAGGATCACCACATAAACCAGATAATACCGCCATCCCAGATCCTCCAGCCCAATCGGGTTGACAAACTGATTGAACCCGGTCCCGCCCTTGTTTGACAACTGCATGATTGCAATTCCCTTGGATCGCTGCAGGAAGGGGAACACCTCGCTCACGTACAGATACTGCAGCGGCATCATGAGGTTGTAGAAGGCGTAGTAGATGAAGATCAACGCGACAACGGCCGTCGCGGCGGAGTTGTTCCCGTTTTCGCCGTTGGCGTCTGTAGAGTTTGTAAAGACGGCCGAGGCGGCTGTCCAGCAGGAAAAGATGATGCACATGCTGCCAAAGCCGGTGAGGAGTTGGGTTCGGCGCGGGAGGTAATTGGTGCCTAGACTTGCGGCAGCGGCGCCGGTGACGAGGTTCCAGCAGCTGAGCCCGACGTTGATCTGCTGTTGGGTCAGGCGCTCCTTGATTCCGATTGTCGAGAGAACCTTGGCCAGGTAGTAGCTGACCAGGCCATTGCCAGCCCATTGCGAGAAGAGGCCAACGCAGAAGGCGACTGTGACACGGCGGAGATTGGTCTTTGTGCTGATGAGTTCGCGCCAGGGGGAGGAAGAGGCTTCTTTTTCCTGCCGCAGGGTCTCGCGGATCTGGAGGAACTCGGCTGCCACAAAGGCTGAGGTCTCATCGCCTTCACCGTGGTAGGTTCTCAAGATCGACAGAGCCTCGTCGTGGCGGTCGCGGGAGATGAGCCAGCGGGGGGATTCCGGAACGAACCTGGTACATTGAAATCAGCCCTGGCCAAGTCTCCAAACCAGGGTACTCACCAAATAAATGCTATTTGAAGGATCGACGGCAAGATCTGGAACAATGTTGGAAGTCTCCAACTCCACTGATTAGGCCAGTTGAACGTCCCCAGCGTTGTCCCCGCCGCCAGGACAGAGCCGATGTACCAGGAGATCTGAAAACACCCCACCATAATTGCGCGTTCCTTGGGGTAACAGAGCTCTGTCAACAGTTGTGCCGCGCCGGAAAGCGCAAGAGCAAGTCCGAATCCGATAATAATGCGCGACGCGATCAGCATCCCGACATTCGCTGCAGCTGTTTGGATAATCACTCCGATGACGACGATGAGGGATCCGAAAATTACACTGAACTTCCGGCCCCATCGATCATTGCAAAGTGGGATAAAGGGGACTGCAGCGACAGATCCAATAGATATTGCGGCGGACACGAGGCCCAGCATTGCGCTGGTGGGGTGGTTGAAGTGCTCTTGCCATTTGTCGACGGCTTGCAGGCCGTTCAGTACGCTGCCATCAAAGCCTGAGCTCTCATTGTTAGAGTGTGTATACCAGAGACGGGGTAGCCTACTTGCCTGTCGTGATTTCGACGCCGAGGGCAGATGGCATGAGAAACATGTAGAGACGACGCAGATTCTTCTTGCGATACCAGGGGACTTTGTCTTCGGCAAGGAGACGAGTTACCTCAGAGGTTGCTGCAATCTCGTTGACCTTGACATCCCCTTTGGCTGTTCCTCCAGTTCGTTTCGACATGGTGGAGTTGATTTGGTGGAGGGTATTGCATGATTCAGCAGCGGAATGTCAAGATATATTTATATCACTTGGACAGACACTGTCTCCAACAGCCAAGTCTACAATCCGGGCAATTCGACGCCGAAAAGCATCTCAGATTGGAGGAATTGTGCCGTGGTCGAGGACTGACTGGAGTCAGTACCCCGCATTTGTCGTTGATCTCGGGGTCACACTCCCCATGGGGGCGAGACCCTTTGTATGATGTGCGCATTTATTGGCGGGAAATATTGTAAAGGATCGGACTCAGGACAAATCAACAACGGCGCCGAGACTGCCACCGCAGGATCATGGGGAGAAGCATGGTTAAATATCAAGGACAAGACGTCTTGGTCTTGATCTTTCAGGCTGTTTGATTTAGGCTATTTCCGAGCGCATTGACTTGGTTCTGACGACTCGCTGTATATGATTTCTAGTCCAATCTAAAACACAAATTCCATCATATGACGCAGTTTCTAATCGTGGACATCCGGAGTAACAAACAGCCTCCAGTACTCGTCGAAATCGAGTGTTTGCGTCGCCCCGACACTCCCCCCCTTGGCCTCCCTCCTACTGAACCCATCGCCCAAGTATGCAAATCGGTTGCTCTTCGCCTCCTTTGTCCGTTCAATGTGAAAGTCCTCCCATCGGGGATTCTTGATCGCCTCCATGAAGTGAAATGACGTTCCGCCATAGATGGCAACCACTGGTCCGTCCACAGTCCCCCGCTTATACCAGCTGCGACACCCCCGTGTCCAGACGGTGCGCTCGAGATACTTCTGGATGTGTTGATTGTACTCCTCGTTGGCATCGTCGCGCACCTCGAAGCTACGGATCATCTCCGTCTGTAACTTCTCCAGCCACTTGTATACGTAGATCGCTGTCGCCTGAATCCCCAGCACGAGCGACCCGTTGCTGATGGGGCTGTTGGGCCCAATAAAGCAGAAGTAGTTGGGCATGTCGGGAACCAAGAATCCAAAGTACGCCTTGGGCTGCTCGATGTCCCATTTCTGCGCGAGGTTGACCCCGCCTCGCCCAATGAGTGGGAACGATGGGCGGAACGAGGTGTCGAAGCCCGTTGCGCAGACAATCACGTCGTACTCCTTCTCCTCACCCGAACGAGTCCGGATTCCCTTTTCCGTAATGGCGGCGACATCGTCCCAGTGCATCTCGATATGATCTTGCGTCAAGGCCTCCAGGAAGCCTGGTCCGGGCGTCTGCCTGCGACAACCGACAGGGAAACTCGGCAGGAGGTACTCGGCAGCTTTACGTCCTTTAGGAGTATCGCCCAAACGTTTGATCATGCTCTCTCTGAACATCTCCTGGGCGCGCTTCTGGATGTCACTGTCCGCGATGGCTCGCTTGAAGTTCTCGATCCGTCGGTCCATAATCGCCGCTCTGTACGCACGGAGCACCTCTGGATCTTTGAGCGTTTCAAGAGCAGCTGGGGAGAAGTTGTATTCAGCGTCCATTTCAAGGTCATTCTTCGTGGGCTCATTGATACCCGGAGCGGGCGAAATCCAGGTTTGTGTACGGACATACACGTCCATCGATGAAACGTGTTTGGCGAGCTGTGGAACAATTTGAATGCCAGAAGAGCCGATGCCAATCGTGGCGACCTTTTTATTGGTAAAGTCGTAATCTTGGTCCCATCGCGCAGAGTGAATCAGTTTGCCTTGGAATGAGTGGAGGCCTTCTATCGATGGCCACTTCCAGTTGCTGTCGTGTTCGCATTAGTGGAAAGTCAGCAACAGGGGAAGGAAGGGGGTTCTCACTTGAGCACACCACCAGCGTTGATGAAGACATCCACGCGATCTTGAAAGACGGATCCATCTGGCGACTGGACCGAAAGCTCCCACTTGGCATCTACTTCGTCCCAGACGGCGCCCTTGATGGCGTGTCGGTACTTGATGTATTTGTTGCAGTCGTACTTATCCGCAACGCCATGCATGTACTCATGAATCTGCTGCGCAGTAGCGTAGTAATTCGGCCAGTTTGGATTAGGCGCAAAGGAATAGGCGTAATTGTGTGCGGGGATGTCGCATTTACACCCGGGATACCTTTTGATGCTGTCAGTCGACACTATTCGGGAAAAAAAGACCTATGACATACCGATTCTCCAGCCACGTTCCTCCCAAATCTTCATTTCGCTCGTAAATCACAAGTTCGGCATTCTTGTCTTTCATGCGCTCGCTAAAGACAATGGCCATCATGAGGCCAGAGTAGCCGGCACCCATACAAGCGACGCGAATTGGTCGCCGCGTGCCGATGGGCTGCTCGACAATCTTGTAGAAGGGGTCGAGTGCTGGGTGGCCGTTTTGGATGCCGTTTGCATGGCCGTTCGTGTGGCCATTCTGATGCCCATTGATGCCGTTTGTAATTCCCATCGTGAAGTCTGCAGTTGCTGCTCGTGATGGTTTCTACGAACGGTGAAAGTAACAAATGCTATATACGACAATTCCTTGACTGTAATGCTGAGCAGCAAACCAATGTCCGAATGTCTGGTCCGGACATCAATCTCCGGAGCTTGACCGGATTAGGTGCTAGTGCGTCTCTGCTCCACCGAAAGGTTGGAGTCGATGCGGCGCGTGGCGAGTCTGAAGTGGGGGCCACCCACCTCCCATGCAGTGCGTGCACATCCGGTCCTCCGCATTTCTAACCCCGGACGACCCCGGTCATTGCCAGCTCAAATCATACGATCGTTGGGTGTAATGCTTCACGATGAGTCCAGCAGCCCAGAAAGCCCACGCACGGCAGCCTCGAATATCCCGCCCTCGAGGCGCAGGGCCATGCAAAACGTGCACTCCCTGTCGACAGAAAAAGATCAAGTGTGACGGCGTCCGCCCACAGTGTCAGGAGTGCAGCGTGAATGGTTTTCATTGTGTCTATGCTCAAGATGCGCGACGAGAACCGCGACCTTCCAAGGCACGGGTTGAGAATCTCGAGGCGACGGTTGCGGTGTTGCTGGATCATCTCAAGGCGTGTGGTGTTGATCCCGGGATAAAGGACTGGATGCCGGCAACCAGTGGAGATGAGGGTGCCAGTGTGAGGAATGTGAGCGAGGGATATGAGTTTGACCAGACTATGGGAGATGGCGTTGGGCAACTCTTGACGCCGTCTACATCGTTGTATGGAACGGTGCGCGATAGAGAAGGCCCCGATGCGCAGATGAGCTCGCCACCAGAGACTCAAAGACCTATCAACATGGAAATGAACACCGATACCTTGTTCCATCCGGATACGCCACAAAACAACGAGATGGTTGCCGGCTTACACGCTCCGATGCCACACCCCAATCAAACAGCCATCACGCCAGCGGCGCCAAAGGATACAGACCAGAGCGAATCAGGCATGTCACCCTGCGAAGCCCGAGTTGCCGGAGCGTTTCACGAGCACGGCTGCGTCTCATCGGTCCACGGACTCGCGAGTATCCTCAATCCCACATCACGAGCACAGCACAAGAAAAACATCTCGACCATGGGCTGGAAAGGAGAAGGCGCAGTGGCCTCGTCCAAAGCACGACTCGTAAGCAACGCTGCACTTCAACGACAGCGCGAGTCTCGTCTCTATCGCCAGCCAACGAATCTTGTCGATTTTGACGGCTGTGAGCCTGATCTGGCCAGACACCTGCTCGATCTGCACTTTAACCGTCAGCATTATGCGTATATGATCTCGTACCGGCCAGCGATCATGGAGAGCCTTGTCAATGGTGGCGGGCCGTGGGTCAATAAGCTCCTTCTCAATGCGATTTATTACTCTAGCACGTTATACAGCGATAGACAGGGTCTGCGGTCAGATGTCAACGATCCCAACAGCATGAGCGCCCGCTTCTACCAACGCTTCCGCCAACTTCTCCCTGACGAGCTAGACAAGCCGAGCATTCCGACCGCGGTGGCTCTGCTTCTAACAAGCGCAACGCTCGTGTCGCAAGGCAAATCAAGTGCCGGCTGGAACCTTTCCGGCACAGCGTACCGGATGATCATCGACATGGGCTGCCATCTCATGCTCGGACCAGACTACGAGAGCCTCTCGAATCTCGACCACGGTCAGCTCCTGCGCTGGGACCTCGAACAGGAGATGCGCAAGCGGCTATACTGGGGAGCATACGTCACAGACGCCACGCAGGCCTTGTACCTTGGCCGGCCGTGTATGTTTGCGACCGTGGAAGCCCGAGTGCCGCTACGATTCCTGGATACATTTGAGGAGCTGGAGGAATGGGAACCCTACCTTGACCGTCAGGCAACTCAGCACCTCCCTCCGTATGAGCCACGGCCTGCTCACGCGTTATCGACCTTCAGCTGGCTGGCTCGTCTTTTCCAGATCTCAACGCGCATTACGAGTCTGTACGGGATACAAACAATCAAATGCACATCAGAATACCTCCGCGAGCAGAAGTTCTCCATCGAAAATGAACTCAGAGAGTGGAAAGGGTCGCTACCTGCGCACCTTAACTTCGACCCTGAGACATGTCAAACGCCCCCGCCTCATCAGATAACGCCCCAGTAAGCCTTCCCTTAGTGTCCTCGTTATGAATTGCTCATTTTGACTGAATTATTTATTTAATTGCTAGCACCACGTACCACGCCCTTACAATCCTCCTACAACGCGCCTTTCTCTCCGAAGGTCACCTCCGCCGACACTCCACCGAAGAAAGCAACAGAGAATCCGAGAAACTCTGCATCCACAGCGCAATCTGTATTCAGAAGCTAGTCCGCGCATACAGAGATGCTTTTACCCTCCGCCGAGCCCCCTTTCTACTATCCTACGCAGTCTACTCAGCCGTCATCGTGATACTCCGCGCAGAGCGCCACGAGCGTGGCCAGTTCATGGCACCTATTGAATTCTTCTGGAACTGTCTGAGCGAGTTGCAGCGGGGATGCAACTTTGGTCTCGAAAAGCCGTTGATGGTGCTTAGGGAGATGGTCAAGGAGTTCCGGGCTGGTCCTCGTGCGAGTTGTGAAGGTGCAGGCTTGGGCCTTGATTTCGAGAGCGCATTTGCTCTGCCCATTGATCCGTCTTTTGATTCGAGTGGGGTGGGCGGTCACAATACTATGCAACTTCACGCTCCCCAGCCTGCGTCCCCGGATTATTTGCTCGGACTGGATACGAACATGGCGCTTGGGACGGGGTCGCCGGGGTTTTGCATTTCTTTGAGCCAACTGGAGAGTGATATCTCGCATGACGCTTTGTATGGCCTTTTTGCGCCGCCGCAGTTGTACCCCTGAGGTTTGATAATTGGATAATTGAGACGGCACGCTTTGCCCTAATAACCTTTGGCCGCTCCCTTTCTCCACCCCTTTATATGGCGTAATCGTAGCTAAGCCACCCTCCTCAAGCGACACTGACCTCTCTGTCGCTGGTCACACACACTCTCCGAGTTCTCTCAACTTTGTCCCAGGCGCAGCAGAGAATCACTTCTTCGCTGTCGAGATTTCCTTGTTCATTTTGCGGGCGAGTTTGCTTACGAAGAGAGATATCGAAACGACACATCACTATATGAACTGTTCGACAGAAATATAAGCACTGGAGGTACAAGACATTTAGTGACATACAACATACGAGCTCGATTCTTGCAGTTCTCATCCTAGTACAATGAATCTATATTACTACTCGATCACCCCCTCAATTCTCCAGACCCTCCTAATATTCGGCTTCGCCGCATTATCCCTGATCTTCAATGTCCACTCTGTAACACCGGCCTTCCACTCCGGACCCCCGAGCCCGTTCACCTCGTCGTAGAAGTTGACACCGTAAAAGTTCGCCGTCTCGACGTCGCCGTACACCTTCACGAGCGCATAGCGTCTCATTGCATTCCATCCTGGTACCAAAGCCAGTTTGCCGCCGTGTTCTTGGTCGTACCAGGCGTGGTAGTCGGCTTCCTTATCTGGGCGAGGCGTGGATCCGTTTACGACGATGGTTGAGCCGTGTGCAGGGTGTGTTGGGAGTCGGTGAGGGTTGGTTTGTGGTGCACCACCCGGATTGCTGGCATCGCGGCCGTTGATGAACTTGCAGACGATCCAGGAAGGTGGTGTTGGGGTGTTAGCAGTATCGGATTCGTAGAGACTTGCAGACGCGGTGACGGGGGCGGTGTCGCTGAGGAAATAGATTGTGGCATTTTTGGGTGTCTCAGAATCACCTGCGCTGAGGATGTAGGCTGCCTCTGTGTTGGGCAAGGAGGGGGCGCTGGTTGCGAGTGTGTCGCTGAGGCGGATGACGATTCCGGGGACGGCCATTGCTGCAAGTTGATTTGAATTCTTAACAAAGCTTGGAGACCAGGAGGAGCATTGATGCAACTAATGAGCGTACTGATATCGATTTATGCAGCTGTTTCGGTTGACATTCATTTGGTCCATGGCATTCATTTTCCTTGGGTATACCCCAGACGTAGATCGCGGACATTAATGTCCGTCATGGGGGGAATATCAAGCCTTACCAAGTTGGAGACCTTCCGAGCACCTTGCAAGCATCGCCGTCCTACTCGAATCGCAAAACAATGACCCCTCCATCTAAACTACCTTCATTCGACCAGCTCCCCTTGAACGACGGTGATCCACCTTACTCCGCCTGGGGACTCTGGGGAGAAGACAGTGCCTTGGGTTCGCTCAACTACCTGACAGACGAGCTGGTCGCAAAAGCAGTACAAGAGGTCAAGACGGGAGAGCGTGTAGCCCTCAAGTATACGTCTCAGACCCAAGTATGAAGCAAAGCTAAGCCCCTCTATAGTCTACCCCTGGACTTCTTCAACCCACCATTGCTCGGCCGCGCGGGGTTCGAGCAAAAGGTCATTGACAAGAACCCTCTCGTGGTCAATGACGATGTGGTATGTACCTACCCCTGTATGAGAACATCAGCTTACTGTCCCAGATTACCTTCAACACACAGGGAAGCTCCCAATGGGACAGTTTTCGACATTTCGCCTACCAAGCGGATAAGAAGTTCTACAACGGGTACGTCCATTTCCCTGTCAAAAGGATGAGACTGATCCCTCGGGTTGCAGCACTACTCAAGATGAGATCCACGCATCTGGCCGCACTGCTATCAATGGACTACAGGCCTGGTGCTCCCGCGGTCTTGCCGGGAGGGGCGTGCTGGTCGACTACGCCTCGTACGCACGTCGACACGGCATAGAAATCAACCACTTCTCCGGGCACGCTATCACATTGAAGGATCTACTCGCCGTAGCGGCAGAGCAAGACGTTGAGTTTCGTACAGGCGACGTGCTATTCCTACGCACCGGGTACGTCGCAGCCTACCAGGAGCTCGACTCTGCGGGACGCGAACGAGTAGCCCAAGTGCGCGAGTGGTGTGGTCTGGGTCAATCACGCGAGACGACTGAATGGCTGTGGGAGAGACAGTTTGCAGCTGTCGCGAGTGATTCACCTGGGTTCGAGGTTCGGCGTACGTATTCTTCTTCTATATTCAGCGAGATTGACACTGACTCTGAACAGCACCCGTCGAGAAGCAGTGGCACCTCCACCCTATTCTCCTGGCCGGATGGGGGACTCCGTTGGGGGAGCTGTTTGACTTGGAGGCACTGGCAGCCATCTGTGCCAGGACTCAGCGCTGGTCGTTCTTCTTCACTTCATCGCCGCTGAACTACATGGGCGCGGTCGCTTCGCCACCGAATGCGATGGCCATTCTCTAAGTAAATTTAGTTATGTCGCATAGGATTCTAATAAGAGCTCTACCTCCCTAGAAATCCCAATCCTGAGGCTAACCAAGTAGTCCGCCTTGTTCCTGCACAGGATTCGTGCACTTTCTTCCAGCTGGCTTGAATCTCACTCCGATCCTCGATGTCAAGAAGTTCCTTCTTGTCTCTGTACCTCGCAAATATCAGTAGGCTTTCGTCCGTCTCCTCATCTCCCCGATGGAGTATCCAGAAGCTCAAAACCCGGCTTCCCTCGGCCTCTCGAGCGAGCAGTTGCAACTGCTCAATAACCTTCCCCTTCTTCCCAGAATTCGGCGTAAGCTCATCTGTTACAATGTACTGTTCGCTCGCCGAGGTAGAGAAATCTACAGGCTCCCCCTGAACAATGAACCCGAGGAGCGGGCGCCAAAAGCGCAGATCGCTTGGACGTTCAAGGAGACCTTCTGGGCCAACAGCTCCGCGGAACGCTTTGTACTCGGCACTACCACGGTGCGTCTCGGTGTTGGCTTCAATGTCTTCGTATCTGAATGGTTTTGTGAACACTTTGTATCTATCCCGGTTTCTAGTGGAAGAATTTACATTTCGAACCCTCTTAGCCAGTGATGCGGGACGACAGTGTTGTCTTGGGCGCTGCGAAACCAAGCATAGCCATGACACTTGGGCTCAGTGTTCAGCGTGACTGGGGCAATTGCGGAGATGTATTCCAGGAACTAGCAGTACAGTTAGGCACGCGGTATAGGTGATGGGTTACACTTGGAGCCCTTACCCGATCCCGCTTCTCGGGCGAAGCACAGTTGGAGAGGGGTGCGATCACATACATTGCTGTGGCTTTGGTTCTGGAACCTGGAGTTGGTTTGAGATCTTATTACGCGCAGTGGGTCCGGAAACTGATGTCCAGGCTGGAGTTGGAGAGCCCCGCATGACGTTGAGTTACTCCAACCGCATCCTCATCTCGGCCTCTGATTTCCAGCGCAGGTTCCAAATATTCCCAGCAAGCTGTCTGGCTCCACGGAGAATAATCAAGCTCACTCTCACAATGGCTGCCACCCCAACTATTCCCGCCTCGTTCTTTGAGCCCGTGCTCTCCCTCCCACCGACAGAGCAACTCCGCTGGTACAGCTGCGTCATCGTCTCGCTCTCCTCGCTAAACTACCCCGATGTAATCCCGCAAGTATACGAGCACTTGGATACGCATTTTCTTTCGAAGCTCTCACACGATGATCGATTCGACGCGGCTCGTCGACTCCGCGAGGCCCTGATCAAGTCTACGGGAATCGTCGGAGCCGCACGAACAGGGAACGCGATACGAACGCTCACCGGTCTCATCCCAGAGGATCTTCGCGAGACAGAATCACCTCGCTCCCAAGAGTCTGATGAGGTCGCGCGCGCACGAGGAAAGACGTTTTGGACGCGGGTCTACGAGCGGAATAAGGCCTTTGATCCGCAGGCGACGGTGAGGGCCAGTCCGGATTATGCTTTTGTTGTTCGAGGTATGGCTCTCCCCTTGTCACTGTAATTCAACTGCTTACGCAATGCAGAGGTGCTCTACGGTCGAATATTCTCCTTCAACGGGGTGATTGACGACTTGACGACCGGCTACGTGATTGTCTCTGCCCTGTACGGAATGGACTGCCCGAATCAGCTGCAGCATCATATGAAGGGGATGTTGGTAAATGGGGCGTCAAGGGAAGACCTACAGCACCTCCAGGAGCTATGTTTGGGGTTGGCGAAGATTCTGGGGGTAACTTTCAGGCATGGTCCTGCGCCGATTCCGACCTCGCCCAGTGAATAGCCTCAACGGAGGTTTGTTTTCAAGCCTAATCAATAAATCATGGTTCTGCGCCCATCTAGTAGCAAAGTTACTTGGCTTGATTATCTAGGTCGGAACCAGGACCTGGTGGGAGCTTAGGCACACTCCTGACTTTCTAGCTCATGCATCGAGGGCGATAGCGCATTCGATGGAATCCACGCTACAAACTTACTGTCAGCTCCCGTGCTTATCGTTCCACATGTGTTAGAAAGTATAATATAGGATAGATAAACCTCAAGCATCATGTATGTTAATTGTTCTCTTCCTGACTAGTGAGGTACTCTGGGTGTCTATATGTTGCATTGTTCTTGACGCATCTCGATTATCACTCACGCAAAGACTATATATACCCTGACTGATGCTTAGAGAGAATAGCGGAACAACGGACTCCGATCCCCCATCGCATCCAACTGGGCCGCCGTGTAGGTAGCCTCAATCTCCTCGCGCGTCTTGCGATCCCTCCTCTTATTGATGAGCTTGTATACAATCTCAAGTGTCGTGGCCGACACAGCACCGGCACAAATGAATCCCAAACTCGTTCCCCATCCGGTCTGGTAGCGAGGTTTCTCCTCCGCGACGAAGATGAGACTTCCGATGATCCCGCCGGTGTTGCCGACTGCGATCATGAGAGCGATTCCCATCGCTCGCTTGGTCTGGCCGGCGAGGTTGTTGAGAGTCCATGTATTCGCTCCGGGTACGATGGGATATACTGAGATGGTCGCGACGTGAACGAATGTGTAGCAGAGGGCGACGTGGGAGGAAATGTTGGCGCTGAAGGAGAAGAGAACGGCGTAGGCCATCATAAGGCATAACTGTGGGCCGACGATGAATGGCAGTCGCCAGGACACCCTGTCTGCAAACGTAGCGACGACAATGGCGGAGATGGCACCGGCAACATACGGAGGCGCAGACAGCAGCTGTGCATTGGTGCTGCTAAATCCCATATTGACCATGATCTGGGGCAGCGTGAACTTGAGCGCGTAGGTAGGAACTGAGCTGGACATAAAGATAAGACCCTGTAGGTAGATTTGCCAGTCGGTCAGGACAGAATACACGACCTTCCACTTTTGCTGCTTTGTGGGGGACTCCTCGAGGTGATTCTGCTGTGTGTGGACTCCTCGATACTTTCGATATAATGCGTTGAGGTAGCCAATTTCCCGGTCGGAGAGCCACCGCGAGGAATGTGATGGAGAGTCGGGAAGAATCCAAAACGAGGCCACGCCCAGGAGGACGGTAAGCGCACCTTCCAGGAGGAAGATCCATCGCCAGCCATTGTAGCCGCCGAGGCCGGACATTTTGGCGATGGCGGCGGCCAAAAGGCCTGAGAAGGCGCCAGACATGGCTGCAGCACAGTACAACAGAGACATGCGAAATTGGGTCATGTGGGGAGGATACCACTGGCTCAGGAGGTACACGGCGCCCGGGAAGAATCCAGCTCTGAACAGAAACTGTTAGCAATTTCCTGCAGGTATACATGATGCCACTTACTCAAACACGCCCAGAAGCACACGGCAGCCGACCAGACCACCAAAGTTCTGGCAGAAGCCACTGCAGGTCATGACGATCCCCCATGCTGTGACGATAAGACCGATCCAGGTGGAGGGCTTGCTGAACTTGATAAGGAGCGAGTTGGCCGGCACCTCGCACAGAATATATGGAACAAAGAACATCATGTTGGCGATGTTGTAGTCATTTCCTGTCATGTTGAGGTCAGCCTCGAGGCCTTCGATTTTTGCGTTGCCGAGATTCGCCCTGCTATTGTCAGATCATCTGTCAACATTAACGACGACTCAGAGTCTTACCTATCCAGATTCGCAATCAAGTAGAGCGCCATGAGCATCGGCATCAGACGAAAGTCGACCTTGCGAAAGGTCTTGCCGTGCTCTTCAGGCGAAAGGTCGAGCTCCGAATCAACTGGGTCACCTTTTTGCGACATTTCGAGGTGCACGGCGTGGCCTTCCTTCTGGTGAGCGGCTGGAAAAGAGGAATCCTCGTTATTGCTCGTCATCTTGTCGAGCCGGTAGATTGCTGGGATGTCTGGGAGATGGAGGCGTTGCTTTTGTAGGGGGGCAAGATTGGCTTTCTTGGCTTCCCCAGTTCTCCAAACACGATTCAAGCGCCGGACATGCATATCCGCCGCGGAGATGGAACTCGATTCCCCGTGGGGTAAATGTGGACCTTGGCTGAGATCGGATTTCAATCAACCTAATCATGCTAACTGCGGAGATACTTATCCAACGCTCTGCCCGGACTTCACTTTGAACAGTTCAGCCAGCAGAGGCCGAGGTGCAGGATGTGCTCTATGACGGCGACTTGAGTGGGACGATCACGTACAGATACAAGTTCCCTTTGGACACATTCCATAATGACTGAATGCTACTTATCGAGAAGTGAGTAATGCTAGGCAAGGTGTACTGGGTGACTGCGAGTAACTGAGGGCCTGATTTACACCATGTGTGGAATATTCCACCGTCCATTTCGGTTGACTGGAGCCGTCTCCTGGGCTTTCAGCGGTCGTACTGGAGATTCAATGACTTTATATCATACTAACAATAATGATGAGGGGATCTAAGTCTCAGAACTTGCATGGATCGTCCCCATATTCGACTACTGGCAAGCTTGACACTACAGTACAACCCTCAAGCGATCGCTTTATAAGAATACACTACCTAGACAAAGTTGAATGCCTTCTCAATGGTCAAAAGTCTAAGTATCCGAGTAAGATGCTGGATTAAAACAAGGTCCGTGACTGGTGAAGCTGGGAAGTGCCTCACATGGATCCCATGGGGCAAATATATATCGCTCCCATGAGGCCAGTCGGAGAGGGGAAATGCGCAGAGAACGCCGGACTTTGGGTTTAGGTAATCGCTGCGGGCTAAATTAGCACTGTGAAGTAGTTTTCAGTCGACATTGGTTTGAATTTGCGATTTTACTCAATCATATTGCATGGATTGCATCAATCAGGGATCGGAGAGCGATTTCAACAAAAATGAAAAAGTGAGCTCGGCAGACACTGAGTCATATATCCTTAAAAAACTGCCGCTGGGTCAGTTTGGAGTAGTCGAGTGGTAAAGCTCCTGCATCCTTGGGTGTAGTCTTGGGTTCGAAACCCGCGTGCACCGCTGGTTTTTTCTGCAACATTTTTGCTCCTTGGCTCTGGGCTTGGCGCAGACTTCTCGCTGCTTTAGCCTCTCAGAGCGGAAAAGAGTTTCCCCGCTTTTCTCCCTGTTTCCAATGATAAGCATCTTCCTGGCTTGTTCTTGTTGGATCATGGCCTGTCAGTAATATTGCATTTACTTTCGCCCTACTAGATCGTTCCCATTTGGTGGAATCCTTTCTGTTGCAACAATGACTGTGAACCTACCAACACAGCCTTTTCAAGTCGTCAAATGGACGGGACATCGCATTTTAGTCGGGTTTATGGAGTGAATAGTGCACATTCAAAGGCTGCAAAGAACAAAGAACAATGCATTGATGGTGAAAAAAAAAAGGAAGAAAGACGATGCTGGTCGTCACCTAAAGGGAAAAGTAAAGACATTGACAAAGCAGTATACAAAGATGACTTCCACAGAGTCCTATAAGTAGCTCCAATTGCTCCGCTGTCAGATGCCGGATTACCAGTTTACCACGCCTTGACTACCTTCTATTCACAATGTCTGCCTCGACTACCAAGTTACCTAAAGGCGTCGACCGCGATTTTCTCACCGGCCGGCGACAACCCGGCTCGGGCGAGGTATGCATTGGCATGACCATTAACAAGCACGCTCACCTGGAAGCAGGATGCCTGGGATACCTGGACGCCGCGGTGACCTTCCCCTTCATCGTGTGGGTAGAACCCAAGTCTGGCGAAGAAAAGGATTTTACGGCATGTACCAAAAAGGACCTTGACGATGCCCTTTATGGGACTTGGGCCGATGAGCCGGAGCTCGGCCAACTGGCGTTTGGCTGGTGGAGGTGCGGCGGAATCCTTACCAAGGGTTATGGCATTGCCCGTCAAGTCTGTCGGCGCCTGGTTTATCCTCTTGTTGATGCTATTCCTGAGAAGAATTACTGCCAGTTGAACGATCTCAGTGACACGTTGCTGCGGGAATTGCTTTCAGAGGGTGAGGCGGATGCCTCCATCCCGCAGGATCGTTTGCGCCTGCTGCGAGAGGCTATTGCTGCTCGAAACATCACTCAAGAGGTGCGAAGCGCAGAACGTGCCATTCGCAATCGTCAAAGTAATGCTAATCTGAACTAGGCTTCTGACCAACGGTCTCCCTACGCTTAAGATCCTTTCCTGTTATTGCTTGATGCTTATACTTAGTCTTATGTTATCTACAATGAGTACTTAGGAAGCTAGCTACTTCTAATTCTGAATCTAGAAAGATAAAATCAAGTTCTGAGTTCGTTTGTAACAATGTATACCTCCGTACCAGATATGCCTTCATCTACTATGACGGTAATTGCAAGCGCCTCACAACTGGTGTCTAAATATCCGCAAACACGCTCAAGAATTGCTGGGAAACGGAACAATCTTCCACGAGTAGGTAATTGGAAAAGTCTTTCAAGGCTCAACCTCGAAATCCATGTCACCCATGCCACAGATCCACTCCATCACGGGCTCATAGAGCAACAATCCTGATTTAGCACCTTCCATCGCTCCAAGCAGAGCAACGTAGTTGGGAATCTCATGACCCACGTGTCCGGCGTCTTTCTCCACGTCTTCATACGTCAAGCCCTTGATCCGTTCGATATTGCCATCGCAGTAGTGCTTCATAAACAAGCGATGCCAGTCCGCGTTAATAAGAGGGCGTGATAAGAGGATATTGGTTATTTTTGGCCATTTCCATCTTGCACTTGTCGAACTCGACAAACAAGGTAGGATACTGCTCCAGGACTGGTTTTCTGAAGGTCTGAAACTCTTTCATCTGATCAACTCTCTGGTTTGGGTTCCGGAACGGCGGCCAGTGAGACACAGTGCACATGAGAGCGACGCGACAGTCGTCGGCAAGAGCCTCGATCGCGCGTCGGACGGCTTGACCGAATGCGTACGCACGGCCATACGGGACCAAAGGAGGCGTAAGGGCGTTGATGAATATCGAAGTCAGGCTGACGCTGGGAAGATCGGCCGTCATGAGCTCCCATGATGGGAAACTTGTCCGAATCTGCGGGGCACAAGCCAGTACCAGTTGGAGACATCGTCCTCCGTTCCGTCTGATTTTCTCTAACCCCACTTTTAGCTGCGTCACCAAATCTGAATAAGCCGCATGCGGCCGATATTGGCAACCTGTGGGAGGAGCTAGCGCTGGCCCCGAATCGTGACATTGGTCTCAGCGAGAGATAACCGGAACTGTATGCAGAGAAAAAAAAAAAAAAGTCCATGCCTCCTTAAACGGCTATGCATTCGCTCGGAGGTTAATATTGATCTCCAACACAGTTCTTCTTGTATCTAATCAACTCGCAGCCCGGCCGCCTTCAGAAGCGGAAGGATATTCTCCAAAAAGTGATCAAAGTCCACTTTCCAATCGTAGAAACCCAATTGAACGCCATCAATGCCAACTTTGTGGAGAGCTACCAGCTGCTCAACAACTTCCTTGGGAGACCCTATCACCTCGACATTCGCACCAAGGTTATATCCCTGCTTGCGTGCGCCGTTCGGTCCTCGCCAGGCATGAGCATCGCTGTCATAACTTGTAAAAGTCCGCTTGTCCTTAGTACCTGTGTTCATACCATCAACGATCTCTTGCAGGTATGCTTCGCTCTCTTCTGGCGTATTCCTCGAGACTATGATGGGATTTATCAGAACCTTGATCTCACGGCCTGCCTTCTTCGCCACGTCCTTTATGGTTGCAATGTGATCTGGCAGCGATTCCAGAGCGCTGTGTATATCTGCTCCGGCGGGCGAGGTGATAAAAACCAAGTCGGAATATTTGACGGCAAAGTCGATCCCCGCAGGAGACCCAGTAGCATTGACAAGTACAGGCCGACCGTACTGTGGTTTCGGCGTCACCCAGGCATTTTCCAGCTTCCATGGTGAGACTCTGCCTTCGTACGTTAGATTCTCCGTCTCGCCCCAGAGGCTGTTGACGACGTCGAATAGTTCGGCTGCCATGTCGTATCGTTTGTCATGCTCGATTCGATTCCATCCGAACATTTGGTGTTCAATCGCTCGGTGGCCTGTCACGATGTTGATGCCCCACCGGCCTTTCGAAATGTGATCGAGGGTGGCTCCGTATTTTGCGATATGCAGCGGATGTAGTGGACCATACAAGACATGAATAGTCGAGATCAACAGAATCTTGCTGGTCGCGGCAGCCATTGCACCCAGAGCGATAAAAGCATCCAGCGAGGCCTCGCCATCATAACCACCCTTTGGGAGCCACTGCATTCGGCTGAATGCGATTTCAAATCCAGCGGCCTCGGCCTTGCGTACGATATCCAGGTTGTAGTCGAATGTCCAGCTGTTGCTCGTGGGAAAGTCGGAAATCTTCCTGTCCTGCAAGTCGAGAAAGACGCCCAGCATCAGGGGTTGTCGCTCGGCGACCCGAAGAGGACTGTCTGCAAAGTCTAGGGGACCTCTGAGGGCCGGGCCTCCTTCTCTGACAGATCTAGCTGCCATCTCAAAACAAATTCTATGGTTGTATCGAAACGTCCAAGGAGCTTCCGTGGGATGCACCAGCTTGATATGCGGCGGGGTAATGGGATTGCATCAATCCTCACGAATCTGAGCACATCGCTGCTTATGGAGTAAACATGAAAAGCAGATGTCGACTATGCGCGACGGAATGATACCATCGGCGATAGCAACATACGCGGAAAAGAATCCGACGTTTCATAAGTATTCTGCCATCTTCAATAATATTAATCATCTCTCCAGAGCTTTGAGTCCTGGGGTTAATTTCTGTGAATGAAATTGTGTTCTCATTTGGGCTATCTCAAGCTGTACGTGACATGACCTAGAATATATATGTGTATGTTCAACTAGGGACATGGAAACAGTTGTAGCTAGGTCTTGCATTATTTGCAGTGAATGTCTATATTTAACAGTAATGTGAGCGCACACCCTAGCTTCAGCAATATACTTTAGCATCTTTCTATCAATCATCCTCGGACCTCGGACCGGTATATCAATATGGCAGGGTACAGGTAAAGGGGGACGAGGTCATTGCTGCCCTTTCTTGCTCCGGGGCGGGAGGAGTGCTTTTGTCTTCTCCAGTGCGCAGTAGGACGGGGTGGACCAGATGTGATCGGGGTACAAGTAGACTACAAAGGTACCATCTCGTGGATCACTGACTTATTTGGATGCTGAGGCGGGAGGAATCAAACAGAGACAGCCAACTAATCTAGCAATACTCAAACTCGATGGGATCGCAGTGCAAGCTATAGAGCAACTACCAACAAACAACGACAGCCTGTCATCAATGACATAACGCGCGAGGCCCGATCAATCCTTGATTTCAGCATGTTCCACATCAATCATGTTCTTGTCCAGCGCTGTCTTACCCGCCGTTTCCTCTCTCACCCCATCGAACAGCGTTACAATCTCCTCGAGAGCAAAGCCTTTGGTTTCCGGATAGACGAAATAGACGACGGTGAATTCGATAACGACCCAAGGGATGAAGATGATGTAGAACTTCCAGCCCATATCCTCAAGCCCAACGGGGAATGCATAGGTGGAGAGGAGTGTGAAGCAGGTGGAGAAGAGCTGAAAACAGGCCTGGCCGCGCATGCGGAGGTGGAAGGGGAGGATCTCCGCAATGTACAACCCCAGGTTCCCATTAATACCAAAGTTGTACGCCGGAGAGAACAGGTAGAGGAAAGCGACGACTGCTCCGGCTGCGGCTTTGTTGGAGGCGTCTTGAGCGAATACGGCGCTCCCAGTTGTGATACCAATCAAACACAGGAATATGCCAACGCCGGACCCGAGGAATAGGACGCGACGTCCAAGTCTCTGGGGCAGAGTGGCAAAGTATAAAGCCGAGAGCCAGGAGAGCATCTGCTGCGTGGCGTTGATCAAGGTTTGTTCAAGACTCGAGGTCAGTCCTACGCTCGTGAGGATGGGGGCCAGATAATAGGAGATGAAGGCATTGCCCGACATCTAGATGTTGACACATAAGAGTTAGCGTTCGACCCAGTGTACATCAGCGGGATGGGAGAGCCTTACCTGGGCGAAACATGCACTCCAGAGCAAGATGAACAGACGCTTGCGGTTGCCTGCCGAACGGGTGAACTCGAGATAACCCTGGAGCCAACTGCCTCTGCTCGTGCTCTGTTCGTACGCAAGGGCCTCTTTGATTTCGTTGAATTCAAACTGGACCAAAGCATCGTTGACATCACCTTCGGCGTGATATTTGCCGAGAATCTGCAGCGCCTCGTCGCCGCGGTCCTTGGATACCAGCCAGCGCGGACTTTCCGGGACGAACCACAGACCCAGCAGTTGCACAACCGACGGAACTCCCTGAAGAGCGGACGGAATACGCCACGCAGCACTCCCATCAATGCGAAAGGTGCCAAACGTTGTCCAAGCCGCGATGATAGCGCCCAGGGCATATGTCGTGTTGAACAAGGCGGTTGCTGTGGCACGATGAGCGGGATGCGCAATCTCAGTCAGCAGTGGAGCGCCAGACGAGCCCAGAAAGACCGCTCCACAGCCCAGAATCCCACGGGCAACCACAAACATGGCCAGGTTCTGAGCGCCTCCCTGGACAGCTGCGCCCACACAGCATATACCTGCCCCGAGGGTCAGACCAAACCGTCGTCCAAAACCGTCGTTGACCAGAGAGATGAACGGAGTAGCGACCAGGCCCCCAATGGGGTACGCCGCATTGAAAAGACCCAGGGTTGCTCCCTTTGGTTCCCCAAAGTAGGACCGCCAGCTTTCCACTGATTGAAGGCCGTTCATCATTGACCCGTCGAATCTATACTCGCACGCGTTAGGCTATCGTTTGCCAGATCCGGGAGGCGGAGAGGAGTTCCAGCTTACCCCTGAGTGAATAGAGATAGCAAAGGGAACACCATCAACATGTTGAGGGTAAAGAGGTTCTTGTGCCTCCACCAGTGCTTCGCGTCGACACTACTCGCCGGGATGGGGATGGCCGCCGATATGCTGTTGCGAGTCGACATGGTGGCTGCTGCGATACTGATTGAGCTGATGGTTCTTTGTAAATGTTGGGGTGAATCCGGGGCAAGATGCTGGGACGATGGGCCCTTTATATCGACCACAATGGCGTCCCAGCTCAGACCTGCTGCCCTGTTGCTGGTGTTTGCGGGGAGGATGTTGTCTGGGGGCTCGGGGAGCTTGAAAGGCGAGTGGAGTGGAGGGATAATTTTCGGCTCAGATCCACAGTCAGTCACAGTCTCAGTCAATTGTGGCGACGCGGAATCCCGGGACAGTTGAGCTCCCAGCATGCGGAGTCCCGGCACATTGACTGCAATTTCGGCCACTGCTTCACCGAACGGCGACCACCCGAGCGGATGCTAAAACACACTCCGCCCCTTGAATCCCGGGCCTTGTGCTATTCCTGCTGTCGCCCCTCGCCATGGCCACGTGGATCTGGCACCCAGACTGGACCGAAGAGCCCGCCGAGGCGTCGGCTGGAGCCCTGGTGCACTTTCGAAAATCCATCATCCTGTCAACGCTTCATCCCCAGCCCATCCTCATCCGCATCACCGCCGACACCAAATACAAGCTCTATATCAACTCAAAGCTGGTATCCATCGGTCCTGTCAAGGGGGACCGCCATCTCTGGTTCTACGACGAGGTGGACATCCGACCCTACCTCCAGCTGGGCCGGAACAACATCAACGTCCGCGTGCTTCGATTCTACTACGCCACGCAGCATGCGACGAGCTTCCCAAGATTACATCGCCCGGGCCTGTTTATCCAGCACACCCAGGCGGAAACCGCGCTGGGTGCTGGCTGCATTCAAAGCGACCGAACATGGGAGGCCGCCCTCGATCAAACAACCATCCTACCGACCGAGATCAAAGAAGATGAGTTTCTGCACGTCTACGAGCGAGTAGACGGCAGGTGTGAATTAGCGACTCCAAAATGGGTCCAGGTGGAGGAGCTGCAATTCCCCAATTCACATGGGCTGTCCGCCCCGTGGAAACTGTCGCCTCGTATGATCCCACTTTCTCGATATCAACCGGGATACTTCAAATCCATCTGTACCGTTTCCAGTGCCCTGCCGCGATCGGATTGGGAACGCACTCTTCTCGAGCCCGGTATCAAGAAGTCAGCGTCGTCGTCGTCGTCGGTGATCCGCCTGCCAGCTGGTAGCGAACACTATCTCGAGCTCGAAGCCGACACCCATATGACCGCTTTTCCGTATTTTTGCTTCGAATGGCCACGCGACCTGGGCAGCACCCTGCGGGTGACCTACTCCGAGTGCTACGAAGACACCCCGTACCAGGTCCCCTATATCCGGCGCAAGGAGAACCGCTGTGACACCACAAAGAGCATCATTGGCCCGCAGGACGAATATATCTTTGGAGGAGTTGCCGCCAAGTCGACGAAAAGCAGTCTCCCGTACCATGAGAGCCAAGCGGACGAGGAGGTGTTTGCTCCGTTTCACTTTCGGACATTCCGCTTCCTGGCTGTGCATATCAAAGTCTCTGACACGGCAGATCTCATCCTGAAGCGCATTGATCTAGTCAAAACCAACTATCCACTGCAAGTCCACGCGGATATCAAGCTCTCGGTTGCCGACAATGTATACAGGGACATGTGGACAACCAGTGTCCGAACCCTGACAAACTGCATGCACGACTGCTTCGAGGACTGTCCCTTTTACGAGCAGCTGCAATATGCAATGGATGCTCGAAGCTCTGCGCTATTCACCTATTGCATCTCGGGCGACGCCCGTCTAGCCCGCCAGGCGATCCACCAGCCGCACAACTCGTACGACCCCCGGTTGGGACTCACTGCAAGCCGAGCACCCGCGCACCAGCAGCAGATCATTCCGCATTTCTCACTCTTCTGGATCTGCATGGTGGCCGACCACTTTCAGCGGTTCAATCAGATTGATTTTGTTCGCCAATTCGTCCCGGTGTGTGATGGAATCCTCGAGTCCTTCTCGCGCCGAGTGGACCCCAGCCTTGGGCTCGTGCGCAGCGTGCAGAGCCCCGACCAGTGGGACTTTGTCGACTGGGCAGAGCCCTGGAAACCCATGGGAATCCCGCCGGCGGTGGAGAGAACGGGGTTCCAGTCCTATACCAGCATGTTGTACGCCTACACCCTGGCAGCAATCTGCCCGCTCCTCGTCGCAATGAGTCGTCCAGGCATGGCCGAGGAATATCAGATTCGGGCCAACGCCATCAAAGGCGCGCTGATCGCGTCCTGCTTCGACGGCCGCTTCTTCACGGATGGACTGGCGGCGAATTCGGATCCTGCCTCGGACTACAGCCAACACGCCCAGGTGTGGGCGGTCCTCTGCGGCGCTGCAACAGGAGATGTTGCTCTCGACATCATGAGCGAGTGCACCGCGCCATCCAGCAGGAGAAAATTTACTCAGACCTCCACGGCCATGTCCTTTTACACCCTGCGGGCTCTCGCTGAGGTCGGTGGTGGCCTGTACGAGGAACGGTTCCATGAGTTCTGGGCGCCGTGGAAAGCACAGCTGGCGCAGAATCTGACAACGTGGGTAGAGGATAGCGTCTCGAATCGATCAGACTGCCATGCGTGGGGGAGCTCGCCTCTGTATGAGTTTATGGTCGAGGTGGCCGGCGTGCGGACCGTGGGTTCGGGGGCAAACAAGAGCATCGCCTTTCGGCCTCGCATCGCTCTGTTCAACGAGTTCCGCGCCAAGGTTCCAATCCTCAGGGATGATTTTTTGGGGATTGCACATGTCCACTGGAAGCCCGAGGGGGATGCTGTCCAGCTATCGCTGTCGTTGGAATTTACAGAAGGGGGGTCGATCGCCGTGTCGTTACCAGATGGGCACATCGTGAGGATGGAGCGTCTTGAGGAAGTGCGACTTGTCCTTGCGAGGAAATGATTTCAGCTGCTACATGTATATATCCGAGAAGCAAATTCCATTTAGTCCCCTTGACCGGGTTGTGTCTCGGCGGCGAGAGCATCCATCAGACCCTCCAACAGCTCCAATCGGTCGGCAACATCCTCGGCCTCGTCTTTCCAGTATCTCAGTAAAACCAGTACTTTCTCGACAGCCCTTTCCCAATCTGCAGGGAGCAGTGCCGCCAGACCCTGCATGGCACCCGCGATCAGGACAAGGGCGCTCCTCGTACAGGACCTCAGCATGAGCCATGTGCCGTGGTGGCGATGGAAGAAGCCTCGCTCATTCTGCGCGATCCGACGGATACACACGTCGAACCCTTTGCGGGCAAACCCGGCAAACAATCCATGGAACTCTTCTGTGGGGTGGTTCTCATGGATGGCGTCGACCACAAACGGCCAGTACATCATCTCGTAGCAGTCGATCAGATGGCCATTGAGGATGAATCGCAGCGCGGCATGTTGGTCAGAAGCATCGTTCGGGGCCTGGTTGGAAGGGGCGTTGAGGTCGAGTAGGGCGGGGAGAGAGGTGAGCCTGGATGAGGAGGCAGGATTAGCTGGCAAGCAAGGGAAATTGAAAGGGGATTGATCGAGGGCGCCTTACAGGCCATTTGCCTGGTCCTCGAAATTCAGGGTAGCCTCGACCTGCACCTCGTTGTCACGGGTGGTCTCTTCATAGAGATGGTTGAGAATGCGGTTACCCAACCGTCGCAGAGCGATCTCTGCAAGGTAAAAGTACCATACGGCTTCTTCTTCGGGTTTGAGGCCTGTTGGTGGTGATGGGAATAATGCAGGGTAGGTCAAGTCCAGACCGTGACTTCTGCCCACATTCAATTCCAGGCGAAGCTCCCTGGAGAGGATCAGTTAGCTGAGGTCTCATCGGTACGATCCAGCCTGGGCGCTTACAGTTCGGACTTGAAGCACGTCCAGTAGATACTCCGTTGACGAGTAGCCCCCGAGTCGGTGTGGCCTGCGGCCAGACAATGACTACTGTTGAACGTCTCGCAGCAGGCCAATGCTTGGACAAACATCCTCCACGCCTCCAACGGCCGCAGCGTCGTCATCAGGTACACCCCTGCATAGAAGAAGACCTGCGTCTCTATCAAACCATCCTTGCAAAGCAACCCCCCGAGCCTCTTCTGAGCCGCGTGAAAGTATCGCTCTGCGTCTGCATATTCCTCTGATTGTAGGAAGGCCGAGGAGGTGGCCGAAGCGGAATCAAAACCCGGACTGGAAATGGCTCCCAGCGCAAAGATCAACAGCTACAGATCATCAGTAGGAGCATCTGCCGCGCTCGTCACAAGGTGTACTTACGAGTAAACACGATTTAGCATCCCAGCCAAACCCGTCAAACAAAGCGTCGCGGATGTACTTTTCGATCTCCTCGGCCTCAGAGACCGGATTGTAGGTGTGGACGTGCGTGAGGAAATTGTGGAACAGCTGCCGCGCACTGCTGGTTTCAAAATCCAGCCCGCGCAAAGGCGGCTCGGTTGCAGAATCTCTGGACTGGAGAAGCGCACCCAACGGCGGCCTTGGTTCAAGGACCCGATGTTGGAACACCGGCCATGCCAGAATGGACTCGATGTTGAGATGGTAGGCAGCACTGGACTGGGTCCGCTCCAGGGCCGGCGAACAGAGGTTGTTCAGGGTCGCGACCGGGCTGGGTTGCGCCGGTACACCGACGGGGATGACTGTCCTCACAAGCGACTCCAGGGTATCCAGACGATGGAGGATGGCGATGCTGGCTGGGTCGAAGCTGTAATGGTCAGCGGCGTATTTCCAGTGCGGGTGATGGGGGGCTCACGTGGACTTGTCATTCTCCCTGTAGATGCATTCCATGCCCAGCTGGACACAAGATCCGCACGCGGGGTGTTCGTTGTCGCACTTGATTCTCTTCCGGCGACACGTGTGGCAGGCCTGGACCGCGCGTTTTCGAGGGTACGAGGGCCTGTCGGTGGGGGCTGCTCGCTGTCTTTTGCTCATTGCGTGCGATTGACCAGCTCCGAGTCTGCGGGCACAGTGCAAATTTAAGAAACCGCGGAGTGTCGGGTTCAAGGGAGGAGAAGCTGAGATTACCGTCAAAGACTGTAAGTTACACGAGTCGGAGATCCGAGTGGCCGCGTGGATGTGGGGAACAGTAACGATACCAACCGTACCCCAACCCACGCCTGGATACAAAAGCGAGCAGAGTGCAGGCCAAGCCACGCCACCATGAACTGTTGCCTCGTTCCTGCTACGCCGAAAACACCAAGTCGACAGTATGGTGCACAAGGACTTTGATGTCGATGCCGTTCTCTCTCAGCTGACACTCGATGAAAAAGTTGCCCTCATTTCGGGCAGCGACCCATGGCACACAGCCTCTATCCCCCGCCTCAATATTCCTCGAATCCGGGTGACAGACGGCCCCAATGGCGTTAGGGGAACTCGATTCTTCAATGGCGTTCCGGCCGCCTGTTTCCCCTGTGGTGTGTATTGCCCCCCGTGTCCAAGCGCGTGCTAAAGTATCCCACAGGCACGGCCCTGGCGGCGACTTGGGACACGGAACTTGTGCAAAGGGGCGGCGTACTGCAGGGCCACGAGGCCATTGCAAAAGGAGCGTCGGTGATTCTGGGGCCCACGACCAACATGCAGCGGTCTCCATTGGGTGGCCGAGGCTTTGAGTCGTTCAGCGAGGACCCGGTGCTTGCGGGAGAAATGAGTGCGGCTGCAATTCGCGGTATTCAGTCTACTGGTGTGGCTGCTACGTTAAAGCATTTCGTGTGTAATGATCAGGAGCATGAGCGACAATCCGTCAACGCGGTTGTTTCTTTCTGAACAGGCCCTGAGAGAGATTTACCTGCTCCCGTTCCAGATTGCTCAGAGAGACAGCAGGCCAATGGCCTACATGACAGCATACAACAAAGTCAATGGAACACACGCGAGCGAGAGTTTGCAGCTCATTGACGGCGTCCTGAGAAAGGAATGGGGATTTGACGGACTCGTCATGTCGGACTGGTAAGCCAACGCCCAGAAACAATCCCCCCCTCCCGTTGACCATATGACATTGACGAGTTGTCAGGTTTGGCCTGTATTCCACCACCGAAGCCATCAAAGCCGGCCTTGACTTGGAGATGCCCGGCCCTACCTACATACGCGGGACACTCGTGAAGCAGGCCCTGAGCTGTGGAAGGCTGCTGCCCTTCGAACTGGATTGCCGCGTTAAGCAAGTCCTCAAGCTGGTCAAAAAGCTTCTGCCGCTAGGAATCCCGGAGAACGCAGAGGAATCCACACTTGATACGCCAGCCACAGCCGCCCAGCTTCGATCTTTGGCGTCTGCCAGCCTTGTTCTCTTGAAAAACACCAACAGTGTTTTACCCTTTGATAAGAATAAGACAACCGCGGTGACTGGCCCGAATGCAGACTTTGCAGCCTTTTGTGGCGGTGGCTCGGCGGCACTGCGGCCTTACTACGCCGTTACACCGTTGGAAGGAGTGAGGAACAAGGTCCCAAATGCGGAATACACCCTGGGCGCTGCTGGATGGAAGAAGCTTCCCCTGCTCTCTCGTTTGACGAGGGCAAGTAATGGTTTGCCAGGGTTCGACATGAGGGTCTTTCTAGAGCACCCTGCCGTTATCGACCGGGAAGCAATTGACTCGCTGTATGTCGACACCTCTGATATATTTCTGGATGATTACAAGCACCCCCGGATAAAGTCCAACCTGTTCTATCTGGAGCTGAGTGGAACTTTGACCCCGCGGGAGACCAAGGTGTATGAATTCAGTCTCTCGGTGTCCGGCTCGGGCAGGTTGTTCGTCGACGGCCAGTGTGTTGTTGACAACGAGAGCGTGCAAACACCCGGTGACAGCTTCTTTGGTTCGGGGACTGTGGAGGAAACTGGGCGGATCACCTTGCAGCAAGGGCAGACATACCGCGTCGAGATCAGGTTCGGCACCTTGCCCACTTGTTCGTTCAACGCCAGCGGCTCCAACTCTTTCGGGCGGGGTGGATTGCGAGCTGGTGGCACCCCAGAGGTGGATGCTGAGGCCGAGATCGAGAAAGCAGTCGCGCTAGCCAAGAGGGTCGACCAAGTTATCCTATGTGCCGGGCTGAATGGCGACTGGGAAAGCGAGGGCTATGATCGTAGCACGATGGATCTTCCTGCAGGGACAGATGACCTTATCCGGGCTGTGGTGGCGGCGAATCCCAATACTGCCGTAGTCATTCAATCTGGCGCTCCAGTGACGATGCCTTGGCTTGACCAAGCGCCAGCACTGATCCAGGCCTGGTACGGTGGCAACGAGACGGGAAACGCGATTGCAGATGTTATTTTTGGCGACACCAACCCCAGTGGAAAGCTACCATTGACCTTCCCCATCTGCAACGAGGATAATCCGGCTTTTCTAAACTTCACAAGTGACAGAGGGCGCACAGTCTATGGTGAAGGGGTTTATATTGGGTACCGCTTCTACGAGAAATGCAAGAGGGGAGTTGCTTTTCAGTTTGGATATGGACTGAGCTATTCCACGTTCGAACTCAGCAAACTGTCCCTACGAGCTGATGATGAACATCTTTTGCTTACTTTGAACGTGCATAATACGGGCAAGGTAGATGGTGCCGAGGTTGTTCAGGTATACGTCGCTCAGCGCAGACCCAGCGTGAACCGACCTGTGAAAGAGCTGAAAGGGTTCAAGAAGGTGCTTGTCCCAGCTGGAAAGGATAAACAGGTCACGATCGAAATCGTCAAGAAGTATGCCGTCAGTTTCTGGGATGAACATCGGCATGCTTGGGTGCAAGAGCGCGGCGAGTTCGATGTCCTGGTTGGCAGCTCCAGTGCTAATACACCATTGTCGGCGGAATTCAGTATCAGCGATACGGTGTGGTGGAATGGACTGTAGAAGATAGAACAGTTGGTCGAGAGAATGTTCCGGAAGGATATTAGACTCGATTGGGCCAGTATGATCAGTAGAAGCATCAGTCTACAAGTCAGCAGTGATGCAATTGGCAACGATATATTTACCAGCGGTCTTCTGGTGACATCAAAGCTCCCCTTAGTGTACAACAACCCTCACACGTCCCAGATTCATCACTCTTGCGAATGAAGTATCTACATCTCCATCCCTGTGGGAACTCACGCGAACGACTGGGAAATAAGTCCCGGGCTCCTCAAAAGCATATCGCATTCTGCTAGTGAGCTTTGGGCGAGGCTTGCCCACATCCACTCGAACAAAATCTCCAGTTCCGCTGGGATCCCACTCTACAGAAACAATACTTCCAGTTCCCGGGGGCACTTCTGCCTTGAGCACAAAGAGAAGCTGCTCTCCCACCCTGATTTCCGTCTGGTTGCCCCCGCGAACTGTCAGGCTGACGACCGGTTGGATCCCTGCGCGCTGAGAAGCCTTTGCGGCTACTTTGACCTGCCCATTTTCCACTGTATATCTGGTCCCTCTTGGCGGTTGACTATCCCTCTCGACCCATGCGCTAAGATCTCGAAGTAACTGATCGTAGTGGCCCGTAATGTCAACCACGCGGTGCTCCTGATCCTGCGCTGGTGGGCCCATACCATGATCGGCGTGTTCATTGAAGTATAGTCGGTAGTTGTTCTGGAACCTCTCACCAAGAGCACTCTGGACTTGGGTTCGATACCAGTCCGCGTGCCAGGCAAACGCATCATAGTCGGCAAGATTATCGATAACCATTAGCTTCCCTGTAATCTGGCCAGTATGGGTTCCTCCCCCGGCAGCAGGTCGTGACATGGATGGGGCAAGCAGGATATCCCGCTGCGGGTAACGTGGCTCTCCATTTTCCTTCCTCAGGTAGTTATAACCGTAATATCCACCTTGCATCGGGGGGAGTTGGTGTCGATGCCAGGCATGCACGGCCAGGTTCCAGCGATTGTCCGCTCGAAGGGGGGTGTTTTTCTCGAGGCTGGCAAGGATGGTGGCGTTGTTATCGCTGTAGATAAACACGGATTGATCCTCCTTATTAATCACGCCAGTGAAGGAGCCGACGTCTGAGCGGGTTTCTTGCCGTTCCACATGGCTGAGGATCGTGAACTCAAGCTCATTGGGAGTATGCTCGGGGAGATGGCTCAACTTGACCCGAACAGGGACACCATCCATTCCCCTGTCCACTTCCACCACAGTAGCCTCAAACTCGACCAGCCTATCACGGAAGAACTGACCAAGCTTCGAGTCCTCCTTGCCAAGATATCCGTCCTTATTCCAGAAGTCGTGAACATATCCCGGGTCTGCCCTCTTTACATTTGCGGTGACCACAGTTCGAAACATCTCAAGATGTTTAGTCCTGTTTCCAGCAAGCCCCTCAAAATCCTCCCACCCAAGCAGGGGCACACCCAACGCCGTCACCTCCTCCAAAACAGGGCGCTCATGGTCTTCAAGTCCGGAAAATGGATCTCCACTCCCACCAGGACTCACTGCATCCGCCACCAGATCAGCCTTCTCGCCCAAAACCAACCCAGCGAGGGCGTGTATGCAGAAATTATTTGGAATTGACATGGGGACTCCCTGGACCAGGGCAATCCCACCATCCCAGACACCCACCGTGTTTTCCAGCGCCCCAATAGTTTGCATCGAGCCACCACTACCGCCATAGATATATCCGTAGATGTGATCCGTTTCAGCTGGGTTGTTGATCCCATAGAACTCCCTTGCTATCTGCCTCGACAACTTGGCCACGGCCGCGTCCCCGCGATACCCGCCACCAGTAGCGGCACGAACTGTATATGCGCCACTCTCAATTCCAAAGGCGATGGTTTTGTCCTCGGCTGTGGAGCCTTGAAGCGGGTAGACTAGTTGGAAGAAGCGTCCCTTCCATGCGTCCTTCAGAGGGAGGTAGATGGTGAACTCGGCTGTTGTGTCGTTGAAGTAGCCGGCGACTCTGCGGTGCGGGACGGGCATGATTTCATCCGTTTCGCTGGCGATAATGGGAGTGTTGTAAATGGGGTCCATGCAGTCTGCGGTTATATGAAGAGGCCCATCTGGAGTGTTGGAGACGCATTGCGGGCTTGCAAGAACAGCCGAGAGCGAGAAAAGCCCCCATGCAATAGTTTTGATATGGAACCTGGCATATCTTAGTATTTGACTGTGAGGCCGATTGGAATTGAATGTCGGACGGTGAGGAGAAGAGCAAATGATGAATGTCGAGGACGTACCCAGTGAATGGAAGCATGGCGACTACTATCAATTCGAAAGCTCGCACCCCTGCTATCCGTCAGAACGATCGTCATGAGCCATCAAGTCTGTCTCTGAGGAGGCGACAGTATCCTACCTGACCACGGTTCAAGCACGCTATGAGTACTCAGTGTGAGAAACACAGTCAAACAGGACCTGGCTATTTATACACGAGGGTCTCTTGGCCATTCTATAACGGGGTGATATCGCTGTTAGGCGCTATGTGAGAGAACGGCAAATTTTCCCCGACCATCCGCTCCTCCGCCATCCTCCAGAGAGGCGTATGTTCATCGTCAGTAAACCCCATACTACTCAACCCCGCGTGGAAGCGGAACATACTGCCAAGGCTCTGGGGATTCTCGGCAGGCGGGGTATACCTTGGTAGTCCCTGAAGAGCCTAGAAAGTACTAGCCTCGTTCTCTCGGGGGAAATGTTACCGAGTCAAATCCTGCACTGAGCGCCTACAACCTCTGCACGCTTACTCTTGGGCGCCCCCATGTACGGCACAAAATGGCGCAATGTGTTATCTGGAAAATAGTATCAAGCCACCTAGGGGACGATCGAGTCCAGATCGGCTTTTGGAGAGTGCCAGAAAACAACCGACATGCTTTTCCGGGACTCCGCGGTCCAAGGAAGCGAGCATTACGTGCAGGGCATGGACCCCCAAACGCACGACCGGCCAGTCATACTCCACAGCCTAATTGCACTACCAACCGGTGATTACTCGCTTTGACACTGGGTAACGGGGTGCTTAGGGTAGGGCAGCTACGAAATGTATGGTACGGCTAAACTCCCCTAGGGTGGCTATGGGCGCCACAGTTTGAGACAAAAAAGCGTAATGCAGGTCTACTTTTTCTGCAAATGGATACGAGAGTTCCAAATGCTGGATGATGGCAGTGCTGGTGGGCTGGTGGATAACACGCCGTTCTCAATTGGGATAATGAAACGAATACGAATGCACTCGGTCCACAGTACGCGGAGAAGTTCCGGGAAGGATCACTGGCTTACTGTAGTGTGATTGGGACTATCTTGTCTTCGGAACATGGGTCCACGGTCTCGTTGTCGACCTGACAATACTACGTCTAAGTCTCAACAATGAATGGCAAAGTACACGACAGCGACCCTCATCATTTCCAAATTCACATACATGGCTGTTGTATAGACTTATCGCCGAAACTGACGGAAGTTTGAGCGAAGGCCCCTCTACGAAGACGCAAACTGTGCAATAGGGTATTGATTCTAATCAAGTAATTGGTTTCCAGGACCTTGTGAGTCTAAACAAAGTAGTTTGACGCACTGGACAGACGATCGGTGGCCACTCATTCCTTCTCCTCATGTTTCCATCCCAGCAGCCTCTCAGCCTTATCCGTTGTCCAGAAGCCCTGGTTTCCAGACATATCGCCCCTGATTTCTGCATTGGGATAATGCTTCTTCGCCAGATCTTGAGATGCCCTTTCTTGTGTCGTGCTCGGCGCCACAATGTTCAGCACCTGACAGCCGTTGAGATTCTCGGCCTTCTCAACAGAAAGCAAGCACGCCCTTGCCACGGCCTCTGGATGCACCCAGCCCCATAGCTGCTGGACGGCGGACTTCTCCCAGTTCTCGCTTTGCTCCTTCTGCACGTCCTTTAGGGGAGCGACTTCATGAATACGCAGACACGCGATGTTCATACCGGGGAACCAGTTCACAAACGACCTTGCCTGGCACTCGGCCTCCTCCTTGGCCAGCGCGTACGCGTCCGTCGGCCGCTGCGGCGCCTCCTCGTCAAGCGGGAAATAGTCGAAATGCAAGGGACGATTCGCGTACGCGAGACCGACAGCGTTGACGGAGCTTGCATAGCACACCCGCTTAATACCGAGAGTGGCAGCCGCGTGGAAGCCGTTGAAGGCCGAGTTGACGTTGTTGTTGTGCACTTTCCAGTCGGCCTTGTCGACGGGGTCGGGCATGGCGGCGAGGTGGATGAGCGCGTCGCACCCCTTGAACGCTTTGAGTGTGGCATCATAGTCGTTGGCGACGTCGGCGGTGCGCATTTCAGATTTTTTTGTGCCATCAAATTCTTGATGGGTGCGGTCGACTTGGACAGTGTGGTGGCCGGCGGCTGCACACGCCTTGACGGCCAGTTTGCCGACTGTGCCGCGGGCGCCGGTGATTGCAATCTTCATTTTATGGTTTGAGCTGGGTTGGAGAATTAGAATTATGGATTCTGAGGCTTTGTGGCTGGATGATGGGGTTTTTGATGGATTGATATGAGGTGGGGATGACGACACAACTACACCAGATTCTAGACTCGCCGGAGATGAAGCCAGCCAGTCAATCTACAAAGCAACTGTATAGTTTTCAAAAACAAAGGGAACCGACAACGCCACCAATCGAACAGAACAAGAAACAGACAACTAGACACTTCCATCGCCAGTGAAAAAGTCGACCACTTTGTTCATGACCGTTTTCTTCTTCAGCGCATCAATATCCTCGACATAATATCGTCGGCCAGTATCGAGATCGATATTCGAGGCCGTGACCCAAAACGGACCGCGATAATACAGCTTGGCGAGTATGTAGAGAACCAGGATCGCCACCATCGAAACATAATTCGCGAAGAAGGTCTCGGCAGAACTTGCCTCCCCAAGCGGCCACACGGCAAGATAGAACTCGACGACAACGAGAATGATGCACCAGCCAAGGCCGTAGATGGAACCCCACGGCCAGGTCCATGTCTTCCAGGGAAGCTCGCTGACGGATCGGCCTTGAGCCTTCCAGGCCGCACGGAGACGAATGTGGCAGACAAAGACCATCCCCCACACGTACAGGGTGCACAGCGAGGTGAGACTGGAGAACCAGCCAAAGACAGTGGCGCCTGAGTTACTGACGTTCAGGTAGCAGAGTCCGCCGCCGATGAGAAACGTTGCACCGACGGCATACCAGGGGCGGCCCTGCTTGTCGCACTTTTGGAAGAATGAGGGGGCCATTCCAATCTCGGCCAGGCCGACAAGAGTTCGGGTCGCCGCGTAGGCTTGCGCGTTGCCGCAGGAAAATACCGAGATAAAAATGACTGCGTTCATAGCGTGCGCGAGACCTGGGATACCAGCATCGCGAAAGGCAATAACAAACGGAGACGCATTGACACCCGCGCCGCCAAACAGGTTTGGGTTCTCCGGTGACACGGTGATGCTGACAATCAAGGCACCAAGGATGTAGAACAGAGAAAGACGGATCCAGATGGAGTTGACGGCCTGGGGGACGGCCTTCAGTGGGTTGCGCGCTTCGGCTGCGACAAGGCCGGCCATCTCCGAACCAGACATGGCGAAGATACAGGTGCCCATGACTGAGAGAAAGCCCTTGAACCCGTGAGTAAAGGGAATCGAGTTCCAGTATTCAAAGCCTGTCGTCTTGTGGTTCGGTCCACCACCAGCACTGATGACAATGCCGGCGATGATGACAATGACGATCCAGAGTAGCTTGACTGTGGACATGACGGCCTCTGCTTCACCAAAGACACGCACGGCGCAGATGTTGATGAGCAAGATCAGGACGAGGAAGATGGACAACCAGGCGGCGACGGGCACTTTGTGGTCCCAGAACTGCAGCACAGTCACAATGGCCTGCAGTTCGTTGGCGAGGGTGATGGACCCGGAGAACCAATATGACCAACCGACGGTGAGCGCCAGTGCGCGGTCGACAAATTTGAGAGTCCACTGGGGAAACGCACTGGGGACCGGATAGAGGACGGCAAGTTCTCCGACAGCTTGATTGAGCAGCCATGCGATGGAGCCTGCAATCCAGTAGCCCAGGAAGATGGCTGCAGGACCGCCGGATGCGAGCGAGGTGCCTGAGCCCAGCCAGAGACCCATGCCAATGGACGAGCCAATGGAGAACATGAGCAGATGGCGTGTCTCGAGGGCACGAACCAGACCGGAGTCTGCCCCGTGGTCGCGCTCCCCATACTCAACCACCTGGCCGACCTCATGATCGGCGGGCACAGTCGCCGTTGCCGGACTTGGCGCTTTCTCTTGCACCGACTTGACCATGATGGAGGATCTTGCAGAGAAATCTAACAATGAGGGGTGGTTCGAAGTCGGACGACAGATACAGGTGGACAGGGCGGCCCTTTTGACTTCGGGAGATTGAGATAAGCTGGTTAGGGTATCAGCTCCAATCGTAACCCGCCTATACTCGCATACCACAGGGAACGGTCGGGCGTCGCGAATCCGTGTATCTTGATAAGGCCATGCCAGACAGCCAAGGCACTTTCGCGGCACAGTTGGAACAGAAGAGATTGGGATAAACGCCACAGATAAGGACTGATGCCCTCACATACGAGGATGCTCCAAGAGACGTTGACCTGTAGGTTGCAGGTACATGGCTAGCTCTTTTCTGGTATATCGCCAGCAAGAAAATGACACGCATATTGACTATCCTTCGTCCCGCGCTGGCTATATGGCACCTGAGCTGTGAGTGGTATACAAGATATGACAAGCCATCTACAAGAATACCTTGGCTTCTTGAATTGCTTGGCCGGCTGACAAGCAACCTTGGGATGTAACCTGGCGTTCTCGCAGATCCAATGTATGGCCAATCATGAAGATGTGGTCTTATCAGCGGCCATCGCATGGCGTCGCAGATACCTCCTATCAGTCGACGCTATGGCCTATCTCGCTATCTGTGCACTAGACCATCTTATTGGACATGGCAGCGATCTTTATCGCTTCTATCAAAATTAGTGTCTAGTCACTTGGTCCTAGAGCGACTCGAGACGGCCGAAGGGCTTTTGCGATAAGCAGTGTGGCATAAAATAAATTGCAGTTGATGAGGTACGATGTCGCTGTGATCAAAAGTGCAAATTGAGCGAATCATGACAACATCAGAACCCACCGTCACGGGAAATACCGTGTATGATGTGGTGATTGTCGGAGGAGGACCGGTTGGACTTTTGCTGGCATATCAGCTCAAGCGGTTCGGGATATCAGTTTGTGTTCTCGAGCAGCACAGGAAGGAAACCCAAGATGCGTATGGACGAGCCATTGCCTTGTTCCCGCGCACTTTGGAGCTGCTGGATCAGCTCGGCCTTCTTGACCCTATGCTGCAGTTGGGTTTTGCCTGTCGAAATAGTGTGACGTATAAGAATGGCGAGCAGATGTAAGCTGTCTCTTTCTTCTGGACTGCTGAGATGGAACGCTTATTGGATATACAGCATCCCTGGTCGCGTCTGGGCATTCATGGAGAATATCAAAGACACTTCCTTTGACTTCACTCTCGTTCTGCGACAAATGTACACCGAATCCATCCTCCGAGATAAACTCCAGTCTGTCGGGGCAGTGTATCATCAAGGCGTGGAGTGTATTGATTTCGACTGCGACGAGGCTATAAGCGTTGATGGACATTCCGTCACATCAACCTTCGTGAACAGGGCAACGGAGGAGACTTTTCAGTTTAAAAGGTACGATAGCTGGGACCTACTGGAGAGACACAACTAAGAATATGTTAGTAAATATATCATCGGCGCAGATGGGGGCCGCAGTTTCGTTCGCCGACACGCAGGCATTGCTTTCGAAGGAGACACGTCGGAGGACAAATGGATTCGAATTGATGGTATCGTGGAGACAGATATGCCAATTACTCGAGCTTATGGGTATGTTTCATGCCCGCAGAATGTGACAATATGGCTGACCTCGACAGCGCAATTGAGAGCGAAACGCACGGAAATGTACTCTGGGCGCCTCTGGACCACGGCGCAACAAGAATCGGATACGCATACAGCCCAGCCATCGCAGCCAAATATCCGGACGGCGTCACTCAAGAGGTGGTGGTGCAAGAAGCAATTGAAAGCATGAAGCCCTTCCGGGTTGAATTCAAGGAGATCCACTGGTGGACGTTATATACAATCGGACAGCGCATCGCAAAGACCTTTTCGAGCCGCGGCCGCATTTTCCTTTGCGGCGATGCAGCCCATACGCATAGCAGCGGCGCTGCCCAGGGACTCAACACGGGCATACACGATGCTGTCAACCTGGCGTGGAAACTGGCGTTGCAGATTCAGGGCACCGCGCGTCCAGAGGTGCTGCAGACATACGCCTCTGAAAGAGCTTCTGCTGTGCAGAAGCTGATTGAGTATGATAAAGATATTGCTCTGCTAATGTCCTACAAATGGCCCGCGTGGTACAAGGGCGATGCCCAGGCAGACCCCCATCTCGTCTTGGGCGAGATCTTTGACAGGACAGCCTCGTTTAACACTGGCCTAGGGATTTCCTATTCGGAAAACATCTTGAATCAGAAGCAACGTGATGATATCTGCTCTGTAATTCCAGGCAGTCGGCCTCCGGATGTGAAGGTGACAGTCCCTGGAACGAACCAGGGCATACGACTGCAGGACATCACACCAAACCAAGCCACCTTCTGGGTTCTCATATTTACTGGGAGTAATAACTTGAAGATCCAGGGCCTCATGCAGGAGTTGCAGCGGTTCCTGGATACGACGTCGGAGCTCATATCGTGCAAGGCCATCAGATGGTTGACAATCATTACCGGCGCTGGTTGTTCACCGTATGAGGCACTTGAAAGAAGACCATTTGGGGATGCGTACTTTGACGCTGACAATGTGGCCCATGACAGTCTGGGGATACAGTTGGAAGAGGGAGCGGGGGTAATCCTCCGACCAGATGGAATGGTTGGCACAACGTGTGGAATACGAGGGGATACAATACACCAATATTTGTCTAGCATTTTGTACTTGTAGGCAAAGGATGAACAATCCCAGTCATTACAACCATAACCCATCATGACGTCCTGATGAGCATGCGCAGGGAGCCGCAGGCGCTTGTAAACTTAGGCAAACCTGTAATTCGAGTACCCAGCCTTGGTCTCGTTTGCTATTTGGGCAGAATAGGCCGGCAGTCCACCAAAAAAGTAAAGAAGACTGGTAGACTTCCCCGGGATATTGGCTCCGACTGCCCATGAATTGATTCTGGTGGCACCGGCAGCCAGCACAATGCTATGGAAAATCACATCGCATAATCCGTGCCATTGATTCTGTCCCTGCCTTGTTAACTCGATTGACTTGTAGTTATTATTGCGGACAAAGCTGATCATCTCTCCAATTGCGGGTTCCGTAGAGCCAATCAACATGGGGAAGTAGGCACATGTTAACTTTGGGCCGGAGAGGATGAATAAATTGGGGAAGCCCTAGATCGTAACATCGTGATAGGTATCCATGCTACCCCCTTATTCAGTCTTGTGTAATTGGTCGTTCTTACCCCGAATATCGCTTCCTGTAAGAGGCCCTGCGACAGCTTCAAATCCAAGCGTGTAAATGACGACATGGACTTCATATTCTGGACTGGCTTTACGGATACCCGAGGGAGTGATTGACTCGATGAGATCAGCGCGTTCGTCAACAAGTGAATATGAGGCTTGTTGAAAGAGCCCAGATAGTGATGACCAAGGGCAGGCCGTTTCATGACGAGGGGGGAGGGGGGGGAGTTGGGATCAAGCGAGGCTGCTGTTTATACAGCTTTGACAAGTACCCTGATTTTCTCGCAAAGGTGCATGTATATTACTTTATTGACTTTTTTATTTATGGAGAGGTCATCGAAAACCAGAAAGAGATACGCAAACTCTCCCATCTTGTATCCTGCGTCGAGTATCTGGTTGTTCGCGAAGGTATCACCCTGGTGGTCACTAAGCACCCGGCGCGCGGGGCCCATGTCAAGGCGCATGGTCTGCTCTCAAGCTTGCCCCAGCTTGCGTCGTAAGTAACATTGATACTGCGGGTTTGTTCCTGCGAGAGGTCCTTGTACCTCGCTGGTAAGGTGTAGTTTGGCGTTCGCTGAAAAAGATGCAGAGATTTGGCCACGTGCGACACCACGTTGACCGTGTGTCAATCACAGCTACTCGCTTGCCTTCGAGAGAAACGGGACAGTCGGCTAAGAGGATGTCTGGTACCCTGCTCCCTCGAACGTCTGGGGTTATTAGCCAGGCCGCTAGACGCGTTCGCCCAAGAGACCATCTGTCGTTAATCTTCAGTCTAGACGATAAGCGCGTGATCCAAGAACAGTCTAAGCAGGGAGCTTCAGTATTTCATATACAGACCATAGCGCACTGCACATTGAAGACTCTCATATCCCGTTATTGGAGGGGATGGGTTGTATTATGACAGATTGACACTGCATCTACGTGTGATGAGCTACTCCATGCTGGTGCTACTTTTTCCAGGTGGTTCCTTCGGGCTGCGACACCATTCCTTTCTAAGAAACATGCAGCCGTTCATGTGCCTGACCTTCAAAACCCAAAGGAGCAGTTGGAAAACGTTAACTATCATCGTTGCGATGTAACCGACTGGGAGGCATTGAGATTGACTTAGTCAAGTCGGACGAATCGATTACGCATCTGAAACGCTGGCATTCCGGAACGTCGGACTCCATTGCAGATGATTGAGACAGCAGGCAATCTAGCCCAGTCACGCTACAAAGACTTCAGTGCCAATGTCCCACAATGCGGAGGCACAAAACGCCAGCAAGCATCGTGATCACCACGAGTGCCGTTGCATATGCGCCAAAGCCTTCGCTTCCAGTCTAATCGGCCAGCAAACTTGCAGTGAGCGAAGAGTCCACCTCTGAAATTGCTGGAGCACTTACAACCTTTCTTAGGTTATTGGCCTGATCAGATCCCTACGGCCCACCTTGCCACAGTACGGGATCACTATTAACAGGGTGGCGCCTTGAACAACGAGCACTAAACGTTTGCCAGAATATCTGAAAACCGCAATGCGAGCACAGAACCTGCCAATAAGCGAGGTCACCATCGTTGGCCGAGTGGTGTTCTCGGCTATTGCAAAGCAGAAGCGGCGCGTTGAGGCATACGGCAAAGAACAACAGGTGGACGAGTGGGTAGAAGGCCGCTGAAACGGATGGATCATCGTGACATTGAGAGAGCAGTATACCTAGTTAGAGAGGTAACCCTGGCAGGCTTCAGGCCGTTCTGGTTCGGCGGTGAGAATTTTGACCGGGCTCCTTGCAGCAGGCGACCACAGAGTTCAGTGAAACGCGTAGGCCAGGTCTGTGAGCGACTGTCGGAGAATGTTATTTTCTATTCATCTATATTAGTTATAGGCAGTCAAAACCATCCCGTTGCTGGAGCTGCTATACAGGATAGGGAGTCTCATGTACTCAGGGAACTTTCGTCATTTGGCTACGTTGCATAGAACTACAGATTTTCGGCAGGTTTTAGTAGTTGCTGGAGGGAGAGGTCGGCGTTGTTACAGGTGCGCCTGTCGGAACCACAGATAACTATGAATATCATGTTCACTAATCACATTTCAAGGTGGATCCGAGGTGTCTCCGCATCCGAAACCGGGGCCGGGCAGGGAGCCCACGGCTATCTAAGTCACTTGGGCAGCACAGGGGAGGAATCGCGAATGATAGTCACCGCGCATGGCATCCATAACAGGCTCCAAGCAATAGCTACACCGTATTCTGACTATGTGTCCCAGATGATGTACTCTTGGCAAGAGAAAATCATCATACTAATTAGTTGCGGTAAATGTACGGACATGCCACGCAGTGATATAAAGAGTCGGCCCAAGAGATACGTCCACAACATTCGAGCGACTGTCGTATAGGCTTAGGGATGCATATTCTCTCGCTAACCCTACTTTCTGTCTCTGTCTAGTTACTGCCTAAACTAGGTTTCCGTGAATTAGAAGTATCCCTGCTGATTGACGAAGAATCCTTGGTTTAGTTAGTGTCCAAGACAAGTCAGCTGATGATGCTGCCAAGATCTCTACTACGTTTCCAACCGAAGTTGCCGGGAACCAAAGTTTGCAAGGGGGCAAATGATGGGATCTGACCATCTACCCCACGTTTTCCCCGGGATCCCCGGTCATTAGTATCGGCTGCGTACCCGATTACACGAGCGCAGGATCGATGGTTACGCGAGCTGGGCTCTCCTAACAAAGCACCAACCAGCACAAGTCAAGACTGTATCTTAGAGAATACCAACTTCTCGCCACCCTTAGCTGTCGAAATCCCAGTCGGCGGAATTTAGACCTACCGAGGGTCGTGACCCGCCATGGAAGCCCTTTGGATTGGCCCGGGTGCTTTCGCCCATATCTCCAGAGATCTTATCACGCAGCCTGTCTATTGCAGCGGCGAAAAGGTACTTAACCCTGCCACACCCCGCTTGACATTATTGAGCGAACTCAACCTCCCCTACATATTACAGTTCGTTGTTTCTTCCTCCCACCCATTACGATAAATACATCGAGGTGCACTTTCACTCGACATGGCAGGCGAACAGGATGAGATGGCCAAGGCATCGACTATGACATTGGAGCATTCCAGCCCCTTCCACGTCAACTCCGATTCGACTCTGGAAGAAGCTTCCGTGGTTGACGAAAAGAAGGTCCTTCGCAAGATGGACCTTCGCCTGATCCCTATTGTGACAGCGTTGTATCTTCTCTGCTTTTTGGACCGTGGCAATATCGGCAACGCCAAGATTGAAGGTCTACTCGATGACATCAACCTGACCAGCCAGCAGTACAATATGTGCTGTAAGTGAGGCCTTGACTGAAATGCTTTGCTTAGCTGACAGGTACAAGTGACCGCTTTCTTCTTCACGTACGCGGCATTCGAATTGCCATCGAACATGGTCCTAAAGCGGCTTCGACCCTCGATCTGGCTTTCGGCGATCATGGTGGGCGTGGGTATTGTCATGGTTCGAATGTTCTACACCCGTTAATGGATGGACATGTGTTAATGTTAATGCTGTGGAGGATTAGACGCTCATGGGAATTGTGGAAAACTACCATGGACTTCTGGTATCTCGCATCTTCCTTGGCGTGACTGGTGAGTGGTTGACCAGTGTACCCTGGGACGATAAAGATTGCTGACGAGCATATCAGAGGCTGGCCTATTCCCTGGGGTTGCCTTCTACATCACCACATGGTATTGTCGGCACGAGGCCCAGTTTAGACAGGCATTGTTCTTCAGTGCTGCGAGTGTAGCCGGAGCATTTTCAGGCCTGTTGGCCTTTGCTATTGCTGCAAGTTGCCCCAAACAAATCAACGCAGATAAAGTCTGACAAGAACTCCAGAAGATGGACGGTGTTGCTGGCCTGGATGGCTGGCGATGGATTTTTATCCTGGAAGGACTCCTGACTGTTATAGTCGCGGCTTCTGCATTCTTTATCATTGTCGACTACCCACACGAAGCCAAATTCCTGAGCGAGGATGAAAAAGCCTGGGTAATTCACCGTCTGAAAAACCAGTTCGGGAGCAATGTTGAGGGGCCAAGCTCCATCCAGTGGAAATATGTCTGGGAGGCTGTGTCTGACTACCAGATTTGGATCGGCGTTGTCGGTGAGTTCTCCATTGATCGCTGGGCGCTTCGTTTCTGATCTTGAATGTGTTACTGCAAAGCGTTCTGGGGCATTCTTGTGCCCCTTTACGGTATCTCATTCTTTTTGCCTTCAATCATCCGGGACTTGGGGTATTCGTCTTCCAACGCGCAGCTGCTGACGGTACGGGACATCTTATCCACACATATCTTCAGACCTTGCTAACCAATAACAGGTACCAATATACGGGACAGCCGCTCTCATTGCGGTAGGATCTGCCTGGCTCTCTGACCGAGCAAAGAAGCGGTCGCCATTCTTGATTTTCCACTGCTCTTGCATTATCATTGGCTTCGCCATTGTCCTGGCATCCACCGGGAAGGGTGTACCAGGAGTGGTTTACTTTGGCATTTTCCTGGCTGTTTCCGGTAAGTTGTCGAACAACGTTCAGCGCAGCAGCATACCCATTGCATCGTTGATCAAAAAGGCAAGGATGACACATCAGCTGACCGGGGTCGATGGACGATGATATAGGTATCTATCCGGGTGTACCAAGCATTGTCAACTGGATCAGCAATAATCTGGCTGGGGACTACAAGCGAGCTGTGGGGATGGGTCTCCATATTGGACTGGGCAATATCGGAGGAGGTAAGTCAACTTTCATTGAGGCAAACACGAGGAGCAAGATCGGCTAACTTGGGGTCAAAAAGCATTCGCTTCCAACTTCTACAGGGCCCAGGATGCGCCCATCTACTACCTCGGGCACGGTCTCGAATTGGGCTTCGCGGTTGCAGGGTTGATCGCGGTAATCACCTTGCGCGTAGTTTACCAGAGGGTGAACAAGGCACGGGAGGCGAACGGGACAGGGAATCTGACGGCCGAGGAGATGGTACGCATGGGTGACAAGTCTCCCGCTTTCCGATACATGCTCTGAGGCTTGGAGGGCCCATCTTTGAAGCACGTGGTGCGGATTGTGTCTTTGAATGGGAATATTAGTTGAGCCATTCCCGTGGTCTATGAACAGGTCGTTTATGTGGAAGCCGGTGGGAGAATATATCAGATGCCTTACTGCAAAATGCCAGTTTAAGGACAGTAGCAATAGATATAGCCAAATGAAGAGAAGAAAGGAACCAAACTCCGAGACAAGGCCTTGGATCAGCCTCGTAATCGTAGCATGCCTGAACTACGCTCCACCGTTTCTGAACCAAGAAAGGCCCGCCCGGCTGTTCCATACATGGGCAAATATTGCTCTTCATAGCTGAGCGCTCCCGAAGTATGCAAGTCCTCCAAACCCGAAGTTGCTTATCAGCGTCAGCTGGCATGTCAGTACTGTAATTTATTTACCCCGCCGATCGCCGCGTTGCAACACAATCGCGGTGGGAAGCGGAACGCCGCGGGTTGTCTCGGCCGCTCAGCAGGTCCAAACGGCACCAGAGCGTGAAGGCCAACGGGATTGTTGGATTCGAGCTGAACGCCCATCAGGCGCATCAAAGGTGCTCGCATTTCCGTGGCAGTAAGTTTCATGGCGGGACAAAGGAGCGGAGATCAGTTGGTTTATGGCCGAAAGTGGCATACACCGGGTCGGCTGGAGCGGCATCGTTCGGCCCGGCTCCGGCTCCGGCTCCCAGTGCTTTCGCGACCGGAAACATGGCCTGCTGCGATTGGACGGTCAGCAAGCAGTGTGGGAATCAGTCTCGATGGGCCCTTTTCGCATCCTTCAAGTGGATTGGAGCTCGTATGACGATGTTTACAGTCCAACGCAGTTAGAGCAGATTTTCCCCAGATCCCGTGGCTTACTCTGGGGAAAGATCCCCCAGACTCGCGTAGGATCCCTCTGCCTTGCTCACGTCGGATGAGAGCCGCCAAGTCGAACATGCAAGGCACGGCGCACCCAAATCGCCCACGAGTAGGGCGTGCTGCCCCGCGGTCTCGAAGAGGCTGTGTCACTTGCAAGCAACGCCATGTGAGGTGTGATGAGGTGCATCCAGTCTGCGGTCACTGCGACCGACTGCAACTGAGCTGTGGGTACCAGAAGAAGACCGTCAGAGGGACACAAACTCGCCAGAGAACTGATCGAGCCTCGTCGGAAAACCAATCCTCCACTCGCGAGGCCCTACCGAAATGTATCAACCCGCTTACGACGCCTCTGTCGACCTATGCGACCTCCACCCATAGCCAGGATAACGGAAGGAATGCCTCGAATCTTGACTGGTGGCTGGACCCCTCGTGGGCGGGAGAGACCTGCATTGTCCCGTCCCCTGATAGTGGAGGACTCTCCACTACCACAGATATATTCGACGAGGCACTCAATTACTCTCACGCCCCGGTGGCAATCGGATTCATTGATGAAAGTGGTCAACTTACATCAGATGAGTTTGAGCACAGGAGGAGCCTCTTCCGCCTTTTTGAGAGGATTGTCCAACCCCCAGCCTCGATCCTGCTCGGTGGGCAGAGACGATGGCGGCGTCTCCAGCGATACCTGGTCGGGCTGAGCAACACCAGCCATATCGTCCTCTATTCCCTTCTCTCCGTTATCGAGCTCCTCATGATTGATGAGGTAGCGTCATGGCCAAACCAAACGCACGAGCACTCCACAACGCGAATTCTTAAACATCATCAGCTTGCTTGTAGCGGCATCCAGACCATAATGACGACCTTTGCTTTGAGTACCGATCTCGGGCAGCTGGATGAGCTCCTTGCCGCCATTGTCCTTCTCGCGTGGTTCGAAGTCATCCAGGATCATGATGGCAAGGGTGTCGGCTTTCCGCAACACGCTGCAAACGCCATTGTGACGACCAAGGACTATTCGTGGAATATATATTCACGGCACCTACTCTCGTGGCTCAAGACGCTCGACACCAAGGCTACCCACATGGGCGGCGGGACCCATCTTCTGTCACCCGAAGCACTGCAAGTCGTCTCTACGTATCCCACGCAGATCATCACCTCCAAGAAAGAAGCCGCGGACGATCACGACGGGGAGCTGGAACTGGCGGCCCTGAGCTCATCTGTGACCAACAGCGCTGGAATGGCTTCGGCGCTTCGCAGTGGGCATACAGAGGTTCCAGCTGCTCCCATCGGCCATGCGAAGCTGGTTCTGCTGCACGCCATATTCCAACCCACTCTGGAATGGTACTCGGCCACGCAGTTATGTTGCCGCAAGATTGGCTCTCAGGATAAGCACCACCGATCACGCTTCACGCCCGAGGACGAATACGAGGTGATTATCAAGTGCAAGGAGCTCGAAGGGGAACTCTGGCGGCTGTGGGAGCAGCGGCCCGAAGTAATGTCGCTGCCACTAGACCAGCTGATGATCCTGCTCCCATCAGATATGGCGAACCGGATGCACGAGGTCTTCAGCTTGTTCCTTGCCAGTTTCTGGATCCTTTTTGTGTACCTGCACCGCGTGTGTTGGTGGAGTCTGGCTCATTCAGCCACGGTTCGGACCGCGCTGGGGGAGGTCTGGAAGCATCTGCAGAGCGCGTATGGTGAGTGGACGATGGGTAACGAGAGTGAGAAGAAGAAGGTTGTTCACCCTGCGTTGCTATGGCCAGTGTTCCTCTTTGGAGCAGAGTGTGTGGAAGAAGAGCGCCAAAACTGGGCAGTTGATCAGCTGCAAGCCCTGGCGCAGGCCAGGCCGGTGTTGCAACTGCACGACGACGAGGACGAAGAGATTCTGCCGCCGTTCCGCATGGGGTTTGGAGCGACGAGAAATGCGAAGCGAGCTGCTGTCTTGTTAAGAGAACTGGTCGAGCAGCAGGCGAATTTGGGGGCTCGGGTGGACGACCGAGACCTGTCTATGAAACTGTTTGGTTGCTACTTCAGCTTTGTTTAGGGGTGACAGTGAGATAGTCTTATGAGAAATTTTCTGTGCCGCAAGCCCAAATCTTGACAAAGTCGGAGACAAGTCCGATGAGTAGTCGAGGGTCTGTAGACGAGATCCGACGCGGCTTCCGAGTTTTCCGATGCGTATACACAAATGCCTTGATTCCAGCACACCGTGGCCGAGCGATAAGTAAGTGGCATTCGTTATCATGAAGTCTGGGGCTCGCAATCGTAGATCTCTACAGGCTTGCGTTAGCTGCCATGACCGCAAGGTTCGTTGCGACTATTCTGTGTCTGGGGCACCCTGCACCAACTGTCGCCTGGATTACCGCGAATGTGTCGTGCGCGTGAGGGGAAAGCGCAGGTCATCACAGTACGTTTGCTTCATTCCCCTCTTGTTTTTCGTCTTTGTTCCTGACTTTAGCAGGCACAAATCCTCCAATTGCCCATCCATTGCGCGTGTCGTGACTCCGATTAGCTCGGATACTGCATACACTGCGTATTCGTTCATCGACCCAATTGAGCGCTCAGCTCTGCTTGCCGAAGATGTTCTTTTCCTACAGATAAAAGGCTGTCTAAATGTTCCGACATCCAAGTTCCTACGACTCTTCATCGAGGCTTATTTCGCCCGTGTACATCCTCTCCTTCCGGTCCTGGACGAGGCGAGGTTCCCGCGAATCAATGCGTCTGAAGGTCGACACTCTGGCACAATCAGCCTGTTTGTTCTTCACTCTTTGCTTTTCGCGAGCTGCAGCGTAAGAATCCATTTCCACCGATAACCCCGCCGGATCTGACCCCTCTGTAGTTTGTGCAAGCGGCAACGATTCGAGACGCCGGCTACGCGGACGTGTCCCATGCAAGAGACACCTTCTATCAGCGGGCAGCGGTATCTTGCCTTCCTACTCGGCTTGACGTATCAACTTTGGAAAACTGACAAGGAGTATACAGCTGTTATATCATTTCAGCGCCGAGCCACGCCTTCTTCCCAAGGCCCAAGGGGCAGTCTTACTCTCCTATCGCCTTTCGCCGTCCGACTGGCGAGGTGGAAGTCAATGGCTGTCAGTCGCGGTCCAGACTGCAGTCATCATTGATTCAGATCACACAGAAAGGGAAAATGTGCTCCTGCTCGAGGCTGAAAGCAAAACACGCCTTTGGTGGTCAATATCCGTGCGGGATCGTGCCATCGCTCTGAGCCGTCGCGAGGCCTTGCAGATCATTCCCGCAGCCCTTGAAACTCGAATTCACAGCCTTGAGGAACCTCGATTTGACGATAAAATTGACCACTCGATGGTATACCTACCCTCTGCAAAGCGCGTCTTGCACCATCTGTTCCAACTGCAGTGTCGATTGTCTCGCCTTCTCGCTCGAGTGATACCTCTTGCCTTTGGTGACCTACCCCATCAGCATCAGCGAGATCTAGCCCACACTCTCCAGTCAGATATTAACTACCTCAAGCTTGATCTTGCGGTCTGGGATATGAACAGAAAGACCCTGGTTGATCAAGCACTGCAGAGTAGATGTTCGGACGAGATTATCCAAGTCTATGTCTCCCAGCTTTCGATACACTATCAGTGAGTTTGCCTGGGGGCGGAACCCGTATAGTACTAGCTAATAGAGAAACAGCCATGCTCGAATCTCGTTATGTCACAAAGAACTCACCCTGAGTCAATACTTTCCCACCCCACGGGATAAGCAGCTTCAGCGTCGACGGACAATCCTTTTGGAGCTCCACCACGCTGCTGATGCCATCACACATGCCGTGGCTGGCCTTGGTCGAACCGGTGCAGACAGCCAATTGCCGCTTGATTCGTGAGTGTCTCGTCTCGTACTCATGTTAAAGGGCACACATTTAGCTGACATTCTATCACCCTGTAGGATAGTCTTGACAGCACTGCCCTTCATGTTGCGAGTCTTGAACTTGAAGCTCGCCAATATTTCCATGGGGAATGCAAATACGAAGGGTGTCACTGAGCTGCTGATGACGTTTACACAACCATACTTCCAGCGAGCCGCCGAATTGGCCACTTGCGTGCGAGACATAATCGACCGGGTCACCGAGTCTGCTATCTCCAGGATACGCTGCTCGGGGCGTTCCACGGCCGATCCACAGAACTGGGGCGAAGTATTATTACATTTTCCGCAGATCTATCTCCAAACAGTTGCCTCCCTGGACAAGGCTCTCTCCTGGGGCCACTATTGCGAGGAAGAAGAACCGCAGTGTCCAGCACCATTGAAGCCTATTCCATCGCCGTTATCCGCTTCAGACGCATGGTCTTGGATGGGTTGCATCTCCAGTCACGGGGAGCACATGGAAATCCCCAGGTCTGGCAATTTCCCAAGTCCTATTTCGGCAACCGACGACGTATCCCATGCCATGGTAAGCGAATGGGAATCTATGGCACAAGTGCCCATGAGGTCCCTTCGGGGTGCCGACTTTGAAGCGGCGATGTTTACTGCCGTTGACGGAAGCTACGAGAATCTTTCCGAGGATAGTTGGGCTGGCAGCTTGTTTGACCTTTTTCTGGCCGAAGACGCCCTGTTGTAATTGCAGGCATGCTTCTCCGTCCTAGTTCAGGGCAGGAACGCAGCAGGATGGCCTTGGTCGCGGGGAGTGGGTGCATCACAAGGCTGCAAGCACTGCTGCCCGTAAAGGACGTAGACTCTATATGTACTGTTTCCAGCGGAGTATTCGGCACTATTTGAAAGCAATTTTTGTATAACTTCTCCATTAAGCGCCTCCCAAAACCGCGTGAAGTCCAGAGTTCACCTGATTGATATACATATGAACGCAATGCAATATTGTTGATTCGAATGGGTATGTCAATTGGTGCAGGCAAATTTCGAGATTCATCACGAGCGCTATCACCCTATATATTGGCCTGTCTCGAGATTGGCGGGACGAACAAAGGGACAATATGAAGGAGCAGGAGTCGTTGCCACCTGCAACTTCTAAAACAAACCTATCTTAGATTTTCATGGTATATATTCCAACATGTGAATCGCAAACAGTTGGCTTACTCGAACTCAGACCATGGATCGCGTTCATTGCCTGCGCCTGTTAGGGGCAGCGTATCAATCTAGCTACGCCTATTAGTATAAAAGGAATAGTTAAAGGAGAGAAGTCTAGTGTAAGCAGGGAATTAAGAAGAAGTATATATATTATATAATAATAGAAACAGAGGGTGAGTGGGCTGGCTCTAACTAGAGGTGCTGACCTGGCGTTCTCTGTAAGGAACGTTTCGCTGAAATAGGCATATATTAAACAGAATGAGAAGCATGGACAAGAGGTTCAATAAAAGTTAGTAAGTCTATTATTATAGTAAACTCAGAAGGAAAGGGGGAGATATTGCGACAAGCAGAAGAGGCTAAAGGGACTAATGGTTGCTCGCTCAGCCACGGTTTACGTAGGACGTCGAGGATTCGGTGGGAGCTTTGAGGAAATCGAGTGAATTGAGTCCGTCTATTCGATATATGGAAGAGTCTGCGTTAAGTAGGATTGAGAGTGCCGGGGTTCGGAGGGTTTAAACAATATTCTTACCACGTCAAATATTGGACTGATTTGGTAGTAATTAGCCAGCTATGCGCGCGGTAATCCTCTTGCAGTTATCTTCGGCCCTAATCGCTGCTTTATCACGGATTGATTGTTCTTAAAGTACCACGGCTCAGCTAGCAAAGTAGGTAGTCTACATTCGTCTCCTTCCACCTCGCCACGTCCCGGCCAACGCCCACCAGCATGTCCATGTCCGCGCAACACTAGCCTACCGCCGCCATGTAGAGTTCACTTTTTTGACTCGCATCTTGACATCACTGGTCTTGCCGCCGGTAGAGAAGAGCCGGCCGTACACGGCATCTTGCGAGGGAAAGATCTGGCTCGTGATTGTGGCCTCCCCCTCGCCACCAAAGACCCCAACGCTTGACCAGTCGACAAAGATCTGAAGCGAAACTGTCCCGTCTGCTGCTGGGGCTAATGGCGCCCGATACACACCGGCGAAGGTGGAATCAAACGACGCATCCCCCGAACGCGTGCGGTCGACAAAGACCTCCTGCGTGGAAAAGTCGTATCCAACTCTCGTCTCATGGGCATAGTCCTTTGTTGCAGCGACTGTGATTCCGAATTCAGCGTTTTCACTCTGGGATATGGCCGCCCTGTTGGCGAAGGTCAATTCGATCTGTAGCGCTTTCCCGATGCGGCCAAGCTCTCGCACCCCGTCCACGCGGCGGAAGGTGGAAACTTGACCCCCGTTAGTAATTGCCTTCCACTTTTCCGCGGGCTCCTGAATCAGCACCGCCTTGCCGTCGATAGACTTGAGCGCGAGGCGCCGTGGAATCGCCGTTGCACTGCGCCACGGATCTGTTGGAATGACACCCGCATACTGCCAGTTGTTCATCCAGGCAATAATGGTGCGCTGGTCGCGCGGGAGGCCATTAAACCCCAGTGCGGCATAGAAATCTGGGCCCCAGTCAACCCAGTTGGCGACGGTGTGCGTTGCCCGCGTGTTGGAGAAGGAAATCTGGTCCACGTTTATATGGCCCCAGCCGCCGGTCGCGTTGTCAATGATTTCAATCACGGCGCGTTTTCCTTGAAGGGTAGAGACGTCCCAGGTTTGCCAGGAAAGGGCCTCGCTATTTGCGCCCATAGATGTACGCAGCGTCTGTCCTTGGACTATCAGCCGGACTGCCGTTTCGTTGTTGCTGCCGCCCCCGACGAGGAAGTTGATGTACTTGTGCGATATCTCGAATGCGGGAGATGTGAGGGTACCCGTTGTGGCATCGCCATTGAGGAATGTATTCACCAACTGCTCCCCGAGAAACCCTGTTACTGGATTTTGACCAGCTAGAGTGCCCTTCGCTGGAGATGCACCAGTAAAATTACCTGTGGCTGTCCATCCTCTTGCAGCAAAGGTCCGTTCACCTTCAAAATCCTCAAAAATCACGCTGTCTTTCGGTCCAGTATTGTCATAAATGCTGTTCGCGTCTGCAGTAAAGGTGGTGCCATTGAAATCCCCTACTCACAGGGGAAGTTTACGCCCACTGTCACGGGCCTCGTCCCGCTTAGGTCATCGCCACGTGACAATTCTCTGTATATAGTTGGTCCCGCTTTGCAGAACCTCCATTAGTTCTCCATGCTTCGTATTTTAGTTTAATACGACCTTGTTCATCAAGAGACGTTCCTTATATAATATAAAGTATTAAACTAAGCTCTTTATTTATCTCTCTGCATTATACTTCGTCTCTACATCTTAGTTTCATCATTCCACGACCCCTATATAGTTATTATTAATGATCCCTATTACTTCACCCCTAGTATTACCCTACTATATTAGAATTCATCCCTAGACTAATAATATCTATTAAACCCATGCTAAGCTTTTAACCATGTTCCTCATAAGTAAATCCTCCTAAAAACGTTCCCACGTGAGCTCTGTGGCTACTAATGGCCTGGCCTCTTATACATAGAGCTAAAGCTATTTAATTAGCTCCCATGTATCTAGTGCCTCTAGGCCTAGTATATTCCTAGCTTTATCTCCCCTAGAATAACCACCTATAGCCTCTAGTAGTATTATAATACCTCCCTAGGATCCCTTTAAGGCCCCCTCTAAGGGTAATCCTAAGGGCAAGGCCCCTAAGCTTATAACACTAATACTAACTATACCTACCATTATTTATAGGAAATCTATAATAACCCTGCCTATATAACTACTAGTTACCTTCTCTATAATCAAGCCTACCACTATGTATAATCCCTATATTAAGAACCTTACTTACTAACTTATAACCCTTTAGCATAGCTATAAGGGCGAATATACCCACGTAGAGAAATATAAGGCTATAGTAGAGAAGGTACTTAATAAGGTTATCTTACTATAGGAGGAGCTTAACTACTAGTATACTATACTTAGGAAGCTCTCTAGGCGCCTTAGCGCCTATAAGCCCCATGATCTATCCCTAGAATAACTAGTTCTCTTAGGGATAGTAGCTAACACCTCTAGCACCCCTTAGTATCAGGCTCTAGCTAATACCTAACCATCCCTAGAACCACAAACCTCTAAACCTCTATAGCCCCTAGCACAGGCTCTATATAGCACGCCTCCTAGGGCTTACTAGGCCTATAATACCTTATTAGTAGGCCTTGCTATGAGCTTTACTCTAGGCCTTAAGCCTCTACTTATCCCTCCTCGTCCTTAACCTTTCTATTAGACCACCACGCTGCCTGTCACGGTCGGAGCGGCCTAGATGCCTGAAGGGTCAGGCCCCTGGTGTAAGGAACGTCTCTCGATGAACAAGGTCGTATTAAACTAAAATACGAAGCATGGAGAACTAATCAAGGTTCCGCGAAGCGGGACCGACTATATACAGAGGATTGTCACGTGGTGATGACCTAAGCGGGACGAGGCCCGTGACACTACCCCCCCCCCCTCTTAAAAATGCAGATATCGCGGCCAGAGACGTAGATATAGGATAGAATAAGGATATGTACACAAAGTTTAGTTAAAGAAATTAGGTGGCGGGGGCTTCTTAGGGTGCTATTAGTAATAGGCAAGGATCTTCTTAGGCGCGTTCTTAAAATCCATCCAGGGCTGTTATAGAGGATTAGCGTTCTACTTATCCCACGGGCCATTAAATATAGCCTTGTATTAGTAGTGGTTGCGGTATATGTAGTAGTTAATAATCTCACGCACGTCCTATTCCTCATGGCCTTCAGGATTACTAGGGTTGGTGATAATAACTAGGGGTTCAGGGTTAGCTACCTGGCTAGGGAGGGGGTTGTTCGAGGCAAGATAGAGCTTCCATGGATGAAAAATAGGGGTAATACTAGTATTTAGCATGTGAATTAGTAGTTTAACCTTATAGGCCTTGCTATTAATCACGCGCTTAATTAGCCACGGCCCAAGGTTCTTTAGGGCTAACGATTTGCTATTCTACTAGAGGTTGAAGTAACGGGCATCCACGTACACGAGGTCTCCCACGTTATAGCGTGGATGGGGCTGGCGTTACTAGTTAGTATAGTATTCATGGGAGCCTTGGGCCTAGGTAATCTCATCCTAAAGGAATTCCACGATCTCGCGCGTGCGTTGAACTAGTTACTTCATGGCAAGTGCCTGGGGGTGGTTTAGGGGATCCCCATACATGCCTAGAGGTTTAGCGCCTGTACAGGGGTGGTAGGCTTGGTAGGTAAAGAAAGGTATCATGCTAGTTATCTTACTAATATTATTATTCGCGGCGAACTAGGTATTAGGCAGGAACTAGGCCTAGTCGTCCTAGGCGTAGTTAATGTAGGCATGGAGGTAATTTTTTAGGCCCTTAATAGTATTTTTAGACTACCTATTAGTCTTAGGGTGATTTGTAGATAATAGTTTAATAGAAACATAGTGGCGAGCGTAGTATTAGTACTAGAAGTGGCTTATAAAGGCACTCCCATAGTCTAATATAATTAAACAAGGGAGACTAAACTTATAGAAGATACAGTGGTATATAACCTCCATGAGCTTGCTAGTTTCTTTAGTCTATAGCAGCTCGAAGATATATTATTTCGTTAGGCAGTCAACCACGATCAGCACGTGGTGGTAGGTGTGGTTATTTAGCGTGCATAGGGGAAGGTCTTCTATAAGGTCTATAGAGATATCAAGCTACTTTCACTCTAGGATAGGTAGTGGCCTAAGCAAGCCCTATTTCTAGGTATTACAGGCCCTTGAGCGCGCGCAGGTACGGTAGTAGTTACTATAGCGCTTGTAGTCATCGCGCATGCGCGGCTAATAATAGTAGAGGATGACCTTCTAGTATATTCCCTTCCACCTAGGGTGGCTAGTAGTAGTTAGTTAGTAGTAAGTCTCTATAATCCTTTACTAGAGATGATCGCTTTTAGGAATATAGAGCCTCTTATTAACCCAGAGCTAGTTATCACGTATTATCAGGTCTACCATGGAGAGCTTAACGCCTTGGGATCTAATAGGCGCGGGCAGCCATGGTAGGCCTAACCCAGGGGGGTCAATGCAACAAACGTATGTTGCACTGGTGAGGGGCGCGCTAAGATAGCCGCTGATTGGTTAGAGGAGGATCCACCTCGCGTATCCTTCACTAGGAATCCTCGCGTATCTTGCACTGGCTTTTTCATGGCCGATCCGGCTCAGATTGGGCCAGGGGTTAGCGGGGCCAGTTAGCTCTAGCTGGTGCTAGTTAGGAGTCGCTCTGATGAGAGATTAGGGTGTAGTGGTTGATTAAACATGCCTTAGTTTTTGATTTTCCTGCGAGCGCGGGAGTGGCGTTAAGACTGTCCATTACGCCCACGCTCCGCTCGCTGGCTACTAGCAAGCAGCAGCCATGGAAACGCGTGGAAACCATAGCAACTAGAAAAGATAAATAGATGTTTATTATTATCATAGCTAGTCATTCAAGCATTTATTTCAGGCAAGGTATTTAGGGGGTGAAGCCCCTCAACTGATCTATTCATCCATTCGATCCATCCATTATTATTGATAAGTAAGTCAAGTCGTCGCGAAGCAGCTATGAACTAGTAAACAACTAGTTACCACCATGGAGAGCTAATTATTCAAGAAGATCCCTAGCTTGTAGATTATCATTTGCCGCCAGTGCAAGCATGGGGTGCGGCTAGCCGAGGCAGAACACCATTTAAAGTAGAAGCATTAATTCAACCACCATCAGGCCACCCAGGTCACCCAGGCCATCCAGCAATGGGCAGATATCATGCAGGATAGCCAGGCGATCTAGATCCCATGGGTTCTAGATTACCCGCTACCTATATTACCATGCCACACCAACGGGTTTTTATGCCGGCGGGACCCCACACAGTGCCATTACATTGGATCCACCATGGCGTCCATGCGGGTGCACTGGCGGGCCACCCACTAATGGTCCCAGCAGGGCCGCCGGGGCCATGTCAGCCAGAGGGAGAAGGCACGTGGGGAGGCGGAGCTAGCACGATCATACACGCGCGTGGCATGGCAGTAGGTATTCCCCACGCGCAAGGGGTCCCATTACATCCACATTAGGTACCTAGATGGCGGCCGCTAGAGGAGCCCGCCACCACCACCCGCGGAGCAGGCCCAGCAGGCCGTGGATGCCATGGTCATTGCATGGGAGCGGGCGCGCGCGCGAGAGGCGGAGCAGGCCACCATCTAGGCAGACGAGGCGGCTGATGCCAACCCATGGCTGCGCATGACGGGGTGGGCGAGGTATTTGGATGGGGTGCACCCGCAGGATTTGCGCCAGCTCATAGAGGCGCCCGTGGAGGTAGAGGAGGTGAAGGAGGCAGAGGCAGAGGATAAGGATGCCAAGGCAGATCCTACCGAGCAGGCCGTGTGGGTGATTTGGGACGCCATGGACCAGCTGGCGCGGCGTAGCCAGCGGACCATGCAGCAGTGCGGCGCAGGCATCCGCGTGGAGGCGGCCCGTACAGAGGCCGGCCAGGCGCCATACAAGCCGCTGCAGGCGTACATGGACGAGGCAAGCATCCAGAAGCACGTGCAGCCATGGCAGCAGGTGTTGGCATTCATTACGCGCACGCAGGCCGCGCAGGCAAGCCCAAGCCAGGACAGGGATGGTGATAGCCAGGAGGATGGTGATGAAGGTGATGGCAGTGGCCATGGCCATGGCAAGTGGCTAGGGAGGTTGCCCGCGTATGGGATGACCCCGCGGCAGCGCTAGAAGTGGCAGGCATTATAGTAGCTGGCCATGCTGGCCATCGCGAGGCCCAAAGCTAAAGCTGAAGCTGGTGGCCAAGCACGTGCGCAAGCCCGAGCTAGGCCAGGGGTGAGGGTTATCCATATGTTCGCCGGGGCAGGCTAGATCATTGAGGACGTGTGGAGTGCTAGCCCTAGCGCCAGTACCAGCCCAGGTAGTAGCAGCCCAGCCGTGATGGAGATGGACGAGGAGATAGATAATAGGGATAAGGTCGAGGCTATAGATACCAAGGTGGAGGCGTGGTAGATAACCCCCATAGAGCAAGCATGCTTGGAGTTTTGTATTAAGCTAATAAACTAGCGCCACCACACGCACGAGTACGAGAGCGCGCTAGTGTGCGCCATGGCCGTGTAAGGATGGGGCGAGGCGCGCTGGCGCGATCCTAGTAGTTACCCGCCCATATTATCCCGCGTGCTCAAGGTGGCGCGCTTCATGGTGGTGTAGAAGGCGTTATAGTTAGATCCCCATGCCAAGGAGATCATTCGCATGTGGACGGGCTAGTGGCAGCCAGGTAGTGGTAGCAGCCCCGTTACATGGCCATTGGCCAGCGCGGACGACTAGCTAGTGGATATCCATCTAGGGGATCCGCCTATTAGATTACCATCAGGATCGCTATTAGGATCAGGGTTAGGTGTAGGTGGGAAGCTGTTCCATGACCACGTCTAGTAGATGGTGCGTAGCTTTATGATCCGCGGCACGCACGGCCCCATGCAGACGTTACTAGATTAGCGCACGTACGGGTTAAAGGTGCATTATAACACCACCACGCCAGGGCATGTGGGATGGATGGGCAGTGACGAGCTATTATACAAGGACGTGCATTTCACTATGAGCGCGTTCCGCGGGTTCATTCATGGCTTGGTGGGATCGGCGCGTGAGCTACTGCGGGAGGTATTATATATATCCCTAACCATAACCACCACCACCACCACTACCAGTAACACTAATTTCCCACCCATCCCATGGTCCGGACTGTACGATGACCCCACGCAGGGCCAGAAGGGGTGGTGTTTTTTGCAGGATACCCGCACGCGGTGGCTGGTAGATGGGAAACAGTAGTTGGTGCAGCGGCTGCGCAGCGAGCCCGCCATGCAGCGCTAGTTCATGCGCCGCGGCTAGGTGCAGGCCCAGCTAGTGGCGCAGTATTTAACCCGCGTGGCCCGGTTCAAGGAGAAGCTCGCCGTGGCTATTCACGTCATGGGCGGCCAGCCCGCGCGGGCGCTCGAGCTGTTGAGCATCCAGCATGTTAACATGCAGGCCAGCCGGCACCGGAACATATTCATTGAGGATGGGATGGTCACGGCCGTGATGGCGTACCACAAGGGGTTCCACGCGAGCAATGACATCAAGTTGATCCACTGGTACGTGCCGCGGGCGGTAGGGGAGTTGATCGTGTGGTACATGTGGTTAGTGTTGCCATTCACAGAGCAGTTAACCGCGTGGTAGGTAGCGCAGCAGCAGCCAGCGCCGCAGCTAGTAGCCCAGCTAGTAGGCAGGGGATTAGGGTTAGGGTTTAATAGGGATAGGGAGGATGCCTAAGCTCGCGCGCCTAGGGTAGGGTTAGCCCGCCCATCCACCCAGCCTATAGGCGCCGCCGCAGCATCAGGGTTAGGGTTAGCCAGCCCATATTTATGAGGCCCCGATGCTGGCACACAGCGCGCGTAGACGTCTGACTGGTTCCACGAGGTGTTAAAGCGCGAGACGCAGGCGTGGTTAGGCCAGGCATTAAACATCCCCGCGTACCAGGACATCGCCATTGGGATCAGCTGGCGGTTCATGCGCGGGGCCAGCACGTTTAGAAGCGACGCCCATGACGAGAAGGAGCAGCCAGCCGTGATGGAGTTAGATACCGACCATGAGGAGGGGATGGACGTAGAGCAGTGGATGTTATATATCATGGATTTACAGGCGGCGCATTCATCACATGTGGCTGGGATGGTGTACGCGCGGTAGATCATGGAGCAGGCAGGCATGACCAGCCACTAGCGGGCCATGTTCTAGCAGTCCAGCGTGGAGTGGCATGAGTTTTTAGGGTTTAGCTAGGATAACGAGGATGATGGTAGTTGTGGTGGTTAGCCCTAACCCGCAGGCAATGGGGCCCGCGCCCCAAGCGGCAGTTCGCAAATGGTTAGGGTTAGCCGCAGCCAGGGCCAGGATGATGGTAGTCATGATAGTGGTCAGCCCCAGCCCGCAGGCAACGGGGCCCGCGCCCCAAGCGGTTCGCAAGCAGTTAGGGTTAGCCACGGCCAGCCCAGCGGCCATGCAGACATTAGGGTTAGGGTTAGCCCAGCCACCACGACATTAGGCAAGCGCAAGCGCGCGCCATGGCAGGCCGAGGCCGAGGAGCACTAGTGGGAGCGGCGGCAGCAGCTGCAGGCCATGGACATGACCATGGCGATGCAGCAGATGACTGGCCAGGCCCGCATGTAGTTCCGCGGGGTCCAGGGCCCCGTCATGGCGGTGATCCAGCAGGGCCGCAGCCTGGTGGTGGCCATCATACCCACAGGGGGTGGCAAAAGCATGTTGTTTATATTACTCGCGTGGGCCGTGCCTGGTGGCACCACTATTGTGGTGGTCCTGTTAATATCATTGCGCCAGGACATGGCGCGGCGGTGCCAGCAGCTGGGGGTGTCATGCGTGGCATGGGACTGGTAGCAGCCGCCTGACAAGGCTACTATTGTGTTAGTGACGCCCGAGTCCGTGGTAACGAGCAATTTCCAATTATTTATTAACTAGTTAGTGATGATGCGCTGGTTAGACCGCATGGTGGTGGATAAGTGCCATATTATTATAAATGCCCAGAAGGATTTCCGGCCGTAGATGGCCTAGTTAGGCCGGTTAGTGCGGGCGCGGTGCCTGATGGTATATTTAACCGCCACGTTACCCCCGCAGTTAGAAGGCGAGTTCAGCCAGCGCATCCATTACCCGCGCGACTAGATATATATATATTGCGCACGCACCAGCCGCAGTAACGTGGCATACCGTGTGTGGCGGCCCGTGGTGGCCAGCCCGTACCAGTGGGAGCGGGATCCCAGTGTCATTGCGTTTATCCAGGCGCGCATCTAACAATATTCTGGGCCAGGCCCCCGGGGGGGGCCTGCGCCAAATAAAGTCTTGGCATGGGGGGGGGCCAGAGTTGAATACAGGCCCCCCCCTGCGATTGCTTAATTATTAATATTATATAATAATTTTTATATGTACATGTAGCTAATAGAGTTAGATATAATAATATTTAATAATATTACTAGATTTCCTAACACTATTCTGGGCCAGTACCTGGGGGAGGTACAGCGCAAAATAAAGTCTTGGCAGAGGGGGAGGTACAGAGTTGAACTGTGTACCTCCCCTGCGATTGCTTAATTATTAATATTATACAATAATTTTTATATGTACATGTAGCTACTAGAGTTAAATTTAATAATAATTAATAATATTACTAGATTTCCTAAAGGGGAAGGCGTAATTAAGGTTCTAAAATATGAGCGAATTTTTTGTTGGGGTACGCCTTGGCGCGCTAGGAGCGGGTAATCTAGTCCTAATTAGGCCACCTAGGTGCCTGAGGCTGCTATATATATGCCTGGTAGATGCCTGAGGCTTGATGGATGCCTGAATTTTCAGGTATTAATTTACCTTAGGCGTTTTCAAAGGTAGGTTACTAGAGGTAGGGGAACCACCACTAATATTAATATAGATGACTAATATTTTTAGTTTATATATAGATTCTCTATATAATTACTAGTATTTATAACTAGGTCTAACCCAGGGGGGGTAGGCCGATGAGGGCCCATCGGGGTTGGGGTTCGGCCCAAAAAGGTTTAGCGGCCGGGAAAAACACGCGCTAAGTTCACCCATTCGGGTTAGAAAGGTCACCCATCTGTATCCCCTACAAGGGTCGCTCGGCTTTGAAAAGTGGCTTACGTGAAAGGGCGGGCACTTATCTTCATAGCGCTAAAAAAGTAGAAGTTACGTGGACGTAAAATAGTGGCATGGCATAGGTATAAAGGTAGTAGGTTTTATTGGGGTAGGCTGGCCCGCCACCGCGAACGGGAACGGGAATGGGAAGCGGGAACGGGATAAATAGGATGAGGAGGAGGTAGAGCGCGAGATTTAGATATAGCATAGTTAATAGTCCAAGCTGCCATGGAAACCATGAATGTTTAGATAAATAATTCATGAATTTTTCCATGGTATAGTAGGCCATTAAGCCCATACCTATTACCTATAAGTTTATATCATATCCTATATGTCGCATGAACTCCACCACGCATGACATTCAATTTTAGTTGTTTATACCATGGAGAACTAGTTATTCGAAAAGGTCCCTAGCTTGTAGATTATTATTTGCCGCCCATGCAAGCATGCTGTACGGCCCATGGACGTCTAGCAGCATTTAAAGCGCTAGCATGGGTATAATTACCAGGCAGCCAGCTAGGTGGCCGACATGGTACACCAGTGGGAGGAGATGTAGTAGGATAGCCAGGCCATCCAGATCCCCCGCGTATTAGACCAGCCGCTGCCCATTTTACCATGTTACACTAATGGGGTTTTGTGCCAGCGTGAGCCCACGCAGTGCTAGTACGTGGCCGCTAGCATGAACTCCATGCGGAAGCACTAGAAGACCATCCACCAGTGGTCCTAGCAGAGCCGTGGTGGCCGCGTGGGCTAGCGGGAGAAGGCACGCGGTGAGGCCGAGCTTGCGCGGTCATACACCCAGGTGGCATGGTAGTAGGTGTTCCCATCTAGCCCCGGGTCCTATTACATCCACATTCGATACCTAGATGGCTGGCAGAGCCCGCCACCACCCGCAGAGCAGGCCTAGTAGGCCGTGGATGCCATGGTCATTGCATGGGAGCGGGCGCGCGCGCAGGCGGCGGAGCAGGCCACCATCTAGGCGGACGAGGTGGCTGATGCCAACCCATGGCTGTGCATGACTGGGTGGGCGAGGTATTTAGACGGGGTGCACC